ACCCGGTCATCTCCTGCTGCCCGGCTTGGAAATTCGCACATTTGCCCCATCGCAATTGCCCACCCCCTCACCAGCCAAGACGGATTCCACCACGGGAACCCCCGGGGGGCCTAATCAGCGGCACCCCATTCCCTGTGAAGTGGATTATCGCAATCACGGGGAAACGGTCCTAGTGCTGCCAGATCTGCGCAAGACCACGGTCAGTCTCAGCGCCTCGGGCAGTCCAGGTGGGGCGTCGTGGCTAGTGGATTCGGAGCGACGAGCAGAAGTGCATTAATGATCGAACATTATTGCTTGCTTTTTCCGGTCTTGCGCATGCCAGATGGACGTGTATATAGATCTACGAGACATGAATATGAATTTGTACAACCATAGCCACCAGTATAGGAGATTGTGTTACATGCAATTTACCCCTATTCACATTAATGTATTAGTATAGAGTGCTCTTAAACAAGGTAAACGTAAACCCTAAGATTGTCAATACACGTGGGCAAAGCTCCTGTTTTGCGTTTTGCAAAATGACAGAGGTGGGGGCCCGCTGATTGGTGAGGGCTCCTCAACAAAACACTCGGCGGGTCCCGCCACGGCCCAACAAGCCCCCCCCCTTGTGAGAGTATCCGCCACACCGGCCGAGTTATCTCCAATCTTACACCGTCTAAAGGTGATCATGAGATTGGAAGGCCTAGAATTGGTTCATATTTGTCAAGAAGGATATCAAATATAGCTCATACTGTAGTATATGTCCTACTTTTTTGTTAGGTAATTCTTTCAGGATACGACCAAGTGTAGGTGTGTAAGATATGTAAAATACTCCACTCCTTACCTATCAATACCTCCAACAGATTCTCAATGAACCATCACATGTCGGCGCATGTCAATTGCCACCAAACAGCGTGGACCAATCCACAGCGTGATATTGTATGGGCGCGAGCACGAAAATGACCCGCCGAGGCAGTCGATCTACGCACCCGGGCCCGCATGTGATGAATATCAGAAGATTTCAAGGTTTCCTACAAATTATCTTGAAAGTAGAAACCTTGGAATGCAGTCAAGGGTTCATTGATGAGATTTATCACAGCCTAGATGAATCGATATATCTCTTATCTTTGACACTTTAAATACTGGAACCATCCGGACCGTGTATGGTGGATAGTAGAATTAAATTTCCGGTTTAAGTGTTGAGAGCTCAATTAGGTTTAGGACCGATCCCGGTTTGTCGCCACGATAGGCATTTCCACTAGTTCAAAGTTCAAAGTTCAAAGTTCCCCCCCCAGGCCTGAAGAACCACTCGGTGGGGCCGAGTATTTTTCACCTTTAATTGTTGGCTAAGCCGCAGCTGTGGCGCCTCCGATCTGCCCAACATAATCCAATGATAGAGTTTTAACCAAGGTGGATGCATGTTTGTGAGATCGGCTGGAAGAGGAGTTCATGCAGGATATTATGGAATTTTGGGATCGAATCAGATGTTCACAGTATGGCGATTGTCGGGATACGGCGGTATGGAAACAGCGTAAGAAAAGAATAAAAAATCTTTGATTGTCAATTTTGATGGGGATGGAATCAAGTGGGGATGGGTTTTTTGCAGAACAGGTTTACCAAACTTTACACAAATTTCACCACTGATTGTAGGGGAAGGCCGCTTTCAGGGCTGATGATAATGTACTGATCATACCGTGACCGTACGTGTATCCCCCACGGACCCATGGACCCCCAGTTTTGGTCCCTTTTCTTTCTTTTTTTTCTTGACATTCTCGAAGCTGATCTTCTCCCTTTTTCTTGCTCGGTTCGTTTTCCTTTCTTCTCGGGGTTAGCGCCTGCAAATTTCTTAACCTTCCTCCTTTCCCTTGCCTTTTTAACCTCGGGGATAATCGTCAATCTTGAAACTTGTGTAACCACAGGTTCAAAAAAAATTCCATCCTTAGGTATGTTGATGCACTCTCGGACTGACCGAGAACTGGACACTGACCTCCCCCGCTCATATAGCTGTTGAGAGAACTGCGTGGGTTAGCTCGAATCCAACGCACCTCCTACATCCCCCCTTCCTCAGCACGGAATTTTCGTCAGTCGATTGGACGAACGTATAATAGCATCGGAGAGACACAGTACAGAGTGACTGTATAAATTTCTTGTCTTCGCCATGTCGTCCACTGCTATTCCCAAGCGCACTGCGCTTCGCCGCAACCCCACCACCGACTCGTCCATCATTGATTCGGTCTCGGCTTCGCCCTTCGACAGCCCCCGCCAGTCGCCCTCGTCGACTTCCCTGTCCTCCATGGCTTCGGAGGCGGAGGCGGCCAAGTTGGTCGATACCTTGGGCAATGAGTTCAAGATTCCCGATTTCACCATCAAGCAGATCCGTGATGCCATCCCCGCACACTGCTTCCACCGCTCTGCCATCACCAGTTTGTACTATGTCTTCCGGGACTTCGCCATTCTGGGAAGCGTCTTCTACCTCTTCCACAACTATGTCACCCCCGAGACCGTCCCCTTCATGCCCGCTCGCGTGGCTCTGTGGACCCTGTACACTGTCATCCAGGGTCTCGTCGGTACCGGTGTCTGGGTCTTGGCCCACGAGTGTGGTCACCAGGCTTTCTCCCCCTCCAAGGTGCTGAACGACACCGTTGGCTGGGTCTGCCACTCTCTCCTGCTTGTGCCTTACTTCTCCTGGAAGATCTCCCACGGAAAGCACCACAAGGCCACTGGTAACCTTGCCCGTGACATGGTTTTCGTCCCCAAGACCCGTGAAGAGTATGCTACCCGTACTGGTCGTACCCTGCACGAGCTCGGCGAGCTCATGGAGGAGACTCCCATCCTGACTGCTAGCCACTTGATCGCTCAGCAGCTGTTCGGCTGGCTCATGTACCTCAGCACCAACGTCACTGGCCACAACAACCACGCCAAGCAGCCCGAGGGCCGTGGCAAGGGCAAGGCTAACGGATGGTTCGGTGGTGTCAACCACTTCGACCCCGCTAGCCCTCTGTACGAGGCCAAGGACGCTAAGCTGATTGCCCTGAGTGATCTCGGTCTCTTCCTCACCGGTGCCCTTCTTTACACCATCGGCTCCAAGTTCGGCTGGCTCAACCTGCTTGTCTGGTACGGTATCCCCTACCTCTGGGTGAACCACTGGCTCGGTAAGTTTTCCATCAACCTAAATTCTCTGATATCAGCATTCTAACATTCATTTAGTCGCCATTACCTTCCTCCAGCACACCGACCCCACTCTCCCCCACTACCAGCCCGAGGTCTGGAATTTCGCCCGTGGAGCCGCTGCCACCATCGATCGTGACTTCGGTTTCGTCGGCCGCCACATCTTCCACGGTATCATTGAGACCCACGTCCTGCACCACTATGTCAGCAACATCCCCTTCTACAATGCCGATGAGGCCTCCGAGGCCATCAAGGGCGTCATGGGCAACCACTACCGCACCGAGGCCCAGACTGGCTGGATCGGCTTCTTCAAGGCCATGTGGACCAGCGCCCGTACCTGCCAGTGGGTTGAGCCGTTGGAGGGTGCTACCGGTGAAGGCCAGGGTGTGCTCTTCTTCCGCAACACCAACGGCATCGGTCTCCCTCCCGTCAAGATGGCCAATTAGATGGTCACATATGCATCTTTTCTCATATTTGGACTTGGAAGCGAAAATCTGTCGTTGCTTTATTGATGTCTTTGTTTATTTTTTTTTTTGTTGATCTTTGGTGTATACTTGACCGGCGCGCATACACAAAACATGTGAGGTATTGGCGAGGCATAGATGTCAAGATGGTTTGGTTGAAGGGATCATCCCTAGAACCTCCTCTCGTTGATTCTCTCTTTAGATTGTCTTGATTTCCTGTTTTTCTGCGTTGATCTCTTGATGTGAACAGAGCAGAGGGGAGGTAATTTGGGGATGAATAATGATCTTCTGAAATCTGAATCGAGACCTGTTGATTATCGAATCTTGAATCTTCTCTTTCGTCTTGTAATTGAATAATCGAATAATCTCATACCGTAGCCTTGTCACTGTAAGCCGACACGTTAGTTCGATCGAGTCGAGCTTGGTCCCATGCAGTCCTGTGGAATTGACAAGATCAAAGCTGCTCAGTTAACTCCAGGTGGGTTCAGTCCAGGCAACAATATTCAAGAGCGAGGTCATTCATCAAGACCAAGCAGACCATTTCGGCGGCTTCGAGCTCCAGATCAAGCTCAGAGCTTGAGTTGTCCTCACAAGATGAGATGAAAGGTAAGTAAAGAATCTCAATCTCCAGACTCTTAGAAATGCAGTGGTTCAGTGGCGTGACGTGGAAGACAAAACAAGGAAGAGCCGTTAGAAACAGGGTTGCGGGGTAAAAAGATCCACGGGATTGGATATCAGGGCCACTTCATTGGTTTGATCGTGTGATCATAATTTGACATCACTTGAAACCCATAGGTTATAGCTTTGATTGGTATTTATTCGTGAATGGTGCGAAAGTATAAGTTCATGATGGTAGAAAGAACATTTTGGACATGGCGCGATTCATACTAGATCTGTTTAGTGTTCTATCTGCGGATCATTTATGGAGCTAAAGCTTGAATGCATTAGGCATCATTTCTAAATCCCCTTGTGTCTCTTGCAATTATGAGCTATACATCTTGTCCTAAATCCATGACAGCCTGTGGTAGCTATGTCGTGGTTCGCTCGGCCAGTAGCACTTTATAGCTATGCGTTGCGCCAATTTATGGACCTCCCAAGATGTTTCAATAGAGTTTGGGTCGACCAGACAGGACAGCATACACATATACCCTAAGGCTAGAGCATGTTTCATTTGTCAATGAAAATATTAGAGAAAATTGTAAAACCAATTCCTTCTAAGTTCCTTGTGGTACCTATATTGATTCTGGTTTTGGTTCCGTTCTTGAGCCAGTAAACCGATGGATATTTCTGTCTATTTATGCAATTGTCATTCTCCATGCTATGCAAATATAAACAAGATGGCAAGCAATATCTCCTCTAAACTTTAGATTCTGTTAGATCCGGTGAATGTCACTTTTCCGGCTCGACACTGCGCAGCCCTCCTTTCCAAATCTCAAATCCCGTCTCACTCATTTTTGGCCTTGGTATTGATTCTGCTTCATCTCCGTCGGCCACATGCCCCCTCGATCCAGCAGTCCAAGGAGCAAATACCACTTTCATGATTCGTCTTGTGATTTGCTCTGGCTCGGGAACAACCGGAGACGCAGGTCTTGGAACTGGTGCTGGCGAGGGTTCTTTGGGGGATTGGGAAGCAGACTTCTCTTCCTTGGAGATCGGGGCCTCTGATGTGACTTCCCCAGTATGTGTTTGCCGGGCAGTAGCAAATGCAGACTTTACTTCAGGTACCTTCTCCACCTGCTCTTGAGGGGGCCCCATCTGCTCTAAAGGTGTGGATAGAGGATAGGCACCATCCCAAGGCACAAATATGGAGCGAGTCTCTTTCTTCAACGCGATGCGACATGCGATCTGCGTTGACCAGAAGTAGCCCAGCGCTGGGGTCTTAAGGGAGGATGTATTGGGATACTCAGTATCTCCCCAGCCAGTAAAGAAGCGTTCCTGGTGCAGGAGGCTCATGAGGTCGTTCCGGGCCGGGTTCCCGACGAGATATGAGCCGGCGAATTTGTCATCTTCGGGTGGGTACTGTGATGAAGCTGGGGAAGAAGAGGGGGCATCATATGGGGACTGTGTTGATGGGCCTAGTATATCGGATCTGTTTCGAGGGATTGGCGAGGCAACACCAGATTCCCGAACTGCTGGGGTCAAGGCAGAACGTGGGACATCGTTGACAATGGTTTCGACGGTCTCGAACCGGTCTGAGACTTGATTTGCGATGACAATTGCAATGTTCTCTTTTACAGCGAGGTTGCGGAGCATGTGGCCTAGCTTGGCGAGCGCAGTGGATCGGTTGGAAAGGGCTAGTATGCTGTGGTCGGTATGCTCAGCGCGGTAATTCGATGTGAGTGAGTCCATGATGACTAGTCCAACGTTGTATTTTGCAATTGCAACCGGGAGCTGGTAGTTCAAGATGTGGTCTTGCGTCTCCAGGTCCATGGCGTTGATAGAGAGGATATTCTCAAACGTCGGGGCCTGGTCTTTGGGGAGGGTCGAGAGGTATGGATGGCATTCGAGTAATTGGAAGAGACGATTTGTGGCTAACGGATGCTCTGTGGATATGTAGATAGCACGCTTCTGTAATCCACGGGGTTTGGCTAACTGAACGGCGAGGAGGAGGCTAAGGAGTAATTGAGTCTTGCCGCTGCCACTACAGACAGGAGACTATCTGTCAGAAACATTGTATTGAATGAATTCATCACCACGGACCTTTCGCCTGTCACTTCCGTCAGGTATCCTGTTGGAATGCCGCCTCCCAAGAGCGCATCCATGGTGGGGTCCAGGGTGCTGATCATCTCCCATCGCGACGGTTGAAGATTGATCGAGGGGCCGAGGGTAACAGCAGCATCTGCATTGAGACTCGAACTAGGCTCTTTCTCTTCCGCAGAGCCTATGTTTGTCTGTGTTTTCTGGAAGCCAAGGTCGGCGTGCAGCGCCTCGACAACGCGGACGCATAGCCGCCGCACGTCTGCGGGCGGGACATGAGCGCGTTTCGCGATCTCAAGCGTGTCAAGGGTGATAAGGTCGACGGTTGTCAGTTTGCTGCGCTCTAACGAAGGCAGGAGATGTGCGTATGGTTTTGTCGCGAAGCCAGGCAAGACTGATAGAAGATCCATAGGAGGCAAAAGCTCGGGAGCTTGAAGACGCGGTTGCCATATCGTGTGGGGCCAGTCACTGACATCGGCACATACAAAGTCGCTGCAACTTATTATTCTATTGCACAAATCCTTTATTTAGATAATCATTGATTTTATTTTGACAGTCTCTACTCATATACCTATTTACTTCGCCGATCATAGTAAACAAGTTAGGATTTCGAAGAATCTTGGAAGGTTAACCTTTGATCGACTAACATGTTCCGAGCCCTATGGGGCACGTACACCAATATATATATATCGAAGGCAACAAAGACCTAATCTTGGAATTTTCTGAAACACGAATATCTGCTTTGTTTCATCTCATAATTTACAACAAACGCCTACATGTATGCTGCTTAAGATATACCTTGCACGCAGATGACTTTATTAGCAACATCTCGTTCAAAACGGGAAGTAAAGCAGCGAGTACCCAAAAGCATTGGAGTTGATCGAAAAGATGACAACGCAGAATCAATTTACTTAATCTATTTTGATACAGCTCTCAGCAGTACTGTATATCACTTCGTTCGCCACCGCTTAAGTATTTGTATTTAAGTTCCACTCTTATCCACCCCGGAGCCACAAACACCTTATACGAACGAGATCAACCCGATCCCGCCTGAAGTGGCTCCAGCTCAAGCCGGGAGACATTAGTCTGGGCGGCCTGCAATACCCTTGAATCGTACCTCGTACACAGCCTTAGGAGACTAAAATGGGGCGTAAGGGTCCGTTCGCTGCTTAGTATTCGACGATTATGAAGCGTTGTACGCCTGGACTAGACCCAACCAGGTATCTATTCGGCTGTCATTGACTCATTTCGATACGCACTTCAATATCGAAACCCCTGTGACGCTCTAGTAGTGCAGTAGTAAGTTTCAAGCGCAAATTTCTGCCTGCACTCCGCACAGTAGTGATTTCATGCGGTCGATCGCATTTGTCACATACCGCGGATCAGGCGATCATGATCAATTCGCACACCGCAACGGAATATGAGTGATTCATGTATCTCCAATATCATAATGTCAGGGTCAATAGAAATCAGAATGAACAGATTACTAATTAATAACATGGTAACCATGAGCAACGAAATCAAGGTCCAGAAGCTTTGATAAAGAGTCGAGGACAAAGGTCGCACCCAAGTACCCAAAACGGAACAGTCCTCAGTCCACATGATTCGCTTGCTGATCTTCGAGCTAGCGTACTATTTACTAGTGCGATAGCAATTTAATGTATTCCGTAACGGACTAGGAAGCCGGGGTCCGGGAGCATGTATTCGAAAGGAATTATTTTGTTCAATGCGCCCTATCTCCATCTGATGTCACCAAACTAGCCGTGGCGGTCTTAGGTCCATGCAATTTATTCCATTCCACGTGGTATAGCCCCTGCTAACTAGCGGGCTCACTCCAGAAAGGACATCTACTGTGTCGTATATTGTATAAAAATGATAAAGAATCGGGAGGCCGAGACTTACAGCTTGCATACAGCTAGTGACTCCAGACCCGAGTCATATCTTCCATCTAGATAACTCAGACTACCCCGGAAGATATCAGGCAACAAGGTGGATTTAGGGGTTCGGAATTCCGTGATCTGGATTGGATGTGCGCTAAGTTGCCCCAAGACCCCTATCAGAGCATGTAGCTGCCCCAAGACTTTGCAAATCAATGCATTTTCCAAGGACTGGGATTACTGCATTTGGCAAGCCGTTGAAACCCACCGAATCCTTCTGATATTGCGCGAATAAGTCACATATAGCTCCGGCTGTGGGCTAGATGCAAAAAGGGGGTCAAGTTCAACTGAAAGTGACAGTACGGTGCGAGATTGATTGTCAATCCTCATGTGCGGGATGGGTTATGAGACTACACTGTTCTTGGCATAGACCGGGTTACGTGCATATTGATCTCCTCACCTGACTGTACATTTGTTCTCTTGTGAAAGGAGTGATCGCGGAGCGCTCGGAGAACTCCGACCTAAGTGGATATGGACCGAGAAACCTGATACAATGCCTCGTCTGGTGATTTAACGGGGCAAGGACTCCATTGCCACGTTTTTTTTTTCTAATTCGAATTAATTTGCCAAGACACTGCCCCCCTTAATGTGAATCCTTCTGGAATGGCGATCTTGGGAAGTATGGGGTGTCAATCATTTGCCCACTTTTCTCGTCGATCCCGAAACGTGACAGTAGAACTCAACAGATCTGCAAATGTTTCATTGGAAGCGTAGACTCTCCTCAAAGAATCATTACCCTTGCTATGCACGTGGTCGCTGATGTACGTAGGCATGGTGAATGCAGTTGACCCTGGTCATTCTGCTCAATTCAAGGCCTTGCATGGCGTGCTTAGATAAGTGGACAATGCGACGGCCGACTAGCCGACCGTTATGAAGATCCCCGTTCATTATGATTTCATCGGACCGATTAAGAATTATTGCAAATGACAGTGAGTCAATTCTGAAGCACCGCAGACTGGAATTGGCAAAAAGACACCGACACGCTATTTTCTATAGCGCGATTGTGAATGCATGATTGTGATCTCCAGTCCAAGTTGACCATTGCAGCCCTAAAGTGGACTGGATGAGATGTTTTCTATTCCCCTGTCGACATGCACAAGTGCAGACCCCGAGACTGAAAAAGAGGGCTCGACGGGGAATTAGACTCGCAAAATGAGAAAATCACAAATCCAGAACACATTCGATTTGACCGTTGAGGGTCATTTCTGGTGATGTGCAGATGTAAAATCTGCAGCCCGCAAGCCTGTTACGAAACTGTAATGTATGGAAACATTGAAATGGGGCCGTGGCTTCGTGCGGTGCGGACCGTCTTGAAGTGGGGGAACGAGATCCCGCACCATTATTTGAAAGAGTCGTTATAGAACGACGTTCAAGTCTAGAAAAGGACTATGTACAGAAGCCTAGGCGTTGCAAACAGGTTTGATGATCCTTCATATACCCTACGGAGTAGACAACGCACCATGCAAGAAGGAAAAACTCTCCCTGGGCGCTTCTCCAATGCAGCCACAGAAGCAGCTATAGGGTACGAGCGTATACGTGCGTTCACGTACAGGAAAAAAGAGTCTTGGCAACAAATCACCGGCCGAGTTGCGGGACTCAACCATGACCTGCGTATGTACAGAAGGGAATCAGGGATTTGAAAATCAGTGTAAAATCACAAATGGATGCAGATCAGGATTTACGGCTTGACGGCCCACAGGTGGGGCCAATGGACAGCGGGCAAAAGGCGCCGTTCTTACCAAAAACCGCCTAGTCGGTCCTAAGACCCTCACTAGCTAGGATCTGATTGGGTGCTGGAATGGTGTCTCGCCAAGATGGAGTCGTCCACGGATCAGGAGGGAAGGAAGGTTTGGAGACAAATCCTTGGAGTTCAACGGGAGACTTGTCTTCCAAATCATTTGGTTCAAGCGACTTTCCAGGAGTGATATGATATAAGGATGTGTTCATGGATTGTATACTGTATGTATTCTTGATACACAATCGGTATTGGACCTAACCACGTCAGCAGGGGGAAAAGAGATAATTGATTAGACTTGGACGGGAAATGACGGCATCCTGTCTGTATAGTTGCCTTGATCGAGTAGGTTGGCAGAATAAGTAATATTCATGTTATTGCAGGATGATTTGCATCCGATCATCTCTTCACAACCCTAGTCCATACATGTGAAGAAGAAAAGGTAAAGATAAAGGATACATCGGTCCATTGGACTGGGTTGGAACATGGAGAGAGCACGATGCCGGGGAAGCTGAAAGAAAATTCCCTGTTCTAGATCGAGAAGAATGTTCAAAGGATCTACAGTCCCAAGGACCATCGGATGGGGAATTGACCCTGTACACTTTTGGTAGGGGAAAAGACAAGCGATCGGATGTGATTCGGGTAGCAAGTTGACACAAAAGGAACCCTAAGAACTTCCGCTAACACTGAACTGGACCGAGCTTGCCTGAAACCGCAGATCGCGACAGCGTAGAGAATTCGACAGCCCCGAATTCATCACGATTGTTCGTTCTGTGGCGATTATTCATCGTTCATTGCTTTTCTTTTCGACACAGACCAGATCTCGATCTTTCGGAGTAATGAGGAACGAAAACGAGACTCTTTGTCTGGTAAGGATCCATGGACCCCCGTACAGTACTTAAGCTAAGAATAACCGTAGGAGCCAACTTTATCGAGTAATAAATCTTGGAAATCCAGCGTATGGTTACAGTGGGGGCCTAGGGTACCGTTACCAATACCGCCTGGGTACATTGTGCATACCGGCGTGGACCATACAAAGACCTCGTACCCAGCGAACGTTGCGTGTCACCCCCTCTCCCTCTTTCACCTCCCAACCTTTCTCTCCGGATCTTTTCATCCACTTGCTGGGAGATATTGCTGAAATATTATTCACCGACAACGGTTCCCCTGATATTCGAAGATTTCCACTCGACCTTTTCGCATGTTCCAGCCACACCCGACCGTCATCGATTGACCGCCTGCGATCCTGCCCCAGGGTCGAACCGATCGACCGGTTGGAACCAGGGAACATTCAACCTGCTTTTCCACCCGAGTCTGCGTTCATCATCGACTCCCTCGAGTCGATCCGTGGATTCGTTTGAATTGGATTTGTACGTCGCGCGCGCCCGAGAACAACCGAATTGTCGACCCAATTGTCGACCCCTACGCCCCCACAAACTTTCCACTTTTCTCTTCGCTTTTTACTGATGTCGCTCCCGATAATAGCTTCATCCCTGAACGACACAGAATAATCACGGACAAGCAGAGCGTTTAAATCATAACCTCAAAATGGCGACTCGGGGACCGATCAGGGCTCCGAAAGATTCGGAGGCCTACACCAAACGGGTTACGCGCGATGGCAGAGAGCTCACCTACCAAATGGTTGTCATGCAACAGCCGGAGCGTGCCAGGGCTTGTGGTGCTGGAGCCAAGTGTTAGTTTTGTTATCGCTTTGTTTCGTCTTTCCTCCAGCTGACCTGGATCGTAGCCTCTGCCGACCGGCGTCCTGTTGACCCGCCTCCCGTGGTGGAATTGCGTATCTTCGAAACCGATCCTAATAACCCCGACAAAGCTACTGATGTCACCTTTGCCTATAATGCCAACTTCTTCCTTTATGCGACACTGGAGAATGCGCGGAACATTGCCCACGGACGGATGGCTGGACCCCCGTCGTGCCCTGTACTGACCGGCGTCCCAGTTGCTGGCGTGGCATATTTAGATCGTCCGTTACAAGCAGGGTATTTCATCTTCCCCGACTTGTCAGTGCGACACGAGGGTCGATATCGATTATCTTTCCACCTATATGAAGAGATCAAAGATACGAAGGATACTGACAAGGACTCGGACCTGCCCCTCCCGAACCAAGTTACCGGGCCAAATACAACGAAGCCGGGCTCCCCGCAATCATTTCTTCACTTCCGCCTCGAGGTCAAATCCGTTCCGTTTGTCGTATACAGTGCAAAGAAGTTCCCTGGCCTGGCCACCAGCACATCGTTGAGTCGTATAATTGCCGAGCAAGGTTGCCGTGTTCGCATTCGTCGTGATGTTCGCATGAGACGCCGGGGCGACAAGCATAATGAAGAATATGATTTCGACGAGAATAGAACTGCGGCAGCATACGCTCGGTCCGATCGCTTCTCGACACCAGATCACTACGTGGCGCAAACCGTGGAACGGCCTCGATCAAATAGCCACACCAGCACGGGAGAATCACCTTATGGGTATCCACCCGAAATCCAACGGCGGCCGTCGGCACAAGATTATGCTTTCGCCTGTCCACAACCTTACCAGCGACCAATGCCACCGGTCATGGCCAACGCCTCCACTCCGTCATATCAATCACATCTTTCCTTTGGCTCAACACCCACTCACTACCCCGCGGCTGCTCATATGCCGCCAACTCCTCCACCTCCTGGCGTTTATTCGCCTCATACCGCCTATGCTAATATTCGACACCAATCCACCGCATCAGAGTACGATATGACACCGGGAGGTTATCCCATGGCACCACAGATGCAAAATGGCTACCCCAAGAACAATATGAACCAATATCGCGTGGAAGCCGCGAAGCCTACGCCCTACTTGATTCAAGATCCGTCACAATATCTGCCACCCGCACATATGATGCGCCATGACCAGACACCGAACATGGGCAATGGAGGTATGCCGGTAATGAAATCTCTAGCCAGTGAATACGCCAATGTCCAACCGTCCATTGAGGGTATTCCGCCGAGCCCCGGTGGAGGCTACGACTCATTTACAGGCAAGCGAATGGTATATCACACGGGCAACATTGGCTCCAAGCGCACCCACGAAGATTCCTTTGGCATTGATGATCGTTCAATGCAGAACGGCATGCGGCCAGATACCGAGCCCAATCCCAATGCTTATCGAGATTTCTCCGCTGAAAGTCGTGCAGCCTTGATGGCTGAGCTCGGCGTGGAGATGGCCTACAAACGAGCCAACGGCAAGATGGTCATGAAGGCACCCCATTGAAATCCGCTATTCACAGAGATTATTCCTTGATAGGAATTAATCTATGTCTCCCTTCCGCCACGAGCTGGCTCTGACTTTCACACCACTTGGAGTTTGGCTCAACCCTCCGTGTCTGGTGCCCTTGCATTTCTGTACATGCCTTCCAACCCCCTTTTTCTACTTGCCTCGTGCCTAGACATACCGATGCATAGTACTCTCACGTCCGTTCTTAAGGAACCTTCTCATTTCGTTTTCTTGTTCATGTTCAATTACCCTGGGCAATCGGTCGGTTATGCTGGATTTTGGTTTCTCTATATCCCGATCTGATGATCTCTGATGCGCATTCGTTATTTGTCTTGCATTGTTGTTTACACACTCTCTTGGGCTGAGGCGAGTGGCGTCCATGTCACCCACCAGTCCCTCGATCCCTTAGAGGAAGAGGAAGGCTGGAAGCTTGAAGCAGGAGCTGACTTGGCGTTCCAATCCGACACCCTTGTTCCTGCGTTTGGGTTGCTACTAACGGACGGCTAAAAAGGGCGGCAAAGTTGGGTTGTTCCATTCTCATCTATTCGAGATTGTTTAGTTGCTTTGCGAACTCGCAAGCTCCTTCATATTTATTGGGTACAGAGGACTGGCATATGATGTACATTGGAGATCCTCCAGTGCAATCCGTCCCATTTGGAGACTTGCTTAATTCTTTTCATCGGCGTCATGGAATGTGGATACCTAGTACTTAGCATTATTGATTATTGATTTGAATACGATTTTCTCATCTTATCACTCTTGATCCAGTCATAGGATGCATGCGGGTAAAAGATTTACCGCGATGGGGCAAGGGGTATGATATTGGCGGGTCTGGGGATAATCTTCCCTGCACAATCGAATGATAAGATTGATAATGCTAGTCATTTTTCTACTGATCGATCTCGAGGAACCTAGCACATAAGATGTACAGTCTGTGAAGGCAAAGTTGAAGTTACAGTGAAGTTGTCATTGTGCTGCCTAAGTAGCATTTGAGTATGCGAAAGCCTCAATATTCATTTAGTAATTCCCAAATAGCAGCAATTCATTTTAATATTCGTTCAATCCCGATATCACACTACTTAACATAATCCTAAGAGAAGCATTGGTCACGGCCCCAGTTCGCTCGGTGACCAAGGCGGTGATGATAGACGTCTTGGCCGTTCCACAAGCTGCTTCTCTCTCCTTCCCAAACACCTCTCCATTACCATCCAATGGCAATGCATATACTATGGATAAGAGGACAGAGTCAGCATGTGACCAGTGTCACGGCCACAAACTGAAGTGCTCTCCACAACCTCAGGGATGTGTGCGTTGCAAGAGTATGTCCCCGCTTTTTTCTGCGGGAATGGGAACATCCGTAACCGTTTTTTTAGGATTGCGCATTCGATGCACCTCTGATCGACCGATCAAGAAACGGGGTAGGAAATCTATCAGGAAGGAAACTCCGCTTTCACCTACTGTTGCCTCGGTAAATTGACATGCTTTGAACTTGAATTTGGTTCTGTTGGGTTGGTCGTCTAATACCTGTTTAGGATGCACCTGATTATCCGGTGTTGGATTGTCTTCATGATCTTTCGATTTTGAAGCCTGATAAGGAACATGCACGGTAATGCCAGGATTTAAATTTGAATTCTAGCTTCTGTGATGAAGTTTGCTAATGCTTACTAGAAATTCAACTATACACCTCACACGCTACGAGGCATGTCGACTTTTAGAGCACTTTTTTACCTCGCCCAATCAGGAATTTCATGCTCTACTTATTCGAAGAGAAAGGTTGCTCAACCAGCGTGCACCACGACCGACTGAGCCAACTCTACTTCTTTCACTGCTATGTATGCTTTTCCCCTTGAAACGTTAGATATATCTGACTGATCACATAAAGGCGTTGCCTGCTTTATGCCCTCGGATGAATCATCGGCTCTCCCGGAATCGACCTCAAAAGAACGGGCCGCTTTGGGTCGGTACCTGTTTGACAAAATAACTCATTATTTCCATCCGAGAACATTGCCTGGTGCAAATCATGTTTTCGATGATGCCTTGACAGCATTCATTATGACAAGTATTTCTCCTAGTGAGCAGTCGGTGGAGTCAAGTCTGCATTATTGGCTTGCTTTCCTCAAGTTCATCGTGCAGGAATTGCAGCTGTACAAGGATTCACCTATTCTTAGCGAAGATGACAGAGAAGAAAGGAGGAGGTATGGCATCTTCTACTCTGTTTGTTGACCATAATTGCTAATTTTCTCTAGGTTATGGTGGGCGTCATATATCATTGATAGACATGTGGCACTATCATTTAACGAAAGGCCACACATACCGGACCAAGAGTGCCAGCTGCTTCCCACTCCATCCCCTGATGCAGTCTGGGCTCTGCCAGGTCCATTACTGAGGAGCCCAGAGATCAATTTTCAAGGAACTATGCTTGGCTACCGCGTCAAAAGCCTTGATATGCTGGGCATCTACCTACCCTTGTCAAAGTACGCTCAAACCAAACTGATACGTTATAAAAGCTAACATTGAAAGGATACTGGGAGAGATACTCGAACATCGTTTTCTCTGTGAACACCCGACTTTCAATAAGAACGAGAAATTCCTGGCTGAAATCAAGTCAAATATTCTCCAAAACCTTGAGCAATGGTTCAACTCTTTTATAGGACTTGCTGGACCGGATTTTTACACCATCGCAACTCCAGAGTGTACCTTACCTCCTCCACCGAATATTCCAAAGGTGGCATACTACGGCCTACACATGTACCATTGTATGTTCGTGCTTTTGCACGGGCCAATGGATATAGTCCGGATGTACAAAGATCACGCCTGGCAAGCATCTTTAGATTTCATCACAGCCGGCGAGCACGCAGTTGCATGCGCAAACGTAAGCATACCCACCAAAGACCCTTCCAGGACATTAATTGATGGCTCAACCAGGTCGCACGTTATATCCTGCAAGTCGACCCACGACTATGTCTGATGTATCGATTTTTCGGAACCTACTTCCTCCAATCATCTTTCATATTCCTAATTCTCGCCCGGAAGCTAGGTCGCCAATCAGACGAGTTGATTATGCGTAATTGTGCAATCAACCTGCAGGTTCTAGATAAGTTTGTCGCAACGACAAACATGGACTACCAACATACTTTTGCGAAATTCATCCGGCGTGCTCTATCCTATAATATGGGACAGCCTTCGTCAGAAGATGATACTCACCTTGATAACCCCTTAGCTGAATCTTTGGACCCGGAAAGTCTGCCTTATCGCTGGATACCGGGGTATAGGGGGTTACAGGTTGGTCCGATGAGTAAGGAATGAGATTGGATGATGTATGTACATATATGATTGTTTCACTAACTCAAATCCATCACTTGAATGGGCACGGTCATTGCATCCGTCGTAGCTGGAACCTAGAAAGAGTGTCCATCTCCACTCAATGCCTCCAACGTCTGCTGCGAAGAAAGAGGAAACGTGTTCAAGAACTCATATCTCACTTTTCTCTCCGACCATTTCTCATCCAGGTCAACGTCCACGACGTTTGTCGTCCTATCCGCATTGTAGTATGTCGCCCGCCCATCCGCACGACCGTCAATCGGATCAGCAATGAACCGAATCCAGTCCTCTTGGAAAGCCTCAACCATAGCTTGGTTTTTGACAACATCTGCAGGTAGTTTTTCGTCCACAGCGCGCAAGGCTTCCGCGAACGCATCGTAGATGTAGATCAAATCAACGCAATGCTGTGCTTTTTGATAATTCGGTCCTGAGAATGGGTTGCCGACGTTCACGCGGAATGATTGTGTATTGGTGGGACGCCCAACGAACTCTGTTACTGCCTCTTGTATAGTTGTTGAACAGTTCCTCAACTCGTTTCGAGCAAGGTGGACAGGTAATCCGAATTGGAGATCGGTTAAGAAGTGGTAGATTTGTTCGTGGAGGTCGGGTAGAGGCATATCGGGGCGGATACCGTATATCTCATTGAACTTCTCTCGGAATTCTGGCTGGGCGACTTTGCGTGCCAACAGGTCCTGGAACTGGGTGTAGCTTTTGATCTTGGAAACCTGGCCAGCGTGCATGGAGCCCTGGCTCGCTTTGTCAGTTCATGTTCAAACGTTTATAATGCTGGGCATTGATATTTATGCGAGATTTCAACTTACCTCGAGGTCCGTATCTCCAATGAGGATAGCAATCGGGTCAACGTCGTCTTTAGGGACTTTCGGGATCATATCTGTTTCAGGTCCGTCGAGGTGTATGTTCCACCTCCATCGCGAACCAGCATTTTCCGACATAGTCAAATCATCCAGAACAAGGGGACTAACCATCCACCCAAGCTCGTAAAATGCTTTCAGAAGCCTGTCGGGTGGTAAATTTGCCATGTACGACAGACGAGATGTTGAATCCTCAGGTGCATCCAACTGTTCGCAAAAAGCATTCCACCGTCTATCAGCCTTGTCCATGGTAATCGGGCCCAAGACGCCCACAGCACCAGACTGAATGATAGCACGGTGAACGAGTGGATCCCGTTTTCCGAAAATTGCCTGTGCAATCTGCGCATGAGACGAGCTTCCGCCGGCTGATTGTCCACCCACTGTCATCTGGTTCACGTTACCGCCAAAGGCGGCTATGTTCTCGCGAACCCATCGAATAGCCGTATGTTGGTCTGTTAGACCGAAGTTGCCGCCCTTTAGTTGGCCCTCTGGTTGGCCTTGGATGATTTCCGAAGACGCGCCGAAGCCGAACATGTTTAGTCGGTAGTTGACTGTTGCGACTATGATTGGGGTCTTTCGATCAATGGATTTTTTCACCAGGCGGGCAGGATCTTGTATTGTAAGTGACTGTTTTATGCTCTATTGTGAGGGGTTACTTACCCCACATAGGATCAGTTCCTGCGCCGAAACTGTATGCTCCGCCGTGAATATATACATAGACAGGGAGGCTTGCATCTTTACGGTCAGTTTTCGCTGCGCTCAGGGCTGATGCTTTTGGTCTTGTGATATAAAGATTCAAACAGTCGAATTCGGATTCCGCGACATCACTTGGGAAATCAAGGTGCGACTGGAAAAAATCGCTGGTGTTAGGCTCTTGGGCCTGGGGACAGCGAGGGCTGTAGGGCCTTAGTCAAAATGATATCCGAGTTGATTAAACATGGTAACTTACCCATTCTTCGTGGCATTGAATACATTCACGGGCAGCCTGTCCCGAAGCAACGCGTGCTGCCATCGGCCCGGGACAATGCCGTACGGTATCCCTCGGAACTCTTCAACGCCCTCAATCTCGGCCGCTTTACCGATAACCCGCTGTTCATAAGACGGGACGGTCTTCGTGGGAAGCACAACTTCCACCAGTTCCGGACCGACATCGGTCGGTAAAGCTAACTGTTCTTCCAAGGCAGCCATTTTTGATTTGACTCTGACAGGGACAACACCCGAGGTTAAGTGCTTGACCGGATAATTCTTTCTCTTGTGGCGGAGTCACCTGCTTAAATCCAATCCCCTAGATCAGTATATGTAAAGAGTAAGAAAGTGATTGAGGATGGAAAGTGCTATAAGCTTAAGTCCGGACAACAAACCGATGGACGATTGACCAATCAGCGCGCGTAATGGTAAACTCTAATCGGCGAAATTGCGTGTTTCGGATCGGCTAAATCCCGGGATCCAGTCTAGATTTCTCCGCAACTTAACCCCAACTTCTTGTCAAAACCCGGGGCAAACTCTCGGTTCCTTTGCCTATATAAGGTGACAGGGGCAGCCATGTTTGTGTCCTGATTTTTCTATAGGATCGGTCCTCCTATTTCCCTCGAGATGTCGTCTCAAATGTCGGTCGCGGCTAGTGCTCGTGCTGAATGGCGCGCTATTGCCATTTGCTTGTTCATTACCATTGCTGCGTTCCAGTTTGGCTTTGATTCTTCTTATTATTCTGGTATGTGCAAGGCGGTTGGAACTATCTGTGGATATGGTCTAATCCATCTATAGGTATTCTGGCTATGGAGCCGTTCATTAAGGAATATGGCCACTATGATAGTACGTCGGGTGCTTATGTGCTGAGCGCGAGTATGCAGTCTCTCACCACCAGCATCATTAACGTCGGCGAGCTTGTCGGTGCCGTCTCATCGTTCATCGTGGACGATCGCATTGGCCGTCGAGGAGGTCTATTCGTGTCCAGTGCTTTTGTGGTCGCCGGCGTGATCTTCCAAGTCGCTGCAGACGACTTGGGTCTGCTGATTGTTGGGCGTCTATTACTAGGTGAGTCTACCTGATATACCTAGGGTACAAAATGTGTCTGTGCTGACTTTTTTCTTCAGGTTACGCCGTGGGCTTGATCTCATGTTTAGTCCCCTTATACGTCGCAGACTGCTCCCCCGCCCGATTCCGTGGAGCTCTAGTATCGATATACCAATTCGACGTGGGACTTGGTCTCCTGTTTGGAGTCGTTGTTGACAACGCGACTAAAGATCGGAATGACAGCGGCGCCTACCGCATCCCAATGGCGGTGCAGCTGATCTTCCCCATCATTCTGGTCCCTGGATTGATCTTGTTTGCCCCCGAATCCCCTCGGTGGCTACTGACCAAAGGGAAAGTCGAGCAAGCGAGAAAGTCTCTTCGACGGTTGCATGGAGACCGGCCCGATTTCATTGAGAGTGAAATTCTATACATCAGCGGTCTTATTGAAGAAGAGAGGCGGACTGAGGGATCCTGGATGGACTTGTTGAAATGGAATACTGATGGTCGAAAGGCCTATCTTGGGATGGCACTGCAAGGTTTGTAAAGCTCATACTCATTCCACGTTTTTGTTGCCACAACTAACGTCGCTATAGCATGGCAACAAGCCTCGGGTATCAACTTTATCACCAGCTATGGTATAGTCTTCTTCACCGCTATTGGGATAACAAACACCTTCCTCATCCAAATGGGACTCTACCTGGTTCCAATGCCAGCAGTCTGGCTCAATCAATACTGCGTCGAGCGGTTTGGTCGTCGAGCGATGCTACTCTTATCAACTTCTGCAGTGGCCGTGGTATTATTGATCGTCGGTGGTGCCGGATCAGCAAGCGACAAGACCCTGGCCCTCGACCAGACGATCGTGGCCATGGTATACATTTTCATGATCGTCTTTAACCTCGCGCTAGGACCAGCTGTCTGGGTCGTGACGTCTGAGATCTCTACCGGTCCCAACCGTAGCAAGCTTATGGCGACTTCGACCGGCGCCAACTGGTTCTGCAGCTGGCTGGTCACATTTACCTTCCCATACCTGTTCGATGCGGATGCAGCTGGCCTCAGCGCAAAAGTCGGCTTTATCTATGGTGGCTTGATGATTGGAGCTGCTACTTGGATATTCTTCTTCTTGCCTGAGACATCTGGGCGTACCCTGGAGGAGATCCAGGTCATGTTCCAGCAGGGTATTCCGGCTCGGAAATTTAAGAGTGAGTGCCCCTCTTAGTCTTTGAGGTTATTCGATATATGGACTAACGTGTTGCAGCATACCAGGGAGTCGACTTGACAAGACAACTTGCATTGGAAGAGAAAGAAGGTGCCCATGTTACTGAGGTTGACCATGTCTAAATACCTGCTATGCTGGAAAATAATTTCGTATTCGAGGTCTCCGCCTTCGTATTAAATCTCTTCTGGCAAAGCCGTATTGGTGCTCGATCCCCTCGTCAGTTTGGCTCACTGATCAGATTACTGAACCGCTTACTGGTTTACGCTGAGTGTTGTGATTTGCTCACTGAGTGCACTCCGTACCTCACAGTATAATTACATACATGGGGTTTCCCTAGATTAGCTGGCTTGCACACCGTGGACAAAGTGGACACTTGAGACTGATGCACATCAAATAAGGTTTGGGGCCACATGCATAGTATCTGGCCACCCGACATAAGAAGACCAAGCTCTCTTGCATGACTAGTCAATCCGTTTTGAAGTAGCCAACAATCTCCATGGCCAACCACAACACAGTGCATTAGATTTTATACCGTTAATGACAATGTATCTCACGGTGACTAGAGCGATAAATTTTACATGTGGCGACAAGCTCATACATTGTCTTGCCAGATACTGTAATGCCTAGACCGACGAGAAAGAGCCAAAGAGCAATGGACGCACCTGGATTGAATCCTGCAATCCCTGGTAAATTTACTGCCCTGCAGTGGTGCATGCGCCTTACTAAGCCAGCCGCCCTGTGTAGTCTTCGATCGGAATATCCACAGCTATTCGACAAATTATAACATCAGATCGATCGGTATGGATAGCAACAGAATCCGCAGCTCAGTGTAAAAAAAAAAAAAAAGAGCGGTGAAGAATATGCACTACAATGACATACAGGAACTCCAATGTACATTCATGCATGATGATTCACACTTACGCAGGATTTTGCATCAAGTGGATAGTCTTAAGGGGTAGCTGAGCAAAAACTCAATAGTTCTGCCGATTATATGCAAGGTGAAGATCGTTTACCCAAAATATATGTGTATGTTAGCGACCTATTTATCCAAATACTTGTCCATCTCATTAAATCGAAGCATTTTAGACGGTAGTTACAGGGTCATTGTTCTCTTAGGATCAATAATCACCTTGAATCCTCGGTTTTGGAAATACTAGTGCTACTCTTTCCAAGGTTGTCCAGAGGGGCACTGACTTGGATATCTCAAGCCTTGATTTCTTCGATCTCTGAAGGTGGAGCGGTGGGGCTTCAACTTGATACGGTGTATGTATATCCGAAGGTTCTTACCTAAATTCCCATGTTTTCACCCTCTTCATACATGATCTACAATGGCCACCACTGAGTGGGTATGTGACTACAACTGAGACACGCATAAATTCATGCTCGGCGAGAGACGATACTTAGACCTGAATGGTACATTAAAACAGAATATAGAAGCACTGGCGTTGGAAATACTAATGCGCTACATCTACGGACCTACAGTAGGTGGGCACTAACTAGATATCTCTGATCGATCTCTTCGATCTCCAAGAGTGGGGCGGTGGTATGTGATCCCGAGATATTATTGGTTCATGTGTATGTACTATATCCAAGATTCTGACGTACATACTTTTCAATGGTTTTCTTTTTCCTTTCTTACAGTACTTCGTATTAATGTATATCGGCTATTATCACGAATATTAGTGGGTACGTACAGTATGGGGCTGCGATTGAGACATGCATATATCGAAAGGGATGGGGATCGCTGGTTAAAACCTGTTAATAGATGCGGCCTCTCATCATACATTCCGTGTGCAGCTAGGCAAGCCCCATTCAATGTATGAAATCCATGACGTAAAGAATTTCCAAAGTCCTATGTAGGACTCGAATTTCCCCAAGGTTTATGTATAAATACTTAAGGACCCAAATCTTCCTTATCTAGAACCCGTCTACCATTTGTTTTCACTGAATATTTCCTTACTCAATCATCACGCCTACTTCTGCAATGAAGTTTTCCAATTTTTCTTTCCCCATATTCCTGGCCTCAACTTTAGCGACCACTACCTCAGGCTTTCAGTGGAATCCATGCGGCTTAGATAGTGACATCTTCCAACCTTTGGGGGTGGCTATCTCACCAGATCCACCAAAGAGGTAAGATACTAAATCCCCCATCCAACTTGCTGCATATTGAGAAATAATTGAATCATAAAGTGGTGAGCCTGCAAACATCACCATCAAAGGCATCCTAAGCGAACCCATTGAGGATGGTAGCTCAGTGCAGATTACAGTCAAACTAGGCTTAATCAAAATCTACAATAAAAATATTGATATTTGCGGTGACTTTCTCGATGGCACCGGTATTAGTTGTCCGATACCACCTGGGGATTTGAGCATCACGAAGACCTACAATCTGGAATTTCCACCGGTACGTAATGGTAGCTCATGGTGGTAAATGAATGAATGACTAACTGGAACATCACAGGCGAAATTGACAACCCATGTTGAAGCGTACAATGCTGACGACGCGGATATTTCGTGCTTGGATCTCAAGCTTGAGAAAGCAGGGCGCTTTGATTTGAGAAGTAACGAAGAAAGCTGAATACTTTACATTACTACTATCTAATAGTATCTTTGCACTACTATTCATCCGTGAATAGGAATAAGAATAAGAATAAGAATATTACAATTGTTAGTGCCACTCAGGAGGGCGAAAAGGCAATAAGAATAAGAAAATGAGAAATTGCTTTTCATGAACATTTACTACATTAGCGTCATTTTCTGAGTTTCAAGACCCAAGTGTGAGATCTACCGGTAGTATCTTGGTGGCTGGGGCCGAATGCTTACGGGTCAATGAGGGAGAACTTGTTCGTCAGATGTCAGGGTTGCCTGTAAATTTATACCACAATCTCAGACTCCTCTCTAAATTTCTTTCCGCTCGTTCATTGGTACCCGACCTTCCAATACAAGTATTAGCCGATACGAATGAGCAAAGACCTGGCCCTTTTTACTGCTCAGATAAACCAAGAGTAGGTTATCTGGGATCTCAGCCTATTGTACTATTCAATCTATTCTTCTCGCTCGCACCACGTTTCCTGTGGAAAAGAGATGAAAGTGCGTATAAGCATCGGAGCTAGCCTATAAGCCGGAAAGGGGGACAAACATGATACTTCGCGACAAAGCGATAATAGGTCTGTCGGTGTTGTCTGGGTATCACACAGCGATGGACGTTGAAGCCACCACAAGTGTCCATAGCGATAGTACTGGGGAGCACCTCCATTAAAATGACACCATATCAATCTCGCTGACTTCATACGCAGACATTTGAGGCACTGGTGGGTCGCATCGTTCCTTGATGTATTGCATTGTTGCGACTTCGATTTCAAGCCTGGCCCTGCTGACAAGGGAGGAGCCTCTCCCAATATCGACCCGGGCTGCCCAGCGAGTATTGTCGGAAAATTCAAGCAGCCGAGAGAAATGTTGCTGAGCCCGTTCGCGACCTGGTTCAAGGCTATATATAATCCAGATAATTTGCGAGCCCCGAAGCAATCTGATACACCTCATCTCATTGAATTTGATCGAAGGAATCGGTGATTTGGCTGTAGGTGTTACTACCTTGTAGGAATCTTCTTTGACAGTATACAAAGGGCCTGAATTGGTAGGTAAGATGACGAATAGTCAAATCTAGGACTTGCAATAGACCGTAGGTAGGTACGAGAATGTGTTGTGCTGAAGCGGAGTAAGAGTGTTTGAAGATGGGGAAGGCCTTTTTAGAGGAATTGATAGATCGACAGAAAAAAACATAAAGGAATGATGATAGCAGTTGGGAAGATAACCAGCGATGCGACTCATTGGGCTGGTACACACTATATGAAACGGAGGGACGTGTGCCAGCGAGAGAGTGCTAGGATGAATTCAAAGGACCAAACAAAGTTTTGGAAGACCAGGTCAAGAACCAGCCCACCAAGCTAGTTTACACAGGACAAAGCGGTCGCTACAATAGGCAATCATCTGGATGAGGCTGATCGTCGAGATTCAATTACTACCCCACTCCGCATTTAGCTATTTCAGGCAAGATAACCATCTTACGGGAAAGCCAGCTTCCTTGTAGCCATTGTCACTTCCAGAACATACCTACCCGCAGTGTTCCAAGCCAGAACATCGTCCCAGCTTACAAGATTGCAGTCGCATTAGCATGCGACCCAACGCCACCTGCAAGCCACATCACATTAGTACAACCTAAACAATCACCCAACACCCAGTGTATACATACCAGGCATATTCGCAGGAGCACTAGTCATAAAGAAAGTCCACTTCCCCATCTCCCGACACCTCACCGCAAGCTTCTCCAAATCCCACATCTCACCAAGAGGACACCCCCAAAGCGCTAACAAACTCTCATGCAAATACTCCTGCTCAGGAACAGGCCATGCCTCAAACGTAGGTGAATCACCCATAACGGCCGCGAAATAGCAATCATGCAACCAAGTCTTCATTGCAGGTTCACGAGATACACCTGCAAAGCTGATATCATCGTGGGACCGTGATGCCGCGGCAAGGCGCACTTCTGGGCTCAGCTCGTGGTAACGCTCTACAAAGCCGGAGCGGATGAGGAGGAGGTCGCCAATGCGGATGTCGCCGCCTTGGGATTCTGGGCGGAGATCTAGGTTTTGAAACTTTGCGCAGGCTGTCAGTTCCGAGAGTGTTATTGCGTGGGTCGTGTAGGGGTCGTAAGGTTTGTTGTGGGTCTGGGCATAGTGGCGGTAGTCGAGGAGAATTCCGCGGCCGGCTATGCCGTGGTTTGCCCAGTGGTCGATGCTGCAATTGTGGTTGGCGTTTGGGCCTACTATGTCTTTGCCGGTTGTCTGTGGAGTTGTTAGATTGGCACGATTTGTTTAAATAAGTCGGGTGGGTAGTACTCTATTGTAGAATGTCTTTGTGGGGATGTGGGCGAACTGGGCAACGTTAGTGAGATTCAATACAAGGTTGCTTGAAGACTAACGTGTCGGAATCCATCCCACTGTGTGCCACTCTGAGTGTTGAGAGTGTATGTGTCGTCATAGACGATATCTTCGACAACAGTCTTGATGTTATGGTTGAACGTCTCACGATCAAATGCAGGTTTCTCTGGGACATTAAGAGGAAGACTATCAACGATTTAGCAAATGCCCTGAAGAATCCCGGGTATATGGAATACTTACTCCAGTCGAATCATCTCCCCGGTTGTAATCTCCTTAGCCGAAGCCATAACCCGTTCCTTTGTCAGGAGATTCAATCTTCCCAACTATTCCAACCTGTCAGTTCAACCCAGGCAATCCTTGAAAATAAAATTCCTACCTGATCATCATCTCCCCAAACCCAAGCCGCTCCTTCCGGTGCATTTGGTAGCTTCGGGAGCTCTTCCAGCAAAGGAAACCGAGTACAATTAGGATCCCAAGGCAACTGATTCGGATCCTGAATCTTCGCAGACATTTTCACACTTTCACGGGCACTGGGAGATTCTTCGCGAGCTCTGTTCTTGTCAAGGTGATTGGAGATAGAGGAGAGTCGAGCAGAGGGATTAGGAGACACCATTTTGCAATCCGGACCGGAGGAGGTACGAACTCAAAATTGGTGCTACCAATTGCACAATTGTGGATGATTATATGGTTCCTTGGAATGAAGTGGAGAGAAGGCGGGGTGCGGGGAGATAATGAGTTTTACTACCGAAGATACCGATGTTATTCGGGTTTTGACCGAGGCTCGAATGTTATGATGTCTGGATCCAATCTACGTACACCGTTTAACCTTTCATAACGACAGATTTCGAGGGACATTGGAGCCCGGAACATGTTCTATATAGCAGCTATACTTCCACAAAGCTCTGAGTATTTCTTTGGGAAATATTAATTCGTTTTCTATTGAAGTGATCTATTCTTTCGCGGAAAACAGTGCCGAGGCGGGGAAAGCTTCTCCGCATGGACCCCGGGTTTCTGTACGACTATAGGGATATTGCGTTGGAGCTTGATAAATTTACTGAGATTGTCATGCAGCTTTAATCCTGTTTAGACCAAATGGCCCTCTTTTTTCCTTTTTTCATTCATCATCGGAGTGGTCTCCGAATTTGTTATTGTACATGCGCTTTAGGTCATAGACCTGGAAACCATGCTTAGCGCCGAGTGGCTGCATGTAGACCTCCGCGCGTCTTCGGTAGCGCAACGGGGTAAGATATCCGCTCAAACAAGGATATCAGAAAAAACGCTGTATAGGGTATGCTTGGAGTGAAGTTGGAAAAAAAATAGAAAAAAAAAAAAAAAAAAAAAAAGCAAAAGTCAAGAGAAATTGCGGCGCAATATTGAACACCATATTCCCTTACAAAAAACACATAACGCATTGCCGTCCCAGGATGCCCTATCCATGATTCATTCCTAGTGCGCCAAAAGAGATAAAAAATTCAAAGCGTAAATATTCGTTTCGTTCATAGGTCTGGCCATGCCAAGACACAAGGGAGAACAGACAAGGCACGGACGGAAAAGTCGAGTGGCATGCAGTGGCTAAATTTAGCCCAAGGAGGGAACACCAGTGGACTGAGACGAGGGGCGACCACCACCACGGCCACGACCACCGTAGCCACGGTTGCCATAGCCACGGCTATAACCGCGACCACGACCGTATCCTCGGCCGCGGCCACGACCACGGTAGCCGTCAACACTGCCTTGGCCAAAGGTCTCGATGTTCCGCTTCTCCTCTTCACCGCGCCATTCGCGGCCACCAGGACGGGTAGAAGAGTTGTCCTCGCGGTCGCGTGCTTCACTAGAAATATTGTCGAAGAAAGACGATGTGCGGTTGTAAAGCGAGGCCGTGGAGCCGGCAGCAGGATCACTCTCACCAACATCTTCAGGTCCAATGCTTGCATGTGCATGAGACTCGGCCTCAGCAGCAGGAGCTCCAGTGGCGATGGCTTCCTTCACCATATCTTGCTTGTTGAACTTGGCATTTGCAGTCTCAAAGTCGTAATCCGACTCGGGGACCTCGATCTTCTTGTGCTGAGCACGAGGAGCTCCTCCACGTCCGCCGCGAGGGTGCTGGTGTCCACCGCGGGGAGCGCGGGTTCCATCATACGGCCGCATGTCATTCATTTTGCGAACAAGTCCGTCAACAGCGCCATCGGATTGTCCAGGCTTCTTCTGTACGCCTGGCTGAGGCAGCTTGGCCATCGCGGCAGCAACGGCGGCAGTAGCAGCGGCAGTAGCATCCGTGATGGAAGTATTTCCCTGAACACCGACGGGGGCGCCGGGGATGGCAGGCTTAGGGACAGCCATGGGAATGGCCGGCACGACCCGACCGTTCTTCTGGGTGCCGACTGGCATAGCAGTAGGGCCGGTCATTCCATGGACAGCTTCGGCTACGGAAGGCTTGGACTCCACTGGAGGAGTCGGGGCCTGCGCAGCAGCAGGAGTGGCAGGTTTGTTGGTGACCTTGTCACCAACAGGGAGTTCGGAGGTAGCCTGAGGAGGGGGCATCCCAGGGGGACCAGGACGCTGCTGGGGTGGCATCTGTTGACCGGGAGGACCCATCGGCATATTGGGAGGGAATTGACCAGGTCCCTGAGGGAAGCCACCGGGAGGAGGGTACCATCCAGGAGGAGCACCGTAAGGTGGGAAACCAGGAGCAGGGATACCATTAGGGCCGGGAGGGAACCTGGGATCAAAGTGTTGTCCATAAGGTCCCGGTGGGTATGGTCCAGACGGATACGAGGGATACTGAGGTGTTGGCCGAGCACCTTGTGGCTGTTGGGGGGTTCCTTGAGGAAGGCCAGGGGCAGGTCCAGACTCAGGACCCGACATAGGACCCGGTCGCGACATGTTCTAATTTGCAATGAGTCAGCATATTGAATCATGACAGAAAGCAATTGAATATAACCAAAATGGGAATATTGATCGATCAGAAGGAAGGCAACGGAAAATAGCAACATGGTTTTGCGCATTCAGAACAAGTATGTGTTTACATCCGAAAATACTTCATCATAAGATCAAGTGGCCGACCGGGAGGTGCAAGGCCAGGGTTGGGACAAGATAAAAGGAATCGCGGGTCACTTACTCCTAGAATTGCGGGGTCATCGGGGACACGAGGAGGATCAGGCTGTGTAGTCTCCTTCTCCTCTTCCGCGATGCTAATGTCTTTCACGTCACTGCCTCGGAAGACGATGTATTCGTAGACGTTGGTGGACGGTGGAAGGTCAGTCCCGTCCCCTCGGCGGCCCTCAGTACCATGGGACATGACATTTTCCAAGGCGATTGTGGATGCCTCTGGGTTAATTTCGTGGAGTGTGCCAACATAGCTTACATTCAATTAGCTAAGAACAGCAATGAGAAGGTGATTGAGCTTACCGAATGTCACTCTTAGAGATCAGGTTGAAACGCTGACTGCCAGGTGTTAACTCCAGCCCAGCCGCACAAACCCTGGTTCCCAGGAGGTGCAGATGACTGACCCTATTAAGTGGTTCATATCCATCTTGTTGGGGAGAGCGCGGACTCGCGCAATCGATGAGCGAGGGAAAACAGGAGAGAAAAAGAAGAAAGAACGTGGAAGGAGAAGAAGGGGGAGTGGGTAGGATGAGAAGAGAAGAGAAAGAGAAAGAAGTCTTGGAGCAGATTCTGTCGGGTTTTGGTGGATTCGATTACGGTGGACTGCAGGAGCTCGGATAGCAGTTCTTGGTTGTGCGCCAGAACTTGTGTGGGTCGCTTTATGTGAGAGATCCAACTTTATCCCCCTTTTTTGTACGGTAAAGGAATTAAGGCAAAGATGACAACCTCATCCCACAGAGATCACTTCTTCCAGACCTCGTGAGTTAATTCCTTGTGGTAAGGAGGTTGGGAATGGCCTGGCTAATTCCCCTATAGGGCTTCCTTGGATGACCAGCAGAGGAAAGACGCCAAGTCTCAGAATTCCAATGGAAACCCTATTCGGCTACAGAGCAAGATTCTTGCCATTCATCCTGATCCGAGCAATTTGAACTCGATTTATGTTGCGCAAAGTAGTGGCGTTGTTAGAAGAGTAGTGCTCGAGGTAAGCTATATACCCCGCTCTTATATGATCAATTAATTCTAAGAACCATTGCAGACAGGTGAAACAGCTGCATTGTACAAAGGTCCCACAGCTCCTTTGACAAGTCTCTGCCTGAGTCCAGATGGAAAGCTGTTGTTTGCTGGATGCTGGGACAAGACCGTTTGGAGTTGGGATGTTGCCTCAGCCCAGCCTCGGCAAAGGTACGAAGGTCACGCGGACTTTGTCCGAGCAGTGATGAGTGCTCGACTACGTGGAGAGGATCTCCTTATTACGGGCGGCGCTGATGCACAGGTGTTGGTCTTCAATATCGCCAGCGGCCAACGCACTGAGACATTCAAGGGCCATGCCCGGGGTATTCAGGATCTGATTCTTGACCCAGAAGTAGAGGAATCGGAGGCTTTGGTCTTTAGTGCTGGAAGTGATCGGGAAATCCGCCAGTTCAAGATCTTTGGCGGAGGCGATTCCGCCGAAGCACTCCTTCCACACGAGACCAGCGTGTACAAGCTTTTCTTCGACCAGGACGGTGATCTTTGGACCGTGTCTGCCGATAAGACCGCCAAATGCTTGGTTCGAGCTGATGGATGGAAGCCCAATCTTACTTTAGAGCACCCCGACTTTGTGCGAGACATTGTTGTCCACGAGGACGGCGGTTGGGTGGTCACGGCCTGTCGCGATGAAGAAGTGCGAGTGTGGAACCGATCGGTATGTTTATTTCCCTATTGATCTGGAAAGACAACAATTCTAATTGTCGCAGACTGGAGAGCTTCATCACGTGTTTTCTGGTCACTTTGAAGAGGTTACTGGGCTAGTCCTAGTGGGATCCACAGCGGTTAGCGCGGGTATTGATGGCACCATTCGACAATGGTCTCTTCGTCCAGATGAACTTCAAAAGGCTGTGGAATTAGCCAAAAAGGGCCCTGTGATAGCAGAGCCTGAGCCCAGCACCGAGTCCATGCTCACAGAAGAGGAGGAGCGAGAGTTGGCTGAGCTGATGGAAGATGATTAGATTTACCCACGATACCCCAGACTCCATAGAAATGGGTCTCCCCAATAAGAGAGTTACAGAAACGAATTGTGTTCCTGCATTAACCTTTTCCTTCTAAAGGATAAGAAAATACATTGAATCAACGAACTGATGCAATCACATTCACCTCGGGCACGTGACATTCCTGATGCATCCATGACGCACAGGGACGATCTCCCGTTTGCCCGCCTTGCCAGTCGTTACCCCCACTTCCACTTGTACGCCCCCTGTTCTGTGACACCCCGGTTCGCTAAGCTGCTCTGGTCACACCCGCGGGGTAGCATTCAACCCTGATCCATTGCCGGATTCCGTTAGTACTCCCGACTCAGCTCCGATACACCTTATCACGGATCCCCGCACCGCAAGTATCAGAACCCATCAAGATGGCAACGTCCGGCATGCAGTCGCTCCACGACATGGCAGAAACAAGTCCTAAGCTGGTCAACAGGCTTCAGAACAGCAGGTCTCCCTATGTAAGTCCCGTCGGCCTCGCTCGGAGCCAAGAGACCCACGTATACTAACCCCGCTGCAGGTGAGGGGGCACATGAATAACCCGGTGGCATGGCAGCTGTGGGATGCGGAAGCGATTAATCTTGCGAAAAAAAACAACCGCTTGATATTCCTGAGCATTGGATACTCGGCTTGTCACTGTACGTTGGAAATAAACCCCACGTGGCCGTCTTCTAATAATCTCTAGGGTGTCATGTCATGGAGAAGGAGTCCTTCATGTCCTCGGAGGTGGCTGCTATATTAAACGAGTCATTCGTTCCCATCAAAGTCGACCGTGAAGAGCGACCGGATATTGACGATATATACATGAACTACGTCCAGGCTACCACAGGCTCCGGTGGTTGGCCTCTAAACGTCTTTCTCACCCCAGACCTGGAGCCTGTCTTTGGAGGCACTTACTGGTCTGGTCCGAACTCAACTACTATGCAAGGCCCAGAAACTATTGGATTTGTCGAAATTTTGGAAAAGCTGCGAGACGTCTGGGCGACACAGCAGCAGCGTTGCCTGGAGAGCGCAAAGGACATTACAGCACAGTTGCGAGAGTTTGCCGAGGAAGGCACTCATTCTACGCATACGGATCGGGAAACAGACGAAGACCTCGACCTGGAGCTTCTGGAAGAGGCTTATCAGCATTTTGCCTCTCGATACGACTCCATCAACGGAGGGTTCGGTCGAGCACCCAAATTCCCCACGCCAGCCAACCTTAGCTTCCTTCTGCGGCTGGGCACATACCCCAGTCAGGTTATAGATATGGTAGGGCAAGATGAGTGTGAGAAGGCGACAGCTATGGCCGTCACGACGCTGGTGAACATGGCTCGCGGTGGTATTCGGGATCACATTGGCCATGGCTTCTCTCGGTATAGTGTCACAACCAATTGGAGCCTCCCTCATTTTGAGAAGATGCTGTATGACCAAGCGCAGCTGCTGGATGTCTATGTGGATGCGTTTCGATTGACCACCGACCCTGAATTGCTTGGTACTGTATATGACCTTGCCACTTACTTGACGACTGCTCCATTGCAATCACCCACCGGCGGCTTCTTTTCTTCTGAGGATGCCGATAGCTTCCCCAATCCGAATGATACCGAGAAGCGAGAAGGTGCCTTTTACGTTTGGTCCTTGAAGGAACTCACTCAGGTGCTTGGTACCCGGGATGCTCCGGTGTGCGCTCGTCACTGGGGTGTGCTTCCAGACGGAAACGTTGCAGCCGAGTACGATCCTCACGATGAGTTCATGAACCAGAATGTGTTGCAAGTCCGAGCCACGCCGAGCAAGCTTGCTAAAGACTTTGGACTGAGTGAGGAAGAAGTGGTGAGAATAATCAAGGGTGGAAAGCAAAAGCTGCGTGACTACCGCGAGAAAACCCGGGGTCGACCTGACCTGGATGATAAGATTATCGTGGGCTGGAATGGACTGGCGATTGGTGCACTGGCAAAGTGCAGTGTCTTGTTCGAGGAGATCGAGAGCTCAAAGGCGATTCAGTGCCATGATGCCGCAGCCCGGGCGATCCACTTCATTAAGGAGAATCTTTTTGACAAGGCAACTGGGAAGTTGTGGCGCATCTACCGCGATGGCAGTCGTGGAGATACTCCAGGTTTTGCTGACGACTATGCATACTTGATCAGTGGCTTACTGGACATGTACGAAGCTACCTTTGATGATAGCTTTCTGCAATTTGCGGAACGACTGCAGAGTAAGCTTTTCCTTCGGACATCTTTCTCCTGACTTATGACTGACATGAATACTAGAGTATCTGAACGATAACTTCCTTGCTTTGAATGGTTCGACGCCGGCTGGTTATTATAATACGCCATCCGCCATGACTCCTGGCATGCCCGGCCCGCTCCTTCGGTTGAAGACAGGTACTGAATCTGCCACACCCTCTGTCAATGCCGTCATTTCGCGGAACCTGTTGCGATTGGCAGCTCTCCTTGACGACCCTGAGTATCGGACTCTGGCACGACAAACATTGAATTCATTTGCAGTCGAGATTATGCAACACCCCTTCCTGTTTGTTGGGATGTTAGACGTTATCGTGGGGTTACAAACTGGTACGCGTGCTATCACTGGAGTCTTTGCTACAGTCGAAATCCCCTCACCGCCGGGTTCGCGTGAAAAAAGCCAAAATGATCCGCCCGGGGCGGCATACGATCTGCTTAAGAAAAAGCTCCGAAAGGAGACTGGTAGCCGCGTATCGTCCACGGTCGCAGTAGCCTCACTGGTAGACATCCGGCCCTCGCACCTTAAGGATTTTGTGGGTAATCAATCCTTCTGGTTGAAATCGCGCAACCCCTTGTACAAAGACTTGAAGGCTGCCGACCCAGCGAAGAACTATCTGCTAGCGTGCGAAGCCGGGTCATGCCGAAAAGTGGATCTTTGATAGGCCCCTTTATTTTGTTTAATCGTTATAAATTCCAAGATTGGGGCGGTATATGATTTTCTATGGCGTTCGTACGGAGTACGGAGTACAAATCTCCCCCTTGGTTCGAGACCTGTTCCGGGTGCCTGCATGGTACGTTGGATCTGAGACTGGCGCCACCGGGGTTCAAAGAGATGATGATGAGATCCACCTATATAGTCTAGATTTTTCCTTTGATGAAATTCAGGGAGTTTAATTTTTTTTTCATCTACCTCAAGTCCTTGTAATTTGACACATCCCATATTGCGGGTGTCCCATTTCCGTCCCAAGGCCGTCAACTCCGAGACTGGCATCAATTGGCACAATTATGATCGGATCTATGCCCGAATTTCTGCAAGCGAAAAGGCTTGACTTTGACGATCGGCAGTGATGTGGACTGAACTAAATGATGGGGCTTCCCTGTTTTGCCACTGTGTTTACCCGAGCTCTATGTTGTACTCTCCAGCCTACGGAGTACACATTTACGAGCCTGAAGTGATGCGGTGACAGTGTTGCACAACTGGGGAGCAAAATCTGACTGATTCGAGATGACGGCAGCATAATTAAAAGGCTGAAACACGGTACATTAATGGCGTCTCCGATTTAATCAATCCCAGATCACAACCGTGCAGAGTGGCGTTCCCGAATGGACCAGACCCGAAGCCAAGTCTCTTAGCGTATGCGTCGTTGAGGTGGATAATCTCCCGGGCGCCACCGTGATTGGTGCTCAGAGATCATCACTTGAAACTCGTGCCTGGATCCTGAAGCCCCTTAAAGTTATGTGGGCGTATACCTGCCGCCATCCCCATCCTTGGATACCACGGGATAAACAATCCGAAACCGAGAATCTTGATCTGCTGTCAATTTCAGTGGTGAAACCGGCACTTCTTTTGGGCATGAGTAAATCGTAAATCATCGATCCCTGTACGCGCGGCAAGTGTTTAGCGTGTCCCCTAAAGAGCGCCATTGTGGGGTGGGATTGAAGATCCGCCCACAGGATCATTTCAGGGCCACTTTGGAGCCAGGGTATTCCTGTTGTTCAGTAATCTAGAGTCGTATCTCTCTACTGTAAATCGGAGAATAATTGCCACGATTTTCGCGTTGTTCCATAGCCCAGCCTCTCAGCACGGGCCAGCCCCGAATCGTTTCGGAGACGCGTTGGAATGTGAGAATGTCCCACGCCTGCGAGTGGCGGGTTCTGGTATGAGCCAGGCAGTTTCTCGTGAGGTTGGAAAGAACAATGAGAAGCAATAAGTACTGATTGACAAGACGTTGGGTGAACTTTCTTTTTTCTCCATAACAAGCTTGATATCAAGACGAAAGTGCAATTTCCCCCAAATCAATTAAACGTAATTTGCCCTGAAATCGCACGGCCCCACTTCGTTCCACCGTTGCCTCCTCCCCTTTCTACATTTACTTCACTTTCCCACCTTCTTCCCCAAAAGCTATCGCTCTTCATTCCAACTCCCCAGCTCGGGTTCACTTATTTCTTCCTCTCACTCCTTTGAAGGAAAATAAGTGTTCGGGCCTGTCATTCCTTTATCAGCGCTCAAACAATTCACTCTTTCTTTCCACGCAGTCGATCTGCGTGTTGACCCTCGATCTACAAAACCCTCGCAAACCTTCCTGGGGAAGTGTTAGAACATTGATTATTGATCACCATGCGTTCTACTTTGTTGCTTGCAGCTTTTGCTGCTAGCTGTGTTAGCGCCCTTGAGAAGCGTGTCTACGTGACTGACTGGACCACCGTTACTGTCACCGAGACTATTACTGCGCCCACCGTTACCGAGACTGTTCCCGCTGTTGAGAGGGTACCGGTTGTGATTACGACCTCGACCTCTGTGGCTGATGTCGAAGCCAACACCGACCTGTTCAAGAAATCCACTGTTCCCCCCGAGTCTGCGACTTCCACGGCGGCTGTGGCTCCTGAATCGACTGAAGTTGCTTCCACCAAGGCCGCTGCCACCGAGGCTGCTGTTGCTGAAGCTGCTCCCACTGAGGCTGCCTCGACTTCTTACTGGTCCACCGCCTGGACCTCGACTATGGAGGCTTCCTCTTCCGCACCTTCTTCGACTCTGGCTACTTCAACCTCTACCTCCAGCGCCTCCAGCGCTACCGCCTCGGCCACCAACGCCTACCAGCAGGCCGTTCTCTACAACCACAACATTCACCGCAGCAACCACTCCGTCTCCTCGCTTGAGTGGTCTGCCGATCTTGAATCTAGCGCCCAGACCCTTGCCGCTCGCTGTACATATGAGCACGATACGTAAGTACCCTGTTTTGCATCAAGCCGATCATCTTGAAACTTTAAACTAACCCCTTCTCCCTTGCAGTTCCATTGATGGCGGCGGTTACGGTCAGAACATCGGTTACGGTGTTGAGGCCAGTGAGGTCGGTATTATGATCACCAACCTGATGTACAACGATGAGATCGAGTTCTTCCCCACCCCTTACGGTGAATCCGACCCTAGCATGTCCGACTTCGACAAGTGGGGTCACTTCAGTCAGATCGTCTGGAAGGCGACCACCCACGTTGGCTGTGCCACTGTGGTCTGCGATCCCTTGGGCAATGTTGACTCCTCCGAAGCCCTGCCATTCACCGTCTGCAACTACTCCCCGGTGGGTAACGTTGGTGGTGAATATGGTGATAACGTGCTGAAGCCTGATGGCGGTGCTACCTACACTGCCTAAGCATGTCTGCGTACCTTCTGCATCGGAGAACCCTACCCTTTACATGAGGTCAGCTTGCATTGATCGCGAGTTCCCTCTCCCTTGAACATTTACCTCTCTCTCTCCGACAACGTTTGTTGCATTCGCTTTTTGCATTTTGAATTATTACTATTTTTCTCTTATCTTCGATTCTTGATATTCTGCATGTCCTACCCGGTGTGATCTCGCCCGGGAACTTCGGGAACTGATCGGCATCGGGTACCTATCTTCAGGGAAACGTCCCTGAGGAGGTTGTATGTACTGTGAAGGTACCTGATGTCATGTCTCTCTCGGCAGAAAGACATGTGGAATCCTTTTACCAATTGTGAATATTCCTTTTATGGACTTGGTGTCTCCTAGCGATTTTGTGTGCCCATTTGTGGATAGAAAAACATGGCCAATGTGAATGTACAATGTGAGATGAACTCGGATCACGTGCCTTTAGTTATACAATACAAACAATACAAACATCCCAAATCCACTAAAGCTTCGAAGCTCCATTCACCCGAGACGTCATCGTAATCAGTCCCTCCACTCTCCACTCATCCCGCACTCGGGATTGGCTTGGAACCCGGAATCACTGATGCTATTTAGTGTGTAATCTATTCTGGAGTTCCTTTAACGCTAATCTAGGGTCTTGCGCCTTGTACTCCGTACAGTAGCTCCCCCGCTAGCTCAACCCCACGTTTCGTTTCGTCAAATTAAACAACCTTGAAGGGATCCTGGTACCTGACTGGCCTGACTGGACTGGTAAGTGTCAGTGTCTCGTTCTCCAGATTTGACTATGAATCATGGGGACCTTGATTTTCCTGTGATACCTTGACGCTCCCTCCCGTGCAGGTGAACCGCCAAGCTAAAATAGCTTACTGAGCTGAAATCATCTGACAGCATCCGTTCCTCCGGCGCTATCACTGCATCTTGGGCGCCCCTGTGTAGCCCCCCAAACTCCACATCCCGCACTTGATCAATAACCTAGTACTGTAAGTCTAGTCCCTTTGTCCGCTCCCTTCAACCCGAACCCGTGTCCACCGAAAAAAGCCGCCCAATTCCTTAGTGGGGTCCGAGGTGTCTTGTATGGTTTACTACTTCGTTGTATATAACATGTGCTTCGGGCCCCCAAGGCCATCATTTGACCTTCTCTGTTATTTTCTCCTTCTCTTTACTTCCTTTCTTCTCCCATTTCTACCCTACAAGTGAGGTAGCCTCAATGCCATCATATTGCCTTCAAGATTGCCACTACTTCTACCGCACCGCTCTACGCCTCCTCTCTCTGCCAACTTACCTTTCCTGCCGCTACGCCTGATCGAATTAATTTCACATCACTAACATGTCTTATTCGAACGTGGCAGTTCGCTTTTTTACTGCGCCAAAACCACTCGGTAGTGCGATGGATCCTGACGCTAAACAGTCAGATCTGTCGGGACATACGGTCATGAGACCGAATGTCTCGGCTGATCAGCCTGAATCCAAGGCTGTGGAGACACATACCCCGAAGCCACAGGGCTTGACGTTTGCTAATCAAGATTCATTGCCGAAACTTCCTATCCCTGACTTGGAGGATACGTGCCGCCGGCATTTGGAGGCTCTTGTTGCTTTGCAAACTCCAAGGGAACATGAGGAAACCAAGGCGGCCGTCAGAGACTTCCTGAAGACTGATGGACCTGTCCTTCAAGAAAAGTTGAAAAACTATGCTTCTTCGAAAACCAGCTTTATTGAGCAGTTCTGTAAGTTTTCATTCGTGGGGTTAGAAAGAAGGAAGACTGAACTCTAAAAGGGTATGACTCGTACTTGAATTTCGATAGCTGTAGGCTGCCCATACCTATATGATATTCGAACATGACTGACCTTGGATAGCTGTCGTCTTGAATCTTAACCCGTTCTTCCTGTTGGAGGATGATCCGACACCTGCTCGCAATAACCAAGTTACTCGCGCTGCGTCCTTGGTTGTTTCATCTCTGGCTTTTGTGCGTGCTGTCCGAAAAGAAGAGCTTCCACCTGACACTGTGCGGGGGACACCCCTGTGTATGTATCAATACTCTCGACTCTTCGGAACAGCCCGCCTTCCCACCGATAATGGCTGCGTCATCAGTCAAGATCCAGCGGCAAAACATGTCGTCGTCCTGTGTCGAGGCCAGTTCTATTGGTTTGATGTCCTGGATGACAACAGCGATCTCATTATGACTGAACGTGACATTGCGCTCAATTTGCATGTCATCGTGGATGACGCAGCCCAGACACCGGTTCAAGAAGCTGCTAAAGGCGCCTTGGGTGTTCTTAGTACAGAGAACCGAAAAGTCTGGTCAGGTCTACGGGACATAATGACCAAGGATCCTTCTTCGAATAATGCCGAGTGCCTCAATATCGTTGACACCGCGTTATTCGTGCTCTGTCTCGATGACACCGAACCTTCAAACACCGGAGAGCTTTGCGCAAACATGCTGTGCGGTACTAGCGAGGTCATCAAGGGCGTACAAGTAGGCACTTGCACAAACCGATGGTATGACAAATTGCAGATCATCGTCTGCAAGAACGGAAGCGCTGGTATCAATTTTGAGCATACAGGCGTCGATGGACACACAGTCTTGCGATTCGCCAGCGATGTCTACACCGACACGATCCTTCGTTTCGCAAAGACAATCAACGGTCAAGCCCCAAGTCTCTGGACAACATCTAGCCCCGACCCAGCCAAGCGTGACCCCCGCAGCTTCGGAAACGTCTCTACAACCCCACGCAAGTTGGAATGGGACATGGCCCCCGAGCTCAGCATCGCCCTCCGTTTCGCCGAATCCCACCTCTCAGACCTCCTCCACCAACATGAGTTCCAAGTCCTCGACTTCGAGGGCTTCGGCAAGAACTTCATCACATCCATGGGCTTCTCCCCAGACGCCTTCGTACAAATGGCTTTCCAGGCAGCCTACTACGGTCTCTACGGCCGCGTCGAGAATACCTACGAACCAGCAATGACGAAAGTCTTCCTCCATGGCCGTACAGAAGCGGTCCGCACCGTAACACCCGAATGTCTAGACTTCGTCCGCACATTCTGGGGTGATAATCCTGCCGAGAAAAAGATCGATGCCCTCCGCACAGCGACTCAGCGCCACACAGCTATCACAAAAGACTGCTCAAAGGGCGAAGGACAAGACCGCCACTTATACGCATTGTACTGTCTCTGGCAACGCTCCTTCGACGACGGCCTCTTCCACGATAACAGTTCCGTCGAATACTCCAGTCCAAGCGAAAGCCTCGATTCACCCAAACTTTCTGCCGTCTCAGACGACGGTTTGCCTTCCCCCGCCAGCGGTAGTAGCCGCGGCTACAGATCCGCTTCCCCACCCACCACACCAGCGATCTTCAGCGATGCAGGCTGGGACAAGATAAACAATACCATTCTTTCAACCTCGAACTGTGGAAACCCTTGTCTGCGCCATTTCGGTTTCGGTCCCACATCCGCCGACGGATTTGGAATTGGCTACATCATCAAAGATGAAACTATTTCCTTCTGTGCGTCTTCGAAACACAGACAAACAGCTCGCCTAATGCAGACGCTCGAGTCATACCTATTTGAGATCCGAAAACTTCTCCGTACTGCGAACCGCAAAACGACCAGCCCTCGGACAAGCCGTGCCCGTGAGACAGAGGCATTAGCCGAGCGGTTCCACGCCGAATCCCAGCGCCGAGGTAGAATAGTCTATGGTGATAACCGTGGTGCTGAGACGCCTGCTACGACCACTGACAGTGCTGAGATAGATGATGATGGAATGGGTGGATGTGAGTATACCACTTTTAATTGATGCTGTTGGATACCAAACTGACTTTATTCTAGATGGGTTCTTCGATGCTGGAATGCTGCTTCATGCGCTTAAAGGTGTGAGTGCTGAGCGGGATCAGAGGTTTGCGCCTGAGAAGAGGAGGTTCGTTGGAAAGAAGTTGCATCTTAACGAGTATTGAGTTTGATTTGGAGTGAGCATTTTTGGCTGACTGGTATATTTGAAATATACTCCGTTTATGAATGATGCTATTTCTAACGATAATTATGCGTATACTTGACTCATAATCTGAGCCTGGTGTAAACTTTTCTCTTGTACATCCTTATCCTTATTTTGGCTGACTGCAAATACTGGACCTACTTAGCGTATCCTTAATCCTGTACCCAGTACTATCTTGTACTGACAGTTCAGGAAATGATGGCAGTGTAAACACCCCAAGCGTAGTCATAGAGATACTATATACACCACTCCCGAGGTGGAAAAAAAGGCTTCTAGGGCAATAAAACTTCTATTATCGCCTCGGACTTGGGTACCCCATATTCAGACCTGCATGGAATATTCCCGTTAGATCACTTGCTTAGACGTCACATATATCAGTCAGCAGTTCTTTTATAAAAGCCTCTTTTCTATTACCTGCTCTTATCTCTTTCTTGTTTATCCACAAGGTTACAGACATAATGACGGTATGGGGCTCAAGCGTACTGAGCTTTCAACTATTACTGGCTTATTTGATGGAAATAGCCCTCGACAGTCACGAATATTATGAGCCTGCCAGTGGAAATTTTGCTTATCATTGCGTCATTTATTCCTTTGCAGGAATACCTGATGCTCCTAAAAACGAGCAGACGCATGCACGAAGTCCTTGCCGGCGGTTTATTCCCTCACGCCTTTAAGAGAAAGCTGTGGGCAAAAGTAGGAAGAGCAATCGTCATTCCTGTGAGGCTCGGTGATTCAACGGCACTTCGACCAATCCTTCATTACGTTTCACGAGAAGATTCCGAGTGGCTGTCTTGTGAAATACCACACGAATTGAATAACGCCGTCTGGCTCGGTCGCTTCTCCACCGTCTCTCTTATGGTGGAATATGGTGCATCTTTGAGCCCAGATTCACCAATGTATCACAAGAACCTTTGGACAGGCATGATGTGTTCCTCAAATCTCTTCAAGATGCTGAAACTACTCATTCCGCTTGGCCTTGGTGTTAACTACCTTCCCGCGAAGGACGATAATTACCAGATTCATTTGGCCACTGTGTATGGGGACCGGCAGTTTTTGAAGGCACTTCTTTTCGTAGGCGCGGACTTCTCGCTGCCAGGACCATATGAGCAAACTGCCCATGAGATAGCTAGAGAATACGCCCGAGTCTACTAAGGAGAGTACGTTGGTATGCTTAGATTCCTCCAAGGGTTTCTTGGGCGAATGCCGCAGATCGGTTTGTCTGATATGACTTTACTTGGTGGCAGTTGTGGACTTGAAAAGCGATGGAGGGCACAGAATATAAGACGCGCCCCATCAATGGTACCTTGGCTTGACTATCGCTCCTAGTCGATGTGTCTGCCAACCATAAATCCGTGTTTTGTTTCGGGTGTTCTCTCAAACTAAGTCTGCTGACAAGGAGTGGTCTATTTTGTGTTTCAAGACTTATTATTTGTTGATTTCTTGTGTCTTATTGCTTTCCTTTGTTTCAGTGTGCCTAAATTCTTGTGTCCTTTGGCTTTTAGCTCCTCATTGCTCATTCATTTCTGTTTTCACCAAGGGTACCATTTCCATCAGCTTTGTAAAGTCTTCCATCAGAGTAATCCTCCGGGCTAATTCCTTTATCTCTGCAATTCCAGACCAAGTTCAAATGCGGGTATTGAGGTGTAGCAACAGTTTATGGTGTCGCTGTAACAACCTCCTTAGAGTAGTAAGACATCGCGACCCACAAACTACATGTTCACCTTCATAATACCTACTAATGACAAAGATTGATTTCTTTTAGACCCCGTAATCGCATAGCTCATCCGTTATGTACCCTTTGAGATTAGTCAATGCAATAACTCCGCAGGCTTGATCAAATAAAAGGTACAGTGCTTGACCAGATCGAGATACTATTAGACTTGGCTCCTGCTATAAGATCGGCTTGGCGCTTTTCATTGGTGGATCGGGATCCACTTTACAGATCTGGGGTAACTAGTGCATGCAGTTTTGGAAAATGCATAGATTGTAAGATTAATGCAAGATTGATTCTGTATATATGTAGATTTAGAACAAATATCGACGCAGGAAGAAAGGCTCCACCTCGTTAAATGAATCCCGTGCCGTGCAGACGTCATTAGTGGCGATCAGATCTCGCTGACTAACCTGCACAAGCGATGTCGGAAACTGGGGTGAAGCCGGGGAAAGAATTTCTAACCCCTGCGACGCGCCACACCTTATATCCATGTCATGTCAAATACAGCCCACGATAGGAATTCCCTGTTCCTGGTCAACTATGCGACACAAATCCTGTGCTTTGTGCTTGTTACACCCTTCGTCTTTCTTCGAATTTTCGTGAGATGGAAGCTCATGAATGGGCTGGGCGTTGATGATGGTAAGTATGCGACCGACACGTCACATCTCCAGGCCCTTGCTAATTTATTCATGCAGCATCGTGTTTCATTGGATGGGTACGTTCGATCGCCAAGACAATTGCTTTTTTAACTGACATGTTAGGTGATTAGCTCATTTTTATGGGGTATTGCACGAATGGCTTAATTTGTACGGCCGATCGTCTGATTCGCAGATCAACCCAAAATTTGGACTTTTGCTCACATATTTCTTAGACGGGCTTTCTGGCTGCGCCGTTGAAGCCAGTGAATTGGGTCAGGATCAATTCGAACAATGCATTAAGGTGGGATATCTCAATCTTCTTTATTAAACTCTGTTCTGATTTTTTCCGCCAGATCTCCTATGTTGCTACTGCTATCTATGCCCCGACAGCATTGTTCGTGAAGATCAGCCTAGTCACAATTCTGATCAGGGTCTTTCAGCCTTACTACCGAGCTATGATATCTCTATACGTCCTTCTTGGCACCGTCATCGGCTATTACACGATCATCACATTCGTTAAGATCTTCATCTGCAATCCACCTGCCGCTTATTGGTCACAAACCGAAATCCCGGACGCAACATGCTTCAGCCAGCCGGGTGTGATTATTGCCGATTCGGTCATCGGGACCGTAACAGATGCTGCAATTTTTGCCTTTCCAGTTGGGTTTACCTGTACGTTGCAGATGCCATTTTGGAAGAAGGTCAAGGTGATTGTTCTGCTGGGGCTTGCTGGTGTGGCTGTGGCCTTTAGTCTTTACAGACTGGTGATTGGCGTCCATGAGAGGAAGCATCTTCATTCAACTACGTTGTATATGAAGTCGATCTTGACAGCGTGAGTCCTGTCATACATCCTAGAACCTGCCTTGTCTTGACAGTGGACTAATCTGATACAGAAATGCCGAGTTGGGACTTGGTTTAATTTGCGCCTGCCTCCCGGCTATCAATGTTTTGACGAGCTGGACTCGTCGAAATTCACCCTCAGTCAAAGGCTATTTCAGCCGAAACCGCAAACACGACCAGCCCTCGGGCCACATCTACGATGGACCTACAACAAGCGATGGTCGAAGTCGAAACCAATTCGTTCACAGCCATTTAAGCAGCTGTGCACGTCGGAGCTCAACAGATTCCACTCAGCTTATTGCGAACCATGAAGAATTGGGAATGCCAGCTGGGGACAATAATGACGGGATTATAAAAATGGTCTCTTTGAATCAGCATTGGGAGAATGCTTCACACAGGTCTGTTCTACAAGGATCTTGCGTATCTGAGTTGGATTCTTGCTAACATGTTTATAGCAATGAGGGAGCCGAACGTTCCGAAATAATATAGATTCTTTATCACTCCTACTTGAAAATATACTTGTAATAAACATGCATAAAGGCCAAATTTGGGTTTGTATAATATTTAGAGAATCTCGATTTTGGCCTTGTTAATGATCACAGAAGCTCATCATCGACACGTGATAGACCAACGACGCTTAGTGAGCACTCAAGATATCTGGACTGTTTTAGGGGGGTTCTACAGGTTTGAGTGATCGAGCCAGATAGACCAATCTATCTATATATTTAAACAAGGCTCGCATGAAGTCTCACTCACTCGCGCTTCGAGATAGTCAACCACACATCTTTCCAATACCCAACACCACCCTTAACCACAAACTGGGCCTTGGGTTTCCCCTCAACAGGCTCCGGCTTATAAGAACGGAAGAACTATCAAGATTAGCCAATAATACTCAATTTCCCAATCTCATTAGTCTCTCACTCACCTGCAAGGGACCCTTCATCAACTCCATCATCGCAATGTCCTTCCCTAAACAACCCCGCGATCCGTACCCAAAGGCCATATTATACTTATTATACAGTTTTGCCCGCTCAGCATCCAGCCAGCGCTCAGGCCGGAACTCCTCCGCATCATCGCCATACAGCGCCGGGTCCCGATGCACAAGGTACGGGTTACACGAAATTTCCGTACCAGCCGGTGCAAATTTACCGAAAAGCTCCAGCCCAGGCTCGGGGACATACCGCGGGAAGATATTCGGAGCAGAGGGACACAATCGCATCGTCTCCTTAACACAGCTCACATAAAATGGGAGATGCGTAAGGACCTCATCATACTGCGGCATCTCAGAAAGGACACCCGCTTTTGACGCAGCATCAATCTCCTCCATCATCCGGGTATAAGCAGCGGGACTCTCAAGCAAAAAATGTATCATAGCCTGGAATGCGGTGCCGGTTGTATCCGCACCTGCGAGGAGTACGAGAAGGACTTCCGCGCGAATATATTCTAGATCAAGGGGCTTATCTTCGTCTGTCCGAGCATCGAGGAGCATTTGGAGCAGGTCGACGCGCTTTGCTTCCTTCTCGGAGTTGTTGTCTTTGATGCGTTGGCTGATCAGCTTGTCGCGGAAGCGCATAAGGACTCCGATTCCTGAGTCGTCGGCGGGTGTGGCGACGAGGTATTTTTTGAGGAAGGTTGTCTTGAGCCAGGATGTAAAGGGGTGGAGGCGGGCGAGGAGACCGAATGCTGGGAGGCCGTCGTGGAAGCCTTGAATTAGGCCACCGATGTCTTCGCCTTTTTCTATGAAGCCAAAGGGGGCGCCGAAGCCGATTTCGCTGATGATGTCGTAGGCCATATAGCTATTCCAAAGGTTGGTTAGTACCGGATCTGGGTGTTTTATGCGGGGTGGGTGAACTTACACTGCCCACCAGGCAAAGTCAAAGGACTCGCCGGTTTTGGCGAATGTGTCGTCGAGCTTAGTACTCCATTCTTTGATCCGGGCGTCGATCAATGGTTCCATGCGCTTGATGCTGGTGAAGCTGTACTGTATGTTGTTAGTATAACCCTATAATTAAACCTGCGTTATGTAGCTTACAGGTCCAGCAATGTGCTTCCTGAACACGGAGTGCGTCTTGTGTGATCTCATGTTAAACAGACTTTCAGTCTCTCCGAAACTGCCAGTGATGTAGTGACCGGTCTTGTCGGCATTGCGGTGGTAGACGTCCGGAAGCTTAGAGTGATCGCTGACCAGCAGCAACGTGGGGGTAATTCGAACCACCGGTCCTATTTCAATTAGAATCTGTCAATGCAAAGCGGGATTGAATTGCATTACCATATTTCTTCGAAAGCTCATGGCAGGTCAAGTACTCTGTCTCCTGCAAGTTCTGCTTCGCGATCCAAAGTCGGGTCACAGACGCCCAGAAGGGACCAGGGAAGGCCGAAAGAGGGTGGAAGAAGCGATAGTAGACAATCTGGTACACAAACTTAAGCAGGATGTATGCAACAAAAGCTGTAAGGAGATTGGTCACTGTCAACAGTGACAAAACGTTTGCGAGACCCATGGTTAGAGAACAAATGCCATCGAGAGAAAGAAAGTCTAGTGGGATCGTGGTGTCCAAAATACCCCGAACAAGACTACTTGTGTAGTAAGAAGTTAGAAGTCATTGGCCCGTAGACTATGCGTGTCCACCTGCTTGACTTGCTAGCAGATTAGATGGACTTGATTTATTGGGTCTAATCTAACGGTTATCAGGATCGACTGTTCGTCTACTGCGCCTTTCTTTTCTAGTCCATGCGCTATGGCACTTGAACCTGTGGGGACGTCATTTCGGAGCCTCTGAAAAACAATAAAACCTGGTCATAATAGCTTGTGGGATTAAGACACGCCGTCTAGAACTCCCCATACGCCGGGATCAGCCAGGCTTTGTATGGAAGGGGCAATGCGGAGCAAAATCTCGCCAACTTGGCTCAAGATCGGCGGTGTTGTGGGTCCTTAGTAAAGTTCCTGTCATCGGGGAGAAGAGGGGTTCCACTCCAGGTGAATTCGCGACTTGGTCCTTGGTCCAGACATTGCAAATTATTGCAGACTCCCATAGATCTCCGGAGTTCTGTGGGTTTCCTTCGCCACGAGTTCGGACGAATTAATATGCTGAATCTGGGGTATATATAACTGCCCAACAGGAGGATCAAAAGCACGCAGTGTATTACGTATTCAGGAGACACTAATGCCCATCACTTGACTTAGCTCGAAACAGTGTTCTCCACTGTGTGCTACATCAAGGCTATGCTCATGTCTTGACTTTGTACGGAGTACAAAGTACGGACGGTGCCTAGTCTCCTGGGCCAGGTCTCCACCTTTCACGAGTCAGGCTTGTTTAGAAAAACGTGATTCGTGGGTTCGAGTTAACGAGCGCAGATCTCAACGGGGATCGATTTACAATCCACATGCTGGGCCAAAAGGGGGCAATGATGTAGCGGGAGACCGGCACCGTTATGCGATCCGTCCTCAAGCTGGTCCACTGGAGAGAACGAATGGTCCAAGCCTGTACAGGCACAAAGCATGAACATGTGCGAAGAGCCTGGTCAGGTATTCTCTGCAGAATAAATAATGGACCTGGAATCCCGAGCTGTCATATTGAACCCAAAACCCAAAACCCCTTTGTCTTTGCCGGTGGCGTGGACTCGAGGACTTTGCGCAGCTAATCTCGCTTAACAGTAGCTTGCCTGTCCACAATTGGATAATGCAATGGTCCAGAATTTTTCCCTCGCCCCACTGTGGACGGGTCGGAAGTGGGAAGATGGGTCGATGGGTCAACCTGCAGATCAAGGCACCTTAGCTTCTCGAATGGGTTTGTTGACGTGGGGCTTCGGGCGGACGGCACAGGAAGAGTGTCTGAAACGACGGTGGAAGGTAATTCACTTTCCCCTCATTAAATCCTTGTTTTGGTGTTAAGGTTTACGTCAAATGGACAAGAAGGTTATGCGCCACATTTTGGCGTAACTAAGATTTAAACTCGGGCGGCGTGCCGTCAAGCAAATCTTGATTAACGAGCTAACTAGGATGTTGAAACAAAAGTACGGTTCTACCGATTATGATCTTCCGGCTGGCTAGAACTCGAATTTACAGAAACAAATACTACTTTCCTGTTTAGTAAAATTATCCGAAAGCTCTGTCCCCATTCTATATTTGGGGCCGCCACAGACGATCAGATGAGATGGTATCGAGATCGATGAACATTTACCTAGATGCCTACAATTGAAGCTTTCGTTTCGTGTTTGCCGACCTTCGTTATTATACCTGGAGCCGAAAAAGTCTGATCGACAGGATATGAGACGTTGAGCATCCCTGCAAGCTCCACCTGAACCAAATTTTCTACTCGTGTCAACAATCCTGATGCTGCTAGCTATGTGGATCCCACGTTTGTACCGGCACGGACTCAATCACTCCCTGAACGAATCATGACTCCACAAGTTCTCCAAAATTGGAGCCGATACTTGGAGGCTGTCCTTGCCGAGGCCTAGAAGTTTTGAGTACTTTTGTGACATTTCTCTACTTCCGGTAGGTCCTCGAAAATCCCTCCTCTTTGCCCTGCAGCAATGTGATAGAGGTGGATCAGTCTTCACTAGGAAGATGCGCCATGATCCTACGAGATCGGCCAGACTTTTCCTCATTTTTTCTTTGGTTCTAGGGGACGTGCATGTGCAGGCCTTGTGATAAGTGGACAGGTTCACGGTCTACATGTTCTGTTTTGTTTTTCTTCCTTTGGTGTTATTACAGCTTCTTCTTTTTTGTTCCGGTGATAATCCACAAGGTCTTGCGTATAACATATTCATGCCTTGATCTGGCTATCCGATCTATTCTTACTGGTTTCCTGACACATTCACTCTTTTTTATACCATGGCAGGCGACCATGGTTCGCAAGCCCATGTGGTCATGGGCATTTGTCTTGCGTTTGCGATCTTGACATTTCTGGTTTTGGCTCTGAGACTCTTTGCTCGTGTCTATGTACTCGGCAATATGGGTGTTGATGACTGTGAGTGCGCATGATGGATACTGTGAGAAAACATGCTAATGCTTCCAAGATCTCATCATCGGAGCTGCTGTAAGGAACAAAATCATCCACAAGTCTCGACTAACTAACAAAGATGAATAGCTTCTCGCTTGGGCATTTATTGGAGCCACAATCGCAGGTAAGGGAGCTAATCCCACCATGGTCTTCATCCAGTCTAACGAGCATGTATAGCTGTCAAGAATGGCCTGGGTTCACACATCGGAAACGTTGACCCAAGTTTACTCCTCAACTACTCCTTTGTAAGGCTTCCCGATCTAGATGTATACATCATGGATTATCTACTAACTCACTCAGGCGGTTTGGTTGAGTTCCATGTTTTATCTGGCTTGCCTCGGGTTCATCAAAACATCGGTCTTATTGTTCTATACTCGACTCGGAGACCGCTACCTCACTCGCATGTCCTGGATCATGATAGGCGTCATAATTTGCCAGGCTGGCTCGTTTGTCCTAGTTGCAGCCTTCCAATGTTCACCAGTCAGCAAGGCCTGGACGGGCACTGGCGATGGAACATGCGTCAACATCAACATTTTTTATCTTTGTAATGCCGCTTTGAACATCCTGACCGATCTTTTGACCTACACCTTACCCGTGCGCGTCATCTTCAAGCTCCAGATGCCCCAAAAGCAGAAGATTGCGCTCGGTTTCATTCTCTGCTTGGGTCTCTTGTACGTGAATCAGTCTCTCCCAGCACCTTCCCTTCTAACAACCTCCAGTGCCTGCGTCTCCTCTATCATTCGAATCACCTACATCCCCGCCATGCTCAGCTCCGCCGACTATACCTACGCAATCAGCGGTGCCATGTACTGGTCCGTCATTGAGTCCAATGTCGGAATCCTCGCCGCCTCAATCCCATCCTTCAAGGCCATCGCCTCCCGCTTCCTGCCCCGTTTCATCGGCGAGTACAGCAGTGGGCGCAAATACGGTCCCTGGTCGGGTAACACCGATGCCAGGAAATACGGATCTGGGTTCACCAAGGTGACGGATCCGAACCAGATTACCATGGGCACGATGAACCAGGATGATATCGCGATGGGTACGCAGATCGGGGCTGGGGACCGGGATAATTCGAGCGAAGACCGCATTATCATTCCCGATGGGAAGATCTTCACTCAAACGGAGATTGAGACGACTGTTGAGACTTCCAATGACTTCGATTCGGCCCTTGAGCGGGCTCACCGGTCGAAGCGAGGGTATTGATAAATTTTCCCTCCTTTCCTTTTCTTGTTTATATAAAAGCCTGGGCTATTGCTCAGCAATGAATGATCATGTTTCTTCGGACTATGGGTCTATCGATTAATAGCAAAAATGAAATTTGCCACATCCAACGTAAAACGCCGACAAAGCCTAAGATTGACGATTTAGGTAAATACCACTATGATCCTAGTTAATCATATATCGAAATTCTGACCATGATTACAAAGGGGTGCAAGGGGAACCCGATGCGAGAGAGTGTTTCAAGGGCTCATGGAGGGATTCATTTACTATGAGCATGCGCGAGAAATTGAGTACCGCGGACAGCGTACTCGATGGCTGATTTTCATTGTCCGCTTCGAGAACGAAAAGGGCACCAGTACTATAAACAGTAAAAACATCCCGACCCATGTTTCAGAAAACTGACTATTGTGAACGAAATGGATGATTCCTTTACAGATCTGAAGAATCTTGGCGTGTTAAGATATGAGTTGCATCATGCCGGTTCTTGGAAGTGCTGGATCGTGTCTTAGAAGACGCAGTGTTTTCCCCCGGCCAATTTTTAATAGGCGACTGCCCTGGGCTATGGTAGAGTGGCCGATTGATCTCTCAAGCTTACACATGTAATTTTAAGTTCCAGAAAAGGCCATCATAACGCGTACATCACTAAAGCTCGCTAGGGACACCGTGAAAAAAATCAAGAAATATGAGGACCCATTCACGTTGTTTTTCTCTAGAGTAATGTTGACAGACACAGAATGTACAAAAGGATAGAAAAACATGCAGTCCAGAAGTTCCAACATGAACTTTCAACATAGCGGGTGCCAGTAGGCAGCATACAACAGACACAGTAACAAGGAGAAAGCAAACTGGGTGTGGTTGTTGTGACTCGGTCCACGCTGAATTTGTCCTGACAAGCAATTTGACTTTAGCTGCGTTACGCCTAGAAAGTGTATCATTTCAAGTGATTCTCTTAGTTCAATATCGATGTCGTCGTCTTGGCACTGGGAACAATGACATAGTCAACAGCTGAAGTCGAGCCAGACAGGACCACAGCCTAATAGTGCAACATTTTTAATCACCACATTCATCACATTGGGTATTATTCAGTTACATAAAGTTGTGTAAACCAACTAAATCTATGCATTTAGTTCGTCCTTTATACTTTTATGCCTGAATTGACAGGCATACACGGAGTCCTCGGTGCGGGGAAGCTCCGAGACCGGATATAGCCGACTTGGAGATCAAGAAGCCGACTTAACAATCCACCTTCGAGACCGGAAGCTCTGGGAACAGGCATATAAATCAGCAAACTATCAATTGGCTGAAACAACTAGCCACTGCGTTGATCCCGCAGGAAATAATTTCAACAATGCCTCTATATCCCTTGCCAAGACGCGTGCCCCAGACGGGGCTGCGCTGGGCCCGGAGCTTTTCGACATCCCCGCGCCACTCTAATTATGCAGATACCCTTCCTAACCTCAAGATTGGAGCTCATACGAGAGTCTTGTTCCAGGGTTTTACGGGTAAGTATTTCTAGGTTACGAAGTACCTTTTTCGCGTCGCTAACTTGCGCACAGGACGACAGGCGACTGCTAATGTCAAGGAGTCGCTGGAATGGGGCACTAAAATTGTGGGAGGTGTGAAGCCTGGAGTTGAAGGTGAACACCTGGGACTTCCGATCTTTCCCTCTGTCAAGGCGGTATGTGGCACAATTGGTCTTTTTTTAAATATGCAGTAGACTAATTGTGCTTGTCTAGGCTCAAGCAAGAGCAAAGCCTGATGCATCTGCGATCTATGTTCCGGGAAACCAGACTGCCAAGGCCATTGAAGAGGCAATTGAGGCAGAGATTCCATTAGTGGTGGCTGTAGCTGAACATGTTCCTATCCATGACATTCTCCGGGTAAGAGACTCTCGACGTTGACATCAGCAGACTTATTCTGACCACGATCGCAGATCCATTCAATGCTGCAAACGCAATCCAAGACTCGCCTTGTCGGCGCAAACTGCCCAGGTATTATATCGGCCATTGGCAAGTGTCGCATCGGTTTCCAGCCTTTGCCTTGTTTTGCTCCCGGTAATATCGGCATTGTTGCCAAGTCGGGCACTCTAAGCTATGAGACAGTCGCATCGACTACCCGTGCTGGACTCGGTCAGAGTCTCTGCATTAGCATGGGCGGTGATGTGCTAGCTGGTACCAACTTTGTGGACGCTCTCAAGATTTTCGAGCACGATACTGATACTGAGGGTATTATTCTTGTCGGTGAGATTGGCGGCACTGCTGAGATGGATGCTGCGGAGTGGATCAAGGACTACCGACAGCGGACTACCAACCCCAAGTAAGTCTCTTATCTTTGTGCTCCGCACGCTCCTTGCTAACCCTCACTAGGCCCATTATGGCCCTCGTTGGTGGCTTAGAAGCACCTCCCGGTCGCATCATGGGACACGCAGGCGCCTGGTGTGCACCTGGAGAGCCGGATGCACAAACTAAGTACCAAGCACTTGAACGTGCTGGTGCTGTCATGGTCAATCACCCCGAGAAGTTTGGCGAGGGGATGAAGACCCTCTTGGGTACTGGCGTGAGCAGGCCCGGCACACAAGTAAGTAACTTACTCGGTAATAACAGGACTATGCTAATCTCTACAGTCCTTTTCGGCCGCAGGGGCTCAACGGCGCGGTTTCCACACAATGAGACGTGTCAGCCCGATCTCGAGGCCGGCTCAGCAAAAGCGCGACCTCTACATCAAGCAGTTTCAGGCATTTGATATCCTAAAGCAAAAATCCATTCCTGTTAGCGAGCAGACATCGCCCTCTGATATGTCTATCTCCATCTCGGTTGACCGTACTTCTTTGTCGCCGTGCATCGTCGCTTCGCCCGACGCAGAGTTCAACCCTACGCAGTCTCGCAAGTTTCCATTCAGCTACACTGAGACCAACTTGGAAAACAGTTCCCTTGTCTCCGCCGTGGCTTCATACGTTGGCCTTCCCGAATCATCACACGACAAGCTCGCAAGCTTAGTTCAGGCCCTGTGGAGCATCTTCAAGGAGAAAGAGGCCTTTTTATTAGAGACTCGGGTTGGAGCCTCCGCCAATGGAAGCTTGGAAGTGCGTGATGCACGGTTTGGATTCGATGATGCCGCATACCGTAGCTCAGGGCGCCAGGAAGAGATTCACTCTTTGCGGAACACTGCTGAGGAAGTCGCCGAGGAGATTGAAGCCGAGAAAGACGGAATTGTCTATGTCAAGTGGGTCTTGCCGGACTTTGACACGGAATAATGCTAACAATAGATAGGCTGGAAGGAGAAGGTAGCATTGGCACACTCGGTATGCTTATCTTACCATCCAGGCTCTGACTTCAGCTAACAAGATTGGTAGTGAACGGGGCAGGGCTTGCTATGAATACAGTCGATGCACTCAGTATTCACGGAGGTCACTGTGCCAACTTCCTTGACACTGGTGGCAAGGCTACTTCTGAGACGGTCAAGTCGTCTTTCCGAATTATTTGTTCCGACCCCCGCGTCAATGCAATTTTCGTCAACATCTTCGGTGGCTTGACACGTTGCGACATGATCGCCGAGGGAATCATCCTAGCATTCCGGGACTTGAACATGCAAGTGCCTGTTGTGGTGCGGTTACGTGGAACGAACGAGGAGCTTGGGCAAAAGATGGTATGTCATCCTGACGAAGATTTCACGTCAACGCTTCATTTGACTAATGCTGTTGCAGATTGCCGAGAGTGGGCTTCCTCTTCATGCTTTTGATGGCTTTGAAGAGGCCGCGAAAAAAGCTATCGCTCTTGCTCGGAAATAAATGGGCTTTGGTAAGTGAACAATGTACAGTCCAACGTGTTTTGGAGAATATATATAGATGGCTTTTTTAGAGTTACGGAGTATGTAGATCAGATACTCGATAGAATCGGCAATGCGTCACGAGCCCTTAGCCGAGGCAGTCCCGTGAATATACATCAGACCGCCAGTGTTTCAAGTGTTTGAACCTAAACCCATAAACAAAATCCTGCTTTAGGCCTCGGGGGGCCCATGTGATGCCTCCCGCTTCAGGCAGAATTGCCCGTGTTGGTCTAGCCCCAACACTTCTCCACGATTGACCAAGGTTGCGCTAGTGGCTCTGACGCCATCACCTATAATCTTCTTTACAGAACACAATTTCTTCTTTTGTTCCCCCCCCACTATATATAGATTTGACTCTATATATATACAAGTCCACTGTCGACCTCACGCATAACTTCGGTTTTGCACAATTCCAGCTCAATCCGCTCCGGCCCATCTCAACCCCACCATGTCTGATCCGCGTACCGAGCTGGAGCACACACTTCGCGATCTATCGATTGGCGAAAAGGGACCGGTGCAGGATATCTCACGACCTACGGTGAAAGGCCTTTCTACGGGCTCAGCTACATCTACCCCAAAGCCAAAGCCAGCAAAGAAAGCTAAAGAGGTCGTCGCGGATTCCTGGGAAGATGAGGTTGATCTCTCGGATGAGGAGCCTGTTTCTGCAACATCATCCTCCCTCCTTTCGCCTACAATAAGTGCGGAAGGCCCGCTTGATCCCCCGCCCACACCTATCTCGCCACAAACTTCACAACCTTGGGGTGCTGCGAGGGCGGGTTCTCCCGCTGGTGGTTGGGAGGGCAGTTCTGGTCCAGCCAAGCGTCCCGAGAAGCAGACTGCCGTTGCTGGAAGGCTGATTGCTGGTGCACTGGGGATTCGGGCGCCTAAGCGTACGGAGGAGCAGCGCGCTTATGATCGGGCGGTGAAGGAGCAGGAGATCAAGAGGCGGAATCGCGAGCGTGAGGAGGCAGCCAAGGCCAAAGAGGATGAGGAGAAGGTGAAGGCATCTGTTTGGACAGACTAGTTCGTTACAACCCTTACTCGCGTTTCTTTATTTCATTGACTTTTGGGGTTTTGTGTCCTATGCATATTGAATTGTATATATGTGATCTACATGGCGCTGGAGCCAGCTTCAGATGATTATGGGCGGCGGGTGATTTGTTTTTTTTTTTGAACATGTTAATCTAAAGCTGGAGCGGATTATCAGCTAAGATGAACTTAACGAGGAAAGTCTCAAGGGAGCATAGGTATTGCTGCAAAGTACAGCGGCTATTATCTCCAACATATGGAATAAGTGCTTATTTAGAAACCGTAAGATCGTCCCATAATATGTAGCGCATCCCAATCACCGGATGTTTCTGAAATTCGTTGAATCGTTAACCCACAACATTAAGAAGTCTTTGCGATGAACTCTTCACATCCTCGCCACTCAAGCTAGCGTCCATCTCATATGCTCGGGGGTATGTGAACAAAGCGCCACAATAGCAAGGAAGTTCATCCGAAGGGCTTCTCGAGAATATGGCATGGATATTATTTCCTTAACAGCCTCCAATCTGCTCCTGATGCACCTCTAGGGTGTCACCATCGGCCATGTCAAGCTATATTGCAGTACATTGTCAGAATATCTTGTCCACGATTTCAGTGTTGGGAGAGGGCACGTACGCCATCAGGAGTGTCGTCGGGACGCACACGGGTGCCGTCGAACAGGAACCGCACAGTCGCTATCTGCTTTCCTTGGCGATCACAGAAAGCGTCCATCAACTTCTTCAATGGAGTCGACCGCTTGATTTTAAAGAACACTTCGTTGTTGTTGTCCGTGACCTTGATGTTGAGATGCTCGACTGGAGCAGCGGCCTGCTCGCCTTCAGACATGGTGAGGATAACGAGGTGGTTGCTGGGTGGCTGTCAGAGAAATGAATCGCAACAGAGCAGGCGCGGGGTGCTTACTCGGGAGTTGAAAGTAAGATGAATGTGATTGGCGAATTCGTGATCTGGTTCTATGAGATATGTTAGGTTTGGGCGACGGCAATGCGGGGGCAGTTCTACCTACAAGAACACGAGAATTGTAAGGGTTAGAGAGGAAAGGAAAGGGAAGTGGATGAGTGGAAGAGGCAAGAGAGAGATATCAACGGCAGAAACTCGCCCCTCGTAGGCGGTGAATCTACTTTGCGTCACACCTGTTGAAACCCGCTTTCGATGGGCTTCCGTCCACGTTTTTGTTACTTGTTTGCCCGGAAAACAAGCCTGGAAGAAAGAATTGCAAATGGTAGGAATCATCAAGATCACCAATGAAATGTTCATGGACTAACACCTTCATGCAGGGGGATTTAAAGCAAGACTTGTCGCACGATACGCCGTGTCATCCGCGAGCTGTATGCTTCTCCTCCTTCAGATAGTCACAGGACTTCATGCTGACCCTTCTAGTGTGCCATACAAAGTATACACATTTCCAGGGATATAACTTGAGCTTTCCACATACTAACGGAGCCAGATTGTCTGAACAAGAATTCCTGGCAGGAGGAAAAATGTCAGGCCCAGATCGACGCCCTCTACGAATGTTGCAACGCTTTTTACCAGGAGCGAGGCGACCAGGCTTCAGTAGTGAGCTGCCCTAAAGCGAACCTACTACGGTTGAAGATGAGACAACGGGCACAAGCAGCAGATAAGGAGCAGAAATAGAATTTTTGAGAATTTTGTTTGATTTTTCCGCAATGTAAATAAGATGGCATTGGTATGTACCAGCCCCTTCCAAGCTAAGCTCCCATTCAGAGGGAACTAGACTATTTGTAAGGACTGAGTTCCTCTAAGACAATCTTGAGCACGCAGAGAGGCCTCAAGGACCTGAACAAACATTGAATGAATTCGTTCCGAGACTCTAATGAAAGCCTATAGACATTTGTGGAAAAAAAAAAAAAAAGAGAAAGAGAAAAAAAAATTGTGCTCCTTAAATAGTAGATCCCGTGCCGACCAAGCTAAACTACTTTGGGACGAACGCGCCCTCAGCCAAAAGAGACAAACATGAATGCTTCCCTTTTCTCTTCCATCAACAACAGGAGCTAACACATCATGGCTCCCCTCACAAGGTCTTCGCGTACCTTACGGTCGCAGGTTGGTTTTACTTCAGTTCACTCTCCAATTTCTTCCCACTGACTCCCTGACCAGGTTCCGCCTGCGCCTAAGACATCAGAAATTATCAATATTGACGAGGACGACGACGAGCGCATGGAGGAAGACGACATCTCTGAAAACGAAGAGGAGCTAGAAGACGGGACTGAGGAAGAAACGGAAGAGGATGAGATGGACGAGATGGATGAGGAGATGGACGTTACCAATGGCGATATTTCCGAGACTGGATCCGCCTTCCCAGTTTTGGAACCCAGTCTGAAGTCAATGATGGGTTTGACAAGCAGAGCTCAGGGTATGTTATGTCCAGCTTCTTTGTTCCTCCGTTTTGCTTTGCTGCTTGAAAAGATCCTTTTAGCTCATTGATTAGATTCGCCTCAGCTGTTCACTGCTGCTGGCGCACAGGAAGCTCTCCACCCACTCCGCCGCACTGCCGACCGTGTCACTCGCCAAATCGAGGCCTATGCTGACAAGCTGGATCAATTCAAGCGAAAGAACTCAACAGACGAGTTCCAGAGCATTCAAGCTGCTTACAAGCTAGTTGAGAGCTACCGGGACCTCGCACAAAATGGAATCCAGGACCTAGTGAAACAGCAAACCCTCAAGCGCGCAAAGACCGGATTCCGACAGAGCAATGGGACCGATGCAAAGGACGACGAGGATGTGATGCGCTTACAGTACGAGGCTGATACCTGGCGCCTGCTTCTTAATCTCATCAGTATCGACGACCCGGCCAGTCGCGCCAGCTTCAAGGAAGGGCAACAAACTGCATTCCAGAACCTTCACCGATACTCGTCAGATCGTGAAATTTGGGAGGAATTCCTTGCTGCCGATGGGTATGCTCTGGAATGTGTTCTGGCGATGAGATGGCTGGAGGAGACGGCGAAGACAGGACCCCAGGATTTGGATGTTCTGATCGCCGACATGGAAGCGCAAGCGGAAAGAGGCCAGGGTCTGTGGGCTCATGGATGGCTGTTCACTAAGGAAGCCATCAAGGGACACAAGCGACTGCGTGCATGGCCGCAGCCATTGGAGCCAAATGACCCCAGCGTCTCACGCTCTCTGTTAAGCAACGACCGGCAACGACCATTAGTGACGCAGCTAGATCCAGATGCCCTTACCCGACAGAAGCATGACCTACAACCCCAGGACGAGTTCTTCGAGCGAGCTACATGGATGACTTGCTGGAAGATGCTGAGGCAGGGCGAGAACTGGACCAAGATCCGAGAATGGGCACAGGGCCGCCTCGAGAGCTGGAGGGCTGTCAGTCTTTGCGGTTCTAGTGTCGATCCACATACTGCCAAAACCCGGACACCCCTCGACGATGGGATGACACGATTGATGAACAGCCACTCCCACGACTCATGGCGCGCCGCTTGCTCTGCTCTGACACGCAACTCTGACACAGATGAGTTCCAGCGGGCCGTATACGCTCTGCTCTGTGGTGAATCTGAGCCCGCCACCACGGCCTGCAGCACCTGGGACGATTTCCTTTACGTGTACTTCAACCGGATTGTGCTTTCACGCTACCGTGGTTTCTGCAACCAATTCAAGCACAAGCTCAGCCATTCTCCTACATCCCCTGTCACATTCAAGCCCGAGCCAGCTGGCCATGCCGATCTGCAGAAGTTCATCGAATACCTGCGAGGCAATGAGCGGGTCGGTTCTGAGTCGCGCAATCCCTTCCGCAATCTCCAGGCTGCAATTCTCAGCAAGGGCTATGATTCCTACTTTTCATTATTTGCAAAGGCTGTCTCTCAAGTTAATATCAAGCACTATGGGACATCTTCTATTGTCCCTGTCGTGAATGGCTTACCAGTGGATGAATCGTTCCTCATCGCCGCAGATGATGACGAGGCCTTGAAAATGGCCGCGCACGTTTATCTTGTTGTGAAATCCATTGGTTATGCTCCTATCGACACCCAATTTTATGAGACTGCTTCCGTTATGGTGGCAGGATACCTTTCCAACCTGGAAGAGAGGGGCCTATACGACCTTATCCCACTTTATGCATCTCTTCTTCCGACCGACATGTGTCACAGTGTGTTCTCAAGGATTTTGATTGAGATCACCGACCCGCAAGATAGAAAGCAACAAATCCGGCATATGCAAAAGCATGGTATTGATGTCGCAGCTGTTCTCGACGCTCAATGGTCATGGCTTAGCGCTGGCGTTTCATCAATTGAACATTCCAGTAGTGTCACTGGATACTCCCGGGTGGTGCGGCGACCGGACGGTACCCGAGTACTGGTGCCCCCAAAGAAGGACTTGATCGGTACTTCCATGGCAGATGAAGATGAGAAGATGATTCGCAGTCTGGAGTGGCTTCGCTCAGCTGGTGGCCAGTGGGATAAGATCTGCAAGCTTGGAGCTTGGCTCTACCGCAAGTTCTTTGGTAGGTTTCTGCTTCTCATCTTTCCTTGCCTATATGCTAACATTTGTAGTTGCTGGTAAACTTGCTGCCGCTCGTGAGTTGAGCCATCGGATGAATTTGTCCAAAGTGTCACAGGAATCCTTTGGCTTGGACATCTTTGAATTCCCTACTCTTGAACACCTGACGCCCGTCGATTCTACGCCTTCTAGCCCATCGAAGTCCAAGAGGAATAGCCTTCACCGTCGGAGCCTCTCTAGCAGCAATGGTATCTTGAATAACGACAGCGGTGCTTACCAAAAAGCCACTCGGATGTACAATCTTGAAACCCTGGCCCTTGGATTCGATGCTCTGGAACAGTTCGCTCTTGCCTACGACCAAATCTCAAAGTAAGTATTTCCCGTTCAAATTTAGCAACAATATCTAACGACATTTCAGGACCAAGCGTCGGAGAGATTCCGGTGCGGTCAAGGATTCTCTGCAGGATCTAGCGGCCTTGCTAGAGGAAGTGGAGACAAATGTGGGCTTGGTCGTAGAGGAGTGGCTTGTCAAAGCTACTGATGGTCGGTCTTTTCCTCCAGTCAAAACTTGTGTCCTTGCTAATATCATCACAGCCGAAGAGGAAAGCGATTATGAATACATTCGCCAGACCTATCTTCCTGATTTGATTCTTGATTACCATAACGCTCTCTACTACGCCAGTCATTCTCTTGAAAAGCCATTCCTGCTTACACAGTGCATGACGGTGTCAATTTGGGTCGCTAGCACCCCGCACCTGACTCGCAGCTTCACCAAATCGAAGCGTATGGCTGAGCTTATGGACGCCTTGGCTTTGTCCAGCAAGGCTATGGTGCTCACCGACCCGAAGGACGACCGTGTCTATGACAATGGGCAGACATTGGGCATCTGGCGCGTGAGTGGGCCTGAGAACGATGAGGCTGTGTTCGAGCCACGCAAGTGAAATGCGTGACAGTAATCATGTGTGTACATTAGCAGGTGCCCAGGTGGCAAGCAAGGGACGAATTCCAAGCCCGGACAAGGAACTGAGTGGGCAAGATTTATTCACGTATGGGATTTAGAGATTACAATGCATCAAACACTGCAATTTCATAAACATTAAGCTCATTCATATTTCTGTCGTAGTGCTTTTGTTATGAGTTATGTGACTCGTTCATTATTAATTATCGGCTTAATCCCGTTTACTCCGAAGATCGTCGCCAAGTTGTGATGTTGCCAATCTGCATCAAATCACTCATATGGCTCCATCAAGGTATTTCCCAACACTTTCGCAGGGAAAGCCTCCTCCCCTAGTGCGGTCGTGTGCGCCCACGGCTTCAACCCGTTCTCCCGATGGATTGTCGCGGCGAAACACCCGCTCCAGTGGTGGCGCGGGAAGTGCGCACAAACGTCCTTGATGGTATCCGGATGGACAAGATCGGCATATGAACCGGTGTTATCTAAGAGCCGAAGGGAAAAAAAGATGATCAGTCAACAAATCCACTCTAGCAGCAAGAAAAACTCTAATGACCGGGTGATAAGGAAAAAGTCGAAGAGATAAAAAGTGTAGAAAAGACATGTCGGCCACGCTAGGACTCATGACATATGACATGACGCATCATCTAGGTAACGAATCCACCTAGCGCTGCAACATCATGGAACCATTCATCGGCTAACAAGTTCTAGTGCAGATATTTTACCCGCTTTCATGGCCCGAATAGGGAAAGCAAAAGACCAAGAAAACACCAAGAGTGGCAGTGCAGTACTACTCTGTCCCTGCCGACTCCATCGGCAATGATAGCGGTAGCGGATAGCGGTTAGGTTTCCGTCACTCACCGAAGATTGTCGCCAGCTGCAGAAGCTGTCCAACCGCTGTAATCTTTCCAACCTCGCACAGGTCCTGATGCCGGATGATAGCCTCCGCCACAGACTCCGCCTGCTCTCGCGGCGCGGCGGACCCACTAGTACCACCTTCACTATCTTGCAGTAGCCGTAGCGCCAGGAACCCGCCAAAGAACTCAAAGCTCAGATGGGTGGCGTGAAGGTTAGTATCCGTTGTGCCGATGTCGTGCAGAACGCAGGCGAGGAAGTATGTCTCGTCCGAAAAGGCCCAGTCTTCGAAAGCGAGGCGGTGCTTCTTGATGGCGAGGCCGTAGTGGTATACGCGGAGCGAGTGATTGTACGTTGGCTCGGCAAGGTGGGTTTTTGCGTATTCGTTGATGCGTTGCGCTAGAGCCGTGGTGGGGATGGGGGTCTCGCTGATGGGGATTGGGGGTGGGTTGGCGTGGAGACGTGGGTATGCTGGCGTTGAGGTTAGAAGAGCCGTGGCCGAAGCCGGGACCGCTGTGAAGCCATATTCCTTGATTGGGTTGGTCATTTTGAGCCTGTTCTAAGATTGACGGTGAGCCCTCCTGGATGTGGATGTGATGATGGATGACAGTTCCTAGCTTTGAGTTTTTTGAGGCAATTTATATCCGGAGTATTCCCTATGTGCTTACGGTCTATGAGTCAATCCATATTGGGGTATATTGGGGTATTTGAGACATAATGCAAGTAGTACAGTCAGATATGGAGCTTCTCAAGGTTCTACTAGGTGTTAAAATCGCGGTTTCCAGTATCACGTCAGTAGATTTATTGCAAGGGCTGTTGAGTATGCCCTTACTGGGGTATATTAACCGATATATTGCTTGAATTTCTCCGGCTGGACCCACGGTATTAGCTAGGTATGAAGGGAGTGATAATAACATGATGGATATTGCATATAATTTAGGTTAATCACACACAAGTCCCTGTAGATGCCTCGTTTTAAGCTCGAACTGGGTATCTAAGTGGAATAAACTTCATGAATGCCAAGTGGATCCAATGCGCTACATCTTTGAGACGTCATTCCCCAACCAACGGTCGAGAAAAGTTCGAGAGGATGGGGAAACATTATAACCGCGGCCCCCTATTCGCCCCCCTTGGGCCTCCGCAGTCCCGATCCCGGTATTTCTTGGCGACTGAGGCAGTGCAAAATGGCGTATCGCCTCCCTTCGTGCTCCGCCGGGTTTCCGTCCATTGTCGGGCCCTGCTTCTTGATTGTGTTGATAATACCCTCATTGTTACCCTCGCTTTAGCGCCTAAGCGAACCTGTGTTCAGATCTTTTTATCTGTTGATATCTCAAAGATCATTCTCCCCACTGGGGCTGTGCTAGAAAAGTGGATCCAACCTGCAGAGCGGGTATAGGAAAACAAACCCAGACAATTATTGGCAAGAGGTCGAGACCCGTGTGGATCTAAGGGGCTTTTGGCTGTCTTTTGCTGTCAATTTGTGGCGTGGCGTGTAGGAGAGAAGTCTAAACTCTCTCTGCTTTCGGCCAGCGCACACCTCCTTTCTACCCTTCCCTCCCCCTGCGATTCGAATTTGTGACTTCATCACTCACCTCGATTTGCCCTTTCGATTCTGGGCCCATGGAACCTGGAACTTTCCAAAAGCTCTGTGCCGATTCAAGCTCGACTTGAAAGACGACCCAGACAAAAGACCTACCTTTCCGAATTCGACCACTCCATCCATGCAACGCCCATCAGCCACTTTCAAGGTGCCGTCCGCATAAACGGTGTTTAGTTGAACTACTTTCACCATGTCCGAGCCGCATCGAAATGGCGATGAGCCTTCTCAGGGCGCGACACCCCTGCGCAGGGAACGAGCACCCACGATCACCATCGATACCTCCGCGGTGAACTCTCCCGACACCAGTGATTACCCGGTTCAGCTCCTTTCGACTCCTCCCCAGCCGTCGCTAAAGCTTTCCACGGAAACCGTCGAGTCAGACACAAACGCTCTTAGCAGTGCCAGCAATGTCTCCCCAACAGACTTGCGATACAGCGCGTCCATCCGCTCCGAAGCCTCGTCAGAAGCCCGGGATCGCGAACGAGACGACCGGCCAACATCGCCCCATAATATTTCATCTCCCACCAAGAGCAAGGCACCCGAGGTCCATTCGAATTTCCTGTCCGTACCTGGAACACGGTCTCGCGGCAACTCGTTGGAATCGGAGGATACCAGCCAGTCATTAAGCACCTATGGCGGAGATACTTATGTGCCTACTGCGTCTCACGGCTCACGATCTGAGCTTATTAAGAATAATCATAATGTGGATGACGAGGATGCGCTTACCCCGGATCCAGGCCGAGAAACCGAGTTCGAGGTGGAAAATAACAAATTCGCCTTCTCTCCCGGCCAGTTGAACAAATTACTCAATCCCAAAAGTTTCGCTGCTTTTCGTGCGCTTGGTGGTTTGCGCGGGTTGGAAAAGGGGTTGCGCACTGACGTGCAAAGCGGTCTAAGCGTGGACGAGACGACACTCGATGGGGCTGTGAGCTTCGAAGATGTGACTGCCTCCAGTCCCGCGACTAAGACATCTTCCCCGACAGTGACTGCGCCTGACACCCCTGGCACATCTTCAGTCGTTTCGGAAGCAGATCAGTCATTTGGGGACCGACGACGGGTATACGGCACTAACCTCCTACCAGAGAGAAAGCTCAAGACCATTTGGGAATTGGCATGGATTGCCTATAATGATAAAGTGCTGATCCTGCTGACGATCGCCGCTATCGTTTCTCTTGCTGTCGGTATCCCGCAATCCTTGCATCCTACGGATGGAGAACCAGGCGTGGAATGGGTCGAGGGGTTGGCCATTCTGATCGCCATTATCATTGTGGTGGTAGTTGGTGCGGCAAATGACTGGCAGAAAGAACGACAGTTTGCCAAGCTCAACAAGAAAAAGGAAAACCGCTTGGTAAAGGTTGTTCGGTCTGGCCAGACAGCTGAAGTCTCGATCCATGATCTCGTCGTTGGAGATGTTATGCATCTGGAGCCTGGCGACATGGTTCCCGTTGATGGTATTTTGATTGCTGGTCACGATGTCAAATGCGATGAATCTTCGGCCACTGGCGAGTCGGATATTTTACGCAAAACCCCAGGTGATGAAGTTTATCGGGCGATCGAAAACCACGAAGATCTTAAGAAAATGGATCCGTTTATTATCTCCGGCGCAAAGGTTTCCGAGGGCGTGGGTACATTCCTCGTCACTGCGACAGGTGTGAATGCCACCCATGGCCGAACATTGATGTCCCTCCAGGAGGAAGGTGAAACGACCCCACTGCAGACTAAGCTCAACAAGCTAGCCGAGTACATTGCCAAGCTTGGTCTAGCATCTGGTTTGCTATTGTTTGTTGTGCTTTTCATCAAGTTCCTGGTTCGACTGAAGGACATTGAAGGCGGTGCCGATGTGAAGGGACAAGATTTCCTGCAGATTTTCATCGTCGCCGTGACCATTGTCGTTGTTGCTGTTCCCGAAGGTTTGCCGCTGGCGGTGACACTCGCTCTTGCTTTTGCGACGACAAGGATGATCAAGGATAATAACCTGGTTCGTTTCTTGAAAGCCTGTGAGACGATGGGAAACGCGACAACTATCTGTTCCGACAAGACTGGAACTCTCACCGAAAATAGAATGAGCGCTGTTGCTGCTACTCTGGGCACTACTTCTCGGTTTGGAGATAAATCCACAGGCCCGGCCACTGAACAATCTGGAGATGTCTCGGCCGCCGAATTCGTGTCAACACTCTCACCCTCCGTCAAGGATCTTCTTCTCAAGCACATTGTCCTGAACTCGACTGCCTTCGAAGGAGAGCAGGAAGGTGTCAAACAGTTTATTGGATCTAAGACAGAGACTGCGCTACTTTCCTTTGCTCGTGAAAATCTTGGAATGGGGCCGCCTGCCGAGGGTCGCGCCAGCGCGAAGATCGCCCAGATGTACCCCTTTGACTCGAGCCGCAAGTGCATGGCTGTTGTTGTTCAAATGGAGAACGGTAAATACCGCATGCTTGTCAAGGGTGCTGCAGAGATTCTGATGTCCAAGTCGACCCGAATCATCCGTGACCCCACTGCTGAGTTGTCCGAGGTACCCTTTACCGAGGAAAACCGTAACACTCTGGACACCATCATGACGAATTACACATCTCGATCATTGCGCTGTATCGCTCTTGTGTACCGGGACTTTGAACAGTGGCCCCCTCGTGGAGCTGCGACTCAGGAAAACGATCGCAACATGGCTGTCTTTGAGTCTATCTTCAAGGACATGTCTATGTTCGGTTTGTTCGGTATCCAGGATCCTGTCCGGGCCGGTGTTGCGGAAGCTGTTCACACCTGTCAACGTGCTGGTGTCTTTGTTCGCATGGTGACCGGTGATAACATCAACACTGCCAAAGCCATTGCCCAGGAATGCGGTATCTATACACCCGGTGGTATTGCCATTGAGGGCCCCCAGTTCCGCAAGCTTAGCTCAAAGCAAATGAACCAAATTATCCCCAGACTGCAGGTCATTGCACGGTCCAGCCCTGAAGACAAGAAAATCCTGGTGAACCAACTCAAGAAGTTGGGTGAGACTGTCGCTGTTACTGGAGACGGTACCAATGATGCCCAAGCTCTCAAGAACGCTGACGTCGGATTTGCGATGGGTGTTACTGGTACTGAAGTTGCTAAAGAGGCATCGGACATTATCCTGATGGATGACAACTTTGCGTCCATTGTCAAAGCTATGGCATGGGGTCGCACGGTCAGTGATGCGGTGAAGAAATTCCTTCAGTTCCAAATCACTGTTAACATCACCGCTGTCATTCTCACATTCGTCTCTGCTGTTGCTAGCGACTCAGAGGACTCGGTCCTTAGTGCCGTTCAACTGTTGTGGGTCAACCTGATCATGGACACCTTTGCCGCCCTTGCCCTTGCAACGGATCCCCCATCGCCATATGTCCTCGACCGCCGACCTGAGCCAAAGTCGTCACCACTTATTACCGTCACCATGTGGAAAATGATTATTGGACAAGCGATCTATCAATTGGTGGTGACTTTTGTGCTTAACTTTGCTGGTACATCTATCTTTTCCTGGGATTCCGATACCATGCAGACTGTGGTGTTCAACACTTTTGTCTTCATGCAAATCTTCAATCAATACAACTCTCGCCGCATTGACAACAAGTTCAATATCATGGAAGGAATTTGGCGCAACAAGTGGTTCATTGGCATCCAAGTCATTATTATTGGAGGTCAAGTCTTGATCATCTTTGTTGGTGGCCAGGCCTTTTCGGTCAAGCGCCTCGACCAAGGAAGCCAGTGGGCTGTCAGCTTGGTTCTCGGTGCCATTTCACTGCCCATTGCTGTCATCATCCGTCTTATTCCCGACTCATTTGCCAGCAAACTCGTCCCGCAATTCTGGCACCGCAAGAAGGCCGGTCCTGAGCTTGTTGTTTCAGACGAGGACCGTCGCTACGAGTGGAACCCGGCTTTGGAGGAGATCCGCGACCAGCTTGCATTCATCAAGATTGTTCGTGGCGGCCGCTTGAGCCACATTCGCCACAAGCTCCAGCATCCGCAGGAACTCCTCCCTCGATCTCGGAGCGGTTCTCGGTCTCGGGAATCTTCAGTTCCACCCACGCCAACCGGTGAGGATAACGGAAGCCCACCTCCTCTGCCCGCAACCCCTGAGTCTCGCTCTCGACGCAATACCCGCTCTCGATCCAACTCTACCTTTGGACCTGCCGCTGCCATGGCTGGTATCGTGGCCGGTAGTATCGCCGGATGGTCTCCTATTGAACGAGGCCACGACGATGCCGACTCCATGAGTTTCCCGACTATGGGTGCCCATGGTGGATTGGACGGTCAGCAGGGCATTGAAGTCCACCCTGATACGGCTGCCGATGACCGGGTCTTGGGCGAATACTCCGCAAACTCCAAGACACCACCGAGTCAAAATCCAGATCTGACTCCCTTCTTTGAACACGCTCCCACAACAGACCGAGCACCATCAAGTCGTGGCCGTCGATCTCTTTCTCAGCGCTCTCGATCGAGTCTGAGCCCATCCCAGGTGTAGCCGGGATGTTGTCACGCATTTAAAATAAAAAAGCGCATATGTATGGGCGGCGTTGGTGTTCTCTCGTTTCTATTACCATATACCTGGCCTCCACTTGTTTGTTTATGCTCTGTGTTCTGTTTACGGTCATTTTCCTGTTTTGTCTCACTTTGACTGGTCTTTTGCTTTCCGATTTTTAATTGGCATGTGGCGTCACTTCAGTCCCCCCATAGACCCTTTTGCATGGTTTCTATTTGCATCCACGGGGACTGCTGGGGTTTTCTTTTTGTCAGATGTCTAGGCGCATACAGGACAAGGTCGTCAACCTTGCTTATTTTCATTTTTTCATTATCATCATTATTTTCATTGGTAAAAATAATACCATATTGTCTTGAGAACATGGCTTCCCTTTTGCTTAGCTGTAATTAAGCCGCACGGTAGTCAAGAGCATTGTTGACTGGACACCGGTTCATTTGGATTGGGGCGGTTAATGTAATTCAGACTGGCCTTGGCGATCGAGAAGCCGCTTGCTGCTCATCACGGAAGTCCACTTTCTATAGCATATCAAGACAGGGAAATCGGCTGATTCAACAAAGTCAGCATACAATTATCTAGAATCAATCCCAATGAGCCCTTCCGCCAATATCATCAGTATCATCAACCACCCGCCCATCGGCTAGGATCTGGTAATCGCCATCAAGGACAAAGCTAAATTCAATGCCATGTTCCTCGCAAGAGCTCCTCACACCCCTGAAAACCATTTCCGCACGCTTCGGGATCCTCCAATTCCTTGTTTTCTTACAGATTTCTTCACCTTCAACAACCTCCATCTGAAAAGTCTGTAGCGAAACTTTCCGCAACTGAGGAAATTGCTGCTCTTTGACACCAATCAGGCGACTAAGCTGCCCCTCAAGCATAAAATACTCAACGAAATCAACTTTGGTAAGAACAAGGATTTCAAGACTAGATGGCAAAATCTCGCATAGGTCCATAGTAGGCTCCTCACCACCTGTGGAGTCCAGAAGATTCCGCACCGGCATACTCAATTCCTTCAAGGCCACAAACTCAACCAAGCTTCCAAACCAAGCCTGCGCCTTTACTTGATCATTATAATCCCATTCCCATTCTTTTGTAACACCGATATTATTTAGTCGTAGCACGCGCAGGCTCTCTTTCTGCGTTGAAAGGGCAGTGTGGAAAGGTCGACACCGGTAGCTCCGGTACTTTCTACTCCACTCAGCCTGATTACTGTGCTGATACTCGAAGTGTTCAAGATGAGCGCACGCCGCTATGAACCCGGGCATTCCGTGCACCACGTTCGACGCCCGTAGGACTAGCTTGCGGACCGGGGAGACACCTTGCGGAAGATTGAAAGAAACACCGAAAATGGAGTCTTCCTCCACGCTTTGGTCCCAATCAACAATATAGGAGAGGCGCAATTCTTGTATAGACGGCAGTTTAAGGAATGGGATAAATTCCCGTACCGGGAAATTCTCCTTGATCTCTACAGATCCCGCGGTGAGCTTTTGTAGATGTTGCAAAGGCAGATCTTTCCTGGGCGATTTGCTTGCGATTTTAGAGACCGCCCAAAGTGTACACGCTGTTTCTAGGCCATCGCCGCCCCAGCCCAGATTGAGATGTTCGAGATTGGGGAGGGAGATCAGGACTAATGTGAGCCAAGCAGAGGTATTGTTCACGTTTAGCCTCTCTTCCCACTTGGTTAGTTCCTCGTCATTGTCCGTGAAGCACTCTAAGAATCTGCGGAACAGCGCACGATTGTAGACCTGGGCCTCGTCGAAGTCATAAACATAGAAACTTGGGATATGGAGCTCGTATACGAGAAACTTCAGTTGGGGGTTCTTCTGGAGCGCTTCCGCTAAGTCGACTAAGGTTTCGGGGAAGACAATCTCAAGACTCGAGTACACTTTGGCTGATAGCGCCGCGTTCCAGTGCCGACAGACTTGGAGAAGTCGGACACGGTCTTGGATTTTTTCGAGTCCATCTAGGACGAGAACTAAGATCTCATTTGGGAGGAACGGCGTCATATCTGAGGTGGCTGGATCATGTTGAGGTAGGAATTGCACTATAACCGGCTTAGGCCCCCACCCCCATGAGAACCCCACTTAGAACATCTCTGGAGAATACTAACAGCCGCGTACTTTTGCACTGACTAATCAGAAGCTGACTGCGCTTTGTGATACTCTTCCTACATAACACTTGTTAATCACATTTCTTTCCCCCCGGCTTGTTTTCACATCCTAAAGAAGCCCTATAAAAACGCACCGCAATGCGTTAATGCACCTAGCTATTCATAACAGAAATAACACGGGGTAGCATGTATGCATTTTAATCATCAATGTAGTCACCTAAATCGTTCTCAGAGATCTACAGGCCGAGTGGCGCCATCAATCGAGAAGATTTGTGGAAGGGCCAGCCACAGACTCTTGCTCCCTGGAGTTTCTAGGGGGTTTTCCTTAAAATCAATACTCGCCAGATGTTCCTTGTCCCTCAGCTGGACCTCGATCTCTTCAAGACTTGATATCTTGTTATATGATGCCCACAGTTCCTCGAGGTGCTCCAAATGAGCGATATTCTCTAGGCACGGAATATGGTTCGATCTGATATCAAGCACGCGTAGGTTTGAACATGATTCCAACCCTGATATTTTGGTAATATAGTTACCTCCGAGATAAAGTTCTTCGAGGTGGAGAAGTTTCGAGAATCCAGCCATCGAGGTCAAACGATTGGATTGGAGTGAGAGAACCCGCAGGTTGATAAGGTTGTCAAGACTCTGCTTGTTGCAGTATATTGTTAGCAAGCTTCGATTTTCTGAGGAGAATGAGGCCTCGGTGGTAATGAACAGACCTTGATCTCTGTGATTTTGTTTTTGTCAAGGTAAATTTCCTGAAGGAGATGAAGACTGTCCAGGTTTTCAAGGCCCTTGGAATAGTTAGATCATGTATTATCACAAATATCAATCGGTAATCCGGCAAAGTAAGGTCATCTGAATCTTACCCTTATTCTGTTATCAGTCAGATCTAGGTGTCTCAGATGCCCGAGGGTGTCGAGGTTTTGAATCCTGGATATCTTGTTTCGGCCCAGGTACAGATCGGTGAGCTGTGTCATATGAGTCAGGCCTTCGATTCGCCTGATTTTGTTTAACTCCAGGTTCAGGTAGCGAAGTCCCATGAAGCCATCAGTATGTTTGATACATGAGATGAGATTGTCACAGAGATCGAGCGACTTTGTAATGGATGGAATCCGCCTGAAGATATTATGATCAAGTTTGTTTTGACGTAACGATAGTGTCTTGTTATGCGCCAAAGCAAGTCAGCACGACGTCCAGCTGCTAGAGAAACTTGTTACGAAGTGTAGACAGACCCTCAATCTAGTGAACCTATCAAGGTCGAGGGAACCCGCAAAATTGGCTCGGCAGTTGGAGAGGTCAATGTCCTATGCAAGTAATGAGAGACAGCCTTCTATTTCTTGAGTATCACACCTACCTCAGCACTGGAATCTTCGTCTTCCAGAAGTTCTATTTCAATTTAGCATGACATGAGTAACAGTTCATGATCGATATACCTTTGGTCTCGTCTTGTGACGATTCATCCGAGTGAAAACTCCTGGAGTCTTCGCCATCCTTGGACTGATCGTTCATTGCTGCGCTTGTGAGGATCTCCGTGTTTCCTCCTTCTAATGTATCACTGCCCTGATCAAGGTCGACAATTTCGAATGACTCTGTCAAATCCTTTGAAATTGGGACATCATGTTGGCGATCGAGTAGTAATTTGATGATCCTGCTGCCACATTCCTTATTATCTTCGGCGGCCTGGAATATTTCCTTGGTAACGGGAATCATGAGTCCTTCATTCACTAGGAGCTCGATGATTTCAAACCCAACAGCAGTATTTCTCATTGCAGCCTCGACCACGTCTTGAGTGATTGGGGGCTTAGAGTCTTGTGCTTTCAGCAAGAACTCCATGAGGTTGCCTTCATATTTCACATTACATGCAGCAGCAACGAGAGTGGTCTCTGTCAATTCGATATCTGGTTGCCGGTCAAACAAAATTTCGATGACCTCGTTATCATATCGCCGGACAATCTCCCTCACAACCTCTTCTTCCAGTCGCATATCTAATCTCTGATGATTGATAAGAGCAATAATCAGCCTCGATCCACTTCTGCTGTTCTCAGCAGCGGCGATGACAAGATCTTTTGAAAGCAGTATCCCTGTCTCTTGATACCTCAAGAGGGCTGTCAATATCGCCTCTCCGCTTCTCCAATTTCTGCACGCGAGTTTGAAAATGCCCGGCGTGATCTGTGACCCTCGTTTTTGTTGCGAAAGTAACGCACCCCCCAGGTCATTTCCTACCGCAGCCTTCAGGATTTTCTCCGTGACAGGAATGTCGGCTCTTCGTTGGTCGAGTAGGAAATCAATCAATTCTTCGCCAAACCTCCTTGTAATCTCTCTCTGTATTTCGTCTGTGATGGGAAGAAAATTCCCATGGCAAAGCAAAAGGCATACAACCACGCTTTTAGGAGATAACTTCGCCATGTCTAGTACGACATGGTGAGTTAACGGAAGTTTGAACGTGGACCGGTCGAGCAAAGTCAGAATTATCTCTTTATCAAACCTTCTGGCGATTTGTATCATGCCACCCTCCATTATCTCGGGCTCAGCACCGGGTCCCCCAAGAAGGAAGTTGATCACGTATCTATTCCGTTTGTTATCCGCAGCTGACTTCACAAGTGCCTCTGTAATGGTCATATGTGCCGAACAACGATAAATCAGGGTACTGATCACTTCTTTCCCACATTGCTCATTCTCTACTGCTGCCATGAGCACATCCTCTGAGATTGGAACTGTTACGCAGCGATCGAGAAGCATCATAATCAGTTGCCTTCCACTCCCCCAGTTCCCCGCTGCAGTTTTGATCATCGCCTCCGTGATTGGAATTTCCTCCTGGTATTGCGTTAAGATCTTGAGGACCTGGGGGCCACTTCTTTCATTCTGAATTGCAGCCCTGAAGACCTCGTCCGTAACTGGAAATAAGCCAGATCGTTCCAGCAAGACGCTCATAGTCTTGGCAATGTTCTTTCCTAAAATTTTGGCCACGATTTGACAGGCATCAGTTGTCTCGATGTTGGTGATTGCTTTCAGCAACTGATTGACGGTCTCTGGGAAGCCATGGACGGACGCTGCAACAAGCGAACTCCGATACATCCTTCCACTTGCCATCACATTTGCACCCGCTTCTACCAAGTTTGCCACTGTCGTGTGAAGTCCCAGCAACGATGCGTAATATAAGGGCTCAGAAACAGCTTCTAACTTCAGGGTGTAATCAAAACCATTCGGAACAGGAGCGTCGCAATTATGCAGTCGAAGCCAATTGATATAAGCCCCGGAGCTCTGTGGACTGAAAAGCATGTCAACACGACGTGTGATATCCGGGTATTCCTCCGCTTCTGGCTCCATGGCTCGAAAATGTTGATACCAGAATACCGCAGAGTACTGAATAAGGGGCTTTGTCGAGAGTATTTCTTCGCTTATATCAATTTTCTGTGTCTCAAGGAGTGTGTCGAGTGTCTGTTCGGTGATTGCGGCATGCGCTGATAGATTTGAGAAATAATACCATGGATATGCCTCATCAGGTCGCCCTATTTCATCGGCAGAAACCAGGAATTCCCGCACAGAGAAATGTGCGAGCTTCACAATCTGGTGGGTAGCATTCAGCTGATTCGTTGAGTCTTCATAGACTAAAGTGACCAGCGTGCTGGTACAGATGCGCAGCACAGATTCAGGCCGTATAAGATCAGCTGCCGCCGCAACCTCCTTCAACGTTAACGGTCGGAGGGAAGTGGTCAGCCAGATGAGGATCCGACGAGCGATAGAAATGTCTTTTGGTGATATGCGCGTAAGCGTCTTTCGATAAGTATCTTCCAGGCTTTGAGGCATTGTGCGCAGATATTCACGGATCTGATCGTGTGTATGGCATTCCTTGAGCCTTTCTAGTTGTAGGTCAGTCCACAAGAATTGGCTACATAGATTAGCACGCATGCTATCTGCGAGGAAGTATGAGGACGACCTTACCTGTCTGCAATTGATAGAAGTTTCTCCTTAATTTCCATTTTGATAGTGTCAGTCCACCCATTAAGCCATCGATCTCCCTGTAGCGCATTTTCCACGAATTTCTGCACATCCCTCTTCATATTGAACTCGATGTCAAGCCCAGTGTATTCCAATAATGCATCGTGGATGTCGGGCTCAGGTCGGCTAGTCACGATTATCCTTAATCTTTGACCGTGTTGCTGCATGAGATGCTTGATGCACCCGAAAAGGATATCTCGTTCATGGCGGCGGTTCATGTCTCGGGGGCACTCATCTAAGGCATCTATAATGATGTAGACCTCATCAAGGCCACCAATAATACTATCAAGGAGCTCGATAAGGATTTTGTCATCTGGCTCCATTGACCGGCTTCTGTGCTGGTCCCACAGCTTCCTTACTGAGGCTGGAAGGGGAAACGGGGTCAGCTGTCGGATAAAGGACCGCACCATACTGCTGACGCTGAGCGTGACGGCGTCGTCAAACCGGAAGTACCAGTAAGCAAGTCTCGTGTCATGATCGTTTTGTTGTGGCATATCGAGGGCTTCGATGACGCGTGAGCTATTCATGACGGTGAGTATTTATCTGTCATGGACAGGTTCGATATGTATGGCCAGCCATACCAGAGACAGGTCTTTCCGCACCCCGCTGAATGCTCATAGGGTCAGCATTGCTTTTGATAAGCAGAAGCATGGAGCAGACACACGCACCAACCCCGAAAAGCCACAGAAGTGGACATGCCGAACTTTGCCAGCGAGTGAATTCATCAGATGCCAGCAACCAGTCACCTGTGCCTGGAGACCTGCGAGACTTTGCATCGTTATAGATTGGCGAGACCTTAATTGGCGACATCCAGGCAAGTATTCTTTCTTCCTCAGCACCTATTGATGTATTCTCATCAACACAAGACAATAAAATCGACAACATCGACAGATTCAATCATACCCAAAACTCTTGATTCAACTCTCTGGGCGGTCTGCACTGCTTCGCCAAGTAATTCTTTCATCGCCACGTTCGCAGTCTCAGCGTTGACCACTTGGTTCTGCGGGATGAAGTTGATCAGTTCCTTTGCGAAGGCGGCCGCAGTGACAGCGGCGTATTCCTGCCACTTCTTGTTCTTGTGAGAGTCGGCATAGTCACAAATTCCTCGAATGACCAGACAGGGAAACTCATTCATCATCCCTGCAGCCTCCATTTCGAAACAAAGAACTCCCCCAAGGCCCCTACTGATTTGATCCCTCATCGCACCATCCTTGATTACTTTGTTCCCTGAGGCAACGGCTCCATAGTGCACCACAAATTCCTCACGCGGTGGCCGTTTGATAGCTCTTTTCGAATCGCAGCGGCTACAGTCCCCTCCTTCATCGACATGATCATGAATAGCGTCAAAAAGCACGTCGACGAGGGTGGCTCGTTCAGCAAATATTTTTAATTTGGGGTACTTCCGCAACATTTCCGCAATATATTCGGGGACGCTACTGTCACTCATCTGATGAGTTGACTCCAGCTTGGCGATGGCTGTCCGCAACAAACGTGGAGATGTATTCAGGGCGCCAATACGCTCAAACAGGCCGCCTTTAGCCGCCTTCCCAAAATCCCACTGCACCACGCCTCCATGGGTACCCACTGGGGAGCTGACCACGACATCACCAAGACGGATGTCGTTCTCCTCACTAGGCACACCGCCTCCAATGCCAACCATCAATCCGAATCGGATCTGGGGGAACGTCGCCAGAAGACGAGTCGCTACACTTGCTGAACTGTTATTCCCGATTTCGCCTTTGGGCAAAGAGGCGATGACCACATTGTGCTCGCCGATGCGCCCCAGGCAGTATGTATTGGGGTCCGCTGGTGGCTGTGGAAGATCTGGGTGCGTATCATCCAACATTGCCCGCGCTGCTGTCAACTCTTTTGGTAGAGCACAAATCCAACCTATGGTATATGCTTCATGCGTGATGGACGAAGAGGTCACATCTTGAAGTGTGGCCTCCATCCTAAGCGGGAACGAAAGCTGCAGTGGTCACAAAAAAGCAAATTTCTTGGTGGTGACACGTAAAACGGTAGGTCATGAATCAACATACATTAAGAACGCTTATAGGTATCAACAGCACGCATATTTTTACTCAGATCTCGCATGTGCTGTTATGTGCCCGCAATATCACGTGTTTGCGCTCTCATTGGCTTTGGATAACGCCCAAGTAGTTTTCCCGGGGCCACCTATAATGAAGAGTCGTAAGGCCCCGCTGCGGCCTCGCACCTCTAAAGGAGCCCCGCTCAGATTATCTTCTAGAATCAAACAACCTGCTTTTACACCCGCTCGACGTTGATGGCTGCTATAATAAAAGATCATAGTACAAATACATACTCTAATTAACTTGGTAGACCAGGGAATAAACAAAGGAATATATTCACCACGCCAGTTGCTGTTGATCAGGCCAACGCACCCACAAGTATGTAGAGCGCCCACATCCTGGGTCATGTGCATATCTTGTTGAATTTGAAGCAGCGCGTTATGAATAGCTTGTGCCACCGCCCGATTGATATCTGTGTTTCTGGCCCGCTTTGTGATCAACGAGGTATAAAAACGGATAGCCACACGGACGCAAATCTCGTCATCCACCGACCATAATGAGCCAATGACGTGAGCGAGTCCCACAATCAAGGAACTTCCTGGTAATATAAGTGCTTTTATTTGCTAGAGTCTTTCAATTTAAGAAGCTGAGTGGGCCCGTCGACTGATCCGAAAACATGATAATTCACATCGGTTTCCTTAGTCTATCAAGACGAGGACGATGTCCTTCTGTGGTCAAAAATGGCCTATTTGGAGTTCGAGCCTTTTTGCCTTTGGGTACCCTTAGTGGTTGGAGTCTAGATCGATGGTCATCGAGTGACTCTGTTTCGCCAAAGTTGCGTCCAGGGCTCCAGTGAATCACCAGAACTCGCAGTATAGTCGCGGCTCCTTGTTCAGCAACTCGTTGTATTACCTTCCGAAGGCAGGACACAAAGTGTGGAATATAGTCTGACTCTATAGCGCTGGACTGTATGATAAAGTATACCACTTTGAGCGAGCAGAGGACATCGGCAAGTAACTGAACGTGTTCCTTCTCGGAATGCGCATGAAGGAAGCGATTGACATCCAGTGGCTGGTCATTTTCCCTTCTGAGCTTGTTGACAGAAATTGCAGCTTGGTAAATAAGGCTTTTCAGAGCGTCGATAGATGAATGTGTTTCATCACGGGGTTTAAGAATCCAGAGGCTAGCTAGTCCAGCCTGCAAAAGCTGTTGAATTACATTGGTGCTAAAGTCTTGGACAGACTGTCTGTCGGCAATGCGGACTCTTAGTATAAAGAAGGAAGATGTCGGCGACTGATTCCAATCTTGAAGATCGCGAGACTTCCAAAATGGCGTTGATTTGAACGCTCTTCGTCGATCACGTTGACTTTTCGATGCCTGTAGGCTCGCTTCATAATCAATGAGACATTGAGATGACAGAACATGAAGAGCTTGAGTAGACTTAATATCGCAGACTGATCGATAAATTTGTGATCGTTCGGTCTGGGCAACGACGTGCCCAGTATTGATATCAATCTTTAATCCCGAAATTAAACCCAAAAGCTCTTTCAACATCTGTCGCTGGTCTCTCTGTTCAGCACTGCTCACTCCGCTTGTCACCTCAACTGCGTTCCGAATCGCAATAAGTTCGTTGTGCATATCGCGCTGCTCGGCTTGACTCCCGGCTGTTGCTTCCGCCATTATATTACTAGTGGCGTGAGATATCTCCTCGAGAATGTCATCGTATTGGAGACCAATAGGCTTTGTCACGACGTGCAAGGCTCGTTTCCAAGATCCTTCTTCGTACCATCTGAGAGCTCTGATTAAAAACTTGATTATGCAAGCATAAAGTATCGCGACCATTCTTTGGAGAGATTTGGTTGGATATAGCACAGAGACTAGCTTCACCCGAGGGAGAGCATCCGCGATGTCAAGTAGACTGTTCGTGATTATTGAGCCCATCTTCTTGTGCTCTACAACGGCCTGTAGGAGGCGAGAAGTCAGCCAGGTACTGAGGCTTTGGAGCTCACTTCCTGAAAAGAACTCACTCCAACTAATAATTTCATTGTTCCCCAAGCCAAACAGACATATTCCGGATGTTGTTGCACAAGAACATCCATGATATTGCCGTAATGGTGTATGCGTTCCGTAACATGCTCGAGATACCTCCTTATCTTCGAATGCGACCGGTCTTGAGTATAGTGTTGTCTCGCCTGATTGACTGTTTGAATAAGATCATTCAATTTCGTTGCTTTGATGCATTCTAGGCGACATTTCTTTTTCGGATCATTAGTGGCTTCTTTTTCAAAAATCTCGCAAGCCTCTTGGAAGGCTACTTCGGCGGACTTGAAGGCATGGGAGCTATGCGAGATTAGAAGCGTTTGCTATCGCGTGGGCTTTGGGGTTTTGCTCGTACCCGCTGGGCATGTACCAGTCACAATACTGTCTGGTAGCCATCTCGAGGTTTGAGAGACCTTTGAAACCTCTGTCGCTCAAGCATTCTCCTTCGACACTCCGAGCCCTGCTTGAGTCATTTGATGCTTAGAGATGTGCCCCCTTAATCGCTGTAGGTCGATCGGTCGGACCATCACCCCTATCTGCCTGAGCGCCACCTGCAGTTGCCCCATGTGACGAATCGTGCAGAGTGGCTCATCTAGCACAGCCCCGTTTTTAGCGACCCAACATGACCGCCACTATGTGGGGTCTATCTGCGGTGCCGTGCGACCAAGGCTATTCAACGCTCCTGAATTCAGCAAGGTGGCCCTCTTTGGCATCCGAATCGGATCAGGTCAATATGATGAACCGGATACCCCCGTTACCGGGATTTCCCATTGAATCCAATGGCGGTTGGCCTGGATCTAGCAGCTACAGTCCTGATACCAGCAGCAAATCCCGTCAAAGCGATCAGTCAAAGCCAGCAGAGACAACGCAATTGACCATTTCGGATGATAGGACCAACCAGCATGATATAGATCAAAGAAACCTTTCTGCATTACGCCATGACAAACCGAAAAAAGAATGGACCGAGCTAGGGACTATAAGTCTGGCTAGCGCGGACTTTCCACAGCAGCTGAGGTTGTTACAGCAGCAAAACAGGAGAAGAGTCAGGCTCGCACGATCAGAGCAAATTTCTATGCAAAAGGTGGTCCAGAAGAACCAACAAAAAGCACCACAGCGGATGAGAAATGCAGATCTGAAACGAACACGGAGCCCTTTGTCTGGCACTTATAGAAGCACTACAGAAAGTTCAACCAGTCAGAGCTTCTCGGATGCTATCAGGAGATCTGCAGTCTCCAATGGAACAGTCCGACCAGCCCAAATGCAACCTGACACGCAAGACGACCGCCATTGCACAAAGGAAGTTCAAGCGTTGCGAGAACAAATGTCTCTTTTGGAAGCAAAGCTCAGTCAGTATGAATCGTTGGGTGAGAATCCACGCCCTCCCCGATTCCAATATCTATATCGCTTGCGTCAAGCCGATGGCATTGATGACAATGATGATGACAACGAAGGCGAGATGGAACATACCTCAACAGTATTTTCAGATCCACCGGAGATTGTATATGATCAGAACGATAAAGGGCATCTTAAGTGCAGCCTAGCTCTTCGTGCATTGGACTTCTTTCTCGCCCTCCACCAGGACATTTCGTTTGTTGTATTTCGCGACTATGACAGTGAGTACGAAGGCGAAGCTTCCTGGGGGGAAGATATGCCGCAGATACCAGCTCCATTGTCTGAAAGCATATATCCCGTGGCAGGCGATCTGAAAGATGCTTTGAAGGTGTTCTTTTATCATGTTCCGGAGTTCCAAGATATACAAAACCGATATGAGTTAACTGGAGAGATTTTCGCACCATACCACTTCATGTACCACAGCCGGGGAAAACTTGACGAAATAAACAACAGGCTGCCTCGGTCCGCCAAAAATCAGCTTGAACTCCTGCTGGTGTATGTGGAAGAGAACTTTTGTCATGAATATGACATCGTGGACTCGCTTCTGAAAGATGAGAAGATTACAACTCGCTATATTGACTATCTTTTCAAACCGGGCGAAGTTGTTGTCGAAGCCATCGGACAAGATTATATTGGCTACGTTGCAAGCTCATGGTTGTATGAGGGATCGAGCCAAAAGAATACGCCAAATGCCTCCAGGCTTCCAACTTGGACTTTCGAAATGGCACAACCAACTACGAGAAAGCCGCTGGGGGGGGCAGAAGGGGGCTCATTCGACGCCACAAAAACCAAAAAGCAAACATTCTTCTGTAGATATCTCTAAGCGCCTGAATACCTGGACTCTGAATTTTGACGGAAAATTCTGTCGTTCATTCAAAACTTTAATAATCAAATTTCCCCATGGGAAACTCACGGAGGCCATGAATGACACCGAGGAACCAAGCTCATTCCAAGATATCAGTGACGAAGCTCAACCTATCTGTTGTCTTAGTGTGTTTCCATTGAGATACGCACCGGAGGCCGTTCGTGAGATATTGATACGGCGAGCGAGTACTTTCTGGAAATGCCGTGACAGAAGGCTGGTGTCTTACCACGGCGAGAGGAGTGGCGGAGGTGTGGATATGGTGAGAAGAGATAACTCAAGATCTATATAATTATACTAAGTAATAGCAGATGGATGAAAGATACATGATCGATATGGACTCCTACAAGAAGCTTCATCCATCTGTCTCCCCTCCACTGGAGTCTTCTACAGACTTGACAGGAATCAGCGCAGCGGCTATCAATGACCCGAACGGCAAATATCAGTTCCTTTTGCCACTTCACATTAAGGGTTACAATCTGAGACAAAAGGGATGGTTTGAAATTTCAGCTGATTGTATCTCGGAGGTGAAGTGGAATCGGGAAGCCTTCCAAAGCCTTGTCATGGACCGAAAATCGAAGGAACTGATCCAAGCTTTGGTGACTAGCCAGATCGAGGCTGAACAGGCGACTGATTTGATTTCTGGTAAGGGCAATGGTCTGATACTTCTTCTTCATGGAGGACCTGGGACCGGCAAGACTCTTACTGCTGAGAGCGTGGCTGAAATTGCCGAAAAGCCGTTGTATCGTGTTACTTGTGGTGATGTGGGAACAAAGGCAGAGCAGGTTGAGAAGTATATGGAGTCTGTACTATTTCTCGGGCGAATTTGGGGCTGTGTGGTATTGTTAGATGAGGCCGATGTTTTCCTTGAACAGCGAAGCCTTGAGGATCTAGAGCGTAACGCTCTTGTTTCGGTGTTCTTGCGAGTCCTCGAGTACTATGACGGGATTCTTGTTTTGACGAGTAATCGAGTCGGCACATTTGATGAAGCTTTTCGGTCCCGGATTCAACTTGCCCTTCATTACCCCAATCTTGGCCCTACGCAAAGATTTCGCATTTGGCAAACTTTTATCGACAGACTCAGCAACATGTCCAATGACGAGAAAATTGACATCGATGACCTACGAGATCATCTGCATCTCTTGAAGGAGGGGAAAATGAACGGAAGGCAGATCAGGAATGTGATTACAACTGCTCGGCAATACGCGAAGTGGAAAAATGAGCCTCTCACATATGAGTACCTCAAAGACGTCATTGAAATATCGTGTCGATTTGATGGGTATCTCAGCAAGCTTCATGGGGGATTTTCGGATGATGAGATTGCCCAGGATGATGGTCTGCGCCTAGCGTAGCGATTGCAACGGCTTTGGTCAGGGTGGTCAGGGTCAAGGCGAAACTTTGTATAACCCGTGAGTGCAGGATCTTTGAAGAGATATTGCCTTTTGTGCACAGCATGTGGAAACATTTCAAGGCTCTCTTACTCATTTCAATATTTGAAAATTAGATTGATAGCAGTGATAGTAGTAACATTGAGAATAAAACCGAACTGTTCCGAATGTATTGACCATTCCTGGCGTACTGCGCTATATGCGGTACCTGAAATGTTGGTTCTGCTTGTCAGTGAGATCTTCAAAACCCTCCATTGCCTCCTCTGTAGAAGTTGTTCTATGCAGAAGACCTTTCCTCTCCTTATTCCTATTCTCAAACAAGCAATAGCAAGTGTAGATGATCTGAAGACCCATCGCTCCCGCGTATGAACCAGCAAGACCTTTGATGGCGGTAGGGTATCTTGGCGCCTCTGACGCAAGGAAAAAGTGAGGCCCTGCAATGTTTCCAGCGCAATAAAGCCTAAGTTGTTTGTAGGTAGTGAGCATCACAATTCGGAAAAGGACAGGTGGAGGGAGACATACACAAAATATATACCGAGCACAGCGCTGCGCTTGGTGTGACCCGCAGTGTTGAGACCTGTAAGTGTCCAATTCAAAATAACCGGGGCACCGAGAATACCCTGTAACCAACACATGCCGACAAGCGCGAATCTGTGTTCAATGTTGATTTTCAAAATGCCGATCAGCCCTGCAAGCCCGGGAATACACGACACTATGATTGCAGTCAGCGTAAAATAAACCCCCCTGACATCTTGATCGATACTTACGAACAATAGTTGCGCCTAGCATGTTGGGCAGCTTTGAGAGATAGCCAAACGAAATGACCATCACTAACTCGAAGGCGCCCACGGGAGTCTGCAACAGGCTTGTACGTAGGGGACTGTATCCAAATCCCTCCACTATCGCAGCAAGGAAATTTGCCACACCGCCGTTGAGAAGGCCATAGCAAATCGCCATCAGGTACAGAAGCCACTGTCTTGGATCGAGGAGTGCCTCCTTAATTTGAGATGGTACAATTTTGGGATGCTTCAGACCGGTTTTGTTGCGAGAGATTCGCCATACAGCAACGACCCGCTCATATTCGGTTAACATTTTGACGTTGTGAGGGCCATCCGGTAAGTAAAAGTAGACAACAAAGCCCCATGCGATAGTCATTGCACCAACTATCTGATACAAAGGCCACTATATTAGTAACCATATATGCGATGGTCGTCGCCAAAAAGAGATTGCTCACGAGGTAAATCAGCTTCCACTGTGGAACTGCCAGTCCCGTAGCATGGCCCGCCCCATAGGCCAGAAGGGCACCAACGATTGCAGAAATGCCGTTCACAGATAGCCAATAAGAGCTTCGGAGACTTTGCTCCTCACGAGTCCATAACATAGATGTCAACATGATAAAAGCTGGGGAGACAACTGCCTCTAGAAGGCCAAGGAAGAAACGTATGGCGAAGAATCCCGCGAAGTTGAAGACGGCTGCCTGAAAGCGAGACTTAGACCTGGACCTCTTTCTCATTGGCACAGAGAGGGGTGTGTATAGTTACCTGAAGCATACAAACACTGCCCCAGACAAATAGCATCACTCCAATCAGCTTTCCAACGGGGTATCTTTGCAAAAGGACCTGCCAAGGATATGCACCCACGAGCCAACCAAAGTACAAGGCAGACGAGACCCATGAATAGTCATTACCGACCATATGAGTGTCTTCTTGCAGGCCATACGCGTTGGAGTAATTAAGTCTGCAGATAGGTGTGAGTTTAGTAAGGTTGAGGAGTAGAAAAGTAGGCGAGCTCACGTCTGTTTATCAAGAAAACTCAACATATAAGTCATCATCATCTATCAAGTACCAAGCTGTTAGCCTTCGAGTTGGGTATCCAGGTTAAAGCCCAGAGAGAAGGGAGAAGTGAAGGATTACAATTGGTAGCACATAAAAGTCAAGTTTCCTGCAGACTGTCACAGAGTCTCTCTCCAGTTGGGCCTGGTCATACTGAAGGGATTGCTGGAAATACTCTTTACCGATCTCATTCAGATCCATCGGTTTGCCCCAAAGGTGATCTAGCCACCCGATGGACTTCTTGCTGCCATATTCAGGATCGGATGACGAGGTAATGGCCTCATCAGCCTCTTTGAGATTTGACATGTTGAGCAGAAATATAGCCTCAAATTAAATGCCAGACAGTATTTGTAGCAAGGCACTTTAATAAAAAAAGAAAATGAAGCAAATATTTTGGTCAATTCCAAATCACTATGAATGGGCTCTGGATGAATTTATATAGCATTATCAAGGCCGCTTACTTGATATGGTGACTTGAATTTGATAGATCATGAACAACGAAAGCGAGAGTTGCTGTCACCAGAATCTCCGCAACAACTTGGTTATCTTCAAATAATCCCCGCAACATTGAAAGATATGATACATGCTCTTAGCGGTGCTCACGGACCCTAGGTCGAGAGGCCGGGTCAAGCCAAAGGCTTGGCTTACTGGATCATGATTGTAAGTGGTTGGAATCACGGTAAAACGGTAAGACCTTAGATACCTTATCGAGCCAGAAGTGCTTGAAAAGCAATAACTACACCCGCATAGCATTTGGAAACAATACATGAGAAGACAGCGATGGATAAACATATCCTTAAATATAATGTGGGCCCGTAAGCAGACAGCCGATTGGTCCATAAAGCCTTATCTCCACGACCCCGCTTGACTGATAGCATCTGCGATAGCTTTTTTGATAGCTTATTGATTGAAAGTTCACCCACTTATCTGCGGCCTGCTGAAAAACAACGGTTAGGTGTAATGTCATATACTGGAGGCTGAATCTAGTGTTTAAATGGGGCCCATTCATTCGCCGAATCACAATGCACCAAGGAATGGGTCACACACGGAGTAGCCATTCAGATGCAGGAGAAATAGAGTGCGATTCACCCACATCTCTCACTGCACATGTATAAAGCACGTCGCAAAGCAGCTCAGGGTGAAAATTGACGGAACTCGAATCAAAGATCAATCATGATTTCAGCGAATGTCACCGAAACCCGCGTTATCAAGGAAGAGTTCTCGGCACCAGCCAAGTCCTGGGAAACCATTCGAGATGCAAAGCGAGAGGAACAAATTTCGAGGATTCCTGTACCTTGGAGACTCGAGGCTGCACAGTACCCTTCTAAAGGGACTATGGATATGCGACCGATGGCTGCTACATCTGGGATCCTCTCAGAGAGAGAACTTGAAATCACGGGTGAGGGGTACGATGCCACGGCTCTAGCCGCTGAGATTGCCAAGGGCACCTATACTGCTTTCGAGACGGTGACAGCATTTTGTAAACGCGCTGCCATATGCCAGCAGCTCTGCAGCGCACTGACTGAGATCTGTTTCGTCGACGCAATTGAGAAGGCGAAGAAGCTTGATGATCATTTCAAGGAGACTGGTAAGACTGTGGGGCCTTTGCATGGCCTTCCGATGACCTTCAAGGTAATGTTGTCATGGAATTTTTCCTCTCCTTTATTCGGTTTAACAATCATCATAGGAGTGCTTCCATGTCAAAGGGTATGATGCGTCCAATGGTTACATTTCCCGATGTTTTGATCCTTCAACCACAACCACCCCCGTTATTCAGGTGGTGGAGGATGCAGGAGCTATCATCATTGCAAAGACCAATGTTCCACAAACTATGCTTGTTGCTGAATGCGAGAACAATGTTTTTGGACGAACCCGCAACCCAATTGCCAGTCACTTGTCATGTGGTGGCAGTAGCGGCGGTGAAGGTTCGCTTTCAGCTTTCAGGGGAAATGCATTAGGCGTCGGGACCGACGTAGGCGGGTCCATCCGGTATGTTCTTTCATGCAAAGTTGTATCATGTTAGCGTGAAACGTTCAACTCACTACTTACTAACTCCGCTAATAGACTCCCTGCTGCCTACAACAATGTCTATGGCTACAAACCGTCACTCGGTATTCTTCCATTTATCGGCTACGCCGCGTCTGGGTGGACTGGAGTCAATACTGGAATTCCGGCTGTTTTAGGACCCATTGCCCATTCAGTACGCGATATGAAACTACTCACAGAAGCCATTCGTGCAGCACAGCCATGGCTGTTTGATCCAGCCGTGATACCCGGCGTGATGGAAACGCCTTACCCTCCACTGGGCCGGAGGCCTATAGTTGGTATTCTTCACCAGTCTGGTGTCACGCCTCATCCTCCTGTTCGTCGCGCCCTCCGAGAGGCACAGCTCAAAGTCGAGGCTGCGGGATATGAAGTCAGAGATTTCACGCCTACCTGCCCGGACTTCAAAGAAATTCGGGAAATCTCTAGCCAATTGTTCACTGTGGATGGGAGTTCCTACCCACGACGAGAACTGGCAAAAGCAGGCGAGCCAGTCGTACCCTCGGTGACTAATTTTGGCTTCTTTGATATGCCTAGAAAGACACACGAGGAGATGTGGCAGTGGAACACCAAGAAAGGTGCCATGCAGAAGAAAATGTTGGATGCCTGGCAGCAGCTAGGAATTGATGTGCTAATTGCACCGGCCGCGCCACACACTCCGATTACGCCAGATAATTGCACCTCCGAGTTGTATACGGTGGCTTGGAATGCTGTTGATGTGAGAAATACATACATTTTACTTTGTGTAAACAATATAGTTGCTGATTATGATGCCAGTATCCCGCGGTTATTATCCCGTTCACGAAAGCGGATCCTACACTCGACCCAAAGGATGACGAATTCAAGCCAAAGCATGACATGGACCAGAAGATTCAAGACATGTGTAAGCCTTCACGATCTGACTTTGAATAAAATTTTCCGTTTACTTATGTTGTTGCTCAGATGATCCGGAGCTTATGGCTGGTGCTCCTGCCTCCCTGCAAATCGTCGCCCCGAGACTACAAGACGCAGCCTTGTTAAGATACGCCGAAAACTTAGATAAAGTTTTGAATGGTGTCAACTAAACTGCGTATGTCAGATATAGATATCGTTTTTCTCGACCACAGATAGTCTATCTTAGGTTCATTGCTTGCATCTAAAACTAATAAGATTTGATTGCGTGATACGGTAGTCAGGACTCAGAACTATAAATATATAAGCCCGACACTGAGGATAAGCACAGATTGATTCTTCCATTCGATAGCAGTTAATAAGTATCGAACAGCTCTAAAAGGCCTTATCTATGCTATCTAAGATGGGGAGACGTTGAGCCGAGGTGCCGAGCTAATTAGTCAAACCTACTTTATCTCCGGCAAACTGGGATACATCAGCACGACATCGGATAAGGAACTGGATAACAAGTCCTACATAATGAAAAGATAAATCTTCCCCATCTGCAGTAGACGATCTTACTCGTCACTTCATTTTTGCAATGTCATCTAAGCCTCCACCTCGTTATCAGATTTGCCTTATCGGCTCCGGCGGGGTGGGTACAATCGCATCTCTTGTTCTTACAAAGTCCGGGCTTGCCCACGTCACCTGCGTCCTGCGATCCAGCTATAACCATATTTCCGAACATGGTTGGGAGATTGACTCAATAGATCATGGGAAGTTATCCGAGTGGAAGCCCGACCGCATTGTACGCAGCGCCGATGAAGCTGCAAAGGACGCAAATGATAGCCCGGTCATATACGACTATGTAGTCGTTTGCACAAAGCAGCTGCCAGGCATAAGCCCCATTCCGGAAATGATCTCACCAGTGGTCACACCAGAGAAAACAACAATAGTGATGATCCAAAATGGAATGGGAATTGAAGAAGATGTAATCCAGGCATGGCCGGGGAATGCAGTGATGAGCAGCGTTAGCCACATCGGAAGCTCAGTGAAGAGTCCCAACACCGTTGTTCAAATTGGCAAAGATGTGTCGAAGATTGGTCCGCATCTCCATGCTGGTATTGATGATTCCATCAGTATTGAGAGGTCGAAGGAATATGTCAAGATGTACAACATGGGAGGCGCAAGTGTGTGTGAATGGGTCGACGATATCCAGCTTGCGAGGTGGGAGAAGTTGTTATGGAACGGGACTTTCAACACACTATGTGCTTTGATGAGAATGGATGTTGGCGAGTTGCAGAGGAGCAAAGGGAGAGAGGCCATACTTGTTCCTATGATGTGGGAGATCTGGAATATTGCAAAAGCGGCTGGTCACCCCATGCCGGAAACAATTGTGCAGTGGATGGCATATAGGTTACCGGATGATTGCAATTACCGGCCGAGCATGTTGTTGGATCTGGAACATGGACGGCCGATGGAGCTGGATGTTATTCTGGGAAACCCCTTGAAGAAGGCCCTTGATTTAGGGGTCGATACACCGTGCATGAGTATGGTTCACAAGTTGCTCAAATTAGAAGAGTGGAAGATCAGCCAGAACCAGACATGACAGGAATTATTATTTAGAGTTCTTAGAAATGCAACTACTCAAAAACGTTTGACAATGCGCAGGCGAGGCTCATACAACATTTGTACAACACCGTTGCATGGTATTCTCAAGTGAAGAAAGAGCTGTACAATCTTGACTACAGCGAGATAGGGCCATTACATGCAGTCCGTGCCAAAAACATCCAGTCCCAATTCGCGCCTGAATTCCGTGCAGGCCATACTTGCTCCACACAAAAGGACTTGGTGCGCCTCGTAGTGGCCATGGGCCGAGCTTGGTGGATATCATCGAACAATCGAGACACATGAAGCCGATCCTCGGGCTTTTCCACTTCACAAGCAGCAATAAATAGCGGCCAAAGACAGAGTTTGATTTCTTGAGGTGAGCCAGAAATTTGAGCCACAATCTCGTAGGCCATGGAAAGGGCTTCTGTATCTGCTTTCGTCGAACTCCCTGGTCGATTAAAAAGGCGAAATAGATATAGTAGCGCTGCTGCTCGCCATGCATATGCGTGGAGAAGAAATTTTTGTGAGACTTGTATTGACATGGATGAATCGCGAATAGGGCGCCAGGCCATCAATTGAGCACGTATCGTTGCTTCCCTCTCGAATAAATTACTGTATCTAATGGCGACGTCATCAGACATCGACTCTTCGGAATTGTGTTTCCTATCGGTAATGAAACGATTATCCAGCGCAAAAGAGACATCTTCTGCAAGAGCCGAAAGCTTCGAAAGTATTGGAGCTAGTGTGGTTGTGAATCCCATCAATCGGTCAGCATGGCTCATGGAGTACTCGTCCAGCCAAATATGTGGGTCTATCTTCGTGCGTTGCATGCGAGACAGAGAAATGAGGAGGTCCTGGCGCGCCAATCCTCTCACGAAGTACTTGGTCATTCCATTCAGCTTCTTTCCCTGGCGGCGGTAGACCTCTAAAATGACAGAAGCGTTGGCAATGAGCGCGGAGAGTGCCGTCCCGCCATCATCAGATCGAGGGTCCACAAGCTGCGTCCTCTGATTAGCTGACGACTTCAATCTGGCTGGTAGAATCTAGTTGGTACCTCAACTCCACAAAGTGCAAGTAGCAACATCATAACCAGCTCCGGATTGCTTCCGTCCTCGTTGATTAGTCGTAGTCGACGGAGAAGGCGCATCTTGCGATTCAGCACTAAGGCCAGATCCATGGAATCTTTGACGTAGCTTTCTCCGATAGCTGCTAAGGAGTCGCCGACTGCGGTGGGACTTTGCTGTAGAAGGGATATAACAGCCCCATTCATCTCTTGCACAAAGAATTCGTTATCCATGATCATTTCAGAAGGATGTCGCATGAAGTAGACTTCGATGAAAGCTTTGTCTGCGGCCAAAACTTCATTCAGAGAGATCAAGCAAGGTCCTTTTATGATAGAAGGTGCCTCGGTTGATGCTTGTAATATCATTGATTTCATATAGTCTGCTGCGTTGGGGCATGTTGTCGGATTTTCCGTGTGAATCATCGCATTTTCGTCGTTTTGCCGGTGATCCGGGGTCTGTGTGGTGGCCGTGGAAGAAGTATCAGAGGCGGCTGACATTCGTCGCTTCGCCCCAGCTCTAGTAGTGCTAGAACGCCTGGTGGATAGCACATGGCCAGATGATGACCCACTGTATCCGCTGCACGGGCGGCGCCGGCGCGCACAGGTCCCACATGTCGGATGCACTTCATCGCATTTTATCTTGGCTTGCTTGCAGGAGATGCATCCTTTGCGCGATCTAATAGCCATGATACAGTCAGGAGACAGTTGGCCTTCGAGCCAAAGTAAACAGGTAAGAGAGCTCGCGACCATGAGAAATTGCGGGGTTACCAAGCCTTATTATAGCCTCGATCCTGCTTCCCCTTATCAGTGGGGCAACTGCTACAACGTATAAGGTGCTTCCAAACCCCTAGTTTGTCTCTGACATTTATCTTTAGACACAAAGATTCTAGTCGTCTAGTTAGGTCGTTTAATTCGGTTCATTACCCACAAGCAAGTAGTGAGGCAAATCTTACCAACCTTTTCGGCTTCTTGGTCTGAATTTTCGGCGTGTGAAAGCCTTTAATATGGCCCTCTTCTTCTGGTACCTTTATCGATGACAACGCGCCTGTCGCCCTGCCTTAGTCTCCGTTTTGCGCATTAGCCTCCAATATCTTAGTCACTTGGAGACTTAAAGCCATTCAACAAAAGCGACCTATGTAAGTATGTACCCCAGCAGGTTCACAATCATTAAAGAGGTGTGCTATTGATTCAAATTGGTCAATTGGCCTTGTAAGATGCAGTTTACTGGAAAGAGGACTTTACAAGTGCAAACCCCCTGCGCATTCGCCTAGTTGCCGAATAAAACTAACCGGCAATTGTTTCCTGATTAGCTAGCTGGACACTCGAAAAGCACATAGAAGATGAGATAGATGGACTTTAGTGTCAATCCTAGCATCGCTCGAAGAACCTCTTTCCTATGCAACTTGCCTTTTGGTGCAGCAATGACTTCATATATGCAGATACTGATAATCTTGTCAGATCCACGACTAACTAAGCAACTCGATCAAGTCATATGATTAGCATAATGATCAAACAGACATCACGGCATCACGACTCGGCATGTCCGCGCTGAGCAAAGCCCTTCGGCCTAGATATCTCCGGTGACAAGAGATCAGCCCTAAAATCAAGAACATCACGAGCACCAAGCAAAGCCAATTGAAAAGTCCAGCTACCCGTTTTCTCTGCGTGGATGGGCCGATCACTGGACTATTCAGGCCTAGTTCTATAAGCCCACCAAGAAGGCAAGTGCCGAGATGGGACGTTGAACAAGGCTTCGGGCCATAAAACCCCGAAGTTACATACAAAGCTCTGTGAGACCACGCGGCTTCTCCGGGAAATCCGATATCACCCCGCAGATATCCCCAGATCTGGAAATCCGGGGAACCCATGCGGGTAAACTTCGGGAGTAATGATCGGCCCTTTTAACTAGGGGCTTCCCATTCTTTGTGTCTTTTGTGTCTAAGGCTGTGTATCTTGGGTCTTGAGAAATACCTGGGCTTTTGTTTTGTTTTCGTTTCTTTTCCCACAAACGCCATCATGCAGAAGAAGGAGGAAACCAGCCATGTGGAGCACACGCTGGAAAATACAGCAGCCGATGCACCCAGTACGAATGAGCTCCGCGGACGTGCTATCCAACAACAAGAGCACAACCGCAGCTACTGGGAAACCCTCCGCAAAGACCCCCGTCTCCTTTTCTGGATTGGCGTCATGCTCTGGACGCTAATTGTCCGCGGTTTCGAAAACCAATCCTCCGGCTCGGTCATCAGCATCACAGAGTTCAAACGCCGATTCGGCAAGATAGACAAAGATGGATCCTACTTCATCAGCACAGACTGGCAGTCTGCGCTTAGTGGAGGGTCGAACGCGGCAGCCATTGTCGGCGCCTGGGGAGGATCCTATTTCGCGGATCACTTTGGTACCAAGCCCGTTCTCCTATTTGCATGCGCGATAAACATTGCCTCGGTCGGCGTGGAGTTTGCGACTACATCAATTGCAATGTTCTTTGGTGGGAAGATGATGAACTTTGTGGCTATTGGTGCTTTTCAGAACCTCTGCACTGCATATGTGGCCGATATCTCACCCCTTGCTATTCGAGCCTCAGTGATTGGTTTTTGCAATCTTTCACAATGTATAGGGCCATTTATCTCCGCAATCATGTCTTACTATACCTCTTCATGGGACAATGACTGGTCTTGGAAATCACTGGTGTGTGCTCAGTGGGGGTTCGCGGTGGTTGGATTTGTTGGACAAATATTCATGCCTGAATCCCCGGTCTTCCTTGTTCGGAAGGGAAAGTTTACTGCCGCTCGTGCGGTTCTCGGTCGCCTTTACAGTGACGCTAATGATGCGGAAGGGCACTTTGAGAGAATCAAATTGACTCTTGAGGAAGCTGAATCACAGAAGACTGCTTCTTATATGGAATGTTTCCGGGGTACCAACTTGCGCCGAACGATGATTGCCATGCTTGTGTTCAGTGCTGAACCTATGTCTGGTCTCGGTTTCGTGTCGAACTATGGCTCTCTGATGTACCAGTACCTTGGAATTGGCGATCGGCAATCATTTCTCATTCAGATTGGTGCTCAGATCCTATCAATCTCCGGTGCCATCGTTTCATTCTTGGTCAGCGATTTCGGAGGTCGACGACCAATGTTCATTAGTGGCTGTATTTCCTTGACAATTCTTCTACTATGTATGGGTATCGCGGGCTCAGTGAACACAACAGCAGGTATGTTCTTCATTTACCTCCCAGAGGCTCTTAACTAATACTCTTTAGGTACCACTGCTGCTGTAGGCTTCTACACTATGTACAACTTCGTCTTCAACGCAGGCGTGGGATCCAACGTATACGCAATTGCCGGCGAAGTTCCGACATCAATTCTGCGCACAAAGACTTCAGCCCTGGCTATTTCTGTCGAACAGGCGATCTACACCATGTGGTCCTTTGTATCCCCGTACATCTTCAACCCAGATTACGGTAACCTGAAGGCCAAGATTGGTTTTGTGTTCGGTGCGTTTATGCTGGGATACATTGTCCTTGCGTATCTCTTCGTTCCAGAGACACGTATGCGTACTTATGAAGAGCTGGATGAGCTTTTTATGAACAAGGTCCCCACACGGCAGTTCCGTGGTTATGTCACTGTTGCCGAGCGACGTGCGGCGGAGGCATATAATGTGGAGAACAAGATTAAAGAGGTTGAAGGAGAGGATGTATAGGCGTTTCAAGGCTTTGCGAGTCAATCTAGAGATTTTAATTGGCGAGTAGATAGTAGGTATTAACGTTTTGTTTATCGATAATGAGTTAAGTATTGAGTCTGGTTGGCAGCTTTTGATGAGTCTGGTTGGCAGCTTTTGACATCCATGGATTTTGAAGTTGTTGTAGGTGTATTCTGATATTTGGTCATAAATCATAACTGCATAATTCATTATGTGGGGCAAGCCAGCCAATCATGCATTCCTGCACTCGAAGGGAAACCGCAGACCTTCACCAGCGAGCTGAAGTGAATGACTAAATAGAGACGGGGATTGAAAATATGTGGCCTATGCGATATAGTGCAACATTCATGAAGCTTGAAATTGGGCATATCGCACTTGAGCCATCATCTTTTCAGTGATTCCACCCGACTTTTATTCTTTGCAAAGATCCTCAAGCAACTGCAGCATGCGACGTTGCAAATCTTCAAGGTCTGACCTAGACAGCTTTGTATCCATGTCGGAAGTACCATCAAGCTCCGCTGCCGATGCTGGGTCTTGAACCAGACTCTTTTTGATGACAAAAAATGGGATCTGGTGACCACGTAGTTCCGATGTCAATGCATCCGCCATCTGCACAGAAGCTTTGTAGATCTTTGTATCGTAATTTGTGAGCTCTGCTTGGTCCTCTTCCGTGGTCTTGGCACTGTTAGTATAATGAACAGTTGGCATTGCGATTGGGAACATACAGATCCTTCTTTTGATTCAACGGGTGCGCCAATCGATCGTCTGAAAAGCAAAATTAGCTTGAGTCTCACTGAGATTCGATATACTAGGCCTTACAAGACTGCATCTAGCTCTTTTTGTTTATCACCTCGAGCCCCCTGCCTCTGAAGTAGAGCCTCACGACCCTTCCACCATTGCCGTTCATGATTATGTTGGCTTCTGATTAACCCACGGATTCGAAGCTGGGTTTCTTCGTTTTGGCCCACGGTGCGCATGACATAACGTAATGCTGCAGGCCAAGTAGTAATTGTCGAGGGGTCAATAGTAGGAGTGCTCGGCTTTGGTGGATTCGAATGCGCCGGCCGAGGTGTATGACTTGGCTCAACCCTTGCCGGTCGAGTAACATGAGGCTGTAGTGATGGCGACTGAGGGGTTCCAGATGAGCTACCCTGAGAAGCAAGGCTGGAAAGTGCTTGAAGCACAGAGTTCAAATCCGGGGGATTAGAATGACCAGCCATGGTGAAATGGTATTTGAATATATAAAACTTCAATGACCAATTAGAGAAGAGATATTGAATAGAAAAGATTCAATCAAAAGTCCAAAAAGCGTTAGGTTGTAAAGTGAAGTTGTTATCGGGAATCGTGCCATAATTCGGGATGAAGCTGTTGTCCGGTCTTGGCGCATCATCCGGCCGCTGAAAATTTACCTTTCCATCTCCAAATCCCCGGTTTCATCCCCAAAAGCCGCGCCCTCGCACTCACCCCTACAAGCCACGCTCGAATCAGGGGACCGACGCAGCTCGAATCCATTAATTCCTTTTTCCCGAAATACAATCTCCCTTACGAGTGAGACGTCGCGACAATGTCCCGATCCGCCGCGGACGCAACGCGGTTCACGGCCACCGGGCCATACGCCAGCTCCAAGCCTAGTGGCACCCCATACAGTTTGCCGGACTCCATGAAGTCGAAGGATAGCGCGACACAGCCCAAGCAAGCTCAACCACTTGGCCCTGGCGGCAAGCCCGAGACTCCGAAGCAGAAGGTTGAACGACTCCGGGCACAGGCACGGGCTGCTCGGATGGCTCAGTCTTCATCTGGTGTGGATCGGTGGATTGAAGTTGGACGGCGATTCGCCAATAAGGCACACAAAGGCATGGTTTACTCATTGATCGCCGCATCGGGTATGTGCTCTACAAGACTTGATCCCCCTCAAGGGACCGGACAGGACACAGCAACCATACTCACATCCCGTCCTGGGCCTGCTACCATCTCCAGCCCTTGCATGCATCTTAACTAACATGCTCTGTCTTCATTAGGTGTCTGTGGTGTCCTTACAGTTTACTCGATGGTCTCGCTGACGATGTACAACCGCCGCCAACGCACACTTTGGATCGAGAGGGAGATGGAGACTCTCAAGCAGGCTCAAATCGCGCAGGCCAACGGCACCGCTAATGCCGAGCAGCTCGAGCTCCTCAAGAAAGAGGAGATCGAGGCGATTTACGCCAAGAAGAAGGCGGAGGAGAAGGCACAGCGCCCGTGGGCCAAGGCAAAGCGATTCCTCTTCGAGAAGATGAACATGGAAGATACCGGTGCCGCCGTACAGACTACCGCTGTCTCATCAATTCAGAGCGCCGAGCCCAGCATAATTGAAGCTGCTGATGTGAAGAAGGCCTTTGCCGATGCAGCTGTGCCCGGTCAGCTGGACGTGTTGGCCGAGAACGCAGAGAAGGCTACAAAGGAGAAGACTAAGGGCTGGGTTAGCTGGATGACTGGCCGGTAGAGAAATGTGGATTTGAAAGTGAATCAACAAAAGCTTTATGGGCGGGAGGGAACGAATGGACTTATAGCAGGCATGGATTATAACCTGCACGCATTCTCATTCCGGGTCCAAATCCTTGACATACGATGTATCGTCTCTTTTTTTTGCATAGCAGTTTGTGATGGTCTTCCTCGCAGCTTGCTTCCATCGTGGGGGTTTCTGGCGTTGTCATTGTTCTTTTCTTTTCCTCCTATCTGGACTGTGTTTCTAAACTGATTGTGGTTGTTTTGAGACTCGAGGGAAGCCCCCGTGTATATTGATGTACAGTACATAGAAAATCAGCTCCTTTCTCCTTCTCCAGTTTTATATCTATTATATCTGCCTTGTCAGCTTCTCAATAACGCTGAACGAAAACATTTAGTTGGAAAAAGCCGATACATATATCGAAATGAGAATTACTCAACAATATCACCATTCAGAGTTCGAATTTGGCATCTTATCTAATACCGTGAATGCAGTGTTCAAATGATCGATGTGCATTGCAAGGTTGCATGTGTTCCATTAACAATTCCCTAGCACAGATCTATACAATCATCTGCGATACAGGTAATAGAGGGTTACTCTCAGAGAACGTCAAAATCAAGACACGACCAGAGTCACAGCCAATCGCCACGGTGGTGCCTGAAATAGCTTTTAAAAACGGATTTGTTGGCCGGTACTCTGGGGGTAGCCATAGAAGATCTTGTCCGGCAAAGGTAATCCAGCGACTGTCATGGTTCAAACCATATCCCACCCGTCGTGGTGAAACCAAACCACCAGAAATGGCTCTAGAGGAAGCAGTGCAAGGCTGAAGATCAACTGCGCCGACATTCGTATGTAGAATATTCGGATTGACTTCATCGAATTGGAGCCATTCACAACCACCAACCTCAAGCCTCCAAATGCGCTGACCAGTAACCGCATCCCAGACATTGACCGCGTTGTCAAATGACGACACCGATGCGATATGAGTTCCATCACGAGCCCATGAGATAGAGTCAATGTCATTATCATGGGTTCCTATTGTCAATTTGCATTGGTTGGAAGCTAGATCCACGATTGTGATTTGCCCTCCTGCCCCTACTCCGAGCCTTGTCCTATCATAGGACCAAGAGATGGCGCTCACCTCTAAATCCCAATCGTGTGACGATACATATTGTCTGGTAGGCAGATCCCAAATCCGTATCGTGTATGCACTGATGTCAGTATCTTCGATAATCCTTTCTGTGGCCAGCGCAAGCCTTGTTCCATCATGGGACCATGCAAAAGATCCGATCTCCTCACCAGGGTATTCCAGTGTTATAATACATTGCCTGGTGAAGGGCTCCCATATCTTCAATTCATTGAATGCCACAGACGAAAGCCAGGTTGAATGAGATAACCAGGCAATGTAATCTACTGGCTTTCGATGTCCTGTCAGAGTCGAAATACATTCTCCTGTGCACTTGTCCCAGACTCTGACTGTCTTATCATTTGACGCTGTTGCAAGCTTTGTCTCATCACATGACCAAGCAATGAACTGCACCATGTCGCTCTGTCTATCGGATGTCGGTATTGATTGACCGGTAAATGAGTCCCAGATTTTGATGGTTCTATCGCTTGAGTTTGAAATTAGCCGGGTCCCATCCTGCGACCAAAATACATTCATGACTTGGCCAGTGTGGCCACTTAGAATAGATACGCATTGTGCTGTGACCGGGTCCCAGACTCTAACAGTGGAATCCATTGACCCTGTTGCAAACTTAATCCCGTCATATGACCAGGCAATAGACGAGATGTTTCTGTCATATCCTGCAAGTATCGATATACATTGGCCTGTGATGGGATTCCAGATTTGGACTCCCGCATCAATGGACGCCAATGCAATCCTACTCCCATCCTTTGACCAAGCGATGAATGTGGCAAAGATGTGTCTGGCTTCTCCTAAGGCCAAAATTCGGTGGCTTGTTTGAGCGTCCCATATATCAACGCTCCCGAATGAGACTGAGGCGAGACGGGTCCCGTCATATGACCAGGCAAAAGACCAGTATCTTTTGACATCCTCGAGAATTGAGATGCATTGACCCGTGTCCAGATTCCGTATCTTGATTGGACCATTTTCCGGCAAAAATGCTATTCGAGTATTATCATATGACCAAGCAATTGCCTTCACTTTCTCGTTGTCTCCGCCAAAGACCGAGATGTGTTGGCCAGTGTTCGGGTCTCGGATATTGATTGTATTATCACGGGATACAGAAGCAATTCGGGTTCCATCATACGACCAGGCCATACACCGCAATGCATTGATATACCGGAGAGTTGAGATGCATTGGCAAGTATTCGGATCCCAAATTTTGATTGTATTGCCTTGGTCAGGATCTAGACCCGACGGCTGGATTATATTGTCATGAGGGCCGAGCATTGATGCAAGTCTAGTCCCATCATGTGACCAAGCAATGGATATAATACTCATTTGTCCATCAAGCATCGAGGTGTGTTGACCAGTGTTCAGATCCCAGATTTTGATCTCTTCATAAGACGCCGATGCGAGCTGATTGTTAATATGAGACCAAGCAACAATACTGCTGTCTGCCTCGAAGGTTTGGAGACATCGACTCCAATATTCTTCAGGTGTAGAATTCATGTTCACCCACTCTGGCATGTCCTTCTGAAAACATTTTCTGGTCATGCTACGAGCTGGGCTAAATATCAAAGCTGAGCTGTATATCTGTAAAGGATAATTCTCGATCGCAGTCCGGTGGGATCGTATGAACCGTAATGCATCGTAAGCGCGGGTTGCCACCTCTCGCGATTTCCCCATCTTCTATCGCGATAAAATATTAGCGGTTATGTCTGGCGTGAATCAATCTAGCCTAAGAGATGAGCACTGACTCTAAGGAGAGCCTCAAGCTTCAGCATCGCGGTAATTCCCTCCGACATGCTTCCAAGTAGGGTGAGAGCTTCAAGCCAGTAAAGATATTTCCGTCGTAAAAAGATATCTACTGAACCCTGATCCGCAAGGTCACCGTGTAGATCTTCAGTTGGGTTGCAATCGTGAAGATGTTCAACCCAATGAACACATGCATATTTTATGCCTATCAATGGGTACGGGCTGGGCGTTTTGACCTCTGTGATCGGGAGCCCAGGGTTCTGGATATCGAATATGTCACGACGGAGCGTGTTTGACATAACACGTAGAGAGCGTAAAAAAAGGGTGTGATGCTCCCGCTCTATCCCTGTAGGCATAATGTCGGTAATTCCCCTAGTGAGAAGAAAGTCTTTTGCGGACTGGTGGACGAAAATGACCGTATCTTCGCGGAGACTTAGAAAGGAACCACAGAATGCTATGATCTCCGAAAGAGCATCGTAATCATCGATGATATCAGGAATGTCAATACATGATTTCAGCTCGTCCAGCGTTATAGGTCGGTAAACTGTTGACATAACTGCTAGTATGCCGTTGTAAAGCTCGGCACCTTCGGAGTTGCGAATCTGCTCCATCATACGTCTGTAAAGGGCATCAAGTTTTGGAGGGAAGGATTCTAGCTTTTTGAGGGCCTGCCACCGTGGGGTCCTAGTAAGATCATGACAGACCAAGGCCACCCAGAGGAAGGTACCATGCGCGTTTGATATTAGGTAGTTGGTGATTGCATCACGAGTTGGTATATTGTACTTCTTAGCCTTTGATAAAACGTAAACCTTATGTTGTATAAATTTGCCCACGGCTTTGGATACGGATGTCTCATTGAGCTCCAATGAGATTGGAGCCATGTGAAGCGCTGTGTGAAGATGCTCTTCGATATCAGGCCAGTTGCGACTCGAGACGATCCATTGTATCTGCGGATAGGCAGATGACTCTTGAACAATCAAATCCAGGAGATAAGGAAGGTCTGCTATACATTCGTCTAGGGCATCGATGATCAGATAAGTTCTCTGTATTGCTGGATCTCTTAAGATGTCTGTAAAAATCTTTGAGAGTGCATGCCATGCGTTTGTATCTTGGAACAACGTTTTTCCCGATTGGCTATATCGAGCCTTGACATGGCAGAGTAAAAATGGCTGCTTTTCAACAAGCGAGTATATCAGGCCACGCAAAACAGCTGTGGCAGTATTGATCCGCGAGTCGGTAGCTTGGCAGAAGAAAAATGACACATTTGCAGCTTCCAAAGTTGAGCTTAACTCATCGATTATGCCACAAATAAGCATTGTCTTGCCTTTACCGGGATCACCCCTGATCCAGAGCAGACTGCTTGGGCTGTTTTGCCATTGCTTGAATTCCTCGTTCTCCAGAATCCAGCGATACGAGTCTTTAAGAAGCCCTCCATTGGTGCTCTCAATGCGATCTTTGTCATCGCGAGGATTCGTTGTTTGAAGATCACGGAGGCATTCTTCAGTCAATGATGATCCCGAGTGTACTACACAGGAGTCGCACAGTTAGCTCGGCTCCATTTGAGTTATATCTTATGACCCACGGATCTGTGTGAGATGGCCATGATTCTCTCCAACTTGGAACCCAGAGTTTGTTCCACCAAAAGCTACTGTAGATGCCATGGTCAGTGCGAAGTGAAATGAGGACGATGCTGTAGGCGCTAGGCTACCCCGCGGTCAGATGTCAGATGACCATGCTGTTTGTTGTCATTTTTGAACACAATCGCGAAAGAACATAGAACCATCTTCTTAGGTTCCTTTAGACTTTGTTCGTATTAGCCAGGAAAAACCAGGACTACTTTCATAAAATGGTCCTTCAGAAGACAGAAACCTTACTCGCAATTTGAGGTGTCAACCTAGCAAGGCGCTTGCTAGAAGAACGCCACAATTTCAAAAGAACACTACTGCTAACCAGATTAGGGAAATAGTAGTAAATGTAATTCAGAGAGTAATATTGTTGAGTACATACCCAAGTACCTACTTGCTCACGTTGTTTTGTAGACTACGCTGGAATGTGAAGGTGATCAAAGACTGATACCCACTAAGCTTACTTATATGATGACTCTAATGAAGCGTTATCTCGTATATTGAGGTGAATTAAGCGAAGGTGATGCGATGTCCTTCGATATTTGAGATAGTATTTTTTCTGAATTACAATTACTGCGCCATACCAGATATAGAAATAATGTGGTGTCCAACTAATTTTGTGGTGTTCAAATAGTGAGCTCCACCTAGCAATCCTACTGTTTAGATCCCGGCCTCGCCCTTTGCGAGACACAATAACCATTATAAGCACACGAGACCAGTCCAACCATTCACAATGACTTCTAACACCCCACAACAGATCCAAGACAGCCAGACCACAGGGAAAAACGTCCTCCCACGTCGGTCCACCACTAACCGTAAGAGGGGAGGCCCCATTCCGCATTGGGAACCCACCGGCAAAGCGCTTTCCCCTTGACAAATTCTCACCACCACAACCCCCCAAACCCTGTACGACTGGCCCCTGCGCCGCAGTGGAGAATAAAATCGATCTCGTAGATCCTGTGGACACTTTAAATCAGGAACAGAGCTGTCATTTTAAGATTTTAGGGATTGGAGTGGGTCTGGGGAAAGCTCTGACTTTGTATACATACACACGGGCTTGACACCTGGTTTTTGGGGCACATACTATCACACACCTCACATCACCTTAGTTAAACAGAATATTATACAGCAATGATTTTTAGGATAGAGGATAATGTTGAAACCGAGAATTAAACGCTGCATTATCGAATGATAGAAAAGGTATCTATGTCGACCCCATGGGGAAACTTTTCAAGTACAAGAAACAAAACCCAGATTTTTATCCCCCCTAGGCCTTGACACACAATTTAGACATATCAATGATATAAAGATACTACTCTCTTTTCCTCGGGAATTTAGTGAGAGCCATTGGCACCATTCGACTTGGATTTTTGGAGGACGCGACGGGCGCGAACACCGTCAGCCAAATCCTCCAGGGTATCAACAGTCATCTCCCAGTTGATGCAGGCGTCAGTGATACTGACACCCTTAAGCAGGTGGGAGGGTCCCTCTGGGGGAACCTTCTGGTTACCCTCGTAGATGTTGGACTCGATCATAACACCGATGATACCAGACTCACCCTCGCGCAGCTGGTCAGAGACCTCCTTAGCGACGAGGGGCTGGTTGAGGTGGTTCTTCTTCGAGTTACCATGGGAGCAGTCGACCATGACAACCTCACGCTGCTTCTTGGCGCGCAGGGCCTCACGGGCACCGCGGATGCTCTCGCGATCGTAGTTGGTGCCCTTAGTGCCACCGCGCAGGATAACGAAGCCGTGCTCGTTACCAGCGGTCTTGGTAATGGCAGCCAGACCCTGCTTGGTCACACCGAGGAAGCGGTGAGGGTGAGCAGCGGCGCCGATGGCGTCAATGGAGACGGTGAGACCACCGTCGGTTCCGTTCTTGAAACCAATGGGGAAGGACAGACCGGATGCCAGCTCACGGTGCAGCTGGGACTCGGTGGTGCGGGCGCCGATGGCACCGAGGGAGATCAGATCGGCCAGGTACTGTGGGGAGATGGTGTCCAGCATCTCGCTGGCGATGGGGAGACCGGTGCTGGTCAGGTCAACGTAGAGCTTGCGCGAAACGCGCAGACCCTTGTTGATCTGGTAGGACTCGTCCATGTCCGGGTCGTTGATGAGACCCTTCCAGCCGACGGTGGTACGGGGCTTCTCAAGGTAGGCGCGCATGATAATCAAGAGGTCCTTGGACAATTTGTTGGAGAGCTCCTTCAAGCGGCGGGCGTACTCGAGAGCAGTGTCCGGGTCGTGGATGGAGCAGGGTCCGACGACGACCAGGAGACGGTCGTCGCGCTGTTCAATGATCTCGACGGCTTCATTGCGACCAGCGCGGACGGTCTTCATGCAACGGTCGGGCTGTAATTCATTTTTGTTAGATTGGGTCTGGATAGCGGGGTGTGGAACAAGAAAAAATGACTCACCGCGGGGATCTCAGTCTGCAAGTACTGAGGTGGCAACAAAGACTCGTAGCCGAGGACTAGGGAGCAGAGAAGGTGATTAACATGCTGAACAGGTGGTAATTGAGGAATTGAGGTATTGTAGATTTTGCGACTCTTCTACAGTGTCGTACTTACCACGAGTGTCCTCGTTGAATTCGTTGGTGGTGACGAGAGGCATGGTGGATTAGCGGGCCAATAGAAACTGTCGCAATTGACAAGTTAGAGATTGAACGTAGACTAGAACTAATGCCACTGAGAACAATGAAGACAAAGGGAAAGAAGAACCAGGAACGAAACTTACAGACTTGCAGAATTAATAGGAAATCAGGAACCGAGGAAAAGACAAGTGTGGAAATCCCAGTTAAAAAGAAGATGGAACTAAAAGTGGAGCCATCGCCGATGATTCACGGGTCTTAAGGCCCAAGGGATATTGGCTGAACTTCTCTTATGACAGGTCTTTCTGCAAATGCTTGAACACGTATTTGGTTTCTATCCCTGTCTTCCATCTGATTTATCATTCGTGGCTCCCTAGGATTAGGATAATATCCCTTCGGACCGGAGCAATTATTTGTCTGTACATGAAGTCTAGTAGTTTCTGTGCGCCGCGAGGAAATCATATTAGCCAATCAAGACCCACACATGGGCTCAGTGCGCGAAGATCGGATTATCACTGCATTTCTACAACGGCACGTCAGACCAAGGATTCAGACTCTGCTTTAGACAAGGATTTCGCTTGTTCCATTTCCAGTTCCAGAGTTAAGACCAGATCTCATTGGAATGAATTCAGATCTATTAAAACGTCAGTCTATGCATGCAACTATTTTAACTACATCCTTTGAAGATCTTAGTCAGTGTGACCTCAGAGGATCAGCAATATGGGTCATCAGACCTTAGCTGAGTCAAAGACTGCTCCGTCCGTTCACCGAACTGACCTGTTCAAAGTGACGAAACTGCATGAAAAGAACTCAACTCTTAAATTGAACTTGTAGTCAGTAGTAATGTAGCAGTCGGCCCGTAGAGAAAATGCTTAGGTTCTGCCACCTAGACTCCGCTCGGAGAAACGATGACGGCAACTGCCGACTTCAGCTCTCCACCACCTTTTTTCCACCCTTGCTTCCCCAGACTTAATTCTCCATGGTCCTTACACCTGAGCGATCAGCTCCAATTTGTGAGCACACCACCAGCTATGTTTGGGGTCAAGCGTCAGCGCGACGACGACAAGTCGTCCAAGCTTGCTCCTCAGAACAAAGTACGTTCATACCCACATTCGCGACGCGTCTTAGCTCGAACAATGAGCTTTGTTCAGCCAAATCCTTTAGTGCTCATCACTCACAATCACTGTTACAGAAGCTCTGTCAGCCATGGCAAACACCTGACCTCCCTGAGTCTCCGATCGACCTCGATCACAGTCCTTCCCGAGCCCCGACCTTGACTCCCGTGGATTCCTCTGATGAAGAAGCCAGCTCCAAGAAGCCAAGCACGGAAGATGCTTCAGCGGGTACTGCGGCAAATTCGGCTGAACTCCCATGGGCGCCGATCATTACTTTTAGCACCTCCTCTGCAAACCCACCCACTGCCCTGGCTGGCAGTCATGAGCTCTCCTGGTTTGTGAACTCCAACAACATGAGCACCACTCCTCTGTCAGAAATCCCTCACCCTAGTTTCAATCAATCAAACAGTGCCAGTGGGGCTTCCACAGCCACCCCGATGCGCAGCCCCGGGCCGGTCGCACACGATCTCATGAACACCCCCCGACCAGACCCAACGGACGATGTCGCTCTTGAATATCCAGACTATTTTATGCATGCCAGGCTTCCAAGCCCAGTCAGTGAGGACGACAATGATACGTCCATGAATAGTTTGCCCGCAAGCGACACGGACATGGCTGCATACTCGCACTCTCCTCGGTGGTCCCCAACCCCAGAATTTCCTGAGAATCCGGCATTTCTTACACCTGTCTTAACTCGCCGACCCACTCCACGAGCAATGCAGCTCTCTGAGAGCGCTTCCCCCAAGAAAGCGGCCATCGCTATGGGGTACCGTGCTGACTGTGAGAAGTGCCGGAACAAAGTCCCAGGGCACTACAGTCATATTATCCGGACTTAACAGACCACCCGTCAATCCTCGGATATTTTATTATGTCAGTCATCGTCTATACTGACGCGTTTTTATGTACCATATCATCTGCTTTTATGCCTGTTACGTGACACTAGATGTCTTTCGCATGATTCCCCGGCGTTCAGGTTCAAAGATCCATACGGACTACATGGAGTTTAAGGCATCTTGATTTACTGTTTCTTTGTTACCTTCACATTTTCTAGCCAATTCAAGATACTTCAATGACTACCGAGATTTCTTTGACATTATGTTTGTAGAGTTCGATCATATTCCTTTGTCCCGCTCTTCATATCTCATCACTCATCTCTCACTACTCACCTCTCATCTAACTTCTACCTTTCACACCCACACCCACTTCTGACCATCTCTTTCAAGTACTGTCAATCGATCAATCATCATGGATGAGCAAGTCATCAAAAGTAATCCTATCTTAAAAGTCGACAATATCGTCAAGGGCAACCGTCCTCGAGGTCTGAAGGCACGCAAGAAGAGGACCACCCAGAAGATACCGGTACGATTCAGTGAAACAGAACTCAGAACAAGCCCATCATCCTATTATTCCGAGCCAGACACGCAAAGTCCACTTTTGATTTTAAACTAATCTCAGCCTGCTGCAGAATCCGGTGGTAAACACTCCAGGATGCGGAGTTGGCCATCACCCACCGCTGCTCCCCAGCTACAATGAGCGCTGTGGATTGGAAGCCAACAATGAGAATAACAACGATCACCTCACACCAAGTCGCATTTTCAGCCCAGCTCTCTACCCAAACTACTTCAAGCCAGAAGACATCACGGTAGAATGGGGTTACTGGCGCTTCCTCGCCTGCTCAACAGCAACCATCAAATGCTCTGACTGTGGAAACTTCCCCTTCCACCTGGGCTGCCTAGTTGTCTCAATCGATGGTGAATGTCTCACCAAATTGCCCAACGAACTTCAACCCCGGTGTGCGATGGGAGTGTTCTTCGGACACGGCAGTGGACACAACCGTGTTACTAAGATCAAGGAAACCCCGAATACAGCGCAGGTCGCTTTGCTTAAGGCGTGCATCTCTGCTCTGATTGAAGTCATCAATGTCTGTGATGTCGATAAACCGAAGCATGGCGATGAATTTACCCATCCGCTGCATACGCTTGTTATTCAAACCGATTCATCATACATCTATCAAGGTGTGACTGAGTGGATGCCTAAGTGGAAGGCTAATGGATGGAAGAACTCGAGAGGTCGACCTATTGCAAATGAAAGTCTGTGGCGCCTTGTTGACTTGTGGATTCGTCATCTAGAGCCTACTGTTGCGGTGCAATTCTGGCTTGTGCCACGTGAGCTCAATTCCGTTACGCATGAGATGACAAAGTGGGCTTTGGAGAATTGAGTTTATGATTATTCTTGACAGGTTATGGATATGGGAGTTTGTGTGGGTCTCATGATGCACTCGGATACCTGGACTAGGGAGTCCGCGTTCTTTGTCTTTTATTTCTTTCATTTGCTTCATATGTTTAACGTGAATACTTGATAGCTATTGAGTTAAATGGTCTGATATCAAAGCCATTATGTTCCTTGAGCAATATCACAATATCTTACAATCGGACTTTTGACAAATAAATAGAGATTTACTTGTCAACCTATAGACTATTTTTAAACTTTATACTACTGTAGTATACTGCAGATGTCAACCGGGATCAGATTCGCCTCATCGGCATACATCCCGCCATCCGATCCGACCGGCTGACAAAGCAGCCGACGGCACTTGGTCGGCGTTGTCCATCCGAGATTATCTGGTCATATTATGGTCCAATGTGGGATCGACTTTTAGTAAAAAGGCAGCAAAAATCATACATTATTATAAACAAGGTATCTACGAAATATAAGTCGATTAATATAGAAATGGAGGTCGTTGCGGCGCAAGAAAGTCTATACTCCTACAGTACATAGTATATCCCCACATTGATGGGAGAGCGCTTAGCCGATCTTCAATGCCGGGCAACGGTACTGGTCAACCACACTGCATCCGACCCCGGAATTTCACCCGGCATTTTCCTTAAGAACCTCTTGCCTCGGGCGGATTTGTTGGGGAATTTTTTGGGGGAATTGCTTCTTCTCTTCTTTGATCTCTCCACTTTTGGCCTTTGTACAGTGCATATCATAGACATTGTCGCAATCTCAATTTCACCGACCTACCCGAGAACAATATATCTCGGCGTATCTACGATCTTTCACGACAATATTATAATAACTAGAACACACCATGGCCTCCCCAATTCCCCGCGGCCTGAAGCAGGTCCTCCAGAAGTCTCCTAACGACATTGTCATCCTCTCCTCCCTGCGTACTCCTATCACCCGCGCCAAGAAGGGTGGTTTCAAGGATGCTTACCCCGAGGAGCTGCTCGCCAGCGTCCTGAAGGCCACATTGAAGGCCAACCCCAACCTGGACCCGGCACTCATCGACGACGTGACCATCGGATCCGTCCTGCAGGAGCTCGGTGGTGCTAAGGCCGGTCGTATGGCCCAGATCCACGCCGGTTTCCCTCACTCCGTCCCCTTCAACACCATCAACCGCCAGTGCTCATCTGGTCTGGCCGCCATCACCGCCGTTTCCTACGGTATCCGCTCCGGCGCTCTCGACATCGGTGTCGGTGGTGGTATGGAGCACATGACTCGCAACTACGGCTCCCGCGCTATTCCCACCGTTCTCTGGCCCGAGCTGAAGGAGTCTCACTCCCAGGACGCCAAGGACTGCATCATGCCAATGGGTCTGACCTCCGAGAACGTCGCCTCGCGCTACGGAATCTCCCGTCAGGACCAGGACGCTTTCGCCGCTGATTCTCACGCCAAGGCCTCCGCCGCCCAGAAGGCCGGTCGTTTCGACTCTGAGATCGTCCCCGTTACCACTAAGACTCTTGACCCCGAGAACCCCGATGCTCCCGCTAAGGAGATCACCGTTTCCCAGGATGACGGTATCCGTCACAACATCTCTGCTGAGAAGATGGGCACTCTCAAGCCCGCTTTCAAGCCCGATGGAGCTAGCACTGCTGGTAACTCCTCCCAGGTCAGCGATGGTGCCGCTGCTACCCTTTTGATGCGCCGTTCCACCGCCGAGGAGCTCGGTCTTTCCGGCTCTATCAAGGCTCGCTGGGTCGCTACCGCTGTTGCTGGTTGTGCCCCCGATGAGATGGGTGTTGGCCCCGCTGTTGCTATCCCCAAGCTGCTTCAGCAGGTTGGTCTCTCCGTTCCTGATGTCGGTGTTTGGGAGATCAACGAGGCTTTCGCTTCCCAGGCTATCTACAGTGTTCGCAAGCTCGGCATTGACCAGGCTAAGGTTAACCCCAACGGTGGTGCTATTGCTCTTGGTCATCCTCTCGGTGCTACCGGTGCTCGCCAGGTCGCTGATCTGCTTCCTGAGTTGGAGCGTAGCGGCCAGGACATTGGTGTTGTCAGCATGTGCATTGGTACCGGCATGGGTATGGCCGGTATGTTCGTTCGCGAGTAAAAGAAAAGTTCGCATTTTGAATTTTTGATGTATGGATCTACGGTTCTGTTATAGTATGATATCAGCGAAGCATGTATATACAATTCACCCACTTGGGAAAATCTAAGTGACAAATCGATCGCCGAAGACAAGGTTTTACTACAAAACCACGTTTTGCGTAGGGTGCAGGCCAAAAGGTCAGCATTATGCAAATTTATTCTCTTTTGTTATATTATTCTACGAGTGATTTTATGAGGCCATTCTGGCGCAGTGAACGCGACAGAGTGCCGCCCCAGACTACACGGGGGAAAGGCCAGGTACATATTTGTATTAGCCTGATCAATTAAATTATCTTGACATAGCTAATAGTGATCCAATTAAAATGAAGTTAGATAGACATCGGGAGTATACGCTATCAACGCCAAGACCTTCACGTGACCCAGAGATTTGTTTCGCCGCGCAAAAGTTCAAGCATCAATCGAAACATCAAAACCAACCCACACCACAACCATGCGTCCAGCCATGCGTATCCCCCTGCGGGAAGCGCTATACGTATGCTCAAACTGCAGACAAGAAGCAATTCCCCGCGTGTCCCCGCTCGCCCGTCAATTCCGCCGCAATGCATCCTCCGGCTCCTCCGACTCCCCTTCCTTCCTCGACCGCACCCGCCGCCGACTTTGGAACACAGAAAAGCCCCCTGGCGCAGAGGACCCTTACACCGGCGAGTCCCAATTGACACGCGAAGAGGGTAGTCTTGCTGCTGGAGAGGCTGTGGAGGAGGGAGATCTGGCTTCGGGATCTACATATGTGCAGGCTGAGACCTGGGATGGATTGGATGTTATTGGATTTACCAAGGAGAAGGAGTGGTTGGCTGATGGGCCTAATTCAGATGCTGATGCTTATGCTCGGTATGTTTGGTTCTGCGCGGGTTGATTTGAGGGATGCGAGGATCACGAGACCGATTTGCTAACCATTGATGTGCTTAGGTACGATGCCGATGTCAAGCCCCGGGCACTTCCTCAAGCCGCTCACCAGGCTGCTGTTGAGATCTCTTTGATGCAACTTCTCGGCAAGCCTCTTACAAGCGTTTGCGAGGTTGCCACGCACGACCCCAAGATTCAGGATATGCTTAATGGCTGTGTCGTCTTGGGCTCTGAGCCTTTGGGCACTGCCCTGCGGTTCCCGAACCAAGACTCTATGGATGCGCTGGTCTTTGTCTTCAGTCAGATTGGCGGAAAGACAGAAGCTCAGATTGAGTCGCCGGAGAAATTCATTCTTGAGGGCGAGCCCGTGAAGAAAGTTACCCAAGGACCTCACCACGCTCTCTCATTAACTAACTCCGAGATCAAATTTGCCGTTCGTTTCCCCAGTTCCTACCCCAGAAGATCGTCACTAATATTCGCAAACAGTTCGCTAAGCGTTGCTCCCAGCTCATGGGCCGCCGCATCCCAGACCAGGTTATCAGCTCCTCCGCCACGGTTGGAGACTTCGTCGCCGGTCTTTCCACCAGACTTAAGGAGAAGCCCGTGAACGTTACCAAGAAGCTGGCTAAGGTCAAGGCTGCCGGTTACCTGCCGCCCAACCTCAAGTTTAGCGGTAAGCGTATTACCAAGGCTGATCATGACGAGGATCTTGGCCGGAAGAAGACCATCTACTCTGAGCTCCTCAACCGGGGTTTGCTCATCTCCAGGGATGAGACGAAGCCCAAGGCGTTTCGCTGATCCGCAAGCGTGCAGTTTGCAATTAGCGGTTTGAGTTTAAGTCTGCTCCATTGTAAATATCTGTGTACAATAGTGCATGAGATGTGGAAGCATGAGCTTTGTTGGAAACCTGTTTTGATATCAGGATATATTTGTGTATACTAGAAATATTTTTTGCTCAATTGCATTTCGATTCTTTGAACGTCTATGTGACTGCATCGTCTGCCTGATTCTGTCATGTTATTTTTTGGAAAAGTTCGATATCCTTAAAAACTTATCATGTCCGACACTTTGGCACCGGCGGATCCAAGGCACCCTGGGGCCATTATGAAATTGCTCTCCTGGAAGAGCACCTGTCGTGAAAAGAGGTCGAAGCCAAGCATCATCTATGTCTGCACATGTGTTGAGCATCTCCTTTCTCGATATCATCATTTAAAGAGATGAGTGACTCTGAATCTAGATTGAACCTAGGAAATGTGTGTGGCAAGTATATATATTTGATGATGGCCATGTTGATTTTTGTAAGGTCTAGGTTATATAATGACGGTCAAAAGTACAATATGACCCACCTGGGCAATATGTATCCATGAATTTTGGAGACCGGCGATAGGTATCACCGAAGTTTTTCTAAACACAAATTAGTCATTTGACTTATATCGGCACCTGGCCTGCGTAGGAAGGCTAGATAGGCCGTGTTACTAAGGTTATCACACAACGTCAATTACATTACACGGAAGATCGCCCGCGTGATCCAAGGGTTACTATGAGAGTGAGATTGGCTGTTAATTGCCTTCCAAGGTTATAGAAAGCTTGATATGACGGCCAGGTTTATCATCGTAATTAAGGATTAGGGCTTCGGCCCAGGAGGGCCAGCTCACCAAGAATGTCATCTTCGCAGACCAGTCTTCGCTGACTAATTAGTCACTCAACCTTCAAATAAGCCAGATATGTATTTGAGTGGTTACTTAATCACAGGATCACAGCATTACAAGGGAGGGAGGATGGCCACTAAGTGGGCGCCGTTTCTGGTACCAGGAACTGTCAGTTTCGTCAATTTCAGATGTCCTCGATTTCATATGTAAATCAGAGTCCTGGATATCAAGCCATATAGTGTGCATAACTATATCTGATCAGCAACGGAAAAGCTTAAATAAACTCCCCTTGAACTTCAGACCAAACTTTGGAGCAACAATATCAGGCACAGACACAAAACACACACAAAATACTTTCCCCCGACTGCAAAATCACTTGACTCAGCAGAACGACTTGAAAACGCGACATGAATAGCAAATCGTTTTTCAGATTTGTGGCAATCCTTTGCTGCGTAAGTGAATATTGACGGTTCTTAAGTTGATAATGTTCTCATCCCTTGCCTGAGAATAAGGTAATGCGCATGAGTCAACATGGGAGGCAGGGGCTCCGACGCTGATGCTGTCAGTTTCCCGACAGGAATTTGGTGTCTCCGGAATAATCTTCAGAGTTGTCATCATCATTCTCATGCACCAGGTGATAATCTTGACGTAATGCATGTTGGATAGCACGGTCAACTTCCCCTTCACTGATATCTTCATCAGAATCCTCGTCGTACATTTCCATATCTTCCTCCCGACCCGCGGAGTTGACTGTCACCCACAATGGTGATTTTGAAGAAGAGCTGCTGGGCTCGGACATCGCTGATCGATCTCCGGCTCGTGGAAGTTTCGATCTGTTCCCATCGTCACCTAGGATTGTATAAGTGCCAAGCTTATAATCTCCTCGGATACCGGTGTCATGCATTCTGTGCCGACTGAGTAAGGTATGGTAGCTGGTTCTTCCTGGTACAACCAGGGCGGCAACCACTCGGGTTATCCCATGCAATTCCACGTAGATCCACACTCCATGTGGCACGATACTTCGTTCTCCGGTTGAAACTTCCATCACGCCTCCGAACAATTTAATAGTGCGGGATTGCAGAGCTTCCACCAAATATTGAGAACCAAATTTGAAGTGAACCCGCCATCGATCAGGGCCTTGGTAGTCTTCACTCCCCGAATTCGGCCGTCGTTGCTCATTGAAAAGAGATCCGCATATAGAATAATTGTGTAGCCTTCCTGTCAGTGACGATGGCATCGTTGTGGTCCTGGTTCTTTCGTTCACTTGACGATTTTGAATGAGAGTGAAATTGGTCAGAGTGAGATGTCAGGTGAAGCAGCTACTTGGAAAGCCTAAACTCGGTCCTAGTAAATTGATTACAAGAAGACGTTGAATATGATGACTCGGCATATATTCAGAGGCATTCTCGCAAGACATGAGTACTCCACTGTGTCGTTAGCACCTTTGCGTCAGTGCTTCTCAAATAGTGCCATCATAACGAAGCTTGGATTGCGCGTTCATTCTTCCAAAGAGGTTGTTCATCCGCATGTGTTCGACGCGCCATACCTGCAGCAACGTCTGCCATAGACTTATGTCGAAAGGATTCCGGCAACCGAACTTGGGTGAACACACGTGTGCGGCTTTCTTCGGCTTGGCGTAGCCAATTTTCATAACAGAAATCCAGGTCTCTCATGAAGTCTTCGATTTTGTCTTTCGGCCGACCGAGGTCACGAGACAGGTTAGCATCAATACTTCCGCCTTTAACTGGTTGAACCCTTCCATAGAGTAGTTTTGGCGGGCTGGAGGGCTCAGCGATCGATGCGTATTTCGGAATGAAATGGCGTAGGTCACCGGTCATACCTAGGTATGTCTCCAACTGCTTATATGTCCGTGGGAAAGATAGGGAAGTGATAGCTTGGAGTTCCTGGGCATCCTCCACATGGTCTATTCCCCAGCTCCGTAACCTGTATGGGCAGCTTCGGCTTGCTCTATTACTTAGTCTTAGCCTCAGTCTCTGACCTTTCCCAGAACCCATGCTTCTTACCATTATTCAACTGGCTTAGTGCCACTGCTCCATCAACGTGTAAGAAGCACACAGTAAATCTGCTTCAAACTGGGATGTTTGCTATGGTAGTCAGCCTGGTTTTTTTTCTTTGCTTTAGTAATCGGAGACGTACTGGATTCTGTGAAGACAAAACCCATCTGACAAGACTTCACAGAGCGCGCGATTTCGAGTGGTCTTGTGATAAAAGGCTCTGCATCAACTTCAATCCCATGAGATGGCGTGGGGCAGACGGCCCTGAATGTAATCGAACGAAACGTCTGAAGTGACTGAGCTGCGAGAGTCAGGAACCTTCAATTACCTGTGTAATGTCTGGCATCACCTGTTCGAAGTCAGGATGCCCAGGGTGGTCGTTTTCCACTCATGACGTCTTTTGTTCTCTCTCTCTTTTTTTTGGAGTCAACATGGATGAGGATCGGGAATTCCCCACCCATCCTTGTCGGGTGTTTGAAGAAGAAAGAGAGATGAGGAGAGAGAAGCTTTAATTTATACTCGCGGTCAAAGTTGTTGCCTAGAGGCGTTCTAGAAGAGCGATATGTCGCTCTTGAATCATTTATCACTTGAGTACATTGTAAGATTGTTGATATAGACGGAAAGGTTTGACTCGGGAGAAATATACATTTTTTGTATGTAAATCAGAATTCAAGCAATGGAGTTGAATTGAAACATGACCAGTATTGCCTCAGCAATCAAAAAGCGCAAACAGAATTCCCCTTGAACTCCTAACATAACTCCCTCAGCTGTGACCACAGATGCAAAAGGAAAAAGAAAGCTACCTCCGCGCGGAAGCGGGAATAGTGAATCCTCTTGTCATAAAATCACCACTCTTTTTGCTGTCTTTCTTGGTGAAAAGACTATCCAGGTTTTCATTGAGGCCGGCTCTCTTCTGTCGTTTGTTCTTCTCATCCTGTTCATCCTTAACGCGTGCAGCGATCTTTGCAGCAGAAGCATTCTTGATGTTGCCGCCGGGTGTGGGAGTGGAGGTGTTGCTCCGGTCGTTAGCTGCAACTGCCGATTTGGGCGCATCAGCAGTGTTGCTGGGAGCATCAACTGAGTTATCTGTAGCGTGCTTCTTGCGCTTCTTTGAGCCAGGGGCTTTCTTGAGCGAGTGGGTGAGGCCCTGCTCGGCGAGCTTTTGGCTACGTGCAATAAGACGTTGCTTTTCCTCTTCCTTTGTCGGTAAAATCGAAATGACGTTGTCTTCAGTGTAGGCCTCATCGCACTGGAGGGTAGAAATGTCAGAATACTAGAATCCATATTTCTTCTTTAAGACGCCGAATCCACTCACCTGTAAACATTTATCGCCCTTCAGTTGACGGATTGCCTCCTCGGTGAAGACATGTCCACAAGGCACCAGGTAGACAGACTTGACACCGGCGCCGAGCGGCTTCGCGGTAATAGGACAGATCCAGCCCTCGCGGCGCTGGTGGCGGTGCGCATTGATCTTATCAGAAGGGTGCTCAGTGCGCTCGGTATCAACTTCGAAGTGAAGCTCGACAACATCCCGAAGTCCCTTCACTCGTCCACATAGGATCTCCTCGCAGTCGGACTTGGAGCTAATGCCCTCGGCGTCATCGCCGATCAAAAATTGAAGCACAGCATCTTTGTTGTAAAGATTCCCCACTGAATCTGAGACTATCGGCCGGGCGAGTACTTTGTGCGACAGTGGGCAGGTCGTCCAGGCATGCTCTTGCTGCTCGCGCTGAGTTTCTTTCAGTTGCGCTGTAGTCGGCGCGCGGGCAGCTTCTTTGACGAGTTCGCGGCGGGTGGGAATACTGTAAGGGAAGTTAGCTTTGGACCGAGATAGCCTTGCATAATTTGCAAACTGGATGAATTCGACTCACCTTCCACCGTCATTACCCATTTTGGATGAAGCGATGCGATTATTACGATCAGTACTTCAAGTTCGTGAAAGTAACTGATTGCCACTGCGATAAAGGCGCAGAGATACCGGGCTTAGTAAGCGCTGATTAGATTGGCCGGGGATCTCAACAGCTGGCCGAAAGCTCTCTCCGCACTTCTCCCCAGCTCAATGCCTTAAACATGAGACTCCCCCAGTCGCTATTCCTGCTGGCTGTGGCCGGGACCTCTGCCCGAGCTAGCAGCGACAAGGTTGCCCGCCCCCGTGGTGTTGCACCAGAATGTGAGTGTTTAGACTCTGTATCTCCACCCCCGGACGAGGTGTCCACACAGCCCGGCGGGCCATCAATGGGAGCTATGTTTAAAGGCGATACGCACTAAACATACTAACTATCTTCTTTCAAAGTCGCCAAGTTCTACCAGGACACGAAAACCTTCACTTGTATCTCCAATCCCGCCGTCCAGATCCCATTCTCGGCTGTCAACGATGACTTCTGTGATTGTCCTGACGGCAGTGACGAGCCCGGCACCGCTGCCTGCTCGCATCTCTCGCGCAATTCCCCACTGACGGTTGCCGATCGTCCTGGACACAGCGAGCTGGAGCTCACGCTAGCCCTTCCCGGATACTACTGCAAGAACAAGGGCCACCGGCCATCATTCGTTCCTTTCCAGCGTGTCAACGACGGTATCTGTGACTACGAGCTATGCTGTGATGGTAGTGATGAGTGGGCACGCCCCGGAGGCAAGAAGTGCGAAGACCGATGCAAGGAAATCGGCAAGAAGTGGCGCAAAGAGGAGGAGGCTAAGCAGAAGTCTATGACTGCAGCTTTGAAAAAGAAGAAGCAGCTACTTGCGGAAGCTAGTCGGCAGGAGCAGGAGATCCAGGATAACATCTCCCGGCTGGAAGTAGAGATCAAGGACGCAGACGCTAAGGTCCAGAGTCTCGAGGCCAACCTGAAGGTTGTTGAGGAGCAGGATCGCAAGGTCGTTCGGACTAAGGGCAAGGGCAAGGTCAATGCTCTTGCGGGTGTTGCGAAGGCCAGAGTGGAGGAGCTGCGCGAAAGCATTCTGGAACTCCGTCAGCAGAGAGATGAGACCCTCGATCGAATGAAGGAGCTCGAGGAGATCTTGTCCAAGTTCAAGATCGAATACAACCCTAACTTTAACGATGAGGGTGTTAAGCGCGCTGTGCGCAGCTGGGAGGACTATGCCGCCCGTGATCTTGGCGAGATTATCAATGATGCCCAGGAGCGTGACTTCGATGAGATTGTCAAGGCTGATGATAAGGACTCTGGCGTCGACTGGGAGCACTGGGAGAACGAAGAGGACGGCTGTGCCGATTCTGATCTAGGTACCATTAACTTTTAATTTCGTTGTGTCTAGGCTTCAACTGACAGATTTTCACAGTCTACAAGCTCGCGGCTTACCTTCCGCCGTCTCTGGTCGAATTCATCGAGGATAAGGTCCTTGCTGCGAAGGCCTTCCTGGAAGACAATGGAGTCTTGGCCAAGCCTAGCACTGACTCCACCACCGAATCCAAGGCTGTGACTGAAGCGCGCGATGCACTCAAGTCCGCCCAAGATTCTCTTAACAACCTGAACAACAAGATCCGTGACCAACAATCCGATCTTGAGAAAGACTACGGCACCGCAGGCATTTTCCGCGCCTTGAAGGGCCAATGCATCGAGAAAGATGCTGGTGAGTACAAGTACGAGCACTGCTTCTTGGACTCAACGAAGCAGGTGGCCAAGAAGGGCGGCTCGGTCACATCCATGGGCAAATTCACTAAGATTGCAATGACGACTGTTGAGGAGCTAAACGAAGCCGGAGATGTCATCACTGTTGAGAAAATCGCCCTTGAATATGAGCGTGGCCAGTCTTGCTGGAACGGTCCCAACCGATCCACCAAGGTCGTCTTGGAGTGTGGTGAGCAAAATGAAATCCTGAAGACGGCCGAGGATGAGAAGTGTGTCTACTCCATGCTTGTCACCACTCCGGCTGTCTGCCGAGGAGTTGAGGATGATGTTCCCCGCTCCAAGGATGAGTTGTAAAGCTGAGGAGGATTGATCGATCATTGCATACTTGTTTGTTTGTTTTCTATATACGGTTCTAGACACGGGATCTCCAACCTACAGCTAGAGATGGTTCTTCGAGTAAATTTCAGCGAATTGCCATTCAAATCTCTATCTTCCAAAATTTCCTCAAGCATACCCAATATCTCAAGACACGTAGCCTAGTCTTGTTTAGAACTATATGACATTTAAGAGGGAAAGATCACATGTTCATCACCGAGGCTATAGAACCGTGATGCTATGAACAGGTCGGAATTCGGGAAGTAACGTCAATCTGTGTGATTGTGTCGAAGGAAAGAGGAGTGACAACTTTCTCTCATAACAGGGCTAGCTGGTTGATATTCCCTGCCCGAGAGTCAAGTAAGGACAGTGTGCAGTACCTGGATTCGAATTAAATTGATCAAACTTCCAAAGTTATCAGAGATAGTCAATACAAGTAACTTTTTTTTTTAAGTGAGCTTCTAATGAACAACTCTCCAGAAGTGGATTCCGTCTTAAAAGGGGATTATATTATAATCTCTTTATATAAGAATTTGTATAAGAAAGGGAAACACTCTTGATTCTCTTGCCTCAAAGCTAGTCTTTAGGCTATAAATCTTATAGATTTGAAATTTCAGTAGTAGTTCTACTAGTTCTACTTGGGTCCAGTCTCTATCCATATCTAATTCATATATCTTCCTAACATCTTCCTACCAGGTCTTTTACCCTTACATAGTCTCTGATTGCTTCTGCCTTACTAATGCAGCAGTATTAAGTCAGGCTGGCATATTGCGAGGCCAGGCATAACATTATTGGAATAAGGAAGTATTCAAAGTTTGATCTAAATGCCCAGTGAGAACCAAAGACTAGACACAAGTTGATGTAGTCGTGCATTGCGTAGACGGAAGCAAAAGATCTATGCAATTGATATGCTAGACTTCTCGTACGGTGGTGATGCTGACCGCATCGCTGCCGCATCACCGCTGCATACCGATCTCTCCTCGGTTTGTGATAGGCCCCACGACAACTCTGTCAGATTCCGGCGCAGATGGAGCCCCACTCTATCTACGTAGCCAACCAATCCCCGAATTGATTTTCTCTATGCAGAATTAACTCATACTGTGGTCGGCGGCAACTGCCGACCACGTTACTATCGCGCGTTCCTCATTTCCCCGTTATGGATTTCGGTTTTTAACCCCAGCTGTTCTTCGCTTCTCTCCCCTTTCGTGCCTCTTTTAGCCGCAATTGAGCCACCTATGCGACTTGGGGTGATTCGTCTGCGGGTCTTGGTTGTCTAATTATTGCGGCCAAGTTGCTTGTGCTATCAGAGTCGAAACTCCATCAAATCGACGAACGACTTTCTTTTTCTCTGCGGAAGTAATAATTACGCTTACGCTTACGCTTTCTCATAATGACACTCGAAAGGAGGAAGATCATCCCAAATAATCCCGGTCTTACTATCCGCACTGCACAGGGAGCGAGTGATGCGCAGGCCATCTCATCACTCGGATCGCGCGTTTACTCTCTGACCTTCGGGCATTCTTTGAGTGCTGAAGACCTCAATGCCTACCTTGAGGAGGCTTATAGCCTTTCGCAGATAGCTCAAGAGCTGAACGACCAATCCATACATTTCATGGTGGTGTGTGACGAGAAACATGAGGTTATCGGCTTTGTGCAGTTGACGGAAGGCACCACGGAGGACTGCCTTGCCAAGGAGCATAATCCCGTCGAATTGCAACGGCTTTACATCAATCCTGAATATCACGGCTTGGGACTTGGCAAACACTTGATTGCAGAAAGTGAAGACCTTGCAAAGAAACTAGGCTTCAAAACAATATGGCTGGGTGTCTGGGAGGAAAACATTCGGGCTCAAGAAGTTTACAAGAAGATGGGATTTGTGAAAGTGGGATCTCATGGTTTCAAAATGGGCAAATGTGTACAAATAGATCATATAATGAGAAAGATTTTATGAATAGCATCATTGTGCTTTTCTTCAATCAGTCTTGACTTCAGGGCAACGTCACGAAAAGTTGGAATACTTCTCTATTCTAGAAACATTTGTGTAAAGAGAGTTTACACGTATCCTTATGGCGGTATATGGGGATAGTCATTGCGGTAGATACGCGGCTTTAACTTAACAATCTATTCATTGAAGTTGAGCGAAGGACTGAATGTGGACATGAACAGAACAAGGCACCGGGAAAAATAAGCCTTTCCAAGCAGACATGCTATGAAATGGTCATCTAGGTGCCTCGGAGCCCTGGGATTGCTTACATTCATAGAGAAATTCTTCAATTACATGCTCCTTTTATCGAACGCGCTCTTGGAAGTTCATTATCACTATGAGCAATATCTATTCCCCATCTTCACCTATCACGAATAAGTGGCATACTGTAGAACATTAAGCTACCGATTATACCATGCTGATTTTGTCTGCTCATCAGAGAACAGTTTAATATATTGGAGTTGGCTCTGGTACTGGCGGTGCAGTTTCTCTTGCCAGGGCCAGGGCCAACACAGCAGAAATTGTGCTTATTGGATGCTCGGAAGCGAAAACTCGATCGGACAAATATGCCCATTAAAACGTGGATTCTTCAAGAGCTCTTAAGTTAGTATCCTGGTGATTCTCTATTCGGGCCAGGCTCTCCTCTACTTCGCGCCCCCCCCCCCCCCCCAGAGCATGCATAATCAATACTTCGTCTGGTATCGCGCACTCGCCGCCCACACAGGCATTTGACATTTGCGCTGCGACAAAGCTAGCTAGCTCAACATCATTCAACGTAAAAGTGAGCAAGTAATCCTCGAAGACTCGCATACTACCTCCAAGTTTCAAGTACAAGCTACAACTCGACAGCAGCACAAAATGATTTCCAAAAGTATAGATTGCACGGCCTTGGCCTATAAACACAGACATACACGAGGTCTTCCGACCAAATATTGACTCAACCCCATCCATAAGACCCCAAATTCCCGAAACAGGCAGCAATACGTAGACATAATCATGAAATAGCAAGTCCCGAACACGTGGATCAGTTCCGAATCCTACTAGTTCGAAAGCAGCGGTATTCCAGGCCTGGTATGCGTTGTCGAGTTGGAGGAGGACGGCGGCGGAGAGGGCGTGTGAGCTGGCTTAGTGCTGGTAGAACAATCAGGACCACATAAAAAAAGGGTAAAGGAGTAAAAAAGGGACAGTATTGAACTTACAGTGCAGCTAGAGCAAGAGCAAGTCTTGCAGTCACCGGAGCAGCAGTTGCAGGAGCAGGGAGACATGTTGATGATTGGATTGGATGGGTATGAACCACAAAAAGGATAGAAGAGTTTATAGAGGGGTTTGATGATAACTTGAGAGCTTGGAGAAGATAGAAGGAAGGCGGATCTGAGTCTAGCTTTATACTCCGAAAACCCTCTGCAAGCGTTGCCGACGAATGTAACAAGTCTACGGATTTCCTATACGCAAAAACACCTCATTTGTCAACAGCCTGCTAATTCCCTGGAAAGACATTTCCATTTTTGTTCTCCCCAATATCCAATAATACCAACGCATATCCTATCGGAGAATCCACCTCGAAGTCAAAGAGGCAAGATCACATCGCGTGGTCGAGTCAAATGAACCCAGTATGCAATACTGCAAGACCATGCGCAGCCCCTCATCTCCACTTAGGTCCGGCCTCTCTCTCCACTTGCCTACAATGTAGCATCTTGGACTCACGCGCTACCCGCCTACGACCGCAAGGCAACTCTAACGCTCCCTCCAATAAAAAGAGGCTTCTTCAGCCCGGGTCTCCAATCATCACTGCTGCCTCGTTGTCGGGCTAGGTGGGGCAGAGGTTTGCTCCGATCTGTTTCCTTTTTGTGGAGGCTTGCATCGGTGTTGCCTCCATCTGACGATCAAGCTGCTGGCGATGCTAGGATCGGTTAGGTTCATGCAGATGACGATAGTATGTATGGCGTTGAATGACAGCCTTATTTTCGTATGTGGTTTATATCGTATTTACTTGATGTCTGTCCAGATATTTGCTTACGGTATATACGTGTATAGCTATAGAGTGTGTTTTGGGGTCACCGGGCAAAGGCTAGAGAAGTGGTTCGCCTCGTTTTCTTCGGGCTTGACTTAGACCCACTTCACTGCGCTGTTTCCATATGGTGGCTTGATATCGGGCAGGTAATCTTAATTTTCTAGAATCATTTCTCGCATACTTGTTTTGTCTTACGATTGCGGAGCTGTGCTTGGCGTTCTAGCTACTACGTGCTCTTTCGGTGTTGATGCTCCATGTGGATCTGGATTCTGGGATATCCATACGATGTGTATGCGCAGGATTCACGATACGGTATGAGCTCCATTGTTGTCTCCAGTCATGCAATGTAGACCCCTCATTTATGTCATAATAATGACGGGCACGTTTCGGGTTTTTGTAAGATCCACTTGTATTCGGGACGGGCCTCCTACTAATTACCTCATGGATGCAGTCACATACAGTATAACGTGTTGCGCCCAGAATGGGGTGGGGGCGTAGTATTTTACGAGAAAGGATTTTTCGGCGCCAGGAGCGGTGCAGGACCGCATTTTCCGGCGTTGGCCTATGAAAGACCGGTCTTTGCGCGAAATGAGGACCTTGGAGGAGGGGCGCTATGAGGCACCATTGGTGACCTCGGTTTCTTTCCGTATTTGAGGTGCATGGCATACGCGCTGTCCACAACATTGACAAGTAGAGGCTCATGTTTTGACTGTCATTATTGTTTTAGATGTGGTTATATGGTTGGTGCTGGAAGGGGACATAGCGAAGAGCTCAGATGGGGCACTATCAGAAGGAATATTTCGGGTGAAAGGGATCAGCAGTTGGGTACGGAGCCAAGGAAACGATCCGAGCAAGATACGGCATTAACCCGGTGTACGAAGTCCTCCTTTGGGAATCGTGTGGATCTGATACCATGAAGCTGTAGAGCTACTTGCCGTACATAGCTTCACCGGCTTATACAATTTCCCCTTTGTACGTGAGATCTTGTCCAAGGCATTTCCGGCCCACATCGTCCCGATACAAAGTTTGTGTAATATGTTTACAGGGCAGGTCACCGAGAAAAGTGGACCGTCTCATCCTGCATGATAATGGAAGCTACGAAGCATATCATACCCTGCTTGTGCCACGGACCCTCCCAATATGCATGATGTAGGGGTATCATTGGTTGGAGCAAGATGCTTTCAGAGGTCAAACCTTCTAGAGTAGAACCGAATGCCCGCATTAATCGTGTTGTCAAAGTCAGTGCGTTGCTACAGGGGCCTAGGTACAGTAGGGACCGTCGTTCCCCGTGGCCGAGAACATTGCTCGGCAACATCCAGCCGCGCAAGCCGAAGATGATTCGGTGACAATGTGGAGTTTTTGCCTGATCAGGATATAGCGATGAGAGCATGGAAGAGAGTGGTCCGTGGCCCATGACGAGATTTGGGGCCTGGTCTTGGGTATGTGGCGGACGCCCACTGGTTTATCGAGTTCCTGGCAAGGCAGCTGATTTTCGAGTGCTACGTGAAAGGAGACTCGCAGATCTTCAACTTGACCGTACAGCTGCGATATGCCGAATCTGTTGATACAGATATTTTGCTGCAGTGCCGTTAAGCTTGTCACATCAGAGCCTAAATGGACCGAATATTGGGTCCGATGCCCACAAGGTACTTGGTGAAAAAGAATAAAAGTAGATCAGGAACCGCCCATGGTCAAGATTGACTAAGAGTGATCGACTAAAAATGAATTTTTTGTTGATTTGGAAAACTGAACATCAAGGCCTCCCCGCAATCACATCCCCTCGCCTATCTCTGATCTAGTGGAAGCTAGATCTTATCCATTTCGTTTCGCTCGCAGGTTCCTGTCCCGAAGACCAAAGGCGACGGTCTAGAGAAGCTCGACGACTCGGAAACACGAGTGATTTATTTCTGGCAGTGAGATTAGCATGGACTCGCAGCTTGCAGCGATAACAACGTCATATCACTTACGGGGCACTGGCATGCGCCGGAAGGGCACTGGCAAGAAGCGCCGCAGCTGCAAGTGTGATCGGGACCTGTTGTTCGTGGTCAGAATGGCTATCGCAATCACAAAATATGCGTGGAAATACGTGGTCATCTCCCCCGCCATGACCCCGCACTGCATTTTCCTGCAACAGGGACCCTGCTCATTCTCTGCGCTCGCTAACATAGGAAGAACTCACCCATTTTGAATAGAAGGTAACGCGAAATGTGCGATTAAAGGTCTTTAGATTGGAGGTGATAAGAGTGGTGGAGTGGTGGAATATGGTAATGGTGGGGGAGGGAGGGGTGGAAATGAGAGTCTTTATAAATACGGGGCCCCCGTGACTTCCCGGGATGCGACTCTCGTCTCTCATCTGAACTTGAGTCTGTTTCGGAGGACGAGTGCATTTATGCAGCCTGAGCCCCGCATGAGCGCATATTTGACGCAAGTCCGTGCAACAGTTGTTTGTTTTGACGGATTTGGCTACGTGGGCAAAACATCGGTCATTCGGGCAATCAGATAATATGCACTTGGAAATAGCTTCATATCATTGGGTCCAATTGTTTTTCTTTTCAATATTTTCAAGCTCTTCCTGTTGCACTGCATGGCAGCATCGATTACTTGCCTCTGCGGAGGTATAGCATTATCGGTCCATTTACACCCTTCGGCAAACCACAGTCAGCTCGAGCTATGTCACTGTAAGAGCTGTCGCTCGGTTACTGGACAGATGTGTACATCCTATTATCTCTTGCTTTATAAGCCAGCCTTGCACCAACTCCAAGAGTACCGGGAATCGCCCCAGCTGAGCCGCTTCTTTTGTGCAACTTGTGGCTGTCACGTCTTTGCGCGGTCAGGGGAGCAGTACCTGGTAGCCTCCGGGACACTGGTAGCTAAAAAAGCACCACCTGTGCAGTCTGTCAAGCACTGGAAGGTAAATGACACTCAAGATGGCGGACTGAGCACATTTCTCCCTGGTCCGACAACAAATGTTGACTGCAGGCTAAATGCAGCAGCTCGAGAAGACACTGCTGTTAACCAGAAATTATCTGAGTCACTAAATACTTCAACAAGTCCGGACGAGTTGCATGCGCGCTGTCATTGTGGTGGCATCGACTTCTTTGTGACTCGTCCGGATAAGTCCTCTTTTCAGGCATCATCCCCATGGCCTGACCTTTTAGTTCCGTACCACTCCGAGTCCGCAGAGAACCTGGACCATATCAGATGGTGGCTACGAGCCGGAGATACCAAATATCTCGCTGGGACTTGTGTCTGTCCCTCTTGTCGACTGAGTAGCGGCTTTCCCATTCAGGCGTGGGCATTTGTGCCCAAATCCAATATATTCCATGCCAGCTTTCTACCACTGGAGTTCAACCGAGGTACAATGCAGCAGTATATCAGCTCCCCTGGGGTATATCGAGAATTCTGCGGTCGGTGCGGGGCAACTGTGTTCTGGCACAATGACGGACGCCCAACGTTGATTGATGTTAGTGTAGGATTGCTTCGAGGAGCTGGCACCAGAGCACTAAGCTGGTTGGACTGGGCTCCTGATCGTATCAGTTTTTCTGAAATGGCGATACAAAAAGACTTGGTGGGTTTATTAGAGGAAGGTTCACAAAAAATGCACATTTAGCGACTGCAGCGTTGTATAGTTGATATATTCATTGACCGCCTTCTATATACATACGCGACCGTATTCTGCCGTAACAATCCTTTTTTTCTTGCAGGTCACACCTTCCCCAGTTGTCACTGTCACTACCTTCACTCCTACTTAATTATATTGCGTTGTTGTGCCGTACCTGCACGTATCATGGATACGAATTGATACGCTTACTCGTCGCGTATACTCTCAAATTCCACCCTCTTGAACCACACCCGCATTGCTCGACGCATCCACATTTTGAGAGTCAACTAGTGTGCCACCCGCTATGCCTGCACCATTTCAATTTCGAGGGAATGGTCCCCCAAATGACCGATATGACCGATATGACCGCGCCAGAGGACCCCGAGACCAACGTCGCCCTCCCCGCAGACCTGAATTCACTTTTCGCGTTCCACGGCCTACTGCTGAACGGCCACTATTAAGCACCAAGCGAGAGACAACGCCCGAGCAGTTACAAGGTGATGAGGCCAGCGATAAGCCTGTGCTCAAGTTTGCCGCTCTTGATACGCTGAGTGATAGTGAAGAAGCCGAGATGGACTTTTCTGATGACTCTGATGAAGAGGCACGGCCACGTAAAAGACGCGCCTTGGGTTCTGATGGCCAGAACGATTCTTCAGTCTTGCTTCTTCCCCCGGCACCCACTCCCAAATGGTCCAACCCAGATCCATACACTGCGCTCCCACCACCAGATGAAAGCCAACACAAACGGGTAGACGTGGTCAAATTGATTCGCAAAGCAAGACTAGCCAACGCTGCCTCGTCCAAGCAGAACGACGCGGTTGTGGACAATCAGGACTTCATATCTCTTGGTATGGTCGACGGTTCCACCGGTGCGGGGTCAAAGGAGTCAGAGGATTCCGAAAACAGGGCTCCAGAAAATGCACCCAAGGGCCCGAGAGGCATGGAAATCAAAGGGGCTGCGACGAAACGCGCGCGCGATGAGGACCAGCCCAAAGGGTATTCGCCAAAAATCGGCAAGCCTCAGCGGAGATACAACTCAGACGCTTCCATTCTGTCTGATTGGCGGCCACTGCCTGGCCAGAACCCGGCGCCTTGGATGGCGGACGTTCACCCTAACTTGAACCCAGCAGCAAGGTCCGTCATTTCAGCCCCACTTTTCATATTAAATGAACATGGCTAACGAATGAAATCAGATTGCATAACGAGATCGTCGCTTTTTACAGTTGGGTCAGACCGCACATGTACGAACAGTATGTCCGAGAGGATCTGATATCACGTTTGGAGACCGCATTCCAGAACCGCTATGGAAACATACAACTACGTCCTTTCGGGTCATTCGCTTCGGGATTATATCTTCCCGTGGCTGACATTGACCTGGTGCTCTTATCGACGCAATTCCTGGACCGTGGCAACAAATTCTATGGCGTAAGGAAAGGACAAATTTACGCTTTTTCAGCCTTCGTGAGAGACCTGAATATTGCGGTCCCTGGGTCTATTGAAACCATTGCCCACGCCCGGGTGCCTATTCTTAAATTTATTGACAGGTTGACCGGACTCCGTGTGGATCTATCCTTCGACAATGATAGTGGTATTCTTGCCAACCGGACATTCCAGGGCTGGAAAGAGCAGTTTCCAGCAATGCCGCTCATTGTGTCTGTGATCAAACAGTTCCTTCTTCTCCGAGGATTGAACGAGGTGGCCACTGGTGGTCTTGGTGGGTTTTCAATCACTTGCCTTGTAGCCAGTCTTCTCCAACACATGCCAAAGGAGGACCAACAGAATGTCGGTCACGTTCTGCTTGAGTTCTTCAACTTCTATGGAAACCGATTCAAATATCGGGATGTTGGCATTCGGATGGAACCGCCAGAGTTTACCAACAAGGTAAGTCTATTATTTCCGCAGTCACGATCATCGGCCTAACGTAGTCTGCAGTATTTCGGCTCCAGGGACCGCTTGTACATTGAAGATCCTAACAACTCCACCAATGACATTTCCGGTGGGACCAGGGAGATAGGACTGATTTTCCGTGCGTTCGCAGACGCTCACCGCGCATTGAAGGGTCGCCTGGATTCGTTCAAAGATGGTTCCAAGCCGAGCATGCTGGATGCTATTATTGCGGCAAACTTCGATGAATATGCCGACCAGCGACGCCAGTTACGCTATGTCTTTGACACTGCCAAGCAATTCGCAAAGTATCGAAATGTTCCCCCGCCTCCCCCGGTCGAAGAAGAAGCTCCTGCTCCTCCACCACCGACGTCCCCATAAGTCGGAGCGTCCGAAAAAAAACCCTGCGGAGGTCGTTCATCCCCATGACTTGAATGAGTTCCTTAGTTCCTGATCCGTTTATTCGATGTATTCGAGGTGATACCCAATTTGTTTTGCACGGAGGAATATTTGACTTGGAGCGGTGTTGATGGTGGGTAACGAGTCTTTTCCTTAGTTTCGATTTTTATTCTTTCAATCCAGGTGTCCTCCAAATATGTTACTTTTCAGATCCTGGAAGCTGACCATTTCAAGGAGTGGAACTGACTTTAGGTATCCGTCCTTCCGCGGTCTCGATTCGGTCATTCTTTGCCTTGTTTTTACTCGAATCGGAAAATGCGAGTCCCAACCCGGCCCCGAATAATCTGATCGACCCGCGATAGGACCGATATCCTTCTTTGTATAAAGGTAAACATATATTAGTGATCGAATGGAACCGCCCGAGACCTGAGTATTTGCATTCGCATGACAAGGTGGGCATTTTGCTGCTTATTCTCGGGGATTTATTTCCCTGAATCCCCTCCCTATCCTCCTTTCTCATCAAAAAAACACTATAAGTGGGTTCTTGGAGAGGACTGGAGTGATTGGCCGGGGGTCGATGCTAATCTGGCCCTGGAAGTTCAAGGTTTGGATGTTGAACTTCCGACTACTCACCTATACCAACAGATGCTAACGTTATAGAGTTGCCGTGAAATATCATTATGTTCTTCAGGGCTATTCAATTGTGTGGGGACATAATTTCATTGTCTCGTGACCAAAGACCAGGTATTCAGACTCGATAATTGTAAGCTGCTAAAATCTAAGCAAGCTGTTTCTCCGCATCCAATGGTGGTGTAAGCATAGCCTCCCTTTCAAACCCGCTAGGCTCAACAGCAGAAACATCCTTTCCTTCAGCCTCCTCTGCAACAATCCTCTGCAAAGTAGCAATATGTTCCTCAGGCAAGTAATTCTGGAAGTCGGGACCCGGACTATCCCACACATAATCCACCCACTGAGGACCCAAAATATCCCTTATCTCCTTCGCCAACTGCAGAATATAAACCTCACGCTCCCGCGACCACACGCGATCGGTGATAAGGCCCTCCGAGGGGGTAAGAATGTTGGACGCATGTGTAGCAGACGAAGGGACAGCACCGGTAACTCCATTCTGACCGGGAGTACAAGGACTAGCAAATTGAATCCTGCTCTCCATATCCTCATCCTCATCCTGATCTTCATTCCAGTTCTCCAGTCCATCCACAATACTGTGCCACACGCGCAATGTCTCTTCCAGCTCCTCGATATTGCTAACTCCCATCACGCTGACACCAAGTCGCTTCCCAATACCCATATTGGCAACAGACAAGAATCCTGGGTCGGAATCGGCCGCCTTAGCTAACGGAGCCCCGAGCGCACCGGCCTTAGCTCCAGCCCTTAACCACGACTCAAGCGCAAACCGAATCGCCACAACCTCCAATTTCTCGCCGTGGCGCGCAACAAATTCAGCCGCATCACTGATAGCACTGCGCAGCGCATCAGGCGCAGGATGAAAGTCGCCCATTGATCCAATCGGCACACCATCACGACGAAGCAATCCCATACCCAGCGGGGAAGCATTCGGTACGACATCGACACCGGCAGCAAGAAGACGAGGCAGCGCAAGCGATCGCAAACGAGTATTCTGCAGTGTGTAGTTCGCATACGACATAACGATATCGAGCGGCTCGCCTGTTTCCCGGAGGATCATTTCGGCAAGATCGCTTAGGATATCGACTGGGTATCCGGAGATACCGACATAGTGCAGCAGCCCCTCTTCATCACGGAGGCGACGAAGTTCCCGGACGGCAGTCAGGACTTCAGCTGGTGAGACAAATTCCACATCGTGGCAGTAGACAACATCCAAGTAAGAAGTGTGTAGGCGGTGCAGACTGCGGCGCACACTGTGTCTGATCCATGATGGGGAGTAATCGAATGTTGAGGATGCGACCCGGCCAACTTTAGTGAGGATGTGGTAGGATTCGCGGGGGAAGTGGGATTGCACAAAATCGGTTGCGAGAGCGCGGCCGAGGAGTTCTTCGGCAGGCCCGTAGTAGGGTGATGTATCGAAGGCGCGAATTCCGCGCTTCAGGGCGCGCTGCACAAGCTCTGTTGTTGGGAGGGCGTAGGGGTCTGCGTTGTATTGCGAGTTGAAGGTCGCTGTGCCCATTACTAGCGGGGGTAGGGCCGCCGACAGTGGGGTGGAGGGCCGCATGGTTTGGGGGTGTGAGGAGTCGCGATCTGGTGATTTCAATTGATCGTCGGATGCGTTATAGGTATGATTATTCCTTTCAAGGAGATATTATCGAGAGGATCAGTGGTTCATGAGTGGGTGAGTGGGACCGCAATCATATTCTTATCCCTGAGAAATCCTTCCATCCGGGCTCCGCCCGCATCGGGATGGCGCCATGGCGGGGGCGATGATTTGATTTCGATCGATCGATCGCTAGCAGTAAGGACCCTGTTTCAGTCCATGCCGAAAGATCGATGGTTCCGCATTAGTGTAATAATCGGTGGTTGTGTAGAGTCGATTACTCAGTTACCGATATCATGCATGTTCCTGAGAATGATAGATGATGACCGTCGGCGGTGGCAAAAAAGGTTAAAAAAGCAAAAAAGTAACAAAAGTACTGGCAATAGTGATCGATTCAAATGGGAAGAACATTCCGCATGTGCAAGTATACAGTTATGGTACATGATGGTTTCCAAGTCAGAGTGGAGAATAGGTCGACAAGGTAAAAAGAAAGGGTGATGGTATGTATACACAAGACCCGAAGGCCAGAGGGACCGATTCCAATGCAGTTGGAGAACCCTTCCACAAGGGACAGAAGCCCAGGAATCAGATCCCCCAGTCTAATCAGGGAGAGAACAAATCAACCACGTTCTCTCCCGTAATAACCCAAACGCCATGCTATGCCAAATCAAGAAAGTCGAGCGGAAATCCGGAGTTCTTTTCGAGGGCGATGCGAAATTAAATGCTCGGACGTCGACGCAAACGCGGGGAGGGGAGGTCGCATAGGATTTGCGAGGTCACGATGATCCGGATCGCGCTGTCAGGCGCGTTAGCTTCACCGATCCTTGTAGAGCTTGGGATTCCAGCCCTCACGCAGTTCCTTCTCCTCCGCAGCCTGGCGTTCGCTTTGGCGAATCTCCATTTCTATCCGTTCGCGTGCTCGCAGAATCTTGCTCTGTAGGTAGAAGCTGCCACCCTTCTGGGGATCGTTCAGGTCGAAAAGCTTCTTGAATCGTTCCATAACATGCTCAACGTTGTTGGCTTCGCCGGCGACAGGGGGCTTGACGTTGAGAATCTTGCAAGCCTCATCGAGAGCGATGCTGCCGCCAGTGACACCAGCGGCCTTCTTCACGGCGTTGTGTTTTCCGGAAGCCTGGGCTTGCTTGTAGGCCTCGGCGAAGGCGCGGCCGAAAACCCGCGCTCCGGTGACGATAACTTGAGTCACAATGCGATGAGCCTAGGGAGGAATCAGATATTAGATTTGTTCTTTTTTTCTAAAAGACAAAAGGCTTAGGGAGTGCAAATGAGTTCTGGGGACTTACCATGGCGAAGGCGTTGAAGACCGAATGCGAGGATCACAAGGAGTTGAAGAGAGGAAGAAAGGGAAAATTTCGGCTGCGCGTTTTAGCGTCGGCAGGTCGGGGGAGCTGGATCTATGGAGCCGGCCTCAACATGGCTTCTTGTATCATGTATATGGGAATTAAATCATTAAGACAACTAGAAGATTATTATCTAAATCAACTAAATTCTCTGAACTACTGAGAATCTCAATTTTCCTTGGTCTTTCTCGTTCATTCCAGTCTGTTATGCAACGCACCCACAGTCACATGTCCCCGACCTCCCCGCAGATCAACTTGGACCGAACGAACCTCGATTCTCAACACACGCTATATAAACGATGGATGCCTGCCTGCTGATCGGCGGCACATAAACTCCCTCCATGAAGCCCTCGTAATTGGATGGCAGCTCTCGGTAAGTTCCCTGATGATTTTGGCTGCCTGACCCGGCGAACTAGAAGCTATATAACGCCCCCATATGTTCATCTGCCATGCTCATGCGACTACAGAAGATCTTCCGTGGATAGATTCCATGGCGCCCTCATCTGTTGCCCAGGACCATGGCCATCCTGACTCACAACCACCTACCGTCGCCGCCTTTGCTCCCTCTACCATCGCTGGCTCGGCCTTGACGTCGCGACAGCGTTCCAGCGTCATCGTGCATCGAAAGTCACCACTTCTGGTGGCTACGCCACCCTCAATAACCCGCGCACTAGCCTATTCTCATCCTTTTCTCCTTCCGCTGAACAAATTCGTGGGTCTTATAACATGGACTACGGGAGACCCATGGCAGAGCTTCTTGCTCGTAGCCACCTTCTGGGCAGTGGTGTTGTACAGTGACGCCATCATTCTCTGGGCCGGCCCTATACTTGTTGTGGTTGGGCTGATCCTGGGTATGTACGGACGTCGGTATTCACCTCTGTCATCAACGATCTCAACGGGTGAGAAGCACCAGCGAAGCCCATCAGTGGACAGTACCATCCGCCACCAAAAAAGCTTGGATGACATTGTTGAGACCTTGCGCACCTTGACCTACCGATGCAATATCTTGCTGGAGCCCCTTTTGGATCTCACCGATTTCCTATCCACACAGCGGACCGCAACATCGGCGACGACCCGACCTGCGCTAACAGCCCTGTTTATTCGCATTCTTCTCGTCACACCCGTCTGGATCGCCTTAACACTTCCCCCATTGTACCTGATCACCACGCGCCGTATCATCATAACTGTTGGCACTGTCATCCTCACCTACCACTCACGACCTGCGCGAGTCTCACGCGTCATTCTATGGAGATCTCGTCTAGTACGTCGACTTTGCGCCATGGTCACCGGATTGTCGATCACCGAGCCCCCAAGCAACTCCCAAAAAGCCCAAGCCGAAGCTCAGGGTGTGGGCATGAATATTTCGACAAAGCGCCGCAAAGAATCTGGTGGGGTTCGATTCACTTTCGTTGTATATGAGAATCAACGGCGTTGGCTCGGCATCGGGTGGACCTACTCGCTATTCCCCTCGGAGCGTAGCGCCTGGACAGATGAGCACTTGAATCCCGTTCCAGCAAAGGACTTATTTGAACTACCAGACGTCCGAACAGGCGATGCGAAATGGCGATGGGTCCCAGGGACTGAGTGGCGCGTTGAAGGCGCAGACACGTCGAATAAGTCAGAAACCAAAGCCGCAAGTGAAGGATGGATCTACTATGACAATAAGGTATTTACTCTCAACTTTGGACTGGTATGTTAATTATTCTAACCAACTCCAGTGGAATGATGGACGTCGCGGCCAAGATGGCTGGGATAGATATACACGTCGACGCAAATGGTTCCGCGACGCAGAGCTTGTCGACGTAGATAACGATGGTCAAAATTCTTCCGAAGAAACCGTAACCAACTTCACACAAACACCTGAACAAGAAATACAAGCCGGAGAGCAAGGAGACAGCGGGAAGGACTTCGATGCAGACGGCATCAGCCTCTCATCAGCCACCCCACTCAAAAACCGTCGCCGACGTTGGTTCAGTGGCAAGGAGAAAGAGCCCGGTAGCGACGGGTCACAAGATACTGGCCGCTCCACTGGTGCAAATACCGATGGGAAGGGGAGTACGCGATCTGCATCGTCACGCCCCATCAGTATTCAAGGGTCTCGCACGTCCCATGCTCGAGAAGGCAGTGTGGCAACGAGCGACAGCGCAAGTCTACGCGAGGAGCAAGATCACCTTGACCGGTGGGCAACTCGGGCTGTGGACGGGACAGAAAGGGCAGAGCGCGAATTCGGGCTAAGCGATGAGGTGAATATGGGGTTGAGCTGACTCGGTCCGGGCCTTTGATGTGTCTCTATAAACGACGTTTCTATTTTGCTTCTACAATCTCTTCTCTTGAAGCTTGCCGCCTATTACTTGCTATGAAGCTTGCTTGAATCGTTCAGATACCAAATACCCAGGTACGCCAGAACTCAGGCTGGTATTCTCTATTTTTGTTTCACTCAATATCATACAAGAAGTAGCAAGTATAGTACACAAAAAATTAAATACAGTATCTTATGCAAGAATCAACTCCCACTGCAACTCTTCCAAAATATCCAACCAATGCGAACTCTGCGCATTCGCATTTACACTTGGCTCCCCAAGAATGATTCCCTCGAGGGCATTAGCATCTTTCCTCGCCCACAAAATCCTAAGTACCTCCTCCGCACGCTTGACATTCCCAATCCCAAAATTACTTTGTAGCTTAGCAAGTGACTGGGTAACAAGGCTCCGGTGTGCAAGTACATCACTCTCAGCGCCCGCAATAAACAGCGGGAATGTAAGTGCCGAGGACTCGCAGTGGTCGTCTAACGGGAAAGTTTCCACACGCGCGAGGCAGCGGTGGACGGCAACGGATTTTGGCGCGAAGATGAGAGGTGCCCATTCTGTGTAGTATAGAGCAGAAGCGTTTTTGTTCCTTGATTTCAGACTCATATGTTCCAAAATCGAGTGTAGGTAGATGAATCCTGCATCGCGGTAACATTCGGCGACGAGTTGAAGGCGGGTGAGTGATGCGGGTGTAAGGCCTTGAGGAATAATATAAGGGATAGAGGTATGGGACCATGTGAGGAGAGATTCATTTCTAAGAGGCGGTTAGTATAAGGCCATTTTCTTGCGAGGTAAATGGCGGCGGTGAGGAATTTGACGTACATGGAGGCTATTGCCAGACGGAGGGATACTAAATCGCCTCCTAGCGATGGCAGTTCGGCGATGCGTGCGCATAATTTAAGGATTTCCTCTGTGTACCCGATGTAGATATCCAATCTGGGTGCACCGAGGTCTGTATCTGCGGGACAGGGCTCAGCAGCAGTGATTCGTTTCCGATTGCTGATTCGGGCCATATTATACGCATATAGATATCTATGTCTTGTCAGTATGTCTTCGCAAAGGCTAAAAGTTTGACAAACATACAGGCCTCTTAAGAAATGTGCCGCATCTGGATCCATCGACTGCAAGCCTCCGCGGGTAGCGATTAAACGCTGAAGTGCGTTGAGATGCACAACCCATTGCTTGACGCTGCCTCGGACAATTTCGTATTTACACAGTAGACCCACTGCGAGCATAGTATCATCCGAGAGTGCCTCGGGTGAGGATTTAACTAACACCGACCGAATCCCTTCAAGAGTTCTGCCGTAGAAAGTTGCTGATGCGGTTTGCGCACTGTAGCCCTGTGAACGGTTTGCAAGGTGAAGGGCGGAAACTGCGCATACGGCTCTCATAAGAAGCGGGGATGACATTGCTCGAGGAATGAGCAATGATCGAAGCGGATTGTCATCACTTTCGAGGTTGGCGAGAAGCCTGGAGCCTTGTTGGACGTGATATTGGAGATAGTGCGATTCGTGATCCGATAAGTGACTGATATAGTTCCGGGGTCGTGGGACTACTGCTAGTGATTCTTGCGAAACAACTTCCTCGGTTGTTTGGTCACCCTGATCATAATCCTGACGTATATTACTCTCATTCAGCCAATGCCGAGGCGATGAAGTAATAGATCCACTTGGAGATGGGGAGATAGATGATTGTGTATCCAGCCATGCGTCGGAGAATGTTGAATTTGTTGGTGAAACTAGATGCGATGGTGATGATTCATCCTTAGATCTCGATTTCAATGTAGTGTTGGAATCAGTAGAATCAGTTTTGAAAACCTGCGCAGACGGGCCTAAAGGCTCCGCCCAGACAGAGCCATAGCCCTCGCATATACGGCCTTGTTTGATGCAATTGTTGCAACTAGTCAATGTGTCAGTTTTTCTTTATCAGAAAAAGGGCTAGTGGAGACATATACCTCGGTTTAGCCTTATCACAGCCTTTGCGACGCTTTTTACACGTTAAGCAACCGGAGCGAGTCCATGCGGTCCCAGTTTGCCGAGTTCGGACTTTCTTTTGAGGGGTTATCGTACCGGAATTGACCGGTGATGGCTGGGCCCAGCCCGTATCTGTGATTTTAGTTGCAAAGGCCGTCATGGTTGGAAATAATCAACACAATTGACGATTTCCCCGCGAATTGATAGGAAATGTAGAGGGGCGACCCTTACCCGATCAAGGCAATCTCGCGCAGCACGTGACCCTTATCTATGATTTGGGGTAATTTGTGTTTTTTTCCACTGTATCTATACCAAGGATTCAGGTGTATGTATACGTTAAAAATGAAAATGTTTGTCTCGAACACGAAATTGGATCTATACATCACATCTACTATAGACCGCCAATCGCATGGACCCTGTTTACACATCTGCTGTACAACATTGTCGGCGGTTAGTGGACATCGCTCCACAATCATCGACTGGGGCCTTACCTGATCGGGCAGGTCCAACCAACACTTGCAGTTGGACTGATAAGATTCACGACATTTAAAATCGCCGCAATCTTCCCCTCTTACCCCATATTCATTGCAGCCTTGCCCTCGTGTCACTGTCTTCTCCGTTTTTCTCTATCTGCAATTTTCTTCCATCAGCACCCCATCTTATTCATGCGATGATGGTGACCGGACCGCACCCATTTGACCCTATCACCCCGGAGGAAATCAAGATTGCCGTGCGCATTCTTGAGGCAACTTTCCCTGGGGTACCTTTGCGTTACAAGCGGATCGACGTTAACGAGCCCATCAAGAAAGATGTTGTCCCATACATTGAGGCCGAGCGGTTGCGACGACCATTGCCCAAGCCACCTGCCCGCCTGCTTTACACCCTGTTCCACCGCCTGGACAGCGGCGCATTCTACAAAGCCATTTTAAATGCCGATACACGTTCTGTCGTGTATGCCAAAGAGCTTCCACGCGAGGTGCAGGTATGAATGAAAATTTTCATCATTTTTCGCGTTCCAAAATAATTCGCGGGTGATTCCTTGGGTCTGACAAAATTTAACTTTCAGGGACCGATTGATGTGGATGAGATCGTGGAAATCGAGGCAATGTGCATGAAACACCCTGCAGTGCTTGCCGAAATCGAAAAATTGCAGCTTCCTCCCGGCGTGACGGTTTGCAATGACCCTTGGATGTACGGCACCGACAACGAGAACGAGTCACGGCGACTTTTCCAATGCTTTATGTATTTGATCTCGGTGGATCATCCCCAGCACAACCACTACTCGCTACCATGCAAGTTTTCGCCTGTATTTGACGGCCTCACCCACGAGCTTATCCGAATGGATTATCTCCCCGGCGAATCAGATCACGCGACCCAGCAGACTCAAGCTTGGAAGCCTGTCACGGCAATTCAGTACGCTCACGATATTCTCGATGAACCCATTCGCACAGATCTGAAGCCCTATATTGTTCAGCAGCCCGAGGGCCCGTCCTATACAGCGGAAGGCAACTCGGTCTATTGGCAGAAATGGCGCTTCCGTGTTGGATTCAACATCAGAGAAGGCCTGGTTATTTATAACATTACCTATGATAACCGAAATGTCTTCTATCGCCTGGCTATTTCAGAGATGACGGTGCCATATGGAGGTAGGCTATTCTTCAGTTTTCATCTCTCGTATCTGTTGCTCATATTCTCTCAGATCCCCGTGCGCCTTACCACCGCAAGCAGGCATTTGATGTTGGTGACACTGGCTTTGGTATGAATGCCAATCAGCTGTCTCTAGGATGCGATTGCCTGGGGCATATCAAGTACTTTGATGGCTACCGCAATGATTGCAAAGGCAATCCTGTGCAACTGAAGAACGTCATTTGCATGCATGAACAAGATAACGGATTGCAACATAAGCATACAAATTATCGATCCGGTGCTGCTACAGTGGTGCGCAATCGGCAATTGGTTCTACAGATGATCTGTACAGTTGCCAACTATGAGTACATTTTTGCATATATCTTTGACCAGGCCGGCAATATCGAATTGGAAGTTCGCGCCACTGGAATTCTCTCGACTGTTCCATTTGACAATGAGAATGGTCAAACTGTTCCCTGGGGCACCAATGTTGGACCTGGGGTTATGGCTCCTTTCCATCAACACATGTTCTCCTTCCGCATCGACCCCGCCATCGACGGGTTCAAGAACACGGTCTACTACGAAGACAGTGTGCCTATGCCCGAGGATGAGAACAACCCGTGGTTGGTTGGATATACCACCGAATCTACTGTGATGAACACCTCCAGCACAGCGAACACCAGTGTAGACCGTCACCGTGTCTTCAAAATTCGCAATGATAACATTACTAATCCCATCACTTATAAGCCGGTCTCCTACAAGCTCCAGACTGCACCGAGTCAGATGCTGCTGGTTGGCAAGAACTCTCTAGGCTACCGCCGAGCTGAATTTGGCACGAAACCTATTTGGGTCACCAAGTACCAGGATGACGAGCTGTATGCTGCGGGTGAATTCACCAACCAGAGCCGACGCGCCGAGGGTGTCGAGACTTGGGTGCAGCGCAAAGATAATACCGAGAACAAAGATGTGGTGCTCTGGCACACCTTTGGTCTTACCCACAACCCTCGCATCGAAGACTTCCCTGTCATGCCTATGGAGCGCGTTAGTGTCATGCTGAAGCCCGATGGTTTCTTTACTAAGAACCCCGCCTTGGATGTCCCACAATCTGCCCAGACCTTCAACAAGTCCACTCTCCACCCCGAGGCAGCTCCGAGTGCCTGCTGCGCGGGGCCTTCTACATCGAACAAGGCTAAGCTCTACAAGCGGCTGGACTGATTTGCATATGAATATGCTTTATACCCTTTTGTTTCCTTTTTTGGTTGAGGTCCGGAAATTTGGACACACCATTTATGACTTGATGATTTTACAAATTTCTAGTTTTTAGCACTAGCAGCCGTGTTGATTTAGTACTATGAAAAATTTGGACATATTCCCCGACCCGTTTTTTGAATTCAAGTTTAGTGATCTATCCCTATTTCTCACGATTGGATCTGTTCAACCATTGTCAATCCCTTCATTTGCATTGTCAGGACACGGTTTGATCAAAATTATCTAGAGAGCAATCAATTTCCTTCAAATCACATCGTATATACGACGCCAAAATATATCTGAAACTAATCATGATTATTTTAACGTCTAGGTTCTGAGAATAATGGTCTCTAATGTATCGGGGCCTTCGCTTGAGCTTTTCCCATGAAATGAATCTCATGTGCAATTCAAGTCATACTATCCAATGTTGAGCAGCTCGATCTCACTAGGGTGGATTCGACGTGGTATTATCTCAGACGGTCTTGATCCTTCGCGTTTCAAGGACAGATTCCCACAAAGACTTAGCTTCCAACTCATTGACTCGAGGGAAAAAGAAATAACCTTGGAGTACATGGACTGTGCTATTCCAGTCTGTCAAGGATAATTCGCCTGCCAGAACTGCTAGGTGCTCCACAAACCATGCTTGAGAGGGAACCGGAGGTATCTGGGATGCTAGTCCTCCCATGAATAACATCCAGAAGAGCAAGTCGGGGGCCAACAAGCGAAGATCAAGGAAACTATGGTCAAAACTCTGGCGAAGGCGGCCTACAAGGACTGCAAGACTTGGTAGTCCTTGATGGGAGCAGATTCGGATCATGCAATAGACTATCGTCGACAGCCGAAGAGAATCTTGGAACGCCATATGAGGGCATTCACTAACCGGCTTGTATAAGCGTAGAGTCAAAACAATGAGGTAATCATTACCGATAGGATTGGGATGCCGTGCAAAGTCACTAGAGAGTTGGCCCTCGTAATAATTGATCAATTTCTGAAGAGCTTGAAGAGTCGCCTTCAAATCTGGATGAAGCTTCCGGGACCACGGCGAATTAAAGAACCGAGCACCAAGCGAAGAATTATTCGTTGAATCGTTGCCTGCTACAAGGAAGGTGGACTGCGACAGAGCTCTTGCTTCCCAGGCTCTCGAAATATGAAACACGGGCTGTGGACTTGCGATGGCCCCTCTCATCACTTCGCAGCTAGATACAAAAGTGGTCAGGGGAAAGGTAATCGGCTAATGACAGTCATCGAAAGACATACCAGTATAATGTAAAAATGGTCTGATTTCCCAGCATATCCAGTCCACCGGCCATGTCCACCAACTTTTCAAGGCCGTGCATATGCGCATCAACGGCCACTGTATTAGCCTCGGCTGCCTAGTGATTTCCTTGTTAGTCAAGGCTCATTATTTTCAGATGAAATAGAACATGGGAATGGTCGATACCTCCACACAGGCTAGGTTAGCAACGACCAATATTATAGATTCAAGAGAGTGAAGCATGGGCTCTAGCATTTGTTGCAATAATTTAATGGTTTGCCATCGAAATATACATGCATCCGTGGTTGCATTATCTATGGCTGTCGGAGAGGCGTTCTGGAGCCGCAGTGTTGAAGCGAGCTGTGCTGCACTCATTGAGAGAATGACATGACCCAACGCGGGATGATCATGAGCCTTCTGCCACAGCCATGTCGACATACCGTGGAAAGCAATAGGCCAGCATGATTTAGATGTACGAAGACGGTCTAATACGCGTGAGTGAATGTCCATTGATATGCGTGATTCAATTCTCGGTTTTGATTCTGAAGTCCAAACACGGTTGACTCACAATGGTGAAAGTAAATATCTGGATTGTCAGCCCGGCAAGTCGACGACGAAAGAAGATCATCAACTATTCTGATTGCCGGTGATAGCGATAGTGAGGGCTCTGAGAAGAAGGCATAGCTGCTATTACTAATTCCAGGTTTCCGGCTGGTTTGGGTCGGATCCTCAAAGTCATCATTGTTATTGGCCACGCCACCATCCAACAGCCGAGGATCACAGAGAGACGGCATTTGGCGTGAAGACTTTAAATCCTGCAATTTTCTTTTCCTTTGCACTTCGTAATGTTTGCTTTTCAAGAATGCATGTTTAGAGCGGTTAAGAACCCGTTTCTGTGACTTGCCCGGTTCATAGTCTACCCAGAAGAAGCGCGGCGGTTCCCTGCCGGAAGTAAATCTAGATTTATCAATATCCATGATTTAAAACGAGGAACTGATTGTTTAATCGCACTGGAGCTGCCGGCGTATAGCTTTCCGTCCAGGCACAGTGACCAAGCAGGGGTCGGCGAATTTGGAGGTCTGAGCTTATGCGGGGATTCCCCGAGATTACTATGTGGCGGCGGTCAGTCGTGGGGGCCAAATACTGTTGATCGTCACGGAACGGGGACCATGTCAAGCATCATTGACTACCCATTTTCTCAGTGCGAGCACTCTGTAAGTGTTGCATTTAGCACTATACCCCATGTTCTCGGTGTGAATTATCCCGGGTCCGCGTTGTTTATAAACTCTATACCCAACGTTGCATTGGAGGTTCGGCACAGACCGACTTCCCCATCCTGAACAATGCTTAAGTTCGGGCAATTCCTTGTTCGTGATATGGAAGCGCCATTACATGGTCGATAATGGCCATGTTTCTGAGGGGTGCAACAGTGGTAGCACTCGCAGCACATGCTGTGTCTGGTGCTGCTGTTTTCAAACCTCAAGATGATGCCCTTGGAGGTAATACCTGGCACAAATATGTTCGTTCCCCAAGCGACTCTTTGTTGAAGCCCCAGAGTATCTTGTCTGCCAATACGACTGGAAACGTCACGAACCCCGATGGCTTACTTGGTGGGAACGGCTCACCCACAATCCTGACACGCAACGAAGGGGATACCAGTGTTCCTACTCTGGTCGTCGATTTTGGGCAGAATACCGTCGGTGTTGTGTCAATTACGTTTGCGGGGTCTTCTAATTCATCTGAAGGGCTTCCTGGGTTGAAGCTGGCTTTTTCTGAAACCCAGCAATATTTGACGAATGTCAGCGATTTTACCAGGTCTGATAACATGGCCGCAGTAAGTTGAACTAGATTGAAAGATATTCTGTTAATACACTAACAAGTTATCTCAGGGTCAAAAGCTCACAAACGGAACCGATCAGGTATGTCTCAAGCTGGAAGTTGGTTCCAATTTGAAATAAGCTAAGCATGTGCAGATTGCCGTCGTCAACGAAAGATACACCTGGAAAGATCACACTGGCTGTCAATACAATAATCAAGTGTGCTCCGATGGTGTCCACGGTTTTCGATACATGAAGATCTGGCTTGATGCCCTCGAAAGTGATGCTCCTTATACTCAGCCTTACGGATCAGTGTCTATCTCAAGCATTGAACTAGAATGGTCTGCTTATCTAGGAACGCCTGATACTTTCACTGGATGGTTTGAGTGCTCTGATGAGGATCTTACTCAATGGTGGTACGATGGTGTGTATACCGCCGACATGGGTACCGACGTGTTCCTCGCCAATGAGACAGACCCCCGGAACTCGGCCTCTCCATCTTTGGAAGGCAAGGAGGTTCTCTTCGATGGCGCCAAGAGAGACAGAGATCCTTATGTTGGGGATCTGGCTGTTGCTGCACTCACAACGTACTTGTCGCATGACAATCCTGACGCAACCCGCAACATACTGGCTGATTTGGCGAATCACCAGCGCTCTGATGGATGGATTCCACCTGCTAGCATGTGAGTAGACTACCCCATCCCACTCTACGAGCGCCTTCTTATTTATTTGTAGCAATAATTATACACTGGATTTGTATGATTATCCGATGTGGTGGGTTGTGTGTACAGAGGATCTCGTTATGTATACCGGGGATACAGACTTTGCAGCCCAGTATTACGACGTGATGAAAAAGACTTTGGACAACTACTTTGGCCAGAATCTCACATTCGATGGCGGTCTTCTCAACAAGACTAACGGATATGGAGATTACGCATTCCTTCCGCGCTCCGGCATCATAACCTACTACAACGCTCTATACGTCCATGCCTTGAAATCAGCCGCACACCTCGCCGCGATCCTGGGTAATTCAGCAGACAGCAAAACCTGGACCTCCCGTGCATCTGCTGTAAGTGAAAATCTCCTAGCCAGAAACTGGGATCCAGCTGTAGGCGCATTTTTCGACGGAGGACCCTGTCCAAATGCAGCGGCAGATACCATCTGCAATGTGCACGCCCAGGATGGAAATGGAATAGCCGTGCTATCCGGCTCTGTGAATTCATCTTTAGCCAAAGACCTCTTAGACTACTACGGCAACGCTACGTCGAAGTCATACGGCAATGCCTTCTATGACAACGACCTCCTATCAACCGGTTTCTCCGAGCGAGTATACGCATTCATTTCTTATTTCGAGCTTGCAGCTCGTTTCGCAACCCCTGGTACATCCAGCTCAGCATTTGAAGAGATAAAGCGCTTATATGGCTGGATGTCAATCCACGACCCGAAAATCACTTTCTGGGAAGGTATTGGTCCCAATGGATCACCATACGAAGAAGGATTCACATCCATGGCTCATGGATGGTCAACAGGTATCGTGCCGCTGATGAGCAACTACGTCCTCGGTGTTCGGCCTACCGGTCCGGGTTTTAAGACCTGGCAAATCTGTCCGGTGATTGATGGTGGGGATCTCACGTGGGCTAGGGGGCAAGTCGGTACTCCGCGGGGCCCTATCCGGGTTTCTTGGAGGAAGAACAACAATGGTACTTTTGGTCTTGAGATTGAAGCTCCGGAGGGTACTGGTGGGGTTATTTGTGTGCCTAGTACCGGATTCAAGAGCAATCGCGTCGTTATGGATGGAGAGGAGGTAAAACAGATGGCCGATGTGCCCGTTTTCGGTCCTATCGCGACGGGTGGAGAGGGTTTTACTTTGGTTCAAGCAAGAGGAGGTTCCCATACGATCCTCGTTGGAGCTTGATACATCCATCTATGTACATGTGAGGAATTGCTACACGTGTTGGACATTGACTATGTGGTCTCCAAATTAGCAGCTTTTCTGGGATCTGTAAATGTTTGGGATGAACTCATGTGGTCTAAAGTCCGAGCTAGCAAATGTCAGCCCTGACTCAGACAATGCATCCGACTGCTTATTTGCCTAAGTGCTCACCTCGCTAAGTCCCCATAAAGCCAAGTTTGATGCGCCAAGGTCCAACCCCTGTTCATATGACATATGTACCTGATCATCACGAGTAGAATATCCGAAGGGATGTCTCATGTAGAAGTTTGAAGTCCTGAAGGGAAACACTGCATACCGGAGATTATTAGCTTCAAAGCAGACATATACTAGCCTAATATTAATGCCTTTTTACCAGAGTAACATCTACCTGGTCCATTAGTGATATTGTAATCAACAGAGCCAAGCAAAGAATGTCTGACCTCGGGCGCTTACGTGCATAACCCCGCGGGATGACCCTGCATGAACTGCCGGCCCGTCATAAGCAGGGCTTTATGCAAGATTGGGTAACCAGATAATTTATCTGATGACACCCTACTGCAGGGCCAAGACGGAGAAATAACTAAAATCAGCATTGGATACGAGGTATAACCTGCTAAGCTCTGCCTCCCATGTCCAAGACTGCTTGGCCATATGCGATGAGTTGAACACTGAAGTTAGAAAGATGGAGTCTAAGTCCACGGATTGTTACTCTAATCCTATAATATCAATCTCCTACCCTTATTAAATATGAACGCCTAGAATTTTGGATTTTTTTGCGACAGGATGCGTATATCCAGCGGAAAATAGGCCGAGTGGCTTGCAGGACCTGGTATCGATGCATCTTCTCTTTGGAAGTTCGCGCCCCATATTTAGCCTGATCACTCATCCACGAGGAAATTCTCCCTCGTTGATTGGATACTAAAATAGTGGCTGCTTTCAGGATTTCAAAGGTGGCTTCAAATGTATCAAAATATAGCAATGGCTTTCAGACGAAGTAAGCTCTTCACCGACCCTTCCATCTCGCGTGAAGGCCTCTGAATACGCTAAACGAACAAAATCAATTGAATATTAGGAGAGAAGTCCGTTACTGGGACAGAGTCTTTTCTGATTAGACTTCAGATCTAACAGCCAAAGGTTTTCTTTCCGAGGAGTTATTAAGTCTTTTCAAACTCCTCGAAACGCTCAATAATCTCAAAAATTGGAGGTTTCGCCACATGAGGCCTCGAAAAAGCCATAGTACAACCCATCGTGGCAACTCTGATCACACATAATGTTGCGGTGTGCGGTCTCAATGAAGCATGCAGTGAGAAAATAGCGTTGAAAGTGTCCCATCCACACATCCTCATACCATACCCAATATCAGATACAATCTTCACTCTGAAAACACATAAATAGAGACCATTTCATCTTCAATTGAAATCATCATCGCACTCAACTCTTCTTCAAAAACATCAACAGTCCAATCCAGCCTCCACTCTTCAAAATGCAGTTCCCTCTCTTCCTCGCTGCCGCTGCCCTTGTCGGCCAAGCAAGCGCCTTCTACGGCCAAATGTCTGCTTCTGCCTATGAAGCCAACGAGGGCGGTGTTTTCCAGATCATCTATCTCACCGACTACAACAGCGGTTCTACCTATTCTGGTACCCTTTATGGAGGATTCAACGGCTGTGCTAGCTCTGAATGCTCTATCGAGTAAGCAATCCTGGGAATATTTTATCAGGCTTTACTGACAAGTCCTATCAGCTTTTATGAGACCAGCGCCGGTGGATATGAGTTTGGTGCTCTCATATGGCGTACTAGTGATGGATGCCACAATATTGACTTTGAGGGTGCTTTGGATGCGGGCCATGGGTACTGCTGTGGTTCGTTGCCTTGCGATTTCTCTGCTTAAAGGGAATGCTGGGAGAATATGAGCAAGCTTGTTATGTACTTTTGGCCATTTGTAATCAGGTGTTCGGGCTTTTTGATGAACACTGTTGGCTACTATTTGGATCCGATGACCATTGAATAGATCAGGCTGAGTACTGTTGCATTTCTTCATCTAAGGGTATTGTTATTGGCTCTAAACTGCATCTGACTGGTATAATCTGGCTTAAATCAAGCCTTCATGTGAATCACAGTAGCTCGCGTAGACTCAACCTTAGTTCCCAAATCACACAGCTCTAGAGCTGCATTTTCCGAAACTTTCTGAGTTTCGCTATGCCAATCCTCGAAATGAGCAGGGTTGCTACTATACATCCCGATGTAAGCCATACAAATGCGTATGGGCTCTCCTCCATGTAGTTGACCACATTCATTCCAACAAGACCAGCCACAAAAGTCGAGACAGCAAAACCTAGCATCCAGATCTCGAGATGGGCCTCGAAGATCATGATCTGGTTTCGCCGAACATCTAAAATCGACTTAATGGCTCTTGCAGTACGGTTCACTTCTTCCACAAGTGCCCCAGAAGACTCAGCAATTGCATCCGCATTCTTATAATACGCCTCCAACAGGTATTCGACTTCTTGGTGATCTGCAATCGCGTGTGGTTTCCCAGCCTGCCGATCAGTCAAATACATTGTTGCGAGGTCTTCATCATTGTTGAGGAGCTCTTGCAGAGCGGAGCGGACTTGACGAGCTCGTTGCTCAATAACGGCCAGTTTCTTCCCATGCTCCAACAATTCACGTAGAGCCAAGTGAACGACGTCTTCCTGCTTAGAATCTTCAAGACGTTTCTCGACCTGGCCGCGGAGGATCAAATGTTCGGCTTCAAGGATTGCAGTCACGGATGCTAGAGCTGCATCTACAACGCGTAGTTCAAATGGAAGATTGGGCGTAAATCCAGATCCCTTTTCGGCACGCACTCTGCTCTGCAAATTGTGTTCGAAGACATCTTGCATTTTCAACCCATCTGTTTCAGTCCCAATGAGGAAGAGCAGAGCTCGATCACACTGGATAAGAAGACGGAGGGTGAAGAAACTGATAAATATCGCCGACGGCCGGACTAGTACATGCGGAATACCCTCAGAGACGAGATCGGCATTTCGTAAGTCTCGACCATTGATCCCATACTGTTGAGCCACCTCGGCTTTTGTCAGGCGAGTCTCTTTGAATGCGGTAGAACCATCTGCATTGAAAAGTGCACACTTTAACTCGGTCGAGTCATTCATGCGACTTCGAGACAAGGCGATGGATTGATCAAAAACTTGTTGCTTGAAGGAAGGTTGTCGGGTGATCTCGTCTGGAAGAGTCACCCCATGTTTGTCGTTTAATCTCTGGCTGGTGAATGTAGCTCCTCTCTGTGGAACCAGCCGAGTTATCCGGGGTTTAAGGTCACTGGTGCGGGGTTGATGCGAGCACCGGAGTGGTGAAAGAGCCCATGCTGGCCGCTGTGTTCTCCGTACAAGTGGCAGTAGCCTCGACACCAGCGGCTCATGCATATTCATAGATGCTTGTCAAGATGGGGGAGCTGAAAGTCAAGGATGTCAGGTACACGTGATGATAACAGGGGCATAAAATGGGTGTGACGTCATGCTCCATGTCAACAACATTGAACCATGGCATAGTCATGGCATAGTCAAGGCATGCAACGAGACTTAGTCTACGTGTCCGGAGACGTATGTTCTTGATTGAATGGAAGGGTTGCACAGTATATATCATGCATGTCATTATCCTCCAATCTTCGAAAACCGGAACTTGGCGTGAATGACATCTTCAGGTAGGGGATGATATATCTTCCGGTCCATAGATACTTTGGACTCACATGACATCGATTCCAACGGGACTAAGCCCCTGGACCGAGCTGTAGGCATCTGAATAGAGAGATTAGAATGTTCCCTAAGGCAGCAGCCAACCTGTAAAGTATATATTCTCAAATGCCTGCACATAGTAGCATCGACACTTAATCTGGAAGAGTGGGTCGACGTGCGGGGAAACAGTCCAGGCCCCGGGTTTGGTGCTTACGTTCTCCCGAAGCCCTTGTGAAGTCCACGCGTCAAATCAGGAAATCAGCTACACCACAGGGAATACGAGTCTCACCACAGACACAATCAGCTTGAATCAGCGTCACAGTTACACTTGAAACCTGCCTGTTGAGATATAAGTCCCGACAGTGCCAACTTTCCTGCCAAGAAGCAGTACTACTCCGGGTTCATCTGCAAATCCAACCCAAAAATCCAATGGCAGGACAACCTGTAAAGCGTGGCTTGGCAGCAGTTACGCTAGACTACATCGGATCAAAGTATGTAAATGCAGGCCCTGAACAATGCAGCTACACAACACAAGCCGTCCAGATCCCCATGTCAGATGGAGCGAAACTTGCAGCCGACTTCTATAATCCAGACCTACCCGACGACCAAGAGCCATCCGGGCTAGTCATGATCCAATGCTGCTACGGTCGAGGCAGTGGAATATCATTTCTCAACGCACGCGTCTTCGCCGCTCGTGGTTACCGAGCCCTTTTCGTCAGCACGCGTGGTACTCACGGCTCCGAAGGAACCTTCAGCCCCGGACTTAATGAGGCGAGTGATAGTCAGGATATCGTCAAATGGATGCGTCAGCAGCCCTGGTATACTGGCACGTTTGCTACAATGGGAGCATCGTATCTAGGATACAGTCAATGGGCGCTTTTGGCTGATCCGCCTGCAGACTGTGTCGCTGCTGTGATTCCAGTTGGACCTCATGATCAGGCATTCCATGCCTGGGGTACCGGGTCTTTCCGGCTAGATCGTGCGCCTTGGAGCGATATGATGTCCCGTGGACCCGAGGAGCGTGGGAGCTTTCTTGAGCGTTTGTCCAGATTACCAGGTCTTAACTTCTTATCACCCAAGGAGCTGGAGAAGGCGTTAGAAGCCTTGCCATTGGAAGCTAGTCTGCAAGAATACTTCAAAGACAGGGCCCCTTGGCTGTTTGAGTATTTGAAGAACCCAGATATTGATGGTCCATACTGGAGCTCGAGACGGCAGCATGCTGCTCTTGAGCGTCTTAATATTCCCATACTATTGGTGGGCGGTTGGTATGATCCCTTTGAAACGCAGACCTTACACCAGTATAAACGTCTCTCTGAGAGGGGCGTGGATGTCAATCTTATTGTCGGTCCCTGGAATCATGTTCAAGGATGTGGTTTACATTCCATACCTGAGATCCTCGATTTCTTCGCGCAGCATCTCGCTAAGAAAGGAGACTACGGCCGGTCTCGAGCTCGCATATTTGTCACCGGTGCCGAAGAATGGCGCTCGATGCCTACATGGCCTCCAACTACAGAGTCGAAACCGATGTATTTACAAGACTCTGCCGGCCTCGACTCAGAGCTACCTGGAGAAGATGCATCCACTGCCTCCTTTGTCTTCGATCCTCGGAATCCGACTCCCAGCATAGGTGGCAATCAGATGAGTTCCAGCGGGCGAGTCGACGACAGTGTTTATGCAACTAGATCGGATGTTCTAGCATTCACTAGCAAGCCTCTCCCCGAAGACTTGGAGATCCTCGGTACCCCATCCGTCCAGCTTTCACATTCGAGTGACCCACCCTTTGCAGATCTGTTCTTGCGGCTCAGCGAGGTCGACGAAAATGGCGTCTCTCACAATATTACCGAGATGTACAAGGCACTTGATCCGAAGCGCGACATTGCCAAACCACTGCATTTGGATCTGCAAGACTGCGCTCACCGATTTAAAACGGGCAAAAGTATACGACTGGTTATCGCTGGTGGCTCATTCCCGATGTTTGCACGAAGCCTGGGAACCGAAGAGGATCGTGTGCGAAGTGACAAGATTGTTCCTCAAACGCATACCATCACCATCGCTGCTGGGGTATCCCAGCTCACCCTTCCTGTATTTAGTCCTGCTTGATCTTCACGCGTCTTCCACTAGTAAAGAGCTCCTTTTTGAGGGATTAGCACACGTAAACGTTCTCATAATGAAATTTGGAATCGCCAAGAAAATCGAAATTAAATTTCCACGTGGCGTGTTATACGCGAAGCTGAAGTACAGACTTTCAATGAGAACAATCACCAAGACTCGCCCCAAACAGATCCATCGCAGACGGCTGTCCACAGTCCCAACTCTCAAAAAGCGCAGACATATCCTGCGCTTCAGGGTACGTAAGATAATCCATCATATCCACACCAAAAGGATCCTGCGGAGTTGAACCGTCCAAGCGAGAAGCATCAGGTTTCCTCGTATCACCCGACAAAAGCAACGAGTCTTCCTGCTCATTATACTTCCCCACACAAGATTTCTGTGCCGCGACTAACCCGCGCGCAACTCGCGCAAAGTTAACCCCGATACTATACAGACGCTCTGATGCACTGGAGACACCCCGGGTATTGTATAATGTCGCAACGACTTCTTCGAGGAGATTTACATCGTCCATACTTGTTGCGGCGATGGCGTGGAGAAATATAACGATGAAAGGGGTGAATGATGAGTATAATAGGACCCTGAGTGAATTAGTTGCTGATTTTGAAATCTTTTGGGGGGAACTAACCAATTTGCATAGTCAGCGACAGAGAAGACCTCAGAATTATTATACTCGGGAAAGCACCGCAAGTGGCTTCTCAGACTTGAACGCGCGGCTTCGAAGCATTTTGAGCCGATTTCGCCCCCTTTGCTTAAAGACGACGATGCTCGTAAGAGAGATGTCAAGGCTGAGTAGTACAAGACGTCCCAAGTTCGTTGGCCTATGTCGAACAAACCTGGTTGGCTAACTTTGCTTGTATCGATCTGTGATAGGAAGCAATGTCAGATGACTAAAGCCCCAAGGGAATGTGAGTATTAGGATTGGTTGAATACCATATATCTTTGCCTATGACACTCCTGCATCTCAAGCTCAAGCTCCTGTATAAGCATCACGCGCTCGGAAGCGGTTGCTTTCAGCGCGGAAGCAGAGTAGAGTTTGTTATATATCTGCCCCTGAAATCTTGCGAGTTTGATAATATAACATACTGCCTCATCCCAGGGACGAATAGCCGGGTCTAAGTTCGAAGAAGGCAATCGTACATCAATGTCAAAATCCTGGATATAAGAAGCTCGACCCAGAAGGAGAGACATGCTTTTATCAAAAACGTAAATGCACCAGAAAATGCGTCGTTTATTCTCAGCGATCGCATCGTTTTCTCGTTGATAAGTCGATTCGCGATGATACCCAAGCATCTGACAATGACGGGCAGCTGCAGATACTAATTGGCAGCATACCAGAGGCTTGGACTCATCTTGTGCTTTCAAGGTCTATAGCAGTGTATCAGCTTAAAACTTGTAATCCGTATCGCAGGACCTAGCTTACCCCCATAACTAATGCAATAACGTTCTCAAAGGTAGGTACCGTCAGAACATCAAAGCTTTCAATAGCAGCCTCAAAGCTCTTTTTGCAATTTAAGATATGGCCTTCAAGGTTGAGTTCCTTGGATAGCGCATCTTTCCGCATTGTAGACTCTTTCATAAGAAAGTATAATATTCCATGCATCGCCGCGACATTGCCAGCGGAAACGGGCCGCATCGGGAAGTAAACCTTCTGACAGATATCCTCTACCAAAGATAAGCTACTAAAAGGGTAAGATGATAGAAAGAGAGGTTTTTCATCTAGATGGCTAATTAATGCTGAATTTCAAGCGAGGCCCACTGGTATCCAAGACAAGCACATACCTTGGTAGCTTCTCAACATCGCTAGCACGAGCTCAGCGGGCAATGGCAGGTATATCTGTTTAGGATTGTGAGTCATATGATCGACTGCGCGGTCATTTTGCGATGCAGGCTGAAGGAGGCTTTTCAGCGAATGGAATGTGGCGTTCAGATTAGATTCAGCTGCGTAATTGGCGATCGTCTCGGCGGTCTCTCTGGCACGAGCTGACTGGCTGATAAATGAGGAGTCGCCTTCGTATAGAGTGATTGGTATGTTGGAGACAGGTACGAGCCTGGCATTGTTTGTAGGTATATCTGTAGTGGGGGTAGATCCGGTGGAATGAGCTGGAAGATGGCGGCTGCTGAGTTGGTTTTCAAGATCACGAAGCCGGCTCTCCAGGGAATTGACATGCTCTTCTCTGCAGAATTTGTGAGCCTTGATTATTTCACGCAAATCTGAACAACCTCACAAGCGTGTTGTTCGGTCAGGCTTTGGCCTTTTTTCGGGCCCGGGATTAACCTGTTCGCAGGCGATGTCTGATGTTTGGCAGTTCGAGCATGGAACGGACCGATCGCATCGAATCTATACGACTAGATTGGCCCGGTTATTCGAGCCTTCATTCTTGAACGGGTATCATTCACCTTTCGTATCTTACAGGCTTCACACTGTCCGTCATCTCTAGTTAGCTTGCTCTTTTGGCATGTCCCATGGAAAACATACTGCTCTTGGAACAAGTGAGAGCCTTTTCCGCTTGTTCTGAAATGATTCCTGTTGATCGTTATCCATGATAGATGTGTTGGTAGGGAATAAGAAAGTACGTAGTCGGGGAGTCGGGTCCACGGGCCCGCGGAGACCGGGTCCCCGAGTGTAGATACGGGGCTCGGAGCTACATTGACCAATCAGAGACCCCACTTCATCCCCAGAAAGTATATCAGGAAAGTAACCACATTGTCGTGATATTAGAAACTTCATATTTAACCCCCGATCACCGTGAACTATCGTTACATAACTTCTCCTCCCTACATTTATTTTTGAAACAAAATGAACAAGAATGATGCGGCTATCGATCTGAAAGAGCCCGGGCATACGACTGCAAGAACACTACCATTGGCGAATCATGAAGCTGCATTAATGGAAACGACACCACCAAAACAAGAGATGAGTCTCACAACACCCGACGATGAAAATCCTTCTGGACAACAGTTGTCATTGTGGGGCTTGGTGCCCGTTACGGCTGCTCTTTGTGCGACATTGTTTTGCATGTCCTTGGTAAGTGGATGTATCCTAAATTCGGATATAAAAACATTGTTTGTTTGCTCAGACCTTGAATTAGGACGCAACTATTCTTGCAACGGCTATTCCCAAAATCACTACTCAATTTAACTCTCTGGATGATGTTGCTTGGTATGGCAGCGCGTATCTATTTGCTACGTGTGCTGTGCAATTGATGTTCGGGAAGCTCTACACCTTCTATTCATCCAAATGGGTATTTCTGACTGCTCTCTTCATCTTTGAATTAGGCTCGGTAGTCTGTGGTACTGCACCAACATCTACAGCTCTTATTATTGGGCGTGCTGTAGCAGGCTTAGGGGGTGCAGGTCTCTTTTCAGGAGCCCTGATTATTGTGAACACGCTAGTCCCACTGCGTATACGTCCAATCTATATAGGCCTCGTTTCTAGTATGCATGCAATTGCCAGTGTGGCTGGTCCAACGTGAGTCATCACCAAGCCTTGGGGCGACTCAGCTAAATTGAGATCTTAGCATGGGTGGTGTGTTGACGGACCGACTGACCTGGCGATGGTGTTTTTACATCAACCTACCCTTCGGCGGCTTTGCCGTCTTGATGATATTTTTTTGTCTTCCATCCAGCTCATTTGCTGTGAATAAGCTTGGTTGGAAAGAACAACTGAAGCACTATGACTTGCCTGGGACAATCGTGTTGATTCCGTCTATCATTTGCTTAATCCTTGCTTTGCAATGGGGTGGATCCACATACCGTTGGGGCAATGGTCGGATAATAGCCCTTTTCATCATAGCTGGCGTACTTTTCACCGTGTTTATTGGTATCCAAAGTTGGCAGAGGGACCAAGCCACAATACCCATGCGTCTCCTGAAAAACCGCAATATCTGGGGCGCTGTCTGGTACGGAAGTCTTGTCAGTGCTGCAATGTTTATCGTTACGTACTATGTATGTTGAGTATCATCTGCTTGCTGCTCACAAACATCGCAACTAACATCATAACAGCTTCCTATCTGGTTCCAGGCTGTCAAAGGTGAAAGTGCCGAGCAATCTGGAATTCATAACCTTCCCAGTATGATAGGACTAGTAATATTCGCGATCATCGGAGGCATCACCGCTTCAGCCATCGGTTATTATACACCATTGATCCTCTTGTCATCGGCAATCTCCGCCGTCGGTGCAGGCATGCTAAGCACACTAAAACCCGATTCTGGCATCGGATATTGGTTTGGGTACCAATTACTCCTCAGTGCAGGAATGGGCATCGGTGCTCAAAACATGATGCTGGTAACATCAGTGGCCGTCGATAAATCAGACATGCCCATGGCTACCTCCATCTTGACTTTTACTCAGATCTTGGCCAGTGCGATCATTCTCCCGGTTGGTCAAGCCGTATTTCAAAACCAGCTGGTTACCAACTTTGAATCGATGCTCCCAGATGCCAATACTGCATTGGTTGTAGCTAGTGGCGCGACGGGTTTTAGACTGATCTTATCTGCTGATCAGTTATCTTTGGGTATGAGAGCGTATAATAAGACGCTCTGCCAGACTTTTTATGTGGCAGTTGCTACTAGCAGTATGTCTATTGTTGGGCCTATTTGTATGGAGTGGTTATCACTGAAAGCTGCAGTGAAGGACCAAGAGCAAGCAGTTGAGAAGAGGAAGGTCGAGGTTAATGGCGGGGATAGCCAGGCGGATGTAACTCAAGCCACTAATTATGAACACTTATGAGATGGGAAAAGCGACTTGACTCTCATATAATTGTTTTATTTGAATAGACTGTTTGCAATTCTACTTGATCTTTTACGAGTGAAGTACAGATGTCAGGTCCCATGGGAGAGCAGCCCCCACACAAGCTCAGTCTAACCCCGCTTACACCTTGGCAGTACTTTATTTTTTCTTCTTTGGAGAGCTCCGTGGATCTAGTTTCCTAGAATGGGCACATATGTAAACTGGGACGAACTGTCAAACTGTCAATCATGAACCAAGTCTTGTTTTCAAGACAGTATGATGGGGTTTCAAGCTAAAGTTAAGAAAGAAAACCAGAAACAGCGCGAGTAGTGTGCGTCTTTCAGTAGATCTACATTTTTCCATAGCCAAGAGAACAATGATCACATCTACCATGTGACGCATCTGTGAAACCAAATGCCTTGTGAGTTCCTTTTCAAATGAAGGGACTGCGAGTATAACTTAGTCTCTTTATTACACTAGATTCTACACTAACCCCTCATGACATCGAATCTCAATTTCTAACACCTCTCTTAATTGAGTAATCCTGATTCACACCCCACCACTAGTTTACAGTAAATTGCACGCCAAAAACGGCGCCACAGGTAGCCATTTTTGGCACCCTTTTCACCGGAATTTGAGTCATCATTGAATCACATGATACCGACTAGCCCCAGTTTTCTGATCTGCTTAAGGGAGCACTTAGGGCTACTAGGGGGGTTCTCAGGAGACTACTTAGAAGTCTTTTTAGTCAACTCTAGTAAGCGTGATTTATGTTTCTAGTGCGCTATAGAAACATAGATTAGATGATGCGCTAGTATTCAGGAATACTTTCAGGTCTCTCAGCTGCTCTTTTACTCTATGTATGTTGTTTTGGCCGAGAATGACAATACAATCCGACCCAGAGACATTCGGCCGAGTCGACTTTGTCTCATTATTAATACACTTCGAAAGCTTATCAATTATGGTTAGGCAAAATAGAGTTCCCGCAAAAACTTACTTAGGTGGAAGGTCTGGACTCCGGACCCAGTCTAGACCCAATGCTGGGGCTCTAATGAAATATAATGTTTATATTGAGATGGCAAGTACGAGGCTATAAATGGCTCAGGCTGTGAGCGCCGGAGACCTACAGTATTAAGTAGAGTAATCCACTTGTTGGATTTCCGCTCCTTGGGTCATTCTGTCGTCTGACCGCTTTGTTCTGATCACTAAGCACTGGTGGCTGCTCACATTATCACGACTTTGTAGCTCTCTTCTGGGAATCTGTTTCCCTTTATTGTGTGTTGTCATTTCTCTGGCTTGGAAACACTCCATGCGATCCCAGAGACATCCAAGAGGCCCTGGGAACTGTGTTGCTTCTAAAGCCTTGAGTTCGGTTCCTGGGACGAGGAAGGGACTGCAGAAGAGAACAAATATCGGACACCAGCAAATAATGCTGATGCAGGCCAGTGGCCTTCGATATATTTCATTTTCGTTCGATGATTCCAGGGTCTACAGTGAACTCCCTTCTTTTGGATTAGCAGCAGCCAGATCGAAGGCCACAGCGGGTGCCCACTTCAGCACAGCTCATAAGCCAATGAGAATGATTCACATCACCACGGCTGCTTACAGGCACCGAATCATGAAAGCCGTCTTGTGGGATCGTTGATTGATTTGAAATATCTGCACCTACAAGTTGTTTCATCATCGTTCAACAGTAACTTCAATAATATAATTGATTAGCTTAGTATATAGCATAAAATATGGTAGAGAAGGAATAAAGAGGCGCCCTTTCAGTAACAGACACAATTTCTAAATAAGATGAGGTCCACGAAGTTTCTCTGAGAGGAAAATCTGGCAGCCTCACGTAGCACAATATGAATCATGAAAGGGCGCACCAATCGCAGAGCCATGATATTGGCATTTGAAAACATCCATTAGACCAATGTACTCTGAGTCAGTATACCTCCTCTCTGCTAGTAGTAGACCTGGTCGGGATTGAAAATGCCTCATCATGGGGCAACGTCTCGATCTTGGGAACTGATTGGATCATCGGCATTTGAGCCTTCGGGTAATTGACGGTGGCAGGGATCCTGATAGCTTTCCGTGCCGCATGGTATGATAGATTGGCAATCCATTAGGCTTTCTTCTTTTTGTTTCCTTCTCTGGGGCAGGGGAGGGCCCGAGGGTGGCATTGCCCGGCCCCGTATTTGAGTTCGTTTCCAGAATACAATATAAGGGGGTTTGGGGGCATTTGCGATGTGAACTATAATTTTAGGATAGTGGCGGTTGTTCACGAAGATAGATAGATCAAGATCTTGCTTGGGCTCATTTTCTCTGTCCTTGGCACACTGATAATAGTAGGTGGAGAAGGGCAAGAGTGTAGTCGATACCATATAGAGGACGCGTTTAGGTTCCCCCGAATTTCAGCCACCACGGTAACCATGTCTAAGACAAATTAAATGACATGGGTATAGCCTACCTCCAACAAACAAGTCTATGCCGATATCGGCTGTCTATCGGGCATGGGCTGTGTTCTCGAGAATTTAGTTTATGAGGCGCTGTCAATAGAGTTTATGTGGTCCCACTACCCCATTTCGCACGCATATTGCGTAACAAATGTGGAGCTGATACCAATTCCGATGTTATCTAGTGAGAAATGTAAGGGGCAAGCTGCTATTTGCCAGAGAACGGCTCCCCGATACATTTGCGATGATTGTGGGACCTCTTGACTTATGATCCAAATGCTAAGCGGCTTGACACGGAGTTAGAATAGTTGATGAAGCCATGATAGGGTAGACGCGGCGTCAGGTGTAGAGAATCTCCTTGAACTGAATATATAATACGACAAGAATTCTCCTGCGAATACTCAGCTCTATTCTACATCAATTCTACATCACTCTATTGCCGAGTCTACGAATGCTTAGATTCTATTTATCATGGCCGCCACAAAAGAGCCCACTGATGATATCCCACGAAGTCCCCAAACGGACGACGAGGTAGCCATTGGCACCATTATGGAGCGTACCTGGGGTCTCAATGCTCGGGTCGACCCTACTGTCACCTTTGAGGAATATACATACTGGGCTTTTATGGAGCGTCTGGATGAAGAGAAGAGAAATCGTACATACAAAGACAAAATTGGCCCGCTGACTCTAGGCAAGGTCATAAAGGGGCGTTTTTCACATGGGATTCACCACGAGGAGAGAAAAGAGCGAGAGACAGCCACGAAACCTGACACTTTGGCAGGTGGTAACGACGAAGGAAATGCAGACAGGACAGGTACAGGTATCCTCCGGGGTGATGTTCCCGCTGTGTTTGAGGAAGACTGGAAGACCGCGGCCAGGGCATTGAAAACAACAAGCTGGGGGACCATATTTTTTTTGATCACTACCGATATTCTTGGTTGGGCCAGTTGTCCGTGCGTGCTGAGATTGCAGAGTCACTGTTGAACCAACTTATGCTGACTGAAGACTAGATACGCATTTTCCACAGTTGGCTATGGCCCAGGTGTGGCTCTTTATTTCATCTTCTCCATTGCCGCTGCAGCGAGTGGTTACATCTTGTGGCGTGTTTACTTAAGTCTGGACTCAGTGCGATATCCGATCCTTAGTTATGGGGACGTTTTCTTTCGCATCTTTGGCACTAAGTCACGCCATTTCATCAACGTGACACAGGCGTGCCAGCAGTTTTTGACCGTGGCGGTTCTGATTCTTCAAAGTGGTCAGATCATCGGCCAACTTTCGGGAGGAATTATTTGTTATTTTGCCTGTTTCGCCATTTTTGCAGCTGTTGGTATTGTTGGAGGAATGATGCGTGGATTGCAACATGTTGGATGGCTAGCGAATGGGGCCGTTTGGATGAACATCACCAGTTTCATCATTGTGTGAGTTCTTTTAGCTCCTAAAGTCTTGTTCGTGCAACTTTTTAACCGTTCCACTCAGCATGGTAGCAGCGGCCCATTTCCCAGTCAATTATCAAGCTACGACACTCAGTACCCGCATTCATAATATTGGGCCTATCAGGACTTTTGCTAGCCCGCCACCTGCAGAATACCAGCCGGCAGCAGTCGGATTTTCTGGACAGCTCAATGGTATTAACCAGATGGTTTGTAAGTTCTCTAGCTTTGCTTAAGCCCTTTGTGTTTCATTTTCTTTTTATACACCTAACTTACTACCACTGACAGACAGCTGGGGCGGTGCTTTGCTCTTTATAGCCTTTTTGGCTGAGATGCGACATCCAATGGACTTCTGGAAAGGATTGCTATGCGCACAACTTTTCATCTGTTTTGTCTACATTTTCTTCGGTGTTTTTGTAAGTCTCCTATATTTTTCAAACAATTTTCTTGGCATACACTTGAGATTATATTAATGGTTACGCTGATTATGAACTTTGAAGGTCTATTCTTTCTATGGTCAGTATTCTGCCCAAGTTATAACTACCGCAGTGCAACCCTTCGCCTTACAGACTGTTGGAAATGTATTCACTCTTGTGACTACTGCTATCTCGTCCAGTAAGTATCGACATTCAATATCAATGCCACTGAGCTAATAAAACGCTACCGCAGCTATGTACTTCAACGTAGGTATGAAAACTGTGTATATGGAGGTTTTTCAAGAAGTATTCAATTTCCCGACTATCACCACCCGAAGAGGCCGCTGGATGTGGTATATTCTGGGTCCCATATACTGGATTCTTGCCTTGGTTGTTGCGGCTTCCGTTCCCAATCTGAATGGTATTTCAGGGCTCGTCAGCGCCCTCTTGATTCTCAATTTCACCTTCACCTTCCCCGCCATTCTATACGTTGGCTACAACTGCCAACTTGGAGCACGGCTTCTCGGGGAAGGGTTCGACGCCAGGACCAGGGTGACCACTAGGTATGACAGAGGCTGGAAACGGTGGGCTCGTGGATACATGAAAAACTGGCAGCTCAATATCCCTAGCACTTTTTACTTTTTGGGAGGCCTTGCTCTTTCTGGAATGGGTTGCTGGGCAGCAATAGAGTCTTTGATCGTCTTCTTCAGCGGCACATCTTCTATTGCGACATCTTGGGGATGCGCTGTGCCGGTGGGTTAAGGAACGATGTCAATGTGTCACCACCAGAATAGCCTCTCTTTGCGGTGAAACAAGTCTTTTCCTCTGGTCAATGTCTATCAAGGCTGTCAGCCTACCAGGATTAAAGAGGGAATCTCTTATCCCTAGCATACTTGTTCTAGGCTACACAACCTTTTTGGAATTGATTGCATCTATTCTACTCATAGTATTTCAATCAAAGATCAAATCGAAGTAGAAGAATGGTCATATTCTTCCTTTAGGTTTTCGACGATCCTGTCGGGCCTATAATGATAGTTAATGTAGCATCGGCATGAATTTCGAATTCATAGACAAAGCAAATCCGGTGATATAAACACATTTACCGGTTCTTTCTTCGGCTAATCGCAGTGTCATGGGCGCTCGTGGAGGACCGACCGGGGAGTGGGTTTCCGGGAGCTTCCTTATGGAATATCTCAAGTCGTCGCTCTTTGCGATACGGTATGGTAGTGCGTGAAGATCGTGATCCTAGCGTGGCTGAGGTCGATTCTGAGATCAAACCTTCCTGTTTAAGCACGACGGTATGAAAAAAATGTTGAATAATTTGTGCCAATTAATTTTAGTCGATAATGTTATAGAAAAAAGCTAGCCTTTCAACCACTAGTGAGAAGTGAGAAGGACTGAATGTAGTGGCCAGTGAGTGTTCAATGCTGCGGTAAGGTGGATTAAGTCGACGAGAAGCGCAGGGCGTAAGACCGTTATAGCGACATGAACATACGTCATCTCGCTAAGCTCCCAGGAACACCAAGTATAGCCCGGATAGCATCGGGGAAGGAAAGAATCTAGAAGGAGGATGACAGACCGATAGGACGAGCCCAGGGTAGGCACTCGGGACGTGCTCAAAGAGGGGCTCAGGGCGGCACCCGGACTAAATCGGGCTATGCTCCGGAGCCAACCTCTACCCGAACCGGAAGCCGTACTATCAATAATATTACAACAATGAAGTACTATAGAATTAATGGATAATTTATGCCATTGTTTTTAGAGAGCTCTTTCAAGATGACTGAAAGGTATGGATACGCAAAATCGGATTTTGTCCCGGGATTAAAAAAAGTGTGGGGTCCTGAACTAACGAAAACCACGCTTACCACCCCAATTGAATCCTGATGAAGATAACTGGAGCGAGGCCCAAGATCCGACGGTGAAATAATAGTGTATACTGTCAATCTAAGCGGAGATAGCCCTAAGCCCGAGTCCCGGGACTTTAAAAGAAACTTAGCACCCCCCAATCTTACTTCCCTTTCTACTTCGCCTCCGCACTTTCACAATCTACCACCTCAAAAATGTCTGACCGCAACGCAGAACTCCTTGCAAAATATCCTTCACTTGCCAAGTTTGATGGCAGTGAAGACTATGTCGAATCTCACGATGGTCGTGAGGCCGCCCTCCTGAAACACATCTACAACCACCCCTCGCTGGACAAACTGCGCGGCTCGCCGGCTGCCATCTGTGCCGTTATGGATGAGTTCGCGGCACAGGAAGACTTCCTCATCAACATTGGTAGTGATAAGGGTCAGAAGGTAAATGACCTGATCAAGAAAGAAAAGCCCACTGTCCTTGTTGAGCTTGGTGGGTATGTGGGCTACTCTGCCATCTCATTTGGTGATGCTATGCGTCAGGCTGCAGGACCTGGAGCGAGTGTTCGGCTTTGGAGTCTTGAATTTGACCCGCTTATTGCGTCGATTGCTATGAATTTGATTGAGCTCGCTGGTCTGAGTGATATTGTCAAGGTTGTTGTGGGGACTGCGGCAGATTCGCTGAAGAGACTGCAGGCTGAGGGCAGGCTGACCAGTATTGATTTTCTGTTCCTGGATCATGTTGAGGATCTTTATCTGGCTGACTTTCAGCTTTGTGAGAAGCTTGGTCTGCTTCACTCTGGTGCTTTTGTGGTTGCGGATAATGTGGTGAGACCTGGTGCTCCGGAATATCGGGAGCATGTTCGCCAACATGCTGGTGTGGAAAGCTGGGGCGTAAAGGGCTTGATTATGCCTGGGGAGTTTGAAGTAGGTTTCTACCCTGAATTTAACCTGAGGTGACTGACAGTATTTTGTAGGATGAACTCGAAGTGACGAGGGTGAAGTGATCTTGCAATTAGTATGAAGAAGCAAGATTCAGATTTCATGATTTCTTTGATATATTTTGGATTACTTTTTTGGATTTTAGTCGATTTTACCTACGATAGTTCAACTTTGAGATGCGTCACTTATTGACTGATAGTCAGTGCATTATTTGGACTCATTGTCGAACATCCTTGCGCCTGCTACAGTCGTTAGCCCTTTGAATCCCGTGTGGAACTTTCGCTCTCTATAGAATATCTAGTCGAAACCATAACCTTGTATGCATTCCTGGTCCAAGTGATGCAGGCGCTAATTGCGTTCGTTGCGTTCCCAAGCATCAGCCTTATATACTGACCTCTCGACTATCTCCGAAGTTCTTGTTTATTCGCTGTTGGTTGTACCAAGTCATGAAAGGCCTTCGAGTAGCACGCGGAGGAACTACACTGGTCCCAACTTGAGCACTGATCAACAATCCTAACCCTTGTAAATGGCATGAAAGATCGATTCCTGGGCGCGTTATATCATTTTCATGTGAAATAGATATACGACCTTACAAACGGCCAGATGGCAAAGAGTAATTTACGTTCTATCACTAATTTACAAGACCATGCGACATATAAGGTTGAGAAAAAGGTTACCAAGTCCTCATACACGACAGAAGTGTTGATCGAGTCATACGTACGTTTATTTGGGGATTTTCCGCAAGGGCTGTGGTAGAGCCCTTGGAAGGCTCGAATGACGTTCTTTGATGTCGCGCGTATGAGAACTGGAAGAGTATCAATTTTGCAATAGGAGCTGAATACTAAACATGTTTAACAGTTATGGATTTGATATCAACATCGAAGGCGAGGCCCTAAACTGACAAGTACGACTCGATACGCTGAGTCTAGAAGCTTATGACCTAGTGGCGCGTATGCCCGATGCAACCACTACCTATTAGCCCCGGGAAATCCTAGCCAATGAAGTAATAGATGAACTGACGAACTCTTAGGGGGTCTCAACACTGGACTAGGAAAATGATTCTTGTAGGGTTCTATCTAGTTTGTATAGTTTTGTATTGAGCTGTCTTATTACCCATTTTATATAGCTGACTAGGAGTCCTGGCTAGCATTCACATCATGGACAATTTTGTGGATACTTCCGCGGTGCTTGTTCTCGTGAAGGCGTGACTGGCCAATATAGGGCTGTTCAGTGAGCAAATTAATTGCCGCTAATCGCCGTGGGGATGCCGCCGTAGCCACCCGTCTGCGAAAACCGAAGCAGATCGTGACACTATAGTTGGTAATGGTAAGTCAGTGCTTTGTATGCCTATTGAAATTGGGAGCGAGGCTATTATTCGCGAGCTTGAATCACAACGCAAATACTCGGACTGAATATCTGGACTGGACCTCTCTAGCCTCGCTTTCACTCATTATCTGGAGAATTGTCTCGGCAGTCTGGCTGAGCAATAAAGTACTGGTCCCCACCGGGGCCATATATCAAGATTGTAGACAACGGGTCCAAATCAATTCCCTGACCAAAGGCTTCCCTACATTTTCCTCTCCCTCTCCGCTTTCCGCTTTCCGCTTGGCTGTAGGTCGCTACTTTTGGGAATATTTTCTTTCTTGGTGAAGCAGTGTAATAGGTCATTCTTCGAGTTTTCATAGAGCCTATCTGCTCCCTCAGACAAAGTCCGGTGCTTATTCCCCAGACACATTCGCCGTCCTTTTGACACCTAATGTAGCTCAGAGCTTCCCACCTGCGGTTCCAGGGGTTCCCTTGCAATCAAAGTCTCCACTGCATCTCTGATTCAGGGTCTCTTTCTGGCTCCCGGAACTCCTCTCGGAATCGTAATGCCAAAGATGGTATACAAAGTCCAATCATAGAGCCCTAAATGCTTCCATCGAATGCTATTGATGATCCCGGCAATTTTGGGTCTCTTAAGCATGACGTTCTCGTACTCTTCTGTTGAATGTATCATCCGAGTATACTTTAACCTTTGCCGAAACAGCGCAGAGACATCCAAGGACAAGTCCACCGGAATTGAATCTGCAGGAGCTTTCATGAATAGGATCTTCCCGCCTATTCTCAGGTCTTGCATAGAAAGTGTATTTTAAATGACGTGACGTGGTAGGATCTCCTTTGATGTAATTGATACGAAAATCCTAAATGTATTATACACCCTTACCTCCACTTCTCCTCTGGCAAAGAAAGTGGGTCCTATGGAATCGTGGCGCTCCCGATGTCCCAAAGGCTATCGCGTTTCCTTCAAACCCAGTGGAGACGCTTATTTGCTCTGCTCTGCATGTGACCTATACGTAACCTTTGTGTCTCAAAATCGATTAGGTCCCGATGCGGCGATATCGTGCGGTGCGGCCCCCTGGCGGGCCCGTGACAATGAGCTCTTAGTGAAGGTAAAGTAGCACAAAGGCGAGAACGATCAGCGCGAAAGGATCCACCCCGATCTCGTATTATGCATATCAAAGAGCGGTAAACACGATGGCTGCCTGGCATAGTAGACTGCGTAATACCATATACACACACATGTGGCCCTGCCCGTGTATAGGCGATGATCGCTACTGAAGCATCAAATGGCCCATGGTAGTATACACTTAGTAGCAAAGTTCAGTCTACTTGTAGTCGTATTTAGGTTCTACCATTATTAGATCAGGCTTTCTTAATCTGTTCTCCGTGAGGGAATGCGACCTGTTCTGAACCTTGACACTATTCGACACGTCAGGCCGAATGTGCACGATACATCACACGCTCTCCTGCCACAATATGCAGGCCTTATGCAAGGCTGCCCTACCCAGCTGAGGGCCCACGAAGCCTCGCTTATCCGCGAGGCCATATATAAATGACCATCGCTCTCTCTGAGTACATTCACTTTCATCCTCCTTCATGGTTACGAAGCAACCTGCAAAGCAAATTGAACATAACTTTTTCAACTCGCAATATTTGAAATAATTTGACTCCGCCAGAATGAGTGTTGAATCAGGCGGTTGGCAACGAGTGGATGCCGTTATTTCTTCATCGTTTTACAAAGTACCTTCCTCGTCAATCAAGATCGATGATGTCATTATGCTTGGTGGCTCCACTTGCAAGGTTATCAAAATCACAGACTTCCAGGGATGGCCTCGCTTTGATGGTATTGATATTTTTCTTGGGTCATACGAGAGTCAGCGCACTTATTTCAACAATCCAAGCCAAGGAGAAACCTTCATGTACATGCTAGCCCCAGTCTTGGAGTACTATCAAGTTGCAGACGTTGAACATGGCGTGGTCAACGTTCTGAATAAAGAGACTGGTGTTAAGGAAACCCTTCGTGTTCTGAACATCCCGAATTTGTCGAAAAACATCGTGGAAACCTTTAATTCGACGGAAAGTCCTGTTTGGGTTGGGACTGTTAGACAGGGCAGAATTTTTATTGTGGCTTTCGATACAAAGGAGAGACCGGAAAATTAGGTGGAGGCTAGCTTTGTGATTTTGCTAGGATGATATCTTTTTCTCCACGATTATGACAAGTCGAGGTGTCTCTGGGTTCGCGACGACCGCTTGATTTGATCGAGATATCTTTGTCAATAATCTAACTATCTCTCAACTACGATCTAGCACCAAAACATTTGTCAGATTGCTGAAATTCACCCCTTTACATAAAACTTTTTATTGAACCTTGGGGCAAATTACAGGATCGAAACAATGATACATTCATTGTTGCCATTGTTGCCAATGTAAACTAAACAGTCTGACAAGATTACCAGGGAATGGCTAAAGTTAGTCTGGCGTGTTTCAAGCTACAACTCGGGAATGAATATCTCAGTGTATAGGTAATTCTAATTTTGACTATTACTTCACGAGAGGAAAAAGACGTCAGATTCAACCAAGGCCTCAGGAGTGGGCCATAGGAATAAGTGTATAGCACGTAATTTGATAGACCCCAGGCCTAATCATCATCCCCAAACTTTTCTCGGTCTATTCACTTCAAAGTCATACTCATATCATGCGTGTCCAGATGATCCTATGTCTGCAGCGACTGAGTTTGTGTAATCCAAAGATTATACAGCATCAGCTACAGAACAAGTGGTGTCCCCAATAAATTCAATAAAACTCAAAAGAGCCAAGTTGAAACATGGGGGAAAAGATAACGGGCGCTAGTAAATGATTTACAGGTCCTTCTTGATGATGTGAGCCTTGGGCAGAGTGCCGTTGGCGCGGTCAATGGCGGCTTGGCGGGCGCCAGTGAGGGCGAACTGGTTGTGAATACCCTCAACACGGTGGGTGGAGTTGATGTTCTTGACGAGGGTAAGCTGCCAGCAGGTAGCACCACCCTGGCGGGAGGTGATGGTGGAAGAAGCAAGGAAGTACTCCCAGATGCGGAACCAGCGCTTTCCGTACTTAGCCTCAACCTTGTCCTTGTTGCCCATCCAGTTTCGGTACCAGCGCCAGAGGGTGGCAGAGTAGTGGACACCGATGGTGTCCACACCCTTGATCTCGAAGCCGGCGCCCTCAAGACGATCGACAACGAAGCCAAGAGGGGTAGAAGCATCGGCACCAGGGAAGATGTACTTGTTCATGAACAGACCCCAGATGAGGTCCTCGTACTGCCAGGACTTGCGGAGACCAGCGATCTGGAGGAAGAAGACACCATCATCCTCAAGCATATCGTAAACCTGCGACAAGAAGGTAGAGAAATGGCGAACGCCGACGTGCTCGGCCATCTCGAGACAGGTGATCTTTTGGTAACCGCCCTCAACACGGGGAGAATCACGGTAATCGGAGCAAACAATACGGCTCTGAGATTCCTCAATGCCAGCCTTGCGGAGACCGTTGTTACCCCAAGCAGTCTGGTTGCGGCCGAGAGTGATACCGGTAACCTGAGCGCCGTAGTGAACGGAAGCGTACTTGGCAAGAGTACCCCAGCCACAGCCGAGGTCAAGCATCTTGTCACCGGGCTTAATACCAATTTTCTCACAGACAACAGCAAGCTTGTTATCCTGCAGCTCCTCAAGGGACTCTTCGCGGTTGATGTCACTGATGATACCGGAGGTGTAGATCATGCGGGGGCCGAGGAACCAAGCGTAGAAGTCGTCACCTCGGTCATAGTGGTCACGGACCTGCTCCTCGTCTAATACAAGTAAGAATTGGATACATCTCACGGTGGAAAAAGCAATTGAGTGACTTACCCTGGGAACGAGTGTGCAGCAGCATCTCAGGGATGAAGCCGAATAGGAAGTGCTTGAACAGACCCGTGGTGAACTTGAAGTTGGCCCAATCGTGACGGTACTCAAGAGCCTCAAGAGCATCAACCTTGAAGTCAACCTCGCTGTTGAAGTACTTCTCATAGAAGACTTCCATAGGGATCTTGCTCTTGCCGCGGTAGGTGGCACGGTCATGCTCGCTGTGGAAGTTCAGGTAGTACTCGACGGGACGACCACAGTACTTGGCCTTTTCGGTCTTGCGGGGAGAGATGGAAGAAGAGACACTCCAGAAAGCCACGAGGACGGGAACAGTGGTGAAGATCGCAAAGAAGATGGTGGTGTAGAAGCCTCCACCAACTTGACGAGCCAGCCACCAGGGCACGACCAGAATGAGGGCGATCATCAAGCCATTGGAGAAGCTGTCACTGCCAGGGGAGTCGGCGGGGACGGGGGCATTCTTAATAGCCGGGTACTATACGAAATCAATTAGAATTGTGTTCAGGAACAGGTGTACTCGAGGTGTTTTAAGCTACGTAGCTACCTACCAGGGTGGTTGGGACGCCACAGTCGAAGTCCGGCTTGGTCTGCTGAGGAGCCTCCGGCGTCTGAATAAACTCGAAGTCCTCAGTGGACTCCGGGTGGATGGTCGTCATTGCTGCAAGGTGTCAACTTGAGAGGGATGGGGAGGTAAAAAGGAGAGCCTGAGGGTGTAAATAATGTGGTGGCAGTTCTAGGGGCGGTGAGGACATTAAGTGGGTGGGTGCACCGTGCGTTTTGGAGGAGACTACGTATACCTTGCAGGAGTTCTACACGGGTAAGGGGAATTGTTCTACTGCCACGTAGCCGAGAGCCAACAATGCAGGGTCTGCGGGTGCCGTGGGGTCCCTCAGAGGGCGTGGAATTATTCTGCATGTGTGGCAAAGTTATTCGTGCGTCTCGCCTGGCTGTGCTAAGAGCGATCTTCATAGAAGTGGGGTGGCTGAAACAGTGTGATCCGCGGTCGAGCCGAAGACCTTCAATTTCCATATGATACGCCGATAATAACCCTTCCTGACCTTCCAAGGCTCCCAATTCCAGACACTCCAGTCCCATAAACCAAATACACGCAAAATAAGACATCATAATAATCATGTGGTAGTGATCAGTTCAATAAACTATGCAATACAATCAATGGCGGTGTGACGATGTGACGCCTACAGCGTAAGCTGAAAGCTGTCGGCCTCTTCATCTTCGACGAAAGTGGGGAGACACTCTTGGAGCTCCTGTCCAGCATTCTCATCGGTGTCAAAACAGCCTGCAGCTTTGCACCGAGTCCACATCTCCGAATCCAGAGGAGGCGGTCCGTAAAGCTGCATATAGGTCTCGGGGGAAAGAGGAGTCTTTGCGCTGACCTCATTCTCCCGCAACGTAGATGAGACACTACGGCCCTTTGAATAACCAACAGTGGTGTTGGAGTTCATTGCAGCTGCGGTGTTCCGCATGGGCGAGGGATTAGTAGGAACCCGGGCCTTCTTCTTAGGCATCAACAGGGAGGATACCACACTGGGCTTGGGAGCTGCAGCAACTCTAACTGAGGCGGATCTAGTCTTGGGTGCAGACAGAGCCGCTGCTGCCTCACGAGATCGTAGTGTAGGGATGTTTCGAGAAGGTCTGGTATTGGAGGATGGTGCCTTAGAGCGGGTAGTCGATCCCAGCGGCACTCGTGCCACTGGCTTAACGGCCTCATCTTCGCTGCGCTCATTGAAACTCACGGCGTCGAGCTGTTTCATGATCATTTCGTCAACCATTTTGTCACACTTAGCAGAATCTTCCTGGAATTTGCGCTGCTTCTTTGTCAGGCCGTCGCGGCCGACTTCTTGTCGTCCGTACACACTCTCCAATCCCAGGGCACGGTTCCGAGGCCGGAATTGAGGGTACGTAGTATCATAGGCAAGGTCATCTGGAAAGTCCGGGAGATCTAATATCCGTCAGCAACGCCGGCACGGGTTTGTTTACTTTTCATCTGAAGTCATACCTCGAGCCCTTGGGGGCATATATTCAATATCCGCCACATCATCCTGGGGCGCATCCAAATGAACCTTTGTCTGGGGTTGCTGAGTGACCGGAGCAGCCTTTTTGACCTTCTGAGTAGACGCTCTGCGGTTGGTTCTCTCGGGCTTCAACGTTCCTCCGAATGGGGCCGGAGTCTGGAGACCTTTGGCCTTGAGGTTGGTTGTCTTATTTCCCAAAACAGCTCGGTTCTTCGTGTCTGGTGGAGCTACTCGTCAGCTTCCTATCCTTGCGAGCCGTTTCTCTCTCATGTAATTATTCCAGGTCAACATACCCATGGGCGTCACGAACGCATCTTTGCCCGGTTTTCCATTCTCCAAGCGGTTTCCATTGCCCTTGACAGTCTGCTTTCCAAATGCGATGGTATTGTTTTCGTCATTGAGGCGTACCTTCCTACCGGGAGTCTTGGGGCCGAGTTGCTTTACTCCCTGGTTCAAAGGCTTGTTGGCGGCGGCGGTCTGGTGAGCATTCACCAGGTTTTCCTGGTCACGAAGGGCCAGCATTGTGGCGGATGGTGATTGTGGATACACATGCAAATCTCGAAAAGACGGTGAATTGAAGACGCGGTTGGGACAAGTTCTAGATGGGAGCACTTGTTGTCGGGTAGCGGTTGCCCGTGGAGACGCGCTGATCCAAGGGTGGTGATTGGTCAAACGGACAAGCGGGGCGGTAGTCGTGTACGGTACGGCGTAAAGAGCAGTAAAAGCAGTAAAATAAATGAGCGTGTGCCTGATGGTACTTGTAAATAGTAGTCAGCAACTTTCCTTCCCCAAACCACCAACCCCGCCAACTCATTCCAACTACTCCGGCTCGCTGAGCGAAAGCCTTATTCCTTTCACTCATACATATTATCTCTTTCCCTGTTGATTATCTCAAAATGGATCGTATCAAGGAGGTGAGTCTCCCCTAAGACCCCTGTCCGGCGGGGTAGCTTGGACAGCTGTTCCTTTGCCCCCTCTGTGCATATCACCCGCAGCATGCCCACCACACCCACCATCTTTGCCAGGCCACTGACAGGATGCTAATACAATCTGACAACAGCGTATGAACAACCTCCGCATCGAGGCGGATGAAGCCCACACGAAGAATGAGGAGCTGAACAGCAAGATCCGTACCCTTGAGCAGGAGAGCCTAGCCAAGGAGCAGGAAATCACATCGCTCAACCACCGTAACTCCCTACTTGAGGAGGAGGTTGAGAAGCTGGAGAACTCCGTTAAGGATGCTAAGGATGCTGCCGGTGCCAGTGCCCAGCACGACACCCAGAACGAGGCCCTTCAGCGCCGCGTGCAGCTCCTTGAGGAGGAGGCCGAGGAGAACGAGAAGACTCTCCGTGAGACCAACGAGAAGTACGACCTACACCCGGGTTATTTTTGATCATTATGCTAACATATGGGTTTCTTTCAGGCTCCGCCAGACCGACGTTAAGGCCGGCCACTACGAGCGCAAGGTCCAGGCCCTCGAGACAGAGCGTGACCAGTGGGAGGCCAAGTACGAGGAGATGTCAAAGAAGTTCAACGACTTGCAGAAGGAGCTGCACGAGCTCGAGGTCTCCATCAGCAACGTTTAAGATGGATGAGGCTACCGTGTATCGATGTCGAGTGTAAGGAGACGTTGGGTTGGATGCAGGCTTTCTTCCCCTTTTTCCAGCTATTTTTTTCACAATGTGATCGATTGTGTCACTTGCCTCTCTACCAAGGTGGAGAGGGTGTCCTTTAGCATTTTTATGCCATATTGAGTACGGTGTCCCCCTGTTGCGCGTATCAACTGCCTTTTTCTGGACAATCTTCTCGTGAATCATAGAATTTTTATTGACAAGCCAATCTTTGAAAGAAAATGAATAACCCCCCAAGAACTTAAACAATATGGTATAAACGATTTGTTCCTTCGAATGCCTTCCATCACTGCTCTCTCCGGGCCTTGGCTTTCTTCGACTTTGATGACCGCTGTTTTGACGCGGCAATCTTGCGATCTCCTTTGCTCTCGTATCGGAATTGCTTCTTCTTCTGCTTAGGCTTGTGTGTAGTCTTGCGAACCTTTTTATCGGGTTGAGCCTCTGGCTCTGGCGTCTTTGTTGGCTTCTCCTCTTCCTCCTCTGAATCCTCTCCTTTCGCCGACTTCCGGAGAGCATCTCGGGATGTGTCCATTTCTTCAACGGTCACAGTTGTATACTTGTCTTCGTCGATATATTCGGCTTCGTAGTCAACCGCCGGCGGTTCCTCGATGCCTCCCCATTCCTCTTCGTCACTCTCCTCGGCATTGGAGTCACTGTCCTCGCTGAATTCCTCCTTCAAGCGCTTAAGGTGGTTTTTGTGCTCCTCCATTATCCTTTTCATGTCGGCGGCTCGTTCTTCGCGAAGCTGGAGGCGTACTATATTAGCAAATATTTTCCCGACTGCAAGGCAGAAGCCACATACCCTTGCGCGGTCATGTCTCTTCTCTTCCTTCATTTTCTGGATCGCGACCTCCTGGGCATGCTTAGCGCGCTGCACCTTGCGCTTGTGGAACCCAGTGAGCCATTCCTGGCGGGCATCGGTGTCGAAATTGACTTCTTCCACCTTGGGAGTCAACTTGCGTTTTTTGGGGTAGGCACCGCCCACAGTTTTAGGATGGCGCATGGCGGAGACTGGCTTATTGGTTCACGAGGTCGCAAGTTTTAGAATAAAAAGTCGAAAGACGACGTTGTCGTAGAAGTATGATCGAACCCGAAAAAAAAAAGTTGGATCTAAAAAAGCTCAAGGCGGGCCCGGACCCGTCGACCGCCTCCGAGGCCAAGTCGGACCTCCCGTTGACAACATCACCCTCCCCGAACAGCATCTCCAACCATACACAATGCATATGAGCAGATTCGGGCTGCTCGCCCTTGGGGCAGCTGCAGTCGATGCTTTCAGAGACACCTCTCCCTTTTTCTTGGCCTCTACTTCTGAGTATGTGCCACCAAATCAGTTGAAGCTCTAGTCGCCAGCTAATCGTTCCTGCAGGGTATTGGCGAACTCCGCATACATCAAGACCGGTTCCTCAGTCTTTGATGAAGTCTCCTCTGCCCTGAACACCTGCCCATCCGACTACTATGTTGTTGTTACCCAGCCTGGCGTGCACAGCACCGACTTCTCCACTCGCAAGTCGGCACCCCGCCTCGGGGCGAAGATGCTGGGCAAGGACAAGTTCATTCGATCCCACATGAGCGTCAACGAAGTCGCTGGCCTCTTGGACGCAAAGCAGATCAAGAACTTCCTGGTGGAAAACTGCAAGGCGCAAACTACCGCGATCGACGGTTCCTGTGAGTTGCCATGGTGGCCCATTTTGGGCATCGCGGATACAACCTGAGAGCTATCGCTGACTAGGATTTCAAGCTGGATCTTATCCCACACAATTTGAGTCGGGTCCTCGAGTCATTGACATTGAGTTTCCCATGCTTTCTCTGGGTTCTGACCGCGCCAACCAGCTTTCCGACAATGGTATGTTACTACCCGCTGCATTGTAATGGTTCCGCTCTAATTTCTTAGATGGTCTTCTGGCCGATATCATTGATCGTATCCCCTCCGACTCCAAGTATACCCTCCTTTACGTCACCTCGCCTCGGGAATTCCCCGAGAGCGACTCTGTCGTATACCAGCCCTCCGATGAGTTCGATCAGGACGGCATGCACACAGACCTCAAGCGCGATTACTCTTCTTCTTCGTCTCCTTCGAGCTCGTCTGAGTCCGATCGTCGTCAATCTTTGTTCGATGAATACCAATACTTCACTCCTGGTTCGTATACCTCTTGAATGTGGCCATCTTGTGTTTCAAGACTAATCAGATGTCAGGTATCTTCATGGGCCTCCTGGCCTCCTTTTTCTTCTTCAGTATTTTGTACATTGGTATCAGTGCTTTGAGCAGTCTTCAGGTTCCCTACGCTGCCTTTGAGAAGGATACATCAGCTGCTGTGCAGAAGAAGCAGCAGTAATTGAGTGAGCTATTGGCGCAGGCTCCTGTATGCAGATTCACGCCTTGCTCAATGCATGCTACAATTGGCTTTATGCTTTTCAATTTCGGGTCAGGGGCATTGTTCTTCCACATTTTTTGTATGATATATCACAATGGCTATTTCTGGTAGAATCAAGTCATCATGTGACACATCGGCCTAAGGCGCCCTTTTTAGCGTAGCGAAGGCGACTTGGCAACTTTTCGCTTCCCCAGAGTTCTCGCTTTGCAATTACCGTCGTTTCCTTTCTCTTGGATCCTCTGGCGCTCGTTGTTCTTATTGAGGAGACTGTCACTCGTTCAACTGGAGATCTCCATGGGTTGCGCACTCGTCTAGAAAACCTGCTGACCGTTGTTCCCCTGAATCAGGAACACAGCACCAGCGAGCTTTCTGCAAAGACGAAGCGAACCAGAGGCAAGGTTTTCCCTACTTTGTAATACCCACAGGTTTTCAAAGTGATTTTTGTACTTGGATCGAAGATTTCATTGTTCTCGACGCACCCTGCATCTCCGCCTACCCCGATTGACCCGCTGTGGAGAACTGATCGACTGTTTACGGACCAACAAGTGCAGCATGCGATTTCTACCACAAAGGCTTGGGAAAGCCCAGCCAAATTTCCTGGTCCTGTTTATCTTTCTGATTGTCATCGCTGCTGGAGTTTCTGCGGACCCTGCGGCTGCGGCTACCGACGCCCAGACCACCGACGATCCCTCCACCACCTCGTCAACATCGACTACCTCATCCACCTCTTCTACATCAACATCGAGCACAACTAGTTCGAGTACGACGTCAGAGTCCTCGAGCACATCTACAACCATGGATTCAACGACGACCACCTCCTCAACGTCCTCGACTTCGTCTGACAGCAGCACCACATCCTCCGTTTCCACAACAACGGCATCAACAACCTCATCCGATTCCTCATCATCCACCACAACTTCCGCTGTTATCGTGACCGTGCCCCCCAGCGCCGGAGCCCCATACATGCAAACATCGAACACACCAGAAGGAACAGTCTTTATCGCCGTTGGCGCGATTCTAGGCTTTATCGGACTAGCCGTCCTAGCCTGGCGGGGCATGGTCGCATGGTCAGTGAATCGCTCAGTACGGCGCGCCGCTCTGGCGCAGTCCGCGGAGTCTAAGCGCCTTCTGCGTGGTAGCCGTAAGAAGCGGTCCACAGCCGTGTACCCCACCGAACCAGCCATGGACGTCTCTCTCGATAAGCTGGGCACAGCCACTCGCGCAAGCTATAAGCCGTCGCGACGAGTCTCCAGCAATCATAGTGGCTTGTTCTATTCGCCCACTGCAGGTGGTGGGGGTGGGTCGCATGCCAGTCTGAACACCCCTGCAGGCAACCGCAATTCGACTTACCTTCCTGCCGGGTTCTACGCTGTTGCCGGTAGTTCCACACCCGTTCGAGAATCAGCCAACCCGGGCTACCCTCCCAGTTCGCCGTCTCTTCCACCTACTGGCGGATACCATGATGCGCCACATAACGCGCGCCACTCGCATGTGGGTGCATCTACGAGCTCCTTGAACCTGAGCCAGGCTCCTGGGGGCCGTGCACCAAGCGCGTACCTGGAGGATTTGTTCGAAAGCCATACGTCCCCTCGAGACTCTGACTTGAGTCGTCGGTGAGGTTGACTATGTTGTACGACAGGGATGAAATGAGTTTCTTTCACGACATTGAGCTTCAGCTTTTCTTACTTTTTCGTGTGCTATATTTGGCAACCCCATTTTATTATATAAGTTTATTTATTCCTTAGCGTTTTACTGGAGCTTTTTGCATTCGGCGCAAAGTACGTTTCTTTCACCATTATCATGTCAATAGTTGGGGTTTCTCTTTCCTAAATAAATTTCTTTCCTCTACAAAAAAGAAGTTCGATTTAATCCCCAGGTATGTCAGCTATCAGACATTGGTTCCCCAGCCCCAACTCGGAACACGCTAGGTTATAGCACTTTCCAGTAAACCCTTGTCGGGCCGTATGGTATGTACAGGTGACCAGGGGTGATCTCTATAGTAGCGTAGACTTCGGTGAACTGCAACCGATCCAGACACATACTTCCGGACGCTTATTCCGGTCTGCAATACCTCACTTCCAAAAATTGCCTTCAAGATACCCCAGTAAACTTCTCCTGCATGATCACCAAAGGACTTTTCCTCTTGAAGCTCTCTTCGCGATATTGCTGAAACCCGTATTGCCACGATGGGCTCAATCAGTAAATAAGTTGAATGGGCTACGATGGCCTCAAAAGACAAAATGGCCATCAGTCCCTCCAGTAAGAAAGCTTCTACCAAGCGGGAAAGCATTCCTCGGATCTCCAGAATAGTTAAATGATCGATGCTAGATTGAAGCCTCAGTGATATCATCCTATGACGCCCTTTTCGATCTAAACTATGGATATTACAATGATCTAACATTTGAGTCATATGCCTCGTAGAGCTGATGAGATATAAAGCGTTGCCGAGCGTGCAAAATCATAGTCTAAGTAACTCTCCTGTTCTTTCCTGGTCTTAACCTCACCATGTCAGCCGGACAAAGAGAACCCAAGCCGCTTCGTCGGATCATAACAACCCACGATTCTCCAAGCGGCCAAGGTACCTTCAGCAACGCGGTTGGGGAGCAGGTGTCGTTCATTGGCTTCCCGGTTCCCCCAGGCAGGCCCGCAACGTCAGACTATGCTCTGGCCTATATCACAACCACCTTTCCTGTGCAAGGGCTTTCCCCTCCGACTTCCGCAACCCCGGAGTCCAAAGCCAACCTTGACATCAAGCAATATCGATCCCAACTCTCGGATCCAACGCCTTTGAATCCGCCAAGCGGCACCTCTTGCACAATTATTGAGGTACCACCGAGTGGAACTGTCCCGATGCATCGAACGGTGACCGTCGACTATGGTGTCATAATTGACGGCACTACGGAATTAGTCCTTGATTCTGGGGAGAAAAAGTTACTGAAAAAGGGTGATGTATTTGTTCAGCGTGGCACGGCTCATTCTTGGCGGAATATGACTGACAAGAACGACAATTCTGGTATTTTACGTGTCTTTTTCGTGTTTCAACCTATGGAACCGGTGCAACTGGAAGGTGGGAAGGTCCTCGGTCAGGACTTGAATCTATCTCTGCAGAAGGCTTGAATCACGCCCAGGGGTGTATCGCTTGAATCTGCAGAGGTTGAAGTAAGCCATTATTAGGTCTGTGTCTTTTGGTCTTTCAATTATTGAATTTCGGATCTTAAAAATCTTTTGGAGTTAGTTCTATATAAATTCATTCATATCATCGCATAACATCAAATATGGCAAGCAACGCATTTTTTTCTTTTGATACCTAGGCATAGTGTAGAAAAAATATTTTAATTTTGGGCTATTCTACTCAGCACGCAAGCTATGAGAATAAAGATTCTGGGGAAGTTCCCTGTAATGTAAGCAAGCTTCTCTGGCGGGTCTTGGCTGGGCTTTCGTTTTTAGAGAAACACGATAGCGAAGGGACCCTTCTTCCCGGGCTGCAGTTTCAATTTTCACTGCAATATAAATTGAACAGGTATTCTTATTATTATCTTGTTGTTTTGGTACCGAATCAATACTTAAAAATACATGAAACCAACGAGAAACATTCGAGCTTGTTGAAATCAAAGAACTAAACTTTTAGCAAGCACAGTGAAGCTCAGAGGTTTGTTAACGCGGGTGCTCCTGGTGCTGGAGGTGCGGAAAACTTTGTCTGGACGAAGACTTTCTGCATACCAGGGTCACGCTTATTGAATAAATCATAAACAATCTCCATGTCTTCCAGTTTGAATCGGTGGGTGACCATATCCAGAGGGTGAATCCTGTCTTCCTGGATATACTTCAAGAGGTCTTTCCAGTATTTCTGGACAGGAGCTTGTCCATTGCCATGAAGACGGATCCCCGTCTGCATCAAGGAGCCGATGTTGAAGTGATTGCACTGCATTGCCACGTCAGCGTAATTGTTTTGCCAAAAGAATGGTACCACATACAAAGCCAGCATATACGCCCGTGATACCACAGCGCCCATACGCACGGACAGAGGTAATCATCTCATTAACGAGTTCAGAAGAATCCGTTTCCATGCCTAACAGCCTTTCAAAATAATGAGCCCATCCTTTCGCATACTCACCAGCGGCACACTCAATCGCTACGTCAGGTCCGCGCCCGTCGCACATTTTCTTCAAAGCCGAGGTGACAGATTCGCCCTTTGGGAGGGTTGTATACTCAAGTGTCTCGAGCTTGGGTAGAATCTTCTTAACAAATCCCAGTCGCCATGATCCATGGCCGCCGTCGATGAGGATAACCCTTTTAGCACCATTGAAGAAACTGAATTCAGCTGCCATTTGCCCAATCGGGCCAGCTCCCCAGATTGCTACAGTGTCGCCCTCCTCAACCCCAGTGTCGACCACAGCATTCCAGGATGTCCCTAGCACATCGGAAAGATAAAGCCCTTTTTCATCGGGGACGTCATCAGGTAGCTGAAGGAGATTCACGTCACCGTATGGGACGCGAACATATTCGGCCTGCCCACCAGCAAAGCCTCCTGTGAAGTGAGAGTATCCAAACATGCCTAAGATGGACTTTAGTATAACTACTTCACTAGCATCAGCATGGCTGTTTAAAGAGGAAACACACCGGATGTTCGACGCCCATATAGCTTAGAGGCATCCTGGCTTGCACAAGTCGTCTCACACATTGAGGATAACTTCTTCTTGCAGTAATAACACTTCCCACAAGCAATTTGGAAGGACGCCACAGCGCGATCGCCCAGTTTGACCGTCTTGACCGCCGACCCCACGCTTGCGACAACACCACAGAACTCGTGGCCAAGAATATCACCTTTCTCCATATCTGGGATGGCCCCTAAAAGTCGATAACGGATACCGCATCAGCGGATTCAGCGACAGTTCATTAATTGTTAAAGTCACGACATACCGTGCAACAGGTGTAAGTCACTCCCACAGATAGTGCTGCCCGTCACTTTAAGTATGACATCGCCTTCATCGATGATTTTAGGACAAGCCGTCTCAACTATGAATATGGTATCAGCAGGAAGATCGAAGTATGTGGAGATGTTGGGAATGAAGTGAAGGGTGAACTGACTAAGTTTAACCGAATCTTTTCCTTGCCAGGTCAAGGCTTTCATCGTATGGCTAAGATCGCCATATCCCTTAGCCTCATAGTTGCTGACGTCTGTGGTGACCGAGACAGGCATTGTGTATCTCCACCAAGAGTTTCTGTTTGAGTTGATTTATCTTCGATCTGAACGGTCAAACGTCTTCGAACTTGATTGAATGAAGGAAGGATATTTATTTGTCCCAGGGTTGTCGAAGCGTCTTCGGTTTTTCTGACATCACTCTTAGTTCTCTGTTTGTACGTCACTATTCGCACCTGAGCCAAATTTGCGAGGCAAAGAGACTGAAGATTTTCGAACCTCATCTTGATGTCATAAGTGTTACTGGCCATTCAGATGGAACAAAGAAGCGCCTTGGTGTGATTCTCCGTCAGTTGGTCAGGGCTTATATGCCGCTGATCCGTCATCATATTACAGACTTTGACCGTCACAATGTGTCGTACGCTAATTTACTAGTCATACTGCTTCATCACACGATATAGCTTTTGCTAAAGAAACCTCGGATTTACAACGAAGAAGTCAAATGCTCAAATAATCAAATGAAGCCAATATCTACAATATTCCCGGTTCGAAATCAATCAGTGGCTAGGGAAGGAGGATACCTTGGCTCATATGCTCTTATAGGATTTAGTAAAAGAGGTCGGAAAGATAGATGTGAAATGCAAAGAATGACTGTCTTTAGAAGTGATGATTGCGCCAACATCGAATCCGCAGGCTGTGTTTTCATGAACGAAAGGGGATTAATTCTTGTCCCAGTGACATGGCACGCACCCCGGTCTCCATCATCCTAGCCCGAGGCCCATACGTCCGACCTGTCATCTGTTAAGCAGTGCATGATCCATGAATCAAGTTTTCCTGCCGCGGCCAGACTTGAGTCTATCGAAAGCCACTGTCAGCTAGTGGAAAGTATACATGGATGTGAAGAGGATATTGCGAGATAGTATTTGGCCAGATACAGCCCCTTGCCTCGAAAACGTCTAGTTCGGTTTATAATACATATTTGGTCTAATCAGCTTCGCGACCTTTTTCTTACTCCTCATCAGTCCAGTAAGATTGAATAATAGGCTGCCGCATGCGAGATGAGATATCTGTAAATTTCGTGGTCAGCGATTGTAGTTCAAACTTTGTGTGGTGACTCTAGAAGTTCCCGAACAAGCAGCCAGTAATGGGGTTTTTGATGGTCTAGACACACCGAGAACCAAGTACAAGGAACGGCCCTGGTATGCCAAGATGCTGCATGCAAGGTAGTGACCAAAAATATCCATGATCCCAGTGCGTCTTTTTCAGCCGCGTCTCGCTTTCCTGCGACCTTATCGCTCTGCCGCCCCAGCAGTTCATCAACATCCTATCAATTGACATTAAGAGCATCTGAGTGCGTAATTTAAGCAGCGTAACGCTCACAAAAGTACTATGGCTTGGTCTCTTATCCCATAGTTTATTGAGAACCTATGAACTGAGCGCTACTGGTTTCGGGATATGCGGGTGGTGATACTCGGCGTCCCGCTTGGGTTAAGCGCCGAGAATTGCTAACCGACATGACTAGAGTTTCAGAACACCGTGATCTTCTTTGGGGGAAAATGGGGCTCTGCTCTGGAAAAAATGGCCCATTGCGATATTTAATGGTGTTATAGCCCTCGTTGTTCAATATCTTCCACATCCTCTATTCGTAATATATTATACCTTGGATTATAATATTACAATCAACATGTTTGGAAAGTCTGCCTCTCGGGTTGCCCCTAATAACTCGAATGTACAAATAAATGTGAGTCTAGTATCTCATCCAATGATCATCCCATCACCATGATCAAGGACCCTCAACAAATCTACAAAAAAATGGCACTAAAATCATGATTCAAGACTCGAGACAACTTTGCTGTTGTGCTTGTGGACGGAAACGGAGCCTTGTTCCGCGAGGAACTCCTGCGAGAGAGGGACGGATATGGAGCCCATGAGGCATCTTCAAGAATTATACATGCAGTTCGAGAAAACATGTACGGGCCCGGGAATAGGGCAGATATAACGGTTGTCGTTCGCGTATTTGCGGATCTCGACGAACTTTCCAGAATTATGCACGAGTCCAGGATCACTTATAGATATGGCATGTCCACTTTTGCTGAGCAATTCAGTGTCACCCGTGGTGAATTCGATTTTGTGGATGTTGGTCCTGGTAAGCAGAACGCAGCCAGGAAGATGGCAAGTAAGTTCCATGGACTATTCGCCTCTCGCGTATCTCAACTCACTTTCCATAGACAACCTATACCATTTTTACAGCAACATCCAGTGCCAGAAAATCTTCTGGATCGGCTGCCATGATGCCGGCTACCTGAAAGATCTCCAGCAGTACACAAGTGACCCACGCAGCAGAGACCGCATCGTGCTAGTTGAAACAACACCAGCGCAGCCAGTCTTCCGGACCCAGCTGCCGTTTACAATGACCAAGTTTGACCGTGTGTTCAGGTCTACCCGTTTGACTGGTGAGGAATCAGAATACAACGCGACATCAGACTTTAGTATATCACCAGACTATAGTCCGACGTCCGTCAACAATTCCCCTGCACGATCAATAGAGCTACCGGTCCTGACGAGTGTTTCTTCTTCCAGGCCCTCGCCGGTAAAGGAATCAACAGACATCACACTTCCACTCTGGACACCCGTGGTACCAGACCTCGTCCAAACACCAGAAACATTCTCAATTTCTCAACCTACAACCTACAACCCCAGCTTCAGAACCGCATCACCGTCCTACACCCACTGCCAGCCATCGCAAGTATCCTTCACCAACATCCCACTAGAACAACCCCAGCCCAAGCCTCACGCACAAATACAACAATGGTCTAACCTAATTACCTCCGGCAACGGCGGAATCTCAATCCGCTACACACCTCTATCACCAAGCACACCATCATACGCCTCAGTCGGCGGCCCAAATCACCAAAACATGTCCATACAAACAGTCAAATCCACCCGCAGAATAATCCTCAACATGGACGGCTTCCGGCTTGACGATTTAAACTTCAAGCCGGATAATAAGTCCGCTAGCGATAGCTACCTCAAAAAGCTGCAGAAAGTCAAATTCCACAGCAGGGGTTTCTGCAACTATAAGTACCTGCAGGGAGAATGTCAGAAAGGAGTCACTTGTCCAATGGAGCATAACGTGCTGCTTTCTGAGGAGGAGCTTGCTGTGCATCGATATCGGGCTCGATTGGGGCGTTGTAATAGAAGGACGGCTTGTAGGGACTATGAGTGCTTTTTTAGCCATCATTGTCCCTACATGCCGAATTGTACCCGGTCGAAATGCAAGTTTGAGGAGCATTTTGAGAGGAGGGAGGGTGAGGCTTGGTGAGTGTTTTTGATACCATGCTCTTGCTGAGTTGAGCTGATCTGATATAGGGAAATATGGACGGAGGGTAATGACTTTCCTGCTTATATTAGAAAGGGTTAGGTTTGTTGAACTGTTTTGGGTTTTTCCTACAGGATCTCTTCTATCTGATTTGTTTTTCTTGGGCTGTACTTCTTGGGTTGTTCTTATTCGTTTTTTTTCTCTTATTGTTTTCTTTATCTGCTCCTCTTTGCTTACTCTCTTGGTTTGTTCTTCTTGGCTTATCTGCTTGATCTGTTCTACTTGAATTGCTGTTATTTTTGATTGTTCGGAATTGTATGTATGTTGGATCGTTTTGCACATTGCTTTATTGCATCGTTTAGTTTCGTCTTCAGCCTGAATTACTACTTGAACATGTAGACATTTGAGTCGAGGGGGGAGTAGAACCAAGAATATGATGATTACGTTCAATTGCCTCAGGCAACAACCCTTGAGGAACACTTTTTGGATAATAATGTGGATTCAATCCATGAGCAAGATGAGAACCTTCTGTTCTGCAAATCCATAATGTACATGCTAGCCCGAGGCCCCAATCAAAACCAAAGTGACAGAAGAGTATGCCAAGTGAAGGAAACTTATATACAAAGGCCTGGCAGATGCATCCGTCGATCTGGCCCTATTCAGGCCAGATAAAAAAACAATGAAAAATAACCAAAAGTCAAGAAAGACAATGCACGCCACCAAGGCGGATACCTCAAAACACCTAGTCCATTCAAGCCCCAAAAACACATCCAAAGACAGGCTCAAGGCGAGCTAAAACCCAGTAACAGTTATCTCGAGGCAAAGAAACAAAAACCGTGCCGTATAGGCGTGTGAATTTTGAGAATCAAATCGACCAAGGAGGGTAGTAAACAAACGGGCAAACTGGCGAATCAAGAAATGCACTTCCTTACACCGAGCAAAACCAGAGATCCAAATCTCATATCTATAACTGTTCTAAACTGCAAAGGGAAAGGGGATATCGGAAAAGAACCGAAGACGAGGAAGAGCAAACTGTTGCTCGAAGGCCGCTAATGAAGTTGTGTTCTGTGTCTCATACTCATTCCAGATATACTGGTGGAACGTGGATGGCAAATAAAAGGCAAAAGGCGCATAAAGCAGATTGTCAGATTCAATCCGAGGTGATTTTGCCGTTGCCGTTGTATTTGGGGAGACGAATGTCATCTGCACCAGATCCGTGATCGTTCCGGATGGCTTCGGCTTCAATTCGGAAAAATACCCACATCCAACGCCGAGCGACTTCGCCGATCATGAGCAGGAATAGACCGCTTTCGGTCTCCGGGAGCCACGCGAGTCCCGGCAGTATACGCAAGAGCCATGAGAAACGGAGGACAAAGTCGGCGATGATGACGTAGTGGTACAACCGGTCGGAAGTAAAGTAACGATGTCTTCGCAGTCCAAACGGATAACGGCTGTCGCGGCGCTCGGGAGAGAATAGAGTAAAGTCCCAATCTTTTACCACGTCCCACCAGAAGGAATAGCCGGAGTTGATGCATGAGAAGATGAACCTACATATCTGTTAGGCCGGGCGGGGTATAACGCTCAAGTATGTGGAAATCTTACAATAGACGCATAATGGTCATCTCGCTGAAACCGTGAAAGTCCAGAGGGTTATAGTTTCGCATCTTTGCGGTCAACCAAATAACCGGGAACGCGGTAGCATATTTCAGCGCGTTAAGCAAGTGTTGATTGCCGTTGTTGAAATCGCCCCGTGCTGTCCGTTGAGCCCGCACGTATTCTGTCAGACACTGGCGAAGTCGGATAGCACTCGGAACTGCTATGATGATCGGTACAATGAAATCCTTGCCACAGGCACGATTTGGCTTCGAGGTGGCCGAGATGCCGTCGGTAAAAAACATGCAAAAGCTGACGTATAAATCACCCAAAATGCGACCATAGCTAGTCAGGGCATCCGCCAGCAGAACGTCACCAAACTTGCCATTCTGGGGCTCCGCCAGACCTCCGATGGCGACCCGTTTTAATGTCAGGAGAAACCGGATCCGGCCGGCGCGGGAGGCACGATTGAAAGGCCAGATAAGAATAAGGAGGAGTATGATGAAGACCGATTGCGGGATAAAGTCGAGACGTTCTACCAGCTCTGCGGAGTGGTGCGTCGCAGCCCAGGTGACAAGGAGCCAGATGGTCAGAGGGACTGTGAAGGTGGCGGCTAAGCGGTAGGCCCCGACATGGTGTGGTCGTTGTGGAGGTGAGGCTTTGGGGTCATGAGAGGGATATTGAATAAGACGAGGTACGTCCTAGAAAGATGTGCTGGTTAGCACTCATGGTCTGTCGTGGTATGTCGCGAGGGGTCGAGGCCACTTACAATGTCGAGTTTGGACAGGTAATGTAAATTGATGGCCCATCCCCAGAAACCTGCAGTCAAGAGAGTCAGGTATTGTACACATGTCTATTCAGAACAAAGCCTACCTGCAACCAAGACTGCCGCTATGCGAAGAGGGAACGGAAAGACCAGCCCAAAGCCATCCAATTGCGCATGTTGATCTGGACCCATTATTCCATGGATTAGGGGTGGTGGAGGGGATGTTCGAGTGAGAGAGGAATAGATCTTCCCAAAAATAAGCACATACGAACCCCGTGGGGTGTAAAAGTGAACAACAGACGTACTGGACTCGTAAACCAAAAAGAATGACTAGGGGTGAGCTTTGGGGACTTTGGGTAAAGGGAACTTTTCCCCGGCCGCTTTCAGATGTTAATAAGCACGGTAGTAACGAGGAATTACGCGCCCGCAGTGGGCTTGCAGTGTGGATGCTCCACTAAGAGAGGGTCACCTTAAGTGGCTTTTGGGTATAATTAGTTAATGGGGTGTCCATCCACTCCAGTCATGACGAAGATCTTGTTGGATCGGCAGTCAGGGGGCGCTTTCCGGCCTTGGTGCCTCATCCACTTTCATGTTACGATGATGGCATTCTGATCGTTGCATCCACTCAGAAGACAATCCCTACTTTTGCGATTTCTGGGTGAATCAGGGGGTTTTAAAAACGATCTTTCAACCCTGCAATATCCAATACCATAGGAAACATCCTATAATTAGCCTAACCAACCGGAGCATATTAAAGATCCAGTTTGGCTTGGGTCTGGACCTCTAACGCCGTATTATTGTAATTTGGCGGGTATTCCGGCTGCCCGCCGTACGCAATAAATTACCACCATCAATACACCCAAAACGGGCTCCCGTTATGTCATCACCCACCATGTGATCTGGAACTCCGGACAAGTCACCTGACTTCATCGGACCGGGGACCGAGGCTCGTTATTCGGGGAAACCGCGACTCTGGGGAAACCGTCTATTGATACTACCTTCTCCCTCAATGATGTGCCTGCATCCTTCAAAGACATAACACATTGGTCTTTTCGCAAGCCATCTAGTCTTACGGACGTTTCAAATCAATAACCCAAAAATGGCCGACGACGACCCCAATCTTTCCCTTCCCACCCCCGACGGAGGTGCCCTCGGCTCCCCCTCCCATTTCTACCCATTCGCAACCTCCCCAGATATTATTCGCTCACACGAGAAAGATGCGTACATGACAGCAGGGCTCGTACAACAAGCCCAAACAATCATCCGTTCGCTGAAAGGCGCTCGCTTCGCTCACACCTACTCCGACGCTATCAAGCATCTCACCGAACTTCTCTACTTCTCTCTTACCACCGCAATCGGAAACCGCACACTTGGCGAAGAATACTGCGATCTCGTTCAGTTGGAAGATGACTCCCTCCGTCTACCTGCAATCACCCGCCGCGTCGGATACATCCTCAGCAGCATCCTAGTACCATGGTGGCTGCAACGGCTTCTGCCCGCGCTGCGACAGCGGGTGCGAAGCAAACTGGAGCGGAGCATTGCGCGACAGCAACTCCGAGCAGCACAGCAGCAGATGCCCACACTATCGAAACCGATTAACCTCAATAATAATAATAAAGTGGTGTCGAAGCCGTTCTTCACAAAGCTGCGCATCCAACAGTACATCCTTGACCATTTGGATTCGATGACCTCTCTGTCGCCGATTTATGCACTAAGTATCGCGACTTTCTACTTTACGGGCTCGTACTATCATCTTTCAAAACGGATCTGGCGCTTGCGCTACGTCTTTACTAAAAAGATTGATGAGAATGAGCAGCGCATCGGATATGAGGTCCTGGGTGTATTGATGATTCTCCAGGCCGCTGTGCAGGGCTTCCTGCATGTGCGTAAGATCGGCGAGAGCATGAATAATGCGGACACTGAGGGTGCCGGGGCCGAGACAACACAATCTCAGGGTGGTGCTGTTATTGCTTCGATTCAACACCCCGTTTCTGTGCCAATGCTGTCTGCTTCATCGCCTCGATATGACCTCGAGGAGGATCCAGGTGCGGTTGCATGGATCCCAGATGGACAGCAGAGGAAGTGCACATTGTGTTTGGATGCGTTCAAGGATCCCAGTCTTACGACTTGTGGCCATGTGTTTTGTTGGATTTGTGTGAGAGACTGGGTGCGTGAGAAACCGGAGTGCCCGCTTTGTCGACAAGAAGTGTTACTGTCTAAGATACTTCCTCTGAGAGGGTGATTCATGCATATAAACTTGCATTTGCATATGTTGTTGCTTCCAGGGTTCGAGATATGGACTATCCCTGATGTATATACTTGATCTGGATGAATATATACCCCCATCTGCTCATCTATATCTTCCCAACTGTGTTACAGAAGGTAACTTGGTACCAAACAATAGACTTATATAGATATATATATCACTTCTTGATGAACCTTAGGGTCCACGGGTTGAGGTATATGAATTGACGTAAGTAACTGGTTTTCTGGATATATGGCAACATTCAAATCAAAAGATAACAAGAAATGTCCACCAAACGCGATGGGGTATATGCAAAAAGGAAAGGATTCCAGAATCATGCAGAGTGGAGTAAGTGGATCGATGTCGCCTAAGAACGAACATCAATGTCCCCAGAATCATCCGCTGGACTAGAAGCTATTGGCTCCTTTTCTCGAGGAGGAAGAACGATAGGCAGGTTGAGTTCCGCATGAGCGGGAAGAGGCGGGACAGAGTCCATAGCTTGTCTTTTCTGGTCCATAACATTGAACAAACACATACAAGCATACGGATCAGTAGCAGCATCTATTAAGATAAGGTCAGCATATCAATATATCATATCTAAGACAAATGCAACTCACATTGAACTTGACGATAGTTCAAAGGACGAGTCCAATCGCCACATCTCACATCTTCGCTTTTCTCAAGAGGCAATCCAAGATGCTCTTCAGCCTGGTCACTAAGATTCACACCTCTCTTATTGACAAGCTTCGGCTGAGTCAGACCATACTTCACCAATTTGAACAAGTGACTAAGCTCAAAGATAGACCTAGCCTCAACGCCAAGATATTTGCGCAGACGAGTCGCATCGGCCTTGATAGATACGCCGACCTTGGTGATATCGGGCGATTCAAGCAGTTGCTTAAGAGACGGCGCCACGAGGTCCTTCAGGGTTTGGCCTGGCTTGAAAAGTGCGATCTGGAACAGGGCAATGCGCTCCTCGTTTGCGACTTGGATGAGAGACAAGTTGCTTTGTATACTGTCCCACGCAGACGCTTGTGCCTTCCATTCCATATCGAAACCAATGACTTTGCTACCGAGGAACAGCCGGGCTACTTCTTCCGTGCTTTCCAGAGTCCGGCAGTAATGCACAATTAACTTCTGTCCGCCAGGGCCACGTTGCGAACTATGGGTCCAGAATAGCGGAGGTCCCCCATCCTTGACGGTTTCTTCCCGGCCGACTGCGCTTTCTCCAGGTGATGGACCACCAAGAGGCAAAGACTGTTCATCTATGCATGCAACGCTGCTGTCATTGGCCTTGGCCTCAGAAAAATATGCTCTGGTGCTGTATGGCCTGATGCCAGCTGACTGCCCGCTCAAGAAGTCCAAGTCGAGTTTACGTTGAACATCGCGAACACGGTAAGGGCTTCGCGAGGGACCAAGGGCCGGTTGTCGTTGCCGCTTGGTTAAGTGAGGCCTTTTTATAAGTCGCCTAGACTTGTCTTTGAGTGCAGTTGATGCCACAGCATTCTTTTCCGTGGAGCTAGCGGCTTTTGATGTAGGAGTCACTTCTTTAGTAGGCAGCTGTCGCACAGATCGGTTAGACTTCGCTCTTGATATGGATTCTCGGCTGACGTCGGCCGAGCCTCCAGAACGGGCGAAAAAGCCCCATACGCTCGAAGACCGGACTAGAGGCTTTGATCTGGATGCAGCAGGCGAAGTATTATTCTTTTCCTTGGGGCCAGCAGGCTTGGATGCAGCAGTCGCTGCCTCGACGGGCAATTCCTGGCTTGATTTCGGCCTTGGCATTGAGCGAGACTTGTGTTGCTGTGCCTTTGGGGGTTTCAGGGGCCTTGGAAGCCTTTTATCACTCAAATCCTTGGCCGATTGCTTGACGTCGCGCTGTCGTTCATGTTGCCGCGCGCTTTGTTCATTGTGAGTCTGTCTAGGGTTCTGATCAAAGATTTCTGCGGAGTTCTCAATTGGCATCTTGGACGATTTCTCAATCAAGGGCCGGATTTTGAGGTGCTGCACGGTGTGTTCCTGTTCGGGCCTTGGCGGAGAGTCCCTTGGAGAGGCATTTGGGCCAGTAGTAGTCAGGGCTTGAGGTGGTGAGGATGATGTACTTTTTGCAGCATCTTTTGATGGAAGGGATGGCGCCTCCGGTGCGATCGATGCCTCGTTGAGACCCATTCTTTTCAGCATTGGAAATAAAGGACGCTTAACTTTCGTGTTTCGCTGGGGCCGACTCTCTCTGGTTTCCGTGGTGCCGATTTCTGGCACAAAGCTGGAAGGTCTGCTCATTTGTTCAAGGTGGTCCTCTGCCAAGCGAACATAGTGATTATGCACATTTTCTTCGCTTTCTTCCATGCTGAACTTAAGAAGCCTATTCAAATTCCAATTTTTGAAAGAAACAGCAACAAAGTGGTTTGCCCAGTGGTTGAAGCGTGAGTGATCCTGACTGAGCGGCTTTAACACCCTGAACAGACCTCGTTCTTGAATATCGTTTGGCTCCCCGAGCTTGTGCAGCTTCTCTTCAACGTTGAGTCGAGCCCAATTGGCCAGTCGATACATCTCAAGTTCTGCCGCGAACCGCTTTCTAGACCGATTGAATTTCACGCTGAACTCGTGTAGGTTCTTCTGGATCTCACGGCTCGCGTCGGAGTCAAGACCAGGCCACATTGGTCCGAACTTTCCTTCAAGGGATTTCATCAATATCCATACCTCATACTGCAATGACATGTCCAAGGCCTGTTGGGTTTCAAATAAAGCCATCACATCAAGCTGTCGCCAGACCTTGTTTAGCTCGGGGCTATTGGCAGGCTTCACCCCACTCCATTTCTTCGTGTATGACTTTCGCAGGCGATTGGCGACTAGGTTTTGGTCCCTATGAAAAGACAGAAAAACTCTTGCTGACTCTCTTACAGCTTCGTCATCGCCTTGCAATAACCCCCCTCTGAAAAGAAGCGATAACGTTTTGCGTGGGTTACGTTCAGGCATACTTTCAAGAAGATTAGTGGTGAGCTTTTTGGCACTCCAGAACTGCGACGCGACAAGAGTAGTATTCTGCACCCTCGCGAACCAGTCGGCGCGATGTTTGTGCGCGGCCATGGCAAAGTCTTGTTTGTGGGCCTCAAGAACCATTTGGAAGTCCTGGAAAACCGGACCAGGGAGATCAGGCCCCTGCTCATCAAGAACTTTCAGTTGAATAATGAGCGATTTGATGGCATTTAATCCCGTTAGGACCGCCAGTCCCAATGATTGCAGCGACCTGTATTCTTCTCTCATATCTTCTGTAGGTTGTAGAAGCCTGTCAATCTTGGCCCTTGCCGACTGGCGAGGGCTCAAGTATTCTCGCTCAAGTAGCTCTCTCATGCGGTATATGAATAGCTGGGAATATTCTATGCGCCCTGTAATGAACTTATATCGCAATCGGGTAACCGCCCTTTCGATGTCTGAGATGGCTGCCGTCCACTGGGGTGTATTGCGGTAGACGAAGTTGCAATATTCAAGTTCGATCCGCTGGCAATCTGCCTCGCTGCAGAGGACTAGGGACTTCAGCCCCTCGATATGAGAACAAAATATTCTCTGAGTGGTACAGTGAGCTGTCGCGATTTGGTCTTCAAGATGAATGTATCTTGAGTCAAGAAACTCATTGACTAGCTGACGTGGATCCAGGAGCATTTGGACCTTTGCCTCAATCTCGCGAACCTTCTCCGGGTCAATATATTTGGGTTTGCGAGGCTTCGGTTCCCGTGACAAAATGATAGTTCTCAAGTCTTTCGGGGGTCCCGGAGGTGGTCGTCGCACCGGCCTCTTCGAAGCCCTGCTATTTTTTGGTGGCTCAAGGTCCTCATTTTCGTCATCCTCCAATCGAATTCGCGTCGCGGATGTACTCGAAAATGTTCGTCGAAGCTCCCGATTTGTCAAACGCCGGCTATTGTGGTAGCGATGCTGAATGGTTTCGTGAGGGGTTCCTCGGGAGGAAGTGCGGAGAACATCGCTAATGTTTCATCAGCGAATTGAGGGGTTGAACAAGTTTAATTCCAACGTCCGGACTTACCTCTGGCATACAAGGCCTCGCGTCAGTGAGCTCACACTACAATGCGTAGGTGTATTGCCTCCAATTGTCGGGACCGACGAGGAAGACCTCAGGCCCGCTAGAAGACTCGCCCACGTTCGCATTCTGCACGACAGGCATAGTGGAGCCCGATACACAATGACCAAAGACGGTAGAGGTGCCGAGACTCACTGCTCAGCTTGCATGGTATAATTGCCCAAGCATTGACAACCAGAAGGAATACAATGAAGATCCACGACCAAACAGAGAGAGCCTTAAGTCCGGGGAGAAACGCTAGTCCCGATATAGTATAGCCCGGTCGGCGCGGATAAAAGCAAGTTCCTGAAATCCAGATCAAATGCACCGTGACTTTGTATATCTCTCATCTAGCTCACTTCGCCATCTCTGATCTTTACAATATACAGTGAGATTTATAAGGACTCAAAGCTTGTCCAATACTCATAAAAACATGGCCTCTCAACTGCTGCCGCTGGGTTTGTCCCCTCAACTCCCCTCCTTTGGAACCCCACTAACCCTTCGATAGAGCTTATCGACAAGTGTGTCGGCTCTCGGATCTGGGTTGTCATGAAGGGTGACAAGGGTGAGTCCACCTGCTCAGGCCATGCTGGTTGTGAGGGGAGTCTAACATGCGCAAAGAGTTCTCGGGTACCCTGCTCGGATTTGATGACTACGTCAGTGAGTATCCTTTTTATGTCCGACCACGTTCGCAACACAGATCTCTAATTACCTTCTAGACATGGTCATGGAGGACGTTACTGAGTTGTGAGTAATCTTCTTGGCTTTATCGAGCATTTTACGACAGAATCTGTCTCGCCTTGCACGTCTTGGCGGTATCAAAGTAGAACGATTCGATATCCGCCATTTGCTTATTCTCTCCGCTCTCTAATTCTTTACTTTGCAAATTTGTGTAATGAAACTAATTTGGGTGCAGCGACTACACTGGTGCCCAAACTAAGCTTCCGAAGCTTTTGCTCAACGGAAACAACATCTGCATGGTAAGCTCGTCCATTTTCACTCTTTTCTTTCTTATCTGACCTAGTTTACAGTTGATTCCCGGTGGAGAAGGCCCAATCTCTAGCTAGATATTCGAGCTGGGTGGTTTGCGCAATAACGAAAAGAAGTTTGTGTTATTATACCGAATACAACGACACGAAAAGTCCGATAGAAAGACTTAATTCCACAATTCATGAAACGCTGTTTTTCCAATTCAATTCTTCCGTCTTATCGGGCATTCTCTGTGCTCCGGAGGCCATGACAATTTGCTTTCCAGCTAGGACTAGGACTGTGTCAGGTTCTGAGGTTGAAACTCAAGGGGGAATATGTTCTCTGGCACCAAATAGGATTCTCGAGAAAGAAATTTGATCATATTTGGATCCTAATCTAAACTCACCAGGATCTGAGTTCCTCCAATCAGAAGTCCTCGGGATGACGCTTGCAATGTCCGCGTTAGCCCAACTGATAAGCCAGCGCCACACCTGAGTGATAGGCAAATATGCGCTACGTCTTATCACAGCCCAATGACGGCTATCTCGGGCCGTTCCTGTCCTCTTTCCTAGATTAAACACGGCTAGTCTTCACCTTGATCCCCGCATATATCGGCAAAAGAGCCCTAGAACGGGATCTGACATGCTACATCCACGCCAAATCCCGGGTTGGCTTGGTGCCATTTGCAGATCTCCCGCTCTCGAACTTGTCGCATATTTGAACGTCCCCTTTACGCTAGGGTACCCCGCTATGAGTTGACCCTTGACCGGAAAAAGCTGCAAGTAATATCAGGAACAAACGTACTATTTGAGTCTCCAATTCCATCTCGCATCAGTCATTAATTCGTGTACCTTCCAAATATTTGGTCAATGATAACGATGCCCCTATCTCAGTTGCCCTCCACGACGGACTTGGCCTGCCTTTCAATTGCATTTCAGAAGCTTGATTTGCCTGCAGTCATCCATATCTACGCGAAGCTCTAGACTCGCTGCCCACGGTCAATAATCTTGGCCCTCATGCCGGCCGAGAGCAACTGTTCACCTGGTATGTGACGAAAGCTTCACTCAATGGCCTGATGAAAGTGCAGGTCTGCAGGGAATTGAATTAGTCACATCGTCCAATATCGGGGCTGCCTTTGTCTTCCAGTGACGAGCACATCAACTCTCTCGGACAAATGCGTTGGGGATACAGCCTCAGTCAAGAGATCAGCATGTCTTTGTAGGTTGAAAGAGGTGCCATCGGTGGTCAAGATTGCATCAAGGACATCCAAAGTGCTCAACATGACTCTTCGCTTGGAACAGAAACAGCCTGATAATTTAGTAAAAGTAACATACTGCAATTCCCAAGCTCTATTCAGATGGCGGCGATCTTTATCGCTTCAACGACTTGTCTGATCAGTTGTCGCTCCGAGGAGTTTACTCCAATGTACTGATTAGGTTGAACCTATTCAGAGCTGAACAGAAGCATAATACAATCATCCAATAATTGCATTTCCATGCTCTACCTTTAGTCCGAATGACGTGAAAGCGTACACAAACACCAAGGTGGTGTATTCTCCGAGATATGTCATGAAAGCATTGAACGCCTGAGACTCAGTTCCTTGGACATCTCGAGGCTCCGCAGTCAATGCTTCAGCTTCATGAAATGTAAGCACCGCAGACTTTACGTCTTGATAGAGGTTTTCTATAATATCACACACGTGTCGACGGCCACTATCCCCAGGGCGAGATCGGGAGATTATCCAATCCTTCTCTGGAAGGAGGTAATTCCACCACAACAGGTTCCAGAGCTTGCCCGGAGCCCTTCCATCTGCAGACTGTTGGGCTTGCTGCTAAAGGAGCTTCAAGATATCATCGGTGATAAATAATATTGTCTTGTAATTCTTAGCTATGAAACAAAAGCTGTCTTGACCTTCTTCATTTGCCAGGGGATCAAATAGTTCGCTTTTCATACTGTATAAAGCACCAGGTCTCATCACCAGAGCCAACCAATCCAGCCATCCGCAGAAGAGGCCCTTGCCTTTAAGCACAGAAGACGTGAAAGGCAGCGAAGTGAAGCTCGGAGACTGGGGGGCATCTACTGCTGCTACCAACCAAAAGAGAAGATGTGTTCTTCTTTTCTGTCCTCGCCATGTCGATGTTTCTAGGCGGCAGGTATTTGGTGAGGAGCTGCAAGTTCCTTCGCATTGTTCCGATTTAGCAAAACAGGCGTGCCAGTGAGCTTAGAAAAAACAGGCCATGTGTCTTGGCTACGCGCCTCGAGAGTTCGAGCTGCTATGGTGGCTTGGGCGTTGACTTGCATACGGAGAGTAATAGCGTCAAAGCCAATTAAGATCCCACCCCGTGTCACAAGCCAAGTGTATACGTATACAAAGTCCTGAATGTCTTTGATTGTCAAAACAAGGCATTTCGGCCGTGCTGTTGTGCAATAAGAGTGTCATTACCCCAGACGGACGGGAGCGATGTGGAAACTGTTACCTAACAGCTTCACGTCCCCCGCATTTCGACCGGACCACCCGTCGGTGGGCGGGATAACTCTAAAGTGACTATGAATGACTCTGTTTCTTGCTTTTTAGGGGCAAAATGGTTGGTTGGGCTGAAGGAATGCTAGATCCTGTGGTAAGTTGAAAGACTATCACGGTCGGCTTCTTTCACCTGCCTATTTTAGTAGCAGATGTATCAAGATAGTTGAAGAAGAATTCATTTAAACTTAGACAGGAGTGTGTCCTTGGTAGGAACAGAATCAAAGGATGATGGACTTGGGGCGCGTCTGTTACTCAGGCCGGCGCTTGCCGGGTACGTCGTCACCTGCATGCCTTCGAAATCCAAGATCCCTCGGTCCTGGTTCCTATTCAGAGATCTAGCGCCAAGCCCTCGAACCAAATGGCCACCTAGCCCCGATGCTACCGTGGCTCCCTGGCTCACAGCCACAGCCAGTGACAACGCGTCCTGAACGCCATCAACAAGCACGACGAAGCATCATCCGAAGCCGGCCGAAGAGGAATAATATTTTTTTTCGGGCTTGGGGGCCGAGGTGCCAAGATTATGATAACGAAGCTCTTGATGTCAAGACATCTACATATTTGTGTTTCCGTGGGTTGATGTCAATGATCATATCAATAGGCCCACTATGCTGGTTCCACCGTTATCAGCACCGGTCCACTTCCAGCAAGCTGGCCCCGAAAGGTTGTCGCATGGACGGCTCGATTCTTTGAAGCTAAATCGCCCCAGCCCCATCCGATTTGATTTCAACGGGCCCGCGGGAGGCTTGGCGGCAGAGCTTACGAAAGCCAGGAAGCGAGGGGAGAAAAATCATGTGGCCTATGAGACTCCTTAAATCACACATGGCTGCGCTCTGTTCCCCTTATACGAGCTGCATTGAGTGGCCATGAATATAGCGCACCTCGTGATTCCCTTGCTTCTGCCGGGCTTCCATGCATAGTGGCAGACCGCCAGAAAGCCACCCGGCCAGCCAAACGAATTAGCAGTGGGAGAGTCTAAACGCGTGTTACCAAGGTTCCAGTTGCCTGGCGTTTCTTGCCTCGGACAAGGGACACAGCACATGGTTTTATTCGGCGAAGCCGAATCGAAGCACAGGCCCGAAAGTCTACTGGGGGGTTTTTTTTTCTTGTCTTCGTTCCAGGGTCCAGCCTCAATTAAGTCTACTCAAACCATAATCATGATGTTAGATTACTATCCCATGCCGAACGCCTCCCAGGGCGGCCCAAAGCGTACGCCATCAGGACGGACCCCCCGTCGGAAGCCTTCCCATAGGCAAGAGTAGCGGAAAGGAGTCCAGGCTAGCTTTGTTCTCCAGAGCAGCCACAAATATCCCTGTCAGACGCTAATCCTAGCCTGAAGAAGCAGGCGATTGTTTTGCGCATTCAACTGCGTTCTGTCTGAGCGAGCTTTCTCCACCCTCGTTGCATTTCTTTCTGGCCCTGAGAGGGATTTGCTTATCACTAGAAGGTTTAGTTGGCGGTTTTGATTGGGTAAGGATTGTCTATCGCATGGAAAGTGCGGAGATTAGTGGGTCCCGGAGAGTTGCTGCGCTGGGTCAACCAGAAGCTTGGCTGGTCACTAGGTGTCATTCAACAAAAGTGCAAGACAGCACAGCAATGGTCAGGCCATTTATATTTGAGGAGGCATGTATAGTAAGCGGAGGGTAAGCGGAAATTAAAACAATAGAATGGATGTAGGCAGCGTCAGCAGCTGCAGGTCACCAGACTTGGGTACACAGTGGGATCGTCCCGTTGTGACGGGCTAAAATGCCCCTAAATCACGCAGGTGATAAGTGGCGTTCGATGGCTGTCTTTCCCTCTCTGAAACAATGGAACACTCAGATCATTTATTATTATTATTAATCTTATCGCGCAAGATGATTTTTTGAAATATCCGGGGTATCAGGGTCCCGTTTGCGGTATCGGCCATTCCGGACAGTCCCACCCGATAGGAGATTCATGATCAAATGCAGTAAAATGGACCAATCCGATGCGTCAAAAATATCATGGAATTATTAAAACATAATCAAGCTGACCCCTGTAATGTTGCCTCACATCAGGGCCCCGGGGTAGAAACTCTGATTACAAGGCTAAGCGGATTGGGCTTTACCTCTACCCTTTTGTGGTCTAAGGCACAATCGATTATCCAGTGGCGCAAACCTGCAAGTAATTTGTATGTGAGAGAATAACCTAATGGTTATTGTCCGGATTCTGAAATCGTTTAAATCATCGTCCCTCCCCTTTGCTTTTTGATAACCTCACGCGTCCTTTCCTTTCCCTCTCTCCCTCTCTTCCCTTCCACCTACTTCCGAAAATCTTCCCTCTATTTTCAACAACTACCTTTGAGCGAAAGACCGGGGTATTTGTTCATCATGGAGGACGAGAAGGTGTACGTATCAGACAAAACTCCGCCTCAGACGGGCTCTGAGCCTCTGCCTGTCTATGGCGAATCGCAATCAACAAAGGCTCCGTTTGGTCGGCGCTTCCTCGACAGCTTCAAGCGCGACCCTAATGCGCACATTATCAACCAGCGTGAAGCGGGAGCTGATGGCTCCGGATTCGATCTCGAGACCGCAGCACAGAATGTTGCCCACTCACCACTCCAGCGCCGCCTGAAAGGCCGTCATCTTCAGATGATCGCCATTGGTGGCTCGATCGGTAAGTCTCCAATACTTATGCGGAAATATTACCTGAGACACATGTCTAACCCTCTGCTCTAGGTACCGGTCTCTTCGTTGGTTCTGGAACCGTGCTGGCTACAGGTGGCCCAGCATCTGTGGTCATTGCGTACTGTTTAATCGGAGTCATGCTTTACACTACAGTCCACGCGCTGGGTGAGATGGCTGTCATGTTCCCTGTCTCTGGTTCTTTCTCTCACTACTCTACTCGCTTCTTGGATCCGGCTTGGGGCTTTGCCATGGGTTGGAACTATGCACTCCAATGGCTCATCGTCTTACCACTCGAAATCGTTGCGGCTTCCATCACAATTGACTATTGGAGTCCGGATGTTTCCAATGCTGCTTGGGTGATCATCTTTTGGGCGTTGATTGTTGCAATCAATCTCTTTGGTGTTCGTGGTTATGGTGAGGCAGAGTTTGTCTTTGCGGCCATCAAGGTCACTGCAGTTATTGGGTTCATGTATGTTTCTATCTCAACCCCTGCTAAGTGTCATTGCTAACATTTTTATTAGCATCCTTGGTATTGTCATCAACTGCGGTGGTGGTCCTCAGGGAGGCTACATTGGTGGAAAATACTGGCATAATCCAGGTGCTTTCCACAATGGTTTCAAGGGTCTTTGCAGTGTCTTCGTGAATGCCGCCTTTGCTTTCTCTGGAACTGAGCTTGTTGGTCTGGCTGCTGCTGAGACCGCGAATCCTCGCAAATCTCTCCCCACTGCGATTAAGCAGGTGTTCTGGCGGATCTCCCTCTTCTACGTTGTGTCCCTTACCCTGGTCGGCTTATTGGTGAGATGGGATGACGACCGGCTCATTAGTGGTGGCTCATCGGCTGATGCTCACGCTTCTCCCTTCGTTATCGCTATTGAAAGTGCCGGCATCGCGGGTTTGCCCTCGGTCATGAACGTCGTTATCATGATTGCCGTCCTCTCTGTTGGCAACTCCTCCGTGTACGGCTCCTCGCGAACTCTTGCTGCCCTTGCTGAACAGGGCCAAGCCCCCAAGTTCCTGGCCTACATCGACCGCAAGGGACGTCCCATCTGGGCCATCGCTGTCGCTTCCGCACTTGGTCTGCTCTGCTTCCTCGCCGCGTCAAGCCAAGAGACGACTGCTTTCGAGTGGATGATGGCTATCTCGGGTCTTTCCTCCATCTTCACCTGGGGATCCGTTTGTCTTTGCCATATCCGATTCCGTCGTGCTTGGAAAGTCCAGGGCCACAGCCTCGACGAGTTGGCTTTCCGTTCGCAACCTGGCGTTTTTGGCTCATGGGTCGGCTTCATCTTCAATTGCTTGATCCTGATCGCCCAATTCTGGATCGGTTTTGCTCCTGTCGGTTATGCAGATATGACTGCGGGCGCACTAGTTGAGAACTTCTTCTCAGTCTACCTAGCTGCTCCCATTGTCTTTGCCTTTTACCTTCCCTACAAGTTCTGGTACAAGACCAAGGTCATGCGTTGCAAAGATATGGACTTGGTGACTGGTCGTCGGGATTTGGACATCCAGCACCTGATTGAGCAGGAAGTTGCTGAGCAGAAGCAGTGGCCTAAGTGGAAGAAGGTTTACAAGCTATTCTGTTAATGGGGGTTGAAAATTTGGAGTGCACTATCGCTTTCTTGTGCCTTGTATCATCTCCCGTCCATGAATATTTGCGACAGCCTAAGTTAATGACAGATACCATAACGACAATGCATATTTCAAAATTATTATGAACTTCTTCACTGTAGACTCAATTCAAATAATTCAAATGTTGGAATGGAGACTGTTGAATCTTGATCTTGATCTAAATGTTGAATCCAGGTGCCATGTTACCTCGGGCCTTAGAATTGTCAATGCCGTGTCAGCCCTACGACATAACAAGCCGGTGGACTTTGCATTCGCAAGACCCACACCTGCATCGATGGAGCTCTCCTGTCATGCGGGAAAGGACAGGGAATTTGTTTCTAAACCTAACTTTAGTCCAAACACTATGCATAAAGTGACACATGCGCATGCATTCCGTCATGCCGATCAACGGCCAATTTCAATGGCATTTCGGGGCTGAGTATTGCATGGTACGGTATTGAAAGTTTTGGGGAAAGTGGCTGAGTACGTATGCCTGAGGCGGACGTCGCGTCCTTCAGGTACCAACTGTACGACTCGGACTTTTGTACGCAGACACAGGGATTATCATTATATGGTAGCGATGTCTTGGGTACGGTGAGACAAATCCATTAGATCTACAGAGTTTTTCTTCTTCAATGCCAACAAAGTCTTATCCACTCTTCTAAAGGATTTTCCTGAACCCCAAAAATAGTACCGAGAAATAGTGTGGTGGAGCCACATTTTAGCAGGGCTGTACTCAAATGTACCCGTAATATTACAAGCCACTCCACGCCGAATGGAAATTCATCAACATCATTAGGCAACTCGTTGGCTGCAAGACAACCCCCTTTTTTCTCATTCCTTCTTTTAGACGCTGCTTTTGCTGTTCTTGCTGTGCTCTTGCCTCTCTGTCCATCGAGCTATCCGGCCGCTTGTTCGCTCTTTTCCCACCTCCTTCGCCCTCGCAGCTCCTTGGCGCTTACCTGCCGCGCGCTCTGATTCCCCGGGAATCCATCTCGAGCCTCAAATCTTCCCAGTGCTAAGCGCAACGTCCTATCCTTCCTGTTCTCCGTCCGGCCTCCATTTCAGTGCGATTCGATTTCCAGCTAGCCGGTCTGCTTTGAGTTTTATTGTACTTGCTTGTATCGACGTCCCGCTCAGCTCGGGCCAGCCAAATTCACCGAAGCCGCTCGTCCTTTGCGCCCAACACGATCTTTGCCCTCAATTCCCACTTCACATTCCGACCACGGTTCCCTGATTTGTGACCACTCACTCCTGCCTCGCTGCCGACTACCTAATTCGGGTTAATTCAACAAAGTGAACCGTGTTCCTGCCGGTCGCTGTCACAATGCCTGGCTTTGCGGACTCGTTCTGGACGCCCGATTATGCCTCGGGTCTCGGCGTCCTCTACGGGAAGTTGCAGCAGGGAGTGGCAGAGAATAAGCAGATTTTGCTGATTGCATCTATGCGGGCAGATGCAGAGGAGCAGTATGGTCTCCGCATGGGAGAAATCGCACCGAGCGTGGATCGGTTATCTGCCGCAGGTTTCGGCAAGGACGACGGCGCTAGTGTGAGAAAGGTATGACGAATATGAGACTCGACTCTGGTTATTTTGCCCTAGGACTGGACTGACGGCGCATTTTTCTTCGGTTTTCTAGGCATACGAAGGTGTCCGTACTGAGATGATTGAGGCCTCTCGGAATCATCAGAAGATCGCCAACAACATTCGCGAACTTGTCGTGGCTCCATTCCGCCGTTGGGGCGAGCAGCATGAATACAGAGTTCAGGCTTCTCATGATAACCTCCAGGGGCGGATCAAGGAACATTCGAAGCAGGTTGAATTGGTTAAGAAACTTCGCAGCACTTACTTCAACAAGTGTCGGGTAGTGGAAGATCTGGAGGAGGAGAACAAGCTTGCTTTCCAGGACCCTGAGACAAGTCCCAAGGTCAAGCCGACGCCGAAGATCGTTCTTCCCACCGAGGAGGAGCCTGAAGATGAGGAGCCGGTTGAACTGGGAGATCGCGTCTATGGTCCAGAGGATTTCAAGAAGATTCTGCTGCATATGCTGAACAACATCAGAATTGGCGAGGCTAAGGTGCCTATTATTGGTACGTATCAGAATGTCTCCACCGGTGCGGATATTGTGGAGTACGTTCAGAGATACATGGAGGCCACCAACCTGGCACAGGCAGAACGCATCGGACAGGATCTTGTGGACGGTGGCTTTTTGCGCTTGGTCGGCAACATGGGTAGTGTTTTCGCCAACAGCTCGAAGATGAACTACCAGTGGCGCTCCAGAGTCTTCCAACTCACTGGCATTCCTGAGAAGAAGAAGCCTCTAATGCGGGTCGCCTCTGCGGCTTCTGGGGCTTCTTCAAATGACGATATTGTCGACTCTCCAATGTCTTCAGTCTCGGAAATGATTGCGGGCTGGAACCCCCTCAACAACCCTTACCCGAACGAAACTCCGGCGGAGAAGCTGCGGAGAGAGGCTTTGGAAGCCGATGAACGCTACAAGGCTGGTGTGCGAAAGCTCGATCAGCTTCGATGCCGCCTTGAGGAGGACGTTATTGATAACTTGCGATTCATGGAGCAGTGCGAGCTGGACCGCCTCAAGGCTATCAAGGCGGTGGTTCTTGACTTCTCTGGCGCCATTAGCAACGTCATCCCCAATCTTCAAAGCACTGTCGATCATATGATGCTGTATCAGGAGACGATTCAGCCGCTGGGAGATTTGAGATATCTCCTGGAGAACTACCGTACTGGTGGCTTTGTCCCTCGAGTACAGGCCTATGAAAACTACTATGGATCCGTTGAAGGTATGTGGATATCATCAATTGACAAAACTTGCAACAAGTGCTAATTCTCTATAGAGCAAAATTTCGGCGTCGATCTTGAAGCCAGAGCTCGTGTGGACCGCAAGCGTGTCCCAATCTTGGTGACGACTCTTTTGACATACCTGGACAACCGTAAGACAGGCCCAATTATCGAGTAAAATACATAATTAAGCTAACTCGCATACAGGTTACCCTGAACTCGAGGGCGACGAAGCCCGTCGTGGTATCTGGCTGCACAATCCTAAGTTGTCTCACACGCATCAGTTGCGCAACGCGCTGAACAACAGCAAAGCGGACTATCATGAAATCCTCCCGACATTTGAGATACCCACCGTTGCTAGCGTTCTGAAATTGTACCTTCTTGAGTTGCCCGGTATGTATCTTCTTCCGATCCGACATTTCGAATTACAGACACTAACTATGCCGCAGACTCTCTTGTTTCCTCGCAAGTCTACGAAATCGTCAAAACGATCTACTCGACCACCGCTCACGAGACCACGGAAGAGGGACGAATTAAGGTCCTGCAAAGTACGCTTGGACAACTTCGTCTCGTAAACATTGCCACGCTTGATGCCATCATGACCCACTTCACACGCCTGATCGACTTGACTTCTGCCGATGAACAGTACATTGCCGCAATTGCACAGGTCCTGTCGCCATGTATTCTCCGCCCTCGCATTGAGAGCAGCCTCACAATGGATGAGCGCCACAGCTACCGCCTGATCCGTGACCTGTTTGCGCACAAAGACGCCATCTTTGGCGAGCTTAAGCGCCAGTCCAGTGCACTGGGCATTTCAACTTCCAGCCGCCCGAGGGCAATCAGCACCGATGAGAGCAACCGACGTGCCGCAATGGAGGCTCGCCAGCGCGCCATCGTCAATCGCAGCCGCGCTACCAGCCCTTCAAACCGTCAACGTCACCGTCGGGACCGCTCCAGTGGCGCTTCTGAGACTGGTCGATTCCCCATCAATGTTGCAGCCAGCCCGGCTGATCGCCGAGCCGCTGCTGCGACCCGCCCCAGCCTCGATGTCCCCATTAGCAATGGATCCCCTACTGTGCCCGAACACCCTCCAACTGTGAACACCCAGATTGTTGAGGTTGCAACCAACGGCATGACCGACTCTCCAGCTTCGGCAGCTATCACTAGCGCCAGTGCCTCAGAGGGCTCTGATAGCCCTCCTCCCCCGGAGACTGCCTCAGATGGTTCCCCTACCCCAACACCCACCCCAGCTCCCGCAGCTACCGAATTTGAAAAACGCGCCTCCATTCCTCGCTCAACTGGTGGCCGGTACACCCGCAAGCCCGGCCTCGGAAGTCTTTCTAGCTTCCCAACCGGATCTGCCGTTGGCGCCACAGGCACCGATAGCAACCGAAGCAGCATCGCTGAAAGCGAGCCCAAGGGTGTAACTCTGGAAGACAAGCCCATGGATGATTAAATGATGCACTTTGACATTCTCGGGAGAGAATAATACGTCTCAAAGACTTTGTATAGCGACACGTCTTTTGAAGCACTTGATCTCCTCCCTCTTGACTTTTTAAAAAAGATTTTTCCGCGTTGTCATGCCTTTTCTATGCATGCATGCATACATACCCTTCTCTGCCCTGCCTTGCCTGCATGTGCTATTCGTCAAATACCTAAGAGCCCTCCTGATTATACTGGTCTGTTTCTCCTTGGAATTGTCTTTTCTTCTTATCTTATGTTTGTGATGCATCTCTTTTTTCCTTGTGCTCGCCTTTTAGTTCGCACCCTGTATGTATACTTGATTCTTCTACACATGTACGAATTTCCTGGATGTCAGAATATTTCCGTTTATAGTCTACTCGTCATTCGGTGTCAATCCTGTAGATTTTTCTTTTATGAATAGCGATTGATGTTTTCTAGCACTTTAATTTACATATATGCAATCTATACCACGTATAAGGGCGTCCCGCACGACTTAGGCAGCCATCGGCCTTGCTTGCAGCCTAGAGGGGTGCAAATCTTAAATGCCCCAAATGTTCGTAATAAAGAAGAGTACTACAGACATAGGTTACTAGGTACGTTCTCTAGATAATATGTGTATGAATCTATCCTAGATTCTGTTCTGTCTATCTTTGTAGTGTGGTTTGGATAAGATTGGTTATTTACCTCTTCCTGTATGTATAAACTAAGCAAGTCGCTAATGTATTCGTCAGCAACCAAAATTGCCTCTTGAGCTGCTCAAAGTTCCTCCTCATCGGCTTCGGCTCATTGTCCTCTCAATTCTTATCAGAGCATCTTCTTCCTCCGCCTTTGCGAGCTTTTCACTCGGCAGCATTATGGCCTTATCAATAGCCACTGGCAAAGCTCGATGACGGCCCCGAATCATCACTGCACAGAGCACCAACTTGCTGAAAGTATGCCAGCCCCCAGAAAAGCTATACAGCTGGTCTGGAAGACCCGTACTAATTCCGACACAGCCGTACGCGCTGACGGTTTCGAAGATGATATTGAAAGCCGAGTATGTGACTGGATCTCGGGTGAACTGGCCGGCTTCCACGATGCAAATTATAATGACGGCTAAAGCAATCCACCATAGGTCGAATGCCATCTGTGCGCGGAGTTGGTGCCGAATAAAGTACAATCTTCCCGATGCAGGGGACTTGGGTGTTGAAGGGCTCGAGCTTTCTGAGTAGGTATCGTCGTCCGTGTTTACGGAGGGGTCGTCTGCGTAGATACCTAGGCTTCGTTCTTCGTATACGTTTGAGTGGCGCATCGTGATGACAACAGGGTAGACGGAGATATACATCATTATCACGTATATCACCTGCGTTCCTATCTCGAGGGCGGAGATGCTGGTTATGTAGAAGCCTCCACTTCGAACGCAGAATGCTTGGAATAGCCCATCTAGCGCACGTGGCCCTTTTGGAGTGATATTGACGGCCGGATTATCGTACTATCAATAGCAATCAGCATTTCGAATCTGAACAGGCGGGAGATTGCCAGACTCACATTAAGCACCTCATAGGCTACCCAATCAGCCCCATTTAAGGCAATCACAGAGACCAGAAGCCACCACGTGTGTGCAGCAGGAAATAATGTTGTATAGCAACGGCGTGGATGATCCAAGAGGAATGTCAAAGTCTCACGAGAATAGTGAAAGTATTCGCCGCGGGGAAGAAGCATACGAATGGTGTATAATATCCACCTCAGGAATATTGGATAACTGCAAATAAGTATGAGCATATTTGCATGAACCAATTAACCCAGTAAACTGCGAAGAGGCTTACCAGGTGTTGCCAGCTAGGATGAGAAGGCCCATAGTGATCAGCATGTACGTTGATCTTTTAAAGGGAACCTTAAAAGGCCGTCAGTCACAAACTAGACACTTGGGGGAGATGACGCTGAGCACTCACCATATTGGCATCAAGCACACTCATCCCAGAATTGTTGAAGGCAGAAATGGCGAAGAAAAAGCCCACCCACCTACAGTCGAGCAACAATCAGGTTGGGCCTCAGGAGCTATTGAGTATCTAGAAAAAATCAAAACTCACCAAGGATCCAAACCGTTCGATCTAGCCAGTGCAGCCTTATTCCTCGCAATATACGCACCAACACCTAGCCCACCCAATAGCTGCCATAACACAAAGTAGACTGGCACAATAATGGACAATAGCGACACTGCTCGATACTCTGCACCGCCAAGTCTTTGACGTTCTCTTTCACTCAGATCATGGAATGAAGAATTTCGACTGAATTTGCGCAGAAAGTGTAAATGACTGTCATCTTCATCCAAGCCCTGTCCATTATCGCCTTCCTCCAATTGACTGTGAGTAGCAGGCACAAATGGAGGACGCATATCTTGGCGCGCTGGATTGGAGGGGACTTCCCCAAGTCCAGGTCGTACGTCAGCGTCAAATGTGATATGAGCATCAGTATCTGCAGTAACGGTTGCTTCCCGAGAAAGGGCTCGGGCATCTGGTTGTGTTTCGTTAGACGCTAAAGACTCAGCGTTATCTCTAGCTGTGGGGTGAGAGAAATATTGTTTTTTGCTATATTGTTTGCCGTGATCTGAATCAGTTCCTGAAGTTTGTCCTTGGCTCTTGCTGCGTGCCAAGGGTTGGAGTGATGGAGCTGTGGATCTATATAAAGGGAAACTTCGGCGCCTATCTACCTGTGGCTCGGGCTCATTTGGTACTGTTGGCTCCTGCGATGGCAGAGTGGCCATCTGAATTGATGGGCGAGACTGATTGATCGCATGGCGGAGTTTCTTTCTTCGTAGACTTTCTTCTTGCACAATCTCTCTGAATCTTTTCTCAAATGTTCTTTTGCGGACCATTACTACTGCGATGGAGACCCATATCTATCTCTGATTAGCATTCTTATCCACCAGTGTTGTAGCTGATTGCTCATTTAAAGCAAGTGGCTGGCGATAAGCAGACTGGTCTCTTACCGTAGACCCGCATATTATCAGAAACAGTAGTAAGATCTGCTGGAATGTATTTAATGTAGATAGATTGACGGTGTTCAGGCCAGCAAGCGTCATGGCACTGACTGTCAAGAATAACGCATCAATATACCGTACGCTGTGGGCCGGAGTGGAGCTACCCCAGAGAACAGCGGAGGTGATAAGGGTCACTCCGATAAAGTAGGCATAATGCACTGTGAGGAATCGGACTCGAGGTAGATGGAACTTCATGATCTTCCAACTGAATTTGATCATTCTGGAGGAAAGCTCTATTTGAACCCAAAGCTGTTGTCACACGAGTTACATGAGGTCTTCAAGGGATCATAAGGTTGTCATTAGCCTTTGAGGCCTGTGTATGCTTAGTAAGCCGTCCTGCGATGCTGATTGGTCGGTGTCTTATACCTCATAGTACGGACATATACCTCATAGTATGGACATATACCTCATAGTATGGACACATGGATGTACTTTCCGCCTTGAGGCTGCAACAAACCCGGAAAAGCCTAGTGCGCCAGAATTCGCACCTACTGTAGTCTTCGTGTTGAAGCACCTTTAACATTGGAACTGAACCGACGACCATATTCGGTCTCGACCCAGATAATCCTTATTTACAAAGTCTGGGTAATCTAGTGTATCTAATTATTTGCCGTTAGTGCGCTTAGGCATTTATACAAGCCCGATCTAATTAGGCGCGTAGTAAATCAGAAATCTACTAATAAATATGAACAAACACATTATCGGGAGCTAGTAAGGCGTTCATGGGAAGGTAAACACAAAGGAATCCTTCAATTTCCTTCGTTACTTTCGATCTTCTTTACTTGCAAACTAAAGATATCTTATACTTGACGGAAACGATTGGCGATCGCTGGCAGGGGCAAATAAATCTATGAAAAGTCACGCGGAAATCTACAATGTCTTCACCTTAAGCATGCTTGGCGAATCACTGAGGTTATGCTGGACTACTGGAGCGCGTGAACGAATGTCACCAAATTACAAACTCCCCAGCTTGATGCACATCTTCCGCCGGCTACATTGAATTATCTGGTGACGGATTTTCACCTCCCCTGTCTGGGGACGCTTGTACTTGGCAGACTTCGATAAAAACGCGAGAAATTTGACGACCATGCGGAGGCGGTAAATAAATTGCTGAGTTTTCTTTCTCCACTGATATCTCTGACCTTGGATGAATGGTATCCGGAGATTCTGATAGATGCACTTGCTATTGTTCATGGACATTGTCTGCTGGAGTTGAAAGTTGTTGAACTATCCCGGCGAGGATCTCACAAATGACGATTTAGAGGCACTCGGTCGACATTGCACAGCCCTTCGAGATTTCACATTGAGCCTTCACCGTTCATAGGGTGACCTTGTAGAAGCGAGCTTATACAAGGCTCTTGGTTCTCTACTGAATTTTCAGTCCATAACCCTTGATTTACATGTTGTCCGAAGGTTTGATCCTTGGGACAATGACGAAGACGAAGAGGGCAGCTTGTCAAATCCTGCATTCTATCGAATTTGATAGACAAGTTCCTCCCGAATTGGTCAAAGCTAGACCAATACCATATGAGATTTGCAACGGGTCCATGCGCGAGCGGCTGATCAATTGTGCAATTGATGCGAAACTTGCTCGGTCTGTATTCGATTGTATTTCCGTCGGCAAGCCTCAAATATCTCTGCCTTTGCAAGAATTGGACATCAAGATCACTGATGCAGGAAACTTTGGAACTATACACTGCTCACGTCACTACTTATCTGTACTTTCTCATTGATGTCACCCATGGCGGATCACTCGAAGTATTCGTTGTGATCGCCGTCATGAGACATAGACAGAAGTAGTTCCCAGTTTATTCAAGCCACCGCCCAGTGTTCTGGAGGATCACCTTGAAGCTATTTGCTATTTGGCGCCGCATATGGCCGCAAAATATGTCAGAAGACTGGCGGTCTGCTGGCATAGCTTTCCGGTCTCTAAGGTGACATGATTATAGTCTTCAGATAAATCATATGCATCTTAATCAGTTATTCTAAACTTGAAGCCTTCAATGATGTTAAGGTTATTGCTATCCTTCAGGTGTGGACCTGTTCCTAAATGCTCATTGAAAAGTGTCCAAACGAAGAAAAAAAATTAATATGTCTGTGTTTGTGTTTTTGCTAAAGAGCGTGACGTATAAACCATGTGGAGATAATAAAGGGAAATCTGCCCTTGAAACTTCGTGTGAAACTCACCTTGATAAGCTATGCATGTATATCTATCCCATCAGCCATGGGTCTAGCCAAGTTTGGACAGATATGTAGGAGTAGGAGCTTGGTTTTTTTGACTTCGTTCAATTGTTTTTCTTTTTAATTCTTTGTTCTGGTTGGTTGATTGTTTGAGTGTCGATAAGGACAAGATGTCATGCACCACATTGCATGGAGTTTTCAACAAAGGGAATAAAACAAATGGAAATCGTGCCAATGGCGCTAAACATGAAAAATGCAACTCGACTCCAGAAATGCTGTGGTTTTGTACATGGTAATTGCCCCAGACAGGACTCCGATGATGCCTTCGATAATGCTGTGTGGGTAATATAAGATGATGGAAAACAAGAATGGAAAAATGACTCGAGCAAATGAAAGACAAAAGTTCAGGATTATGCCAATATCATAGTCCATCCCCACGAAGCAACCTCCTCAGAATGCCTTCACCAGGTCCGGCAATCTGGCCTTCGATTTCTGACTGGGACACAAAGCAGACGAGACCTTGTTCGTTCATCGCCTTGTGAGGACTTGACATCACGTTTCCAGACTTGGAAGGTGTGCGGCGAACATCAGAGCCACCGGCAAGTGTACCGCCACGGCCACGGCCCTGGTAGTCACCTACGAGGCCCATTGTTTCCAAGTTGCTCAAGACGTCCTTGAACTCTGTGGCAGTCAAGGGGTGAAGGATGTTGTCATTTCGGCAAAGCGTACAGTATGTGTCAAAGGCCTGCTTCACCGTCGGAGCAGAGGATCGATTTTTGGAGGGCGTACTGTGAATGTCCATCTCACGACGCTTGCGCTCGAGTGCAATCAATGTGCAGATAGCAGCCTTCTGCTGCAGATTGATGTTCTTTAGTCTTTGCACAGTGCCTTGTCCAAAAGCAGATGTTGTAATCCGGGCAATATGAGCAATGCTGGCACGAGGCGCTGTCACCGGTGTGTAGCTGGACATGGTGGTGGGCCGAGGAGCAGCGGCTGATTTTGAAGGAGAAGAAAGATTCTCATTCTCTGCTAGGACGGACAGCTTCAATTCAGCTTCAGCAGCTTGTTTCTCCAGTTTCTGGATAGTTTCTTGCTCAATGACATCAATTGCGCGCTTGATCAACTCAAATGCTTTGCGAAGGTCACCTGTTTGCGAAGCAACTTTCTTTGCGCAAAGCTGGATTGCTGCCGGCTGCAAGAAAGGGACTAATTTGGGATCAGAATCAGCTGCATCTGTGGGGAGTAATGATCGAAGACGAGCAGTGATCACACCGGCAATTGAAGCAGCGTTGTAGGGCAAGAATGGAAGAAGTGTCGGCCTCAGATTCTTTGCTTTCAGCTGTGGGAGAGAACGATCGGTCAAATCCAAGGCATTGGCAATACCAATGAGAATTAGAGTAGACTTATTATGCAAAGACCACTCAAACAAAGATTGCAATACTCCGGAGTCACCTTGAAGCAAATGATCCATCTCGTCAAGACTAACTAGAAACAGACCATCCGCCTTCGCGGGGATGAACATGTCCTTGATTCGGTCCGCCTCACTCTTTTTGAATACCTCTGATTCGTCACAAAAGTCTTGGATGAGTTTGCTGTATACATCACGAGAGTTACGCATGCTCACACAGTTGACATGAGAAACCTTAACGTTGGAGAGGTCCATGTCCCGGCATACTTCATTGACCATGGCGCTTTTACCCGTACCAGGAGGTCCACTGATGTAGAGACAGCCACCCTTTCGAGACTCGACGCAATCCTCAATGAAAGTGGAGACCTTCTCACGTTCTGACTCTCGTCCAACAAGGCGACCGGAGGTGGCGCCACGGGCAAAGAGCTGTCGGGCTTGCGAATAAACGGTTTGCGTTGTTGTCGGAGTGGCACTCGGACGGGGAGTAGGGGGGATGTCGGCGTGTCGAGGGGTCCGCGGAGTCACAGATCTGGCTCCCACCTGTACGCGATGGCGAGGAGTGACTGGTGAACTTTGGATCGCATCTCGGAATCGATTCTTTTGTGGGGTCTTGAATTCGATCGGCGGGGGTACTACGAGCTTCTCGAGCTGCTCAAGCTTCTCGGGGATCTCAGGTTTCTCATCTGCGAGCCATTAGCCACCATTTCGTATTGAATGCATGTTTCCAACTCTCTCAGCTTACCCTCTACGAGCTTCGAGGTGCGGAAATGAGACTTGATTTTTGTCGGAGACCCACCCTGGTCATCGCGCAGTGTGTGTTTGGAATGCGCTTTTTCCGAGATCTTATTGATGACATCCCCATTTTCCTGATCCACTGGTTGCTCCGCATCCTGGTTCTTTGCAGCGAGCCGAGTTGAGCGAGTTCGACGAAGAGGTGCGGCGGAGACCTCACGATGGACCCGAGGTGCAACAGTTCGGCGCTTGCTTGCGGTGCGCACGGGAAGCGCTGGAAAAGAGTCAGCGATCTTTTAGGTTATAATTATAATTCAAGAGTCTCACCTTCCGCTTCCACGGCACTGCGAGTGCGTTTGCCGAGAACCGTACTTGCCATTGTTGGGGAGGGGAAGGAAGTGTGTGAAGCGCCTTCCTGCGGCACGAGGTCTGGGAGATAAGTCTCCGCGCCTGCGCGTCAAGACGCGTCGCGTCGCATTCCTTTAAACTGAAAGCGGTAAGTGTGATTTTGCGGTAGCCATGAAGACCAAATGTGCAGAATTATCAATACTTGCGTAGCTGGTATCTACAGGTTTCCGTACTTGCTCTACTAGAGGCTTCTAAGCAAATTGAGGTCCTACGTCACTGCTGATGATCGTCCTGCTTGTCTATCTCAACTAGACCGCAAGACAAATACTTGCGATAAAGCTTTTTGCAAATGTGAAATCATTTAAATACCATTTCCAACCTGACTTCCAACTAGGCGGGGTACTCAGCGAGCTTATCCCTCCGTTTGCAGTTGTTTGCATCACCTCTCCACATTCAACTACTCATAATTCCAAGCTCATTTTGGAGACTACTTCTGTTTGACTTTCCTTCATTTTCTTTCTCCTCAGACCTTCCTTTTTTATACCCTGAGTTTTTCTGCTCGTCATCATGGAGGATAGCGTGGTGGCCCAGTTCACCGAGATTACGGGGTCGACGCCTGAGACGGCGACACAGTACCTGCAGCTCACTGAATTCAACATTGAGCAAGCGATGCAACTGTTTTTCGAGAATGGAGGTGCCCCGTTGACTGAAACGCCTGCTCAACCAGCAAGCCACCCCGCATACGAAGATGAATCAGGTGTCGTGCATATCGATTCCGACTCAGATGACGACAGTCGGCCGGCCCAATCTGCGCAACCAGCGGGTACGACATTTGACGATGATGCTGCCATGGCTCGTCGTCTACAGGAGGAAATGTACGGAGGCGGAGGCGGAGGCGGAGGCCCAACCCACAATGATGATTATGAGGATGAAGTACGTGCGCCTATGGCGCGCACCACCGAGACCTTGGTGGGGCCTGATCTGGATTTCCACGATGGCATGCATTCGAACATTTTGGGCCACTTACGTGCTGGACGAGGTGGACGTGGTGGTAAGTTAATACTGGACATCAAATGTGAAGGGTGGACTGAGCTAACACCTGGTAGGCCGGCCTGGCATCTTCAACCAACAAGATTCGGCATCCATCTGGAACGGCAGCTCGTCGACCCACCAAGAACAATTGTCGCAAGCCACAGGTGGTGCATCGGATGCTTCGTCCAAATCCAATATGCTCGCGGAAATGTATCGACCCCCCTTCGAGATCATGTCTCGTCTACCTTGGGATATGGCTCGTGAAGAAGGTCGGGACAATGAGAAGTGGCTGTTGGTGAACATCCAGGACCAGTCTATCTTCGACTGTCAGGTATTAAATCGCGATCTTTGGAAGGATAAGGGCATCCAGGAAACGATCAAAGAACATTTCATCTTCCTACAGTTCTCCAAGGATGATCCTCGAGCTGCACCATACCTCCAATACTACTTCCAAGCCAGCGACCTCTCCGATAATTACCCCCATATTGCCATCGTCGATCCTCGGACCGGTGAGAAAGTCAAGGCTTGGACCGGCCAGCCTGTTGTCAAAGCCCCGGAATTCCTCATGCAACTTCACGAGTTCCTTGATCGTTACAGCTTAAATCTCAACGTACGCAATCCGGTTGCGAAGCGGAAATCTGAAAAGCCAGAGAAAACAGTGGATGCTATGACAGAAGAGGAAATGTTGGATATGGCGATGAGGAACAGCCTCGGTGCAGGAGAGGCCTCGGCTCCCAAGCCAGATGACCCAGATGACCTGACCCGCAGCACGGTGGACATCAAAGGCAAGGGCAAGGCCGAGGAGGATGATGAGATGGGAGAAGCTGAGCCCGTTGAAGAGGCCGAAAACTCCCTCTTCTCCTCCATTCCTAGTGACCAGCCACACATCGAACCAGCTGCCGACCCTGCCACAACCACTCGCATCCAATTTCGTCACCCGGCTGGCCGTGTCATTCGGCGATTTGCACTGTCAGACCCTGTCCAGCGAATTTACGAGTGGTTGAAGGCAGAGCCTCCTGTGGAGGATAAGGCTGGTGTGGAGTTTGAGCTGAATTCACTGGGAAGTAACTTAATAGAATCACTGCAGACAAGCATCGAAAGTGCGGGGCTGAAGAACGGAACAGTCAACATCGGATACCTGGAGGAATAATTGATGCACATTGCTCTATATTGGCATTGAAGCTCACATCATCGCCTCATCTCGATAGTCAGTGACGGGATTGTGATCTGCGCATCGCATTGTTGCTTAGGATGGTAGGAATGACCATTGTTCCATTCAATGGCCCTTAAAGCAGATGTCCCGGGTTATAAATTCAACAAGGAACCCATGTCTAGAACGTATACTTATACTTTGCCTTCGAGTCTTAGAATCAACGTGACATGAATTAATTAGCATTTTCGTTCATTTGCAGAGCTTAGTTGTAGATACCTTCAAAGCCACCGCCCAAGATAAGAACGACACCGCCCGGCAGAATTGGCCCCGCGTCGATAAACAGGACGCCATGGTATCTTCCTCTGTGACGTCCTCGCGATTTGAACAGTGCTAACAGCCTTATATATTGTTGTGTCTCATGATGGTGTATAATTGATGCTCTTGTACTAAAGTATTGAAGGATCTGGGCCCATTTGATCCCGCCCCGACCTCTTTCCATCTTTGTTTATGCTGTTGGTGGTAGGTGGAACACCCCCAGCAACCCCCCCCCCCCCCAAAGCACCGAATTGCTTCTTTCTGATTCACTGATCGTGTACGCTCATAAGCAGACAGAAATAGTGCACTGTCCTCTAACTCCGCTTTTCTCCCGATTCCTGCGTTGATCTTTCCGATCATCTTGTCACCTCCGCTCTGATCCCGCTCCGCTCCCATTCCGCAGTATGTTCACCTCTCCATTTAACTACTTACGAACCAGGATTATGCTACCATCGTGATGCCTCATACTATGACTGGATACTTACATGTTTGTTTCACAATTCCAGCTGCTGACAACGAATTTGATACTCCGCGGAGTCCCCGCCGCACGAGTTCGGCTTCTCTCCGAGAGATAAGCCGCCACAATGCCCGGACCGATCGACCCCGAGACCCTATACACTAAGCAAGCATGCATTGGTAATTACAGAAAGTTCGTGGAAATGATCAAGCTCAAATATTAACCTCGGTGTTGAATAGGTGGTGGAAGTTTCGGCCGGGTCTACAAAGGGTGAGTGAAGCCTACCACTTGAGACTTGATGCGCATAGCCACGATTGCGTACTGACTCACAATTTTCCCCCAGAGTTGATAAGAGAACTGGAGACTCAGTTGCGATCAAGGTTATCGATGTTGAAAATGCCGAAGATGAAGTGGATGAGATCATCAAGGAGATTGCGATTCTATCCGAGCTGAAATCCCCATACGTCACCAAATATCATGGTTCATACCTTAAGGGTTCGAACCTCTGGATCATCATGGAGTTCTGCTCTGGTGGTAGCTGTCATGGCTTGTTGCGCCCCGGTGTGATTCATGAAGAGTACATATCGATTATTCTGAGAGAGCTCTTAAAAGGCTTGGAATATCTCCATGGTGATCAAAAATTGCACCGAGATATTAAAGGTAGCATGTTCTCCGTTTTCATGGCTATACAAGAGCTAACAGGGAGGCAGCTGCCAACATCCTTTTAAGCGCAAGTGGACAGGTCAAGTTAGCAGACTTTGGTGTATCAGGCCAATTATCCGCGACAATGACCAAGAAAAACACATTTGTGGGAACCCCCTTCTGGATGGCTCCAGAAGTCATCAAACAATCAGGATACGACTACAAAGCAGATATCTGGTCTCTGGGGATCACGGCAATTGAGCTGGCCTGTGGAGATCCTCCATATGCTGATATTCACCCGATGAAGGTCCTGTTTTTGATTCCCAAGAACCCGCCTCCCACTCTCAATGGTAACTTCAGCAAATCTTTCAAACAATTTGTTGAATTGTGCTTGCGACGGGATCCAAAAGAGCGACCGTCTGCCAAGGAGTTGCTCGAACACCCGTTCATCAAACGGGCGAAGCGGACGACATACCTCACAGAACTTATTGAACGTGCGGAGCGCTGGCAAGCAACCCACCATGGCCAAGGAGATGATGAAGATGACTATGATGAGCCATCAGAGCCTGTTGAGCTGAATCGCGAAGATCATGAAGATCTTTGGGACTTTGGGACTGTTCGCCCTGCTGGCCCTGCTGGTGGGCGATCGGCTATGGCCATGCCGCCATTACGTCCGATGCACGACTTGCCAACTAAACCTCGTTCTCAAGAAGCCGATGAGTGGGATTTGCAAGACGAGACGAAACAAGCACCTCAACTCCAGTCACACCCAATCCGCTCGAACCCTGCAAACACCGCCATCGAGCCCTCTCAAGCCAAAAAGCCCTTCCCTCCCCCTGTGCAACCCTCGCCGTTAAAGCAGACAACAACACCACCTTCCAATACTTCTTCGCGCCAAACTCATCCTAACAACCCAGCCGTCGCTCAGCAAGAGAATTCTCCCGCCAGAGGATACGCACAGGCAATGATGAATCTCGCTAGTGAGGCTCGCGCCAATGTGTCCCCTCAGCCCAGGTCCCCTGCGGTTGCGTCTAGCAACGCAACGATGGAGCAATCTCTAACTTCCAAGGAGCCTGAACCTGTCCCTTACCGTCCTCTCCCCAGTACCCATGGAACTCCAGCTAATCACCGCATGACGCCTTCTGGTAATGTCCAAAGGCAACCCGATCTCGCATCCGCAAATGCGAGACCCACCGGACTCAAGTCCAAGCTTGCCTCAAAATCTGAAGGGCCTCCCGTTAAAAACACTCCCGCTAGCCCTCGTGTAAGCGAGCAGCCAAAACAACTCCCACAACCTCCGGCCAAAACCCCGGTCGAGAATGACCGCGCCACCGCTTACGGCTCTGTTATTATTCCTGCCCTCCGTGCCGCCATGAACCGACGTGGTCGCGCTCTTTCTCGTCTCGACCCTGCTCGAAACCCCAACAATAGAACATCTTTTGAAGGAGAGCAACAATGGGAGCAAAGTGTTCGCGTCCACCGACACATGGACAGCATTGTCGATGATATTTCGCGGGCCCTCACGAATCTTCATCGCTGGGACATGGAAGACCCGGTACAGATGGACGGTGGTGTTGACGTTACGCTTGAAGCTTTCCTGGAGGAAGTTCTGGTTCGTCTTCAACCTGGTTCTGCCCCGGACTTCACTTGATCTCTTTCGGTTCGGTTTTCATGGAAGAGTTCTGTTGCACCTGTGGTGCTCCATTTCCCTTTCCCGACATACATGCCGTTTCTGATCTCATGTGAATGATCCCACGAGTCCATCTATTCTTGATGTTCCGCATCCCACGACTCGATCTATCCTCTTATCATCGGCTTCCCGAGTCGATCTATCTTTATGCTCGGCGTCTCATGGGTGCATTTACTCTTTTATTCCCGGCATCTCATGACTTCATCTACTCTTTACCCCCGTCTTCATGAATCCTCTGTTCCGTGGTTGTCTACTCGTTATCTTCGGCTTGCCACAAATGCATCTATGTTTTATCCCCGGCTTCATGAGTGTTGATACGCATCCGACAATGATGTCAACCTTGTTCTTTACGATCTCTTTGTCCACTCCCATGATACACCTACCTGGTTCTCATGCACCAAAAAGATGGCTGGTACTTCTTGTCTTGAAGAAACTGTTGTTGACGTTATTTTTGCGGGTTACAGTTTTCTTCTTTGCCATGTGTTTGTAAGATTCGTTCAATCATATTTTTTCCATTTCAATCGGGTCTTACCTAGGGAGTAGAATATGTCGCTCTATGACTTCTGGACTGATATTGACACGGATTTTGAGAATCACATCATCAGTCAGTCCTAAGGCTTCTCTAGGACATGTCTTATCGAAAACGAGCACGAGGGATTACGAGTGCCTCGATCGCTGGGTTCATCTTTCCTTTTTCATGGAATTAAATCTCTTTTAAGCATCGAAGTATAAACATAGGTACAGTATCTGTCCCAATGTAGAAAGTATAAAGTGACTAGCCTGCGCTGCTGATACTGGCAGGACGGGAGGATCGTGCCTAGCATGAAAATATCGGCAAGTATAGATTGGGCTAAGGAACCCTGAACACCTGCTTTCCATTCCGGATGCTGTATTATTGGGCGCGGGAGACTTCGCAAGAGGTGGAATTGGCACCCTCTGCTTTTCAATGGCGCGAACATAGTCTAATCGATCGACATCATTTGACATATTGGACTGAGTTCACTCAAGCTGCACGATTCGAAACAAAAACCTCAGGTCTGAACATGATCTCATCCCGCAGGACGGAAAAGCCAATCAGTCTCAGGTGTCGGGATCAAGTAATTTGTGATATTGAACTCATTCGCATTTGAAGAGGTGTGTCCATCAACGCCGGATCCATTACCAGTAAGTCCATGAATAGACATCGGGTTCGGTACAGACTCCGACATATCGAGATGTGTTGCCGCAACGGAATCCGGAGCTCGAGCGGCCGGCACACGCGGGACATTAAAGAAACCGAACACATCGAGGTACTCGAGTTCATTTGGTGCAAGATTGCGGGGGGCAATAGCCGACGAAGCAGGGCGGGCGTCATTCCCATTGCCACTCATTGATGATGGCGATTCTCGTGGTTGGCGGGATATGAGGAAGTCGAGATCAAATGCACATCGGCGCATATCTGCTAGGATCTTGACTGTGGATGGAGTTGAGCGTTCACCGTCTGTAGCGACAGATTGTTGGTATTCGCCGTATTCGTCGAGGACACGTTGGAGGATGTTACTATATCGCTCCGCAACTTTCCAGTGGTGGCCCATGTGGGAAAGTGTGTCGACGAAGAAGATAATGTCGGAGCTGACAGTGTGGGCGATGGTTGATCCGTGGACTAGTAGGAGGCGGGCTGAGACCCAGAGTGTAAAGGCGAATGGAGGTCCGAGCTTGTCAAGCATGTTGTTCTCAACCACGAAGCGAGTTACTGAGAGAATATTGTCGACTGCTAGCAAGCATCGCTGACTGGCGCTGTATGATGGGGTAAAGATCGGCGATCGGGTTGTGGGGTACGCAGCAGAGGAATGGAGACGAATGACGGCCCTAGAATCAGAGAGTTAACATCGGTATAGGCGAATCGCGGTCGAGACGAGACTTACGTTTGATAGGTAGCATGAAGCTGCACCCAATCACTATGCAAAGTCCGGCTCTGTTTCGCCCCATTGAAAAGGCGAGATGCATTCTCATAAGCGTATTCCGCAGGCAAATTGAACTCCCATGTAGTCAGCTCACTGTCGAGCTTTCGGTAGGTGGATTGCCATTCTTCAACATCAGAAAGAGAGCCGATGTCCACTGGGCGTTTCAAAAACGCGTGGACGCGTGAAAGAATCCCTAAAATCTCAATGTACAACCCAAAAGACCCCACGGTATCTGCATGGCTGAGATAGTCTGCGCGATCACCGGAGTAGTGAAATCTTCGCGTCTCAACCATTTGATTCTTAACAAAGAATTCGTCTTTGCAAGGAAGCTTTCGATCGATGTCTTTGTCGTCCAGGGCAAAGTTGAAGGCAGTGGCAAGGGTTGAGTACCTATCCAGCAAATAGACCATCCAGAACAGACGACGTCGACTCTCGTCCTCAATCCATGAGTCGGGTTCGGACAAGGTGACGGCTCTGAGGGTATAGATAGATGGGTAGACCGGAGCGATGAGAGAAGACTTGGACTCGACTGCCAATCCCAGTTGAACAACGGATCGAGTGATCAAGGCTAGCAGTTTCCACCCAGGGGGTCCATTCGACGATCCAACCAGGTCCAGTGCCAGAATAACAAGAGCTTGAAGAGCCTTCACTGATGAATTTTCAAGGCCATATAACAGTACTTTCTGTTTTGAAGAATCGTGATACCGCTTTCGGTTCTGTTCACTTAGTCGGCTGTCAGTTGAAAAGCGCAATGTAGTTGCAACAATGGCATAAAGAACCATGCGGTCTGCCTCTTCCAACGGCGATGGGCCAAAGAAGGTATCCAATGTAGATCGACGATGAAGAATCGGACACCAGGAGTTGATGTGCTCAAAATAAAGGTCGACCAGCGCATAGAGTAAATCATACGGTGGAAGATCTAGGTCTGGGTCTGCTAGCGACTGTTCTTGATTTGCAAAAATGCTGACTGGTACGGACAAGGATGATTCGTTGCCCGTGAAGTCATTATTTTGCACACTCTGTGGTGGCAATGAGCCCATGCCCGACGTGCTCCCATTCTGTAGGCCGTTTGAGACCAAGTTCTTCACCGATGTGTCCGAAGGGCTGGTAATGGAGACATCTGCATGGCGGGAAGGCAATGTCATTGAAGAGGCGGGCTCGTTGAAATAGAGGGCCGCTCGGGGGCTTGGGCCGTGGATTCCAGATGGCTCGGATGGTGAGCTGTATGAAATGGATCCACCGTGGTGTGGCATCGAATGTTGGTTTTGCAAAATATGCATCTCGATTAGTCTGGCTTGCGATTGAATTACTTCTTCCAGTCGATCTATTTCCGGGTTAACTTTCAAATCAATAAGATTGGACAACAAATCCCTACCAAGTCGTTGCTCCAGCTCCTTGCCATACCCGGCTCTCAGGCCAGGCTTTTTCCGCTCTTTGTATTCACATAGTTGACCGTTACGAGTACACCAGCCGCAGCTGGGTTGCACGCGATCTACCAAGTCATATTTAGCTTTATTCCAGTCTTCCAACGGGGTGGTCACATACCGCACTTGACTTTCCTTTGTTTGCAGAGTTCGCACCTGGAATCACCGTTAGCGCGAGACATTCTTCAACAATGCGCACTATGGCGTGCGCCAGTTAGGCTAGCGCAAAGCTCGGGTACCTACGAGACCGTAAGAGGTCGTTTCCGTTTCAGGGCACGCGGGTTGCCGGAGCCATTGCCAGCAAGATCATTGTCAGAGTCCTCCCCGGACGAGTACTCAGCCGGGCTCTGGTCTCTGTCTAGTTCCCCAAGCCGCTGATTGGCAGGGGTGAAGTGTTGTGTGGGAGGCGCAGGGTTCGGCATTTTGCTATAGCGAGGCTAACGTCCTATCGGGGATCGACCATGACGCACAGGCTAGATGCGACACACGGAATGGTATCCGCAAAGGGCCGGGCCGGTCTAGATGTCGCGGCGATAGTCCGATGATCAAAGAATGGCCGAGGGAGAGATAGAGGAAAGAGAAGATTTGGGGTCGGGAGAAAAACCGGGGCACCCCGCGTTTCTCCACTTTCGGCTGCCACATGCACCATGCTTTATGTAATAACTCAAACATCCTGGTATTATTTCTGGCTATGATAGGAGCTCGCTTGCTGCATTTTGATCAGCAGATCTATTTGATCTTCAAGGTACGACCTTGGCAAAGTCTGCAAAGGCCCCGAGCTGTCGTCACATTATTAGAGCGGTAATAGATTCCTAGATGTACTTGCAGAATGCCCCGGATATTTTATTAAGATGCAGCTGCAGAAGTACGGAACATACAGTAATCACAGCAGAAGCTGCATAATACCGTTGGTACAGTAGATATGCTACTCGTATGCACGTTGCCACAGTAGGTTTCGCTTTTCGGCTAAGCATTACCCCGAGCGCATTACCCCGATCCCCGAGGCGTCGTACCCCCAAAGAGTCTTTAGCTTCCACCTGCGCTGCGGTCCATTCTAAGTCTAACCCATGTATTATGGCCGCGATTCATTTCCTTATTTAGTGGGCTACTAGGATACATTCGCCCATAAGTTCTTGTCAATTGGTTTGGAAGAATCGGGCATGGCGGGGACCACTTGTGGTCCAATGTGAATTGTTACCCCGAAGTATTATAAAATTCGGTTTTGATCAGTCTTATTGTGAGCCAAATTATATGTATTCTCATCCCCGGCTGTATCCAACAAATATGATCTTTTCGATAAGGTTATACCCTTGGTAGTCACGCAAAAGCGATGGACCGTTAGAGATGACATAATCGGGATCGAGCCCCTCTGCAATGATCCAACGTTGACCTCGCCCCCTGCCATAGTATAAGACAACATAGATTTGGCAATACTTTTTTCACGATCCGAGTCCCAAAGTCACGTTGGTTATTTATGAAGCTTTAAGTCATCTGGCAATGCAACTTGGACTCGGACATGAAATCCAACGGTGCGTAAAGCCACACGAATCCCGCTCATAGCACTCTTTCTCATTCCATGAAACAGACGCTGCATGTCTGACATGCCGTCAAAAATCACGAAAATGTGATCGCGCGCGGCCGATGTGCAAGCGATGCATCACCAAAGGGCTTCAATGTGGAGGGTATCCTGACAAGTTTCGATTTTGCGGGATTGCCAGCCGAGGCAAATGGAAAAATCGAGATGCTCCCATCGACCAAGTATCATCAACTCAGTCCCAGGCCAGCAAGTCAGATTCTAGCACTCCGAATAGGATTCTCCCTCCATCACAGAGCCTTACTCCAAACGACAGACCAGAGATTGAACAAGTTCTCGGGTCAGCGGATGCGGCAACTCTACTTTCACATTGTGAAACTCTCTTTCTGGGTCTTGATATTCTAGCTAACGTGGACACAGATGATCGCGTTATCTGCCCTCATCAGATCGCACAGCCTGTTGATACTGGTGAAAACCCGTATCGACGGTATGTTCTCCCACTAGCATATGAGCAAATCGGTCTTTTATATGCTGTGCTCGCACTATCTGCATGTCATTTGGGACATTTAAAATCCGATAAAAACCTTTACGAGGCGGCTGCGGTAGATTATCGGCTCAAGGCAATTACAGAGCTTAGCGTGGCCATCAGGAAAGTGTGCTCTGGAGATTTCAGTGATGATGACCGGGACGGTCTATTCGCCACCATTCAAATTCTTCTTCTACATGATGTAGGATGCTTTCTCTCCTCTTTATTGCAGCGCTAACAATAATAGATCTGCGAGTCTGGAATATCATCTCATGGAGCTCACATTTCTGGCGCCATGTCTATCAGTTCTCAGTTAATGCTAGATCAGCATTTGTCCATTTCCGATGAAAGAACGGTCTTCTTTCTAGGAAATTTGGCATGGTAAGTCTGAGCGCTGTAGACTCATGGATTAACGCTGACTTGTTTTTGTCAGGCTCGACATCATTCGCGCCTTTTCTGCCCCTGGAAGACTTTGTTTCTCCCAGAAACTTCGCGAGAAATTATTATCATTGTGCAACTTACGATTCGAGTCAGTGAATGGCTGTCCCCGCGAACTAGTCCTGTTGATCGGGGAGGTTCTTGAACGTGCTAAGGCTCATTCAACCGGTGACCTGGAGATTGGGGAGTACAGTGAAAATCTGCAAAGCCTGATTGCAAAGTTTTATACCTGGGATAGCTCCCGCTGCTTCTACCCCGATGACAATCCGCTCTGGCTTTCCGTTACCGAGGCATATCGTCACACCTGCATTCTGCGAACTCGACGTCTTTTAGATGAGAACGAATCAGCTGCCGAGCCTTGCATACAAGAGTCAGTCACTGCAATTTTGGACTCGATCGCAAGCATCCCAGGGTCCAGCCCGTTGATCGAACTGCTGGTACTCCCCTTATTTATGGCTGGAGCCGATTGTCTTTCTCCACATTCAAGACACTACGTCTTGTTACGACTGCGAGAAATTAAAGCCAGATCCGAGATGGGTATTGCTGCACCTCAGACACTCCTCGAAAAGGTATGGAATGCACGGGCACATAAGCCAGCACATGATCGAAGCAATGTTCCGTGGATGCTTTTTGTGAGTTCAAGTGCCTGCATCTGCTCTTCGGTAGACTGACTGATTGTTTACAGACACATAGCTCTGAGAGCACACACCAGGATGATTACCTGATTATTTAGAGTCAACAGGTATAGCTTCAGCCTGGTTATTCTATTAATTAAATTGATAACCCGATTAAATCAACAGATCAATAACGAATCGAAAGATTATCAATTAAAATACCCAAATTTCGGGTTGAAAGATGGTCGGCTAAGATTGAAGCCACGACAGTGCATCTATTAGCATTTTTACTGCACTAGGCTCTAAATCTCAAGCAAACTAAACAGAGGACTCATGTTTCTCATCTTGACAAACACTTTGCGGCTTCTTCCGAACATAAGTCCGTCTCACAGGGTCATCTTCATGCTTACAAACCTCCCATTCCCCAATCCCATATTTCTCAGGGGCTCTTTTCAAGCCTCGACCCCCACCTCCAATAATCAAATTTCCTGGCCGATACCTGGGATCTATCTGCATGCGATGAATGGCACAAACATGGATTTGCGCATCCTCGGGAATATCACGCACCTCCCCACGAGGAAGAGGCCAGCGAATCGGCTTCCAAGATCCATCAGCTTGGAGGTCCATTCTTCGGAAAGGTAGGTACTCCATCAACCGCCAAGATAGCGTCGAAAAGAATGACACTCCTGCGCCGTACGTGAGGCAATCATGGACGATGCCGTGGTCCATAGTTTGGGTAAGAGTCTCTGTGAAAGCATCTTCTCGACGTTGCATGCCATGGGTATTCGATACATCGCCGTTTAAGGTTGTGGAATCTTTGAGTCCGGGGTACATCTCTCCGGGCTCTTCATAGCAGTTGAAGCGTTTGAGTTTCTCGGCATCAAACTCCAATCCAACAAGCTGTGCCTCTTTAACCATCCACACAAGAGGAATATGACTCAAAGGCCATTTGTCTTCAGGATTGAGCTTCCATCCTCCCCCAACATCACCATGTTGACCCGGAAACCAAACCTCAGATATATCCTGCTCATCATCATCATCCTCCTCGTTGCCAGGTATATTCAAACTCGGCACATGCAGATGCGCTCTCGAGACAGCACTTTTAAGTGAAATCATATCAGGCATCAAACCCTCATTTGCCGGTTCATTCACCAATCCTTCCGCGCTAGCCCTTGCGCTTCGCAAAGGTGAAGGAGCCCGGTACCGCTCCTCCCCACGACCACCCTCCTGACGGGATCCCCTCCGATCATGTGGCGCATTATTACCGTTCCCATTCTGAGCAACATCCAGAACAATCTCCGGGACACTTGCCTTAGCATGATCCATCAAGTGCCTCAATTTATGCCCGACCCCCGGTCCAGGACTGGCCCTAGCCTCCGAGATCAAATCCTGCCTAAACTTTGCCCGTCGCTCATCAATCGAAACAGCATGCCGAATGACCCTCGCAGTACTATGAGCCGTGTAGGGAAACTTATTTCTCTCCATCCACGCATTCTCAAACATAGGCACGGAATTAACTGTATCAAACAACCCCATAAACCGAATACGACCAACAGGCCTACTAAATGTTTCCCGAAAAGCTTTCATAAAGTTAAACAGCCGCTGCTTCTCTTCGTGGTCGTGGTCTGTGGAATCTTTTCTTTGTTGCCACTTCGCGAATGTCTTCCAGGCGAATCGAATCAATTCTTCGTTCCCTGGTTGTAAAAGTCCAATGAAATCGAGCATCTCCGCTAAGAAACGCGCGGTGTATGAGCCACGACTAAAGCCGAAGAAATAGATATCGTCGCCTGGGATGTAGTAGCGCATTAGAAACTTGTACCCGCCCAGTACATGTTCGTCAAATGAGGAGCCCAACGCTGCATCTTTGGCCTTTTTGTAGGCGGAATTTATGCGGGCGAGACGGCTTTTGCTTCCTAAGGTGTGGGAGGTGATGTATGTCCCTATTCCGGGTTGGTAGTAGTGGTATTGATGACTTTGGCTTCGATCTAGCATCTAAATATGTGAAGGCAAGCATAAGTATTCATCTTGCGGTGATGAAACAAAGAAAGAAGCACGGGCTTACACGGTAGATCTTGACAAGGTTCGTATCAGACGCATCACCAGCGAACTTATTACCCGTTCCATCGAAACACAGAACGAATTGTTTCACGGGCGGATTTGGACCAAAAGTCTCCATATTGTCGTGGTCCCATCAGGTACTCAATCCACGGAATAAAGTGCAATCCATGGTCCATAATAAATAGTGTCGATTCGATTGTTTAAGACATACGGGGGCGGGCTGAAGTAGGGGTTACCCAGACAAACTATAGGCACGAGCGCTGTCAAATCAAAGACGGAGACGTGAACACGCTTCGGGATCCGGAGTGATCCTTGGCCTGTTAGAACACCGCTTTGAACACTTATCTGCAAACCTCCTGTGGGGCATCTGCAGCCTCACGACGCTTTTCCTTTTTCTTCTTGGTGCCGGAAGCTAATCTGTCAAATGAAGAATAGCGGAGCTTCTCGTGAACATGTTCATGAGGATGGGTGCTGATTTGTTGGTTGTGTTTGCAGATCAGTCACTCTGATTCGTCGATTGAAGTATGTTTGAGTTTGTGTCGAATCTATCATATTCTTTGGGAGCGATGCATTGTTTACATGTGATTTAAGCAAGACACTTCTAGTCAATTTGTGTTGAAATTTCCAGTCATTCGTATTTCATTTGGGGTATCCTTATTTTTTTAGACATGATACTCATCGCGGCATCAAGTACATCCAGCGTAGCCAGATAGCAGTGGGGCTACAATACATCTCAACAAATTCACTCCAGTCCTCTTGCTGCTCAATTCGATTTCGATCTCACCGCTCCTGGTGTAAGATGCATAATCTCGGCAACTTCCTCATCGATGAGCGGGCCCTTATATTCCTTTCGAGCACGGACAAAATACCAGATACCACTCAGAATCAGGACACCGGCGGTGACAACGATACTATAGTTCATAGTTGAGTAGTTAACTGGAGTCGACGGAGGCCACACACTCCAGAAAACGACAAAGAGCATATATGCGCAAGCATACGCGTTGTTTATGGTACCCAGAATTCCGGGGACTTTCCACGGGCCCCAGATCAGGGGGCTTGGGCGATCTCAAACTCCACAGGGCGTTTAGCTTCAATGTCGCGTTCGGGGCTGCTTGAACTAGGCAAATCCTCGGGCTCTTTGGGCTGCACAAGGGCGGCAGATTTCTCCTTGGTTATGGCTGGGGCGCTAATGGCTGCATCGGGGTGACTTCCGTCAAGCATGGTGCCATGGGGAAGGACATTTCCTTTAATCCGGTGGTAGAGGAGGAACGCGCTGGGGAGGAAATAGGTACAGTAGAAACCGGTGACGGTCAAGGAGATGACGTCGTTGAAAGCGGTTGTGGATCCGATGTAGATGAGGGTCAGGGCACAGGCCAATCCGCAGACTACGGAGACAGATACGAGGGGTACTTGGGTTCGCTTGTTCACCTTCTTCAGGTAGTGGGAGAAGGGGAATCCATGGTCACGGGCAAAGGACCAGGTCATACGAGATGCGGTGGCGGTAATGCCGATAGAACATGCCATCGTAAGTACGATGATAAGTGCAGTCATGACCGACGCTCCTGCGTAAGAGTTCGTGCTGTTGTAGAAGATTTGGATGAAAGGGAAGCCTGTTGCTGAGTCCAGGACTGACTTGACGTCGCCCAGGCAGAACAAGATCGTGAGCATCATCGAAAAGCCGAGGAGACTGTTAAGTGTCATTCCGGTAATAATCGCCTGAGGAATCACGGTCGCGGCGTTGGCAACTTCTTCAGCCATGTGAACACTGGCGTCAGCACCGACAAAGGTTGCAACGTTTCCGATAAAGCCCACGCAATACGAGAGGCCTTGTGTAGGCCAGCCGCCTTCATTCAGTTTTGTGTGGAAGACAAAGTGGGCCGATTTCTTAGGCGACATCGCGAGCAAAGTCGCCGTGATACCAATGAAACCCGCCAAATGCAGGATGAGAATAACAATTTCAAATCGGGGCAGGACGTTTGGGATCACAACATTGATGAAGAATGTCGCGGCCACGCTAGCCCACGCCAACAGCGTGTTTTGCCATCGCTGTTGGGCAAATTCCGGGTTATTCAAGGTGACTAAACCCTCAATCATAGTACCCAGAAAGATGGTCTCAGTTGCAACTGTCGCAATCCAGGCCAAAGAAGTCAACCATCCAATCAGATAGGAGCAAACTTTCTTCCACCGCATTGGGGCCAGCATATAAACCCAATAATACTGGCCACCCGCAATGGGCGCCATGGAAGCCAACTCGGCAATGACAGTATAGGTGGACAAGGTGGATAAACAGGCGATAATATAGCCATAAAACGCACCCGCAGAGCCACCATTTTCGTACGATTCATAGAACAGCGTAAGAACAGTTTCCCAGGTGATCAACTCGGCCATAGCAAAGCCAATAATGGAATAGAAGCCAAATCGTCGCTTTAGCACCTGCTTCTTGCCCAATCGGGCCAAAGCCTGATCATCGGCCAAGTCGGGACGAACCTCGGTACTCATTTTGTTTTTCGGCGTCCGGGCGGAGTACGGTACGTGCACTTGGTGGGGGAAGTGGAGATGAAAGGGATCGCTTATGCACGCATGACATCCAGGATATCAAGGCTGAATTACGCAAGATTGTACGAATCTTGAGCACGGGATCAGAGACTGCAGGGATGAAAAGAGAGGAAAAGCCGGGAATTTAAAGACCTACCTCGGCCATCACTTCGCTACTGTTTTCTCCACTTCATCACCAATGCGGTTAGCGCTATCCGCGGGGGAAACATCCACACAACGGTTTGTGGAGGTGGAACAGATATCGTTGGTTTATCTTGCATCAGAAAGCTCCTTGAGGGGTAGTTTGATCCGGTCAAGATATCTAATCGATCGCAGGGGTCGAGCGTTCCCAAAAATGAGGAACTGCATTCCCATTCAGGGAAGGATGGGAACTCGGATTAACCTTCCAGCGTGATTTCGGCTTTCTCCGGTATTTACACTTTGCCCAGAACGGGCTACCAGTCCTGTGCTTTGCGGTTGCCTTGATCTTTCTTCGCCAAGGAAATTCTATCATTCGCCTCGAACATGCTGAAATGTGCATGGATCCTTGAACGACTTTCCGTATAACCAGATCAGTTCATCTGGACTCCCTGAGCAGTTCGAAATCCTCAGTCCTCGGCCCTTTTTTCTTCGATGATAGGGGGGAAACCCTCGACCAGTAGTATCGGACAATGTTCGTGCTCGACTGCAGGTCGCTTACACTACGGCAGATAAAAAGCTTTCTTCAGATTGGCAGCGGTGCTTATGTGTCGCCAATTGTGGTGTGTCCGATTGGCCAAGGTTGGCGTTGATCTTATAGGTCCTACAAAAGAGGCCCAAGAGCCCAGTGGAGAACAGCTGAACCTGTGGCAAGGGACTATGCAGGAGTTGGTACGGATCTTCCTCGTGGCAATGAAAATGCGGGGGATGTTCCCGTCCCACGTCTCAGCCAATCCACGAGCGCTTGGTAAAATATCCATCGGGTCATGCGACACGCTAATTATGCTAGCCGGAATAAGTAATTTATTCATTTGTGTTCAGGAATGAACTATTTTAGTCGTTTCATGTTTCCGTGGTGGTAATTTAAAGTTATCACGCAGATCGGTCTCAGATCTGACTCTGACTGTGCATGCCTTTGGTTCCTAAAGTGTACCTTAATGTATTGTCTCGCAATGCGATCACCATGAGTCGAGTCCAGATAACACAGGGGAGAACGCCGTATTTGTGTCAGTATCTTGCAATCTAGTTTCATGGAGAAACTGGTGTTAAATTGTCTTTGACTCAGGTCATTGTATCCATTGTGCTAGGTTGTAGCCTATTGTCATCTTAAGTCTTTGTCTCACTCAATCTATTTTATGCCGTTGTCAATCTCAGGTACAAAGAACTCATTGTTTGAACCTTGTTTGTCTTTGCTCCAGTGTAAACATCAAAGACGCACTCCATATATCTACACCCTGCTCCTCTTACCTTCAGATATAAACAGACTCGAGATTCGTGTCTAGATATCTAGAATTAATCTTCACCTCATTATCTGAGTTTTTTGAGCTTTGAATATTTATAACAGCCGTCAAAGAAACCTCAAATGATCGACCAACCTCTCGATAAGGCAAGCCGGAGCCTCATTTTCACGAATGAGACCAACCCACTTCGATTAGCTAACGAGTACGGATACGGCCCGGCGCAGGCAGAAGGGTTCAAATGGCAAAAGTGGCTGGATGGCCCGATCGATAGCTCGTGCCCGGTCCTTCCTATCCGCCTATCAATTCGAATGCTATCCCTCAACTACGGTTGGTGCATTTTTGACGGAGACTATCCCCCAGACGCCCAAACAGCTTCTCGCCACTACCCTCCCGGAAACCTCGGATTCGCACTTAAGTGGCACGATTTGCCGACTGGACGTAAGTACACCAGAGTAATTCTCGGCCAACAACGTCACTCCTCGGGTGGCACAACGGAAAATGAGTACCTATTACAAACAGGACCAGGGGCGATCTTCGCTCTAGAAAGTAAACGCACCGATGGACCTTATTGGTCTGACATCGCCCTTGCTACATACCGTTTTTACGAGACTGAGGACCTCCGATTTGTATTTCGGGTAAATGTGATTAATCCGCTCACCACAGCCATTGTTGGCGAGGTCTACTTTTGGAACAGCCGTCGGTGGCCCGATCGGCGTCACTCGTATTGGATGCATGGTACACCGGAGTACCAGGCGATTTTGTCCACGCCCAACGCTAAGGGAGTCGCAGCTCTTGTTCTGGGGGGATACGAGCGAGGGACTCGATGGATACCTGCCATCGTGACCTGGGCTGACACGACTCACGCCCGGGCGTATCTCCAGATGCTTTTTGTGATTTGTGCTCGAATTGAATGATCGGGGTTACATGTTCTGCCCTTTCGGGGATAACCGAGAGTTTAATTTGCTGTAAGCTTTGGATAAACAAGGTTGGTTTCTTGGGACTGCCTTCTAGAAGGATTTCAGGGGCACGGAAGCACAACATGCATAGATCTCCAAGAACCCTTGATAAAACTATTTGATAATGTTAATTCAAGTTGATTTTAATCGTTAATCTGGTATTTTAATCCTTATCGGCTTTATTTTCCAGAATGAACATATTTAAGATACCGGGTGACCTAGTTCGTAGCCTCGTTTTAAACTTCTCGGGTGAGATCCTGACATCATTGGTCCGATAAGCACTCCACGTAATTTATCATGCATGTCAAAAGCTAAGCCCTGTTAAGCCTTGGTTTACCCCATGGCTTCATATCTTGTATTATATTGGCTTATCAAGTCGCCATCGATGCCGCACTCTGCGTGGCGGGATATCCAGGTCTAGACGGCCCCTCCTTATCTGTGGATGCGGTACAACCTCATCTCCACTGGGCTTACGCTTATCGCCACGAATTCTACTCCTACATTCGAACTAAGTGAGTGAATTATTTGGCGCTTGCTTTTGGGGTCCTTTCCGTGCACAAACCGTTACACGATCGAAGTCTTGCCTGGGGGAACCTGCGCACAGCCTACATGCAGATAGCGGGCGTAATGAAGACATCAAGGCGTATTCCAAACGGTGCCTCCTCGCCACATTAGGCAGGGATCATTATTAAATTATCCGGTTATAATCGGGACGCTGCAATTCGTGTAGTGATAAGCCCCAAGCAACATCGGACCAAGCCCCTAATTGGTCACCCCCAGTACCCCAAAACGGACGCTTGCTCGCTCAGAGAGTCTTATCTTCCAATTCCTGATGGTCTGATCGCGACGAGGATCGCGTGGCCCACAGAGGTATTTTTCGAGAACTTAGCTCCGAAACATGGGGTGCTAGGTTACCTCGTGGCTGATCGGATTGATCTGGCGTAACCTATATAAAGTCAATTGTCCCCCCAGCTGCAGTGCAGCCCCTTTTTTCAATTTCCAACACGGGTTCTGTGCTCATCCCAGTCTTACAGAATGACTGCCTCAGAAGGAGAAATCGAGAAAAAGGTGTCGCCGGCTGTCCAGCCGGCAGAGACTTCTGATGCTGCGCCTCCGGCCTATGGGGATTCCGCGCCTGTTGAGGATATTGAGGCCGGAAAGTTGAAGCGAAATTTGAAGGGCCGTCATATGCAGATGATTGCTATTGGTATGGATATGGATCAGGTTATCGCTGGTGATGTTTTTTGTGGCTAATATGTTGTACAGGTGGTGCCATTGGTGCTGGTTTGTTCGTCAGTACGGGATCGGCTCTGCGAACGGGAGGTCCTGGTGCTCTGGTACGTGGTCCAATGGAAATGGAAAGAAAACATTGCTAACTTTTTCCAGCTTCTTGGTTACCTGATTGTCGGATTCATGTTGTTGTTGACAATTCAAGCGCTGGGAGAATTGGCTGTCCTCTACCCACAAAACGGAGCCTTCTTCACCTACTGTGTTCGATTCATTAGTCCTTCTTGGTAGGCTTTTCCATGAATCAATACTCTCTACTTTACTAACTATATGTTTGAAGGGGTTTTGCTGTCGGCTGGGACTATGCGCTTAATTGGCTTGTCATTCTACCCTTCGAAATTACCGCGGCTAGTATAACTATTCAATATTGGCGAGACGACTTGAACATTGGTATTTGGATTGCGGTGTTCTTGGTCATCCTGTCAGTGATCCAGATCTTTGGTGTTCGGGGCTATGGAGAAGGTAAGATTGGATAACTCGCTTTGGGAGTCCATTTCTAAGTGATTACAGTTGAATTCGTCCTCGGTGTCATCAAAGTCACCGCCGTCATCGGTTTCATTATCCTTGGTATCGTGATCGACTGTGGTGGTGCGCCAAAGGGAGGATACATTGGAGCACACTACTGGCATGACCCGGGCGCTTTCACTAGCTTCTACGGCTTCTGCTCCGTCTTCACAACCGCCGCTTTTGCCTTCAGCGGTACCGAGATGACTGGTCTTGCTGCTGCCGAGGCCGCTAACCCTGCCAAGTCCGTTCCCAAGGCCTGCAAGCAAGTCTTCTGGCGTATCATGATTTTCTACGTTGTCGGAACCTTCATCGTCGGTCTGATCGTCCCCCACAATGCCGCCTACCTCCTCGGTGCCTCCGGTTCCAACACCAAGGCTTCTCCCTTCGTCGTCTCCATCCAGAACGCCGGTATATCTGGTCTCCCCTCGGTTATGAACGCCGTCATCACTATCTCGGTTATCAGTGTCGCCAACTCCGCCACATACGGATCCAGTCGTACCATCCAGGCCCTTGCTGGCCGTGGCATGGCACCCAAGTGGATGGCATACATTGACAAGGCGGGTCGTCCTCTCTGGTGTATCGTCTTGCAGATTGCATTCGGTTTCCTCGCTTTCATCAACGAGGCTTCCAGCACTGGTGACATAATCTTCGACTGGCTCTTAGCTTTGTCCGGTATCTCCAACTTCTTTGTCTGGGGCAGTATCTGCTTAGCACACATCCAGTTCCGCAAGGCCTGGCGCCACAACGGTCGCGAGGTGAGCGACCTTGCTTACGCCGCCCCCTTCGGTGTCATCGGTAGCTACATCGGACTTGGTCTTAACGTCCTTTGCCTGGTTGCTGAGTTCTATGTGTCGGTGTACCCCAAGGATGCCGAGGACTTCTTCATGAACTACCTCGCTGCTCCAATTGCCATCGGGCTGTTCATTGTCTGGCAGGTTTACACCTACTTCAATAAGGATCCTTCGCTTGACCGTGGAGGCTGGTTCACCAAGGTCGAGAACATGGATATCTACAGTGGTATGCGTGATGGCATCTTGGATGTCGATCTGCCACCCAAGATTGAGTACCCTACCTGGGGCGCTTGGTTCAAGGCGGCTCCTATGAGAGTCTTCCGCTCTTTGATCTAGTTCTGAGCTCGAGATATGAAGGCATGAATTGTGGAGGAATAGTTGTACATTGTCGGCTGTGTTAAATATAATAGTTCACCTATAGCTTTTGCTTACGCCAAATTACTGGATGACTCGATTCAATACAAAATGGTCAAATTCTCAAAATGTTAAAAAGTTTTCGGTTGTGGGTGATATACGTAGAAACAACAAAGGCATAGAGATGTCGTAGTCCGTCAGGACCCAAGTAAGCAAGGAGTCCAATCAAAAACGATTAAAAAGCAAAAGAAAAAAGAAAAGAAAAAAAAAAAGAAAAGAAAAGAAAAGTAGAAAAGGCAACCCATTTCTTCAACAATTATCTAAGTGACATCGGAAAGGACGATATTTGACATTACTAGTCAGCTCTAATATTATGAAATAGTGCACTAGCTTTTATCGGTAACAATAACGATTGTTTCAACTAGATCGTGATTGGTTATTGCTCCTGCTTAAATGCATATAAGCAAATCTGATCGTGATCTGTGATTTCACACCTAGAATAGGAGGACCTGTGGGATTGACGCCGAAAATGACTGCTTTTGAGGCTTTTTGAGGCCAGAAACGGATGCCTTTCCACCCGTAACATTGGACGTCCAGCGGCCCCTTGTCCGCCCACTGCCCTGTAACACCACTATTCGACCTGTGGGATTGACGCCGAAAATGACTGCTTTTGAGGCTTTTTGAGGCCAGAAACGGATGCCTTTCCACCCGTAACATTGGACGTCCAGCGGCCCCTTGTCCGCCCACTGCCCTGTAACACCACTATTCTGCACCCGCCCAGCATTGTTTGTCATCCTCCGATCTTGATGTTGATGCTCGACTTACACAGTTGCTCCACCCATTTCCACTGGCGACCAGAACGGCGCCGAAAATGGCTCCCCTTCAGCCAAATCCAAGCACGAGAAATATTGCATTCAATCGAACGAGGATTATGTGGACTTTCTTCTTTTGGAGGATCAGATGATCTACATGACTTTTTTTGATTCGATGTTCGAAACACCACGAAAGAAAATGCTTCAGTCGTATGATGAATACTGGCGACGCCATTGTCAACACTTCGAGCTATTCGCCCGTCAACAGATGCGACTAAAGATAGTAAATACACCTTGGAAAGGTCCTCGAAGGTGTATTCCTAACCGAGCGCCGAATCACCCGACGAACAAGGATAAAAACACTCTAGATGTGGATGCTTTTGGTGTGATCTACTGGCATCACTGGGCCCATTCGAAATTCTTCTGTTACTCGACGACTGTTGACCTTTCTATTACTCGCATGAGCCTTGTGAGGCTTATCTAATAGCATTGCAGTAACCCATGACACGGCGAGCGGCAGCCCTAAAATGGCTCGTTGGTCGCGCAGAGTGAATCCCACATGTATAGTCACCTACGTACGAGGTAATACACACGCAACTGCCGGAAGAACTCCCAATATAGACTAGTGTGTCTTGGCGTAATGGGCATGTCTTGGCGTAAGGGGCAGGAAAGTCAATCGAAGAGTGTAGTGGTTGCACAGCTTTCGGGACGTACTGCATACTAAGGCTTTCCGGTTCCGAAGTGACAATCTGTGCATCTGTGGCGAGCGGGAAAGTATACAACACGGGTGTTAGATTGTCCAAGATTGGAAGGATTTAGGATAGAACTTCAAAGGAAGGCTGGCGACGCTTCCAACAGCATATAAGTACTGTTGCGGATTTAGTAGAAGAAGGGAGAGGTAAGATTGATTGTGCTTCACAGACCAAGGCAGTGGAGGCGGTCTTGAACTTCGCTGAAACATCGCAACGGTTTCAAAGCTGCGCGCCATGAGGGCAGCTGAAAGGTAATGACGGCGCAGAGGCCGCGGCACGCCTCGGCAAGGCTCTAAGTTTGCTTAAGATGAGATACAAGGTACATTTGCAAAGAAAGATATATATAGTAGTAGCAGGCTGTATATCGTTTCGACGAGGAGGTCAGCATAAATTAAACACACAACTGCTGTAGTCCCGTTATTCGGGAAGATGATAATTTTCCGCATTAATGGAAGCTAGGTCTTACCCATTAGCGCTATGAGGCCAAATAACCCTAGTAGTCTATGAAGTGATATTATGAACAATGAAAAGTGCAAACCCTCGGCTACTCAGATTTTTATTTACTAATGTGATGCTCCGTATTCTTATAGAGATTGAATAATCTGCTAGACAGAGAAGTGCAATTTACGAAATGCAACGCACATCCAATTCACTCTAACATAACCCCAAAAAAACAATTTGACCATACATAAGAGGAGGGCACAGAACTTGAGATCTTGGCTGCCCCGCGCAAGGATATGCGAACAGTCCCCGGACCCTGCATCCATTGACACATGCAACGCAGAAATACCAGATCATCGAAATATTCTCAAAAACGCGGGGTCAATAGACTGCGCACAAAATCAAACATGTATGATGCTTTCAAGCAACTCAGTTCAAGCCGTCCCCAATCTGGGTTCGGCGTTTCAACAAGTTATCCGACAGCGGCTGAATGGCGGCGTGGCCCGGAGGAAGGGCGTCGATGACTTCTTGCACACTGAGGCTAGACAATCGGCCTTGCACATTAGCAGGAAGATCCTTGACCCATTCGGGAAGGGGCTTGGTTTCCTCGTCGACCTCGGCGTGACTTTCGGTATTCTCATCTGCGAGAGACCCTGCATAGTCTTTCACCACAAGATCCAGGTACTTGTTTTTGGTTGAGAGCGCGAAATTGCCCCTGTTGCCGTACTTGTCATAGATTCGAACGTAGGCATCGCTTCTGGTAAAAGCTGGAACACTTTGCAGTGCCCATATCGGGTCTGTCTCAAACAAGACTACGACATAAGTTCCGAGTCGTTGATTGATCGTGATCTGTGTGGTACTCCCCACGCTGTTGGATTTGCTGAGAGCGCCCACTTTCATAGTCGTGCTCTCACTATCGTACGACGCGTACCAATGTCTGGTCGTGATACTGTAAGAGTCGGGACCGTCCTTCAGTTGGAAGCAGCCTTTAAGCCCGACTTGTTTATACCCATCTTTAACGCCCACCTCTGGAATGTTGTAAATAACACCCTTCCTGAATTCGTACTCTGGAAAACGCGTATTCGTGATGTACCAGTTTGTTTGAGTCCATTCACCCGTCCCATTATCCCTCCAAGGCCCCTTCTTGATTTGTTGCGACGGAATTGGCGTTTTAATATCAGCAACGCTGTAATGGATTGGTGTGACCGCAGTAATTTGAACCGATTTATGATTTTCTTCGTCAATGCTCGTCCATTTCTCGTTCCCAATTTTCACCTGAGCTGCAATCTTGCGCCCACCTGTGGTTCCGGTCGCGACATATATCACGACAGCTTCGATAGGAGAATTTTTATCTTCCTGGGATACCGCCAGACTTGTGCTTGCGTGCTCCCACCCTCCATCATCGAACTTGCTGACCCATTTTGTGGCTGGGTCCTCGCTAGTCCAATTCTGTAGCTCGACCTTGTCATCAGCATTGATCAGGCGAACATGTTCATGGAACCATTCAAGGTTGGTGTCAAGGCGTTTGTCATCCTTGTAAACCTGGACGCCGACCCTGACAGGAGCCGGCATGAGACCGTTTGCATACAGCTCGGGTATCCGCGAGGGACCGACCTCAGTAAAGGTCACCTTATAGGAGTCTTGCATGATGATGAAGTTCTGGATAACGTGTGAAACAGTGGGTGGGATTGAGTAAGTTTGACTGATTTGTAGAGAGGACATACAGAGTTAATGGGCGGAACTTCAGGGCCTTTATAAAGCCAGGGGTGTCATGGTAGAGTGGTTTCAAGACTCCATTTCCACTATTCTCGCTGAAAAAGATCATCCCCTGCGCAGCAATAATCCGGCGCTCAGTCAATCGCAAAAATCCCGCAGTTACATGGACTTACGTGGAGTTGCATTGCCGCTCAGAGTGATGCTTAGGGACTGTAAGATGCTGATCGCATTCACCGGGATCAAGTCTGTCTACCTTGTTGGCTGAGTATTGGAAGCGATGATGAAATCTTCTCAGCTCATGCACATGTGCACACCAATTATGAGCTAATAATATACATATCATATAAATGCAACTCCGCGGAGCTGGAGGAGAAAGCAGATCGACAAAAGTAGTATATAGTACATTAGAAGCTGTGTTACAGTATTGCAGACCGCCATTTCTCTCCACTGGTCTATGCAGATGCCACATGCATCCCCAACTTGACTAGATCTTGATTGATCCCCGCGGCCCGAAACCTCGGGCCGTTTGTCGATCATCACCAAAAAAGAGGTCTGCATATAGATCTATGTGCTCCTGTGTCACTATCGTTGACCCTAATGGGCGATTCCTACATGCATCACACTATCGTCTGCGTACATGCTGGCTCATACTTGTGATTTTATCTATGGGTTGTTTACGGATACTGCCACATTAAGCAATCCCGTTCCAGCTCGCGTACCTTGATCACAGCCCGCTATGAAGGGTACCCCAGCAATCTTCTCACCGTATCTTCCCACCATATCAAACACTGAGAATTTACGTAACTATTGAGCATAGTGTACGACAAGGACATGCAGAGCTGCCTTCTTGCGAACAACACAGGTGGCCGCGACGACGACCGTCGGGTATCATCACAGATCATCATACCATCTCGCAAGGCACCAGTACATCGGCAGCGGAGCAAAGCCCGCATATATGCGCTGGTAAAAATGGGAATTCAAGGTGACCACACGCTTCCGTAAGCATCGAATGATAATGTTTGCTAGAGAATTGACTATTTAAGACAGTGATACAATGTCTCTACTTGTTAAGCAGAGCATCCAAAACATTATCTCCATATTCTTCCATTTCTTGAGCAATCATGTCAGATTCTGTCAAGCAACAACCAGAAATTTCCTTGGCCTCAGAGGGTCTGTATTCGCAGGCGTGCAACTTTGCTAGCTTTCTGCAGAAAGGTGTCGACCCACGCACTGGACAATATACTTGCTCTGTCCAGCTCTATGAGGCACCGGCACAGATACGCAACTGCCCGGTGTTCAAATTGGGACTGGTCTTTAGCCCTCTTTCCCCCGGTCGATCGGAATTTGGCAAGGGCTGGTCATTGAACCTACCTCACTGTGACCCTCGTGCCAAAACCGTCTTGACCTCCACGGGCGATTCATTTCGTATCAGTGACAGCGGGAACACTCTCAAGGACCTGAAGCTCCAAAGTTTCCAATTTGAACGTGATGGGAATGAGTTTCGTTTTCGGTACAAGACTGGTCAAGTTGAGATCCTCTCAAATAAGACCGGTGACCGAATCTTCGAGCGCGCCGAGCTACAGAAGTTGTATTCTCCAACTGGGCGCACCCTTGAATTTCAGTGGGAAAGTACCAACGCAGATCGTCGCCTGTCGCAGATCACGGAAGGTGATCAAGTCTTAGTTGCTTTCAACTATGATAGTAAGATTGAAACGGTCATCACGACAGCCCCAGACACCCTCGATGCCCGTACCTATACACTTGACGTGCTTGGTGGATATCTTGGACAGCTTAGACTCCCTGGTCCAGACGAGTTGTGCTGGAACTTTCAGTATAACTATCACGGCCAACTCTGGTGCATAGATAGAGTTGTGAGCCCTTCGGGCCTCCTAGAGATCGTTGAATACCGCGAGGGAGACCAAGCCCACAAACTGCCCCCTGGCCAGGATCGTCCATACGCAAACATTCCAAACGTCGCCAAACACAGGCTCTTGCCATACCAGAACCAACCCGAGATGGTGATGCGCTATGAGTACTCTGACTACAATTTCCTCGGATATGGGTCCGGTCAGGATTGGACCCAGCAAGGGGATAATTTGTACCTCTTGACCAGCTCCTACGATTACAAGACAACGTTGACCTTCGGCGAGAAAAAAGAGATGCAGACGGAGTACACTTACAACAAATATCACCTTGAGACTCGTTCTGTGAAAAAGCAGGGCAAGAAGTCAGTCACGCAGGAAATTACATATCACGCCAAGCCAAGTGGGTATTTCGCCGAACAAGAACCATATTATCTCTTGCCGAAGGAAGTCCAGACAACCTACAATGATGATGACACGGGTGAAAGTCCACCAGAGATCACATCATACGAGTATGACAATGCAGGAAATCCTATCAAAGAGATTCAGCCGGATGGTCAGATCATTGAGCGCACTTATTATAGTCTGGGGCCCGAGAAGGACTGCCCGGCCGACCCATGGGGCTTTATCCGATACCTGAAAGAGGAAGTCGTGACACCAGCACCAAGTGAGCACAAGACACCGATACGCCGCCGAAACTATACCTATCTTTCTCTGCCAACCGTGGAAAATTCTCTAAGTAACCATTTTGTCTCAGTTCAGGAGGAGTGTAGTTTCGAGGAAGGGGCCAAGGAGTTGACCCGGACAATATATGACTACGTGTCTGACCCGGCTTCGCCGAATCTCGGCCGTCTATCCCAACAAGTGGACAAGATATTTGGTACAAACGCCATCACCCATAGCTGGGATTACAAATGGGAATCATCCGCCAATCAATTCACTAAGGGGGTCAAGAGCACCACCTTTGATAACCGAACCATTGGATACGAGTCGACCTTCTCTTTGTCTACCGGATTAGAGAAGACACATACAAATCGCAGTGGAGTTGTGAATAGCTTATCATACGACTCGCTGGGCCGTCTGACAGCAGCGACAGCTGCTGTGGGAACAAAATATGAGACGACTCGTTCGCAAGCCTATTCCCGGTTGCCGGATGAAGTTGGCTATTGTTTGGCGCTCACTGATGCATGTGGCGTTCAGACACGGTACTATACGGATGGAATGGAGCGTGTGATTCGGTCAGAGAAGCAAGAAAGCTCGACATCCCAGACTTTCCGAGTTGTGCAGGAACGGAGCTACAACGAGTATGGTCAATGTGTCGAGGCGGTGGAAGTGGACTGGTTTTATGGTACTGGATCGCCTACCGAGCAACGATCAGTGATCCAGCTAGAGTACGACGGGTGGGGACAAATGTGCCGTCAGAGCATCAGTGATGGTAAGGGAGGCAGCGATAAGGCCATCTCTACTGTTATGGATCCAATTACCCTGACTAAAACAGAAGGAATTGTGGGTGAGGGTCAGATCAGAACCGTGCTGAACAAGATGGGCTTGATTATCCAAAAGTCTCTACTCACAAAGGAAGGGAAAGAAGAGAGCTCGGCCAAATACGAGTATGACGGGTTTGGCCGCCAGGTTTCAGAAACCGATCATTTTGGCCGAACAACGCATTACGAGATGGATTCCTTTGACAGAATCATTACAACCACTTGGCCAGATAACCGGGTCGTCCACACGAAGTACTCAGATCATAGTGTCTCCATTCTTCCCACGTCTATCAAGCTAGGCAGCCACGAGCTTGGCAAGCAGTCATTTGATGGCCTGGACCGCATGACCTCGTCGACTGTGGGCTCTCGTGTCCTTACCAACAATTTCAATGAAAACATCCACACTGAGCCGAATCAGATCACTTTACCCAGCGGAAATGCATTCACTTTGAAATATGTGCCGGAGCTGAACTATGCCGCTACGACAGTGAATGACATAGATCAGATTGAATTTGACAAACGGACGGGGGCACCTGTTCGCCTGGAGAATGGCCACTCGACGCAGGAATTGGAGTACTACGACACAGGTCTGGTCTCTCATGAAAATTGGACGCTTAAAGATGACGATACGTCCTGGTCCGCCGACTACATCTACTCATTTTCAGGGAAACTACAATCCTACAAAGATGTGCATCAACAGAAACATGACACAAATTACAACACTTTTGGTCAGCCACAACAACTCACACAGGGCCCAATGCAGGTGGAATACACTTACGATGAGGCGCAAAGATTGTCGGAGATCAATACACAAAGCGCGTCAGACAAGTCGGCACTTACAAGTCAATTGATCTATGACGATTTTGGCCGTGTGCAGAAGCGTACAGTGCTTCACAAAAGCTCAACTCTGCGGAGCATCGTCCATACCTACGGACCTACTGGCTTGTTAAAGAAGCGCTCGCTGGAGAATGAATCGCGAAGTGTGATGCGGGAAGAAACATTTGAATACGATATGCACAATCGCCTGGTAGAGTATACCTGTGCCGGAAGCGAGCCTCCCGTCGATGAATACGGCAATCCTCTCAAATCGCAGGTCTTCGAATTCGACAGCTTCGACAACCTGAAGAAGGTCACCACTGTTTTCCAAGATAATTTTGACAACATCGCGAGCTACGCTTTTGCTTCCGATGATCCGACTCAGTTGATCCAAATTACAAACACTCACTCGGATTATCCCGCCAGAACTGATCTGAAATACGATGACAACGGATCTCTAACGCAAGATGAGAAGGGCCAGACACTCGGTTACGATGACTTGAATAGATTAAGTGTGGTACGGGACTCGAGTGGTGCACTCCTATGCGAATATCGCTATGATGCCCTTGGAAGGCTGGTCTGCCAAAAGGTTCCAGACCAGGCCGACATCCATCTTTTCTACCGTGGGAGTACCCTCGTGGCTATACAAACAGGCGAGCGCAAGATTAGTCTCGTCGCCAGTGATCCAGGGTTCTACTGGGGGCAAATAGTGCAAAATGAGGGCACCAGTACGACGCAGACTTGGGTTTCAGACGACCACCGCTCGGTTCTGACCTGGATGGAGGCGAGCGAGGTGTATCACACACAATACACCCCATATGGCTTCAGTCCTCGAAGCGACTCTCCCTCGCTTGGATTCAATGGGCAATGGCGAGACCCAATCACCGGCTGGTATCATCTCGGCAACGGTTATCGCGTCTACAATCCAATACTGATGCGTTTTCACACTCCGGATCCCACAAGCCCTTTCGCCTCAGGGGAAGTTAACGCCTATGCGTACTGCCTCGGGGACCCGATCAATCGTGTCGATCCCAGTGGCCACTTCAGCCTGTTTGGTATCGAAATCAGCTGGAAGGACGTTGTATTGACCGTGGCGGCTATCGCAGCGACGGCCGTGGCGGCGGTTTTGACTGGTGGAGCTACCCTCGCGATCCAAGTGGGCGTCTCTGTAGCTTTCGGCGTTGTCACCGAATTTGCGACCTCGGTCACATATGATCAAATCGCCGGCAATGAGACTGACTGGGCCAGTTTGGGGATCGACCTCGCGGTCACTGCCGTGACGGGTGTTTTACCAGGGCTGGGCGACGTGGCTTTCCGTGGGTCCAAGGCGGCCGTCAAAGGGGCCGCCCAAGCGTCAGTCAAAGCAGCCGCGAAGGGCGCGGTCAAGAAATCGCTCCCCAAAAAGATCATGGGCGCAGCCAAGAACAAAATCAAACAAAAAGCCAAGGAGCTCCCAAAAGATATCTTGAATGCTACTGGGAACTGGGGCATAGATCAAGCTTATGTGTCACCAATCAAGGATGCGCTGGGGGTGGGAAGCGCAGATGAGGTTGGTCCCAGCCAGTCGTTGAATCAAGACTTCGAAGCCAGCGACAGTGCTAGCCTGGTCAAGCAGTCTAGCTTTGTGTCTCGTGACAGTATTCGACCCGCACTCAAGGAGACTCAATCCAGTCTCGGTGGCTTTGCAGTATATCCAAGTTCCGGCGCTTATCTCAATACAGGCCAGTCGGTGGCTCAGCTTCTCAACCGTGAGCTACGCGCATTTTACGGGCAGGGTGACGGTCCGATCCACGGGCTAGGTGCCCAGCATTGCATTCGAAACATGGAGGACGCTATCCGAGAAACATTGCGTCGACCTCATTATCCGGCGGATTGGGCTTCGGTACCTGGACTTGCGGATTCTTGATGGTCAGAGGGTTTCATTCCGACTTTTCTATCTTTCTTTTCTGATGTACTTCAGATCTTGAATCTTATCCGAGATAGCATATTTCTGAATTACAATTACTGCGCCATACTAGATATGAAAATGATGTGGTGTCCAAGTGATTTTGTGGTGTTCATACTAGTGAGCTCCACAGGTTAGTTTCAAAGGCTGCCTTCCCAAACGGGAAACTACCCCAGACCCGTCCTCACATTACAAAGCCCAAAATTCTAGACAAAAACAATGACAATCACGCAATCGTATATACCACTGATCTACTCGAAACCCAATATCAATCAGCCAGTGAGTCACGACCCTTTTCCGTGAAACCAATCATGATCACGTCAGCGGTGTCGGCCAATCACGATCGGGATCTAGTTTCCGATCCCCGTGGGGGTAATACAGAACATAAAGGTGACGATACCCCACTAACTTCATCATTCTAAGCAAAATAATAACCCGGAATTTTTGGCTAAGCCCATACCTTTACCCCTCCTCTCACCATGATTCAAGGAATCGCCCACGTCAACCTCACGGTACACCCCGGCACGCTAGATGATGCACTGGAGTTCTATAGCAAGACTCTCGGACTAACTCCGGCGCCAGTCCCGGAGCTTCAAACGGGGACTATTTTATGGTATTTACTGACCTAGCTGGCTATTGTCTGAAATTTTGTATTCGTGCTTGTGCTGATGGGTCGTGCAGGTTCAATATCGGATCGAGCGGACAGCAGATCCATGTTACTATGGGCCCGACGGATCCTGAGCACACGCGACACCCGTGTTTTAAGCTTGGTAGCCGTGATGAGCTTGAGGATTTGAAGAAGAATATTCATGATCACTTTGTCCGGGGTGGTCCGGCGGCGCCGATGGCGGCTGATAAGCCTGGGACTATGGACTCGGGTTTGTCAAATCCACTTCCTTTTCTTTTGCGTAGGCTAATCTCAGTCCTGTAGGTACTCAAGGGAAGGAATATCCTAAGCGGTTTTTTGCCCGTGATTATGCTGGTAATTTGCTTGAGTTCACGCTATAGGGTCTTACCTAGTGGACTTGCTTATGCTGTTATGCCCAGAATATGTGTATTGCTTATGAGCCAATCTAATACATCTTGCTTCATCTATATTTCATTAGCCCCGCGTCAATCAGGCGTTCATAAATTTGAGGCGGGGATACTTATCCGGCTCCGTTCTGAGCTTGCGGGGATGCGGGGTAAGGGACTCGCTCACATTCAGGTGGTCACAGCCCATGGACGCTGATTGAGATATTCAATGACTTCTGTGTATATTAAAGATGACTCGATCATTTAAGAAGATGATAGCTTTGTAAACATTGAACTGGGTGGAGGTGCGTTCAAATGTTCATGTAGGACAAACGGCCCCACTTGTGGCATGACACGCTACTAGACAAAGAATAAAGCTGAGGACCTTGGAGATCCCGATCTATAAAACAATTATAGCTTCAGAAACAATAGCCCTTTAGTTATTTCATTTCCTCCATTCTCAAAAATATCCCAGTTACAGTATCTTCTCACAAGCTCTTCAAGTCATGGCCAACCTCGGTTCGGACTGCTCCACCTTTCCCCTCATCGTCACAACATTCCCAAAGGAACTACGCAGCAACAACGGCTGATTCACAGTGCGCATCCGAGGTTGGTGCACGCATGCAAAGGCATGCAACTGTGATCCCTAAAGTTCGGCCCCACGATCAACGTCACTAGACTCTTTCTCCTCTTTCCTTGGCAGAAAAGAATCAAATAAAGTTCGGCCTGTCTGCCGTGAGGTAACTCCTCATCTCACCCCAATTAACGTCCTACCCTCTGATAAATTCCTACTTCAATTCCCAGCATTTATCACATCACATGATGGCTACTCCCGAGATCCCCCAGAAGCAAAAGGCAGTCATTTATGACCAGCCTGGAACCGTGTCGACCAAAATCGTAGAGATCGATGTGCCCCAGCCTGGCGCTGGCGAAGTCCTTATCAATTTGTTCGTGAATCGCTGTGTCTCACTCTGGACAGTACTAATCTGCGGGGTAGGACTCATTCCGGCGTCTGCCACTCGGACCTTGGAATAATGACAAACACAGTATGACCTCCATCCCGTTACACCAACGTCTTCAATTTGACACAGTGATACAGTGGACCTTACTCCCAGCCCCAACTCAGCCAGGCCAGATCGGCGGCCATGAAGGTGTAGGTAAAATCGTCAAACTAGGCCCAGGCACCGAATCTAGCGGCCTAAAGATCGGAGACCGAGTCGGTATCAAATGGGTCGCAAGCGCATGTGGAAACTGCCGTAAGCACTAGTCCTCTCTCAACCAATCCTCAATAATACTAACCGCAAATCATCCAGTGCCCTGCCAAGCAGGTACAGACGGCCTATGCTTCAACCAAAAAGTATCAGGCTATTACACCCCAGGCACATTCCAACAATACGCCTTAGGCCCCGCAAATTACGTAACACCAATTCCAGAATCTCTCCCCTCAGCCGAAGCAGCCCCAATGCTCTGCGCCGGTGTTACAGTCTACTCGGCCCTAAAACGCAGCAATGCTCGCCCAGGCCAATGGGTCGTGATCTCCGGCGCAGGAGGCGGCCTCGGTCACCTAGCAGTGCAACTAGCAAGCAAAGGGATGGGACTCCGAGCAATCGGTATCGACCACGGCAGTAAAGAGGAGCTTGTGATCCAATCTGGCGCGGAACATTTTGTTGATATCACGCAGTTTCCTAAAGATGATAATGGCCTTGCATTGAAGAAACATGTTAAGGGTCTTACGGATGGATTGGGGGCTCATGCGGTGGTGGTTTGTACGGCTGCTAATGCGGCTTATGCGCAGGCTTTGCCTTTGCTGAGGTTTAATGGGACACTTGTTTGTGTGGGGATGCCTGAGCATGAGCCGCAGCCTATTGCGACGGCTTTGCCTTATACTTTTGTTAATACACAGACTACTGTTACGGGGAGTGCTGTTGGAAGTCGGAAAGAGGCTGTTGAGGTTTTGGAATTCGCGGCTAGGGGTGTCTTGAAGGTTCATCATCGGATTGAGAAGATGGAGGCTTTGACTGATGTTTTTACGGAGATGCAGGAGGGTAAGTTGAAGGGTCGGGTTGTGTTGGATTTATCTTAGGCTGTGGGACTTGACAGAACTTACTTCTGTTTTATTTTCTCGGCATTATTAAATATGAATCAGTTTCTTTTTTAATACAATTTCAGTGTGCTTTGTTGTAGTGTACTTGGATTTCTCAGGTTTATATCTAGAAAAAGATTTCGAAAAAGATTGTGTGAAGTTTTTGGTGGAAAAAAAAACCAAAAAGAATTGACCGACGCAGGGGTCGAACCTGCAATCTCTTGATTCGTAGTCAAGCGCCTTGCCATTGGGCCAGCCGGCCTTGTTGAAGTGAATTCCTTTAAGTGCTAAATGACCCTACAACATATTCAGGTATCCTTAACATCCAAAATGCATTTTGTTGCACGATCGGAAATTGACCCCAAAATGCAAAACGCCTCGATCCTACCTCAATGTGAGGAAATCCTTACGGAACGTGCTCTAGATACCTTTAATACTCCAACCGCTTTCATCGCAGCGTCAGATTATGATCATTATCATTTATTATTGGGTTTCTACTGGACTTTGCGGTCAGACCTTCGGGTGGACCGGAATATATATTGACGGTACCGATGTATTCCACTTGGGATGAGCAACATTCAGACCTGAACCAAGAGCTAGTCTATGCTACCAAGGCACATAGACACTGCTATAAATGATCGACCGATGGAATAGACCATTCAATATTAATTCTGAAGAGTACCCAGGATCATTAGCCATCGAAGTATAGGAAGTCTAGAATTACTAATTTTGTATATGCCCCCCCGGGGCCAACAGCGACGAGCAAAGAAACCGCCACACATCACAAGCCGCCATTGACAGCGGGTCGCTCCACGGTATAGCTCCCACGACCCTAGATTTAGTGAATAATCTTATTCTAACTACTGGGCATAGTATGCAATGTGCAGGCAGCAGCAATTAGCTCCGAAACCACCAGGCGAAGGTGGCTGATAGCAACAATTCAGTTCCGTTTACCTTACTTCCAATGCATCCGAGACTGGAAACCCTCTATGAGCATATAGTGCATAACATAAATACATACATTGATCCAAAGATGTACATATATGCTCATCTAGATATAATCATTTCTCCGCATCTCATCAAAGCCATTCAGCTCATCCAAATTAGAACAGAATTCTCACAGAACCTCGGTGCAATTAGACCCGGTGCACACCGCAAGCAAAATATATCCGACCCGGCCCGCTGATTCCCTGCAGAAAATCATGAAGAAGCATCAATAGCTTCCCCACCGACTCCATTTACGGACCTAACTAAACGCACGGGCCCATAATATCCAAGCTCGCCTTGACTCCACTGACTATCCACGATATTCCAAATATTGAAACAATACGACCATTAATCAGTAAATACCAAACATTGTGGGAACCCGAAGATGATACGGATCCACAGAGAAGATTCCAAATACCACTTTCAGTGCTTCTTACCTAAATCATGGTCCATAATCCGTAATTAGATATGATAGACATCTCCGAACAAACCCGATGTGGCTTTCCAGAAAGTATAACAAGCGAAAGTGGAGCGAAGCTATCGGCACATTTCCGCAATTCCACGTGTTCTGTTCTCCGCAACTACGGAGTATCCGACACAAATATGCTATGTAGGCCAAGCTGTACGTAAAATCTATGCGAAAAGGGGCTTTTTGCCTAACCTAATCCTGTAGCACAACAAATCTCCACCGAGAAATCCCCACATTTGCGACACGAAGTAAAAATTGAGCTCAGAAAAAGGGTTTCTGCACAATTGATAAGGATGCAACACCACACTAATAATCCACAGCTAAGTACTATAAACGATAGGAAATCTGGATGAATTAGGACCGATATTATTGGAGAGCAGAATGAAAGACCTAGCAAGTACGGATTCCAAATCAGGGCTCCGAGATCCGCTAGAATCCAAGTGGGTCACCCATCTCCGGGTCCATGGAACCAGCAGTCGAATCGGGCGAATTCCACCGTCTTTTTTTTCCAAGGTGTCACGTCCCGTGGATTTCGGACCGTGGACGCGGGGACCCAAGTCCGCAGTGCTGGGTTAGTATGACGACATGATGAGATCGTATCTAGTCCCGGCAGATTTGAATTTGCGATATGTTCCATGGGTAATTTTGGGTTATTAGAAGGTACGAGATTTTGGGTTTGGTATGATTTCATTTAAGTGGCTGAGAGTATGCGATCAGTAGTGTACGATGTCATGGCAATGTGACTGTTGCTTTAGGCAGGTACTATGTGGAGTGCTGTGCAGCATGGTAGAGTGTATGTGGTAGAGAAATGCGAAATGATAATATGTAGGATCATTAGATTTTCTCTCTTCGCTGGGGCAGATCAAATGCAGGGGTATTGGAATGAATGAACGAGATAGCCGGCCCAAACCAACGATAGACAAGACATAGACAAAGACGTGACAATGCAAATCCAGGAATATAATGCAAGTAAAACCAGGACAAATCATCGACTTCGTTTAGAGAAACCTCCTGAGTTTCCGGCTGCAGGTCGCTTCTGTCCTGAGCCTGAAATTCCACCAGACTCAACCAGGCGGACCAACGCACCGAGTCGAATAAGGTAGGCCTTTGGCGCCCGATTCACCTCCATTTTACTAAGGGTATTGCGAAGCGCATCGACCTTCGACCCCAAAGATGACAGGTTCAGATCTTCAAGTGCGCTAATCAGGAATAGCTCGTCATCAGCTTTCAATTCCACATCGTCGGAACCAAAAAGCAAATGGTGCAGATTGCGCTGATCCTCATCTTCGCCGTGGAAAGATTCGCGACCCCAGTCGTTCCCAGCGAGACAATCCTTATTGCGCGCAGCGATGTTTTCGAGGATCAGGACGAGCGCATCGACAGCTCCATCCGAACCATGAGGCGAACGAATAGCAATGTTGGACCGAATACGCGAAACCGCGAGCTGAAGTTGATGAACTACCTCCTCGACCTCCACACCACCTCCAGAACTGCTTAGGTCTGCAGGTCGTTCGCCCGTCGCACAGTACCGATCAAAATCAGACAGGAGTCTGCGGATCTGATCCTGGAGTTTCTGGAAGTAGATAGCTGCACACGCGCCGGAGGGCATTGCCTTGCATATACTGCTAAAGACGCTGTCATCGTGCACAGCTAGTCGGAAAATGGTAGCTTCGAGATCACCCTGGACGACACAAGATTCAGCAGTGTATTTTACTGTGGGCTCCTTTTCCTGCAAATCTTGGCGGAAGTCTTCCGGGAGGATTTTCGTGTTGAAAGCGCTGAGCACATCCCGGATTTTTTCTGCTCGGGTCATTCCGTGATAATGACCGTTACCTTCATCTCGGAGACATTGCCATTGTAGACGGTCTGCTACTGCTTCCAGTCTGACACTAGCGAGGAGTTCCTCGGCGCGGGGACGCACTTGAGGGCGACCGTCGCTGGAGAGGGTCGCCCGGGCTGTAGAGGGTGTAGGATGGAAATAGGCATGAAGCTGGTCAAGAACCCACTACCCGTGAATGTTAGCGTGCCTTCTGCAGATTAGAAAGCATCTCCTGGATGAGTGAAGAGACTTACGAAGATGTGTTGACAGGCTGCCTGTGGCCGCGATTGAAAAGTAGAGCAGGTGCAAGTAGTTGAATCGGATCCAACGTGGACCTGCGGTCGATTCAGTAGCTGGAAATCATAGCCAGAGTCTGAGGCCCGGCAATTGACGACCTCGAACTGTGATCTTAAGCCCACTGACGCATTAGCTCCGGTCTCGTCATCTAGATTCTTCATGTCATAGGTGATTCCCGAACGCGCGAGGATGGTCTTCCCAGCAGGCTCATCGTCACTGCTCTCCTCCTCTTCGCTTTCGACCTCACTCTCCTCGACAGAGCTGTCCTCGCGCTCACTTTCATCGGAAGGGTCCGGCCGCCCGCGAGTGGAGGACCGAGTCTCAGGCATGTTGTGACCGATTGACAGTCTGTGAAACTGTCTAGTCGGGGCAGACATGGTCCGAAAAAAGGGGGGCGAGGATGGTCAAATACGAGGGGCGAAGAAGAGTCCAAGTTGTGTGTACGGAACTCCTGATGGCAAAGGTAGATTCACAGAGTTCTTCCGACCCATGGACGGGAGCGGGTACATTGAACCATGGAACGGACCTCCCTGGCGCCCGCTTTAAATAATTAGGCCATAGAAGATGGAAAAGCGGCTCACAGAAATCCATGATCATGGTTCCTCCCGATCTATGCTCTGCGTCCCACACTGTGCCAATTTGGCGCATGATAGACTGGGTTCGAACTATGATCTCCGGGGCGCAAAAACAAAGAGTTGGGCGGATCCGAGGGTCATCCAGTTAAAAAAAAGGAGTCAGAAATTGAAAATTAAAAATCCAGACCTGACCCATGAGGGTAGAGAAATAGAACCATTTTTCCAACGGCGCTTAAACAAAGGGTCTAGGTGCGGCGGGGAAAAAAAGGGAGGGAAATTCGGGGGAAAATGGAGGGTAAGGCGCAGTTGAAGGGATGATGTCTTAACAAGGCTTAAACGTTGGATTATGCCTCGCACTGAGATATTGATCACCATTGCGCACAGACTTGCCACTAATGAAATTGAAATGATCTGGGGGCCTCGGTGCTTTCTCCGGCATGAACTGTTCCGGGGCTAAGACAAGCACACGATGCCTAGAGTAATCTGTATATCGAAAACATCACACTTAGATCACCATATGTCAAGTTGATCTTTGACAACTGGATAGATCGATTGTAGCTGTTTGTCCCAGTGAAAAGACTGGTCCTACACCCCAGCGGTGGTGGCAAGTTGCATGCTCCGATGGCGTCCACGTTGGCGAATTGGCTCGGCTCCTGGCCGGCAAAGGAAGAAATGGATCACTAGGCTCGGGTAGAAAGCCAGAGATTGGCTTTACTGTAGACTAAGAGCAGGAAATGTGGACTTCGTACAGCAAGGCCTTGGCTGGCGATCTCTCGACACTGCGGCGTATCCTTGCGATCGTGGACCGATCCCAGTGGGGAAGAAATCTCGACCTTTCCATTTGACCCGCCGGGCGTTTCTTCCTGTTGGGCCACTGAATCACTTAGCATTCTTGTTCGAGGCCCCAACACCACAGGAAAATATTTGCTGGCATGTCATCATTTGCCTGCATATCCATGTGTCATGATAGGCTCATGCGATGATCCCTGGGGAAAGAATCAAGGGATCCTGGATCAATGACCTGTGCAATTTGACTCAAGCTCCTTCCGAGATAAGCAAATGCTCACGGCGTACTCCGTAGAAGCGATCTCAAGCCTCACAAACACGGGAGTGTCATGCAAAGGATCAAACGCTATGGACGCCTCATAGCCAGTCCTCAGTTGCCCGATTTAAAGCGTTGGTGATTCGGATGACCACCGTGCATAAGCTCATCGATCGCGATAGTGCCGGCACAGCTAGAAGAGGGGAAGCAGCGCGCGAACTGTGCACTGTTCTACTGTTGAATCCTTTATGATTAGTCTTATTGATTAGCGCAGGGGCACAGCGAATCCGAGCACGTATCGGAGGTGCTGCGCGGCAGAGTACGACCCGCCGCTCTGGGTATTGGGTCTGGAGATGTCCTTTCATCCCTGTAAGATGGGGCCTGAGCACCGGAGACATCCTTGCGACCGTTTTGCGTGGGCCAGTTTGCTGCTGTGCTGATCAATGAGAAGGAAAAAAAAATTTAAGTTAAAAAAAAAAGAAACGACTGGCTGATAGCTACCGCTACCAATCGTTGTGCCCGGCGCCTAACAACGGGTATTCTGCACTCGGTCAGGCTGATTCACACTGGAGAGCCTTGAAGCGGAGACGTGTTTCTTCTTGCTTTAGGTAATTGCTGCATGGTCACTCAATCACTTGACTGATTTGGCCCCTGCTCAAGGCGCAGCCACTGTGGCGCGACTGGTCGAGTCAGCCCTGTCAAAAGTCCAGTCTGGGGGATGAAAAGAGTTGACAGGATTTGTCTGCAACATTTCGTCAGAGATCAACTGTTGAAAGCAGCCCTAAACCAACATTTATGTTAACAAGGTCAGAATGACCTCCTGTGCAAGTCGGCTAATATTGATGATATGCTTGTGTAACAAGGGGATAATTACTCCGGACAGATTGCCCACATTATTGGCCTATTCTCATACTTCGGCTACACCGTACATGTATCTATCCGATAAAATAAAAAAAAACACGTGGCTAGCTCAATGCATGCTCAGAAACACGAGGGTATCGAAACAGGGATGGAGACTGAGGGGTATAGTCCATGCGAAAGAAACCCATGTCGTCATGGATGCGCTACCTGCATCCAATGCTCAGACAAGATGTTTATTGGCTCGATTTGGCCGCATTACGCTTCTTTGCGTCCTCCAACGCCCTACGTAGTCTGTCTTGGTGCTCGTCCTTCGGGTCCGAGAGGCGACGTGCAGGTGGCGTGTGACTAGGAGCTACAGTGGGAGGGCGAACGGTGGCCGGGCGAAGTTCCAAGGGTAATTCCAAGGATGGTACACCGACAGACTGACTCACAGGAGTCGCTTCCTCGATGACCACAGAAACCGGTGCCGCAACTCTGGGGGTCTTCGCCAAGTCCCGGATAAGCCGTTGGATAGTAGCATCAAGAGCTTGAGGACCTTTCTGGATACTCTGCAGCTTCGAGTCCAGATCGCGATCGAGAATCGAATCCTCTTTCTTCTTTTCGGCTTTGAGGCGCTCGAAGATATCCGGCTCCGAATTTGCATATCGCGCTTCGGCAACGGACACCGCGTAGTCGGCATCATTTAGAGCCTTTTCTGCGACTCCTGACATGCGAAGGATCGCTTCAGAATCGGCTCGAAGTGACACGGCGAAGGTTGTCACCGACCTGAGGATCTGTTCGATTTCAGAATCGGGGAGACCGGAAGCGCGGAGGTTCGTGGAATCGAGGCGGGCTGCTTTCGATGAAAGCTCGTCCAAAAGGCTTTGATTCATACCTAAGCCGTGCAGGATGGCATCATCAAAGGAATCCATGAGCTGATTGGCACGTCCATCACGATCCTTCGCTGCTTCCAAGATGTTTCGTTTTTCCATAAGGTCAAAGTCTCCATCAAGCTGTCGAAGGCTGGCCATGTCACCCATGAAAACGAGGGGACGACGCTCGGCCCTCTTACGTCGTCGCTCACAGTCCAGTGCAAGCTCAAGTCGCTTCTGGAACCGGATTTCGAGCTGGCTGTGGATTTCATAGACCATCTTCATCGTCACTGACGGACTGTGTCGGTCAGAAGTAGTGCTTTTCGCTTTTTGATCCCGATCAAGCTGGTTCACCGCGGATTCATACGACTTGCGAAGCGCAGAGATCTCATCCTTCAGACGTTTATCCACGGGATTGAAGACCTGAGATATAAAGTCATCAACTTCTTTCCTTTCTTCATCAAGCTGAGTACGCGCTTCAGTCTGTCGGAAGTTCTCTTCTAGGGTATTGATGTCCGCATAGCCGATCTCCTTATCGTTGAATAGCGTGTCAATGTGAGCCTCCGACTGCTCTTGTCGAGTCGCACGATCGTCATCAAGTTTGTGCCGACGTTCCGTAGCGGCGTGTTCCCAGTCGTCAATGGACTTTTGAACGTAAGATAGATCATCCGAAAATTTACCGAAACTTTCCCGAGCTGTGCTGTGCCATGGGCTTTCGGGCTGATTGTCTAAAGGAGTCCGAACCAGTGTACGCAAATCGTCAAGCAAGTCTTCCTTTCGACCTTGCCTAAGTGATTCCGGCAGCGAAGGAAGTGGACTAGCGGTCCGCCGGCTGATTGCCTGATAGGCATTACTCTTATGCCGGATAAGACCAATAAAAGTCTCATCAAGTTCAGACGGAGATGTGGACGTAGTCAAAGAAGCAGACTCAGATTGAGGAGGGACATTTGACATAACTCGTCCGGTAGCTGATGCTTGTCGTAAATCAGAGTAGGCCTGATACGCTGGACGAGCAAATGTCAGATTATCCGAACCGCGTTGTGGTCCCTCGGTGTATTGAAACGGGGTGTAGATAGGTCGCGGAGGCTCCGATGCGAGGGGCTCCAAAGGCGGCTGTTCTTCTGAAAGATGCATCGAGTAAGTCCGAGCAGGATGTTTTGGCTTCTCCTCCTCCTCTGGAAAAATTGAAAGCCTGGGCTTCTGCGATGATGAGCCGCGCCCAGGTTCTTTACTCATTATGGGACGACCGCCTGCACTGTATTCGCTCCCTGCATCATCATCATCATCATCATCATCATCATCATGTACGTCTTCACAGATTTTGGTAGGTGATTCAACTTCTTCCGTCTCCACAGGAATCAGTCCAGACTCAATAGGCGGCTTACGCTCTTCAGAAATTGATGATCGCTGCGGAGCCCTAGAGGAACGGTCCTCTTGGACGACAGGAGGCTCATGTTCAATGTTATACATGATCTCTCGAAGCTTAGTTTCCTTAGCCATGAACGCCGTGAATATTTTGAAGCGCTCTTCATCGGAATCAGCCACTGCCTCTTTGCGTAGCATCGCAACGCAGCGCGTCAGAGATGATTTAAACCATGGATCAAGATCCTCATATGGATCGACGGGCTGGTGTACAATATTGCCTCTCACTTCCGCAGGACTTTCTGTGTTGGGTGTTGGTCCCCTATCCGGTAGAGGAGATTGCGGTTTCGGGCTCTCCACCGGGCTATTCTGGGCACTTCTAGACGGAAGGTCTAGGTGTGATATCGAGCTAGCCTTATCGGACTCAGTGGCTTTTGGTGCGGGCTCCAGAGGTTTTACCCATGCATCGATGACATTGTCGATACTTTCAGTACGCTGTGACCATGTGCTACTGGAGCTGACGCTGTCCATGCGGTTGAGAGGCGCTGCATGAAGCCTGTGCCCTGTGGAGGGGCTAACTGGCGAAACAGGGTCATTCTTCTGTGGCCTCGGAGTCTGATATGTGGAATTATAGGCCTGCTGAATGGGATTCGCTGGTGGCTGCGACGTAGAACCGTAGGCCTGTTGACTGGGATTCACTGGTGACTGCGACGTGGAACCATAGGTCTGCTGAATGGGGTTCACTGGTGGCTGAGATATAGGACTATAGGCCGGCTGAGTGGGATTCGCTGGTGGCTGCGACGTGGAACCATAGGCCTGTTGACTGGGATTCGCTGGTGGCTGCGACGTAGGACCATAGGCCTGCTGATGGGGATTAGCTGGTGGCTGAGACGTGGAAACATTGGTCGCAACAGGTCTCGAAAGTCCAGTAGAGAAGCCAGGGGGTGTTTGAATAGTCTCCGGCGACGGAGGAGCAAGATCTCTAGGTGGAAACCATGGCGCATCATCAAAGTCGCCCTCCGTCGGACCTAAATGTTCCCAGTCGGAAGGTGTCCCGGGGCCTAGCGCAGATGAAAATGCGGGAGCTGCATGAGGATCCGAAGCACGTCCATATGATCCCTGTGTAGCTGCTGGACCAATACCCTGTGCGAGTAGTGGAGGCCGAATGGTATTAGGTTGTTGGCTAGCTGCGGGCTGATCCTGGGGAATCTTAGGAGGCGGCGGGGGAACATTAGGTATTTGATATTGCGGACTTGGAGCTTGATTTTCTCGCGGTGGAAAATTATACGGTGGTGGAATACTGTTTGCTGATGGAGGCCGAGCATCTGCGAACGCCTCATATGTTTGATGTGAAACCGAGGGTGGAGGAATATTGGGGTTCAAGGCGGGTGAGTGGGGCTGCGACTGCGACTGCGGCGGCGGCGCATAAAGATTGGGCTGTTCGTTGGTGCTCGGTGGTCGGGGCTTTGGGCATGTATCAGTTTCTAGATACTCTCGCTATAAAAGCTTCGACATCACTACCTACCGGAAGTGGTGGAGGAGCGTGAATCGTATGCTTGTTGTACTGAACCCCCCATGTTCGGGGATCGGTCATTCCCGATAAGGGCGATACGGGGGACGACGACACATTCGGCCGCACAGCGTTATTGGTATTGGATGTTGGGCCATAGCTTGCTGAGTGATATATTGCACCACTCGTCGGAGGCCGGGGAGGCTGCGGTGGTGGTGCAGGCTCAGAAGTTGGTATGGGACGGCGCGCTGGCAGTCGCCATTCTGGCTGTTGGGGATCGGATTGATTCGACCCGTACATGGTGGGTCATGACCAGGCACAAAAGATCGCGGAAGAGAAAATGAGTAAAAGAAAAGGGGAGAACCACGGTTCACAGGATCTTTAAGCTAGGAAGAAGCGCGCTACATGAGCGGGACACGCACGAGGCACACGAGGGGCCCCACCAGCCAATCCTACGAGTTAAAAATAGCCAAGTGATACCTAGAGATCCCCTGATGCATCCTTGTGACAGGCGATAAGAATGTTGATATTATCTGGACCAGATATCTATGCTTAAGAGCTACAAGTCCATGCCCAGTGACATAGACACCATCGCTTGAAACTAACCTAGAAAAGGTATGGGGCCAAGGATCCATATTATGGATCCAATAACAACCAGCCACTACTGATCTAGGCAAGTTGCGGCTAAGCATGTCTATTCTTGGTATAACCTACCTGAATAGAACGAAGCTAGATGTCTTTATTGAGACACTTCCTTTGAAACCAACTGAAGTCTCTTGATGATTCTTTGTTTACTAGTCTTCAACTTGCGGCACAGTCTTTCTTTTGTCTTCGTAATATAGCCAAAATGTCTTGTAAGACCGTCGCGTTCTTTGTTCAAGATTCAAAAAAAATCGAAGTCCCAAAGAACTTCACACGACTCATACTTAATGGGTACTGAGACCTAAAATCATATCAAATTCTGTTACTTCTTTTCTTCCGCGAACTTCGTATTGAAACTGCACATCAAATTTACCATAACAAGATGGCCCGAACAAAGAAACCTCAAAAGCTTGACAAGGCTTTCCTCCCACGACCTCCCTTAGAAGCCTTACGAGCAGAGAAAGGAGTTCTCAAACCAGATGTCTTCGATGATGTCCAACTGGGCTCATATGTCTCGAAAACAGACGCGAAAATCGCCTATCAAGCATGGTCTCTCCCAGACAGAGCCCTTGGAAAAGCATGGCATAGACACAAGAACCGACCATACACCCAACCGGAAACAGATGATCCCGAGGCTCACATACTAGTGCACAATGTATACGAGCACTTGATGAGCGAACCACTTCTCCCCATCTCACGCGAGGATGCGGAAATCAAGTTCAAAGCCGACGGGCTAGAGAAGGACTGGGAAGTGTCCGGTATAATCGGACAGCTCAGAGGAGATATTATCAAAGAAAGTGTGCTCAGTAATCTGAAATCTTGGGGCTCGGATGCGATCAAAGAGTTCTTGGTCGAGCGAGATGTTGTATCGAGCAACGGGGAGAGACAACATCTCGAGAAACTGGCAGAGAGGACCGAACTGCTGACATATTGCGGGATCACGCCTCGGAGCAATCTCAAGAAATGGGGCTTAAAAATGAACATCAGGCCTCTAGTGGGATCCCCCGAAGGAGGAGTTGATAGCAAACATGTCATTCAACCATTTGAAAATGACTTTATGAGTACGCTCGATATGTATACATTTGCCATTCACCTCAGTCCCTATAACCCCACCTATTGGACCAGTCGCGCATACTGCCATTACCAGCTGGCATACTTTGACTTGGCTTTGGGCGACGCATACCGTGCAAAAATACTCTGTGACGTCCTGACCAACGGGGACGAAAGTGGTCGACGGCCAGGTCTGTACCCCCGAATCTGGCATGCGATAGAACAACATCTGCTCGTCGAACCCCAGAAGGAAGGAACGCTCAAACCTGAGATCCGACGCTTGCGAGAAAGAGGCTGCACATATTTCATTAGTGGTCTCGCCAAAGCCCTGGAACATATAACTACACTGAGTTTACTGGCCTTGAACTGCTGGCATGACCTGGACAAGCGGTATAATTCCTTCGGTTCGAATATGATTATGGTGCAGGATCGTGACTCACTGGTTCCCCAGCAGCTGAGAGGACTTATCGCGCCTATAGAGAAGATTCGGACAGAAGAAAACAAAGACAACAAGACGTTGTTCTGGCATGAACGTTTCCAGGGCTATATCTCGACTAAACGACGATATCCACACGATATGTATGTTGATCGGAAAGCACAGAAATTCCTCGATACTATCAATTTGAACGTTTTCCAACGGGATGGCAAGCACTGGAATTCATGCCGGGTTGAAGGAAAAAAAGACAATTCGCTCGGGGTCTTTGCAGCAGTAAATATAATGAAAGGGGAGATGATTCACTTCGAAGAACCGACTATCCGCGGCCACCTTGGACCTAAGCGAATGGCCAGAGATAAAACAGCCGTGCAAGATGAGATAAGATGTGAGAATTGCATGCAAACGATTTCAGTTTTTGGCTCAGCAACTCGATCCCAAGCCTCTACTGAAACCAGATTTGAACGCTGTGCTTGTTGCCCAGCGGGCACTGCCCCTGGTCCTGATGACCGGGTCTTCTGTAAAGAGCAAGCTAAAGCCAAAGCCAAAGGGACATTTGCGTCTCAAAGTTGTCGAGAAATCGCGCGCAAACTACATCATTTCAGTAGCTGTGGTAAAGACTGGTCATGGCTTTACAACAGCATGAGACCTGTTCTCAGGGAGTGGCAAGACAGGGAGTATATCATCCAATGCAATGATGTTTACGGCACGATGCACAGTCTTTTGCTACGGAATATATTCGAAATAACGCTCCAACGCCGCAAGAAAGATCCTAATCTATCCCCGCTGGAGATCAACGAGCTTCTTATCCTCAACACGAACAATGGAGATTGGTATCCGTTCTCCTATGTTGGCAATATCACCGTTCCGTTCGATATCTTGACGTACTTGGGAGTCGATATCTTCCGAGATCTCTCATTCGACACTTGGGTTATTCAAAGTATCATGAGGAGACTGGTAGACCATGCTATACCCTGGGATGAGCAACGTCGAGGTGACGAGCCTAGACCGGAACTATTACCCGGTGATAGTTACAAGTCTCCCGAGCACCCGGATACACAAGACGAGAAAGTTCAACAAAAGATTTCATTCAAACTACATGACCCGTCGTTCATGAATCTATATCTCTTTCCAGGATTCAGTCTCTTCAAAAGGGACAAAACGTACAACGCCAACTGGGGATATGATGACAAAGTACCCAATCGATTGGTAGTATGGGCAGAAAATGATATCAAAAAGGGAGAAGAGATCATCATCCGGGATCCGTATTGCAGTGATCGCCCCAGTAAGCATGAGAAGAAAGGAGAGAAGAGGAAAGCCTCCACCGAAAAGGGAGATGACCCAAACAAAAAGAAGAGAACCGAACACAAAGAGCCCAAAAACACACAGCAAGGAAAAAGAGAGAAAAGGCCTCCTCGGCGAATTATCCAAAGAACTCGAGAAAGACAGCAAGAAAGGAAAAGTGGAAGACAATTCTCCCCTGATAGCCGGCGGCAAAGGCACAGAACCAGAAAAGATGTCAGTTAAAAGAAAACGAGACGAATACGCTGAAGTAGACGATTTCCGCGTCTCAATATATCGAAATACCGATATGAACCCTCCACCAGGAACACAGCGTCGCAAGGCACGTAAGCATGGATTTCGACCACATGTTGATAAACGACATCAGCAGTGGCTTGAGCATCTCGAGGAGATGGACGAAAAGGCTGATGAAAATGAAACTTCTGCGGAGAAGAAGGCTAGAGTTAAGAGGCTCAAGAAGGTGCATTTGGTTGCTTATAGGAAGGAGCAGAGGGAGACTATTGACGAGTTGGATAGGAGGGCTGGACGGCCGAGGAGGAAGAGGGATGCTGCTTTTGAGTAGAGTCTATTCAGTTTTTGCGTTTCAACGTGTTGATGTGAGGCTTTGTTTTGTTTCTAGGGGTGAGAGTTAGGAATACAAATTGAAAACATCCATTATATGCATACACCAAAGAAATTGAAGATTTTAAAGTACAAGCTAAACCAAGCCCGTCCATTTACACACCTGGGCAAAGCCAGGGAAGAACTGGGTAGTAATGCAGACGGAAAGAAACAAACATATAATCCTACACTACTCGACGACAGGGACGGGCTCAGCAACAGTGCGGACACGACGGCCTAACTTCTCCAGCTCGCCAATGATACCGCCACCGGCCAAACTCCATTTCTCACCGACCCATTTCTCATTGATGTTCTCGCGCAGCAGGCCGCTCTTAGCGAAATACTCCAGGTATCCGCGGGTCTCCTCACGGGTAAGGCCACCGAGGGTCTGTAGCTCGAGAATGCCCTCCTTGCCGGAGGCAGTCTGGGGCTTGAACACATCCAGAACCCGGGTGTCAGCGTTGCTGTAGGCCTCAGGCTGGGGGTAATCGGGAGATGTGGCGCTGATGCCTTGTTGACGGGCAGCGAGCTGGTCCAGAGCAACCTCAAGGGCGTAGGTTGAGGGGTTGTTGGATTTGGAGGTAGCGTACAGGAGCATACCGCCATTTTGGAGGGAAGCGCCGGGCTGCAGGAGGGAGAGGAAGTGCTTGACGAAGACGAGGTCGTGGGCGTGGACTGGGGAGTAGTCGGCAGAACGGTAAGAGCTCTCAACCATCCAGTGGGCAAGACCGTCGACAGCTACCAGCATCGGAGGACGGGGCTGGAAATCCTTCTCGAAGCCGGGGGCAGCAGCTGTGGCAGTGAGCTCCTTCCACAAAGCCTGGAAAACGGGCCAGGAAAGGGCGGCATCAGAGTATCCCATCTTGGCCAGGTCGACGATGGTGGTCGAGGGCTTGAGGCCCTTCAGGCCAGGGTGTTGCTGGGAAACACGGAGACCAGACAGAACCTCGCGGTTGGCCTCGACGGTGCGGGTCAACAAGGCGGCGGTAGCGCTGGGCTGGACGTACTGGGTCGGCTTGGAGCCCTCAATGGGAGTGTAGGCGAAGTCACCAGAGACGAGTTCTCGGGCTATATTCATAGTTTAGCAGCTGCACCCCCTCCAATCTTAATGAGTTCAGATCTTACCGTCAGGAATAGTGAAAACAACCCATTTCTTAGTGAATGCCATGGCCATAGCCTGCAGCAGGTGCACGGTCTTACCAGATCCCTTAGATCCAGTGATAACCTTCTTCACAACCTTGCCCTTCTCAGGCGCATCACCATCACCGGAGATCTTCTCAAAAAGACGACCCATCTCCAGAGCATCGCGACGCAGAATAGTACCAGGCCGACGGAATATAGACCAACCCTGCTTAGGCTTGAATGCCTCCACGGCTCTCAATTGATCCAGCATAGGCACAGGGAGACCGATAACAGAACCGCGGAGACGAGCATCAACCATAGTCTCAGCGGAAAGGTCCTGCATACCCTCAACCTCAAGAGCATTAGGGTTACTGAGGACAATGCGCTTCCGCATAGCCTTGCGCTCTCCAACAGCTGGGGGACGCGCACGCTCAGTAGTCTTCTTCTTCTTCCTCCGTAGAGTCTGACCCTGTCGGTACCGCATAGGTGTCAGACTGGAACCCTTCTTCTTTGCTGGCATGGCATATTGCACCGCGGTGGAGTGGAAGCCGGCGGTCGTGATCCGGGGAGTTGCGGACGGGAGGACTGTTGTTGGGCGAAGCCGCGAGAGGCAGCTCCAGCACCACGCGGAGGCCATTGGTCAGGGGCACTGGCGCCAGGCGCAGTGTCGATCAATTGGCTGGGGAGGGGGTGGTGGGAAAGTGGTGGGCTTTGAGGCGTTGAAAGTCGGGGAGAGAGACAGCAATAATAATTTGACTATGGGAATCCTCGTATGGCCTGATTAGGCTGGCGGTGGGTGATAGCTTAGTCATATCTGGCAGAAAAGCAGACGGCTGATAACCAACTTTTTTTTTTCTTACCGAGCGTGATAACCTCTTAGACGCTTTTTGATCTTAAAGCTTCCTGTCATTCACATTTATTCAAAATGGCGGACGTCGAGATGACCGGTTCCAAGACCGAAAGACTGTATGTATTTCCAAAGTTCCGCTTCTAATGCGGAATATCTTCGAATATCAACATTCAAACTAATACTTTTATGCTTTTCAGTCCTATCACCGTCGACAAGCCAACTCCCTACACTTTCGACTTGGGACACCTTCTCGCCAATGACCCCAACCCCATTGAGCTCCCCCAGGGCGAGAACCTCAACACCTCCTTGAAGAATGTCGCCCGCGACGGCGCCCAGTGTCTCCTCAACCAGCTCCTGACAACATGCAACATCACCTCCTCAGCCGAGCACGGTGTGCTCCTCTCTCTGCCCGCACCTCAGACACTACTCCCGCGCCACAAGCCCCTGCCTACTCCCAAGCCCCCGACCAAGTGGGAGCTGTTCGCCCGCAAGAAGGGTGTCGGCAAGTACAGCCAGCGTCCTGGAGTCGCACTCGCCGATAAGGAGCGCCGTAAGAAGCTTCAGTACGATGAGGCGACTGGCGAGTGGGTGCCAAGATGGGGATACAAGGGAAAGAACAAGTCCGGTGAGGACCAATGGCTTGTTGAGGTTGATGAGTCTAAGTGGAAGAAGGAGGAGGGTGCTGCTGAGAAGGGTGGTAATATCCGTGGAATGAACCGCACTGAGCGCAAGGAGCGGATGAAGAGAAATGATCGTAAGCAGCGGGCTAACGATCGCCGGGCTAAGAAATGAAGTTGAGGGTTGTTTTTTGACTTGTCTCTGTTGAGGCTTGTATATTCGAGATTTCTCATTGTTTCTATGGGCGTTGGGGTTGGAGTCGGGCTTAGTTCCATTTTATGACGGTCATTCGGACCATATTAAAAGCATTGTTTAGATCAATATCTATCACTTCAAGACCTCATTCAGTTCGTTGTCAAGGTTAAGGTTATGGTTCAAGCATTGTGTAGACAATCTAGTAATTTGTTTGTATTCCGTGTAGTCAATGATATCAGGTCTTCATTGAACCGAAAAATGCCACCCGCCGCTATTGTACAATCGCAATGAAACGCCAAACAAGACAAAGAAAAAAAACCCCCAGTTGAGGAATGAGAACGTGAGGCAAGATGATGAGAACCACAGAGGGATATCTGAAGAGCAGCATAAAACTTGAAGCAGACAATTCAAAGGCATTGACCTTTGTGTCAAGAGCACATGCGATGAAGAGAGAGATAGAGATAGAGATCGAGCCCACCATTCACCAGGTTCTGAGTGTACGGAAAAACAAAGATATACAACAGAAGAACGATAACTCAGGAATGATGGGAAATCAGAATACCGGGGACGCCAGGAGATGCACCCTGACAATATTGATTGAGACCAGGTGATGATGAAATGACAACGCCCAGCAAAAAGATTGAACACGGAAAATGAAAAAATGAATGCGATCGTCTCTAATTCTGCAGAGCAAAGAAATTGCCAAGCCGTTGGCCAAGTCTCTGTTCTGTGAATTCCATAGGCGCAAAATCGGTCCAGCCGAATAAAGCGTAGCTCTGGTGCACCAAACCGCTGCAAGCCAAGCTCAAGGTGCCATGAACTGAATTGGGGTCCGTAGAAGGCTTTGAGTTGAGCAGAGTTTATGGGCCCTAGATTTTAATAGGCGAAAGTGGTGGACCAAGTTCCGGAAGCTGAGAAATACTTCTGGAATGCGTGGGACCGGTTTCAATATTCTGTGGCCTGGCCTTCTTTCGACCTCGTGATGTTTCGGGTCGAAGCCGCTCCTCCTCAGCTTGTGAGCTCGAGCTGGAGGAGATAGCCCGTTCATGGGTTAAGGATGCCTGAGAAGAGATGGCCTTGGCCTTTTCGTCGGCAGCCTTCTGCTCTAGCTCGTCCATTTCCTTCTCCTTTGCGACGAACTCCTTCTCGGTCCAGCAGCCCTGCCAGCAATTCTTCCAATCACAGACAAGGAATTGGAAGCAGAATGCATCAATCTTCATGCAAGGCTGGAAACAAATGCATAGATTGCGGTAGTCCATCTTGTTCTGATCGACATAGGAATGAAGGAGGTTCAGGTGGCAGGTGATGGCAAAGAGGAGGTAGTAGTTGTAGGGTGGGAGTTTAGAAAGCTCATCCTTGAGCAATTGCGGAGCAGTAGTGGCACCCGCGCATTTCTCAGAGATCATATCCTGGGTGGCTTTGGGGAAGAGCTCTTCAGGCAACTCGCGAAGCCAGGCTTTGAACAAGGATCCAACGGTATTGATGTCGTACAGGTCTGGTACATCGAAGAGACTGACGTCCAATTCCGAATCGAATCGTCTCTGCCAATGTTTGACTTCTCTGCCGCTTCCAGGTACTCGGTAAAGTCCTTCCTCCTCACAGCCCTTGAAGTTGAGGTAATCGATACAGCGATATGGAAGAGCTGGCATCCAGAACTCAGTCTTATCCCTGCAGTCTTCCAATTTCTTCGCAATGCGGGTCTTTCTTGCTTGCTCAATCAAGGGAAGGTTGATCACGGAACAGACGTAAGAATCATCAGTTATCAACTCTCGCTCGTTAGTGCTGCCACTTCGAGTAATCTTGCCAAAGAAGCCCTTCCCTGCTTTGCCCAAACGGTCCGCAGCACCGCTAGAAGATTGCTTGAGGTTGTTGAAGATAGCTGCTGATGCGCCAGATACCTGACTCAAGGAGCTAGACTGTGTCATAGATCCAGCTGTTTTCTCCTTCCTGATAGGGGCCAATTCCACTGGTCGCTCAAGATAATTCCCTGTGGGTCGGGTGGATCGTTCAGGTTGTGTTGTGGTAGATGGCGCAGGTTTCGATGGCGCAGGTTTCTGTACCGCGGATATCTGTACCGCGGGTTTCTGTGTTGCAGGCTTCTGTGTCACGGGTATTTGTGTATTAGGTTTTTGTGAATCGAGTTTGCTGAATTCCTCCAATTTGGCCAGGCCCGTTGATGGCCGTCTTGCCGGGGCTCTGTTGCCAGATGATTCATCCACTCGAATAGACCGAGATCGTGTTAAAAGATTCGCAAAACGCTTATTCTTCTTCGCTGGAGCAGAGTCGGTTTCGGTACTTGCTTTCTTGTGACCTGTTCTTTGTGTTGTCTTATCGCCAGCCGAAGTTTTGACTATCAGATGAAAGGCGTTAGCTAGATCGCATATAAAGAGACGCACTTGGGACGAGAGCTTACGTCTTTCAGACTCTTCTGACCGGGCAATCATCGCAGGCAGATCAGGCGTCGATTCGGACAAGATGCGCGCCATTGACAATCTCCTATCTCTAGAGTTCCCACGGCTCTTCGGGGGTTCTGTGGACGTCTCGGAGCCGTCTGAACGTTGCGACCGATGGGAGGTCTTAGGGGCTTTCAAGGTGCCGAAAAATGACTTGGACTGGTCGCGCGAATGCTTGGGCGAGCCTTTGGGGGAGGGGAAGTATTGTGGAATGGCTGTAATACCGGGGGTGGGGGGTTCGGGACCGGGTTCAGTGTCAACGGTCAAAGTGTTAGGCGAGGTCGGACTTGTCGGGCTGGTCGCCTTGCTGCTCGATTCCTGAGTGACGGGACGAATGGTAGCACCTTTGAAGAGGGGTGAGCTCGACGGTGATTTAGGAGAGCGCGGTGTCAAGGGGCTCAGCCCGTCGGAGCTCTGGCCAGGGGAGAGAGGTGACGAGAGCTTTCCATTATTCAAGTCAGATTTGAAGGAGCTGAAGTCCAAATTGGGCACGGTGGAATGTCGAGACGGCATGTTGGGTGACAACTAAGGTGATGGGGTTGTGTCCTGGAATTGGGGGTTGTGGTACAGGCTGTGTTATGCACTGTTGTCGAACCGGGGTTGTCCAGCTGCGCGTGAAGAAACAGGCTCCGGTTAGCATGGAGTAATGGACCAGGGCTGCAGATTGCCAGTACCTAATCACTGTAGACCACCTGTGACCGTACAGTGGCTTTCAGCTCCGCGTGGGACGGAGATTCAGCCCACCGGTTGTTGAAGCGATCGTCGGATCGGGATTTTGAAACGTTTATCGAGGGGAAGGGATCTAGAATAGGCAAAATGTCAGTCATTAAGAAGCATGACACGGCGTCTAAAAAAAGACCAGTGAAACCATAGATGGTGACAGATGCAGGGGGTCGTTCAAAGCCATGTTTTGCATCAACAAGGCCAGGCACCGGGTCCCTGAAACAATGCAACGGTTCGCAGATGCCTGAGAAACTTACCAGAATTCCCCTCATGATCTGCTCACACGACACTTTCCCAGCGGTATGGAGTTGACGGGAGTGTTGAAAGACCCAGTTCGTTGTTCCCCCTCTTTTAGGCGGCTCGAGGGATCGGCAGAAGGATTCGGGCACAGGCGGTTCTCACGAAGGGGGGTATTTGCACGACAATACGGTTGGTCGAATAACAAAATTAAAACCACCAAGAGAGAAAAAAGAAGTGCACGTAACGAACGTTGTCCAGGGGAAAAACGGAAGCGTTGGACAAGCAAAAAGTCTCCTGCTGGACTTGCGCGTAGGTAGTGGCTTTGTTGGAAGAACCGTGCACAATAGAAAATGACACTAGTGTCAAACGTCAAGTTGAGGTGATTCGTAGGAGAGAAGAAGGAAGCATTCCGGGATTATGCAAGGTCAGAGTTGGGTCATTCGTTTTTTCTTATTTAAGAAAATATGGAGAAGTCGGAGATCCACCAACATAAAAGACATGGGTGGGGACCGAGTGTTTCTGAGTATAAAGTACTGCTTATCATATTATAAGGACCTCACCGGTCCCAAGGATCAAATGGTGTATCTCCTGGAATTAAATCAAAGATGCTAATCATCTACCCTTTCCATGGAGTTGAAGTCTATTCTTTGTTATGTATTTCTTTGTACAACTTCATTCCACGGACTCGCCCTTCTTTAATTCGGATTCTTGGAACCAGGATTGAGAAGGTCAAGGGTGCTTTATCCCTTCGGTGATCAGGAATGAGATAATTGGTGTCTTGTAGTGCTACAAGTTGTACAAGTCTACGATCGGAGGCTCTCCACCGCTGATTGGAGCCGCTGGGTCTGGCAGTTAGAACCACGGGCGGGATGATGTGCTTGCCTTACGTTGGCCTAGAAGTGGATCCATCAGCATTGTCATTCGTGAGTTTCTCTGTACCTGTTCAGGTCCATGGTTATCCTCGCCTTGGATCACTTGGATTAATCTGGCTGAACCAGGAATTCTTCATGGTCAAGCAAGGTACCCGAATTAGGGAATTTGGTTACCTCCAGGGCTGCACCTGTATAGACGCAAAAAAAGCGACTTATCAGTCAGGGGTAAAAAAATTCTAAAGATAAAGATAAAAAAAATAGTTCAGGGCCCACTAACAATCAATTCTACTCAAATAGTGCAAATCCCGGTGCAGTCGTCAGAGAAAACGTGTGCACGGCGCTTGCGTTGGCCCACTTTTTTCCGCATTGTGTCTTAATTAACCCGAGTTTCACATTCTGACCATTGACGTTGACTGCGGGCGCAAGCTACTCCAAGTGCCCCTCCATAACCATGGCTCAAAATCTAAGTGGGGTGGACTTCTTTTTAGAAACACCTTTTGCCCATCATGGGTTGCACGGTGAAAAGCCACAGTACCCTGGCTCTCGTGCCTATTATTGGGTTGGTGCTGACCATGTGACGCTGATTCATTCATGTATCCATGGATAGGGGGTAAATCAGGTACTCCAGCTTGACTGTCAATCTTCTCAAGTTGGGTACAGCTGGGTACATCCGATGACAGCATAGAACTAAGCACGTGCGTGTCAAGTCTGAATCACATCGGAAACACATTGGTATTTGCAATGATCTGCGCTTGACTCCATAGTAGAATCAGATTGTATGTAAACCTTGTCCACGTGCACGCACACGAATTCGTGAGAACTCGGAAGCCCTGGAGCTAGGTGAGCCACAAGGTCAAAAAGTTGGCAGGCGGCGGAGTTCAGCCAGTCAATCGGTTCCACTTGGTTCTATCAGGCTCTTGTCCCCGTCGTGTGTTGTATGAGCTGATAACGCTACCGAATCGGCAGGGTGGGAATCGGTTTCCCAGGTGCCTGGGGGGCTGCTCCATAAAAATCTGAAACATGGGCATGGAAAATCCTAGACTAGCGGCGCTTGGGCATGTCACCTCGGCGCACGGAGCAATGTAATGGTGCCCATCCACTTAGGGAGCATGCGAATTACTTAATGTGGCCTAGCCTGACCGCTTTGGTCACATGACCACACAACCATTGAAAAGCGCGATCCCTGATCGGGACCGAGCTAACTCAAGCCACATTTTCTCGCTTCGCGGGAGCTCCGTCTAGTCCCGCGGCTCTGCACAGCTTTGCATTGGCCTTTTATGCATGGCTTGATGACAGCATGATTTGAGCTGTGACACTGACTTTACGATCTCCGGCCTTTGCCGAACAAGCCTTCTCCCCCTTTTCAGAGCTAACCTTTCGTCCAATCAATCCTGGCTGCAGGGCCTTGTAACCCCACTCTACCCCTACACCTTAAACAGACATGGCCTTGGTATCTGGCCCAGGCAGGGCTGGAGGTGCCTCGCCAGACCAGGATTTGCACATCTTGAAGCACGTCGCTTACATCAAGAACCTGGACACTGTGCGTGCTACTCTTACTATCTACAGGGGCAACAGTTGACGGTTGACAATAGAGGAAAGATGAGCTGGAATATTGGCTTACCGAACACCTGCGACTGAATGGAGTCTATTGGGGTTTGACGGCCTTGCATATTCTTGGTCATCCCGAGGCTTTGTCCCGAGATGAAACCATTGAATTTGTGCTCTCGTGTCAAAAAGACAATGGAGGATTCGGTGCTGCCCCCGGCCACGACGCTCACATGCTGTATACTGTCTCCGCTGTCCAGATCCTGGTTATGATTGATGCAGTGGATGAGCTGGAGAAAAGAGGCCGAGGGGGTAAGCAGAAAGTAGGCTCTTTCATTGCGGGTCTGCAAAACCGTGAGGATGGCTCCTTTATGGGCGACCAATGGGGAGAGACTGATACTCGATTCCTTTATGGCGCTTTCAATGCCCTGTCACTCCTGGGCCTCATGGAACTAGTCGATGCTGCCAAGGCGGTCGCTTATGTTCAAAGCTGCGAGAACCTGGATGGGGCCTATGGCCTCTTTCCCGGGGCAGAGTCGCACTCCGGACAAGTGTTCACCTGCATTGGTGCTCTCTCCATTGCTGGGCGCTTGGATTTGGTGAACAAGGACCGTCTGGGTGCATGGCTTAGTGAACGCCAAATCGACAAGGGTGGCTTCAATGGGCGCCCCGAAAAACTGCCCGATTCTTGCTATACATGGTGGGTTGGATCAAGTCTAGCAATGATTGACAGGCTCCACTGGATTGATGGTAAGAAGCTTGCTGGATTTGTCCTTCAATGTCAGGTTAGTCAATCCCCAACATCCTCTGCATTTTGCCATTCTAACTCCATGCAGGATTCCGAAGGAGGTGGGTTTGCCGACCGACCTGGAAACATGGTTGATGTCTACCATACGCACTTTGGTCTGGCAGGCCTGAGTCTTCTTGGTGTTGAAGGCCTGCAGGAAATCGACCCTGTTTAGTAAGTGGCTTGCTATCGGGTTCCAATGAACGTATCACTAATCGGGTAACAGTTGTTTGCCTAAATCAGTCGTTGCTCGATGCTTTGCAGAATGAACAAACATAGTTCACATGCACACCGTACATTCATTTATCCCTCCTGCCATCTAATAACCCTGGATTCCTTTTCACCATGGATCCTGGGATACAAGGCAGGAGGAGAGCAACTGCCCACTTTGACTTATTCCGCTTCATATCATCCCACAATGGCCTAAGGCTGTTAAGACATCGTGGCTCATTCCTGAGTACTTCAGGTCTAGATAGCATAGTTAAACGAGATACGAATCAAATCCCAACATAACCTGTCAAATAGTCTTTGGTACGATCTCAGCTTTCCAAGTTTGTTCCGTATGTAAGTGGTACCTTCCCATGAGGATTCCCGGGAACGATTAACGTGCCTTCCCATTGCGAGCAGCCTTGAGCCGCCTGTCGAGTGTCATGGCAGCCCGCTCATACTTTCCTCCCCATCTCATCTTCGCTTCTCATCGTTCCTTCAGCATTCTGTTTTGCACGGTGATTCTTGCTTTGTCTTTCCTTGTCTGCTTGGGGCTTGTATGCTGCTTCCTTCTGGTTTGGAGATATCCTGCTGGGGCTATGGATTCCGCCATGCTGCATTGCATTATCTGCCCTGGACAACCTCGATTCAGCGACGTCTCCCACTTGCTGACCCATGTCGCTTCCAAGGCTCATTTGTCCTATTACTTCAAGCTTCAAGTCCGCAGCGTCGGCGAGGCTCAAGCCAATGAGCTACTTGCAGAGTACGATCATTGGTATTGTACCAATAGTCTCGCCCAGTTGCTGTCCGACAGGATGACGTCCAAGGAAGACCGAAAGAAAAAGAGAAAAACCCAGCCCCAGAAGACGGTCGGTTCCAGGATTGAGCATACGCAGAGAAGATCGCGACGCTCGAACCCAAAAAATCTCCTTTCCCCTGAAGCTCCTGCTTTCCCCGACTTCCTGGATCCTCGCCTGGTGGACTCTCCAGAACAAGTGAAGTGGGATTCAAGCACCCAGGATTCGTCATTGAATCTGAAATCTGCCACTCCGCTTACGTCTGCGGAGACCGATGCCAATGCCACCATGCAAATGGGTCTTAACTTCGGGCTGGTTTCAACGCCGCCAATGCGTACTGTGACACAAGTGGAACATGGACACAACCGTGGATGTGCAAATATGAGCTATGCCATTTTGCCGGAAACACCGAAACGCCTTCGAGCCAGAGGCAGACCGAGTGCAATTTCTTTGGCCATGGGCCGCAACATATCGGATCCTTTCGTTGATGAGATGCGTACTGAAGTATCGGACGAGATCGATGCTGACAAGGATCGGGCAGATGAAATGGCCAGACTTAAGGGTATTCTGTGGCCAGGAATGGACATATTTGATTCAGCGACCCAGCAGATGCGACGCAAGCGCAATCAGAAAAAGGACCGGGGTGTGTTGGAGATGATGGAGTTGACATCGTTGCAGGTGGAGCCCACTGAGCTCATATTCTCCCCAACGGGGGTCTTCCGGAAGCAACGCGTGATATCTGGCAATGTTGAAGATGATACCCCTCTGAAAGGAGAGACGCCCATCCCAAAAAGGCGCATTTCACGTCCTAAGAATGGAGTCCTCCGCCAGGCTGACCCCAACTTGCCTCGCGCTCAAGACAGGAAGCGCGCTAAGAAGAGTGTGAACAACAACCGCAACAGGAAGGAATTGGAAACCTTCGATACCAATGATACATCCCCTTGCCCGTTTGCTGGGGGTTTGAAGGGCCTCAACCCATCATACGATGATGATAGTGAGATTGGTCTCGCTATGCAAGCGTTTGGAAAACGACGCGGTAATGGTTTTACCATCTTTGCAGATGGAGATGGACCAGCACTAGAATGCAACGACCGATCCGGGTACGGCGATGTTCCACGGGACAATTTGACTCCAGCACGTTTGATTCTGAACCACAAATCGGACGTTAACCATGTGGCAAAGCCTCGTCAAACTGCTCAAGACAAGGAAAACATCGAGCCGATCATGAACGCCCAGCGCCGAATAGATTTTCAGGATTGGCATTCACCCTTCCCCAGACAAATTGAAACTGACAATGCCGGCTACACACCTCGATTCTACTATGATGAGCCGCCGTACGGCAATCTTGGGTCTGATGGATCCGACAAGACTGGACATCGATCCAACCCTCTGCTGGCCCCGAGCTCAAAGTTGGGATACTACCAGGCAAGCCCATATGGGAATGACATGACGATGAACCCCAGTGACTGGACAACCACTCACATGCAACACCGTGCGGTGTCTTCTGAGGCGACTATCTCCGAGCAGGATCAGCATGACCTTGCCCGCCTTTATTTGGCCACCAATGCCGACTAGACGTTCTTAAACTTTCCAACGATCCGAGTTCAGAATCCTGCATTCGGATCAATTATCAATGATATAAACTGACAGTCATGCGTTTGAATATCGAGATACTCGATCATGACTATCCTTTCGTTGCAACATCATGCATGTTTTTATATTGGTGGATGAGGTGGTGTGTATTTCTTCTTTGCCCTGTGGCAACATTCCAGTTCTGTGAGTATTATGATCATTAGCGAGTATAAATATGATGGGCTTGTAATAGAAACCAATCAAACTGGCTATTTATCCTGTGTCTCACTATAAGCCTTCAGGTCTTTCGACAATGATATGCTTATCGCGTGGCCGAAGGCCGATAAGGGGCTGAGTCATCAGCCCATTAACGCCATCGCGTCTGTACGCGTCGGACTTGATAGATCAGCCGGAGCACGATTTAGACATCGCTGCTTCCTAAATCTCACTTGGACGAGGAATCTGGGAAAACCGAAGCTAATACCCCAGCGTTTCAAATTCCAAATTTATCAAGGCACCATGGCGCCCCAATCCTCGCCATCGTCCTCCGCACCATCTCCGTCCTTAAAACGCAAGCAGCCAACCATCTCGAGCTTTTTCACCCAGAAACCGACCTCGACTCCACGATCTTCCGCTCCTAGAGAGCCCGAAACTCCTCCCGTCAAGCCATTTAAGAAGAGACTTGCTTCCCCTGAACTGGAACCAGAGCCGGAGCTGGTGACAGAGGCAAATGAAGATGACGATATTGTTGCACCTCCCCCCAAACGAGCTCGAAAGACCGGTCCTTCGCCCGAAAAGCAAATCCGGAAGATTAGTCCTGCCCAAGAAAAGCAACCCCAAAAGACCAGTCCTACCCCCGACAAGCAACCCCAACCCTCAGCAGAACCTCCAGCTCATTCACTATCCCAACTGAGCAGCAGCCAACGAACCGACATCTTCAAATTCCAAAAATCACAAGCCGCACCGCCTACCCAAGATGATAATGTAGAAGACGCACAGCGCAGGAAAGAAAAGGAGAAAATGCACCAGAAATTCGTGCGCAGACTCGGCGGTGCTGATTGTTTGATCGGTATTGGACGGAACGCTACTGCTACTGACGCCGGTGCCATTGAGGCCGAAGAAGGCGAGGAAGCCGATGCAGATGATGAACCTGCCCCTCCCCCTAAGAAAGGGAAGGCTGCTGCCAAGAAGGGTGGTAGTAAGCTTACGCCGATGGAGAGACAAGTCATCGATATCAAACGCAAGCATATGGATACCGTACTTGTCATTGAAGTCGGATACAAGTTTCGGTTCTTCGGAGAAGATGCTCGGATTGCGGCGAAGGAATTGGGTATCGTTTGTATTCCCGGAAAATTCAGATTTGATGAGCGTAGGTCAACTACTTCCAAGGTGCTCTCACTATCTGATTTATGCATCTAAAGCTAATGAATGTTTTATAGACCCTTCCGAGGCTCATATAGACCGCTTCGCTTCTGCTAGTATCCCTGTTCACCGACTGCATGTGCACGTGAAACGTCTTGTTACTGCAGGCCACAAGGTCGGGGTGGTGCGCCAGATCGAGACCGCTGCGCTCAAGGCTGCAGGTGATAATCGCAATGCGCCATTCGTCCGGAAACTGACCAATCTGTACACGAAAGGCACTTACATCGATGATATCGAGGGGCTTGAGGGCGCCGTGCCTGCTGCGGGAAATTCCTCCCCAGCTACGGGATACATGCTGTGTATCACGGAAGCCAACCTCAAAGGCACTGGAAATGACGAGAAGGTGCATGTTGGTATCGTTGCTGTTCAACCAGCTACTGGCGATGTCATCTATGATGACTTCGAAGATGGTTTCATGCGGAGTGAGATCGAGACAAGACTGCTGCATATTGCACCTTGTGAGATCGTCATCGTTGGGGATATGTCTCGGGCCAGCGAGAAGCTTGTGCAACATCTGTCTGGAAGTAAGGCGAATGTCTTCGGAGATGCGGTGCGTGTTGAACGGGTATCGAAAAATAAAACTGCTGCTGCGGAAGCACATAGCCATGTCGCAAGTTTCTATGCTGGCAAGATGAAAGCGACCGGTACGGAAGAAGATGCACAGGCAGCCAAGCTACTCCAAAATGTCCTTGAACTGTCTGAACACCCTACGATTTGTCTATCAGCTATGATTGAGCATATGTCAGATTATGGACTGGAACATGTCTTTGATCTGACGAAGTACTTTGAGCCATTCTCTGCTCGATCACACATGCTTCTCAATGGAAATACACTGGTTAGTTTGGAGATTTACCAAAACCAGACAGATCACACTGTGAAGGGTAGTCTGTTTTGGATGTTGGACCGTACGCAGACGCGGTTTGGTCGGCGGCTGTTGCGACGTTGGGTTGGGCGGCCTTTACTGGATAAGGGCCGCTTGGAGGAACGTACCAATGCAGTTGAAGAATTGATGAACCCTGCTCGTGTTGTTCCTGTGGAACGGATTAGAGGGTTGTTAGGCAAGATCAAGAGTGACTTGGAACGGAGTCTGATTCGTATCTATTATGGCAAGGTAAGTTGGCACCATTAACCGTTTGGGACCCCTCGCTGACTCCATGAAGTGCTCTCGACCAGAGCTTCTCACTGTTCTACAAACCATGCAAATGATCGCAATGGAGTTTGCGGATGTCAAATCTGCTGCCGATACGAGCTTCAAGTCACCTTTGATCAGTGAAGCTATTGCATCTCTTCCAACAATCCAATCAGATGTCACTCAGTACTTAGAAAAGATTAATCTTCATGCTGCACGGACCGATGACAAGTATTCCTTCTTTCGCGAAGAAGAGGAGACCGAAGATATCAGCGACCAAAAATTGGGAATTGGCAGCATCGAACACGAGCTTCAGGAACACCTCGCCGTGGCCGGAGAGCGCATAGGCAGGAAGAAAGTCCAATACGCCACAGTCTCCGGAATTGAGTACCTAATCGAAGTCGAAAACAACTCCCTGGGAATCAAGCGTGTCCCAGCATCCTGGGTCAAAGTCAGCGGAACAAAGAAGATCTCCCGATTCCACACACCGGAAGTGATCCAATTCATCCGCCAACGAGACCAATACAAAGAGGCCCTTGCAGCAGCCTGCGACAGAGCCTTCGCAGCCCTACTCGCATCCATCTCATCTCAATATCAGACATTCCGCGACTGCGTCCAGTCCCTCGCAACACTAGACTGCCTCCTCTCCCTCGCAACAATCGCCCAACAACCTGGCTACGTGAAACCAGAATACACAAACCACCCATGCCTCCACGTCTCACAAGGTCGCCACCCAATGGTTGAGCAACTCTTAACAGACGCCTACGTTCCAAACGACACATCCCTCTCCACAGACGGCACACGTGCCCTCCTCGTAACAGGTCCAAACATGGGCGGAAAATCTAGCTACGTCCGCCAAGTCGCCCTGATAGCAATCATGGCCCAAATAGGCTCCTACGTCCCCGCAGCATCCGCCCGCCTTGGCCTCCTAGACGCAGTTTTCACTCGCATGGGTGCATTCGACAACATGCTAGCAGGTGAATCGACATTCATGGTCGAACTCTCCGAAACGGCCGATATCCTCAAACAAGCTACACCACGCTCTCTAGTTCTGCTAGACGAACTGGGTCGTGGAACATCCACACACGACGGCGTTGCTATCGCTCAGGCAGTGCTGGATTATATGGTTCGGTCGATTCGCTCACTTACCTTGTTCATTACGCACTACCAACATCTCTCGAAAATGGCAACCGCGTTCCCGAATAAGGAACTACGAAACGTGCATATGAAGTTTACGGAGTCTGGCGAAGAGGGGGACGAAGATATTACATTCTTGTATGAGGTTGGTGAGGGTGTTGCACACCGTAGTTATGGCTTGAATGTGGCAAGGCTGGCAAATTTGCCATCTTCTGTTATTGAGGTAGCGCGGGAGAAGAGTTCGGAGCTGGAGGAGGAGATTAAGAGGAAGAGGTTGGTGAAGCTTGTGGGGGCTGTTGGGAGGGTTGTCGAAGAGGAGGGTGGTGTTGAAGATGAGATGATTGATCGCTTGCTTGCGAATGTTGCACAGCTTTAGATTTGAGGCTTGGTTTGCCTCTATTGTACATTATTTCCCAATTTGGGGTTTCGGATATCAAACATATTCACTCTATCAGCCGCCACACTCTGGTTTTCATATCATTCAGCTTCAATGTCAATTCTCGACGATTGACCTGTTGGCTCTATAAGTCTCCTGCTGGGCCAGGCTGTTTCCAATACGCGTGAACTACATCAGTGACTTCACCTCGATCTATATCCGGGCTCATCGTTATCTTCGTAGTGTTAGGTTTGATAGGTTTAAATACCAGTGCTTACTGCCCAGGTGGCTTGCTTTGTGCTGCTATGGTTCATTTCTTTGAAAAGATTCAAAATCGATTTCCATTTTCATATCTGATCTTCGTTCTTGTGTGGAAATCGTACCCCGCGTGTAGAGACTATCGGGTTGGCGGGGAAATGTATTGCTAAGTCACTTTGACTTTGAACTGATTGTTTCATTGCAGTGTAACTGGCTTATGAATTGATGCTACTGCGGATTATATATATCAACGGGTAATTAGGCCAATGCAATTGCTCTATAAAGTCCCATGTGGGGTGCTTCATAGGGTGGTCTTTTACAGTAACAATGGGTGGTTCTAATGCATTTCAGATACTTGGTAGTATATTGAACCTGGTGGTACCGCAATTGCCAGGTATTGAGATCTTGGAAGCCCTAGAGGTACCTTGGAAATTGATAATCCCGTGCAGAGACTGAGCCAATATCAAGACCAAGCACTTCAACATTGAAGTTCAGCCTAGATTACTACGCTACGAATGACCAGTCTTTCGACATTAGAACCGGAAGTTTCGAATTTTTTTCTTAGATTCCCGTAGTTCTTTTTTGTCGATCAGACCTGGTTTAACTCGGTGCCTATAGTACCACCTTGCAGTGCACAAAGGAAAAAAAGAAAGAAGCACATCACAACCTCGTTTGTCGCATTGAGCCCATGCAAGCACGTCAAATAGACGCGTGTATGTAGTAAAACACCAAACCAAACCAGACCAGACCATCCCACAAATTCAAACCAGCCATCGCGCAACCTCATTTCATTTTTCATATAAACAGGGGTTGGAGTCTGCTCGTTCTCTCTATCTCTCTCTCTCGTTCGGGACCTATGATCGACTTCATTGGGAACTTCTTGGAGACGTCACCAAAAAGTCCCATCCACCCAAATCATCACCTCCATCGGATCATCGGGAACGAAACTCGAGAGGTGGAAATGGGCGACGCGGCGGTTGAGGTTGAGGAGTCGGGGGGAGTCAGAGGATCGGCGAAAAAGAAAAGCGAGGACACAGTTTTGGCCGAAGAACGATCAAAGAAAACCGGACGTGAGGGATATGCGAGAGACGAAGAGAGACGAAAGACATAGCGCGAATGAATTGTTGTTTTGGGGTTTTTTAACGGAGACGGCGGGCCTCGCGCTCGGACTCGAGCAAGCAGAGGATGTCGTCAACCTTGACTGTGGTGCGGAAGAATATTGTATTAGCGATGTTGATTCGTGGGATTGCATTGCGGTTCCGAAAAAAATTCCATCGTTCGTTGTTGATTCTTCAATATTGAATATTGAATCCTCGTCCTTCATATTCCATATCCTCCGGGGGAAAAACTCAAAGAAATCGGAATCGCATACCTGGGCCCTTCACGTTACGGATGATGGAGCGGGAAGTGTCGTCCATGAACTCGACGCGGACCTGGGTGACACCACCACGGGAACCTAAACGCAGAAAAACCACAGATCAGTATTCGTTGTCTGCTGAAAATTCGCAATTCCATCCTGCAATATGATCCTGGCGATTGTGGAGGTGTGGTTTGTCGGCCTCCGCGGATCTCGAAATCTTCCAGTATCGAATATCGAATTGTTCGTGTGGGAGGAGAGGTCACGTACCGGTGCGACCGAGGACACGGGTCACCTTGACGAGCTTGACGGGCTGCTTGCTGGAATCCATCTTGGAGGGATGAGGGTGAGCTCGGACGAGGGTGGTGAGAGTTTGGGTGGACTGTGAGAAGAGGCGGATGTAAAGATGAATTTGCCTTGTGTGGGTTACCAAATTACGCGAGGGCTCAGGGCTGTCAACACCTGACCCGTCAGGCATCAGTTGATCAATGCGGATGATGAGTCATCCGATCTGCGTCGCGCTTGACACCTCGACACCTAAGGCGGAGATATTAGTCATCTACTCTGGCATTGGACACGCTAAGCCGGGGATTTAAACTCGTCCGCTACATTTTTCGATGCTAATTGTTATGTGTCACATAAGATATAGATACAATTGGAACTCTGAGTCACTTGAAGGAATTCAATTCCCATAATCACTCACACGTGGGCGCATTCTAACATATCCTTTGCCGTACCTTGGTCTGCAAATCAGACCCGTAACCAAGTATCATACACCGGAAGTAAATCGGAGTACCTAATCGCTGCCCCTCCAATTTCTGCCGCAAAGAGCTCCGGTCTGCCCGCAACCACTCTTACCCTCTCATATACCCCAGCCATTGCTTTGAGACAGATTTTCAAGTCTCTTAATTTACCATTGAATTGATCTTCAGGTCATTTCTTACATCAATACTCCCGCAAGACTTTTTAAAAAGCCCCTCCGTGCCCCGCGCCGCCCTCATATTATCACAATGGATCTCGTTAACCAGTGAGTCAATCCGAACAAAGAAGCTATATCAATGGCAAGAATAACCTCAATTAACATCCAATCGCAACAGCCTCGAAGGACGTCTCCTCTTCGCCGTTCCCAAAAGCAAGTCTTCCTCCAACACACCAATGACTCATTCACCCTCAAAGGCGAACAAGACAGAAGACATGACGCATACGCATGTACCCCATTGAACCAACCAACTAACAGCGCATTCATTACAGAGGGACGTCTCCAGCAAGCCACTCTCGACCTCCTCGCCGGCTGTGACGTCCAGTTCCGCCGCGAAACCCGTCTCGACATCGCGCTGGTCAAGAACCTGCCCATCGCCCTGATCTTCCTGCCCGCGGCCGACATCCCTACCTTCGTCGGCGAGGGCCGTGTTGACTTGGGTATTACCGGCCGCGACCAGGTCGCTGAGCACGACGCTACCTTGCCCGCCGGTGAGGTCTCCGGCGTCGAGGAGATCCTTGATCTCGGCTTCGGTGGCTGCAAGCTGCAGGTGCAGGTTCCCGAGAAGGGAGATATCACCGAGGCCAAGCAGCTCGTTGGTCGCAATGTTGTTACCAGCTTCACTGCGCTTACCGAGCAGTTCTTCGCTCAGCTTGAGGGTGTTGAGGCTGGCAAGAAGAACCTGAGCACTAAGATTAAGTACGTTGGTGGTAGTGTTGAGGCTGCCTGTGCGCTGGGTGTCGCAGATGGCATTGTCGATCTTGTTGGTAAGTCAATCATTGCTCTTTTCCTTCATATAATCCTGCTATATACTGGGGGATATTTTGTTTGTGGGGCCAATGCTAATGGCAACTTTAGAGTCTGGTGAAACCATGAAGGCTGCTGGTCTTAAGGCTATTGACACTGTCGTTACCAGCACTGCTGTGCTTGTCAAGTCCCGGACTTCCAACAACGATACCGTGAACCTGCTTACTTCACGTATTCGCGGTGTCATTACTGCCCAGAAGTTCGTTCTGTGCCAGTACAACATCCCCCGTTCCGAGTTGGCTACCGCTTCCAAGATCACCCCTGGAAAGCGCGCGCCCACTATCACTGCCCTCGAGGAGGAGAACTGGGTCGCTGTTAGCTCAATGGTTGAGAAGAAGCGCATCGCCACTGTTATGGATGAGCTGATTAAGGTTGGAGCTACGGATATTTTGGTGCTGAACATTGCCAACTCCCGTACCGATTGAATTGGTTCATGACGACTTTTCTCTTCTTTTCAGTTCCTCCTTTTGGTTGCGTATTATGATATTTTATGATTTGTCTGGGTTCTAAATGTTGAACACAAAAAACCTGGTATATAGAGCATTGGGTTATATAGCGAGTTTCAAAAGGAAATGAATGTCTTTGTACACAATTCTTCTCTAAGTTCTTTAATATATAAAAATTCTCTGTGCATATCATACAAACATATGCAAATGTAACAATGCATGTCCACAGTATAGACGCCGCGATCAACATGAATCATAAGTCAAAGTCGTAACAAAAGTGGTATCATGGCAGGGTAATGGGGATGGACAAAAAAGGAAAAAAAAAACAAGAAACAAAAATTCATAATGCACAAATACCCTGCGGTAAATCCAAGCCATCAAAGATGGATGCATGTGACGTCGACGGACTCACTTCTGGCTGCCCATACCAACACCTTCACGGCGTCCTCGAACAATAGCTCTCAGACACTGCCCCACACCCTCGAGATCACCAAGTAGTCCAACATGACCACGGTCACTCTTCACCAGCCCACCCTTGATTATCCGGTATCCGGGCGGCAACATCGCAGCAGAAGCCAGGCAGACACCATCACCAGCCGCAAAGGCCAGATCATCATAACAATCCTGATGCTTGATCGCCTCGCGCGAGACAACCCGGGCTCCATATACGGTTGGCACACCCTTGCCATACAACACAGCAGCAGGCGGGTACTTATTACCGATTTGATGAGCAGGCTGGAAGTCCAACTCCGACTTGAACTGCTTGACCTCCGCAAGAGTGCGTTTCAGGTACTCCATGGCCACAGCGCGGGGAATAGTGCTCGTTGTCGAGGCTTTGGATGACCCGGCACTACCTCGTGGGTTTGAGACCGGGCCTATCATACCATCTGCTGGGAGTTGAATGTTCTCCTGGATCTTCTCGGAAACCGGGCGCGCAGGAGACTCAGATGCAGAGTGGGCAGAGCGGGGTGGGTTGCGTGCGGAGATATCTTCATCCGTTGTTGTAGTTTGGTCGTGGAAGTCGGCAAAATCTTGGACGTTGGTTTCGGCGTCCTCGCGCGGGCCCATGGAGAATCGCTTTCCGATTAGAGCGGAGGCTTTGAAGCCGCGGCCAGTAGCTGTGATTGGAGGGAGACATGGCTGGATGCAAGGGGAAAGGCGGTGTTCATCCCAGTTTGCGGGATCGAAGAAATCTACTCTGTATTCTTCTTTGGATTGCTTGTCGATGAAACAGCGGCCGTTTTCTGGCAAGAGGGCGAAACTGGTACGGAAGGTGAAGTTCACTTGGGCTGTTAGGACGCGGGAGCTGAGAAGGACGTCGTCACCGTTTCTGAGTGGGCCAAGAATGTTCACGCAGTGCTGGGGTACTCCGGCGTATAAGACGCCGGCGAAGAGATCGGGTCGTTGATTGACGGCATGACGGGTGATTAGGCCGCCAAGACTATGGGCGACTACGTAGGCGCCGCGTCTCTGGCCAGTCTCGCCGTTCGGGCGGTTGGATGGCAGTCCTTCAAGGAATTCAATTAACCTCTTGGAAAGGAGGTCTGGGCTTAGACGCCAGTCATAGCCGTAGTCCCAGACGCGAAGATCACCGCGGACAGCGTTCTCGCATTTTCGAAGCCGCTTCATTAGTCGACGGCACACATCCACGGGCCCGACATGAGAAAGGACACCGGATGGGATGATGGTCTCTTCCATGCGCTCTTCATCTTCCCGAGTCAGACCAACCTCCAGATCGACCTTGCGCAAATTCAATCCCACTTTCATTGGAACCCACAACTGGCGATGGGGTGGCTTGGCAGATCGCAAAATGGAGCCTCTATAACCGCCCAAAATCACGATATCGCCGGTCAGTTCTGACATGGCTTCTTCCAGGATTGGATGTGTAGACTGTGGGTGTTGTCGTGGAGGAGGTGGCGGCGTCGCAGCTGCATGGACTGAGCGAGTCACCTCTTTATCAGCCGAAGCCGATGAATTTCCCAAATCGGGGAAGAATGGCTTCGAGTTCCAATCATTACGAATGTCCTGCAGATTCAAGCCTGGCATACTAAGCAAGCGGCTACTTGAATCCTGCAAGGAATCTTTGATCGCTTTGAACCGGCTATTGACCTGGGAATGCACATTCTCATATCGCGGCCGTTGCTCCAACGAGGACGCCGTGGACGATGCACGCAAGTACAACGATTGATCCGAAGATGATCGGCGTAGACTTGGCGGTCGTCCCGGCGTCGCACTAGGCCGCCGGGCGAAAGAATGCTTTACAGCGGAGCTTGCTTCCACCGACTTTAATTCCGGAACTTGATGGCCATCATCAGCTTCATCCGAATCATGATCCGCTCCATTGGGCAACGTAGGCGAAAGGGGATGACGCCGATCCAACGAAGCAGTTCTTTTCTGCAGGAATGTCGAGCTCCGTTTTCCCGCGCCTTCTACGGTTTGGCTGCGGGCTCGGTTGTGGGCATTATGAGATAGGAAAGGCAGCGTTGGCCGCTTCGCCAGCGCGCCCAAGTCCGGAAAGAACTTCTTCAGCTCCCCAGACCATGCTCGCGGCCGACGAGGAAGCGACGTTTTCAGCAACGACCGGGTGAAGCTTGATCGATGAATCCCGGACTCCTTGGGCTCATGCAACGCGGCAGCTGACGCAGAGCCTCCGGTGTGGGGACCGCGTGGCGTCCGGCGCTCCACCGGCAAGGTTTGTGCATGAGGGAGCACGCCTAGAGCCCTCTGAGTCGCCGGCTTAGCCTCTGCCCGTTGGGCCGCCAAATCGTCAGACTCCACCGATTCGGGCTCCGCCGTGATTTCGGAGACGAACAGCCCATCCTCGCCGACAGCGTCCGGGACCTCGTTGAAATAGCCGCCGTGGGATTCCAAGATACGATTTTTCTCTTCGGCAGGTGTTGCGCGAGCTTTCATGCGGCTCTGGGTGGGACCAATGCTGACACCGACGACGTCGTCGGCATCATCTTCGTTCGCATAGCTGTCGAAGTGCGGGGTTGGGCCATCGCTGTCGGAGCTCGAGAAGGAGGAGTATTGGGAGGGAGATTCGGATGCGACCGCAATGCCGGACGATTCGGACGAATAGGATACTTGTTGCGGCTGTTGTTGATCGAGTCCTTTGTCCGATTGAGAGCCTAGCGGATCAGGCTGGTCGGCGACTAGGGACACCATGGTACGAAGCGCACAAGGGAAGGAAGGAAAAAATAACGAAACCCGACCGCTAGGTTCAGGGCATGAGGTCGTACAAGCCAAGAAGTTTATACAAAGCTTGGCTCCAAGTAACCTTGGGCTTGGCTCATGTAAGATCAATGCAAAGGGATAATCAGTCGTAACACAGGGATTGGAAGCTCCCCCAAATTGTTCAACATTGAAAAGTACCTGAAAATTGGTGACGTGAGGAATCAATGTCCGTTATAAGCCGTTGAAGACCGAAAACAGGCAGGGTTCCACAGCACAGCCTCCGGGTCTACCGGAAGGCAAAAACTCTGTCTAAATCCACGTGAAAATGTACTTATAAGCTGACCGTGGTGCTTAACTAATTGTTTTGGTTCCAGCCCCAAACTTGTGTCAGCTCGTTACTCTGGTTTCTCCCTTTTGCTGTTTTCATGATCGACGCATTATCGTGGTTTGGCCCGGGAGATCGATGGTTCAATTACCAGAATTGATCGGCCCCCATCAAATGCGCTATGACATCGACCGCGTGTCATAACATAATCATCGGAAGTTATGCGAAAGTCAAGCTTTTCTGCATTGATTTCAAGTTTGTTTGGCGATCCCGAGGCTTAAGCAATGCTCCAATCACAGACTAGCTAAGTGGCTTGATACACGCATTTGCGATTTGCTACTCTAATTCCATGCCACGTAGAGCGGGGCAGAACAATTTCACATCTGGGGGCCATTTCTGACCTTCTACTTAATGAGGATCCTTGCCGAGACATGCTTATTCCGGGGCTGTTCATACGGACGAATTCTTATAAATGCCGAAGCCGAAGTTCGGACAAACAGTAATCAAGTCCCCACTGCGGCTGAGTCCCCGCTCAAGCCTTAGCACGAACTAGATAAGTATAGGGATAAATAACCTCGGCATGGATCACCGTTTAAAATTGCGTGAGAAATTACTCTTAACTCTATCTCAACCGCTAGATCGAGCAATCAAGGTTTACAAGGTTTTACCTTGTAAACCGAGTTAAAGTCTATCAAAGAATCAAAATATATTTATGATGGATATCCCTAAACTGAAACCTCGGAAATATTTGCGAATGATGCATAGATCATTTTGATCCATCACGGCGAGGCGTTTTCTGAAAATCTTTCGATAAGATCTCCTGTTCTCCCCGACGCTCAATTTCCTCATTCCATTCCGCACTTTCATGGGACCCAAATGCCCGATCGACAGTCGCATTAAGCGCCCCACGTAGTGTCTCTCCAGCGCCCTGTACACCTATTAGCCCGATCCAAACTGACGGGAACTAAAAGAAAAGCTGGACATCTGTAATAACAACTCACATGAACTCCGGCTGCAACACCTCTAATTCCCTTACCAAGACCCTCGCCGTGAGAGTGGGGTTGAGAGCCATGTTGTTTCTGCGCCTTCTCCATTTCCTTCTCCATCTTCACTCGCTCCGCCGTGCTAGGCGCATGGTTAATCCTAGAGTCGCCCGCCGGTGCATCAAAGCTCCCTGTCGGTGAGGCTGGACGATAATAGTCTTGGTCGGATCCGCCGGCTCCGGTTTTGTACCCTGCGCCGGTGGCGCTGTTATACCCGGTGGTTGCGGGATCGTACTGACTGCGTTGGTCGGACATGGAGGTCGGGATACCCGGTGCACCGATAGAGGAGCCGGAGCGCATTGGTTTACTTTGAGACGACATTTCGGTGATGGTTATTTGTTTCGGATAAGTACAGAGTAGGGTTAGGATGAGTTCGGAATTTGGTGCAGCCACCTTTATACTTCTTGCATCGTGACGTCATCATTAACGCATAGGTACAGTTGGCTGATCTGGGGATAAACATTTCCATTATTAGTGGAAGAGTATTTGTGTAGAGGTATAGATGCTATCAATCCGTGTAACCACAAGTCATGGATATCGGTTACTCAATTTGATGCCCAGCTCGAGGAGCCGAGGTCCAGATTCTGTCTGTGGAGCAATTTTCCTAATCTGGGGTTGCTCCGATCCTACGATCTCTAAAGTCCCTGCAGTTCCCCCAACATATGTTCTTTCGTTCCCCAGACTTTTTCTCTTAATTTTCTAATTCAGTCTCCTTCAAAATAATCTACACAGTCTTTCATACCCCTAAAACAAACCATGTCCTACAAACAAATCCTCTACAACAAGGCTCCTGAGCCAGCTATCGATCCCACCCTCAACTCCGGCACCTTTCGCCTAAACACTGTCCCCCGTCCCACAGATGTCCCGGCAGACAAACTCCTTGTGCGCGTGCACTACCTCTCTCTCGACCCAGCAATGCGCCAATGGCTCACAGCCAAACGGTCCTATATCGCCCCAGTCGAGCTCGGCGCCGTGATGCGCGGCCAGAGCATCGCACAGGTAGTCGAAGTCGGCAGCTCCTTGACCTCGCAATTTAAAACCGGTGAATGGGTCGTTGCATACTCAGGCTGGCAGGAATACGCCTTGATGGGCGCAAAGGAAGTGGAGAAAGTGACTCTCCCCGCCGGAGGACGCCCCACAGACGCAATGTCCGTCCTCGGCATGACCGGGTTAACAGCTTACTTCGGCATGCTGGAGGTTGGACAGCCAAAGGCCGGCGAGACTGTTGTTGTTTCTGGTGCTGCGGGCGCGACTGGTAGCATTGCGGGACAAATTGCCAAGATCAAGGGTGCCAAGCGGGTTGTTGGGTTGGCGGGGAGTAAGGATAAGTGTGAGTTCCTTGTTAAGGAGCTTGGCTTTGATGCTGCGATCAATTATAAGGATCCGCAGTGGAAGAAACAGTTGAAGGAGGCTACGCCTGAGTATATTGATGTTTTCTTTGATAATACTGGTGGTGAGATTTTGGATGCTTGTCTTGCGCGTGCGGCGCGGGATTCGAGGTTCGTCATTTGTGGTGCTATTAGCCAGTATAATGCTGCTAAGCCGCAGGGGCCGACGAGCTTTATGACTGTTATTGTGAGTTGAATTTTTATTCGCATTGGACTGGGCTTGTGGCTAATATTTTTACAGTCTCAACGAGTCACTGTGAAGGGATTCATTGTTTTTGACTATGCGAAGAAGTATGGTGCTGCGTTACAGGAGCTGGCCTCTTGGCTTTCGCAGGGCAAGCTGAAGCGTAAGGAGCATATTGTGCAAGGTGGAATTGAGGGAACGCCTAAGGCTCTTGTTGATCTGTATGCCGGTGTAAATACTGGTAAGATGATGGTGGAGGTTGCTCCAGTTAGCGAGGCATTAGGACCTAAGGCCAAGCTGTAAGGTACCGCTAGCGAAGTCTCATTTCGGCTGTTATATCCAGGAGTCTATTCTTTGATCCATGTCAGAAGAGGCAAAGGAATCTTATAGATGCAGGTCATCTCTAGTGCTGGTATCCATACCCACGCGGATATATTCACTCGTACATAAGTGTTAGTAAATAATTCGAAAAATATTCTTGGGGAGTTGTTTTATAACAATATCAAATCTTGCGTGAATCCGGCTGCTTTGCATTATCCCTCGCATTTCCTCAAGGAATAAAGTTTCGTCTATCGCCGATCTCTACTATGGCTGCATGGGAAGACCCGTGAAGGGGAACAGGGTTGTCGCCCGGGTGTACAAAACCTCGTTTAACCCCGGGGGGCCAAAATGACAATACAGTCACAGCAACTAACAGGGGCTAGTCCTGATATGGCTATCCGTAGCACAAAGGAAGGGACATCGACCCCCTCCTATTCTCTACCACCATCACGACTTCAGGAATTAGACAGCACAGGATCTTCAGATCAAAGGAACCGAGGCCGGCAAGTTGCCACAGGTGCCAGCTTTTGCTCTCATGATGCAGCCCTCGCGAAAACGCAAGGTGTCTTCTTGCATTCCTTGCTACACTAGAAAGCGAAAGGTATTCGTGAGAGCACCAATGTGGTCCTGATAGGAATCCCAGGACAAGCTCCCCAAACATGATCAGTGTAATCGTCAATGCCCTTGTAACCACTGCACCCACCGCCGTCGCCCGGAAGACTGCGCATACTATCTATCGGAAGACACCCAACCCCCTTCTAACCCGCTATTGCAAATTCGCGACCGCCACAATGAATATGATCGAAGGAGCCCCAAAAATAGGAACGTAAACTTCTCTCTCGACACCATTCCAGACCTAGAAAGTATGAGGAATCCGACAAGCAGTGCCATCCTTTCGTCTCTAACGGATGTCTTCGGCTATTCTGAAGACAGTCAAAGCAACACGATACATCTGATTATCTCCCCTTCCCGTCATGAACCATTGAAAGGATCCGGGATATGTCACTGGCCGATATTCGCCACTCGTGCGACGAAGCTGCTGACAGACTCGCATAAATATGTCTCCGTCTCAATTCCAAGAGAAGTCTTCTCCGCGTACAACACTTGGCCTTTGTTGGGTTAAAGGCCAAGTGTCAGGGCTCTACGAAGGACTTCCGAGGTACACTGCGGTCCGCGATAGAAGTTGCCCAAAGGATTGGGGCAGATAAATATGTTTTTTCAGACGTTCCGTATGTGAGTGAGTTAGAGAAAGAAACTCGCGGCAGGATATTCTGCAATCTGTATATATAGCACAGGTGAGTGGCTAAGGATATCTTTTCTTGCCATGGCACATCTGATCAATTGCATGTGCTGACCTTGCAGCTATTTATCACGACAATTGGACCGTATCCCTACTATTCCCAGTGGGATAGAGCCGGAGAACATGCCACGCATGCACCTTGGCTCCGATATCAATGACGCTCATGGCCTCAATAAATTCACTGAGCGCATCCTTCAGGTTCGCCTGGCCAATTTTTGGAGGAGCATGGATCCAATATTAACTCGCGCTTCGTTTCTCGGCCCTTACTCGAGACCATACCAATCCAAATCTATCCTAGGCATAAATTATAATTTCTAAAACTAGACAGCTTTATTTCCAGAGCGACCGCATTACGTATAATGCTATCTATTGGAGAAAATCCCTGAACCCACTAGTTCTATGTCCCTCCTCATTCTCACCCATTCCTCCCACCACTACTAGAGTACCTGAACTGCTAGAATCCATATGGACTGTTCGCACTAAGACTAAGCCCGTCAAAGCTTCATTTTATTAGTGTAATAATGCAACGCCAGTCACTAAGCACTTCTCAAATGGCTAAGGCAGCAGAATGCAGCTTATGCTTCTACACCGCACGACCTGCCCGCGAAACTTTGCTGCGCTCCCACTGTCAAACTTGTTGCTGATCTGATTGTTGATTGGCTGATTTCATTGCCAAGAATTCCTCTTATTTGCCATTGTTCCTGCACTTCTGATTTGCCTGCTACTTGTAATCTCACGTGCTCTTCCCGTCTCGTGTAGGCCTCGCCAAAACGCGGGCCGGGTTGGGTTTGCGCATTTCAGGACCCACCCATGAGTAGACCCAAATTACCCAAATATCATTCAATATGTTCATAGTATGTATTGGTCATCGTCGGTAGTATTTTTAATTACAGTAGCCCCGTGATACTTTTTTCAGGAAAAAAAAGCAGTATTCTGATGTGTCGAAAACGCGGCTACGTATAAGCCGCTAATTTCGCCTCATGTACCCAAGGGAGTGACGTGGCCGTGCGGATGAAACGAGGCAGGGTAAAGCGGGCAGTCCCTGGAGCCTGTCGCCGGCTGCGGTTGATTCTCTCTCGACTCTGCGAATCTTTAGGACTTTTACGTCGCCATGGAAGCACTCGGGCTCGTTGCCAATATTGCGGCGGTCATTCAATTAGCTGCCCAGGTCACCCAACTAAGCTACAGCTACGTGCAAGAGGTGAAAAATGCGCCCAAGATACAGAAAAGGTACCTCCAGGAGGTTTCTGCTTTGATGGATATTCTTTGGCGTATGGAACGGACTGTCGTGGACACGGAATCTACGGGGCTACTCCCGCCACGTCCAGCTTCATTGGACGATGATGCGTTGATGGAGTGTTACAAGGAACTGTCGCATCTCCATTTCGAGCTTCAGAAGCGGAAATCTCGACTCCTGAGACCATTCCAGGATAAGGAATTAAGACCACATATTGAGATGCTTCATAAGTTCAGAGAGAACTTCTCCGAGTATCTTTCTGCTTGTGTCCTGTGTGTATGACAATGCTTTCATATATGTCCCTTTCCGCTGATAAATCGAACAGGGTTACTACAAATGCGACGTACCAAAAGGTTTCGTCTATCAGCATAGGCAAATCAATCCCCAAACATGAGATGGCTCGTCAGAAATACTAATTCTTGCACAGAGCAAGATAGAAACATGCTTCTCATAATGGTCCCACCTGTGAATATTCAATTACGAGAGAATCCAACGCCCTGTCCAGGGACGGGTAAATGGTTTTTGAACAACCACATTGTGAAATATTGGATTGAAAGGCCATCACGAATGCTGTGGTGCCACGGCTCACGTAAGTAGCCAGACTATAATTTGTTGTTCTTTTCTATTTCTAACTAGATTCTAGCTGGAGTTGGAAAAAGCTTTCTCGCGTGAGTAGGCCTTCTCTTTGCTAGGGTCCTATGCTTCGAAACTGTTAGGACCAGGATCCCATCTCTGCCCGAGGCGACCCAGTGCCCTTCCCTCGAATCGGACATTTTCCACTCCCCTCCCACATCTGTCATCATTAATCCACTCTCCCTTCCTTGTTCCCTTCTTTGTTCCCTTACTCGCCCCTATTGATTATCATTAATCTGAGGGCCGCTTATAACACGAGAATTGTACTAGTTCAGTTCTCATTGATTACCTTGCAAAGCAAAGCCTTGGCGACGCTCTTGTGGTATACTTCTTCTGCGACTTCCCTTCGCAGACTGAACATACCACTATGAATATCCTTCGATGTGTAACTCGGCAGCTGATTCAAAAAGGGGGCGAAAACGTGCTGAGCGCTCTAAAAAAGTTCCTGGAGGAATCTAATCCCCCACAAAATGCAGCCGATATCGCCAAGATGATTGCAAAGGCTGGCTCAGTGCAGCCAATATACTTTGTGCTCGATGCTGTTGATGAGATGAAAATTCCTAATGAGCTCTTGGACCGTTGCTTGGATCTTACTACATCTGGGATCCATGTACTTATAACAAGTCGAAACCTTCCGCACATCCAGAAGAAGATGATCACGGCAAGTCAGCTGGAAATCACAGGGAGCGTGAATGACCTGAAAACTTATATTGAGAAGAGACTGCAAGAAAGTGATTTCGACGATGAGCTTGCAGAAGATGACGAAATAGTTCGTAATATCTTATCCAAGAGCGGGAATCTGTATGTGATATACAATCAACTATCTAGACTCCTGATTACACCTGCTGATTACTTCAAGGTTTCTTCTTGCTCGGCTTACCCTTGATGAGCTACTAGATCTTACCACGGTCGGTCAGATGAAGAAGATATTGAAAAAGGAGGCCCTTGGGCTGCAAAAAACGTTCGAATCAACCATTCAACGCATCGATGACCAGTCAAAGGCGAGAAGCTCAATGGCACGACGATTGATTTCCTGGATTCTCTACGCCAAAAGAAGACTCAAACTCGAAGAGATCCTAACTGCGTTTGCGATAGATGAGGATGGGCTAGACTATGAGAATATGACTAGTCCTGATAGTCTTCTTCGTGTTTGCGTTGGAATGGTTGTTCTCAATCAAGCCGACAGTACTGTTGGTCTGGTCCATACATCAGCTTACGAGTATCTTCACTCTTTTATATCGCACGAGATTTCGCATTTCGATATTGCACAAACGTCTTTGAGGTATCTCGGGCTAAAGGGTCCAGTACTGGAGTCGTGTAATAGCTCGGTAGAGCTTATGGCGCGCTTCGATGAGTTGAAATTTCTGAGCTATTCAGCAAAACACTGGGGTCATCATATCTGCAATGAAGCTTCCGAGCAAAGGTTGCAACCCCTGATCATGGCGTTACTGAATGATGAAAAACTCCTGAACGCTGCATTTCAAGCACTTCAGTTCCGACCGGAATTTGAAGGTGCCCTTGCGGATGAGATATTTGATTCCGTTCCCCAAGGTCAGCATGCTCTGCATATCACGGCCTACTGGAATCTAAGTGAGACCGCCAAGATAATTCTGAAATCGGGGGCAGATGTGTCTATAACCGATTCTCACAAATGGACTCCTCTGCACTGGGCATGCTCAAAAGGCCATCTTGCCGTTTCCCATATCCTCGTTCAGGAAAGAGCAAACTCCAATCTTCAAGATGCACAGGGATGGACCCCGCTGTTCTGGGCCGCTTTCATCGGAAATGTTGCGCTTGTTCGTCTACTTATTTCCAATGGAGCAGACTACCAATTTCGAAGCAGCCTCGGATGGACGGCCCTCCATTGGGCCATCTCTGGGGGTCATTTTCCTGTAGTTCAGGAGCTTCTCGACCACCATTCGCGCTCAATGAAGGCACTTCCACCACTTTACACGATGAAGATGGCACAGATCAAGTCCTATTCTCAGGGCACCGTGTCTCCTATAGAGTTCGCAGCAGATACAGAGGATGCCGACCTATTCAACCTTTTGGTGCAATATCTGGAAACCTGCAAAGGGAAGCTGGGTGATGCCAGGTTCAACTGCATTTGGAAAACCGCCAAGTTCGACTTTCCAATTTCCAAAAACCCCTGGAGAACTCTCACTAAGGGCGAATGTATAAATGGAATTGAATCGATTGTTCCAAACATTAATTCTGACGGCTATGGGGAAGCTGAATTTGAGGAAGACGCGCGATCAAGCCCCTCTCGTTGGAACTCGGTTCTACTGGTGTCTGCAATTCGTGATGATCAACTTTCATCTGCTCAGATGCTTGCTCAATCTGGGGTCGATTTTAAAACATATCTCGCGCTACATTTGGCAGCACGTCGCAAGGATCCTCGTTATGTGCAATGCTTACTCCAAAACGGTGCGGACGCAACGCTCATGGACGGACAAGGAAGGACAGCATTACACATAGCAATTCTCAATGGGTTTGTGGAGTCAATGACTACTTTGGTTCGGGGTGGATCTAATGTGAATCAACATATGCCAAGCCAGGCTGGTTTTGCAAGTGACACAAGAGGACGAATTTTGATAGGTGCTCCTCCTCTCATTCTTGCTGGCGGCAGCATGCAGATGGTACGAATATTACTGTCAAATGGGGCAGACCCAAGGCTGCGCGACGATTCTGGAAAGACAGCTTTAAGTCGTGCGTTTTCGCGTCGTGATATTCAGCTCATCAAAATATTGCTTGAGTTCGGTGCTCCTGTTGAAACCGCTGATTCCTATGTCCAAGCACCTTTGCACTCCTTGACGAGATGCAAAGACACCAAGATCAAGATAAAAGACTTGAAAGAATTGGTTCTTTCTCTTATTGCCGCTGGAAAGATGCTCTCTCCTCCAAGAGACTTTTTGAATGAGAAAATGCGCAGCTCATCTCTGGCAGACAGCTCAGAGACAATGATTTATAGTCTTACGCCTTTACATATGTCACTGATGAAGGGGCGATGGAAGCTTCTTCACGTACTTTTAGAGCTAGGTGGCACTTTCCCTTCCAACTTCGATCTGACACCTTCGATCAAAAAAGCCACTGAAGATCTTGAGCCCGATACAATAGCTTTGCTTTGCAGTGAAGGGGGCTGTTCACCTCCGAACTCGGTGCTTTCACTTGTCGAATCATTTATTCGCCAGCGAGAATCTTCAAAAAGTGATTTATCCACTCTTTGCGATAGGTTTAAGAGAAGTCTTGTGATTTTATGCTCTACCGGAGCCGACATCAACTTCCATGGGACAATCGAAAAAGGAAGTAAGTTTAGAGAAGAGAGCCAAACGACAGCCTTGACTCTTGCAGCGACTATTTCTGGATCTCGTGAAATATCTTCAAATCTTCTCAGTCACGGTTCCAACCTGTACTACAAGTCGCGGAAGACGTTTGATCCAATCTTAACTGCGGCACTATTCGGAGAACAAGAGGATCTATCAAGTCTCTTGAATCACGCTACAATTCACCCTAATTCTTCTCACTGGAGCAGGTTTCTGAAAGAAGCGCCAGAACAGAAAGATTCCATCGAGCTTCTATGTTTTTGCTTGAGAAACGCGGGACTCCTGAATCAAACCAACACCGAGGGCCAAACCCTGTTAGATCTTGCTGTTCAGGAGGGCAATGTCACGCTTATGACAGCTCTTATGGTTGAAGGAGCACAAGGGTGTATTCCTGGCAATGGTTGCAAGTTTGCGACTGAGAGAGTACAGACTGATGCGATTCTCGGCAATATCCCATCTCGGGTTCCTCTGGAAGATGCCACTTCTCTACAAATTGCTGTGAAAGACCATGATGTCGCTACCGTTTCAAAGCTACTTGAAGGAGGAATTGATCCCAATCATTCCATCGGAGGATGGAGAAACAATTTCCCAATCCTATATCATGCGGCCAAAGATGGTCAATTTGAGATTCTCTGTCTTTTGCTCAGTCATGATGCCGACACAGAAGCAGCAGATGACTATGGCTGGCGCCCGTTGCATGCTGCATGCTTCGGAGGACATACACGGATTGTGAGAGCCTTGATATCCCATGGTGCAGATGTCCACGCGTCTACAACGAAATGGAACAATGATCAAGAAAAGCCGTCTGGGCTTTACCGGGACAAAGCTTGGACTGGGACTCCACTTCATACAGCCACGATGCGCGGCAATTTAGAGATTGTCAAGCTCCTGCTTGAGCACAATGTTGATGTTCATGCCAGTACAGGTGTAACGGCCAATCATCTTGCCTATCCTGCTAGTGGACCGACTGCATTACATATTGCGTTAAGCGTCAACCAAATTCCTCTGTTCCAGGCTGGAACAGATGGTCGTCAAGGCCTTTACTCGTGCAAATTACCGACCCCAGAAAGGCTCCAGATTGCGCAGTGGCTAGTCGATGCTGGTGCTATGGTACAGGGAGTGGTTCAGCGATATTCCTTGGAAGAAATTCTCTGCTTCGCCAAGTTTCCCAGACTCTGGGATACTTTGGTAGCTAGTGATGCATGACACGTGAGAAAGTAAAAGCTGCCCAGCACTTGATACGCGGTCTTTCAAACTAATGGCTGAGCCGGTATCGACTTTCTTACTCTCGGTCTAAAGCTCTTTCATTATTCCATGACATTATTACGCCGCTTTGTCGATTTCTCGATATAGCTTTCCTGGATTCTAGATGGCAAATTTTGCGAGAACGAAATTCCCAGTGATCGAAAAATGTTCTGGAGATTTTCAACATTGTCATGAATTTTGAAAGAATTTTGAAATACCGATGTATTGGTCTTCGTAGAGAGAATAAAGATCTAACAAAGTTTGTGTAACTTGAATGCCAGATGAGAGCAATGCGGCAATCCCAAATGCGATTGCGACCGCTTCCATCTAGACGTAGCTACTTTGGCAGAACTCAGAAATCCTGAGAGTTTTGTCGAAGATCAACTACAGGAGTGTTGGATGCGACCAGAAAGGTTGAACAGCGCGGATTCAGCCTAATTAGGGGCGGGGAAGGACAGGAATGGATCAGAAGGATGCCTTATGCTACTTTTGTTTGCGCACGATTGGTCTGTCTACCTGGAATAGTCTTTGATCGAACAGAATGTACTGATCTCGCACAACATATCAGAACAAAATAACAGATAGCCATGATCTGATCTAAGCTCCAGTGCGTCCAAAACTCGTCCCGCTGATCGAACCACGGTTCATACCAACCTGAAAACCAGAATTATTGCCTGCAAATGTGATATGGTTATGGCCATCACCTTCCTTCAAAAGATTGGTGATATTCGTATTATAGGTATCACCTTCCTTCACGACAGTGGCGACCGTTTCCTGTTGCACAACAACCTGAGGAACGATCTTATACAACAGCTCTTTTGCGTATGCAGCTGCCGTCATAGCAGCGTAGCCCTGCCATTCCTTATTCTTGTGCGTGTCGGAATAGTCACAGATACCACGGATCACTAAGCAAGGAAAGTGATTGACTAAACCAGCAGCTTCCATCTCAAAGCACAGAACATCGTTTTGCTTCGCGAATGCGTCTCGGATTTTAGCATCCTTCATTAGACTATTTGCGGATGCAATTAGGCCATAATGGATGGCTGGATTGTCCTCCTCCTCGGCGCGTGGGGTCCGTGAAACTAGGGAAGAGCCGTCCTCCCTACAGACGGTAGCGCAAGGTGATTCGTTTTCGAAAGGGTGTAGAAAGTCGCTCTTATATAGTCGATCGGTCGCCGGATCGGGGCGCGAATATTTCTTCTTCAATCGGGGTTTCGTCGCAAGAATCTTATTAACGACATCTTCAATTTGGTTGCCATCCATGTCATAATCAGCCGCAAGCCCGTTTACTGCGCCGCGCAGCAATGTAGGTGCTTGGTTATGAAAGCCCGTTTGCTTGAAATCCTGACCCTGGATTACTTTGCCAAAGTCATACTGAAGGATGCCGCCCTGACCGTTACTGGGTGTGCCAACGACAATATCTCCAAGTCGGATATCATGCTTTGGGCTCGGCACACCACCGCCGATGCCAACCATTAGGGCGACGCGAATGTTCGGGAAGGCGTGCATCATGCTCACTGCCACCTGTGTTGCAGAGGAGAGGCCGTACTCGCCCATTGGCAGCACAGATATGACCACGTTGTGATTCTTAATCCTTCCCAGGGTGTAGTCATTTTGGTTGGCAGATGGTAGCTCGGTAGGACGGTCATGCCTTTCATCGAGAGATGCTATAGCGGCGACATACTCGGTCTTTAAGGCACAGACCCAGCCCACAGTATAGTCAGTTGGTTTAAACATCAAGAACCCTTTTCTGTACAAGAAATTGGAGCTGCTTGACAGTGTCTCGGGAGTTTGGCAGTTGGGGAAATTTTTGGGGCCAAAAGAGCGAACAGTCTCGGTTCACTGAGGCTATGTGGCGCGTAGCGCGGCCACATCACTGGTGAGGCTGAAAGTTGCCCCTCACTTGAAAAATGGGGTCTATTTCTCCTGCCGCTTCAATTCCGACTGCATCTACCATTTTAAGGGCAAAATAACCGACTTATGATTTCGATATCATTCGGTAACACTAACAAGTCCCGTTGGGTGGGTATCAGTCATGAAATAACAATAGTCGCACCCCGCCAAATAGACCGAAACTTCAACGCACGATTAGTCAGTGTTCATTGGGAACCATATGAAGTAAGATCAGTAACCAAACTGATTTAGACCCTAGTAAATGTGAAATGTAAATCCGGGCATCGTATTCGCCTAAGCTACCTTAATAGCCCTTTGAACCAGCCTCACATATTGATACCCGACTTATCCACTCGGACTGTAAGATCTGCGCGGTAGTGATGCGCTTTCGTGATATTGGATGTAACATCGCATAGATGGCATTGCGTCGTCTCTGAAACGAATAAAAACTGGTCAGTACAATTATTCAAATGCCACGGAGAAAGGGAAAGGGGTCAGAGTTATACCTTTCCAAGCGCTTCGATGGGTGGATACCCGTCCTCCGAATGGCGACACTCGAGGTAATCCAAATACAGAGGATCCTCATGATGTGGACGAGCATTGCGCCAAATAAGACGACCGGTGATAAGTGCCACATAGATAATGGCTGTTGCCCAAACATCCGCCGGACGGGGATCATCATCATTTTCATCTCCTTCTGATAGGTCTCCATGTGCAAGTCCAGCATGGGAACGAGAATGGAAAGCCTCTGGTGGAATATAAGGGAGACTGATGCCCGGGAAAGACGCTGTGGAATGTGCCACATCGCTCGAGCTCCGAGCCGAAGGGGTAGCCCGGGAGGAAGAGAACAACGACGGTAAGGAAAATGACCACGCTGCCGATGAAGCAGGGTGAGATTGCGAGCGTGGACGGAATGTTTCTTCAGATGGCATTGCACATTCAGACCAGAGGCGGCGTATATGACCGTCGCCGAAACCAGCCAGCTTCACAGACCCGTTTTCTGTGAGGAGGATGGTTTCCATTCGGATATCACGATGCGCGGTGTTGTGCTCATGAAGGAAAGACAGGGCGCGCAGGACCTGGGCTATGATGCAATCGGCTTCGTTTGTTGGGATAGGACCTCCGTTGTGGGAGATGAGTTCGTGAAGGTCACCCCCTGCGCAGATGGGCATGACCAGGCATAGCTCGGAGCGTTCATTGTAGAGGAGATCGATTATGGGGAGGATATTCGGGTGGTGAGGATGTAGGTTGGAGATTGCGTCGGGAGAGCAATATGATGAGCGAGAAAGGGGGTTCGTCGAGGCAAGAATGTTGTATCGGTACACTTTGATGGCCACTAGCTGTTTGTATTTTGAGTCGGGGCCGGCGAGCTTGTTTTGGTGTAGCCGAACCGTGCTATTAGCGCCATAATGGAGAATATCCATACAGCGGCCATATTTTTCAGTGAAAGTTCGAGGAATTTCTCCCTGGATTAGGGGTTGGTTTGACGCTGTTGTTGTCGAGGTCTCCGACCTCCTTATAATTGGCTGCTGGTTCGTCGAGACAAAAGCCAGAGCTGACTGGTGATCGGTCTTGAACACAGACCAGCCACGTTTTGCAATGTTTTGACTGGCATCATGAAGATGGGAGTCTTGAGACCACTTTGGGTGCGTCACATAATGATTATGGGGGACTTTGTCGGGTCGATGCACAGAGACAGCCGTCCAGACGTCCGGGCGATGACGTTCCTTCATGGATAGCTACGTTGAAAGGAGAAAGAAAAGAAAGATGAAAGTCAAAAAGAGAGATTGAATTCTACCAAGAAAAAAAGGTAAGAGAAGCAGGCGCCGGGAAGTATTTTGTGAGCTGCGCGACGCCTTTTACACACAGATTTATAGATATGCTTATAGCGGTGTAAGCAGTACGCAGTCATGTATTATCCTCCGTAACACGTTCTACAAATTCCGTGGAAAAGAGATAAAGAGACAGAAAATACAAAAGTAGTAGACAGATCGCTTGCATCACCATAGTTCAGCCATGGTAGTTACCCAGCAAAAAATACGGGATCATAGATCACTTACTAGGCTGGAGATGCCGCTATTGGATATAGCAAACCGCGCACGATGATCGCATCTTTTCACCTAACCGATCTATAGCTGAGGGATTTACCTCACACAATCGAACAGAGATGCTATTAGCAAATAAAGACAATTTCTGGTTTTATCCGGTGAAAAATTGGGGCCTAGGAGAAAATATAACCTAAGTCACACTAGATGGAGTAGGAGCGGCAGAGCGTCAAAATCAATCTGTGGCGAGGAAAAATCGCGCATCCTCGGATTAGGACATTTCCACCACGTTTGCGGGGTGGCTGTGTGAAAGCGAAATCCTATGCGCCATTTGTTTTTTTATTATGGTAATGATGAAATTTTTTTTCTTGCCCCCTGTAACCGGGCTTAATTACCACGGAACCATCAATCTGAACCGGAGGCAAAGCTTTAGGGCTGGATGAGCCCCGGAGCCGGGTTCTGGTATGGTTAAAGTTGACAAGGACAACTTATGATTGGGTGTGGGAAGCTAAAAAGGGTAATATTACCGTATGTATTTGTATATCGTAATTAAGATCCTGCGCAGGTGTCAAATTTGTACTTGCTCCACATAGACCAAGCATTTGCCGACATCGTCATGTACCTGACTGAACTATGGAAATCTCGTATCCCTGACATATACTATGCGCGTATTCTGCTTTTGCCGCAAGCCAAGGGCGTATTCCTTATTTTCTTGATACGATCTCCACTGTACAGAACTTTCGGTCCCCTCGTGGCTAGAGCTGATCGCATGGCTCCGCTTATGTGGCACCAGGGCTCGGTCCTTTTCACGTAACATTTGATCGTTTACGATCTAAGTGGGCTAGCTATGCCTCCCGTCATGCCTTCCCAATTCATCGTTAGCCACGAGGTGTGGTTCCCTCTACTTATATTTGGTCAACCTACATAAGGCCTGGGGTCGCACACACTGTCTTGTTCTCGACATCTTCTCATTTTTTTCTTATCCGTCCTTGTTGTGGCCGTTTCAGGTGTTTGGCTGTCTGTCGTCTTACTTTCATATTAAAAACCCCCAAGACAGCTACGCCATGACGCCCAATTCTTCCCACGGCAAGCCTGACGTCGACGTCGACGTCGAGGCCGATGGTGTTACCATCAAGGATGATGATCCCATGGAAAGAAGCACGCGTATCACTTTCCATGACACTGCCACCGAGGCAGAGGGAATGCGCTCCATTTATCAACCCACCCAGCTTGGACGTACTTATTCGCTGGGCCGTGATACGATTCGCAGTACCCGGAGTACCAACCAGGCAACTGCAGGTGGAAACAATGGGATACCTATCGACTTCCGTACACTCTCAATCCAGATCTCCGAGTCTCAAACCCGCCCGAAAGAAATCGTGACCGAAACCCCCAAGGAGAAAGTACCCAATCAAGATTACTTCGAGAGCTTGGATTTCCACACTATTTCTCAAGAGAAGGTCTGTCAGGAGTTCAACGTCGACCAGCGCTTCGGTCTCAGTGCCGAATCAGCGGCTCAACGTCTTCAGCGCGATGGAAAAAATGTTATTGCCCAGACCCGCGAGAACTATCTTAAGAAGATCTTCTTTTATGTCTTCGGTGGTTTCTGTTCCGTCCTGTGGGTGGGTGTAATTATTTTCTTCCTCTGCTGGAAACCCCTCAGCAATCCACCCTCGCCGACGAATCTTGCTATGGCTATTCTCGTCATCATTGTTATCACCCTTCAAGCCAGTTTCTCAGCTTTCCAGGACTGGTCGACCAAGCGGGTTATGAATTCTATCTTAAACCTTCTTCCATCGGAAGCTCTGGTCTTGCGTGATGGAAAGCAACTTCGTCTTCCTGCCACAGAGCTGGTTGCTGGAGATATTGCACAGATCACTGTGGGAAACAAAGTGCCTGCCGATATGCGTCTGCTGCAGACTTCTGGGGATATTCGATTTGATCGTGCAATCCTCACCGGCGAGTCAGATGAGATTGATGGTGCTATTGAATCAACAGAAGCAAATTTCCTTGAAACTCGCAACATCGCGCTTATGGGAACCCTGGTTACAAACGGAAATGCCACCGGCATTGTGCTGCTAACCGGTGGTCGTTCCGTCATGGGCCGGATTGCTACTATGACAGCCGGTGTCAAGCAGAAGCCGACTCTGATTCAAAAAGAGATCACCCGCTTTGTTACCATTATTGTTAGCCTGACTGTCTGCCTCGCCTTGCTCATCCTATTTACCTGGTTGGGATGGCTCCGCAAAGATCATCCTGGATACATGAGTGTGGTAGCTATGCTCAACAATGTCATGGGCTGCGTGGTGGCTTTTATTCCAGAGGGTGTGCCGGTTGGTGTCGCACTGACGCTGATGATGGTCGCTCGACGTATGAAGCAGACAAACATTTTGCCCAAGGGATTGGCGACCGTGGAAACTTTGGGATGTGTGAATGTTATTTGCTCCGACAAGACAGGAACACTCACACAAAACCGCATGTTCGTCAAGTCTCTTGGCATGGTCGACTGGGAATACAATATTGACGATCTGGTGCCTGGCATGGAGTCTTCCGAGGCATTGAAAAATCTCCTTCGTGCTTCGGTCCTTTGCAATGACGCTACCTTTGACCCAGAGACCCTGAACCTACCAGTTTGGGAGCGTATCGTCAATGGAAATGCTACGGATGCTGCTGTGCTGCGACTTGCCGACAGTGTGGGCGCTGCTACTCCAAGGAATCTTGAGCCCTACGCTCGCGTCCACCAAATTCCGTTCAACTCGAAGAACAAGTGGATGTTAACAATGCATCAAGACCCGACTGCTTCCAAAGAATATATGATCTATGTCAAGGGTGCACCTGATGTCCTCTTGGACCGTTGTTCCACCTACTGGTCTGCCGTCAATAATGCTGTTCGTCCACTGGACACAAATGCCAGGCAAAAGCTTTCCGACTTCCAGGCCAAGCTGTCTCGTCGCGCCGAGCGTGTGATCATCCTCTGCCAGCGCCGCTACATCCCAACCCATCCTCTGGGATCCAATGGATTCAGTGACGAGATCCTCGAATCGGGCGTTGAGGATCTGACAGTTCTTGGAATCTTCGGCATCATTGACCCCCCACGCCCAGAGACGGCTCAGACCGTGGCCGCCTGTCGGTGTGCGGGCATTCGCTTCTTCATGGTCACTGGCGATTTTGGATTGACTGCGGCGGCAATTGCTCGTGATATCGGTATTTTCGAGGGTGAAGTTGAGCCCGATACTATTCATGATCTTCGAGACGGCTTCTCATCGGACAAATCGCCGCCCTCAAGACGCAGCTTGCTTCTTGAGGGCAGTAGCCTGTCGTCATTGAACCAAGAAGAGTGGTCTACAGTTTGTGATTATGAAGAGATTGTCTTTGCCCGCACTAGTCCCGAACAAAAGCTACGAATTGTGTCAGAGCTTCAGGCAAAGGGCAATTTTGTCGCTGTTACAGGTGATGGAGTCAACGATGCACCTGCTTTACGTGCTGCAGATGTTGGCGTTGCGATCGGCTCCGGTAGTGATGTTGCCATTGAAGCGGCCGACCTTGTGCTACTTGATCGATTCGATTCCATTGTCGAGGCTATCCGCCTCGGTCGCCTGGTCTTCCAGAACCTTCAAAAGGTTATCGCCTATCTGCTACCCGCTGGTAGTTGGTCCGAGATCTGGCCTGTGCTCATGAATGTCTTCTTCGGATGTCCCTCACCACTGAGCTCTTTCTTGATGATTATTATTTGTGTTTTCACCGATCTTTTTCTGTCCTTGTCACTTATTATGGAAAAGGAGGAGTTTGACTTGATGAGCATTCCCCCTCGGAAACCTCGCGAGGATCATCTGATCAACATGCGCATTTATGGCCAGTCATACCTCTTTGTCGGTGTCATGGAAGCTTTCAGTGCCCACTCCATGTTCTTCTTGTACATGTGGAAAGCCGCGGGTATTCCATTCAGCGATCTAATTTTCGCCTTTGACAAGTACACTGATGGATTTCATGGATATACGACTGATGAACTAAACCACTTCAACTACGTTGGCCAAGGTGTCTACTTTGTCACCCTTGTCATCATGCAATGGGGCAATATCCTGTCTGTCCGCAGCAAGCGCATGTCTCTTCTCCAAGCAGACCCCATTCGCCCTGCCCGTCGCAACCCATGGCTCCCTCTAGCTATGGCAATTTCCCTTGTCATTGCCATTTTCGTCACCGAAGTACCTGGTATCCAGTCTTTGTTCCTGACAGCCTCTGTACCCATTGAGTTTTGGCTCATTCCACTCGGTCTGGCAATGGGTGTTCTATGTATGGATGAGCTGCGCAAGGTTCTAGTGCGCATGTTCCCCAAGGGACCGGTTGCGTGGATATCATGGTAATGGTGTTGATTACTTCCAATAATAATTTCCTGTGATGACGAACGATAAAAAGCACGGGCGGTGATCTGAGTGACGGTTTCGATGATATCCATTTTATTTGCATAGTTTGTTTCACTTTTGCTATCACCTCATATATCCAAGCGGGTTATTGTTTGAACCTCTTTGTTATTCTTAGATTAGATGATGAATCGACTGGGACAAATTCAGGTAATTTTTATCTCTACATTCTTTGAGTAAAATATGGAAGTCAACATACACTCCGGTCATATGTAATTTGAAAGCTTGAAAGCTTGACATAAAAGGTTGAGCCCAGAGAAATAAATAATTCCCATCTTGGGATGGACATACGAGAATCAAACAAGCCCTTTATAAACAGCAGCCTCAACATCCTGAAACAAATTGAAGACCTTATCGTCACCAAAAGGCAAGATCTGTGCACACACCATACCTCCCACACCATTCTCACGATCGCACCACCAGAAAAGGTTCGGAAGTCCAGACCATTGGGCTGTTCCCACGGAGCGGCCTGTAGAGCCTCCGCTGAGCAGGAATGTCAATCCCCAGCCCTGACGATCTCCCTCAACAGTTGGATGCAGACCCGTACTGGGACCCGCTAGGTCAGGCTTTGCGTCGGAGAGGTACTTCTCACACAGGGGTGGGAGATGCGCAATCTGGTCGCAGAACATATCGTCCACGGTCTGTTTCTGCAAAAGCTGTGCACCGGTAGTTGGAGATGTTCCATTATTGAGAAGAACGGCTAGGATTTCTGCAAAGATTGTGAGTTGATGAAATGGGTGATAGAAGAGAGGTAGAAAAGATATGAGAGACGTACGGCAATAATCCTGGGGTGTGGAGAAGCACCCGGCTCCACCACTGTTGAAATAAGATTCTTGCTCGGATTTGGATTCCAGTGTCAGTGCTCGTCTGAGAAGATGATCCCGAGGCCAGATTTTGCCAGTCAAGTCTCGGTGGTGCATGTAGGCTAGGTTGTCCATCATGGCTGAAGTGGGGATCATTGAGATCTGAGTAAGTCCCAGTGGTTCGAAGATATGTTGGTGGAAATAATCATTGAGTCGCTTGCCGGTGACACGTTCAATCACAACGCCTACCCAGTCAATGTTTACCTATTATACGCCATATAGGGTTAGCAACTACAGCTTCGTCCAGTCACTGAGTGTATTCTTACCCCATACTCCCAGGCTTCTCCTGGCTGGTGCACCAAAGGTTGCTTGAAGTCTCTGATATCACCCGAGAACTCATCATAGCCAATCGGTTGGCTATAGTCCCGTAGTTTATCGTTCATAAAGGCGTATCCAAACCCAGCTAGATCGATGACGTCAGAATCCGGACACCTAGAGCTGGTACCTGGCCGGAACTACTAACCAGTGTGAGACAAGAGCATTCTCAGTGTAATGCCACGCTTCTTATCCACCAATGTGCCATCTTCTTGCACGACCTTTAAATCCTTCAGCTCAGGACATATGCGCTCGGTCTCTTCCGAATCATCCAAGGAAATCCGACCCTGTTCAACAAGTTGCATACACGCAATCCCGGTGATCAATTTTGTACATGATGCGATCCAGAATACGCTGTCAGTTGTTAGGGGCTCAGGGTTCACATGTCCTCGCTTTCCACCTGCGTGGGAGAACAATAACATGCCATCCTTCCCCACAATTGCAACGGAAGCGCCCGGCAGTCCATTTTGATTACTACAGGCGGAGTCTATGAGGTTTTTGACTGCCTCCTGAGTTGCGGGTGGAAGTGGGCTCATCTTGAAGGGGCAATTGAATAGTCGGCACTTTTGAGAAGCGATCACAGGGGAGTATGAAGATGAAGAACAAATGAATCGGACGAATTTGAATGTGCCGACAAGTGGATCCCTTGTTAGGCTGCGGGGTATGTCCGATGTTATATATTCGCCCCGCAGACAGAATTGGAGATACTGCTGGATAGGGTTTCCAAGGAATGTGCTATGGAACTTCTATTGGACCGATGAAAGCTTCGAAGCCACCAAGCAAGTGGGATTTATAAGGAGGAAGAGCAATTCCGGGCAAGATCTAAAATGGACACTTATTTGCCTGATAAACATGGCAACAACTATTACATGCAAGGGTTGAATATGCACTCTTTCCTGCGACTGAGGTGGGCGATGCAACACTTTTTAGTCTATCTATCATTCTGTCAATCTATCTTCATCACCTCCAATGACTTTCCACCCGCCACAATCGGCACCATATCGGTATCAGCGATTCTAATCTCTAACAATGCTGGCCCTTCAGTCTGGAGCAACCACTCAATACTCTCCTTCAGACCACACAGATCAAGACAGCGGCGCCCGTGACAGCCCATACTCTGGGCCAGCTCCACGAATTGCGGATTATGCGGCCGATCATGACAAACCCGCCCCCCATAATCTGCCTGCTGCAACTGTGTAATCATTCCCTCCTTCTCGTTGTTGAGGATGATCACTTTTATGGGAGTATTGTGTTGCGAAGCAGTCAGAAGCTCCTCCATGGTCATGCAGAAAGAGGCATCACCATCTACATCAATCACAATGTGATCCGGGAGCGCGATCTGCGCGCCTATAGCGGCAGGGAGACCAAAGCCCATAGTTCCCAGACTGCCAGATGTGGCCAAGGAACGGGGATATTGCCATTGACAGTACTTTGCCGCCCACATCTGGTGCTGGCCGACCCCTGTGGTTATGAAAGTAGAATTCTTCACCAGTGAAGTCTGCCGATTGAGTTCGAGTAGCACCTCCTGGGGAAGGGCAACAGAGTTGTCACGGTGGAGAGGAAAGTGGAGGCTGTCCTGTTTCTTCCATCCATGGATCTGATCTAGCCATCTCTCCCGGCCTTGCTGTACCAGCCCCAACAAGAGAGTAGGGAGTGTCTCGGATAAATCTCCATGAATCACCTCTGTCGGCTTGACAACCTTTCCTACTATTTCCAAGTCGATTTCGAACTGCATAATGCCTCCTTTACCATCATGAGCACTTTTTCGTGCCTGCGGTGCGAAGCCAGAAGCGTCTCCCACAGCTCGCTCATCCAACCGAGCACCGAGCACTATAACCACGTCAGCATTCTGGATGGCGTAGTTTGCTGACGGACACCCATATGTTCCCATCATCCCAATAGACAGAGGATGAGCTTCGTCAAAACACCCCAGCCCGAGAAGTGTGGTGGCGACAGGAATGTGTGCCTTTCTCGCAATTTCCGCAAGTAGCTCAGAACCACTTTCACTGGCAATCACCCCATTTCCAGCGCAGATGACTGGACGCTGGGAACGGTTGATAACATCAGAAATTCGATCAATCTTCTCATCGAGGTCCACTGTGCTGCAAGAAAGAGCGGGACTATGAGGACCAGGACTAGATGCCTCACTACTGCCATGGTCCTTCCTATTAGGCCACGCAGATTTGCTCAATGCGATCTTATCAAACGTGGCGCTGCCAACATCTTTGGGTATTGCGATGAGCACTGGTCCCGCTCGCTTGCCCATTGCATGGTCGAAGGCAGCATCTACCATTGCGGGCAGATCACTGATATTTTGTACACAGGCGCTCCATTTCGTACAAGGCTGGGCTAACGCCATTGCATCTATTTCTTGAAAAGCCCCAGTGCCTTGGACCGCGGTCTTCACTTGTCCGCAGATCGTGACTAGTGGGGTCCCGTCCATCAAAGCATTCAGAAGAGGTGTCGCCAGATTGGAGGTTCCAGGCCCCGAGGTGACCATCACTACACCGGGCTTGCCGCTGGCGCGGGCATAGCCCTCTGCCATGTGACCGGCCCCTTGCTCGTGGCGCGAGTGGATGAATTGAAAGGAACTTGTCTCGTATATACCATCAAAGAGTGGGAGGGCCGCGCCACCGGGATACCCGACTGGAAAGGTTAGGGACTGGAGATCGAACGTGCTCAGGCAGGGCCAATACGTACAGATGTGCTTGACATTGTGGTAGGCGAGAAGCTCACGGAGAGTTTCCCCTCCAGATAGTCCGACTAGTGCTTGTCTATCCATGACGCTTTGAAATGCTAATTGTGAAAATATCTTGCTATGGTATCAACTAAGTCTACAGTTGCAGCCCCTTTATATCCTCGGCCATTTTTGGGTAAAGAGAAGGACACCTGGACAAGTACCTCTACCGCTTATCAGTACCTATAGATGAAGCAAAGCTATGTATGACGTTCGCTCCACTAATAGCCCACAAATAAACACAAGGAGGCAATATTATTACTAGAATCTTGCTGTGATAGCAGTGTGGTCACACAGATGGAATTAATCATTCGAAAATACCCGTTGTCGATATGTTGTAAGACAATGTGGATGCAGATCTCTTCAGTTCTCTATAATTAAGAACATGGTGGCAATAACATCCGTTAAAAGAACAAGAGTGCGAAAACAGTGTGGTTGCACAAGTGTGTGAGTGTGATGCGGCCCGACAATCTTGGCATAATTTAGGTGTGGTATGTCATGGAAGCCATCCATCTTGATTCGTCACCATTTGCCACATCGACATGCCGATCCTCTACCTTGTCTACTTGAACTCATCTAGCCCACCCGATATCGAATCAATTACACTATCCACCTCATCATGGCCAACCATCTCTACCAATACTCGATCCTCAGCGCTTTGATGAACGGGATCTGCCGCGAAGGCACCACCGTCGCAAAGTTGCTTACACACGGAGACCACGGCCTGGGAACTATATTCGGTCTGAATGGAGAAATAATAATCGTCGATAAAGAAGTATACCACTTCCTTCCCGACGGGAATCTCCGCGAGGTTGAGCCCACCGATATCATTCCGTTCGCGATGATCACCCGGTTCGAACCGACATCAACCAAACGCCCAATCACACTGAATATGTCTACTATTTCCAAAGAACTGTCACCCCTACTCCCAGCTAGTCAGAACTCATTCTTGTCTATTCGAGTCGATGCCCTGTTTACCCGTGTGACATTCCGCGTCATCCCTGCGCAGTCAGAGGCCCGCGAGTCGCTGTCAGAGCTAGCGAAACGACAGGAGTTACATCATGCGACGCATAGCCGGGGTGTTCTTGTTGGATTCTGGTCACCTGGGTTTACGAGTGGATTCAGTGTAGCTGGGTTCCACCTTCACTTTTTGTCTGACGATCGTGCGCAGGGTGGTCATGTTATGGAATTTGATGCTGAAGATGTCGTCCTCCGCGCTGCTGCTATTAATGAGTATAATGTTGAGTTCCCGGCTTCGGGGGAGTTTCAGGATGAGCCTATTGGGGAGGTTTTGGCGAAGGATCTTCATGCGGCGGAGGGTCAATAGCCTGACATAATACTTGGTACGTCACTGAGGAGATATCTATATAACCTGCTCTGTCATTCGCATATTTCACGCAAGAGACTCATTGCGCTCGATCCAGTAGTCTTGGAAACCAGTCATACTTCCGCATTTTTATCATCATCTCCCCAGAAAGTGTTAGGATATGAAAGTGGGCAGAAAGCGACCCAATACAAGGTATTGATGGTGATAAGACTCCGTGTAAACGTTATCCCCGTGCTCCTCTGTTTCATCGCTTATCATCACCATGGCGCCGTCTTTATCTGAAAGGTCATACAACCTCAATCTAGACGACATCTCTCTAAGGAATTTGTATCTTTATCTGATTTGTGATATAACAGGAAGCCAGTTCCTCACCACGTCTTAGATGGCCACTGAAGCCGAATGTAGCAAAATTATGATCATCAATATTCGCAGAGAATACGGAAAATTTGGCAGCATCTAGTAACTAGCGCTCATCCGACGTTACTCGCGGCTTCGATATTTGCCGCCTTCTCATGTAGCTTGACCACGTCAAGATGCCTATTTTGAGAGGCCATATTGGTTGGTGTTCATCCGTCGCTATACGCAATTGTGAATCCGCACCGTTCTCGAGCAGCAGCTTGGCCACTTCGAAGGGACCACTTTGTGAGGCTGGAGTGCTTGACATCCAGCCATTGTTATTCGTGGCATCTGCCCTATAATCTAGAAGTAGCTTGACCACTTCGAGATGACCCTTCTTTGAGGCTGAATCAACTGGCGTCCTCCCGTCCTTGCTTGTAGCTGTGATGTCCGCTCCGTTCTCGAGAAGTAGTTTGACCACTTCAACATGACCATTGTGCGATGCGATATAAACGGGCGTTTTTCCATCGTTATTTGCTACTGCGACATCCGCGCCGTTTTCAAGTAAGAGCTTTACTATATCAACATAGCCCTGTTTGCACGCGCGGCTTAGAGGGGTCCACCCATATATGCCAGCGATTGCGAAATCTGCTCTCTTCTCAAGAAGTAGCTTCGCTACCTCTAGATGGCCATAACGGCAAGCACCACTAATTGGCGTCCATCCCTTCTTGCTTGTGACTGTGACATCTGCTCCCTTCTCAAGAAGTAGCTTCGCTACCTCTAGATGGCCATAACGACAAGCGATATTAAGTGGCGTCCGTCCCATGTTGCTTGAAACTGTGATATCCGCTCCGTTCTCGAGAAGCAGCTTGAGTGCTTTGAGATGATTATACCTGGTTGCAGAATGGACTGGCGTCCATCCGTCGTTACTCGCGACTGTGGCATCCGCGCCGTTCTCAAGTAAAAACTTCACCACATCAATATGTCCCTGCTCGCATGCACGGTTTAGAGGGGTCCATCCATGAATACCAGCGATTGCGATATCTGCCCCTTTCTCAAAAAGTAGTTTGACCACTTCAAGATGACCATTTTGCGATGCGATATGAACGGGCGTCCTTCTATCGTTAAGGGCTACTGCGACATCCGCGCCGTTCTCAAGCAAGAGCTTTACTATATCAATATAGCCCTGTTCGCATGCGCGGCTCAGAGGGGTCCATCCATTAACGCCAGCGATTGCGATATCTGCTCCCTTCTCAAGAAGTAGCTTCGCTACCTCTAGATGGCCATAACGACAAGCAATACTAAGTGGCGTCCATCCCTGCTTGTTTGTGACTGTGACATCTGCTCTATTCTCAAGAAGCAGCTTGACCATTGCGAGATGACCATTTTGCGAGGCCGAATGGACTGGCGTCCATCCGTCGTTATGTGCGACTGTGATACTTGCTCCATTCTCAAGAAGCAGCTCGACTACTTTGAGATGGTTATTAAAAGATGCAGAATGAACTGATGTCCAGCCAATATGATCTGTGACTGTGATATCTGCTCCATTCTCAAGAAGCAGCTTGACCATTGCGAGATGGCCGTTTAGTGAGGCCGAATGGACTGGCGTCCATCCACTATTACTTGCGACTGTGATATCCGCTCCATTGTCAAGAAGCAGCTTGAGTACTTCGAGATGATTGTTGTAGGCTGCTGAATGAACTGGCGTGTACCCGCTATCATTTGTGATGGTGATATCCGCTTTATTCTCAAGAAGCAGCTTGACCACTGCGAGATGACCATTCAGTGAGGCTGAATTAACTGGCGTCCATCCCTGCTTGTTTGTGACTGTGATGTCCGCTCCGTTCTCGAGAAGTAGCTTGAGTACTTCGAGATGATTGTTGTAGGCTGCAAAATGAACTGGCGTGCACCCGCTATCATTTGTGATGGTGATATCCGCTTTATTCTCAATAAGCAGCTTGACCACTGCGAGATGACCATTCAGTGAGGCTGAATTAACTGGCGTCCATCCCTGCTTGCTTGTGACTGTGATGTCCGCTCCGTTCTGGAGAAGTAACTTGACTACTTCGAGATGACCATTTTGCGAAGCCAAATAAACTGATATCCATCCGTTGTTGTTTGGAACTGTGATATCTGCTCCATTCTCGAGAAGCACTCTGACCACTTCGAGATGGCCCTTGCTTGAGGCTGATATAACTGGCGTCCACCCTTGTTTATTCGCAATTCTTATGTTGATGCCTTTCTCTATGAGAATTTTGACTACCTCGAGATGCCCGTGGTCTGCGGCAACATTGACTGCCGTTCCGTTGTTGCCATTCAGCACTGTAATATCGGCTCCACTTTCGATAAGCAGTTTCACTATGTCAGCATTGCCAATCTGTGCCGCGCACCAAATTGGAGCACGGAGGTCATCGTTCACAATTGAAAAGTCTGCTCCGTTTTCAAGTAAGATTCTAGTGAGGAGGAGATCGCCTCTTTCACAGGATATTAACAGCGCTGTCTGTCCTGATACCCCTTTCTCATCAATATCATGTTTGCGATCATGGATCAGGAATCTCAGAGTATCGACCAAACCCAGCTGTGCTGCGTAATGAACTGGGCTTGAGCCTTTGCTTTCACCTCCTCGTGATTGCTTTCCATGATTCAAACTAGCATTGATATCAAAAAGTTGTCTCCACAGGTTCCAGTTTGGCCTCCTTGTATCGAAAAGCTGGTTCACTAGTCTCACGACATCCGAATCCCTTTTATTACCAGCAAGAGCATGCTTGTGCCAAGATTCTGCAGCATAATTCAGGAACAGGCCAAGCGATGGGCCGTCTTCCAAGGAACGATTTACTTGCCAAACCTCTAAGCAATTCAAATATCGAAGACACATTTTGGCAAGCAAGGTGTGCTCATCTAGCTCCATGAAACATTCTAGGGCGTTGTTGAGCTGTGACAAACGTCCCATTGCAAAAAAGTTGCCAAGAAGGTACTGTTTGACAGTGAAATGAGCCAAATGCACAGTTCTCACCCCAATACCATGTTCGCCTTCCATTTTTCGAATGTCAAGAAGCGATCCACAGCAACCAAGTATCCCATTGTTAACAAAATCAGTATCAATATAGTCTGGTGTCTCATTCACCAACACGTCATCGCAGTCTTCACTGATCAGTAAGGCTTCTGCCAACTCCTGTACCTTCAATGGGCGCAAAGAAAACACGATCCATCGTAATAAGGACATCGCTCGGTTTCGAACTCTCTCAGGACGCTCCAGGATTTTGATCCAGTTTCTTTGGTAGGTATCCTCAAGCCTCATTGGCGCTGCCGCGATTGCTTGCTCAAGGAGCCTTCGACTTGTCCAGTCATACGGTGACATGGACGTCATTTGTAACTTGATCCAAAGAAACTGTCCATTTGACCTGTCAGTGAGGGTTTTGCTTAAATCGAGCCTTTCCTGTTCCGATTTCCCTCGCCAGGCGCTTTTAATGAAGTGTTGGGAATATAACATCAGATCTGGCTGAACGTCTTGAGCAGTAATACTATACTCAAAGACTGAAGCTTCGTCGACGTAATCAGAAAGACAAGTCCGGATCTCGGGTTCATCTCGACTGAGTATCATAAGTCGTGTAGATGAGTTCGCAACAGCTAGTCTCAGGGCTCTCATGAAGCCAAGCACTGAGTCATCAGCACCAGTTCTCTGGCCTTCATTAGGCAATTAGCATTCATCTAGTCCATCCAAAAGAAAAGTGCACCCAGGTAATGCTTTTGAAATGCTTCGCAGTATTCTCATAGTCTCTCCGTCTGTTGCATTCTGCCTATGCCCCGCTGTCCAATTTTCATGGACCAAGTTCAATGCGACCGGGTGAGACAGCACTTGCGCTATCCATGACCTTATCACCACGAAGGGATTATTTCTTTCGAAATCTGATGTAAAGAAGAAATGTGCAACAGGCCCATCTAGAGAAGAGGACAGGTGATCAAACATCCTAGCACCTAGGACAGATTTTCCAAATCCTGCTGGGCCATTGATCCACAGGACCTTGACTAGCCCTTCTGGAGGTTCGGGTGAGGACCATTCCAGAAACCATGCACGGTCAAGGATCCAGTCGCAGGTGCCCTTTTCTCTGCTTGCCTTGCGCGATTCATAAGAGTCAGATATCCCATCAGGGAAGCAGTCACCTAATAGCCATTTCTGTAGGTCCCTCCTCATTTTGACTTCGAATATAAGCGAAAGTGTTAGTGTTTAGCAAATGACGAGAATACATACCATAATATTCTCTTTCCATTAGGCTCATAATGCGTTTGAATTCAGTGAAACGAGTTTCACGATCCTGAAAAGTACCTAGTGATTTGATTAGAATATACCGTCAAGTTCCTTACCGCACCACAAACCATCTAAGCGCCTATTAGCTTCGTATCCCCCAGTACATTCTTCATACCCCCGGGGCCCGCTTGTCCCTGAGCTCATGGGAATCAATCTATGAAGATCCGTCACTATGGATGATAGCTGCTGAAATTGTGCTTGTCGCTTCACTGTGCCATCAGATGCCAATCCAAAATTTCGTCCGCTAGAAACGACTGGGTTGCAGCCCTGACCATTTCCATTCGAGATTGGCCTTGATCCTAGAGTATTATTCTCATCATAACCGCAAATATCTCCGATGGCTTCAAGAAGGTCTTGAATTTTGCTGGAAACTTGCTGGTCATCAAGAAGATCGGCGTGTCCTTGTGATAAGGTCGGACCACTTTTATCGAAACCCACAACCTGGCCCCATGATTCCAGTTGAGATTTGAGAGCTTTGAACCGGGCAGCTAGGGGACGGTGCTCGCTCCTAAAATTTTCCCACGAGTCCAGCTTATCAACGATCTCTAGAGAGATGTTGAAAAGACCGGCTAATCCCAGGGCACTGATTGGTGGTTCTAGGAGCGAGGCCCACTGTTAGTCAACTCGACCAACCTAGACTCGTTCTTTAGATCTGTGAAACGTACCTTGTGTGATATGAACAGACCCTCGAACTATCCCTGCTTGGAACCCTGAGTTTGTGCTATCAAATGATATGTTGGTCATTTTTGTTCTTCTAAACGCAGAACCACTGAATTTCTTGTCTGGGGAGGTGTCGAGTCCTAAGGTGGGGATCCGTTCTTAGCCCCTCGAGCTGAAAATCATGTGATTTGAACGGTACAGCAAAAGAGATATACCCCTGCACCATAAAGTTCCTTGTATCTCTTGAATTTTGTGAGACAAATAAGAAGCAGTGGCTTAGAGATCTAATCGTAGGACAGATACCTGATATCTGGCTCCACGAGGCTGACTTCATACCACACATTTCGGTGGATCTGGACGACTATCACGATTGATATTACTATAGTATACTTCAATTAGACTGGCGGACCCTGGCATTAGGTCCGAGAACAAGTCCGAGGGTAAGATAAGTGGCGCCAATTTCATCGTCAGATCGCCAAGTCTACATAGAATTCTAGATAGCGCTGTGATATCACGGCATTACAACGATGACTCATTGATGAAATACGACTACTACGCTGAGAACTTTGCCGAACTCATGAAGCGGTGAGCTAGACCGGAGTATAATTTCCCATGAATCAGGTCGTGAGGGGTCGAGGTTTAGCTGATTTCCAAAATTACTGTATACGTTACACATAATACTTTGTGCAGAAGTCTGGAAAGATCATTGGTGATCGTAATTTTCCGTCCATAGATAAAATAGCCAATAGTACCCGAATGGTTTTCAAAGTTTAGAACTAGGTAGCCACACATCCGTGGATGCAATAGTCATGTAGGTCAAGCTATAGCTAGGGCAATACCATACAGTATGATATCATTTTGAGATGTCATTATCAGACATGAAGTTTTTCCACTGGGACAAGTGAACATGGAACAGATGGCTTAGATTTATTTATCCTATGCGAGCGACACATTCCCAATTTGCTTATAAATGACATACAAATGGCTCTTGGAGGGCATATCGACATTCTCAATCTTAAGCAGATGAGGATCGGCGTGTAGGAGTGTTTTGGCAAGAACCCAGAACTCCAGTGCGTGTTTCATGAATCCCAGCCTCTCGAGCTGTTCCTTATCAGATCTGCTCTGTAGTTCGTCCCATAATGTTCGCCATTTGTCTAGTGCTCTCTCAATTACGGGACGCATATAAGTAATCGAATGCGTAGTCTGCGCTGAGAAAATAATCGAATGGAGCCCTGTTTATGTATGTTAGCCGGTACTCTAGTTTCAAACTTGATATAGACTAAAATTCCAAGCCTTGGGTATCCCTGGAGCGATTTATTTATCTAAGGATTATTTACGTACCACAAATACCGCTGAAAAGTCCTCGCGCGTTCAGCTTAGAGAGCTGGCTTTTGTCCGACCAAGAGGGTTGCATAAGCAAATCGATTAGTGTGGATAAAGATATCGACTCGTGTGTAGAACGAGATAGAGCTTCCATCTGTGATTGCATTTGACGTTCAACTTGGGGTTCCGGCATCTCGGTGTATAGTTCATCAGGGCATGGTAATTCACCGATCATTTCGGTGATCGTGAATCGTGGTGGTGTGCGGAAGAAGAGGACGAATTGTATGTCTAGGAGGAAGGCCATCCAGCCGATTCTGACAATCCAAAGACAATTAGAGTCAGTGGCTGAGTAGGTAGCTAATCAATCGAAGTAAACACTCCTTGTAAATTAGGCTATTGAAGACTTACCTAATCATTGTTTCGTCTCTTAAAAACCGTTTCCAGGTGGATGAGATGTCGCTGCTCGAACCGTAATCATACACATCGCCAGTAAAGGAATTAATTCTCCGTACTTTCGTCAAGGAGAAGCTTCTTACAGCAGCAACGAGTTTCAAAAATCTTGATATGCAAGTACTATGAGAATCGGCATTATCTTTTGTAGCGACTTCAGTAGTAAGCATAATAAGGGCAGCCTGCAGGGTTTCCAACACCTCATCGCTAATAGGAAAATTGTTGAAGCCACATAAATGGGGATTGCGCAGAAGGGCTTGGTCAAAGATGAAATTCTGAACCAAATCGAAGAAGTCTGAGGAAGTAAATATATTACCCCCTAATGGTAGGAGCTGGCCGCCTGAGGCTAAGATAGCGAGAAGGAGATGACTGGAGATGGTTGTAATGTTGAAATATGAGCGGTATATGACTGGGGCGTGGAGGGTAGCATAGTCAAAGTAAGTTCGCAGTAGAGCGTCAAGTTCAGATAGCGTGGGCGTGCTGCGTATTCTGGGATTGATTGGACAGGGTTTGTTGAGGGCCCGTGGCTTTTTGCGAGAAGTGTAGAGCTCAAGTTCCCGAAGCACTTTATCAACCCGAGCATGTACAGCATCTGATTGTTGCTGATCTTGTATAGCCCATAGTGGCTCAGACTCGAACAATGAATGGGAATTCTCTGGGAAGTCGAATAACCCGCAAAAGCTTTGCAAGAAACTCCATGTAGATAGATCAATGCCCGAGTCCGAAGTTGGTAGGCTATTTGGAATAGCCGGCGGAATAATATTTTCTTGAAAGCTTTCGATAGGACAGGCATTTGTAGCTCTCATCAAGTCTTCAAAGGATGTTTCTGGATCGACGTAAGATAGCAGGAATGGTATGCTGGTCTTGACATGCTTTCCACAAGAAGGTGCATCTGCGTGACTGGAATGACTTGGTCGTAAGCCAGGCGTTGGTATAGAAAGCTTTCCAACGGTGACTGTGCTTATTGGGCTTGTATAAATGCACTGAAATTGGGATGCTTGGCATCGGGAACATGGATTTCCCTTATCACAAGCCACTTTCATTCGAGAGCACCGCACACAAGAAGCTTTCTTGGGCCCTCTTCGCATAACATTTGGAGTTTCCCTCTGTGCTCTGTTAGGGCATCGGCGTGCATGGCGGCGCATTACATCTCTATGTGAAGAGTATTAGCGACGACGTCTTGGTTGTGGTAGAATACCTTTACATTCTTGCAAAGAGGTTATGACAGAATGGACATGGTATCGAGGTACCGTCATAATGATGATCTATTTTTAGTCTCCAGTCAACTTAAAGGTCATCTGACAAGACCTTGTTCGGGATACTTACGCAGAAGCCGTTGATGACGGTGTAGATGGCCCGGAGAGGAAAAGTCTTTCTCACAAGCCGTGCAGCGGAGCGAGGTGTGATTGTTTTCCATGAGTCTTTGGGCTGTCAATAACTGATTCTGCTCAAAGATCTAGGTCGGGGGACTCAAAAGACCCCTTGGTTTATTTGCTGGTGGTTGGAACAGCCGCATTAAACCAGCAGCTGCGTGGTGGGTGGCAAGTGGAAGTCCTGGCGTGCCCCACATCGGAGGTTTTCCACATCGGAAGTTGTTCGCATCGGAGGTTTCTCACATTGTATACCGGATATTTACCACATCCCTTTTCATAGCAAAATGGAATCGAATCCTAAATCTTGCTCCTTTCCAAAGGCACAAATGATTTCATATGCCTAGCCTCCTGGGAAAAATTCCATGTTGTCTACAAAGCTAGCATCGCCAAGTGAGTCGATCTTTCAATAAGCCAGTCAAACTTACTTACCTTCTGATCATTTATTAGTGGGCTTCTATGTCACTCACTTCATGCCACCAAGTGCCTCGCTGGTGCAAAAAAGACTATCCCAGAGGCTAAAAATCACAACACAAATCACCTCGCGGAACTTATCTCAAAATGCCAAGCCTGTGTCAAGCTCACTATCTCCTCGAACTGGTCGGCCACGCACCGAGGTTGCACTTCCCAGTCAAGAGAAAAACAGCACTGCGCTTCAATATGCCTTGTGAGTGAAAGAACATGTTTCCATAGAGACCTCATATTCTTACACATCTCTTAATGTCCAGGACTACAGTTGATAGCGTTGCGAACTGGGCTCGACAAGGCTCCCTCTGGCCGATGAGCTTCGGCCTAGCCTGCTGCGCCCTCGAAATGATGCACTGCTCCATGCCCCGTTATGACCAAGACCGTCTGGGTATTATCTTCCGTGCTTCGCCCCGTCAATCGGACGTCATGATCGTGGCAGGCACTGTCACAAATAAGATGGGACCGGCACTACGTCAAGTGTATGACCAGATGCCCGAGCCACGTTGGGTTATTAGCATGGGTAGTTGTGCGAATGGTGGAGGCTACTATCATTACAGCTACAGTGTTGTCAGAGGCGTTGATAGGATTGTCCCTGTTGATATTTATGTTCCAGGCTGCCCTCCGACTTCCGAGGCCCTTCTTTATGGAATTTTTCAATTGCAAAAGAAGATGAGAAAGACAAAGGTAACCCGGATGTGGTACAGGAGATGAAGGGTTACATATAGTTGATTCCAAGAATACTGTAACTCCTTACTGATAGTCTTAGCCTGCAACATCAAAGATACCGGTTTTCAATGTGAAGCCCCTCAAGTCACTGACATCTTCTCGCTTAAAAAGTCATCCAGTTCTTGTTTTGCTGCAATTTTGGACGCCCTGGATGATTGTTCAGCTGATGAGGTTTTGCCATGGATCCGGAGGTTTGTGAGGTAGATACCGGGGGTCATGTACATATTCCTAGATATGGGCATTTCCATCTAATATGCCCCTTATAATTTTAGATAAGCCACCTACCTTGAGGTACAAGTTTCTTACTGGATAAATATCCTGCCTATCAAAGGTCCTCGGGTATGTAGCCTCTATTAAATAAAATTTTCCATCATTTCGTGGATTCAATACCCAATCAATATTTCAAGCAGGTTGTGGCTTCACAGCAACCGATTCTTCAACTGGCTCATGAACCAACTGAGTCTCAGAAGTGCTGACCTGCCACGAAGTATCTTTTTGGATTCGGCCAAGCGGCATAGATCCATCCGAGTGCTCATTATATTTTGGTGACCTGTTATCATTATAGTATGATGAGGCTTGACCAAAGAGTGAGGGGAAGAGATGCTTCAGTAGGGATGGGAGGCAGGGCATGCACGCGCAAATGATTGCCACATCGCATTCGACGACACTCCAGTAGATTGCGGGGGTATTTGCATCTATGAATCCAGTTAGTAATCAATCATTATAGAAGCATGGCTGTTACACACAAGTTGTGTTGGTCGATTTCGAGAACACGACAAGCGATCGTAGTCTCAGGCAGCTGACCACAGTAATTCTGGTTACAAAGTTAGAAGATTGAATTTGACTGTAACACGCAAAACAAATGAGGAAACTCACAGGAAGCCAGTACAGAACATCAAAATGATCTGAATCTTCTTTTTGGTACTCATTGCTGTATGGAGCAGTGGCCAAATTGGGAGAGTGATAATCCCCAGATCCATCGCAATCTGAATAGCCGCTTTGTACCACGAGTACCCATTGATGTCGATGCACGTTCCCTCGTATTCACCGGTCCATCCCGACCAGAAATACGGTACAGGTGTACACTGGAAGATCATGACGAATGTGTTGGAGATACCAAAGCAAATCGAGAGACCCATTAGGCAATAGCAGATCAACTGGAATCGTGGTATTGGGAAAATGCGCAGGTAGAAGGCGAGGAAGGATAGTTGTGTTAGGGCCTCGGCGGCCATGTAGCAAACTTCGGCGACGTAAAGCAACTAGAGTGAGTAGTGGTGAGCTGGGAGCGCTGCAGATAATTTATGGGATTCAATTACCTCCAATTCTATCGTTATATGCTCGAATGGGATTGTCCAGATGTTGGTACCAAGCCCGAATTTCTGCACTATACACAGCGCCAATGATGAGGAAAGTTTTTTGGGGTAGTTTATCGGACTTACTTGGAAACATTGTGCAATTCAAGGGAGCGGCGCATATAAGAGCTGCGACGATCAATCCGTCATCAAGACCGAATAATCGATTGAAAACTGTACGTTGAATCAATCGCAGCGATACCATGATCAAAGCTAGCATTCCAAGAACCCCAGCCAACACTGGAGAAATGAGAGCTTGGCTAGCTTGAGGGACGCCACATATTGACATTGTCAGGTTTGTAGCAGCTGATGGTATAATCTTAGCATTGAAAATAGAGGTCTGTAGGTGAATCCTTACAAAGACCAGCTTTCACGCCACAGTCTATAGTTGTGCAGTCGGTTGCCTGTGTGAAGAAAGTGCTGTCTAGACAAAGGCATGTCGCATTCGAGACCAGACATGATGATTGATTCGCGGCTGTAGAGAAGCAATTGAGCTGTTGAGAGCGCAAAGACGCATCAGTTGCCACTCAAAGTACCAGATCCACATGTTCGAGGGCTCCATACTGCACAAGAGGAAAGACTGCCAAACGGACCGTCCGCCAGGGACATGATGAACAGCGGGTCTCAAGGGACCAAGATCGATGCAAAAACACCAGTGGCAGGTCCTTTCCTTAAGAAACCTGCGGCCATGGGGCGAACTGCTGATCTTTTCTTCAAAGAAGAAAAATCAAAAGAACAGAAAAAGAAAATGACAGCTACTATTTGCGATGCCCCTATCAGGATTGCAAATACGTTGTGGACCAGCTCCTGCAGCAATATGTGGAGTCTTTTATTGGTTACATTGAGTTACCCACTGTGTGAACAGTCATTTTAGCTGTCAGAAATTACGTTTTGGCCGCCGGCGTTTTCTTGGGTCCAGGGCCGGACCGTGCTAACGCCTCGTCCGCGGGATTGGACATCCGGTGCCGCGAGCTTGGACCGTCGGCAAGCCATCATTTATTTCCTTTGTGGGAACAGGTTAATCAGAAACAGTCGGCCGAGTCTACGCTAACAATCCTGTAGACCAGATCCCGGTAACAATTCGTTGTTGTCATTCGATGCAGCCAGAGAGGTGACCCACCAGGGTAAAGGAATTATGCGTCCCCAAATAAAAACGGAAACCGTGCCCCACGAAGCCTCATCATGGCCCAGGAGCTTGGACAATGGAATATACATCCGTCCATTCACCTTCTGTTTCTCCCGTTAGCGATATATTGTGGCCGGGACCGAGCGTCACCCCGATCGCTGGGTCAAGAGCGGGTGACGGTCTTTCATCCCTGGGACGGCGTGCGCCGCGATCCACTAGTGCACAGCGATTGGCGGATACGGCTATGTGGGGGAACTTTCGGCTCGCATAATAAAGTGGTGCAAGTGGAGTACAACGCTATGAACTTAATGCCCGTTTGCACTAGAAGGACCAATGGCGCTAAAGGTAATAGTTATTGCATGGCTCCTGCCATAGCTACCCCCCTTTCACTCTGCCATATCAACACATCTGGTCGCCATGCCATCTCAAACGCTTGTAGGCGTGGTCCTACTGGCAATTGTGCTCTATGCGATCAAGCTTGTGATTTTCCGCAAAAATGCCCCCGGGTCTCTACCCCCAGGTCCAAAGGGAAAGCCAATTATCGGTAACATCTCAGACTTGCCTGCTCCGGGGACAGCAGATTGGGTGCATTGGCTGAAGCACAAGGATCTCTATGGTAGGCGCTATCTCTTTCATTCTAAGGGAGGAATGAAACTGACATATTCATCGATGGGCAGGACCAATCAGTTCAATCACGGTCATGGGTCAAACCATCGTGATTTTAAATGACAGTCGCAGTGCAACGGATCTTCTCGGGAAACGCTCGGCAATTCATTCGTCGCGACCCAACCTAGTCTTTGCATCAGAGATGTAACTTGCTTTCGATTGAACAAAAAAAGGGAATCCACTAATTCGAGTGCTCTAGGGTCGGTTGGGAACATATTATGGCGATGCAAACCTATTCAGACCGATTTCGCGCTTATCGTAAGGCGATGCAACCTTATCTCGGACATGAAGCCGCCGTAGCGCAATACAATTCATTGCAAGAGATCGAGTGTCATCGGTTCTTACTTCGGGTGTTGAAAGACCCGTCGCAGCTTTCTCAGCATATCTCAACGTAGGTTTTGCCTTGAGGAGATAAGACGGAGCGGCAAATGCTAACTTCGCCAGTGAGGCTGGAGCAATTATTTTGAAGATCGCATATGGATACACGACTGATCCACATAAGTTAGATCCATTGGTTCATATGGCGGGTTTGGCCCTCGAGCACTTTGCCATTGCAGGAACCCCGGGAGCCTGGCTTGTCGACATGATTCCGGCTTGTGAGACTGCTCCTAGACATCGATTTGGCCACAACGCTAACTGAGATAGTGAAATACGTGCCCTCCTGGTTCCCCGGAGCGGGTTTCAAACGCAAGGCACAAGCATGGAAGAAGAACCTCGAGAATACTGCCGACATACCTTTTGATTTTGTGAAGCGGCAAATGGAGAGCGAGAAATCCAAGCCCTCCTACCTCTCTAATCTTTTCAAGGCCGAAGGCTATCCAGCTGCTGGCAGCGAAGAGGAGACTGTCGCAAAGTGGACCGCGGCGTCGCTGTACACAGGTGGTGCCGATACTGTACGGATGTACCCATTGTGAGCTGGTTAATCACGCTAACTAATCACAGACTGTCTGCTCCGTCAAAACGTTCTTCTTGGCTATGACCCTGTACCCCGAAATCCAGCGTAAAGCACAAGAGGAAATTGATCGAGTATTGGGCGCCGGCCGACTTCCCAAGATGACTGACCGCGCGAATCTTCCGTATATTGATGCTGTTGTGAAGGAGACTCTTCGCTGGCATCCAGTTGCACCGATGGGTATTCCCCACATGTCTGTTGAGGATGACATGTATGAGGGCTATCACATTCCTAAGGGCTCTTTGATTATGCCCAATATCTGGTACGTTCCGGCGTGGACATCTTGTGGTGCAAGCATACTAACAGATGATAGGGCTCTGACTCATGATCCTGAGGTGTATCATGACCCAATGACCTTCAAGCCTGAGCGCTTCCTGGGTGTCGATGGCCGTGAGCCTGAAATGGATCCTCGCGGTGTTGTTTTCGGTTTTGGACGTCGCGCATGCCCGGGTCGACTCTTGGCTGAGAACACGGTGTATCTGAGTGTTTCTCGGTCATTGGCTGTCTTCAATATCAGTAAAGCGGTTGAGAACGGCAAGGAGGCGGAAGTTAAGGCAGAATTCCAGCCTGGTGTGATCAGCCACCCGGTTGCGTGGAAATATGATATGAAGCCTCGTAGCTCTGTGCACGAGGCCTTGATTCTTTCCGTGGAGACAGAGCATCCATGGGAGGAGAGTGATGCCGCTGCGTTGAAAGTTTAAATATGGGATTTTGTTGATCCATAGACATGACTTTTATGACTTCATATTTGGCAACCGCGAATTTGCAACGCTATGTACATTTCGTCCATACTATCGCACAATCAATTCCCATTCGAATTCACCTGGGTCTTTCCAGTAGTCTGTTTCGCTAAGACTAAACCCAAGCTTTTGCAATACTTTCCCACTTCGCTCATTGTCTTTCTCAGTCTCAGCAATGAATCTTCTCACGCCCCGTTCATCCGCGGCCCATCCCATGACCGCTTCAGCTGCCTCCTTCGCAATACCCGTACCCCAACATTCTGGAGAGACGCCGTATCGCAGCTCCACCATCTCCTGCCAAGGTGGAAGAGCCGGATCCTCAGCCTCTCGAGCTGGCATCGAAGTGGTCGTTGCATCGCGAATACCAGCATAGCCAACCCAATGGATCGTATCGAGGAGCTCCATGTTCAGCCCAATGAGTCTCTCCAAGTCGGACCCTCTGAGCACAGAGAATTGTGGTTCAAATTGCTTGGCATCTTTATCGCGTGCGTTCTTGTCATCAGATTGAGAAGACCCCCGCAACCCCACAGCCAAATCACCCAGGCTGTACTTCTTCCAATTGCGATCGATGTCACGTGTCTCGATAAATGAGTGGGTTTCACTGTCATTCCAATTTTTGAGTGGAAAATCGCTCCCAAAGCCCATTCGACAGAACCCCGCATCGGCGTGCAGCCTTGCATACAGTTTTCGGTAAGTCGCTGAAAACACTGCAATGGGGGTTGGTAGCAATACAAGCCTATCCGTCAAGATAGCAAAAGGTTCGGGAAGGCCCGAGAACTGAAGAGGACTCATTTTCGACGTGGTATGTTTTCTAATGTTTAGAATAACTTTAGGGGTTGAAGATTGGGGATTGTAACACAAGTAGCCAATCAAACATGGTCCGACATTATGTTGCTGAGTAATCACTAGGCTGACAGCCAATCTCACTTCATTGTTTGGTTTGTTTGCAAAGTACTGCGGGGCGGTGTGGGGCGAGACAGGGTATACAACCTGCCAGCATTCATGTGAATGTAACCACCCCCTAAGGTCAGAGATTGCTGCACGCTTCTAAGTCCAATAGATCTCGCCACAGCTCCAAGAGCTTGGTTTAGTCAATTCTATCCATTTTACCTTTCTTCCAACATGGGGGAAGCTACCTTATTTGGCCAGGCTGTGACGCTTGTCAGCGTTCTCTTAGGCCTGTATCTTTTCGGAATCATCACAGTGTATGCTAAGCTGATGCAATTTAGCGGACCTTCGTGGACCGGCATCTCAAATTGGCCACATAGCATCGCGTTACTTCGGGAGAATTGCCATGAGTGGTATGCCGAAGTCAACGAGAAACATGGTGCGAGGCATTCATCTTCTAGACATCCTTCTGCTTTACATCTCTACTCAGATGCCCCGCATATCTACTATAGCTAAACGCTTTGACTCACAAAAGGTCCTATTGCCCGTGTCGCTCCTCAGGTACTGATCACATCCTCTCCCGATGTTTGGATGCATGTAAACAACAAGCCTGGCTATAAGCGCTCTAATTGGTACTACCACGCCGCACGAATCGAACATCGCAAGGACAATGTCTTCAGCCAGACAGATAATGCAAAGCATGAGCAGCGGAGGAAGCAGATGGCTCCAGGGGTATGATAGCTGCCGCTTGTTTCTCTCCACTGTCTCCCCTCCTAGTCATACTGGCCTAGACAGCTGACCTTGGATATTACAAAGTATTCGGGACGAGAAAACGACCAGCTTGAGAGGGCTGTGGACGAACAAGTCCACAATCTTTTGAACCTCATTCGGTCCAAATACGTCTCGTCAGACCACTGTATCGTGCCTATGGATCTAGCGAAGAAGGTCCAGTATTTTACACTCGACGTCATTAGCAGCGTCGGTCTTGGTAAGGCGTTCGGTATGCTACAAAATGACCAAGATGTGGACCACTATCTCCAATCGAGCGAAGAGGGACTTGCTATTGCAAATACCGCCCTTGCCTTGGGCTTGAGCTGGATCACTCAGGCGCCCTTCATCGGCAGATTCATTGCACCTTCACCTAAAGATAACAACGGCTTCGGCAAGATGATGGACGCATGCTTCCGGCTTGTCGACGCGCGCGCCGCGAGCTCCACCCATGAAAAGTCCGATATGTTAGCTTCATTCATGCGTCACGGCCTAGCAGGTGACGAACTGCGGACGGAAGCATTAGAGCAGATCCTTGCGGGCTCCGACACCACTGCTGGCGGCATCCGCGGTACCCTCCTGCACATAATAACAAATCCCCGCGTCTACTTGAAGCTACAACGCGAGATTGACGATGCCGTGAGCCGCGGTAATGCTCCGGGCATGGGTGAAGGTCTTGTTACCGCCGCCCAGACCAAACTCCTTCCGTATCTTCAAGCCGTTATCCGCGAGGCTCTGCGAGTCTGGCCACCTGTTGTGAACATTTTCTCGCGCGATGTCCCAGCAGGTGGCGATACTGTTTCCGTCGATGGCGAGAGTGTGTTCCTACCAGGCGGCGTCTGCATCGGTTACTCGGCGTATGCTATGCACCGTAGCGAGAAGATCTATGGTAAGGACGCAAAGGCTTTCCGACCAGAGCGGTGGCTCGAGTCGAATCCTGATAAGTTGGCTGTCATGACTCGGACCAACGACCTTATATTCGGTTACGGCAAGTTCCAGTGCTTAGGGAAGCCAGTGGCTCAAATTGAGATCGGAAAGACGGTATTTGAGGTGAGAAAATTTGCTCCGCGTGCTTCTTTCGTTTTGTATATTCCCGACGAACACGTACTGACTGTCGACCGAACTCAGCTCTTGCGTAATTTTGACATAGCGCTCATCAATCCGATGCATCCCTGGGATGTGCGGAACTCTCTTGGACTTTTCTCGATCTCGAATATGTGGGTACAAGTGATGGAGCGAACACCTTATTCATCTTAACTGGGTAAAGAACAATTTGCGTGTAATGTGCAGATGCGAGGCTGCTGGTGCTAAGGGCGAAGTTATGTAGTACCCATTATACCAAGTACTTTGTTTCACCTCGTTCTCGCCTCGGGGATATCTACAAGTATGTCGTGGAGAAATCGAGATATTATCATGAACCTTCCGCTATTGAAATTTATCAGTGACACATCATCTACTAAACAAACATGAAGCCAAATTCAACTTTCTTTTAATGAAAGTCCGAGGTGTTGTACATTTGAGATTATGAGCTGAGGGGTTACTTCTATTTGCTATTTTACATTGTTTTTTTGTCCAAATTCTCTATGACGAATTTGCCTTCCTTAGCTGCCGAACGGTACGGAGGAGAAGGCTCTGAGCGTAAAGGACGTGAGCTTCGTAAGCGAGCCATGGCATTCTTTTGAAATCCCTTGGCGTTTGGCCACCAGGATGCAAGTCAGAGCACTCCAGCGAGAGGTATGTCACTCTCGCCGTCTCTTCTGAGATCTTCTCCACAATGAACTCCTGCCAACCGCCTTCCATTACTCGCCATGGCCAGCCGTAAGATGCCGCCCTGTTGAATGCATTGACCACGCCAGAGGGGAACTTCCAATATATGACCGTGCCAGCTGACTCGGGTAGAGATAAGTTTTTGGATGCAAGAAGTGTTTCGTTAGAGGGAAAAACAGTGGTCGGAACAGGTGCGCTCGAAGGCAAAATAGAAGGCTGGATTGCGGTTTTCAATCCAGAGCTCCAGCTGCCAAACATGAAGGCACTAAGGCCAGTTGACTCTCCAAACAAGTGACTCCCAGACATATAAGTTCTGGGAGGCACCTTTCTGTCTATGAGCCATCCATCAGGACCGTGCGAACGCGCGTCGAGGAAGGCGTCGATCAAATTTCGCGCCATGCCATCTGCGCTACGCGGGTCAATTTCACTCATTGTCGATACCCCTTTCCTAGCCTCACTTGTGTAGGATGCTAGTAGCGCCACTGGCACGTCCACCTGAACTGCAACGTAGGATGATAGCCAACGGCTTTTCTTGTCCCCCGAATTGCCTTCTGACCACGAGGGTAACGGGCCTGACTTTTCCCCTCCCCATGGTTTCGGCACGCCAGAATCTGAGCTGTCACATGCCGTGTTGATGAGTTGTCGACATGCGCTCAATTGCGATACTTTGCCGATAGGTATCCTTGGACAAGCACGGTCGAGGTACTGTCTACTGATGTATGTGGTGATTATAGTGGCACTGCCCAATGCAAGTGCGCCCATAGAGAGTCTGCTTGCCATTCTTGGTCGGTATGAAGATGCGCGATCCAAGAATAATTGGTGTAATCTTTTCAATTGATGATGGACGAAAGGGAGGATATTGGATTTTAGGAGCTATAAATGCGGAAGAAATCGGAATAAGTATTCATATTGAGCTGTTACGGCTTATGTCACATGTCTGGGGCAAAAGCCTCAATATGACAGTTCTTCCATAATGGATCCATAATAGATACATTAAGACGATAATAATCCGGTGACTCGTGAGTCACCCATATTAATGGCCTCAGGCATCCACGGCATTAATTCGGTCCCGAGATTCGACCAGTTAGGTGAATGGCTTTTAGGTCCATCGCGATTCAAGGCCATGACTACCGCTCAGTAGATCATGTTGTGAGTGTCTACATGAAGCCTGCTAGACATACCAGCACTAAGTTGAATCTGTGATGTCGTCAAATGGGCTTGCGTAATTGTCTAAATCTAACATTTGTATGATCATAGCGAGTTGAGTGAGGGTGTTGATGAGTTTAGTCTTTGACGATGGTGGTGACTGTCTAATGAATAACATTGATTGACCAGAGCGCCCTAACTGGATCTATCTTGTACTCTGCATACCGTGCATGTAGTGTAGCGAAGTCACTCGGTCATCAAGTAGCCACATTGCTACTGCGAATGGTAGCTTCCAGAGGGAAGACCGAGCTCTCAACGGTGATGCCGGCATAAACTCGATCAAATCGCTCTTGCAAGTACTTGGCCTTCGTCCACTCGTATTCTGGATCCCGCAGCCAAAGTCGGAGGAGGTGGCGTCTGAAGACTAATGTCAGCTCTCTCGCGGGTCAAATAACAAGTGCTAAGACTAACCGCTTGTTGGGTGCATCGGTAAATGCTCCTCGGGCGTGTAGAATGCTTAGATTATTAGCGAATTGGATGTCGCCTTTGTGGAAGTCCAATGAGATAGCATGCTGCTCAGCCGTAAAGTGAACAGCATCAAGCGCTTCAGCCTGTGCTTCGGTAAGGGCGGGGATGTTCGCTGATCGTTTGCAATCCATGTACCCCGTCAGGTTTCTTCGCGAGTATTGTATAATCAGTCGCTCGGGATCGGCTTTGGTGGCAGGCTGGTAATAGAGGAGGGGCCGTAGCTTATACACATCGCCGTTCGGGGCAAAGCTAGACAAATTGCGGGCCCTTAGCTTTGTCTTTCATGTTAAATTTTCATATGAAGTGACTTACTCGTCAAAAGGCCAAGGCTCAGAAAGCGTTCTGATCAAATCAGGGCGTGTAGCAGCAAGCACGTTATAAACATGACCAGTGCTCGCAAGGAAGCTTTCACCTCCTGAGTGGCCCTCACTAAGGCAGAAAAGGGCAATAACATCGCCAGCATCAGTGTGGAACACCTGTTTATCGGCAGTGACGACAGGGCCGGGAATGTCCCTAGGATTGCACTCCTGACTCAGATCCTTGACATGGGCAACAAGAACATCGGCGGGCTTGCCTTGCCATTTATTGTCTTGGCGACCACGGATAGGCGCAACATGTGATGAGAGACCAGTGTAAATAATTACGTTCTCTTCACGAGTATATTCATCCACTGGAAGACCGCGGATGACCTTGAACCCGTGACCGTTGTGAACTTCGTTGGAGATGTCGCGGAGCGTCGCGTGCAACTTGGGCAATGGGAATGTTTCAATTGAGAGCTCTCCCATTGGCTTACCCGATGCTAAAGGCAAGTATTTAGTAAACTTAGCGTCTTACAAAGATGGAGCAAGATTCAAGAGAAACGTTAGTGACATACCTTGGAATTGACGAAGTGCATGGTTGATCTCATCTATGTCCTCTGATGTGAGATGATAGTTCCAGTCGTATGTGTTGGCCAGAATCTTGGGGTCCCAGACATAGCTGCCTGTTAGCTTGGTAGGAAATCCTTCGGGGACATTCTTCTCGAGGTTCTCCGTTGCTTGACGACGTTTGCCGCGCGCCAGATACTTCTCAAAGTCTGGCATATACCCAATGTCGGGGGCAGTGTCAGTCATGATGAGATGGTAGGGGAGATTAATTGATCGATAGAAGGCAAAGTTTTGTGTAGCTGAGATTGCGAACCACGAATCTGCCACGTCTTTTTGGAGTCTTTTGTAGTGGAGATTTCACGATAATTGTAAGGAACTGGGAAAAGAAAATGTCGCAATTCTGGATCTGAATCGCGAAAGCCTTCGTGGGAGATTTTTTCCATTCATATTTATTTGCTCATGAATGGCTTGTGTAGCGACCAACATATCGCCAGAGGTCGGCGTGAGAATACACTTCGGCGTAATGATCGGAGTCTCAACTCGCTCCATTATGGTGGGGTAGTGGAGAAAGTAGAGAGAGTCAACAACCAATCGGAGTAGCGGACTACCTTGGCATCGGGAGCATAAGTGGCTCTTCACTCCGACAACCACCACACATTCCCACTCGATCTCTGATGCCGACTCCGAATTCAAGCTCTCACTCTTCTAGGCCTGGGAAAATTCCCGCGTGTGACCCATGCAGGGCACTCAAATTAAGATGTGATCATGAGAAGCCGACGTGTTCTCGATGCAGAGAAAGAGGCCGCGTGGCTGACTGTGCATACCGACCGAGGCCGTTCAAACGACCGATTGGCAAACCTCTAGAGAAGAAGTCCGTGACCCTGAAATATGTCTACCAATATACTAACATTGCGCAATCGCTGTTGTGATCAGGCTGAGAGATAGCCAAGCAACCTCTGTACCATCGGACACGGAACGTGCGGAACATCTGATTACTCCGTCCGTTCAGTATCCCAACCCGGGATATCTGGGGTCATCAAGCCATACGACACTGTTTGATCAGTTGCAGCTTGATAGGGATGTAGGATCCAATGACTCCAGCCGGGGAGATGCGGGCAGGGCAGACTCTCCGACAAAATATATTATTGATGAGACTTGTATCTCAAGAGGTGCGGAGTTTATCCTTGAATTACATCGTGGATCCATGATCCGCCCATTGGTACAACTTGTCAAAATTTGGTCCACCAAAGGTACAAACCTTGCGCTTGCTGGTCCCTTCACCGAGCCTTGTGCAGCAACAGCCACCCACTTACTATCTCAATGCGATGGAGGTCAAGCAACTGCGTTGGAGATTTCCAGCAGCCTCTTCAACCACTCGTGTCGCCCGATCTCATTGGATCATGGAACAACCTTCGGTGAATATTGTGGTAATATTTGTGGCCGAAATGCTCGATGGGAGTCACTTGGCATTTTCTTCGTTGCCGCCTGTCGAGCTTCTATAGATTTGTCATATGCAGAGACACTATATGGATCTGAGCAACAACGTCGTAGGATCCAGAAGTTAGCACTTTCGTACTCAGACCGGTGCCTGGATCTATGCCTACCTTTAGACTGCATGAACGATGTGCAGCTCATTCTTCAATATGAAAATTTTATTTCTCACTCTCAAGTTGATGGTGATCAAAGTGAGTCAGTTCCATAAAAATGGAGCTTGCGGTAACTAACTATACTTGTGGGCTATCTGTCTTGGAGGAAACTCGGAGACGTAGCTGCTTCTCTTTTTGCTCTTGGCTATCATCAACAAAAGCCAGAATCATTCGGTGACGTTCCAGATTTTCTCAATAGGCTTCGTCAGACAGCCTTTTGTCGTACTTATTCAGCAGACAAGAATGTGTCTATTTTTCTTGGTCGGCCCCCTCGGATTGTCCGCAAATTTTGTCACTTTTACCTTCCAAATCTAGATCCACAACCACCCCAGAAAGCATCCCGCAAACCACCTATATGGAGCCAAGCTAGAGGGCCTAACTTCATCACTGACTCACGGTGGGCTGCTCTGTGTGGAATTTTGAAAGAGGATATATTAGACTTGTATACCACGGATGACTATGATGAAAGGAATCGTCAAGCACGGTAACTAAGCCTCCTGATGGCCTGATCCGGGCCCAGGATATCTATTGACTAACAATATTTAGACTAATTGATGCCGATGCTTGTGCCCAGTGGAATGCCGTTCCTGCAGACTATCGATTAGAATGTGATCTTAAGTCGTGCAATCGACAACCAGTGGAGCGTGATTTCATGGCTAATATGAAGCTCAATTATCTCCATGTGCACTTCCTTCTGCGGCTGGCTTGTGTTTGCCCTATGACAACGGGCCGAGATCCAGGCCTGTTTCGGGTTTCGACGGAAATGCTTAGCCTTGTCGTGGAGACAATAATGCTGAAAGACCAGATCATAAATTCTGGAACTTCTCTAGTTTGGAAGGTGAGCTAAACCACTCCGGAATCAAATAGGCAGCTAATCTTATCCTCAAAAATCAGGTTGCCTACTACGGCTTATCGGCCGCCGGGCTCATCTGCCTCACCCTTGTCAACCAGGGATTTGCCACAGACATTCCTGATCTCAGTGTTTCGAAGGTCTTCCAAGATCTGAGCATTCTCGTGGGAGAGATCGAACGTGGTACCTTAGTGTACATTGACTCCCCTAACTTCGCTTTACTAGCTCGTGCCGCTCAAACAATCAAAAGTCTCCTCGACCGTATGCTTACGCACAGCATGGCAGCCATGCCGGGTACTCAACCCGACCTTCTACCAGACTCCGAAACGATGGCTACCTTGGAAGGTGGGAGTTGGGGTCTATGGGACAGCAGCAATCTTCAAGATTTTGAGATCAATTTTTGGCATAACCTCGCCGATCATCCTTTCCTTAATGATTGACTGACGGAAGCACTCGTGCGAAATCCCCAATATGTACAGTCGTCCTCATAATTGCCTTGGCCAATACACACGGACTAGATTATTTTCTGAGCCCACTGCCAAGAATTGACGTGGATTAATCATTGAGCCATTTTCATCAACCGACGGAGTCGGCGAAATGAGGATTGTATGCTTTAGTAATTATTAAGAATTCATGCGCGCCAAGTGGGTGGGGATTCAGTTGCGCGTTATGTACGTAGTCCAAGCCGTGTGATCACCGTGTCTGTCAATCTGTTACTGTCGCCCAATAATCAATTGGCGGTGGAGCCTGGAAAGAGGTTCTCTGTGTATATGTCAAGGCTCGGTGTATTAAGCTTCCAATTCGTAACGCTTGCTCCGCTCTGGGTGGAGCAGATGGAGACCAGCAGCAGGGTCAGAGATCTCCCTAGACTGGTTGCCCATTAACGCCCCAAATTGCGTGATAATGCAATATGCGATCGATACTTTCCGCCTGCACAGTGTACGAAGTAGATTTTGTATTGCATATATGAATCCCTACAGATTTCGAATACCTCCAGTACTGGCCACTTGCGTGCATTCTGACCATAAAGGAATTTCGATCCTACTCCGTCCCGCACGGTCATCAATTATATTCTATGAATAATTGTCTTGTCTTTCAAAATGTTAGAAAGGGACTGTGAAAAGCAAACACAACCACCTCCGGACCAGCCCTCGGATTCATGCAATTCCAACGATGGCACACAAAGAGGCACTGTTGCTGCCGACCGGTTAGCGCGCAAGCTATCCCCTCGTCAAGTTCAGATGATTGCCATTGGGGGAACGATAGGGACTGCATTATTTCTTGGAACTGGAAACGCATTAGCTAAGGGTGGTCCGGCATCAATGCTGATTGCATATGCGGTCTGTGGTGGCATAGTCTTCATCACAATGCTAAGTCTGGGCGAGATGGTCGCATTCATGCCGATAGCCGGATCATTCTGTACATATTCAGGGTAAGTCATGCTTGCTTAACATAGCTTTGAGCTCTTCTAATTCTCCAATTCTCCCAGCCGCTTTGTGGATGAGTCTCTGGGGTTCGCCTTGACTTGGAACTACTGGGCTAACGATGCGGTGTCCGTTGCCTCGGATATCATAGCACTGCAGATTCTGGTGGAGTACTGGACTGATGCTTTCCCTGGCTGGGCTTCTAGCCTTATATGCCTTGCCTTCGTTCTGGGTTTGAACTTTTGCTCTGTTAAGGTTTATGGAGAGGTGAGAACGCTGACTAGCCGGCCCGATGAAAGCGAAGCTAACTAGGACTCAGACTGAGTACTGGTTGTCTCTACTCAAGGTTGTCACCATAGTAGTAAGTTCTCGAGTCTGCCGATAATCGTGCTTTTCATATCTGATTCAATTCAGGCCTTCATCATCGTCGGAATCGTTGTGAACTGTGGTGCCAACACCCAACACACTTATTTCGGCGACCGTTATTTTTACGTTGGCGATGCCCCATTCGTGGGTGGAATCAAGGGATTCGCTTCTGTCTTCGTAACAGCATCTTTCGCCTAGTAAGATGCAACCAATATACAGCTTGAGTTCCATTGCTAACAATGCACAGTGGTGGAACAGAAAATGTTGCAATCACAGCTGGCGAGACAAAAAACGCCGCTCGAACATATCCCAGTATTATCCGCAACGTCTTCTGGCGAATAATCCTCTTTTTCATCGTTTCAGTTGCCTTGATCGGTCTCGATGTACCGTACACATTTCCCGGTCTCTCTAGCAAGACTTCCGCCACCAGCCCTTTCACAATCGTCTTTCAAGAAGCTGGCAGCGCCGTAGCAGGAAGCTTCATCAATGCCGTGGTGATCACGAGCGCGATATCAGCAGCTAATCATGCCCTCTTCGCGGGATCTCGACTGATGTACACCTTGGCCATTGATGGATACGCCCCCTGTCAACTGAGCCGCTTGAACCGCTTCCAAATCCCATGGCTAGCAGTCCTGGCTACAGCAGTCATAAGCGCACTATGTTTTGGAGCCAGCAAAATCGGCGCTGGTCAAGTCTGGACTTGGCTACAGAATATGGTCGGAGTCTCCAATCAGATCGCCTGGGCGTGTATTTGCTTTACATCCCTTCGCTTCCGTGCTGCCATTCGCCGTCAGAACTTGGATCATCTTCTTCCCTTCAAAAACTTCACGTATCCTGTGGGCCCGGCCTTCGCAGTCGTTTTGAACATCCTTCTTGTTCTCATTCAAGGCTGGTCGTGCTTTAGCCCCGACTTTGATGCTGTCAAGTTTGCTTCGTACTATGTTGAGGTAGCAATCATGATTGTCATGGTCATTGGCTGGAAAGTGTACAAGAGAACTAAACTTGTGCCCCTGGATGAGATGGACTTGTTAACGGATCAGTACGATCATGCGAAAACAGGAATTATCGCAGAAACTGACGAACAGGAGAATTCGCCTTTCTCAATGTCTACTATACTAGAAGGGAGACTCCTCAAGCAGGCCGTAGATTGGCTATTTTAAGAAGCTTTATATATAGGTATATATACAACGCACTGGATATTTAGAGATTCCGATCATGCTTATAAGTCTGAATCCCTGATCTAATCTCGACTGGCAGCGTTGTACAAAACTTAAATGAGAGACTTTCGCCCTTATATCAAGGAGAACTTGACTTCAAGGCCCCTAGATTTCAAATAACTGTAATGTGCTAGTCTTGATAACGGCGTTACGCATCCTCAACAACGAGGCTCGGGCGCCGGCGGATGGACTGTCCAATCGGCGTGGATCTTTACTCCGAGCTCCACACCGGACTGAGGCACTCCTTACGTAAAGAGACGGCACACGTGGGAGCGCGATGATTGAACATCCAAAAAAACACTTGAACATCCTCACTAACCGCATTCTAAGTAGCGTAATTTACAAGATTCGGAGATTCGGAGAGTAACTTGTTTGAGTACAGTCCCAAGTACAAAGTTGAGTCACCTAATTGCAGCGTTGGGTAGTTGGGGGTCAAAGATCAGATCGCGATCGCGCGGCAGGGTGGTCTTAACCTTGAAGGGTACCCTGCCAGATTGCTTAGGCCGGAATATGGTCCTTTCCGATGCATAGACCGGTCGGTTCTTGACATGGTTTGGCTTGGCGCAGATACCAATGGGGACAGCGATTCCGTCGCAAGATCCTATAACCGCATGGCTCTAGTAAAGCGTTATCTCATATATCGACTCGGATTAGGCGAGGTGATGCGAAGTTCGTTCAGACCTGAGATGGCATTTATCCTGGATTACAATTACTGCGCTACTCCAAATGCGATGAGTATGAGTGTTCAACTAATTTCGTGGTGTTCAATTATGGCGCTCCGACCAGCTGCTCAGGTGCGCAGTCTTTGTACAATCATGGTTCAAATCCTTGAATTCTGCTTGTCAAATACTGTCGTAGATGCATATATGAAGCCTCCTGGACAGACTAATATAAAGATGAATCCGTGATGTCGTTAAGTGTGTGTGCCTAATTGCCTACTTTCGCAAATGGCGATTATGGTGCGCTCTTTATGACTAGGATAATTGAAATACAAAAATAGAAATCTTGTAGATTCAAGCCATGTGAATCCATGGATGTTGTGTGCTTAGAGTTTACTAAGAAATGAAAAAAAGAAAGGATAGCGGTTGTCCCTTAATAAACCAAACTATCGAGTCCATAATTTTTCATGAGCTCTAATGGCTAAGGAGATACCAAAGATCAGCTGAAAAGCTAAGTGAATATACCGTATAGATGTGCTGGCAGCCAATCAAAGCATATAAATCTATCAATCTTATATAACGCGTAAAAGAGCGGTGTGCGGCTTTCAGCTCCCCCAGTTTTTGATCCACTTTGGTTTCTTCACTACAGGCAGGCAATAGGTATATCAGTGACAGCATATGAAATCTGGTTGGTTGGCCAGGAGCCACCGAGGATGGAATTCTCTTAGATTAGGTTTGCAAGCCAAAAGTACTTAATCTTGCTAATTCCCAGTCTTCACAAATATAAACATAATCCTTCGATTCATACCACACCTTCATACCTTTCACCACACTTACCAGCTCTTTTCGAAATACACGATGCCTGGAGAGGTCCAATGTTTAAAGGGGTAAATTCAAATTCCATGGACTCTCCTAATACTTTCCGCAGATGTTGAACGTTTTTCTAGGATGGCGAAGTACGACGAGGTCGTTAATAGTGGGAACGCTGTGATGATACATTTTATGGCAGCGTACAACAACCAATGCCAATTAGTTGGACCTGTTTTCAAATCCATGGCGGAAAGGTACCCTGGCATGGAATGTTATTATGTGGATGTTGACGCGGACCAGGCAATCGCCGATAAAGCTGGCGTCAGGGCTATGCCGTATTTCGTAGCGTTCAAAGACGGCAAGAAGGTGGACGAATTTTCGCTTGGTGCCAACCGGACAAAGCTACAACAGCTGTGTGAAAAGATTGCTTAATTTACAAGATGTCCAATTGATATCGGTATTTGAGTGATTTTCAGTGGAGACGATGGCCCTTGAACGCAACTGTTTTGAATACGATAGCTATGATTTATTGTAAAGTATGCATTGTACAACATACCAACTGGCGTTCGATTGAAGTAACAAGGAATATGGGCATGTGAATTTTTGTCCTATTGTTCGAGGTTGATAAGCATCGTCGCTGCAAATGCCATTAGCCATCATTGAAATGGGAGAGGGAAAATTTAAGCAGATACGGATTAGGTCACATGTCCGGAGCAAACCAGTACCGACATGACAATTTTTCTAGGGGAAATCAATATTGCGCTTGAAAACTCGATGTCCGGTGCTCAGGCGATTCGTGAGTCACCTACACCACTGTGTGTTGTAGAGTTGGGCATTCGGTTGTTTCGGTGGCCTCGGTCTCGAGTCACAGCTGCCCACATAGTTCCTTTATCCACAGGGGTCCAAGGCCAGAACTACGGCTCAATAGATCGTGGTATGTATGCCTGTATATGATATTTACAAGATAGAATAGCTTGAAGGTAAATTCTCGATATCTTTGAATAATGCTCGCCTAAGACTTCGAGCGGCATGATACGATGATCGCGATTATGGTATTCTCCTCTTTCACTTAAACCACAGGCCTGCTATGGGTCCGAGAGGCAGTGCGTGGATGATCTTTGTTGGTTTCACTTTCAGGTGTGGGTCTGCTGAGGGGCAGTACGCGGATCTTTCTTGCAGGTTCACTTTCAGATGCGTGGCATAGAGACCAGGCGAACTCAAAATACAGAGAGCTTTGACCCCGAGGCACAATCACCAATATGGAGGGGCGCGTCTTACAGCCCCCACCCCCACTACTTTGGTTGGAGGGATATTGCACCAGACTTGTGGCCTTGAATCATCCTATCCCTGTGATTAGCCATCTCCCATCCTTCGCAGAAATTACTGTCCCAAGCTGATACATAATTTCAAAGCATGGCGGCTCAAGTAGCAAATGGTGTGGCTGAAGAGACACGACCTGACCTTGCTCAGCTTTGGCAAGCAGCAGTGGAAGAGTACGAAGAGGCGACCGGGCGAAGTCTTCAGATGGGAAGACTTGATAGTATGGACGCTGTCATGAAGGGGACTGAAGGCATTTTCAGGAAATTTAAAACATTTCGTGACGACACGTCTAAGGTGGCCAAAGTGCGGAGCGCGTTGAAAAATAATATGTTTTTGATACAGAATATCATCGACATTGGACAAAATTTGGGAAATGCTGCATCGGTATGCCAACGATAGACATTGATATAGTACAATATGCTGATCATTTACAGGCCTTCCCGCCGGCTATGCCAGCTAGCCTGATCTTTACGGCCTTTGGACAAGTCATGCAGGTATGAAACTGTAAAAGAAACAACGAGACCTAGGACGTTCTAATTGACGCATGTAGTCCTTCGCCGACGTGTCTGCTGATTACGATAAAATCATGGGATTTCTCGATTTCACGCATCGCTTTTTTGATAGGCTCTCAATGATTGACCAGAAAATGCCAAACATGCCTCCGTTTCAACGCTGTGTCATACGTGTCTTCTCAAGTATCCTGAAGATTTGCTCTGTTGCGCAAAGGTATGCCGCGGAAAAACGACTCAGTAAGCTGTCTAGCGCACACACCTATAGAAGGTTTTTCTAATTGTTATTCTCTAGAGAAATGGTTCGAGAACCTAATGATGGGATCCGATGGAGAACTGGCCGCAGCCAGTACACAGATGGAGGAGGCCATGAACGAGTTGAACCAAGCTCTCGGCCTGGCTACGTTTAGGACCGTTGACGCCATGAGTGAGGTTCTTCAAAGCATGGTTGGAAACGGCGAGTTTCTTGTCTCCAACGCCATTCTCATGGACAAACGAACAGCGGCTATACAAGATAACACGACCACGATTATCGATCAGAACCAAGAACTTGCATCTAATCAGAAAGCGATGGCGGATATACAGCAAGAGACGCTGCAAAAGTTGGGAGAGCATTTTGGACAGGTCGAAATTACCCCAAAGCAACTGGAATCGTCACCGAAGCCTATATCAACAGTACCCTTCAGCCGTGATCCGGAATTCATTAATCGTGGAACACTACTTGACGAAGTCGACAAGAGGCTTTCTAAGTTGCGTTCTGACGAAAAGGATACAAATCCGAGGTCAAGAATAGCTTTCGTTGGCCTTGGTGGCGTTGGGTGAGTTGGAGAGTCAGAATCCTTTATGGAATGCCTGCTAACTATCCAACAGGAAGTCCCAGCTAGCCATTGAATGTTCCTACCGAATCCGCGAACAATCACCTGACACATGGGTTTTCTGGGTTTATGCAAGTAATACAGCGCGCTTCGAGCAAAGTTATTGGGAGATTGCCAACCGAGCTAAGATCACTGGCCGTCACGATCCGCAGGCCAACATATTCAAGCTCGTTTGTGATTGGCTTCAAGATGCAAAGAATAAAAAATGGGTTTTGATTCTTGATAACGTTGACGATGATGATGTTCTGCAGGCACATATATCTGTCAACATGGAAACACAGGTGGACATTGGGAACGGCGCTTTTAAGCAGCCACTTTCAGCTTTCATTCCTCAGTGTCAACATGGCCTACTCATTATGACAACTCGAAGCAGGAGTGTGGCATCGAAAATCGTTGACGACAGCGACATCATTGCCGTCAACCCGATGGATAAGTCACAAGCATCGGCTCTTATGGAGAAGAAGCTCGGGATACAAGCAAACAAAGAGGATATTTCAAAGCTAATAGAAGCACTTGAGTTCATGCCTCTAGCAATCGTGCAAGCGGCAGCGTACATAAAGTGTCGAGCGCCCCGTTGTTCCATACCTCAGTATCTTGAAACCCTCCAGAAAACCGACCATAAAATGGCAAGGCTTCTAAGTTACGAGGCGGGCCATCGCCAACGAGACTGGGAAGCAAAGAACTCTATCCTGATCACTTGGCAACTATCATTCGATTACATCCGAAAGATAAGACCGTCGGCGGCAGATCTCCTTTCCCTCATGAGCTTTTTCGACCGGCAAGGAATTCCGGAAGACTTACTGCATGATGTAAAGGCCCAAAGAGATGCCGGCGGTAGCGATGATGACAGTAGCACTGATGAAGACTCTGATGATGGGTTTGAAGATGATATTATGACCTTGAGAGATTACTCGTTCATCTCTATGAGTCAGGATGCCAAGGTCTTCGAAATGCATAGGCTAGTCCAGCTTTCCACGCGGACGTGGCTTGAGGCCTCTGGACAGATTGAGCGCTGGAAGGAGCTTTTCATTGACAAGCTCTACAACGGATTTCCTTCTGGGGATGATGAGGACTGGGGAGGTTGCCAGTTCCTTTTCTCACACATTAAGTCGGCGATGTCACAACGACCCAATTCAGAGGAATCACTACAAAAATGGGCTTCGCTTCTCATCCAGGGAGTGTCCTATGCTCTAGACAAAGGAATCATGATTGATCTCGAGCCTATGGCAGTAAAAGCGATGAAAGCCCGTAAAAAGGTTTTTGGCGCAGAGCATCCTGATACACTTTCGAGCATGGGCAACCTAGCGGCAACATTCTGGAGACTAGGCCGGTTTCCGGAAGCTGAATCGCTAGGGGTACAGGTAGTGGAGACTAGCAAAAGGATTCATGGTGCAGAGCATCCTGATACCCTCACGTGGATGAGCAACCTAGCAGCAGTATTATCGGACCTAGGCCGATTGCAAGAAGCTGAGAGGCTGAAGACACAGCTGGTGGATACAAGCAAGAGGGTGCTTGGTGAGGACCACCCTGACACTCTTGGGAGAATGCGCAGCCTAGCGTTTGAATTCTCGAGCTTAGGCCGAAATCTAGAAGCTGAGGCGCTGGAGGTGCAGGTGCTCGAGGCTCAGAAGAGGGTGCTTGGCGAGGAGCATCCCCACACGTTAATCACCCTGAATAACCTAGCGGTTATGTATTTGAACCAGGGCAGATTTCTAGAAGCTAAGGCGCTAGAGGTACAAGTACTAGAGGCTCGAAGGAAAGTGCTTGGCGAGGAGCATCCACACACCCTCAACACCCTAAACAACCTAGCGGTATCATACTGGAACCTAGGCCAATTTTCGGAATCTGAGGCGCTACAGACGCAGGTGCTGGAGACTCGCAAGAGAGTGCTAGGTGAGGACCATCCTGAAACTCTTATAAGCATGGGCAACCTCGCTTCAACATTGTCACATTTGGACCGATTACCGGAAGTTGAGGTGCTACAGATGCAGGTGCTGGAGTCTCGGAAGAGGATACTTGGCGAGGAACATCCTGACACTCTTTTGAGCATGGGAGAACAAGCGTTTACATTATTGAGCCTCGGCCGATTCCAAGAAGCCCATACGCTGCAGGTACAGGTAGTGGAAGCTTTCAAAAGAATTCTTGGCGAGGAGCATCCTAAGACTCTTACGAGCATGCACAATCTAGCGTCAATATATTGGAAACTGGGCCGATTGCCGGAAGCCGAGGCGCTGCTCGTACAGATATTGGAGACTCGCAAGAGGGTGCTTGGCGAGGACCATCCTGACACTCTTACAAGCATGGACAACCTAGCGTCAATTTTCCGGGACCTGGGCCGATTGCCGGAAGCAGAGGCGCTGGAGATACAGGTGCTGCAGACTCGCAAGGCGAAGCTCGGCGAAACCCATCCTGATACACTGGAGAGCACAGCCGATCTTGAATAGTCCCGAGTTGGCTTGAGTTTTGCGGATATCCTTGGTTACCTTTTGGATGCATTCCGCCGTATAAGCCATGTGAAACACAGTTAGTGACTGAGATTGTATCGTGTCATGAATGACTCATAGCTCTAAGAGAGTGGCCTTGGCGCTTTTATGCACTTAGACCCGATAGCTCATGAAATAGTCATGGAATACGTGTGGCATAGGGCTCGATGGATAAGGAGGCGTTGGTACACGCGCCGTACCGAGCCACGCACCCTAATATTCCTCGAGATCTTGAAGAAGAGCGAGGTACGTAGCCCGCTACGGCCCAACTAGATGCAGGTACGGGTACAGGATTTATCCCACATGCACACCCTTCTATCCTCCCAGCGATATACAGTCACCAATTAGCAACTTAAAAACACCAATTCAGATCCAAATTTGGCCTTCATCGCTCGAGATGCTAGATACACTACACGCTCCTAGCATACCAGCGGAACGAAAAAGAGATGTCTCGATACAGGCCGGAAAGACCTCTTCCGGTCTGACTGGCAATAATAAGTAAAAAGGGTTCCCCACAGTAGGCACTGAAGCGGGGTAATGTCTGCGAACCATCAAGCCAATGCGAACCAACCCCGCTTTCTAAATCTAGTTCGGCCACGGGAGGGAAGGAGACAAGAAAGGAGACCTAGAGGTGGTTTATAGAAGGAAAGATCGTCTAATTTGATTATCACTGCATGCAAGCGCTTATAGTTACCAGCACCACGGTCCCTTAGTCAGCGAGCCAAGGGGTCAGGTCACGGGTCATGATTGGATACTAGGGCCATTTGCACTTGGCCGAGGTCTAGCTTTGACTGATATATCCTCTGGTCGAAGTTAACTGCGGAAGTCCCGGTACTCTGCTCTCTGCTATGTAGCCCGTCCGTCCTGCTTTGAAACCCTCCTCTCGTACTATATCACAAATCCTATCAAACGACTTTGGATTCAATGTCGAATGTTGCTTCGAAGCAAGTGCTCCCTGAACCATTATGTCTCTATGACAGAATCTCGCTTGCTTGGCTGATGCCTTTGCTGGGTATGTCTTAACCTCATTTCTTGCCTCATACAAGAAAACTCTAGTGCAACTTTCTAAATCGATTATGTCCAGCCGTCCGCTTAGCATTCAATTTTGCTTCAATGTTTCTATCGCAAGGTGAAATTTCGGGGCTCAATTGGCGTCAGAAATTTCCACTAGCTTACCTACAGGCATCTGGGGCCTCTCTCACGAACAAGCAACGGGCTGCCAGCTCACGCTGGCCTTTGACAGGTCCCAGGATCCAGGAATACTGTCGCAAACATGATCTGGAACACACAGCTATCTCTTTGGACCGTGCTCTTCTTGACAGTGAGCGTGATATACCAACTCCGGTATTACACATCGTCACGCCCCCTGCGGCAAAACCAGGTGGACCGACAATATTCTACTCGCATGGCGGTGGATATCATAACCCAATGCGAGCAGAGGGGCACATCCCATTCTTGATGCGCTGCGCGGCGGCCTGTGAAGCGGAGCAGATCGTATTCTTGGAGTATTCACTCAGTCCCGAGCAGCAATACCCGTGTCAACTGATTCAAGCTGTGGCCAGCCTTCGCTATCTTCTGGAGAAGGAGGGCATTCAAGCGGAGAACATTATCCTTGGCGGCGACAGCGCAGGCGGACATCTAACAGCGAGCCTGTTGGCTCATATTGCCCATCCTTCGCCGTACGCCCCTGCAATTGATCTTCGCGGTAGTCAATTCAAGGCTGTCTTTCTCGTCTCCCCTTGGTTGACGATGTCGGAGAACCTCCCACACGCGCCGAACGATTATCTAACACAAGAGAGAGTCAATATGTTCAGGAAGATGTTTAAACCCGCATTGAATGAACTATGGAGTAATCCGTACGAGGCGGAGGACGCAGTCGCCGTCTGGAAGAGACTCTTTCCAGGTGAACATGAGCACGCGATATGCCGCAAGGCAATCTTAGCTGTGGGGACGTCGGAAATTCTTCTGAATTCCTGCCAGAAATTTGGGCGGGACTTTATGGGATGTGAAAGCATTCGTGTTGGCACTAAGACAGGCCTTGACCTGGTGAAGCAAAGGGACTTTGTTCTTGCAATAGCCCCTGGCGAGTCTCATGTTCAGCCCGGTCTTGATTGCGCCTTGGCGTATTACGATGGAAGTATGATGAAGGCAATCCTGACCTTCCTTGAAACTTGTTTGGAAATAAGTGGGACTCCATGATGAATGTTTGGATCTGTGTATAAAGAATATTCGATAGAGCAATCAAGGTTCAATTAATCAAATTTTTGAATGAATTCGTGGATACCAGCCCTGCAGATATTGCCAGCTGCAAAGAAAGAGTCTACACTAGTCTTCGTCGATATATCAAGTCCGTCTGGTTCATTAAGAGTCAACTGGGATGGGCCACAACTACCAAGCATCACAAATTCCCAACAGGCCACAAGTATACCCCATGGTTTTCGAAACAAAATGAAGAGAAAGAGCCTTGATTGCTACGTATACCGCTATCGACCTTGACAGGGACGAGATGCATCCGAGGAACATAATGGTAAAAAATACAATAGGAGAAGTGAAAAGGACAAAGAAAGGTGGAAGCCCAAACGGGCACAATGAAAGGACGCAAGGCGCGAATGTGTAAATCAGTCAAGTGATAGACAATAAGCAAATCGGCGTTGGGGTGGGCCAAGCCACCCATCATTAGTCCACTATACAGCAGAACGGAAAAAGTCATGGCACACTCTCCGGGTATTCAGCGGATTGATTTGGGTAAGAGATATGAGAGCACCAATGCATACAAAAAAGGTGTAGTGGCGTAAAGGAGTTATAACGAGGGTATGCGGCATAAAACATGCGCTGTGGAATCGAAAAACTCCAGTCTATTGTTGCCGGACTTTTCCAGCTTCTCTCACTGCGGTCATGAACCCGTCTTCGTTACCAGCAGCGGTCAAGACCCAATAATCGGCCACACCGGGGTTCGAGAGCTGACCACCGCCGAAACCGGTAGCGGCAGGCGCGCTGTGGCGATCCTTGGGTTTTTGATTGTTCGCGCCGACGTGGCGAGGTCCCCAGCCTAGAATGTTGCGCACTGTAAGACGACTCTCATCATCCGGTTGATGGAAAGAGAACAGTTGTGCTTGGAGACAGCCGAGAATGGCGACAGCGGAACGAATCATAATACGGTCACCCTCAAAGACCCAGCAATCCCACACACGAGAAACACGCTCGAGGTCGAGGCCATTAGTGAGTAGAGTGCGGAATATTGGTTCCCAGATCTCTTCCTCTGTCAGACAGAGAGTCTCAATGAGGTGAACGGCGAGACGAGGAAATTTGTAGCGCAGAGTATCCGTGGCCAGTGTATATGTGCGTGCCATGGCACCACGGTCCCAAGTGAGGAAAGCGACTGGCAGAGGACGGTTAAGAGCATTGGCCATAGCAACAAATGCAGAGCTTGGAGTCGGAAATTGAAGGACAAGTAGAGCGGCAATAGTATGAAGGCCGTGGATGTATCCAACATCGCTGCGGTACATAGAATATGCCTGTAGCACGTCCACAAGGGTCTCGCGTAACGGTCCACCCTCCTGGAAGAGATTCAAATCCGAGAAGGCTTGTGACACGTCTTTCTCAATTGCCTCAAAGCATTCAAGCATTCGCTTGTTGCTTTCGCTGGGTTCCTGTTCGGTTCTAGACCGCAAGTCCCTGGCTCGCTGAAGTGCTTTCGTAAACGACTCCTCCGTCAAGGATAACTCGTTGCCTAAAGCACGTTTCCACATCTCTCCTCGGTTGCGAGGTGGGATTCCACGCCACCAAAGTTCTCGAGTACGGGGTTCGCGCAAGGCTCGGTCCCAGTTGGGGTAGACGTATTCATCCCAAATGTTTTGAAGGGTTTCTCTGGTAGAGTCCTTCTCGCACTGGGCGGACGCGGCTCGCGCAGCCCTGCGTTTGTCTGTAATATGGTTAGTCGGATGCACACCTCACGCTAAGATGCCAAGTAAACCCACCAGTTTCCTTTGATTGAGCCATCATCTGCTGGTACTCCTTCAGATGCTTCTTTTCCTCTTTCTGATCCTTAGGCGGTAACCAACTAGGCCGTGTTCGCGTGAGAACCTTCTCCTTCTCTTTGCTGATAGGTAAAGGATCGATCATTATATTAGATTTCTGCAACGGAGGCAGCTCGATATTTTCGCGTGAGGCTCGTGGTGATTCCGTGCTTGGTTCACGCGGACCACCGTTCTGCACTGCATCCTCTCGTTTACGGCCATTCTCCTCCTCGTGGAACTCCAGAGCCTCCGTGATAATTCTTGCCTCCTCTGACAGGTCCGACATGTAGCTGTTGTAGGAATAGGCGCGGGGATTCCGAGGCGATAATTGGCCCCGTTCGGGCCCAGCAGAGCTCGATCGCTGCGGTGCTCGCCTCATGCGAGCTGCTCGGGAGGCATTGGCAGCAGGATTTTCGGCAGGCGTGTCAGTAACGGTATGGGATATCGGCAGTGGCCTTGGGCCGGGACTACGGCCAGGGCTTGTGCCGCGAGACTTCGGACGATCTTGGACTGGGCGTGGGGATATCGGAATGTTCCACAGACTGGCATCATCAGGAAGCTCATCATCCGAATCATGATATTCCTCTTCGAGGTCCTTCACGGACTTGCGATTGGGCGCCCATATCTGCTTCTGGGAGGGTGTACGTGCAGATAGCGGAGACAGCGCGAGACTGGTAGACGAGGCGTTTCGGCTGGACGTCGGTCGTAACGGTGATACCGATCGTGACCTTCGGGGTTGGGAGGGGGTCAAGCCGCCAGAGTTGGGCGTGCTTGCCGAATCCCTTCTTTTAGAAGATCGTGATGACAGAGAACCCGCGGATGGTGGTGGGCGAGTGGCTCCATTGATTTGATTGTGAATGGGAGGAAGGGGGCTTCGTTTACGCGGTTTTGGCGTCGCGGTCAAATCGCGTGTCGTAGTTGCTGGAGTCTTGCTAGGCAGTCTGGCAGCAGGTGACCGCCCGGTCAAGCCGGCTCGACCATAAGGGGTGGAGTGATCGTCAATCTTGAGTTCCCCATCGTCCTCCAGTCCAATGTCTTCGAAATTGGAGATGTCCGTAAAGATGCCCCCAGCACCGTCGATCTGCGAGGAATGAAAGGAGGAGGATTTGGACGATTTGGACCCAGATAATTCGGGCGGGGAAGTAGGTGTCGGGCAGACGGAGGTCATGGTCTCATGTAATTGCACTTAAAGCTGATCCTCCACGAATACCATCGGTCTTCCAGGCAAAAATATAGGTAAGTATCGACGAGGATGGCGGAAGGGGTTCGAGATCGCACGCAAGGCTCGGGATCGGTGTTTCTGGAGGGGGAGGGATGCAGGATGCAGACTCCCAGATGCAAAATCAAAACACAAAAAAAAACCAATCGATCAACGGGGTAAGAAGTGAAATTGCAGGCTCAGCCGCAGGCCGTTATTAGCCAGATCAGGTATAACGGGTGGAAATGTAGAAATGAAAACGAATCAGGAGAGGCCCGAGATTACGGGGGGTGTATTGGGGGCCGTCAAGGGGGTGTAAAGTGGGATAGTTCGGATGATGGAGGAAAGAAATGTAGAATAGAAACGAGAGTAGTAAAAAAACAAGAAAACAGTCGCCGTAAATGAAGGTGTCGCGTGAAGAGAATGTTTTCAAAATGAAAGCGAAGTTGAATTGATTGCAAGCGGAGCCTCAGGCAAGTCCGGCGGCCGGTCTGGCCGAGAACAGGGAACACGGGTACTTCGGAGGAACTTGTGCTGCACTATTCACCGCCGTGTATTGTACAAGTACTGGTCAGGTACCTCTATCCCCTACAAAGGGCTACCAAAAAAGGTAGGTATCGACAATCCCCCCTCCGTAGATACTCCGCACGATGCCTAAAGGATACACAAATTTCCTAGAATCGTAAACTCGACCCCAGCGATCTTACTGTTTGACCACTCGGGTAGTTGTCCATAATTAACGGTTCCGTGGTCCGGAAATTTGAATGTTGGGCAGATACGGTACGGAACGCTTATTGGCTTAGACCATTCAGGAACAAGCTTCCCATGGGTGCTACCGAAGCTAGTTCATATTAAAAGCGCCATTGTTCAAATAATGCCGTTCCCCTCTTCACCACCTGCTGTAGGCAAATAGCTTCCGCATTCGACCTCGGTCGTGATTCTTTTCCCAATTGGTCCAGCCACTGAAGCACAGCCACATACCGCGTTTGCTTACGGTTCAACACAAACCGGAATGCAGATGCGGCCAGGTATTGCAGGTGCCACAATTGGACAAAACACGACAAGGGTGTCGAGCGCGACGTGCGTCGCATTTGGATGACTTTGGAGGTCTGATGGATGAGATCATGGATGGTCTGGATTATGATAGGTGGCGCTGGGTGACTGCGGCCTCGAAGGAATTTCATGTATCGGTACATCTTCATGGCAGAAGTTATGAAACTGGTGTGAAGATTTGCGAGCACAACACTCTGGGAATTATGGCCATCATCAAGATACATTGGGTGTATCTGAAGTCGGAACGGTGCCAGCACTTTGCGACGAAACACGCGACCCGGGGCGCGACTGGTCTCGACTGTTAATGTGTCGGAGATGGACGCAGCAGCCGAATCGCCGCCTTCCAAAAGACGATCTCGGTCTCGGATCATCTCTAGGGTATGTGTGTTGATGAGAATTCCGCAGTACGGGAAGAGCGTTGATCCCTCCATTCGAGGGATGTGAGTCCCGTCTACGGCGGCGGTAAAGTTGACCATACTTTTGGCTGGGTTGACTAACACGCCGTAAGATGGCTGGCCAGGAATCATGGTCTTCAAGAACTGCATCGCTTGGTTCACATCGGTTGTGACCAGTAGAAAGTCATCGACAAGACGTAGAAGGACCGAGTCGGCGGGCCGTAAGAAACCTAAAACTTGTTGTTCCAGCTCCCCATAGAAAAAGTTGCACAACAAATTAGACAAGACAGAGCCTTGTGGGATACCATTAAGCTGGCGAAAGTACTTCTTGCCCATTTTGACGAGATTATTGCGCACGTGTTGGTCGAGAAGGCCGAGTAACTCATCGGCACCATGGAGCTTTTGGTTAATGGTGTCAATGTAGACAGTCTTGGTCTTTCCACCCTGAGCTTGATTGGCCACCAAATTCGACAAAGTCTGCTGTTTCATTGCCGGTGTAGCACGTCCGATATACCTTCGAGTGGGTTTTCCTCGCGCATCAAAGGCAGATGGACTCATCTCCACATGTTTCGTAATGTGGTAAGTTTCTTCAGATACCAATTCTTCAATCAGACCTAGAAGCTGTTTCTGAGGGATGGTATCAAAACAGCCCTGAATGTCAAGCTTGACAAAGAAGAGCTTTGGCAACTTATTGTCGTCGGTGCCAGCTGATTGTTGAATCAGGTGTCTCTTAAAATCTCTCAACCGAAGGTGAATATCCCCGACATATTGTAAAGACGAACCCAATTTTGCGGGCTGTCGCTTCCGCTCATAGGACAGCATACTGGAGATTGGTGCCAGACTGGAATTAATGCTGGCTGCAAGATAAGTTCGTTTTTTCCCGCCCCAACTTGATTCTTTGACCACGCGTTTTTTCAGATTGAGGATGGGGCGGATGCCTGTAGTTTTTGGGAGTAGGCGCAATGATCCAAATCCGAGAGATCGTTTTTCTAGCAAGCGTTGAGCCCGAGATGTTTCGATTTCTTCAAAGATGGTCGTTTTTAGAGTCGCCAAAGGCTCCTTTGTCAAGTGTTGCCATACATCATGACGGAAGTAAAATAGGCGGTTGCGGTGGGTCTGAGATTCGGTGACATAGAAATTGGCGCGGACTAGGGGGATAAGGATAGAATCAAAGATGTAATACATGAATTCATGAAGGAGCTCCGTGCGCTTCTGGAAGTCAGACAAAGATAGCTTGGCTTTTGTTCCACCTTGCGAGTGATAGAGTTTGGGAGAGGCCAACCAGGGAATATTGGTAATCTGTACATTGGGTTAATAAAATAAAGGTTTCGTACTTTGCTGTTAGAAACAAACCTTCAATCCTTTGCAAACTTCATGCAGACTGAGACTTTCGAATCGACGCATTTTGATGAAGGAATCAACATGTTTCATGATGATCTTTCGATTGAATGAACCTTCCGGCCCCTCGCCAAAGAATTTCGGGGGTATCAAGTTTAATAGCACGGCTCGACAAAAAGCAGAGACAGAGGACGTTGGCGTGGCATAATCGGTGAGGCTAAGTTTAGGTTTCTTAACGCGGCTCTCGCAGGGCATTCTAACAACTCCAGAGGATTTAGAAGGCTCCATGGTCTTAGAACCTAGCTCGGGGCCTATATCCTTGAGAGATGCGGGCTGCAACTGTGTGATTAAACTCCCCTCGATGGATGAGCCAGGCTCATTTCCGGACACTCGAGTTTTGACAGGGGATACCGAGGCTTCTAGTTTCCAGGGTCCGATCAACTAAAGACGTTAGCAATTAATAGAAAGAAAAATTATGCAATACCATACCTCTGTGGGACAATAATGCTTTAATAATTCTTCATATGAGCAACGAGCATGACGGGCTCGAAAGCTATGTGCAAGCTCGACGGCTTGCCCGCGAAGCCGCTTAGGGATCTTTGAACAGCCATCGCCATCAAAGATTTCATCTTCGCGAAACGCATGGCCATGGCTTACGAATTGTTCCTTCTGGTCTCCTGTCGGAACAAACACATTGCGCAAACCGAACTGCCGTGGGAAGATGTACATCATCACGTGTATTGTCTTAGCGGCCGAGGACAAGTCTCGGAAGCGGTTGAACACATCTATGAAAATGGTCAATGACGAATCCAACATGCAGACTTTGAGAGGCTTTTAACTCACGAGTCCTGCCTAATCCAACGACAAGCTTCCCGTTTGACAAAGATGCATATCTGCTGTACAGCATACTGCGCCGAAGGAAGGTAATGCTGTTGGGGCTACGGATTTCGTTCTGACGATCAGGTCGTTTGGTCTTTTCGGCGGGGTTTTGTTCCGAAATTGACTCGCCGGGTTTCGCACAAGATTCGTGGATCTGCTCGAGAAACGAAAGCGATCTGCCTAAAGCACTTGTGAGTGAGTTTCATTATCGGTATAGCAGACGAAGCATACCGCTTAACTGATAGTAAATGCCCTTCTGGGCGTCAATGGGAGCGAAAATGCCGCAATCAAACAACAGCCGCATCATAATTTCATCCCCATTCTGCCCCAACAGATCCAAGACCTCCGTCCATGGTGGTTGCTGGAGGGTGCCAACGTTTTGATTATGGAACTGAATCACGAGCCCGGGAATATTGGTCTCGAGGCCATCATTCTCCCTCGACGAGCGCTGAAACCCATGCGTGAGTAAGTGATCTGGTTTAGAATTCTGTTTGAAGAGTTGCCCGATCACAAAATCGACCACCTAGACATAACTAAACATTAGCCTTTGGAAGTCAGACAGTCCCGAGTTCAAAATTTCATACTTCGGATTGGGGAGAAGTCGGCCCCGTGTCCGTGCTGACGAGGACCGACCGCGATTGAGACTGGGTGAACTCTCGATAGACGCGCTGCCGCTCGGAGTCGATTTTCGGAGATCGCTCCTTCAGTACGCCTACAAGTGTAGAATCTAGCAGGTCTGCCAATGGTTGGACATTGCTGCGGTCGGGTGACGATCGCAGGGACGTGATGCGCCTTCGTCGCAATTTTGAGGAGATAGGTAATTGATCCAAGAGGTACTGGCGCAGGGTCAAAACCTGGCGGTAGTACAGTGAAATCACTGGATGCGTTGTGGGGTTATTTCGTGCAATGGAGTTTTTGGAGGATTTGAAACGGCCGGGCGCTGCGGTGATACTCGCCTGAGACGACGTGGGACCGCGCTCCTTGCCGGGTCTTTTTCGCTTTTTGCCCATGGAGAAGATGTGGACACCTGTTGGAAAACGGGGATAGAGGGAGAATTTCCTTGTTTACAAGGCCATTGCGTGGGCCATTGACCTGATTGTTGTTAGTGACACGAGTATTGACGCGTCTGAAACCCGGTAGCTACGTAAGTCGGGGTTTGCGACTCCCACGTTCATGAACTGCCGACAGAAAAACCTTGGAACTTTATTCTCTGTTACCCCAGGGGTTCTATCTTTGTGTATAGGTGGTTCATTTTATCATCTTTGCAATATTTGGGTTTCTTCATGACATGGAAGGTTCGTCATGATGGATGCGCTGAGGCCCTTAATATATATAATCTCCGCCTCAAATGCTTATCACAACCTTGCAAGGAATAACATGCTCTTACATATGAATTCCGATGCTTTTAATTTGCCTTTGAAACTAGCCCTGGAGGTTTACACATGCCTACCTAGGTAGAGAAATTGTTTTCCTTAACTGGCAATGCAAATCTCATATCATCTAAGACTGATCTATTGCCGAATGTGGCCCAAGCAGTATAGATCGGGGGCCACAATCGCAGCCATAAATAACCATGACCCACAGAAAAGTCCGAAGAGGGAAACGGAAATACCAATCAGCGATCGGCAAGTTCCCGAAATTGGGACAAAGCGACCCACGGTACGGGCAGAGAGTCTAGAAAGGCCGTTGCGAAGGAATTGTGTCCCCACTGCGTCAGCCGGTTCCATGTTTTGCTGGCACCTGGGCAGGGGCAGGAATTGAAGTTCATGTTCCTGAGACTTTACTCGATTGGGGGCGACCTCGGCACAGGTTTGGATTGATATAAATTGAAAATGGCTGGAGATCCAGGATAGATCGAGGATATAAGTAAACTAGGAATAAGCCGAGTTAGACAACCTGGGAGTAGTCTATGCATAAAGTATGTCCCATGTTGGTAAAATCTAAGTAATTCTAAGCCCTGCGTACTCCATTGTTGGAAATGAACAAAGGCCCCCGAACCCACCGATTCCACGGTTTCAGACTTGGTCTCTAACTCCCCGACTTGTCCCCCCTCAATACCCGATTATTGCAGTTTAGACTTTTCATTTTCTTTACCATGTGAGAAAGGACCGAAATCTTCGTTTCTTCGATCTCCTTTTTCTTCTTCTACTCCTACCCTGATCGACACTGCAGTCCCCAGCAATCTCCCCCGGGTACACAGACGAAAAAAGCTAACGATCTGGCCCGCTCTCCATCCTCACTCTGCTTCCGCCCCTCCCCGCTACCCTATCAGCGACTGTGATTTGTAGACGCCGAGCAAACGTCAGTATCCACTCATATTCCTTGGTGCATTTCATTCGTCATCGGCTTCTTTGGCGCCTTGTGCTCTTCCACACAGCTCACCCGGTCGATCTCTCCCCAATTTCTGCATCTTTCGTCTACTGCTTCGAGTCACCAAAGCTCCTGCTACTCTCAAGCTGCACGTGGCGAAAAAAAGTCTCCTTTTTTGGTTTCGAATATGATGCTGAATGGGGGTACACCACCCCGGGATTGCTTTGTAGCCTGAGTCAACTTACCTGCGACACCTCGTTGGGCGACCACACCCCGGAACAACGCATCACGCCAAAACCCACCCTGGAAATTTGAAAGGCCGTTTACCAGTCCACGTCGGTCTAAGGCATGCAAAAATGTCTGGCAGCGGTGTCGAGCAGGCTTCTGGCACCCGGAACTCCCAGCCGCCGTTTGGGCGACAATCATCAGCGCCATCCTATACCCAATCCGTGAACGATGCTTTCAGTCCATTCGAGGTCTCACCGATCACACCTTTTTCTCCCTCCAGTGCCCTGGCCCACACCACGTATCCTTCCTCCCGCCGATCGGGCTTCGAGTCAATCGATTCCATATCCGCAAATCATCTGCATTCTGGCGGTCAACCTGAAGAGACGGGGCGTGACTCTCCCGATCCTGACGACTATTATCGACAGAGTGCATCTTTGTCAGCACCACTCAAGGCGGGCGTTGGCAATGTGACGGGTGCAAGGGACGGCATGGTATCGGGTCCCTCGCCGAATGAGAGAGTGTCCGCTTTGCCAGCAAACGTCTTAGAATCCTCACGCACCAGACGCCCAATACTTCGCTCCGTATCTGATTCGCCTACCTTGGGAGAAGGCCCCACCAATGTATCTTCAGCAGCCACTTCTATCAATTCCCGACAGCCATCCTTCAGAGACCTTATCAACAGGTTCAACAATACTTCTGACTCAGTCATTCCCCTCCCCTCCGCATCTCGATCAACTTCACGCGCTGCGAGCCCGACAGGCAGCGAACACGGATCTGAACGCTCTTCGCTGTCACGACGTCGTCCATTGCGCGAATCCTTACCACCAATTTTCGACGTGAGCAGCCCCACGGTGCAAATTGAGTCACCAACATCATTGCCTCAGACACAAGGACCGACAAAGCCACTAACAACAGTTCCACCACCGCTCTACCAACGTATTCCAGAATCGCATCCGCGACGACCGTTGTTCGGTGAATTGTTGACTCTCGATACGCAGCTGACCACCCCGGGTCTTGGAATCCCAGCGCACCTGAGACGACGGGGCTCTGACGGCAGCATACCAAGTCCAAACCCAGCCTTCTTGGACCTGGCCAACTCATCCTCGATTCGAACACCGCTGACACCAACGGCGTGGTATCTTGGACAGGCAAATTCGCTCGAGGCAGTTCAATCTAGTGGGAGGACGAATCTCAGTCACCGCAGATCGCGGAGCGACTTTGTGAATTACAGCGAATCCCTTGCAGAGCCGTGGAATCCTCAGATGGCGGTTTCAGCGCCCTTGCAGCCATGGAAGACCGGGGACGGGTCTCCCGACAGTCCAAATTCCAGGTCCCGCATTCCGATCTCCTCACGCCGCCTAAGCTCTGGTTCCGGCTCGGAAACTCTCTCCCCAACCGCGAATGCGACATTTCGCAGTCGCTCCAACTCCATATCATTGGCCCCGAAGGGCACAAGCCGACTCCCTAAACCGTCTGGAATTAATAGTCCCACCGGTACGAAGGAAGATGGTTCCGCCTCGTTTGCGATGACAGCGCGTGGCCGCCGGGACATGGCCGTTGGCCGAACCCGTCATTCGGTAGCGGATCGGAGCAAGCTCCTACAAGCTTACGTCTCTGCTCCACCCCCCAAAAATCGCCCCCATTACGTAGCTCACGGCCTCGGCAAACAATTTCGAATGCTGGTTCATCATCCTCACGCTCACCACGCTCCCCTGAGATTGGGAAAAGACTATCGTCTTTGCAAAAAGTTGCCGACCGTGGCGCGGAGCGCAATATTCCTCGCTCGCGCCAACGTCAATTGCCCGAACTGGGTAACGTGGATTTCGAAACGCGTCGACAGCGCATCCAGCAAGCATTTAATCGGTCTGTTCAAGAGAATGAACGAAAAGAAGAGGAGGAAGCGGAACTTCGACGTCGTACAAAGGTGGTAGTAGTGCCCGAATCACCCGAGGAAGAGCAGACAACACCGAGTGCGGCTACCAGCAATCATCCGTTACCCATAGAGATGACTACAACAGTCACCGAGTCAATAGAGGCTCCTGTTGATAACGTGGAGCCTCGTACTGTGCCTCAACTTCATTTGAATACATCGGTACCTGTTTCGGAAAACAATGCTCCACATACGACAATGGATTCTCCGACACTCGGGTTGCCGGATGGTAGTCAACGTGAACTATCAAACAGTGGCGCGCCTGGCTTGAGAGTCCCTGACGCGCCAAACTCGGCCAGCTCTGATGATACACACATTGATCCAGAACCGCAGACACATCTCATCCCACGCAAGCCTAGTGCGGCTCAAACCCACCGCACTTTGCTAAACCATATCATGCAAATTCGCGAATCCAGCTCGAGCAGCGAGTCATGTGACGAGCCAGAATGCAGTATGTCCGAGAATGACGACAAAGAGTCGATCAAAATCATGCTTCCTGGGCCATCCTTCTTCAGATCTTCGAGCACCCTGGACCACCAAGAGGCCAGGAAGGCCCAGCCATTACAGCAGCAATCTAAAGCTGCCGATCCATCTGATCCTCGATGGAGTATGAGCTCATGGTCTTCTTCCGTCCATAATCAAGAATCAACCTGCGACGAACAATGCGAAGAGGACAGCGGAGAGGACTCTGTTCTCCAGGGACCTCATCTAGGGATAGAGGAGCCACCAACAGAGCCGTGCTCGGCTGCCTCAACGCGCCCAGCTTCCTTTGCAGATGATGAGCATGAGGACGGCCCATTCCAGGATCTCGGGCTAATGGGCCCAGACACGCTTCAAACATCACAATTACCCGCATCCAACCTTTTCTCCACACCCCCAATCCTCGTTAAGAGAGGGAAATGGGACTCGCGCCGTGTTACACAGTTGTATCTGGAAGAATTGGCGCGAGGCAGGGCTCCTGACCATGGTCTTCCCGCAGCCCGAGTTTCTCCTGGTCTCCCACCTGCGCGCGCTTCGCCTGCCCTTTCAGCCGCCCGCCAAACGCCCGCTCCCCCACTAAGGGAGTATACAGTGGGATTACAAGAGAATATACGCCAAGACATACGAGTTCCCGCAATGCGGATCGACGCGCCGGCTGATGATTTGGCAGACGAGCCAGTGGTTGTGCCCAGGTTCCAGGATCCTTCCGTTATGTCTAACCGGCATTCGAATGCAGCAAGTCTGGTTGGACCCGGCGACTGGGAGGATGCTTCCCCGTCTGTTATGGACTGGATGCAGATGGCTGCAGAAGATGACCAAGTCACGCCTGCCAATGACAGACCCGAGTACATGAATGATGGTATGTATATGGCAAAGTTTCCATGTATCAAAAGCCCTAACAATAAACAGGCCTCGGACTCTCTAACACCGAACTCTCCGTTGAGCCCCAAGCTTCCCTTGGACCTTCTGCTGCCTTCCAAAATATCCACAGTCAACCGCAGCCGAGCCACAATCATCAAATCCCCCCATCCATCTCCCTGCAGTATCTCACAGCGCGGGTAGCAGTGAAGATTCCTCACTCCGAAGAATTGAACCAATTCATTCCGATCAAGCTGCAGGCTCTTCTGTCACATCCCTGGCACCATCTGCTGAAAATCCAGTGCGCATGGATTCGAGAAAGTCGCCCTCACCAGAACAGCGACGTCTCAAGAAACGACGCAACGTTATTAAAGAGCTTGTTGACACAGAACATACGTTTGGCCGTGATATGAAGGTTGTGGATGATATTTATAAGGGGACGTCAGGATCTTGTCTGGATCTCTCGCCGGAGGATGTTAAAATTCTTTTTGGCAACTCTAACGACATTGTGCAATTCTCTCAATCCTTCCAAGATGCACTGAAGCAAGCTGCGAGAAGCATTTACATCATGCCAAAGTCCCAGCGCTGGAGCAGCAAACGGAATGCTGACCGTCCTGCTTCACAGGCTGTTGAGGAGGAGTCGGCGGATACAGGCTTTTCGGACCTCGAGAAGGATCGTGCTACCAACATTGGTCAGGCGTTCGTCACTAACATGGCTCAAATGGAAAGGGTCTATTCCGAATACTTGAAGAACTATGACGCTGCAAACAAGAAACTGCAGATTCTTCAGGGGAACCCGAAAGTCGATATTTGGCTGAGAGAATGCCGGGATTGGGCAGCGGATCTTACGACCGCCTGGGATTTAGATTCGTTACTGGTCAAGCCCGTACAACGAATTCTTAAATATCCTCTCCTCCTGAACGAGCTTCTAGCTGCGACACCAACTGATCACCCTGACCACGCACAACTTTTGAATGCCCGTACAGAAGTCACCAATGTTTCTATCAGAATTAATGATATGAAGAAGCGTGTTGACGTTGTGGGCCAGGTGGTTGGTCGGAAAAGAAACCAGTCTGATGTCCGAGCGGGTCTGTCCAAGGCTTTCGGGCGTCGCACAGAGAAATTCCGGCAACAAGTGGGCATGTCTGACTTGGTCGAAGACAAGGAATATGATGCCCTGTCCCATAGCTTTGGTGACGGTTTCTTCCAATTGCAGGTGGTCATGCGTGATGTTGAGATGTATACTCAGGAAACGACACGTGCAATGGATCAACTCAATGACTTTGTTCTTGCTATTGAAAGCATGATCAATGTCTCTCCATCACACTACACAGAGCTCGAGGTCAAATGGCGCCTGTTCAAGAATTCAATCAGGGAGATCATAACCGTCGATTTGCCCGAGCATCTTGCCGTGGTCCGCAAGAGTGTCATTCAGCCAATGGTCACACTCCTTAAAATCCACGAGGGGCCCCAGCGAGTGATGAAGAAGCGCGACAAGCGATTGATTGATTATGGTCGCTACAAGGCTCTCGTCGACCGTGGCGATAAACCCGATAAGAAAACTACAGAGCAGGGCGAGCAATACACTGCTTTGAACGAAACTTTGAAGGAAGAGTTACCCAGACTATATGCATTGACTGCGAAGCTTATGGAGGCTTGTCTCAAGAACTTCGTTCAAATTCAGACAACCTGGTGGGGTACCATGCAAAAGAAAGTGGGAGCTCACGTGGACGCATTCCCAGATGCCTTCGAGAAGTTGATCAGCGACTGGAGCAGTGACTACAGTCTTGCAGAGGCACAAGTCCTTTCTCTTGGCATCTGTAACGGGGCCCTCCTAGCTGACACCGTGAACCTCGTCAACTTCAACACGCCTTCAGTAGGAGTTGGTGGTATGACCTCTCCTCGTCGGCCTTCCATGAGCTCAACTCGTCGAACCTCCACTGCCAATAGCTCTACCCATCGCCGGTCGATCATAGAGGATTCACCCAAGATCTCTCAGGACTTCGGCGGCGTTAGTCAGCTCTTCCAATCTCCCCGGATTGAGAGCTCATCAAGCATCAGCCGCCATCGTGCTGACTCGACTTTCTCCTCGCGCCCCATCCCCGAGTCCCCAGATACCTCACGCAGCCTTCAACAAGTTACCCACTCTTCGTCTGCTGCCGGTGACTCCCAACACTCAGCTGGAACCGAAGCATTCCCTAGTTTGCCAAGACTCAGTATTGATGGGCCTTTACTCGCCGAAATTCTTAGAGCTACGTCGGGTGGCAACGACCCATTAGTTGCCCCGGCTCGAACTTCTGGCTTATTTTCGTCCGCCATGCCGATGTCCGATAATCCAAACGAACATGAGCCTCCACAGGACCCTGAAGTCCATGCCCCCAAGGAACCTGCAGTGTTGTTCCTGGCCGCAAGTCTCTACGAGTTCAATATCGATCGTGCCCGGCGCGAGGCTGGCTATCCCTACTTGACCTACGTGGCTGGAGAAATCTTCGACGTCTTCGGTGAAAAGGGCGAATTGTGGCTTGCCCGCAACCAAGATGACTCTACCAGCCAAGTTGGCTGGATTTGGATGAAACATTTTGCCAAGCTGTCGTCATAGACGCTATCAATTTTCCGAGACAAACAAGACATATCCTTTATTTACGTCCGGTTTTGCTCACACTTTCGCCTTGTCTTCCTGATACCTACATGAGTTGAAGGACTTTCAGACTCGACAGAAAGGTGGCGTCCGGTTCATGACATTGCTTTCATCTTGATCTACCGTTTTAGCGTGAAAATTTTTATTCGAAGCTACACGCATATCCATTGCTATCAATCATTTTCTTCTCGTTCCATGAGACGTGTGATGAATGTTCACTAGGGCCCTGGGATGTACGTTTAGATACCCCTTTTTATTGATGACTATTACTATAACATTTCTTCCTCGTAAATACTTGCTGCGTACAAAAACTTAATGCATAGCCACCTACGTATGATCTTCGAGGATGGTTGTATCCCGCTATGGTCCTATACATTCCAGCGCCTCTAACCGGCCCCACGTGACTACATGTGACGCAGCCCAACATCCCGAAAGATCGCAGGGATTCGGTGCTCCGGTGCCTGGTTATCTTGGAAATCTATCAATACCAGAATGATGTCCCTAGTTTGACACTGCCCCACCCCAAAGCACCCAGCCAGCTAGTCTGGTTCTCTCAACCGTCCTCCGAGTTCCCCTTTCACCCCACCCCCGCGGAAGCTGAACAACCACCAATACGAGACTAAAGAGCCTCCCTGCCAGTAAACCAGTGCCCTCTGTGCATTCTGTACTGCATCCACATTTCCCTGCAGAGTAGCGCCCTCTACCCTACCCTCCGCCACCATAAGGCTGACGACGGCCAGTTCCTCCGAACGAGCCGTCCAATCCGGAGGAGTATCCGACCGGTCCCCACTTCGCCAGTGCAGAACTGGGGAGAACGCGAATCAACTCGGCAGGTTGCCGTCCCGGACGCCCACTGCTCGCCACAACGCATTCCCAAGAACAACCGTATATAGACTCTGGTGGGGTCTGCGACTTGGAAGGCTTCAGCGTTACAGCGATCAAACAAACTTGCGCAACGATTCTTGCATCTTGATACACTTTGCGTCATTAATTGTCTGCCTAGCATCTTTTGCCGCCATTGCGACAAGATCTTTCTTTGGTCTGGCCTCGTTCGCCCCTGTCTGTTGTTCCAGTGTCAGTAACCTTTCGAGGCTTCTCATCTGTGACTTTTGTGGAGCTTGATCTTGCATTGCCATCATGCTGGACGGCGGGTTAGGTAAACTGCAGAAGAGAATGCGGGGCAGGTTTAATGATATGGTGAGTCTGTTTAGGCCGGTTGCTGGAGGACACAGTTTTTAACTCTCGCAGTTGACACCGGAAGACGCCTACTTGAGCTGTGAGTTTGTCACGATGCGAGCGCTTAGACCTCGTGAGATATGCTGACAGGTAGATTTGCGCGCTAATAGATTATGACGTTCGGTGTATGGATCCCTGCTCCATGAGTGAGACATTTGATCGGCAATTGACCTTTTATAGTGACTAGAGAGGATATGCAAACTCTCAAGAATGACTGGCTCACGGATAATGTGGGTTGTCAACGGGACAGCTCTTGAGTGAAAATCTAAGCTAATTGGTTATAGATCATTTCGTTTTGGGAGGAGTAAGTCCCCTCGACCTCATCGGACGACACCAATGTATGCCAAAGATTCTTGAGCTGATCGACCGCCCCTGCAGATACCTCGAGCATGAATACCTCACCAAGTACCAATCCTCCAACATCATCCTCCTCCGACCCAGCATGTCCTTCATGCTCGCTCAAACCCGCGATCCCCGAACCCTCCGTGAGGCTCTCCCTGACTTCTCTCGTGCCACCCACGTCTTCCTCCCTATCAACGACTGTCGCAATGTCATGGAAGCAGAAGGCGGCTCGCATTGGTCGTTACTACTCATATCCGTCGTTGACCGGATCGCATTCCACTATGACTCGCTATACCAAGGAAACCAGTGGGAGGCTGCAGATGTGACGAGGAAATTCGGGGCTTTGTTGAATCTGCCCATCAGCTTTATGCATCTCCGTGACTCGCCCCAGCAAGAGGGTGGCAGTGACTGCGGCGTGTTCGTGTGTCTTAATATGCGGCATCTCCTTCTTAAGCGATTGCTCATGGCCAGCGCACATGAAAAAGTGAGCATGAGTCTTGGGGGACGAAAGGTTGATGCGGCCGGAGGACGCAAGGAGATGGCGAAGATCATCGAAGGGTTCCGCAAAGAAGGCGAGCGACGACGATCGTAAGTGGCTATCCGTTCTTTGTCTAATTCGGAGCTCGTATACTAATATAATCACAGGACAAGTGTCAGCCGGAGTCCCATGGGCAAGAAATCGCGGAGCCCACCGCGGATCGAATAATGCCTTTGTCATGTTAACGAGTTCATGCCTGTTTTACTTACCTCTGTGGATACATTTCTTCTTTTCCGTGTTTTACTTTACTAACACAAAAACAAATACTCATGATGAGCAGTGATGACTTGATGTACCCATAGCGTTGCATCAGATCTGCATTTTGATGTTGTTAATGAATCATATAGTAATTTACGTAAATTAGCATGATTCGCCAATTACAAATTCACTATATACAGCGGACCCTTATCTAGTTTGGGTCGAGTTTATAAAATCTCGCCCTGCAGTCAGACTTCCAAGGAATATAGGCCCACCACCAGAATCTATAGTGCGCTGCTGTTGGTGTTGATGGTGTTGCGGCTGCGACTGTGTTCTCACCGAAGCAGCCTGCGCCTGCGCCTCCAAGTCCTCTAGGGTATGAACCCACAACCACAACTGCTCACTCACAGCAACATACCCAGGATCACGGTTACCGCCGAACTTGGTCATCCCCATATGATCAGCATGGATACTGCGATTAGAACAACCACTCAGAATAGCAGAATGATCTTCAACAATCTGCCAGGATTCATCAGCATGAATGAACGTGGTCTAGATTCTTGGAACAAACAAACCTTGCCAATCCCCGTAACAGCCAACTCCTCATAAAAACAAAACATCTCAATAGTCTTGTCATGATTCCTCCGATAATCCTCCAACATGGTATGAAACCCTTGCTGTAGATTAGCAAGCATCTCAGACCCCGGCTCAAGGACCTGCACAATCTCCGAGTTTGTCCTACGGAGAACCCGAGCCAATCGCGTCAACGGCGTAGCCCAGTTCGCTTGCGCAGAACCAACATGCGGAGTCCCCATAAACGTAATAGCAAATGTGGACTCCAGGAGATCTTTATGATGCTGATGGGGTGATTCACGTGCACAAACGAGTGTTTGTTCCGTTACAAGGCCGCCAAGACTATGAGCAACGAAGATAAGAGGACGTCGGTTCTATATGGTAAAGAAGTGTCCAGAAAAATTAGACATCTTCACTCATGTCAAACGAGACCAAACTCACAGATTTCTGTCTCAACCGCGCAAGCGACAAATCATGCATCAGGGATTTTCCATGATCCCGCAATGTATTCGAACTAGCCGTCTTCAGCGCACCGATGATATCGGCATCATACCCAAAAGTCCAAACACGGGCAGTAGGCAGATCGCGCGGAAGAAGCTGTTTGGGCCAAAAGATTTTGGACTTTTTATCTGTCCACGTTGATTCCCTGTTCCCTGTCAATCCGTGAACGAAGACGATGCTAAAGTCGGTGAATCAGATTAGTCTGGGGCTCGGGCCGTTGGATGGGGGGTTCGAGCGAGCATCCCATGGATTTAATCGCATCCGAACCCAACAGAACATACTCCACGCTTGCGAAATCTGGATCATAAACAACATCGAGCCCATATGCCCCCGTTGTCGAGTAAGACTCCTCCATAGATGGAGATGAGGGCACTTGGGAGGAGAAGACGCCGACGAGGCCCATTGTCAAAGTTTGGAATGCCAGCGAGGAGCGGGGGGCCTTAAGCCTCTTTATGTACTTTCATGTAAGTCAGTGGAGGGACATTGCTGATCTTCATGATGATAGGTCAGGTCGTTTTTGTGTAGGTTTGAACGTTTGCCTACAATGTGCCAAGGTGAGGCTGACTCGCAGGTTGATGATGCTTTTAGATTTGACGTGGTGAAACCCCAACCCGGCTGGATTAACCGAAAGCTGGAGCACATTTGTTTCGCACTGTGAATATGAAGCCCTTTGAGCATCTTCAGATACTTGGGAATGCAGACATCTATGAGAAGATCTCCGTGGTTTTGAAAGGACTGGAGCCTTGGTTACAGGGTAATGCGAAAGCTGCCGATGCTGACGAGAATGGGATCATTCAAATTTGGACAGATCAAATTGATCAGGCTACACTGGCGATCCGTCGATTGATATATGAGGGCGTCAGTGTTATAACAAACTCTCGAATTCTTCCATGGTACCATCTACTAAGTTTAAAGTTTACAGTGTGCCCAGTATGCGCTGATCAAAACGACCCGTCCAGCTGGGACGCCTCAGAACCTACCATTTGCCATTTACACTGCGCTTAAAGTTGGAGATGCTCCTGCAGTTGACGAAGTGGTTCTGAGTCCGGCGCAATCGATCTGGATCGAGAAACCGGCCCGACTCGGTGGAGGTATGACCTTCTTGGTTGTCCAGCCAATTTATCCAACCCGGATACTACTTGCGGGCCAGATTCCGACCAATAAGACAAGACTGGAGTCCGATGAAGCAGCGCATGACCTGGCCTGGTACCGCAGTATCATTCAGGGCAACCGACTCGTTTATATATGCCCGTCTTGTAAAAAAGGGTACCAAGACCGGGCCAATCTGCTCGAACATTTTAACAAAACCACGAACTCGGAGATCAGCAATAAGCAACATCAGAAACTGAGCATGATACGAAGACAAGGAGGTGACTGGACGGTATTTGTTCAGGGAATGCAAGATTGCCTCGGTCCGATTCCTGCTCAAAGCCTTCGAGATGGTGCGGGATGTTTTGAAGAAGATTTCTTAAGGCAGCTGAGCTATAAGGCACATTGCTGTGGGCAGAAATATGACAGTAAGTTGCCCAAGAATGTGATGAATTCTATTGCTAATAGGTTTTCTCAGGCTTGGTGCCTCAGGAAGAAACTGGGATGATAGAAAGCGAACAGCGGCTCATTGAGAGCTGGCCAGGGCCAATGAAGGGCCAAGCAAGCAACAGTAAGAGCCCACTCTTGCCAGAAGAAGAATCTTGATATTAACACGGCTTTCCGAATACCTAGTTTCTGAGTCATTCAACGTTCAAGCATCCAATATTCGAACTCGCTGCTCGTAGGGTATGCACAACCTGTCATTTGGGATACATGATAAAAACTAAATAAGTGATGAGTAATGAAGTCTAATTTTTTTACTACTCTATGAGTTCAAACTTGAGACAAAAGTCGGTTTATTTTCGTATAGTTTGGATTGACCACATATGCAAGATACTGTTTTGTGTGCAGGAAACTACTGGAGAACTCAATATTAATTCCATCAGACATAATGAATGAGAACTTGAAGAACCACATTAGTGAGCTATTTGCCCATTGATTTGCAGGATCCGCTGTGACATCCATTCATCGAGCCACCGTACTTGCAATTGATCATAACGACCCGGTACTTCATCCTTCTTCCTCAGTTCCAGCTGCTCAATGAAAATGACAGGCTTACTCTTCATCACGAGCTAAGCCAAGCCTCGTCAAATTGCAGCGTTTTGTGCAGGCTTTTACTCAATCAATGATTACATTTTATAGGAGCGATAAGATGAGAAGAAAGCCACGGCTGAGGTGAGATAATTGGTGATCATTGACTTAAGCGCCGCTGGCAAGAGTGAGAAAGATGCATTAGTGATAATCTTCATCCCAACTCCGTTGCCATGGAGGGGTCTGGATGGCAGCCTTCGCAACCATCGCAGCACTTTTATATCCCACTTCGTTTGTTTACTTCCTCTCTTCTTTCCTCTCCCCAGACCCTCTGGTATCATAAACCACAGACTGTCTTGTTACTCCAATTGGTGCCGAACCTATTGCTTCATTGACTTTATTGTCTACTCGCATAATGTCTTTCACTCAAGCCTTTGTTTTGGTTCCTGATAAGACCCTAGTCCGACGGCCCAAGGCCCATAAGGTTACCTTGATGGTGACTTCCGTCCGTCTCCGTTCTTCTCTGGCTCTCCCCTCCCGGCTGCCTATCGTTATCACACGCCCTCTCATAGCGGAGATCGGTGTTCGATTCTCGGATCTTCGAAAAGGATCACGCGTTCCGATCAGTACCCAGGCTCAGCGCCATCTTCCTGTGGCTCTTAAGCCCGTTGCTCAACTTCCCAGCATTGCAAAGTCCATTTCTCAGCTCCCAAAGCCTCTGGTTGAGCGCCGAGAAGCACGACAGGGCCGGTCTCGTCCGTGGATTCAACCTCTTAAGCAGGTTGCGCCCCGCCGGACGCAGATTCAAACTCTCCTTGTTGTGGCTGGACGGAAGGTGCTCCCGGCTGGTGTCATTGGCTTGGAGCGCTCTGTTGCTGCTACCTTGGCTCGGGGACGCCCGGTCAAGTCTGCTTTGGGCATTGCGCCACCCAAGTCACGCCCAGTGTCCGTTGCTCGTGTTGTTGTTGCAGATGTGAAGAATCTTGAGATGAAGGGGCCATTCCTTACCGACAACTCCGGAGAAGCGGTTGTTAGTCTATCCAAGAAACATGTTTCATTTGGAGATGTAAACGTGTCAGAAGTTCCACGCTGGATCAAGCTTGAATTCGTTTACAGCCCTGGTCATATTGCCATTTCTGATACCTTGGGATACAGGGGCACTGAATTGGCTCTGTTGCTTCCAAAGTATTGCTCAGAAGATGCATCTGGTTGCGGTCTCCAGAACTCCCGACGCCTTTCGGCTATGAATGCCCACATCGAAGGGCAATGTGCCAGCAATGGCGATTGTTCCTGGCACTGGGTCGCTACCCACCGAAGGTACTTCCCAGACGAACCACCGGAAGACTCATTCCAACTCATGTCCAATATTCGCCGGAACATATCTGGTGTCTAGCAAATATATGTAGGATTTGTTGAATGTGAGAGTTTCCGGGAAGCCACTTGATGCATTAGTAGTGCATGTCTCAGGTAAGGCCGAGACAGGTCATTATTGATCATTTCCCTTTGTGTTTTGACTAATATCTTCTTAGCTTGTTTGATGCGCTATTTATGTATACGCTGCACAAACTCGATTAAGAAGCCTTGACAGACCACGAAAGCCATAACAACCACGAAAAAACACAACAAGGCACGACAAACATTAATTCGAAAACACGAAAACACGAAAACACGAAAATGACGAAAAGTATGACGACCCTGGACCCTGGATACTAAATACTGGACACTGGACACTGGACCCCGGAAAGCTCTCGACCTGGAAAACTTTGGACAGACCTTCGCAGATCGGCAGACTGAAGATTGACAAAGACTGACTTTCTTAGATGATGATTGACCTGGCTGATGATTGACCCGACTGACGATGAACCTGACTTGACTGGCTACCAATTACAGACTGACATATTAACTTATTGACAGATTCGCAGAGACTAATAGATCAGCAGGACCGACGACCGACGACCGACGAACTGTGTGTGTTCTCGAGGGATCGCACAATGATGGAGGATGGTGGCCAGCTACAGCTCAAGGATATGTAAGCTCTCCTTTGCAACTCATGCTCATGAAAATGATACTAAGATCGCCGTATCAGCAATGTTTAAAATCCGCGATGATGAATGCCTGGCTGTGATTGACGATCAGATAACACAGAGTAAGTTGAAATTCCCTGAAGCCCACTTGGTCATTAGTAACATTGACAGATTCTGGGATAATACGCATTCTGGCCTATCATACAACTTTGAATAAAGTTGTGAACCGAGAGAATGGAGCATGTAAAGCCATCTCGAGATCTCGAGATGAGATAAGGTTGTGGTCTGTGCGCGGGCCCAAATTTCAGTATGTACCCACAATAAGATATGGATTGAGTTTGTTACGGGTACAGCCTCAGCTCTGAAACATTCGTGATTGAGAGCCCCACAAGGGAACTATGTCTGTGACCTCATTTGAAGTTATGTTTCTCGATTTTGTTTCCCCAGTGTTTCTTTTCTTCCATGCCCCCCTGTGCATCACCATCTTGTCGCTTCTTTCGATCAATAATTTTACAATCAGTGTTTTGCTTCTGCATGATGCCAAATACCCAATCTCTGCTCTATTTGGTCTATTCGCCGGACTTTTATTGCATATTACAATGGTGACCTGTTATCAGAATGATAAAGACGCTTTTAATCCATTCTCCTTTGAGTTCAGAGATTGTATCGAACAGCAGTGATTTCATTCTAAGCTTCATCTAAATCTTTGCCAATCTAGCGAGCTCTTGCTGTGGCACCATTAATGCCGATTTGTAGAATGGTGGAATACGTAGTATTTTCCAAGGTATTCTCATTTGTAGTTTACTGTTGCATTTCCACTTGCAAGCTGTATGGACAGTATGATATGTGACCAGAAGGAATATTCTGTACGGGAAAATAGCATCTGACGGTGAAGTGGACTGCCCTTGGGGGACTTTGATTTAGGAAAGAATGCAGAGATCCTCTGGATGCAGATTCTCTGCACAATTGGAAATTAGAGCCTCCTTTCAAAGGTTGCGCATTTAGGACCATTGACGCCGTTTACGATGGGGTATTGCTATTGATACAACCAATTTGCTAAATGTACACGCCCGCCCAACAACATATACAAATAAGAAATGTCTCTCTAGAGTTGTCCTAGCCAATCAACCCTGTTTCCTGATTGGGAAAACGAGAGGACAGAATATAATTTGGAGGACGTTATGCGATTATGTGGTTGGAAGAGGGCTGTACCTTCAGCAGTCTACTGTATACATCAATCCTTTTAATGTCTGTACTTCCAAGGTTCAGCCACCAGTTGACACGTGCAAGCTCAATGCGAGATATAAATACTCCAACCTAGCTTCCGGCATAAGAGAGCGTGTTCTCTCGGTTTCAGCCACACACAAGGATTAGTACTGAGAGTAGGCATCCATATATCACGGCCTTAGGAAACTTCAATGATTAGGCTCAGTGCACTCAATGACTCCACTTAATACTAAAGCTGGTCGCCTGACAAGGACGGAGAAGGGTTAATTTTGGAGCTTTGTCCGGACCGAGCCGAGGTCAGACCGTTAGCGGATGACAATACTAATCGGGCTAGCCGATGTTTATTCAAATGTTCGGGATTTCAGGTGAATTTTGACTTGTCGACAAGAAAGATTGTGAATACATTCTGTGACCAGTAACCCGAAACATTACATACCCTTGCAAGACTGTCAGAGTGGTTGCACTGCAACTGGATAAGGCTGCTAACAGGGGTTGTTGTTCGGTTGGTTCGCGGACGTGGATATTAGAATAATGAATAGTGAATCTTTGAGTAAAACAAACACCCCGAATAGATTACTCGATACAGAAGGGACAAATGATCCGGAAAGAATATATGGATCAGACTAACACAGTCCTAATAACCCAAAATCCCTCAAACGCAATATGCAATCGAACGCCTGAGCACCCAACTATGGTTAACAACCAAAAGAAAAGAAAAAAAAAGCAATAAGGAAGCTAGGAATCCCACGCAAGAAATCAGAACGCAAGACCCAAATATAAATGTATGAAGTGCAGATGGGGGAATAGCATAGAAGGAAGAAACCCGATCAGCTGAGCCGGCTGACCATCAAAATCTATACAATTCGTGACTTGTAAATTCGGGCAACTGCCCAGAAGATATGTGAGTGTGAAGGTGAGAAGAAAGAAGAAGGTTATGTGGCGCCAGATCGAGGAAAATGAGGATTGGTAAGCTTGATTTACGAACCATCACCATCAACAATTAGCGGACGCCCAGCGTGTCGAGATGAGGTGAGGCGCGTGGAAAAGCGATGGAGGAAGGGATGCTGTGCACATTGCCAGGGAAACAAGCACTAAGGTGGGGTGGGAGTCTGGCCGAGTTCCGTAGGATCTCGAGGCTTCTCGCGAGTCCGCATGTACATCGCGTCAGAAGGAGAGCCAGCACCTGAGCCTGGGATGGGCCGGGGGACGGATGCTTGTTGTTGTGAGACGATCTCGCGAGCGTAGAACTCGACCAGCATGGTCCCGTACGCCTCGAGCTCTTCAACTGTAATGGCTAGACGGAAATCATTAAGCAGAAGGAATTGAAGCTCTAAATGATTGAGCTCCACAAGCGGAAGACCGCCAACCTGCATATCCCGAGTGGTTAGCGAATAAATGATGAGATGGCGGGGTACCCCACATACCTTTGCATATCGAGAATTGGTGTAGAACACGTCAGAAAAGAATTTGCTCGCACAGGTCACGCCCGCGATGACCAGTCGGTGAATATTGAAACTATCAACCACAAAAAATTGGGACAGGCTGTCTTCTTCTCCTTGTGGGTACAGACCCGGGGAGATTGATGCGTTGGGGCTCTTTGGGTCTTGTGCCGTCATGCGTGTAGAAGATGGTGGAGTAACTATTGATGAATCCTCTGCCTGGCGGTCCGCCGATGTGTCCATTGCATCCGAGGAGGAATCAGATGGCTCGCCAACGCTGGGTTCCCAATACCGTTGAAACTGGTCGACCTGTCCCCGATTGACCAGATCGGTCATTCGGTCGAAGTAGACCAGCAGACTGAGGAAGACTTCATAGGTAGTAGGACAGTATTTGTGAATGCGAGTGAGGTAGCTGAGGATTGTAATGCTTGGGACGTTCTTTCCGTGGAAGGCGAGGACACTGGTGGCTTGTGGGCTAAGGTTGCTCGTCCCATCTGGCGGAGGAATGTGGCGATGTGTATGCTCATGGTGGAGATCATTGGTGGTGGTAATCTTGGTAAGCAAGCCAGCGACCATCTCGATGACATCGCCCACGGGCATTGAGCTAATTTCAAACTGTCGCTGTGGGGAGCCATGGCTGGCAGCGTGTGATCGTGGAGGTGGCGCTAGGAATTCTTCACTGGCCAGGCTCTGAATGTGCGACAAGCTCCGTACGCGAATGCGGCTAGGGGAGTTCGCCTCGGATCCTGGAACAGACTGCATCGACCTAAAAGTCGGCTGCAGGCGCGGGGAGTCCGGAGACCGGGTATAGGCCGGTGGTGCAGGTGCAGATGGAGCGGCGATCATCGAGTCCCTGTCAGCATGACCAAGGGGAGTCTGAGAGTTGGAGTGAGAGGAGTAATCATTCGGGAAGGCATAGTTAGAGGAGGTCATGGATGGCGAAGGATGGGACGGGTCCTTGGAGGGGTTTGGGGGTTGGGAGTTGATGTAGGCGGGGATCTCGTTTGAATGCGCGGGAAGCCGAGCAGAGCCTATGGGTGGCGGGGCGGTGGTAGAGGTGGGGGTCGTATTAGAGGAGGTCGATCTAGAGCGGCCCTCAAACGTGCGTGAGTAAACCTCTGGATTTCCTCCAGCTCCAAACATCCTGTCGATCTTATCCGACGACACGTGGTTTGCAACGATGGATCCCATAGCCAGCTTAGTCTGTTTTCGGCGGGTCAGTGCTGGATTGGGCAACGAAGCGAAAAGCGAAACCCTGGATCATCATGGGGATTTGACTCGGGGATGAGAGGGAAAGAGGGGTTAAAAAGTGTGGTTTGCCTACATTTCGATGACGAAGGTCCGGGTCCCCGGATTCAAGGGCCAGAACACGCGTGGAAGGTTGGAATCAGATACCAATCCACGCCATTGCCAGCGCACCAGAGAGAAAGCGGAGAAGTCGAACAAAAGTAACGAATTTGCAGGAACAACGCAGACCACAGTCAATCAGAGAGATAACCTGGTTCCACGGTGAGGGCAGTGGAGATGAACCGGGCAGAAGGTGAAACTAAGAGGATGAACAACTAAGTGGGTGCAATTCTTGTTTCAACCGTCAAATGCAGGGTTCAAATCAGGGAACTAGTAGCAACGATTCTAACTATTTTAACTGGAGAAAGATAGAACGACTAGGTAGAAGGGAAAGAGAAAGAAACTAGGAATTAGAAATCAGAGATCAGGCCAGGAAAAAGAAACCAGGAATAAGAAATCGCGACAACAAGGGATAAGGGGGGGGAAAGTCACTTATCAGGATTCATTCCAATATAATCAACGTAAAATGCTAAGAAAGACGGTGTGGATGGGATCATATCGGACGAATGACAGCCCGATCTGCGCGCCCGTGGCCATGATTCTTCATGACAGTGCACGGAGACGAATTGACTTCGATCTATCCATTTCAAACTAACTTTTAACTATGTGAGATATATAAACTCCGAAATAGATTTCTATCCATGGCTTCAACCATTCAGATCTATCCCTATAGGCTTCGTGCATCGGTATCTGCAATTCCCCAACATACCTCCACATCTATGATGTAATACTCCAGGGCTCAAGGAGATGAAAGTTCACATTAGTCGGACAAGACTGCCGAGACCCTCGCTGCTCTACTGGTCTTCCTGATGCCTTGACCTGACTTTCAAAGTTGCTCAGAATATGACAGGTGGCTAGCGCCGTTCTGCAACAGCTGACAGGTGCACTATCTATGCACTTCCTTGATTCCAACATGATAAGTGGAAATAAGCACAAGGTGATCGAGGTGATCATAATCCATTCGCATTCCGTGGTCCAACGCATGCTATTAGTACAGATTTAATTTGTCACTCCAGGCCCGGTGTAGTCGTTGTCCGGGAGGTACAAGTGCCGCACTGCACCCTTCTTAGTCAAGACCACCAGTCGAATAACACCACCAGAGCTGCCATCCCACTTGATCGCCTCTCGCAAGGAGTTTCGCACAAAGTCGATTCCCTCTTCCTCCGTCATCTGCTCCTTCCAGTGCGCATCAGTGTAACCGTAGATGTAGGTTGAGCCTGATCCGCCGATCGCGAACGACTGCTTGTGTAGGGATCCTCCCAGCGGTATCGAGTATACCTGACCACCGTGTCGTGGATCGTATCCAGCAATGATGATACCCGCACTATGAGGGCGGTTAGTCCGTGCTCATCGATGCCTCTAACCCGGTACTCACCTCAACGCATCCTTGTTCTCATAGCACAATTCCTGGAAGAGTGATGCAGCCACCTGGGTGCTGGGAGCCTCATTGTTGACCACGCCGTACATGTTCAGATGGTAGGAGACAATATCGGCCACGGCCTGGGTATCGGCAGCCGACCCCGATCGGCAGCACCAGATGGTGTCGTGCACCTGTGTCAATTTGTCCGTGACTCGGTTCGCAATGTAAGCACCAGTAGTCGTCCGGCTGTCTGCACCGAGAATAACACCATCCTTGAAGTTGATTGCCATGCTATTGGGTCGTTAAAATCGATGATCGTGGGGAATAAAGGTAAGCTCCGATCACTCACATCGAGGTTCCGAGGCTAGACAAGTGACGGGTCAGCATTTGCTTATCTTCATGGGCAATGGAATAACTTCAGTCTTGGACTTACTTGACCTCGCCGCTCTTCAAGTGGTTCATGTCAACGTGGATGCCATCTGGATGAATGTTAGCTCCCCGACTGGCCGATGACGATAGCTCAACTGACCTTCGCCCAGCATGCCAGTGACGCCGTGTTGGTGAACCATTTTGATGGGTCAAATATGAATGAAAGCACTGAGAGAAGGTATAGCAAGGAAACAAGAGGAGGAATGGGGAGTTGAAGTTTGGGTAGGAGGAGGGTGTTGATGCTCTATCACTGGAGCTGTTAGAAGGCAGAAGCTCAACGCGTCCAGCTCGGGCGGTGAGAAGCAAGGGCCAGTGCTGATAGGGTTTCCGTTTATCGCCAGCCCCCCGCAAGACAACAACTCCCTAACCTCCCTAATATCATTTTGATCTTGTGGATTTGCCTTGTACAACTTTTTCTTAGCGTTGTATTATCTCGCCTCGCCGAAGTACTTTTTTCTTCTCATCCCCGAGTCTCTGCGCGTTGCAATGTCCCAATCCCCTCCGCCGCCTCCGGCATGGAGCATTAGCAGCATGGCCAACAATGCAATGCAGTTTCTTCGTTTGCCTGTACTGGCTTCTTCCGGTCTAGCTGTGGTCGCAAGTGGAGTCCTCTATTTTAAGCAAAAGTAAGTCGACCTTTGCCTCGATTCGGCGCTCGTAAGACTGACTTGGTCCCAGCGAAGTGGTCTACCCCCGCAATGTCCCAGTCGATGCGCGAATCAATGTGCCGAGTCCCCGTCAGTTCGGTATCACCGATTTTGAAGAACTTCAAATCCCAACACCCGACGGGGAGTCTCTTCATGCCTTATTCCTGCGGCAGCCCAAGTCTCGTGCCCAGCGCAACCTCACAGTGATGATGTTCCATGGGAATGCGGGCAATATTGGCCATCGCGTCCCCATCGGTAAAGCGATCCAGGATACACTTGGGTGCAACGTCTTCATGCTCGAATACCGAGGGTACGGAAAGTCCACTGGCACTCCAGACGAAGTGGGCCTAAAGATTGATGCTCAGACTGGCTTGGACTACTTGCGACAACGCCCGGAAACGAGAGATACAAAGCTGGTCATCTATGGACAGAGCTTGGGTGGCTCCGTTGCGATTAATCTGGTGGCGACCAACCAAGAACAAGGTGACATCGCAGGGTTGATTTTGGAAAACACTTTCCTTAGTATCCGAAAGTTGATTCCATCGTGAGTTTACTCCCTTTGCGATTATCCGCTTGACAAAGAATTAGCACTAATTGGCATCTAGTATTATGCCCCCAGCGCGGTACCTAGCACGCTTTTGCCACCAGACCTGGCAAAGCGAGGATTGGCTTCCCAAGATCGCCAAGATTCCTATTCTGTTTTTGAGTGGACTTAAAGATGAACTTGTGCCGTGAGTCAAGCCCTCGAATGCCGTTGGAATGACCAAGACTGACTCGATATAGGCCTTCGCACATGACAGGATTATTCGCAGTCTGCCAGTCGGAGACCAAAATCTGGCGTACCCTGCCGAACGGGGCCCATAATGACTCTGTGGCCGAGCCGGGCTACTTTGACCACATCCATTCCTTTATTACCGAGGAAGTTATGGATAGGTAAACGTTCATCCGAAACGTGCCACTTGCCATCCGAACGACGGATCAATGACCCCTACGCTTCCGTTTCACCTATCTTTCATCTGACCAACCAAATACCACTATGATACCCGCTCTAATGATGAAAGAACACGAGCTACTTTTGTATTCGCCCTCTTCCCCGACCTGACAGGCTAGCCGAGCGGCGCCTTAGCCTGTCTCGTGGGTCCTTTTACTTAACAGTGCGGCTTGACGCGCGTCAAGTCAAATGGACCCACCCTCCCTGTTTATTAGTTCATTAGCCAACTTCCTATGGAAGAATGTACGGCTGCCCTGTTTCCGGCACGCTTTGACTGTCTCGAGTGATTAATTTGGACTCCTCGGGTTAATTTGTTTGTTTATGTCATTTCTTGTTATTAACCGCTGTCGGGGATTTTTTTGTCTTTAGGACGCTGGACCAGCCTTGTTTTTATCTTTCGGTCTTGCTATTATGTATATCAAACAAGGACCTCATCCCTTATTCTTGGAAAGTCTCTTCATTCACTATATACTAACGTAATCAAATTTCCTATCAACCGCCACGGTCAGCGAAATTCCATGGAAATAACCATGAGCCACTGAAATTTAATAATATAAGAATGGGTAGTCGATCCCTAGGGCCGTCGCAAGTCATCGCTTGGCCCTATCACTGTAACTGCTTGCTTGCTTCTATACTTAACAACCTCCTCCGCACATCTGAGGTTTCAAGTCCACTCAAGATGAGGTTCATGCTTAATGTTATATGTTGTGAATGACGGGTATACATCCACCGCTCTAGAGCTATCCCTAAAGCGACATCTGGATCAATAGGTGGAGAGGTAGTAACCCGATACACGACAAGCATATCCAAGTTCGAAGGTGCGTTAGCATGGACCGCTTTCTTACGACTCTGTGTGCAAGCATGATCTGTCAAGGTGAACGGTGGTGTGTCCTGCATTTCCGTCAAATTTCTTGCCTTGCCTAACCTTGGAAGGTCAATCCCACGTGCTTATATTGTATTGTGTCATCGATAGCAAGGTCAAGGCGAGTTGCTCAATAACTTTGATTAGAGGCGAGCGGAAACAGAGATATCAGGGCCCATAAGGGGGAACTTTTGAAACACATGGTCATGGATCGTCTCGCCGGGCATGAAAGTAGTCTCGATCTCTATAACTATTTTCAACTCAGAGCTGCTTTTCAAGAGAGCTTGAGGCATGATGCGTTGGTCTTGCAATATAGCTGAGCGCTGGAGTGGGTGATGCGCATGGAATGTGAAAATAACCAGGCAGAAGCGCTGTTATGTACCAATGAATGAGGCTGACAATTGATGTTGGGGGCGAGTACGGACCAATAAGTGACCTCCTCTCAACACTGACATTACTATAACGGCTAAGAATAATTTGCAGATTTCGTAGCTTTGTCTGCCTGACAGAAGTCCGGGGGCCTTTGGTCTCCGGCACTGTACAGTCAATCTTTTCCTTTTCTCTTCAAGCTGAACCGACTCCCGTAAGAGTGTGACAGACTTTTGATCTCAACACATTTGGCCTGATACGCCATAAAGTGCATTAAGAACGTCCTGAATATCCACAAGGAACCCCTATGAAAATTCCATGCATAATAGTTCTGTCACCTTGTGTTGAGGAACTTACACTTCGTGATTTATAATCATATGCTGCTTATCTAACGATATGAGAGCAGACCAGACAGTCAACGCTATAGAGGCTTGCTAAGTTCATCATTCTACACACTTAACAAGAAGTGGCAAAATCTGAGCAAAGGCAAAGAGTTCCAGAGCAACTCGGTGGTCCAAGCAAAATGTCATTCGTTCAAAAAGAATTCACCACCCCACCACCCCTCCCACAATCCGGCACATCCCACTCATCAACCCCCTGGAGACCCGTTGGCCCTGGGATCTGGGAACTACTTCTGAATGGGGATGCGGAACACAAATCTGTGTTACAGTGGTGGGAGCCAAATACAACAACAGCCAAAGAACCCATCACACACACCTTCGTTGAAGAGGTGTGCTTCCTACAAGGTGGACTTGAGGATCTTTCGCTAAATCAGGCATGGGGTGTTGGTGCATATGCATATCGCGAGCCGGGCATGTTACACGGGCCATATCGTGCTTTTAGTGATGGGTGTTTGATGTTTGTGAAGGCTATTCCGGTCGAGTCATCTGATTAGATTATATCAATATTGAGAATGACGTGCAATATTATATGTTGTTGTGACCCTGAATCAGATGGAGTTACATTTATACTGAACGTCTCAAAACCGAAGAACCATTGCTAACTAGATAGTAGAGGAAATCCAAAAAATGTACATGCAAGAAGAAAAAAGAAATAAAACAAAGACTCCGTACTTGACCTCGGGGTCCCCTGTACAACTTCCCACTCACCATCCTCGAATCCTGATCCCGAACCAAAACTACCCCGGCTGCCACCAAGGCCTGTTCCAAAGTTTCTGAAATTAGAGGCGCCTGTAGGAACTGGGTCTTTCAGGAGACGAATTGCCCTGACTGGCCATGTCCTGGAAGGTGTTAGTCTATTATATCAGTGGATTGACGCTTCTTATTACCTTGGAGGACAAGGACGTTGGCATGCAACTGCTTTGAGTATCGATTAGGACTTGAAGACATATTGGTACGAAAGTTGAATTTGATTAATTTGCAAGAAAGCTTAGTCCATGGTTCAAAGGAATTGTGGTTCAAAATTGGCTATATAGGTATCATTCTAGAATAAGTTCACACTGACCTTGAATTATTATCTACTTCTGATTTACCATTTTTAACAAACCTATACTTGCAGTTACAGTTAAGGTAGCACATACGCCACGCATAGATTCGTATATGAACTACAGTGTTAAGCCCACGCTTTATTCCGTACTCTTGAGCTGTAAAGTAAGGACAAGTCATTTGGGCTCTTAGATGGAAAATGTAAATCAAATCAGATCTCTAGATTGGTCCACAGAACATTTGTTTTGAACAAGTACAGGGTATATACTGCATAACGATATGCAAAAAAATTGGAATACGAAGGACCATGACCTAAATGATATCTCGGTCAGATTTGAAATTACTGATTAGGCTGGCTACATTGGGAATTTTTTTCAAAATAACTCCTTTTTATGGCTGAATAAACAAATACATAAAACGAGATAATGATGAAAGCCCCACTTTTGGGACGGAAACCCCCGAGGTCCTCAACGCTACCCGGGTATCATATGCATAGACAACACAATTTGCTTTTGTCAGTCATGAGTCATGATTCAAGTAAATGGCCCTGGAAGATTCAATCCAGCTCAGTGGCAGCAGCAACAGCAGCGGCAGCAGCAGCGATCTCTTCAGTCTCATCCGGCTGCTCGACATCCTGTGCATCAGACACGACATTCAATGGCGGCTGATCTTCATCCAGGGTAGCCTTTTCCTGTTCGCGCTCCACCTGTTCCTCTTTCTCCTCAGCTTCCTCCCAGCTATCGACGACCTCCTCAGCTGGTTCTTTGCGCAATGTTTTGCTAGCACCAATACCCGACCGAAGAACCAAGCGCTCCTTCCTGGACGATTGGTCTTGCACGCCCTCACCAGAAAGGGCAGAGAACATTGTCCGACTGCTAAACGGATTTTGAACAGGCGTGGTACTCCTAGTACTACTGGCACTGCCCTTAGTCCGAGAAGCAACCTGGGCCCAACCATCGCCAGACACGCCAGATTGTGCCTTTGCTGCTTCACGGGCAGCCTTAGCCTCCAGAGCAGCAACACGTTGAGCCTCACGCTCCTTGGTACGCTCGCGTTCGCGGAGCTTCACACATTCGCGCACGCTCATTCCACCAATGCCGATTGAGGAGCCGGTACCCATGCCGAAGATTGGTGGGGTCCAGGTCAAAGGCTTCAGAACAAAGACATGGCGATGGGGTTCTGGGTCGTGACTTTCGGTGACAAAACCCCAGTCTGTTGCTAGAGAATGGGTAAAGGAACGAAGGGTAGACTTGGCGGGCTGGAAGCGGGTGGAGCGGTTGGTAGAATCGATTGCCAAGGAGTGCAGTGTTGACTCGTAAGTTTGGAGAGTCGAAAGTGATACAGAAGATGCAAGTTTGATATACTGATCAAGAGTTTCGGTAGAATAAGGGAGATTGGTGGAAGTTATGGTTTGCACTGTGGTCGTTTGATTGATGTCGACACCGAGAGCAGATGCTAAAGAGCGATTGCGCTCTAGGCGACCACACTCCTCGTCACAGGCTAAGGGTGTGAGTACCGGTAGCCGCTCTGGCTGCTGTAGCTGGCCCTTCGAAATGACGGCCTTAGCAGCATTGCACCGTCTTTGCTGACGCAGACGTCCACAACCACAAGTGACTGTGATCGTGGATGAGCATGGCGTCTTTTCCGGACAGGGGTATGGCGCATGGCAAGGCTCAGTGCATGGATGACTGCACAATGTCTTGTTCTTGCCGCAGCATTGTTGACAAGGCTTGTTTGCATCTTCACAATCTCCTGATCGATGACAATCCTTTTTGCAGAAATGCGAACCGCACTTTAGGGGCTGACCGCAAACCTGACCGCAGCGGGCATCACTAAGCCAACAGGGCACATTTTTCATCACCCGCTTGCCACACAGGCATGCTTTCTCAGTTAAGAAAGGACACTTCGGGCATGTCTCCTCGTCCACATGGCAATTGTGCGTTGTCTGAGGATGGCCACATGCCTTGGGTCGGTCACATTGAGAAGAGCACGGAGGGGGTTTCGTTCCACATGGCTGTGGTGGATACAAAATGGATCTTCCGCAATTACAGGAAATTTCCTCGAACACCGCTTCGCGACAGGTGTTACAAGCACCTTTGTGGCAGAGCTCAGGACACGTGTGTCTTCCGCATTTCAGCATTCGACCACATATACGTGTGCAAATGTGCTCGGCTTCGATATCTTCATCTGATGGACGGAAATGGGCCTTGAGCTTACGGCGCAGAGCCTGACGCTCAATGGCCGTCTGTTCGCCAGGACAGCATCGCTCCGTGCATGTATGTCGGCCACAATGCAGTGTGGCCTTGCACGTACGGAAACATTGAGGATTTTGGATATCGCCTTGATGACAGACACTCATTGAAGTGTTACGGCCACACCGACAACTGACAGGTACACGGCGGAGACAGAATCCACAAGGGCCTGTGTGGCAAATTTGGTCGCATGAATGGCCGCATGGTAGCATTTTCCCGCACGACTCCAAGCAATGGGGAATTGCATCTTCGCAAGAGGTACGAGGTATGTATCCGGGGATCTCGCTTAAATGTGTTTTGCCACATGGGCATCGGATAACAACGTCCGGTGATTTGGGGCAATGCGCAGGAAGCAATTCTTGGGGGTGGCAGGCCTTTTGGCATGAATGTACTCCACAGTCGAAGGTCCGGTTGCAAAGATCAGTGCAGCTGAAAAGCCCTGTCCATTCTTCCTCCGTCCCATCAGCATGAATAGTCTGGCTGTCCATTTCATCTTCCTTGGAGCTGCATAGCATTTCGGTTTGAACTTTCCCGCAATAACAACGGGCGTCGATCTTGATTTCACAAGCACCACATAACCCTTCATGACATGGGAGAGGGCAGAAATGTTCTCCACAGGGAAGAAGGTCACCGCAGATCTCTCCGCAGCTCCAACCCTGTTCATAATCAGTGTCCTGACACCGTTTTGTGGTAGAATTTCGACCACAAAAGCAGTCCTGGGTTGGTCCCATTGCCGTACAAGGAGCACATGGACCAGCGTGACAAGTCGTGTCACACGGATGAGGGCAGCCCTTGCGAGGGCGGGAACATGTCTGGCCACAAGAGTGGGGAGGTAGACCAGGAAATGGCCTAGGATCAGCCTCCTTCTCACACCAGCAAGTGTAAGTAGTAGGGAAATGCTCGTGTGAAAGATTACAGCCGGGGCACCGCCAAGCCCGGGGATTGACAGAGCCTTCACCATTATCGGGCTCTCTGTTGTTATTTTGTGCGGCCGCACCTTCATTTGTGGACCACTTCTTTATGCAGCTCAGGTGAAAAACAGTCCAACATAGCTCACAGGACCAGACCTTAGACCTTCGGCCTAGTTCACTGGTACAAATAGGACACTCGTACAGATTGTGGGCGATGTCTTCGTGAATTCGGGTTGCGATATCGTTGGCTACTGATTTCGTCGTAACTTTAGGCGGCTTTGACGGTCCCTTCGGCTTGGCCTTCCCTTTGCCTTTCCCTGAAGAAGGAACCGACTCGATATTCGAAGCAGGCATACCGGGTACAAAATCCGGCACATCAGCCCGGAGGCTATCCGCCACCGTTCCGTGTGGTTGGTCTTCAGACTCCTGGCCAGGCTTTGTCAGCCGAGCCCCAAATCCTCTGGCACGCATTCCCCGCGACTGAGCCTGAGCCGGCTGTCCAGATTGTTCTCCATTCTCTATCGGCGGTTTTTGCGAGCCATTGCCACGGCCTCGTCGTGGTCGGGGGCCTCCTTCACGGTTTCCTCTCCGTGGACGTGATTGTTCATTCGAGTTCGCGGTATTTAGGCTGGCATCGGGCTGAGCTTGTGGTGTTTGCATTGGAGGCTGGCCATCTGTTGGTTGGCCTGGTGTATTTTGTCGGCCTTCGCGGTTGGCGGGGCCCCTCCCTCGGCGTCGATTGCGGGTACGGGGAGCGTTCGGAGCAGCAGGAGCTGCGACGGGGTCTGACATCGCCTGTGAGACCACGAATGGCTGATTTGTTACCGTCGATGTGCTCATACACGGCTCTAGTGAAATTTCGTTTCACAAGTTGACAAGGTAGTGTTTGATTGTTGATGCGGGGAATCGGAGAGCTCTTCCAAGAAGGCTCGAACGAGTGATATGCGAGAAACCCAGGAGACCAAAAGTTTAATAATACAGAAGCAACAACAAAAGCAAAAGATAGCACCTTCAAATCTCCAAGGAGCGGCGAAGTCGTGTTTAAGAAAACGAAGCGTCTGGAAAGCTCCGACAAAAACCTTGTACGGCAATATTAGGCGGAGCATCGGGCGGTGATACAGTGGCGTGAGTCAATCAATGTACGTCGTGAGTCATGGTGGAGTAAGTGGTGGGTATTGGGGTGGAAAGGATTGGGTAGAATAGATTGAGGTGGGTCCACAGGGTTTATCGGCTTTAGCATCAGTATGTTCACACCAGTACCCGTCAACTCTTACTCTTAATCAACCTGAAAGACCCTGCCATGGAGCATACTGCCATGGCGAATACTGTTATCCAAATGTGAATCTTCTCAGAAATCACTATCTGGGCCGAGCTTCAAGTTCCTCCCGAGGTCCTAACAAGGATTTAGATATCGATCAATTGGCTGGATATCTCCAACCCTTGGTTCAGGCTTCTGGCCCCGACACCTCTTCATAGACATGAATCCGACAATGCCTTGGCAATTTTCATCGAAGACATGAATTAAATATTACCAGACCACTGATCTATATACACTAGTATGTTGCAAAACATCAGATCTGAGGAATTTCACAGTCTCCCCCAGCGCCCAGGTCATGACGATCACTCCAGCTCAGGTGTCCTAGTATTCAGTACAGGTTTCCCTCCAAGCTGCGACCCCGCATTTCTGTTCTCCAACTCGATCGGTATTGGCACCGGCCTCATTGCCATATTGTAATCCAGCTCATGTGCTTGCATGGCACCTTGAGTACCGCCTTCCTCTAGCCGCCGCTTTTTTCTGTAGCTGCGCCAAAAGAATAAACCGACACCAAGCAGTAACAGTGCCCCAACGACTGACCCAATCGCAATGCCTGCCTTTGCTCCACCGGAAAGTGTATTTGACGAAGCTGCCGAAGACGTGGCGGATGAAGCTGTAGACGATGAGGATGTAGACGTTGCTGATGCAGATGTTGAGGTGGTGTATAGGCTCTGGTCGCTAGCTTGGTACATTATCGTGATAGGTTGTCCCCACATCTGAATCGTCCCCGAAGCGGTTGTACTAGTGGTGTAATCGGTCAGGGTGAACCCTCCAGCTCTTGCAGCTACAAATGTTTTCCCGGTATGGGTGCTGATACATCCTTGCATGCCCCCCGAGGTCAGAAAGTAGTAGCCGCTGTAAAGGCAAATCGTCAGGCTCTCAACTAACGTGGGCTGGAGGTGGAAGAATATCTGACTTGAGGCAACAACTCGCTATTGTGTTTGACTCCACCGTCGTAGCCGGGTAGTTTGTTGTGTATCCGTGTGGACACATCCCTGGGCTGAATACTGGAGCTCCTGTGCCGCGTCCCGCATGATTGAACCCGGGTGGAAAACATGATGCGTCCATACTGGACTGGATGGCATTTTGTAGTAGGAGACCACTTTCCACCCCATTGTATGTGGCAGCTTCATACGTCCAGCTTGATGAGCAGTCTGCGGGAGGAGTGAAGATAGTAGTGAGGGCTATGGTTGATGTCATTCTGGATGTAGGTGTGTAGCAATCAGTCCTCGCTGTCCTGCTTTCTTGCAACAGCTGGGATACAGATAAAGGAGGCTCCGAGTGTTTGAATTATGTCCCTCGTACTGGGCTCGTGCCTCGTTAATCTATTCCTTTCTTGTTCGCTGACGCTGCATGGCCGTGCAGTGGGGTAGGCTGTGATGTCTGATTGGTTAGAAGGGAGAGCCCTACAGTAGTGTAAACATAAGATCCCGCTCTGTTTCTCTTTGCTTTTTCTCACTTCCCCAAATTTGTAGCTTCGCCCGGGTGCACTTATCTTTTAAGAAAGATCTGGCGTGTCAGAAATGTATCAAATGGCATGCCACGTTTTGATCTTCGAATATGGTGATCAGTCAGTAGCAGCAAGGATATAACTCCTTGGAAATTAGATGGAATCCTTTTTGTGCCGATTCTAAGGATGAATCCTGCTGAGATCTAGCTGCGGGGCATTTGCCAGAATTGTGTTGGACTCGGGTCAGCCATGCAAGTCGCTGTCAATCATGACTTCTCGTTATTAGCCAAAAATAACCCAACAACCCAATGTACATGTTCAGCCGCATTTCCCACCACCGGGGACTCTAGAGTCTGATGGAATTATTTGTCCCTACTGTGGCTTTTTTGCACCAATCACATTGAGCCTGCACTCCGTGTGCATGTACCTGCTGAATACTCAGGAGAGTTTTGTACACTGTCAATGCCAACACGGGGGAGGTCCCACTGAAAGAATGATATTTTCCAATTTGATGTACGTTCCTTCTAGCATTGTTTGCCTCGATATTATCAATCCTTACTCGTTGTGATGGTACCTGGCCTGCCCGTGCCAATAAGTAATGAAACGCCAAGACCCTCTTTTGCAGGGATAACAAGAAATGAGGTACACCTATTGGGCTAAGTAAGCAAACATTGTACTGCAGTCCTCGGCAGAGATTGCCCAATATTGAAATGCGCTCGGCGCAGCCTCTTTCATGGTAATCGGTAGTCGAGCCTCTTTGTCAAGTTTGGTCCATAGCGCTAGAAGGTCATCCCACTAATACCTAAATGTATGTACTGTATGACAGAATTTGGATAGAAATATAGAGACTGAGAAAGGAGCAGTCTCTTGGATGCGTATCCTGAAGGATTAAGTAATTTGACTGAAAATAGCAAGCAGCGAATTACTGGTATCAAAGGTAGCAGTCCCAGTCCCCTTCAGATCATGCCACCCTATTCAGGCGCAATCGCATTCCCCGAATGCTGATCCTCTTATCACCAACTCACAAAGCATCTTGGCAGATAGGCTTCCCTGTTACCAATTATTCAGGACATTTGCAGTATTCTGGCAATTCCAGTTGAGTCGCTGGGTGTTATGGAGAACAGTGAATTCTACACCATTTCATTCAGTTATGCCGACATCGCGAGCAAAACTCTCGGTGACAGCAACACGATATAAGGGCATGACCACTTTCGTCTGAAGGAAAATGTATCTATATGATTGAACTGCGATATTCAGGTACTTAAACAAGCAGAAATGTGACACTATTATTTAAGCAGTTTCAGCTCGGACGGGAAGAGTAGCTGACATTCCCTTTGTATCTTTAGAATTCCGTTGAGCGCCCACCCTCAGGCGCTCTTCGCGCATCAACCGATCCTTCTCACCAATGGCATCCCACTCTCTATCTCCGCAGTTGACCTCGGCTAGCTCCAGCCATGCCTTCCATGCCGCTGTTTTCGGAGCCGCATCACTGTTGGTGGCCCATTGTATTGTTCGAGTGACCTGGATCGCAAACCATAACGTTCGGGTAAAACTCGGTGACGAGCCACCTTCGGTACTCGAATCCGCATTTACCATGTACTTTGGCGTCACATCTTGCCAGTCGTACCGTGAGAGGTCCCAAAGATACTTCTCTTGAAATAAGGACACAACCCAGTAAAGAGCATTTAGAATGATGTATATGATCGCAATCACGGCTTGCATAGTCCAATTGCAGTTTCCAAGAAATAGGACCGATAGAATCACGAGTAAGGTACCAATGCCGACCAAGATCCTGAATGACTGATCACCAACCAAGTAGTTGCATTCTTCTGGGCCAATATATAATTCTCGGGCAATTTCTTCACTGCACTGTACAACGATAAAAGCACCATCGCGTGTGATAATTATAATATCTCCGTCCGGCACTGGCACATCTGTTGGACGGGAAGCTAGTTTTGGACTCCAATGGGACGCAAATCCAATAAGAGTAGAGGCAGCAGACATGGCTATCAATGCCAAAACCGCAGCTCCGTCTTTGATCATAATTGCCCACATAAATGCAGCAAGGGTCAGGAACGAAGATGCGACCGTCAGGATATTGATCGGCGAAAATTTGTGTGATGAAACCAAAGCCTGGCGTGACGAATCTTTGGTTTTGCTTCGAGCTATAACCATGTCAATTCTCTGAAGTTCTTCTGTTATACGGGATACCTACCTGACCATTGGATATTGTAGACTTTGATCTGGTATTTATTCATTGAGCTGATTGGATGTATAATGTTGGCGAAATAATTAAGTTCCTGGACCAAGTTGCCGGAGTACACCCCACTCACGACGGCTGCGGGGCTCGGGAGTCGTGAAGCACGGTCTGATCGCAGAAAGGCCTGTGGCGCAGGTAGGATGCGAGGGAGAAAACACAGCTTTGAAGAGCTCAGTGGTTGTATGTGGCGGGCCATCAGCGACTCTCCTAGGATGGCGATCAGACTAACAACATCTAGCCGCCAGCCTGGGGAATCATTGCGACCGACTGGAAACCACTCCATCCTTGTAAAAGAAGTGCTTCGGGGGAGCGCACAGGGGGATATTGATCCGGAGCTAGGGAACTTGGGCGAGAAAGGTCTTTTGTTTATCAGAGAAAAGCAAACACAAACAACCCCGCGCGGCTCGAAAGGACTCTAGAACGCTTAGCTCAAGGATCGCCAATAACCTAGCCCCACAACTGTCAGATGGTGCTTTCCAATTTGGCAGGCTATTTGGAAGTAAGTAATTTTCTAAGGAAAGAATTCTCGAAGATGTAATCTTGTAATTTGGGTAGTTATATACAATTGATTAGGCACCCAAAGAGTAAAGTGCCTGATGTATCTCCCAAAAGAGTCAGGGAGGAAGCACCACTTCGTGAACTACACCTGAGCAGCCCTAATAGCGGTGGGCCACTTCTTTTCGAGCAGGTCGGCGAAGACAGCACTTGATGTGAATCCAATTTCAGTGTCATCGGCGATCCCGATATCTTGTATAAATATGTTTAAAACGAGAATTTTGGAGGAAAGTGCTCATGTCTGATAAGCTGTGTTAAATAGCATATATTTTTATAATAAGAGACATTTATGCGCTTCCATTTATTAAAATCAACTGTTAGTTTACTCGCATAATCTATTGCAGATATAAAATACAACTTTTTCCATCTAACGTTGCCAATCTCAATAATGAGCTTCTCAAGCTTATAACATATAAATAATCTTATTGATTTTCTTCTTCAATTTTTGATACTATAATACTATAATTCAGTATACATGAAAAGGCGAGCTTCTCATTACTGAAGTTTTGTCTCCAGCTCGAGTAGACTCTTCACAGTGTCCTGCATACTGCTTTCCAGAGATCTAAACTCCATTCCGAGCACTGACTTTGCTTTCTGATTGGAGACCTTGTATACGGCCGGCTGACTGGCCCCAACTTGACCCATGGGAATCTTGTCCTTGATCTCAGGAAAGCCAGTTCGCAGGACATCGCACACATCCTCGTAGCTGTAGTTACCCGAAGTGATCAAAAATCGCTCATTGGCAGCTTGATCGACTTCAAATGCACGAAGGTGGGCTTCGGCAACATCGCGAACATCCGCCCAGGCAGGGAATCCTGTTGGGGGTACCTCCTGAGTGCTTCCATTGACAAGTCGATAGATGTCGGCAGCGCTGGTGTTCAGCTTGCTCATGTCTTGTACATGATGTTCGACTGGACCGTAGACCATGGGCGGGCAGATAGTTGCCAAGCTGAAATGAGGCTTCTCTTTTTCCAGAAGGTCCCAAGCAGCCTTTTCAGCAAATGCTTTGGAAGCACAATACGCGCTCACACCATCGGCTACTTTAGCCTCTTCATACGTTATTGGGTTCCAATCATTCTCGGTGTATGTATGCTCAGGCCAAAGACCTTTGCTCAAATTGGCGACAGCGGCAAATGACGATGTGATCACAATTCTTGTAATTTGCGGCTGTCCTAACGCAGCTTGAAGAATTGAAGTTGTACCATGGATTGCAGGCTGGAGCAGATCTTTTTCTTGGTCTACAACCACAAACTGGAATGGAGATGCGGTGTGAATGATCTGTTAAGATATGTTATTAACCCATCACCCTTGAGGTATAAAATGAGGAAACATATAACATACTCCGTCGACTCCTTGTACTGCCTCGTCGAAAGCACCAGGCTGTGCTATATCCTCGACGATGGTGAATGATAGTCGATCGGAATATTCCAAGAAGTTCTTGCGCACGTTCACTGCAGTTTGCTCTGATCTGACTGTGCCACGAACTTGGTAGCCACGTTCAAGAAAGGCTTTGACCACATGAGTCGCGACAAACCCGGACGCTCCGGTAATGAGGATAGTCTTATCTGTTGGAGCGGACATCTTGCAAATGATGCAAAACTAGTAAAATATGTCAAGAAGGGTTGATTATACACACTTCTCTGGTGATACAAAAAGGAGTGCTCGACAGAACGAGTGATGGGCACTGTTCACTATATATGTAAAGGGGCAGTTTCATCATCGACAAAACCTTATCACGTAATATTCAGCCTTATGCAAGTTTTATGCTTGTCGTCTCTAAATCTTATGATGAAGCCACGCGTGTCTCCACATATGTTTCCTTATCCATGTAATTATTATCCGTGAAATTAATGCATGTCATCAAACGGACTTAAGAAAATTCAACCGTTTCTCCCGAAGCATCCGCACTGGCCCGATACCACGTGGTCCGTACTTGGGTATCAACTTCTACTATAGTGAGCGACGTTCCATGCCTAACGATAATGAAGCCATCCCACCCCTTCTAGCCACTTTTTGTTTTGCTATGGCTAATTATCAGTGGATGCTTACGGATCTTAAAGCTTCTTGAACCCTGAGACATGAGATGTGGAAGGTTCTGGGCTGGTTGACCCATTCTGCCTTCTTCATATATCCAATTAAAATGAGTTTGAAACTCTGATAGTGGATCACCTGACTAAGCCACCAATAACAAGATCATCGGATTTTTCAGATTCCGAGGCAAGTTCACGCAAAAGGGATTGCGCTACGGTATTCTAATCAGGGGGAAGTTTAATGCCCAAATATAAGATTTAATCATTCAGAGAATATCGGTTGTGAGATGTTGACAAGGGGGGGCTCTAATGGCGGCTAACTCTATTTGTGACGAAGTAAATTAACTTTTCGCTAGTTATTACGTCGTAACTTTTTGAATAATTGTAGGCTTATCAATCCAAAACTTTAGGCCGGGTCTGGAAGCCGGAACTCGTTAACATATAGTTAACCGCCGCGGATAGAGCTGCTTCCGATCTCCGAGATCCACTATAACCTTGGAAGTGTTTAAACTCAAAACACTGATCCAACGATTGAAACTTTTATATCGTCAATCTTGTACGTGACCTACTCGGGTCCCCTTCTTCATTTCCAACCTCTCCGACCAAAACTATCCTTGATCACGTTATGTCTGAGATTGTGCTGTTTAGTTATCCTGGCTCTCCTTGGGGAGCCAAAGTAACTAACTACCTTGCCCTTCGCGGCATTGAATATTCTGAGTGCCACCAGCCCATGATCTGGCCTCGACCAGACCTTGAACCACTCAATATTCGCTATCGTCGCATTCCCTTCTTGGCAATCGGCAGAGACATCTATTACGACTCATTGCTCATTTTTGAGAAACTCGAGGCCTTGTACCCCGAGAGTGCGCTAGGCGCCAAAGAATGTACGGCGAGAGCTCTTGAAAAGCTTATAGAGAAGTGGGCAGAGGGAACCCTGTTGAAATCAGTTATCTGTCTACTACCCAAAAATTTGCCTCTTTTGACGGACTCCAAATTCCTTAAAGACAGGAAGGAGCTCTGGGGAATGGACTTCAGCCCTGAAGGTTTGGAGCAGGGCGTGTCTAAGTCGTTAGTCGAGGTGAGAGAGCAATTTTCTCTCCTTGAAGACCTTCTCAAAGATGGAAGATCTTGGCTGCTTAATACCGAGAAAGCTGGGTTGATTGATATTCATGGTGAGAAAGCAGTCCTCCTCTTCAACGTTGCTGAATCCGGTGTGGCTAATCATAAAACAGCTGCATTCTGTTTTGACTGGGTAATGGCTGGAGTGCTCCCGAACGAATTTCTCTCCCCTGATAGCTATCCGAACACTCTGAAATGGCTTGAGAGATACGCCCACACAGTTGCGCAAGCAAAGGCACAAGGAAACGCACCAACCCTACTTACGGGATCTGATATGGCGAAGTTAATCTTGGAATCTGAGTTCTCTGAGTCCGCAGGTCCTGTGAAGAAAGACCCCACGGGTCTTCAGGAGGGCCAGACAGTCGCTCTTTATCGCATTGATGACGTGAGCTCTGCCTCTCAGCATCGGGACGTTGGCAGGTTAGTTACCTTGACGGAGCATGAAGTTGCTCTTGAGATCAAGGCAAAGGCAGCCGATGTTGAACTTCGGATACACGCTCCACGTTGGCAATTTGCGTTGGAGGCAGTTGAGAACTAGTCAGATATAAGCATAATATCACTGTTTTTTTGTACGGAAGAGTTCTACTTGCCGAGACTATTACGGTAATCTCAAAATAGTCCGCTCTCGTACCACGTCTTGTTGGTACTAGTCATGAGAAACGGCCTTGTACAGGTTATGTATACATATCATGCCCGACAAAGAAAATGCGTATGAGTATTCAGACTAGCCGTGATTCCTCTACTTCCTAGAAGAGATACCACTGGACTGACTGTATAACATACACTAGATCATAGTAAGCCCGCCAAGCAATTTAGCGCATTCGCCTAGCGCTTCTCTGATAACCAGAGATCGGAAGTCCGGGCGGTACTTGTGGCGTATCACTCCAATCTTCATTGATGGATTCTGAAGTTGTACGACCTTAAGCTTTGTCTTAGACTAATTGGTACAGGGAGTACTTGATCAGGCTACGTGTAAATGGACCTAATTGGTCAGGCTACGTTGTGAAGCTCTGAATATGGAACATAAATTCTTTAACAGATCATAATGTAGACATTAATACGATTTGACATCTGTCAGTCCAGTAGCAGTTTAAATGAACAAGTAATGTAACAATAACGCGCTATGCAAAAAGCCCAACCCATTCAAAAAGAGACTGTCGTTTTGAAAATCCTCCCTAGGCGTCCCATTTTAGACAAATACAACAATCTCACCACGGTCATTGCGTCTCAAACGCAGAGCACGCCAGAGATCCTTCTCATCCTCGCTACGACGCTCACGGTCAGCACCGCTACGTCCATTATCCCGGCCCTGGTCGTCATCATACTCAGCGTTGAAGTCGCGGTGGAAACGTTTCAAAGCCTTGTTGATAGAGCAGCCACGCTCACTGTCACGGGAGACGAGTGCAAGGAAATGAGATGCCATTTCGCGCGGCACGACGTCATCTGTGCGAGCTGGGGGTTTGGAGTGCTGGTAAACGGTGACCTGACGGCTTTCGCGGCGGGGAGATTCGTCGGCCTGCTTGAGGCGGCGGGGAGGTCGGTCGCCATCGGTGGGGTTTGAGCTCTTGCGCTTGGACTTGCGGCTCTCGTCGTGCTCGGAGCGGTGCGACTTCTTCTTGCGGACTTCCAGTTGCATCTCGCCGCTAGAGTTACTGCCGCGGCGGGCAACATCACGGGAGCCCTCGTGGCCGCCGCTGCTGGCGGAGATGACGGAGCCGGTGCCACTGAACATGGAAGACACGAGGCGTCCAGCGCGGTTCTTGATGGAGATGCCTAGGCCGGCGTCGCCGTTTCCGTTCACCTCCTTGGTGCTACGTCGGGTACGCTTGATCGGTGATGAGACGTCCTTGTAAGCTCGGGAGCCAGCGGGAGTATCATCCATTTCGTGCGAGGGCGAGCGCATCATGCGGTTCAAACCGCCGGTGAGGCCGGAGTGCGCGAGGATGGGAGTGCCGGCGTTGTTGATCACACTTGAAGGGGCATCCATCATAGGGGTGTCGATTTCTTGCTGAGGGCTGAGAGAGTTCTCCCTGCCGCGCTTGCGCTTCTTCTCGCTAACGGAGCCAGATGCGCGCTTCTCCTCCTTGCGGCGGTCCTTCTTCTTCTTAGGGGCTGGAGTCACAAACTCTGTCGAAAAATTAGGACCATTGTTGGGATAAACGGATGGGGAAATAGGATCGGCGCCATATGAAAAGCCATTCTCCTCGTAGGCAATATCGTAATTACCTTCATCGTCGGTCTTGGCTTCCAGGTTGGCCAGAGCGGTGCTAGGTTCAAACAAAGAGGGGGCCTCCTTGACCATGGTCATCTGCTCCTTGGGAGGCGCGAGCGAAGTTTTGGACGCATTAGGTGTTTCATCGGTAACCAAATAATCAAACACATTGACAGACTTGCCGCCGTCGGCCATGGCGTCGGCGGTGGGCTTAGCCTCAGCGGCGGGAGGGGGAGTAGGCGCCCGGGGAGGAGGCGCGTATTCATCCTCCACGCGGGGCTGCTGATTGCGCTGGTTTTGGTTCGCGTTCTTGTTGTTGGGGTTGTTCTGGCCCTTCTTGTTTTTGGCTGGTTTCTCTTTGTACAATGCGCCTTGGTACTTCTGGTCTTCGGTCATGCACGACTAAAGTGAGGAAGCATTGTTAGTATGGGTGACATTGAGTGACAGTCAAAATTGCCAATGCTAGTCCTGTCGCTAGTCCCGAGGCCCCATGTACCCCCGTTAAGCCATGTGGTAATCAATGTTGGTTGCGCGCACAGGGCGCGGGGGCTCGAGGACAATGCAACGAGCATGACAATGAACGAGACATACCGTGTGAGCTCTGTACTCGGTACCGTAGAAGTGAACCATGCAATCAATGCACGTAAAGGTTGCGCCACGGCACTGGCCGCGGTGGGGGTCGAGTTTCTTTTTGGTGAGGACATCACCACATCCCTGCGTGACACTGTCAGTAAGCTTCCTTATGCTGTGCTCCCTAGGAAGGGAAATTGGCCTGGCAATAAGCAATTTTCACGCACCTCGCATTGAAAGGACACCATGATGTAAGTAGTAGATCACCCCACTGGAGAAGGATCAAGCGCCGGCGCAAAGTATGTTTCCAATCCGAGAGTGCCGGAAACAAGGGAGGCAACAGAAAGCGCAATTGAAGGCGAACTCTGGAATATCCGAAAGTGGGAATGGGAGTGAGAATGATATCCCTTGGAGACTAGGGGGCAAGAGCGCATGTAAATGCGTTCAGGTGTCGAGGGGACGTAAAGACGCTGCTTTTTTTTCTTTTTTTTTTTTTTTGCGCGTCGAAAACTGGAAGGCGCGTGGATTCGCACTAGTCCTTATGTGGTAGCCGGGCTAAGCCCAATCCAGCATCATTACTATGTTGGGACTAGTTATCGATAAGAGATGGGACTGATAAGCGATAAGGCGATAGAGTGGATTCGTTATATGGGGCCAAACATGGGGAAAAGAGGAGAGTTGTTTTCCTGACATTTGAGGAAAAGATATTAATATATTGACATCAGCCCCTGACATTTTGTACCACACCAGGGTACCCGGGAATATAAAGTCAAAATAGAAACCCCCTTTTTCCCGTTGTTTCATGACGCGACATCCTCGAGGCGCCCGCGAGACCGCGACTAGACCCCGAGCGGGCGATCCCCGTGCTCACTGGATCGTGATCGCCTGGTTGGCCAGTCGTCAAGGGGGCGTCAGGAGACCAGTCACTTTCATTTGTTATCACCTGCAGCTGAAGTTACTTACTCTGTTTTGTTATGATTTCCCGTATAACCCACTCCTCGGCCCCGCTATTTTTGGCCTGAAGCTCTATACACCGCGCGTCATGACAAAGGACGGAAAATGGTCGAGATCAAAGGAACCTCCAGGGCTTAGAGTTGTGCATATAACGGGTGTCCCTGGCTGTTTCTACGGTATTGATTTATTTTCGTTACACATGTGAATGTAAACATATTGATTTTTCTCGCTTTGACACTGTCGTCATAGAAACTGCCAGCCCCATGCAGCTAACTCCGTACTAGGGCACTAGTATCGTCCTCTTGTATCACGAGGATGCAACATGGCGACATTATCTCGTTAGCTCGTCGGCCCGAATTCCTGCAAGATAGAAGGAAAGACAGGACATTGAAACCTTGATAGACACTAGTCTAGTGTATACTACGGCAGGCATCCACCACAAAAATCCACTGTACCCGACTTGACCTAGCGTGGCATGGACATAATGGGTCATGCGCATCAGAAAGAGACCTGCGATCACCGGGTCCGGGTGATCCTGGCCCGCGCCAGCTTTCGGGTCATGCATCGTGGGGGGACCCGGCGATCGGCAGTCGGAATCCCTGTCCATGCTTTCTTCCCACCATACTTCTCGGGGGTTATTCATACCTACTCCAGATATGAACCGTGCGTCGACATCAGATGGGCTTGTGTGCGTATAGATAACCGATCCTCCAAGGTTCTACCAGGATCGTTGCCTCCGGATTCCAGGCTGCACAGTTCATTGTCTAAGCAGGGTCTTTTGAAATATTTGTCAAAGCTTATGTATACAAACGAGTGCAGCTGCGCCACCTGGACTATATCCGAAGGGGGCGCACGTAATATGAACGCCATGCAAGATCGACATGGAATTTCCCGCGAGGCTTTGCGCCTCCAATGCGAATCTAACTTCCAAGCTTATCATCTGTCAACAGTGCAAGGTCCCTATTCGTCGGGTAAGTTTGCAAGCAACGTGGTCCGGGCTTTTTAGCCAAGCGAAGACGAAAGTCATGGTATGTTGACCCTTGCGCCGGGGACGACGCGCTGTGATTTCAGTCGCCCATACTTGATGAGGGGCGAAGGATTATGCGCGAGACCGAGACATGTCAAGGCAGCGCAATAGATAGGAAGTCTAGAGTGGGGTATTCCCTGTCCACGAGGGAAAAAGGTTTCTTTTCGAAAGTTGGATGCAGATAAGTCGCAGAGGTAAAAATTACAAGCAGTGCATTCACGGTGTCGCGGAGGTATAGTAGCGTTATACCTACTGCTATCGCTGATCACCGATTGATTGTGAACTGAAGGAAGTCGAAATGCTATTCATTATGAACGGTGATGGATATTGCCAATATTGCCGGTAAAACGGAGATTGGAAAATCTAAAACCAGGCATCCCTCTGGGTATGTCTAGGACTAAGGCGGGATTCGTCTGCCATCGATGAAGAGCCTACACGTAGCAGTTTACCTTCAAATTCAGTGAGTTGATAACAAGTAAGGACTGATAGTTACCAGGATTAGAACAGTAAACTTCCCACCAATGATAATTCACTTGTACGCACATCTATATAAAAACGATGACTAACCACGTTTCCGCGGATCATCGTTCCCAGTCCGGTGCCACGGACTACATCGGATATGCTCCGTAACAAGGCCCGAGAGTGGCTCAATAAAAGAGTTCAACAGACCGCCACAAAACGACAACCCCTATTGGACACCACATGCACACAATTAACAAAGTTAATTCCATCATGCACGATGCACCTCATCATGGACAAATGAGTCGCTCTGACTAGGAGGCAAATCCTCCTTGCTTGTACCCCACCCGCTCTCTTGCTCCCCAAGCGTCAATTCCAGCGTCAGACCCTGGGTAAAAAAGTCATGGCCAATCCAGTTCTTCGAAAATGGCTTACCATTCAGCGTGGCGCTTTGGATGTAGATATTTTGGTACGTGGGGTCGAAATTGATGTTTCGGATTGTGGCTGTTTGATTGGTTTCCGGGTTTGTGATTTCGACCGCTTCGAAGAAGGGCGGAGTTATCAGGTATACATTCTGGCCCGGGTTTGGGAATAGACCCATCATGCTCCAGGCGAGGAATGAGCCCATGGCCCCGGAGTCGTCGTTGCCTGGAAGGCCGTTCTCGGAGGCATTGAATGTTCGTGGGATGTAGCTGTGGGCTCGCTTTGCGGAAAGGGCTGGTCGGCCTGCGTAGTGGTATTCGTATACAGTCAGAAATACGGGCTCGTTGCTGATGTCTGCGAGTCCGGACTCGTGGAAGTAATCTAGTCGGGAAACGAAGGCATCGGGCCCTCCTAAGAGTTTGATCAATGTCGCCATGTCATGAGGCACGTAACTGGAAGTAAGCGAGTTAGTTTCGGTGTTTTGGGGGGATCCTAGAGACATACAACTGATACTCCCAGATACTTGACTCAAATGTCTCGGAGGGATTCGAAGTCAACGAGCACCAAGAAGCCAAGGCACTGCAGGCAATTGGATCCTGGAACCCCCAGGTGCCATTCAGGTACCTTGGCTGAAAGAAACCAACGAATCCAGTGTCGGTTCCATTCTCTAGTAGTGAAGTTTGGTCATCTTTGAAAAGGTTCTTCCAGTTGTTCGAGCGAGAAACGTAGGTGGTATAATCCGCCTTTCCAAGACCCTTGCCCACCACAGAGATACTGTGATCATTATAAGCATACTCGACAGTCCGTGAGATGCTTCGCGAATTGGTTCCGAATCCTAAATAATCAAAGTCCAAGTATGGAATATAATCCAGTCGTTTCCAGCTTTGAAGACCCCCTCGTCCTTCATATGACCACTCCAGCGGCTCATTTTCGGCGTCGTTCACCATTGCCTTGTAGGCAAGCTCCCAGTCAATACCAGTCAGATTCTTGACATACGCATCTGCGATCACCACATCTGCATTGGACCCTCCCTGAGTCCACCCTTTGCAGAGACTCATGCGACAATCAGGAAGCCATCCTTCATGCTTGAAGGTATCGAGCAAGCTCCGGACCATCCTCGACTGCGCCTTTGGATCCAAAATCGTGAGAAATGGGTGCTGAGCACGAAAAGCATCCCAAAGACAATAGAACGAATCGAAGTACGGCTCATCACTTTCCCACAAAGGATTTTCTCCGGTCATATCCTGAGGCGAAAGCATTGTCCGGTAGATTCCACTCCAGAACGCACTCAGCATATCATCGCTCACACCACCCGGTATGACTTTAATAGGACTAAGCTTTTCCTTCCAAGCATCCTCGGCCGTACTTTGGAGTCCGCCAAAGTCACCTAGTGGCTCAGGTACCTCCATCTCCGCATTTGAGCACGCTTGATCAGTACTAATGAAGCTGACGCCCACCCTAGCCGTGACAACACCATCATCCGGTCTCTCGAAACTCACATATCCACCAGCTTGGAGGTAGAAATTGTTAAAGCCCCGAGTAACAAACAACTCCTTCGGCTCCGAACCAGCGCGATCATTGACCCAGATCCCGCTATCACGAATCTTAGCGCCCGCAAAATCAGCACAGAAATAAGCCTGGTAAGAGCCTGCCCCGAAGCTAGGCAAGAACGTCCCATTTCCCTTAATCCGCCCAGACTCGGTATTAACAGATATACTTGCATTTTGTCGACTATCCCATAAATCCGTCATGTCAAGCCCGATAAGTGGATCCAACATCGATCCATTCTGAGTTTTGTTCTCAGGAAACGTAAATCGGTATAACGCCGTCCGTCTTGCGGCTGTCATCTCAGCTTTGATTCCGTTTACCAACTCCAGAGCAAAATACCCCGGGCGCGCGGTAACGGAATCATTCACGTAATGGACTGCGCGTGCTGTCTTGGTGAACTTGCAATTGTCGACCACGTTGTCGGCACAGTACTGCGGGAACAAGGGGAACTGTCCCATAGATGGGTTCCCGCCCGTGCCGCTGTCGTGCATGTGTGAGAAGCCGGTGACATTGCTTCCGTCTGTGGAGAAGCCGCCGCTGTTTTGGCCATCTACATCTGCGACGGGTTTTGCGAGGCCGTATGGGAGACTTGCGCCTGCGAAGACGTTCCCGCCATTTGTTGACCCGATAAGCGGGTTTACGTGGTATAGATCATCTTTTGTTGCTGTTGTTGGTTGTAGGAGCTGTAGAAGGGATATGCATGTCGCAAGGGTGTTGACGTGCAGGTAAGGCATGATTTGGAGTAGGGTGTGGAATGTGCTGAAACCATGCACCTGACGCGTCTATCTGGCCGGGCAGGTCGATGGATGCATTAAAGGAAGGAGGTCGCTTGGTGGTGTGGTGAGAGGATGTTACCATTTTAGATTGCAGCGTCACATTGTTGACATGATCGACATGCGGGCAAACCCTGCGGCGTTAGTGTGGGATGCAAGGACCCCCAGTGTGCGGGGTTATCTAATGAGGGCAATCTGACTTAGACTGGATGAATGAATGTTTTCTGTTGTTGAGATTTTATTATGGACAATGCAACATAACGTAGCATATGAAAGTATGGACTTTAGAAGTCTGCATTCCAAAGCAGCCTCAGGTATAATTACAGACGTGATGACCCCGAAAATCATAATATCTCATGTTCATCTCATGCAATGGCAGTTCGAAGAAGGCTTTACTTGAAAGCCATGGTCCCTTTGTTCTGCTTCTTTCCAACGTCATAATTTTTCCAAACCGCGACTGCTGGGATAAGCAAGACCAAGACACAGGTCGAGGCAATGCAATTCATCTTCTGGGAATAACTCCAAGCGTAAACAACTGCATCGCGTAATGGAGACCCCACGGGGTATGTTTGTTGGATTTGAATGCCAGCAGTGTAGATTTGGGTAGCGTTGGCCTTTAGATCATCGGGCAAATGACTTCTCAAAGCCCCGACGAAGACATTGTTATAAATTGCGCCACAGACGGCATAGCCGATCGCACCACCAATACTTGAAGATAGCCCAATCAAAGCCAGCATTATTGGGGTGCCCTCACGGCCTCCGCTAGCCATGACAGCCATATCTTCACCGATCACCATGGTGCCACCAGCGAAGGCAATGAAAATCTGAGACATTATAAGGAAGCCGATCCCATGATTCTCTCCTCGGAAATATATCATCAAGCCCGAGCCTAGAATCATCAAGGGGACACCGAAGAACAAGCATACATACTTGAACCGCCGGGTCCACCAGATATAAAGACCGAGAATCGGAGACCAGAAGCAAGAACCCACGTTGTAGATTTGGCTCACGTATCCGGTCAAAGTCGAGTCGAGGTTATAGGTGATGCTCACGAAGTTGAAGAAGTACTGATCCCAGAGGTAGAAACTGAAATAAAGGATCGCAGAGCAAGCACATGCACCTATGACAGTGGGCTTCCGGAGTAGCTCGTATCGGATAAAGTGGGTACGGGCACCCCATTTCTCCCATGCCGCAAAGACGAATAGCATGCAGAATCCGATAACCACCATGGCAATAAAACTGGCGCTTTTGTACTGAGCCAGGCCATACTGGGCCAGGCTAAATGGGAGGAGGAAGAGCACCCAAGCGATCATAAGCAATAATGCGCCGATCACTAATACATATCAGTACCAAAATGAATAATAAAAAGAATAAGGGTCACTCACCGTCAAATTCGTGGATGTAGTGGATAATGGACTGGATCCTTGTACGCCCACTGGACCGGCGTTCCCAGACACCCATTCGAATTGCCTTGCGCTCATAATATTTGAGCACAAATGCCAGGGGACAAAGCACAAACGGCTGAATGATGCAAAAAATTCCATAACCCCAGCGCCAGCCAAGATTTTCTCGAATAGAAGTGGCCGCCAGAGGGCCGGTGAAGGCAGTGCAGATGAATGGTGTGGACGCGAACGCAAATGCAAATGCACGAGAACGCATCCCAGAGGTGTCAGCGACAAAGATGTCCAGTATCAGATATGTGCAATTATATCCAACCCAGTAGAGAACGTATCCAGCTGCAAACGCATTGGCGCCATTGCAAGCCGCCAAGATTATCATTCCCAGCATGTAGATAGAAGTCGAGAAGAGCAGAGCCTCTGCACGGCCCCAGAGCTGCAGAGTTTTACCTAGCGGCAATTTAAGAACGCCACCGATAACTGCAGACAGAATGTATGATGTAGTGACTTGTGGTGCAAGATGGAAGTCTGAGAAGACATAGTTGATCAAGTTGCTGCCGATCGACGAGCTCAATGCCAGCATGAAGAAGCAAATCCAGATCCTGCGACGGAATTCTGATGATTAGAATTATAATTTTTCCTGCCAAAGGAAATTCAATCTCACCATCCATATATCAAGAACGCGACGGGTCGACTCCAAACCAGAGCTGCAGCTTCAGCCTTTTGCTGACCCAGTTCCACCTGCTCGGTCACATGAGTCGGGTCACGGTCGGCTTCCCTTTCGTCGTAGTCCGCCCCATTGATCTCTTCTGAGGAATTGGGAGTTCCCGCATGGCGCACCTCGGTCTCCTCTTTAATTGAGCTCGATTGATTGTTGTCGGCAATTGAAGTGGCCGTGTGGTCATTCTTACCCTCTGCATCCGAGAGATTCTGTGCATCAATCAAGGTCCTCGTCAGTTTTCCGCCGTCATCGCGACCACGAATGGCGTCTAACGCGCCCATGATCGCAGGGATAATGATGGTGCACTAAGGAAGCACGGAGCTAGTGCAATAGCCCACTCTGTGCGGTCAGTGTGCGGAATGGGATGCTGAAGCAGGTCAATGGGAGAACGTGAAGTTTTGACACGGAGAGAATTTACAGGAGGGGTAGCACGGGACTTCGGGTCGCCCGGTTTGCCCCGTCTGCACGACCTTCCAAGGTTGTGTTCATTTCTTGTGGTTCTGGGGCAGGTGCAACGAGGAGTTGACCCTGGATCAGATAAGCAGGTGGGTCCATCAGATAATCATGCGATCGACCAATAACATCTTTGGTTATGGACCCGCTTTATGCCCAGCTTCCCAGATCCCATGATATGATTGGTCATATCTTCGAGGCCATCCATTATAGTACTAGCGCCGGTACCTGTTTACGGCGTCGCTACTGTGACCTTGACTATATCGTCCAAACCCGGCACTCCGTTTGCGGGTACAGGACATCACCAACATCGATGATGTGATCCATGATTCCGATCTAGACTCTTTCGTTGAGCTACCGCTGCTCTAACTTATCTTAAATTCACTGCAGTTCTCCACGATTTTCGGTCGGATCCACGGATCAGGAAAACAGCTGATCGTCATGCTTGATCCATCTCGATCTCCAAACCCTTGCAGGTCACAACACACATACTATGCTGGGATTGTACTCATTTTGCCTTGGTACCACCCTCTTCGTGGACCCAGACTACATGTACATGTGCGATAGCCTGGGGAAATATAGAAAATAGACACCAACGGTCGCTGGCATTGGTCCGGTGTTAAGGCCAGTATTGTGTGAGCCATAGATCATGTAACTTCTTCTCAAACAATTACATACTAGTACCTCCTGGATTATCAAACACACAAGAAAGTTTACCAGTCGCAACGACATAATGTACGTTTTCTTTATCTACAAGGTACAAAGCCACCACACTTATGCAAACAAATGCCAGGCTCAGTTGTGGCTAGGTGGCTAGGGGATGGCTAAACCTGGCCATCTAATGAACTTTTATTTAGTCTCTGGCCATTCCCAGTAATTGCTGGTAAATTTGCGTTTAGAGAATTCAGGAGTTTTCTCACTGTTCCTGGCCGCCTTTCAGTCTCCCCGACCCGGCTCGGGAGCGTAACTTTCGAACCCGCAAAAAATGCCCCACAACAACCAAATTTTCAACAAACCAAAAAGAAAATGCCAAAAAAGAATGACCAGACTGGGGCTCGATCCCAGGACCTTATCGGTGTTAACGATACGTGATAACCAACTACACCATCCGGCCAATTGATATACGATGCTTCGAAAGCTCGCCATAAGTAGGCACGCCAAAAGCATCAAAGATTCGCTGACAAGAAAACTAGCCGCTAAACCCAATCCCGTAATTCACATGGGTACCAACGATATGCGATAACCAAGTACACCATCGATCTTCATGAATTTGATATTTTTCATATCTCAAATGTTAATCCACGGATGCTTTTCAAGGTTGCAGAGCCTCTGGTTTTCGATGGAGCTGTCAGGAATCCAAGTACCCTTCTATGTTCTTACCTTGGAAGCTTTCTAAAAAATATATTTTTCACTGATGGGGTTGACCCAACCATGATGTTCAACTACGATGTCGACATTCTTCCACTCTTTTTTTTCCCCATCAATAACGCATCCGAACTGAAAGATATTTATGGACTTATATACTCGATACACCAGGTATTACTATAATCAATGATCAACCTTTGCGCAGTGTCTAACAGCTTTGAACGTAATTGTCGGGTTCAACTTCGAAGCGGTTAAGTTTCAGCGAGATCCTGAGATAAGAGATGAAGAATCGTATTTGTTACCATATCCCCTAAAAGTAAGAGTGGAAACCTAAAATCAAAGATCATTCGTGCTGAGAAAGTCACTAGAATATAAGGGGAATCGTTACTTGATCACAAAGCCTTGTTCAAGATGTTCGTGAAACAAATTTCGCACAAAATGGATTTTCTGAAGAGCATTACAAGAGCCTCTATATAGAGTGCATATGTGATTTGTTTGAAAAAGGAACAATTTGTATCAAATAGGCTTTTCTACGGCATGATAGCCAGCACAAGAGGGGAAAAAAGGGTTCACAACCTACCAAATCCCCTCCGCAGAAGGCATATACCTTATTCCTTAAACAACTCGATTCGCCTTGTTGTGCTGATTAGAGCCCATATGGAGGTTCCAAGTATCATGTGAGATGATGGTAGAATCTCCGAGATGAAGCATGATCAGGCAGATGCATAATGATCCAATTGTCAAAGGCCATATCAGTGTGAGAACCGGAGGCCTCACGCTTGCCTCTCACCAGGCTCCTTTTCAACCCAGAGATGTTGTTAAGATGATCCTGAAGTTTTGCACAAGGCATGATCTCACTTTCCGTATGCCGGTGGCTCCTTTGCCGCTAATCCCCTTTGGACACGGCCCCTCATACGCCACAATAGTGGTACCCAAGAAAGAACATTGGAACTAGGTAGACGCTATCCGGGTAAATTCATGCCTTTGACCCGCCTGTTCTGTGGATAAGCTTTATTTACCTGTTTATGGTACTATTTTCAGTTTTGCAGATGAGGTAAAAGCTGACAACTGCGTTGTATAAAGCCACGTGGACAGTATCCGCGGATGGCGCAAGAAGGTGGACACTAGGTGTATTTAACATCCTGACCCCCTCCCCAACAATTCGCCCTCAATTCAATAACATAGAAATAATTCGAACCCCATGACAACGAAAATCATGAGCAAAACTCACGAAGTAAATCCTATCCCGCAATTGAGCATTCTGGACAGACTGCAAATAGCTCGCACATTCCTGTTCCGCGTTCCTTGGACAATCGTTTCCACTCTTTCCCGTCGTTGGTGGCCTTTCAGCAACTACAAACCTCCCCCTCTGAGGAAGCATTTATTCGGCCATCTCATGACATGGTATGCTCTGAGCTTATCAGTATCCAAACCCAGGATCACAGAAGGCGGATAATTAACATTTCTAGTATTTTCAATAATGTTCCACTAGCTGTGATACAGCAGTTAGTGGTTCGAGATGGAAGTCAGCTGCTCGATTCCATCCGCTATAAAGATCTGAATCGGCATATTTTCCAGTGCATTCAACAAGAGAATTTTACGGGATACTGGATTTGCCGCGGCCTATCCCCAGAGCCAATTAACCCTGTTGACGCAGATATACTCCTGCTCTATGTCCATGGAGGCGGATATGCGATGGGCCATCCAGCGGAAAACGCCCCTGAACTCCTCTTCATGGCGGAGTTACTAGCTGGGAAGGGGCTAGAAACTGCGATTTTCTCCCTTAATTATTCTCTGATGCCCAACGGCTATTTTCCCACTCAGATCAACCAATTATTCGCTGCTTATGAATGGATTGTACACACATTAGGTGTTGACCCATCCAAGATACTGATCATGGGAGAATCAGCTGGTGCTCACTTGGTCCTGTCATTCCTGACTTTTCTGTCGGAGATGAGTGAGTCAGCTTCACTTTCCAAGCCTGGATTCGCCTATCTCCTCAGTCCCTGGGCCAACCTACGGTCGGATCACCCCGAAACACTTGCCCTACACTGGGAGGATCGATTATTCAAACAATCATTGGATGTATCAGCAAGAGATTTCCTTCGGAATGCAACTTCCGACCAGCTGGATTTGTATGAGAATTTTGCAACCAACAGCAACAACACAAAGCGCCGTACCTGGGATAAAATTCTTCCAGAAATCACCCGGGTATCTGCAGGATCCGATGAGCTTGTGTTTTTGTACGACATTCTAGACTTCGTCAGAAATGCACAGAAGGATGGCGCCGAGGTAAGCATTACCATCAAAGACGGAGTCGATCATGCATGGCAGTCAAATGAAGCAGGAGGATCCCGTCCACAATTTCTGGGACAATCTAGACAGTCTTCCAATGAGTCCATAATGCCTGGTTACCGTGAGATAGCGGAGAACATCAGTTCAATGTTTGCGCCTTGCGGTAAATAGAAACTGTTATGTATATATTGGTATTGAGCTCCTTGAAATTACAACTGATCCCTCCTTGGAAGACTAACCTCCGATTAGTGCCACGAGTATAAGTGCGGCTCAATACGAAACGCCGCCGCCCTCATACCTGCTTCCGAATTGGAAGTGTAGTTTTCTGATAGATACCAAAGAAAATGCCCTGATTCACCCACACTTAACGGTTGGCGAAATCGTGTGTGCTGTCAACTTGACGATCCCGGTAGCCTGATTAGCCTAGTGTGCGGACCCCTGCCCAGGTGGACGCTAGAGTGAGCACTGCCTCCACCCCGCACTCTCACCTCTTTTTCGCTTTAAATAGTCGATACTAAATTACAGAGATTAAATTTACTGCAAGAACATATATGCTGCCTCGAATGTTGTCTTTACGATTTTCAGTGTTGGCCAGTCCAAACCCATATCTTATAGCGCCAAATGTCTCTCGTCTCTATACCGCCGGAACTCCGGCAACAAATCTTCAACAAACTAGGATCTCAATGTGATTTGAATGCTCTGGCTTGCACAAATCGGTATTTCTATCTCAACCTCAACAACTCACTCTATCGAAATGAAATACGAAGGGACGGAGGATATGTGGTTCTTCTATACGCCGCCCAGACGGGATCTTTGCGTACCGCAGAGCACCTTCTATATGCCGAAAAGTCATTTCAACATTATACCAATGATAACAAACGCCCTCGGCACCAAATTGACCCGAATGGTGTGACCCCTGGCCGAAGTGGTTGGTCACCGCTTGCCTGGGCCTCTATGAAAGGATTCGAAAAAATAGTGAAGCTTCTTCTGAAGATGAATAATATCGAGCCGGATATAAAATGCTCCAGAGGACGGACAGCTTTGTCTTATGCTGCAGAGCAGGGGCATGTGGAAATCGTCCGATTGTTATTGGAAGCGGGGGCAGATCCAAACAGTCAAGATCAGCTCCAGCGGACGCCGTTGCACTGGGCTGGATCCCCAAGATTGACAAAGGGAGTCCACTATGAACCCGTGAAGCTTGCAAATAGAGATTCCAGGATTGGATCTCCGAGTGCTCCGTACAACTCTTGGGGAGCGAAAGAAGATTTATATGGATTTCATCTCGAAAGCCTCCGACTTACGATCAAGAATTCCACGTCCCCCGTCTTCTGCTCCGTGGACGTGTTTTTTAATATACATGTCCCAGGAACAGCAGGATATAATAGCATCCATACCAAAAGCCAAACTTATGGTGAACTTGATGACCTTGGTTCAGATCTCGCAGTCTTGTCTTCCATTCCATACGGCGAATGGTCTTCAGGCAAAAGTTTCGAGCACATATTAGCCTTGCTTCTCCAATATGGTTCCAAAATAGATTCTGGAGGGCAATCACCCTTGAATTGGGCCGCAGCATGTGGATATCAGCCATTGGTGGAGCTTCTTCTCAACAAAGGCGCCCAGGCCATAAGTAATACTGAGATCGGAATGATCTCTTTTACATTAGCAATTGCAGCAAAACATGGCCATATATCCATAGTAAAGATCCTTCTCGACCGATTTCCCTCTGCGAACGAACCCCAGTATGCCGCCAGATTATCAGCGCTATCATTGGCAGCCATAAATGGACATTACGACGTTATCAAATTCCTTATCACAAAGACATCTGAGCGCGAGAGATCTTTCAGAGGACCTGGCTGGCAGCCATTAACAGTGGCAGCAAGAAAGGGCCACACTGAGCTGGTAGAGTTCTTGATCTCAGTACACAAACAAAAGTGGCCCGATTATTCACTTGGCTATACAGCCATCTCTGAGGCAGCATATTGTGGCCATACAGACATTGTTCTGCAGCTTATGTCTGCAGGTGCAGATTACAATGCCGCCCCCGGGGCGTTTGGCAAAATGGGATGTTTACACCTGGCAGCCAAGAACGGACACTCAGAAACTGTCACATCAATTCTTGAAACCGGTCAAGTTGACGTGAATGCCGTGGATGGACATGGATGGACAGCGTACTCGTGGACCTCCAGTGACAGAAGAAAGTCCAAAATGCAGGAAATTTTGCTCAAGGGTGGAGCTGATCCATCTTTCCAGAAATCGGAAGAGGAGATCAGGCGAGCGCCACATTCTATTATGATCTTGGGGAATGGATGTTTTTCGGGCTGTTGTTTCGATGACGAAAGATGGCCAATCTCGTTTCGATGAAGTATACTGCAAGTACAAAGAAAAACAAAAGACAGGGATCTTTTGAATACTGCTCTGTTTCGAGTAGCTGCCAAAATTATGGATCTTGGAAATACTGGAGTCGTTATCAATCGCTGATTGGCTCGCCGATTGATTCCTGATAAGGTAATCTTTGCGGCCCCCAACATCATCATCTTCAGACCCACTTCTCACGCTGCTAGTACTTAAATGCTGACAAGGAATATAAGCTCAGAAGAATTTTATCCTCAGCTTATTTCCACCCCGTAAAGTCTTAATCATGGCAAGCGACGAGAAATCAAAGAATCCCTACGAGGACCTAGACCGCCATGAGCGAGAAATATCCTCATCTTCAGCTGCGGACACATCCGTTGAACTTGCGGATGAACAACCACCACAATACAGCCCCCCTGAAGTGACAGCAGGGAGCTCATCAGCAGCTGCAACAAATACCCAGCCACAGATTCCTAGCTCCGCAAGAATCATCGCAATCCCCGCGATCGCACCTGCAAATGAATCACCCTTCCTCCGCGCCTATGCACCTACACTGGCAAACCACCAACTGCCAAAGGAATCATTCATGAGATTCCTAGACCAGCTCAATGATGTCGTGACTACCAGTCCGCCAATGCAGGTACTAGACGCAACAGGTGGGATGCTCAAGTCCGTCCCGATTCTATTCCCGCTGCATTGGGTTGGCTCAGTGGTGAGCGGTCTCGCCAACTTGGGCAGTCTTGGAATCTCAAAAAGTCGCTCAGACTCCACAATTCGCCAAGCAAACAAGGATCTTTTTGAACCCCGGGGATTGAAGGTTGAGATCGCTAAGTTGGATGCCGTTGCTCATATCGCCAAGATCCCCATCCTGGATTCACAGGGCAAGGTCGACCAGGACGCTCCTCTTATCCGACAACTGAGCGGAATTTCTATGATTGGGTCTGATATGGCACAGGAAGTGGATATACAGCAGCGCAGGATTCAGCTATTCCAGCCATGGATTGCTGAGCTTGAGGTTGATTCTGCTCTTCCGTGGAGTCAAAAGTCGAGATTGACGCGGTTTAATGCGGCTCTTAAGAAAAGAAACGAGGGGGCACGGAACCGAGGCCAGGAGCCGGCTAAGGAAGAAGAGGACTTTGAGCTTCGAAAGTGTCTTTGGCTGGTTATTCGAGAAGAGGGTGATGAGAGTAGACCGGGCTCTGCATCGAGGAGTTGATAATCTTTGTTCGCCTAATTGGTTAAGTCGTACTTTCTGTTGGCATTCAAACCGATCGATAAAGAAATCATATAACGACCTGAAGGATAATTCTCATTTCCTTTGCAGTACTGATTTTCGTCACTTTGCTTGTGTTGAAGAAGAAATGGATTCATTGCAATGTTTGGTAGCTTGTGAGTGGCGGTATTCTAAGTTTACCATAACCCTCCTATATGGAAATCTGTATCCCCTGAGTTGATCATTGTAGTGTAACAGACACTAGCTCAGTCAATAAAAAGTCAAGATGAACTTTTGATCTCCGTTAGCTCTCGAAGCTTGTAGCCAAGGGGCACCCAGTCTGTTACATACAACATCAGTCAGTGATACTCCGATATCGCACTAATTGTTGCAGACATTCAGCCACCCGTGGAATTTCCGCGGGATAGTTTGCCTAAATTTACGAGTTAATCCTGATAATTCGATAATCCCGCGGACTCACCGCGTTTTGTTATTTGCCTAAACCCTTTAGTAATCCCGAACCCCTTGTACAGGGATTTGATTCGATGACGGGAGGGCCGAGGTGCTGGTCTGAGCGTCATACGGGCTTGGTCACGCTGAACCCCGCGATGCGACAGCTGATTCCATCAATCAGACCATGAACTCGGCACCCGGTGCCGAGATAGCGACATTTTGGCTTTTTAGAAATGGTGTAGAATCTAGAATAAAAGCGCATAATTTGTGTATAATCTCAATCTAGAATATAAGGCGGAGTAAAAGCTGAGTAGATTGAGCATTTACACTGCACTCCGCGTTTTGGCCCGTCTCCACATAATGCCCCCCTTTTGCAGGGTGCAGGACCCGCAGCTTACAGTGCGGCAATCTAGCCGATATCCCGTAGTTAATTTCCCCAGGTTGAATGTTCCAAAGCCCGGATTATAAATGGAAGTCAAAGTGGCGCCTGACCATAGCCTCGCATCCCAGCACAATTTTTATACACACTGCCAAGCGTAATTCGGGCAAGTGAAAGGCGTGCATCCGTGTGAACTAGCTTTGGTGGGCCACTTCGGGAGGCTGTTAATGCAATGTTTCTGTGAATAAATGCGGATTAATTGCCTTACCTCCGCATCGTCCAACCTGTTACTAGTTTTACTTGTCTACCGATCATACTTTCCCTTTCTTCTACACATATTCCATGGTGCAGGTCGCCGACTATTATTTACTAGTACAGCTTTCAGTACTGCATCACATCATTTCCCACCGGTTGTTGATATTCATTACCATTTGAGGAATCAAAAGACTTGCTCGTCTGCACAATCTCGTCCCGTAAAAATTTCCACGCGTCGAGAGGAGTCAAGGAAGAACTTATTTACCGGGTCGGACAGAAAAAAGAACCGTGAGAATGGATGCCGAAAGTATGCCACCCTCCTTCGTACTGAATTGGCGTCAAAGCTACCCCCGCAAATAGCCGAAAGTAATTTATTCATTTTGTCGTTATCCAGAAGCATCTATTGACGGTTCAACGCCGGCCGCAAGCAACCCTGAGTTACAACATGGGAATGAGGATAATTTATCATATCATGGCGACATGGATGTCGAGAAAGGAGTTGCGACAGCAACAGAGCTACAGAAAGAATCATTTCAAGACCCTAATATCGTCGACTGGGATGGTCCCAATGACCCAGAAAACCCTCTGAACTGGACAAAAAGGAAGAAGGTCAACGCGACAGTCTCGATCGCCTTGATCACCCTCCTGACGTATGCAATCCCACTTACGCTTCGCTCATACACCACTACTAACCTTGCATTCATCCAACAGACCTCTAGGCTCGTCAATGTTTGCCCCTGGAATTGGGGAATTGGCCGTCAAATTTCACCTGACAAGCACAGCGATCGAATCTTTCGTGGTCTCCGTTTATCTCCTTGGATACTGCTTTGGACCTCTCCTCATTGCCCCACTGTCAGAAATGTACGGTCGACGGATCATGTACAATGCCTGTAATATCCTCTATGTGATTTTCACCATCGCATGCGCAGTCGCTCCCGAAATCGGCAGCTTGATTGTTTTTCGTTTTTTTGCAGGCTTTGCGGGAAGCTGTCCCTTGACGATCGGCGCTGGTTCGATTGCGGATATGTTTGTGCAAGAAAGTAGAGGAAGTGCATTGGCTGCTTGGGCTATCGGTCCGTTGATTGGACCAGTCATTGGCCCTATTGGTATGTTTCTCGATGTATTTCGGATGTGCTTGGATGTCTGTGCTAACTACTGGTAGCGGGTGGATTTCTCACACAAGCAAAAGGCTGGCGGTGGACATTCTGGGTTCTTGCTATGGCTGTACGTAAAGCATGCGCGAATAAAAATGCGGTCCTTACTAACGGGGAGCAGAGCGGAGCTGTGAGCATCTGTTCTATGCTTACCATTCGAGAATCATACCCGCCCACGCTCTTGGCTTGGAAAACAAAGAGGCTACAGAAGGAGACCGGGAACCCTAACTTACGATCCAAGCTCGACTCCGGTATGAGTCCGAAGCATTTATTCCTCCACACGATTGTTCGACCCACCAAAATGCTTTTTCTTTCGCCAATTGTCCTCCTCTTGTCCATCTACGTCGCTCTTGTCTACGGATACCTTTATCTGCTATTTACAACAATAAGTTCAGTCTTTGAGGGCCAATACGGTTTTACTCAGGGCACAGTGGGACTCTCGTACCTCGGCATTGGAATTGGCTCAGTCATTGGTCTAGGAGTACTAGGCGCAACTTCCGACCGTTTACTCAAATATCTCACAAACAAGAACGGGGGAGCTTCAAAGCCCGAATATCGTTTGCCGCCTATGATACCTGGGTCCTTGTTTGTTCCAGTCTCATTGTTCATTTACGGATGGACGGCTTATTATAAAGTTCACTGGATAGTACCCATAATCGGCACATCATTTCTCGGAGTCGGAATGCTAATGGCATTCGTAAGTTTAAGATGCCAATGCCTATTGAAGAATCTTACTGATGATAGTTGCAGATGACCGTCAGTACATATCTTGTCGACGCGTTCACGATTTATGCCGCCTCTGCCATGGCAGCGAACACTGTTCTGCGGTCCCTAGTCGGGGCTTTGCTGCCGCTCGCCGGGCCAGCTATGTACGAGAGTCTGGGACTTGGCTGGGGTAACTCATTGCTCGGCTTCATTGCTTTAGCAATGTGTCCACTACCCGTCATATTCTATGTATACGGCGAACGCATCAGAACGAGCAAGATGTTCAGAGTTGAGTTTTAGATCAGTCATCCTGGAAATGGCTTTTGTATACTTTTCGCTCGGAGTTCAAGCACATTTGCACATCTTTGGGTTTCCCTTTTATCTCATATCCTGCTTCTAGATTCTTGATCATCCTATCATATTCAGTTGCATCCAGTTGGCGTTTGTCTTTGCGTTTTATCACTGGACTTCACGTTCTATCCAAGATTAGGCTCGGTATCTTAGCCATTTTCTACCCTCTTTGAATTTACTATCACGAACGCTCAGCCGGTATGCTCAATAGTTGAGCTTTTATTAGCCACTGCACAAAAGTAAGAAATTCCGACCCTATAGCTTGACTTGAATTAAGGTTCATTGAAGTCCATGGATAATACTCCCCACAAGTATAACGGCTACTAGAAGATAGATCATGATATTTACTCCTCAAATGGCGGAAACTGGCTCATAACGAAATCAGCCTTCTCCAACTCCCCTTCCAAAACCCGTCGTCTCTCCTCGTCACGAACAATAATCCCACACTGAAAAGCCTTCGGCCGAATATTGAACCCCTGCGTATACGCAAAAGAGTCATAAACCCGCTCAGACCCATCATGCTCCCTCTCCGGCTCAAATTGAAACACCCATAAAAGGCGGACCAGCGCAATAAACAATGAGTTATGTGCCAACCCCGCCCCAGGGCATATACGCCGCCCCCAACCAAAAGAACTATGACCCTCCTTTGCAGGATGAATTTTCTCCGGCGAAAGCTCAGCAAGATCTTCATCTGAAAACGCTGGTACATATGGAAGTTGACTCGAATCACAGCTCAGGAATCGTAGCGGATTGAAGCGGTGTGGGTTGGGATAGTAGCTTGTATTGAGATTTATGGCCCAACTGTTAGAAAGAATCGTTGTGCCTTTGGGAATGAAGTAGCCGTTGTATGTATCCGACACGGAATTTGCGTGCGGTGTCCCACCAAGCACGGCGACGGGCCGGATACGAAGCGTTTCTTGACATAGGGCCTTGATGTAGGGAAGATTATCTTCATCGGTGAATGCTGGGAGACGTGTTGAGCCGATGACGTGGTCTAGTTCTGCGTGGGCTATTGCCTGGATTTGTGGATTGATGACCAGCATCAGTATTGCAGTACACAGCGTGCTTGCTGTAGTGTCGCTCCCTGCACCGAAGAGGGAAGCAGGTACGAAGGAGAAATCTCTTTCGCTGATGATTCCGAAAGAAGTCGGATCTGCGGCTCGTGCTTGAAGGAGCAATTTTGAAAGTGAATTTGGGATGTCAGAGGATAATTTTGCAGTGCTGAGTTCGTCTTTGACTTGGTTCAGCAGGTTCATATTCACGGCAGCTTCTTCTCGTCCTCGTCGTTGGATCTCTGCTTTCCAGGGCGTGAAGATATTTGGTATGTACTTGAGCCAGGGCATTGTTTCGACTAGATAGCGACCGGGGACATTGAGTGATGCGGAGTATTGCATGAACTCTAGCCTTTGGCGAATCATTTTTGAGGTCATGGAGTCGATTCTGTGGCCGTATGCGATGCTGAATACCACACTTGCGGTGAACCGGTCGATGAGACCTTCGTAGTCTTCTGGTCTGTTGAGAAGGGAACCACATAGTCTTGCGGCCTCGGCCTCCTGGACTGGCTTGTATAATCTTAGTGCAGATGAATTGAGTGCCTGGTGCAGCATTCTTCGACGAACTTGCCATTCCTTCCCGTAGGGCTGGACTAAGATCCCGGCGTTGTCCCAGTACAGTTCGCCCATCACTACGAAGCGTGGGCGGGAGCTGAATTTTGTACTGCGCTTCTCGAGTAGATCCACGGCGATGTTGGGGTCAGATATAATGATTGTAGGGCGCCGACCGATCCAGAGAGTAAAGATGGGGCCGTATTTGTGAGACCATTTCTCAAACTGGATCCATGGTGAGGAGCTTGGAATTATGAACTTGTTGCCGAGGAATGGAATTGGGGTTGGACCTGGTGGAAGACGAAGCCAGAGGAAAAAGTCATGGATGAGAATGTATATTATGAGGAAGATGATAGCGACGAAAGCTAGGAAACATGGCTTCGAGGTCAGGGACCCTGAGCTCGGCTGCCACGCGAGATTTCCGAACGTTGGAAACCCCATGTCTGAATAGTTTTCTAGTTTTGACTGGAGTCCTTACCCCCCAGTTTACTTATTACCACGACAGAGATCTCTAGTGGAAGCGGGAGGAGCCCCACATGGGAGTTTGCGGGGAAACTAGTGGTCTCCACCTAGCACAGTTGTGAGCTCCAGCACGCGTTTTTATCTTTGTATTCAGGCTACATGAGGAACACTTCATTTTGGTGAAAGCTCCCGCACTATTAAGATACTGTCAGAGTCTGCCTGCAGTCAGGTGACCTGGAGGCTCAGTAGATAGATGGCGCTTCTTCCTCTTCTTTTTCTTCTCTTCATACCACCACAATACCATATTGTTCTGTCTGTTCGTTCTTTCTTGTAGCAGACTGTGCTTATTTTTTCTCCTCTGATCCTCGACCAGCGTGTGATGATGACAGATACTTGATAGCATTACCTCACTTAGTAGTGCCTGCCAGAGTTCGGCCAAGACCTCGTTCCAGGCTTTCTGTGAGCCAAACAGTGTATAGACAATTCTCTCCTGCTTAAGATCGGAAGGCACCTGTGTAGTCCATATTTGCAACAGAAATTCTGCAAGTATTCAGAAGCCTGAAACTCTGGTCAAAACGGATTTGAGAATTCCAGACTGCTAGTGGCTGACAACTAACCCATTCCGAAACTAGCACGGGGTGATCTTCTTCCTTCAAAAGGCTCGGCGCTTTGATCTCTGGGCATTTCTTTCTTGTGCCGAAGTCTAACGGCACGCATTTCGTATCTCTAACCATTGGAATGGTTGCTGACTCGCGCTACCCATCGCACGAAGTCTTCAAAACAACTGAGTCCCCGGTGAAAGCCACAATGCAAACTCCACACGTGTGAAAGTCAAAAACGAGCGGGTCTTGCCGATCCCGTGGACCCTTGGTTTAAATGTGTTGAAAGGGTATAAGCCCCCACACAAGTCAAAGCAATAAAGCTGAACCTTGCTAGTAATTGGTCTGGACAGAGATGCGTGGCACAAGTCATAAATTGAAGGGATATGGTAAGATTAACTCAATGGAGCGCTCGGTCGAGTAATAAGTTCTGCCCCCACCAACCGCGCCACCCAATGTTCAATGTTCCCCTGCAGGCTATACTTTCGGCCGCTAGCGCGCCGCAATTTCACTATATTTTAGGGGCATCCCTCCTTCCCTTCGATCCAATTCTCACCTCTCAACCAATGGCACTCCTCAAACTCGCCAACGAACTTCTCGGAATCATCGGAAGTTACATCGACTCTCAAATTTCCCTCTATGCTCTAGTCCGCACGTGCCGACGACTGCATACGCTATTCATACGGCCCCTGCACCGCCTCAACATTACGCGCCATAATTTCTCGGCGCTCTGCTATTTATCCGAGCATGGTCAAGAAAAGATTATCCGCCGATTTCTGGCCGAAGATGCCTATCTCCCACCCCAAGTACAACGCCAGTGGCGGTTTCTCATTGGATCAGTCAGCACCAGAATACTTCACCCTCTAAGTGGAGCCGCCAAGAATGGACATGAGGCAGTAATCAAACTTTTACTCTTCGAGCTCGGGGCGAGTCCCAACATTCGGGACGCATACATGTCCTTTCCACTCAATTGGGCCGCGGAGAATGGCCATCTCGGGGTGGCAGAGCTGTTAGTTGAGTCTGGTGGGGCAGATGTATGCGCACCGGGTAGGCAGCGGCGAAATCCCTTGGCTTCCGCTGGAATCTACGGTCATGTACCCGTGATGCAGTATCTATTCTCTATGATAGTTACTCAGGGGAAGAATGATCCTATACAAGAGGCTATCAATGCTCTAATACATATGATCCCCAGCTCATGGCCTGATAATATAGAAGCATCACTGTTTTTGGTAGACGCAGTACAAGATGTTAACATCTACATGCCGGTGCAAACCCCATTATCCCTAGCGGCCCAGCATGGCCGGGTCGATCTGGTCGAGGCGCTACTTGACCGAGGGGCGGATATAGAAAAGCGAGCTCGTGAACAGGGCCGCACACCGCTCATATCGGCTGCGATGTATCGGCAGGTGGAGGTGATCTGGGTATTACTTGCGGCGGGGGCGAACCCCAATATCGTTGATGGGATGGGAAGTACACCACTTCACTATGCGGCGGAGGCTGGGATGGATACTGCAGTAAGGCTTCTGCTGGCTAAGAACGCGGATGCGAGTTTCAAAGATGGAAAAACTGGCCGGACACCCAGAGAATGGGCATTGGAGAAAGGACATCAAGATGTGGCTGCTTTGCTACTGTCTTCATTACGGAATGAGTAAACCGAACGAGTGAAATCAAATGTGACTTTACTATATAATGTACAACATACGATCACAACCTAGTCACAAAAATGCTACTTTCATCAAGAACATCAGCATCCGCGACAACGACCCCATTAATCACCAAATCATAAACGATCGCTCCCTCCGTGTCATATACTCTTCCAACACTATCCTCCGCAACGCAGCCCTCAAAACTGACATTGTCAAATCCCACAAAGTCAACGGCATTACCCTCCGTCGAGAAATCCTCCACAATCCATTCTGCGCTACGTCCAACTAATGTCGCTGTACTCTTTGGAGCATAACGACCTGCGTGGCACTCTCCCCCGTCGTCAAATTCTTGACCACGCAAATTGCCTTGCTCGTTGAAGTCTCATTCACACTCGCAACAATCACATCCCCGGGGCTGACCAACAATTCATCATAATCCAAACTGGAATTTGGGTACCACTCATACCAAACATCAACCCAGGACTCGCCGTTGAGCACGTAGAAGTCGACTCCTGTTTGAAGAATGGCGGTCGTGTAATTCGAGCCGTCAATACCAACCCAGGCGGAGGCAGCTTGGTACTGCGCATTCCCAGTGGCTAGAGCAGTTGGCGTAGGCACAGTGATTGTTGCGGATGCGTAGGTGTACATCGCACCACTGGGCGGGGCATCGAGAATAGCCCCGGCTCAGTCCGAGCTGTATGAGCCATGAATGTTTTCTTGGGGACTTTTGTTATTGGCTAGAGCCCCGTGGTCGCTTCTGGGGCTGGATCCCTGATAAGATTCCAGGGGCCGTCCGGTGCGGCGCAATGTGCGGCGAACAAGGCCGTTATTTTTTGGGCCAATTGCTAGCGCAGTTGCTATCTGCAGAGCAAACGTGCACAGGAAGGCGAGCCGTGTCATTGGAGCTAAAGTCAAATGGAAATGAGGGTTGCAGTGGAACTTCCGACGAGAGCAGATAATGGGACTAGCGTGAGGACACAATATATGCACGTTTTGGTTGGGCGTAGTTGAGTCCATTTATGCGTTTACCAAGACTTTGCTTCAGACACATATTACACGTGCCATAGTTGCAGTATGCTGCATGGACTAGCTGTGCTTTGCTTGGCATACAGTACACGGAATCCCTCCGGTTAGCGTTCTTTGAGGCTACGGCCGGTATCGGCATCGCTTTCAGGTGAGCAATTATACAGAGGGTTAACTCAACCTCGGAAGTCAGCGTAGGACCTGCATTAGTGCTAAAAAGAAAACAATATAACGATTGATTGTATGCAATCTTTGCCGACAATCTCCGTAGGAATGTTATCATAAATATCGGGTAGATGTTCATCAAGTGCTGGAATCATAATCCGCTCGGCTTTTATTCTCTTTAGAAACATAATGCTGGCTTCAAATCTTCTGCTACAGGCTCTGATCGCGGGCGTGACTAGCTCTGCTGTTGTGAAGCGGTGGACGAACGGGGGGAACAGCCACGGGCACAACCGATCCCAATGTTGCTGCTGGATGCGATTATTGGGCAAACAACATTGCATCTAGTGATACCTGTGCTTCCGTGGAGAGTTACTTTGGCATCACTGTAGCTCAGCTAGTGTCATGAGTAGGTGTCCCGGTTCAAAGCCCGTTGTTTCAAAGGTCACTATTGACCGTGGTACGATAGAACCCCTCCCTGTCGAGCACCGACTGCACGCTCGTTGTCGGCTACTCGTACTGCGTCGAGGCTCCTGCTGTTGCCACCACTACGAAAACAACTTCCAAGACCACAACCTCCACTACTACGTCAACCACAAAGACAACAATTGCCGTCACCGCCACTACTGCATCTAATACCCCACAACAAACAGGCATCATTCCACCTGTAATAAATACTATGACGTGGCCGAAGGCGACACATGTGCGACTATCGCCAATGCCAACAGCATCACATTAGCCAACTTCTACCTCTGGAATCCAGCTGTCGATTCTTGTTCCTCCCTCTGGCTGGGCTACTATGTCTGCGTTGGTGTATCTGGTACGCAGCCTCTCAGCTTCTTCATTTCCCCTCGCCCGTCGTGGATACTGACAATGCTGAATAGGAACCACAACTTTGACAACCACAACAAGCACCAAGACTACTATAACCACAACAGCAACGACCGCAACCACGACAGGACCCTCCCCGACCCAAACAGGCATCACCTCTGACTGCACGGCCTACTACCAGGCCAAGTCTGGCGATACCTGCGCCGCGATCGTGACCGGCTACTACTCATACCTAACCGTAGCCCAGTTTGAAGCGTTTAATCCTGCTGTCGGGCTGTCATGCACGAACCTTCTCGCAGGCTACTACTACTGCGTGGCTACTTCGACCGTAGAGCCGGAGCCGGGGGTTATTAGCACCTGCAAGGCTTACCATCTGGTTGTTAGTGGTGACTCGTGCTATTCAATTGAGCAGCAGTACGGTATTACTGCTGCCCACTTTGTCGCATGGAATAGTGGAATTGGAAGCAGTTGTTCTTCTCTCTGGGCTGGGTATTATGTTTGTGTGGGTGTTTAATATTAGGGCTCATTATTGGACTGGGTCTGAGAGTTTGAGCTCTAGACGGCTCTGTATATGAGAAGATAATGATTTTTGATAAGATTATCCTGACTTGAAGCTTTCTCCACCTTCTTTGCCCCTGATAATAAGATTGACGCTTTTTTCTTGGTGAACTGGGATCCTCCAGAACATGAGTGGAGTGCCGTCCAATTATCGTTAACGCACTACCCATCATAGGATAGATGGCCCTGTGGGGACTCTCTCTTTTGGGTTTGATCTATGTTGAGTTGAATAAATGAGGGGTACTCACTGAGTATTACTAAGGAATCACTGAGCACGCACCGAGCACGCACTGATTATGCCTGAGTAGTCCTGGAGCACTGAGCGTGCCATTTATTAGTTATATAACACGTGACGATACTGAGCGTGGTCACCAAGTGTAAACCCGTGCTCACGTTTACTCAGTGAGCCTGAGCCTGAGCCTGAGCGCCCTTATAAAAGCGGCGGTAGCCCAGTTAGGAAGGCCCCACCCGTTAGACATTATCCTGTCTATATAGGTGCATATATGTAGAATGCCACCACCATGTCGAGAAAACGGCCACCTGAAATCTTGAAACCATTCATGGGTATCGGAACGTGAAAAACCCTTGCACTATATGTGTAAGAAGGTACTAGTACTTGCCAATTCATATTATGATTTTACAAATGCTGGCGTTTCCCGTGGATCACGTGAAATCTTATTGGTTCGGCAGCTGTTAGATTCGGGGCGATCACCGACGATAATGCAGCATAATAGCCCGGAGCTAACCGTAGCCCAGTTAAACCATCTGTCAAAAATCAAACCTAGAAACGAAAGATAATCGATGGTTTCTTTCATTCAAATTTATGGACCATTCTGATGAGACGACCCATTTTTGGTCCGCGGAATCCGGCACCAGTGATCCACCAAGGGCCCAAAGGGCGCAATTACATAATCTCGCTCGTCACTTTAGCCACCCAATGGCAGCGCGTCAGATGCAGATCCCCCCCACGACCGAGGTCAAGAATATCAGATTGATTCACCCCCTGGCAGAAGGGCAATGAGGGTATTCGCTGTCTGGTCTAGTGCCGAACTCTCATATCTGCGCGTTGAGGGGTGAAAGGGGCCTGCAATGCCATTGCGCCGCAGCCACACCAAGTCCCGAAAGGGCTGCCTTGAGTGCAAAAGGAGACATGTCAAGGTATGCAAACTTTGCCTAGTCCCTTCAAATAATCGTAATATGAGAAAGCGTTACTGCCCGGTGGTGTATGCAATTGTTATGCAGTCCGCACGCCCTGTTGACGTGTCTCCGATCATAAACGCGACAATCTGACAAGACCACAGTGCGATGAAGAATTGCCTAAGTGCACCTTGTGCAAGAAGCGCAAGTTGGAATGCACCTATCCACCTGATGCTGATAGTCCGCACTCGCCTAGTGTGAGAGATGGTTCTGATAGTGGACCGCGGACTCCAGGTGGCGATTTGCCATTTCCCACCCGCATGTTGGAGATGCGACTCTTCCACCAGTATTTGACATCGACCTATTTGACATTATCTCAAGACGGATTGTCCGCTTATCATCTATATATCACCATCCCACAAATGGCTACTTCTTACCCTTATCTCTTGGATAGTATTCTGGCGCTGTCTGCGCTGCACTTGGCAGCCATTGAAACCGATAACCGTCAAATGTGGCTGGAAGCCGCAATGCGGTACCAAAGCCAAACTTGTGCCGGACTGGGAAAATCTCTTCCCGAGATCACAGACCAGCAGTATGAGCCGGCTTTTGTGGCTTCTGTGTTCATCATTCTATACGCCCAGGGGTTTCCCGTGATTTCAAGCGATACACACTCTGCGGATGCATTCTCAAGAGTAATGGAAGTCCGCACATTGATCTCAGGAAGCGCTATGTTTTTCACAAGACTCACCGAACTCGGGATCGAAGGTCAGCTCGACGGGTGGCTGTGCCCGCCTGATGCGGAGGAGACTTTAGAACCACCACAAACCAGGTAAGAAGAGACCCCTGATTTATGATTAGCTATAGTATAACCCGGAATGCTAAAACTTGTCTAGCGACGTAAAATATGAAGACCGCGAACAATTATTCGACCTACACAAGTGAGTCACAAGCCCCCCTATGGCAGGAACAACTTGCTGAAAACACCAGGAAAATAATGCAATCCCTCAATCAACTGGGATCTATCATCGAAACACACGTATCTCGTAACCAAGCATTATACACCGCTACATTGCAAATCCTGAAACATGCCATTGAGCCGTGGCCCAAGATTGGCGCACACGGTGGAGTCATTGCATGGCCCCTTTTCATCGACGAAGAGTTCGTTACATTAGTCCAAGACGGAGACTGGTCTGCCCGTATCTTGTTCTTACATTATGCTACTGCTATGCGCCTTCTATGCAATCGGTGGTATGTCAGGGATTGGGGTCGACGGCTTGTACTTTCGACTATACAACCGCTAGAAGAGATCCCGCCGGTGTGGCACGATACTATTTCATGGATGATGCAGGGCATTGAGGTCGATCATGGGCCATTGGCACACAGAAGTGTCAAATCAGAATAATGAATCATATTTCGAGAGAATTGACCCGTCGTAATGGAAATTCAAGAGGGTAGATCGCTCGACTTGGTAATTTTACTTGGATAGTGTCCAACTTGTGTCTTCTAAGATCCCATTCGAGGTGACCGATACGATTCATCGAAGCCGAGTGGCATCCTAGTCTTTGGCCATTTCGAAGTGAAATTGCAAGGACAATTTGAACCTGCCGGCAGACTCGCTAGGCCGTGGGTGCCTTTTGTATGTAAAAGTATCCTTTCTTAATAATAAATAAACGGACAAGGGTATTTCTTGGCTTTTCTTATTTTTGCCTCCAGAAGTTAAGTTCTGTCCGCATCGCTATCCCCCTCTGTCCCCCATTCACTTTCGCTTTCTCCTTCCGAGTTCCCATCTATGGATGCCTTCATACTCAAATTACTCTCCCATGACCTACTTGACCACATAGGCCTTTAGTGTTGTCTCTTTTCCTAGTACACAAACTTTGTCCCCCTTCACCTATTTCTTGGGTAATCTAGATAAGCGAGAATTAAGCTTCTGCCCCGCACATCCCCAAGAGAAAGAGCTACAGGTTTTTACTTCTTCTTGTCTGTTTAACATATCGGGGTTCAGTGCCACGTGCTGACCAACATCGGTGGGCCTATATTGTGGGTCACCAGGTCCGTCCTGGACATGACCGTGTACACAGTAGGCTGGCCCCGGAAAACCTCGGATATGTAAACCCAAAATAGCGCGATAAGGAAGACAATGCTTTGGTATGCTGACAAACTCCAAACCAAACGGTCAGAATTAATAATTATTTAAGTTGAGGACCTAAAGCTTATTGGCGCAGTTATCAGCGGGGTTTCCCCCGGTATCTCACACGACATTAGGGTATCCACATGTACAATCAGTCAGTGGGCCCGGTCAAATCCCCATTTTATCTATCTTTATTGTGAGCCTGTCGGTGAGGACGTTTCTATTTTCTTCTCCGGTGTCAGAGGTTAGGTGTCTTAGGTGTCTTCTTATCCTCCATGTAGATTTTATCACACTCTCATTCCCTTCTTACCTTCCCACCCGCTTGCCTTCATATTGAACCATCTTGGTTCTTCCGTCTTTCCTTAAACTTGCGACATCTTTCACGTCAATTGCAGCTACACTAGTTGGTGATACTCCGACTGGGCTTTGTGAATTGTCTTGGGGGTTTCCGTTTCATTGGTGTCCTCTGCACCATGCGTCAAGGAATGATCGCCGAGGATGTGGAGAAGCAGGTAAGAACCTCGGCTCTATCCTTGTTCATCCGCCCTTGCAATTCTTGAGTCAGACGAAGTTCTCATACGGGTCTCTAGAAGCTTGCGCTGCTTTCGCAGAGCATTTTGATCTCCGATGAGGGCGTTCGTCAATCTTCGGAGCGGTCTGTTACTCGATGGGATACCATTTTGAACAGGTTGAAACAAAAACCAGGGCTTGTCGTGATACTATCTGTGGTATTACTGGTGCTATATTTGCCGACTCTCAATATATCGCCACTCGACTTCATCACACAGAATGGCCATTGCGATATGAGCTCGCATGAGAGCCTTGGGCCCGGAAAGCTGGGAGCTATTGCTACCGAAAGCGCGATTTGCTCGCGGCATGGAATAGAAATGTTTGAAATGGGTGGCAATGCTGCTGATGCGGTAAGTCATTCTGAAAGCGGCTCAATGCGACTGATATGATATTGAATTGCGTCTTTCGCGTTGGAAACCAAATGAGCATGAGTCGAAGCTAAGTGTGGCTTGTAGCTCGTTGCTGCCCAGTTCTGTGTAGGAGTTATTGGTACGTACCTAGGGGACCCTGGTGCTTGTCGCAATGTTGATTTGAAAACATAGGTATGTACCATAGTGGTATCAGTGGGGGCGGGTTCATGCTGGTGCGGGCACCGAATGGATCCTTTGAATTTGTCGACTTTCGAGAGACAGCGCCAGCCGCGGCGTTTGAAGAAATGTTTCGAAATAACACGAAAAGCTCGGTTTATGGGGGTTTGGCAAGGTACGACAAAGTTTTATTTTGAGTGAGACATGATATTGATAGCATAGCTTAGTGCCGTGCCCGGTGAAGTGCGTGGATTGGAGTATCTCCACAAACACTACGGCTCTCTTCCGTGGCGGACTGTCATGCAGCCAGCCATCAGGACCGCTCGTGACGGATTTCCGGTCAACGAGGACTTGATAAAATATATGAACGCGGCAGTGGGCACTGTTGGGGAGGACTTTCTGTCACATAATCCAACATGGGCTCTGGACTTTGCCCCCAATGGCACCCGCCTAGGCCTGGGGGAGATTATTACCCGGAGGCGATTTGCGGATACCCTTGAAGCTATTGCCGAGCGGGGTCCTGATGCCTTCTATTCGGGCCCAATTGCTGAAACCATGATCAATGCCGTTCAAGCTTCCAACGGAACAATGACATTGGAAGATCTAGCGAATTACGAAGTCATCATTCGAAACTCGTCTCAAATCGACTATCGCGGATATACCATCACTAGTGGAACGACGCCTTCTAGTGGCACTATTGCATTGAGTATGCTGAAAATTTTAGACGGATACAAAGATTTTTTCTCATCTGAGAAGACTGTGAACCTCAGTACTCATCGAATGAACGAGGCAATGCGATTCGGATATGGCCAGGTACGCTTCATTTACCTCTTCCCATAGAAATTTGCTGATAATTTCAAAAGAGAACGGAAATGGGAGATCCGCTGTTCGTTCCGGGGATGGCGGAATATGAAGAGGACATATTGAAACAGTCGACTGTTGATGGCATCCGAGGCAAGATCTCTGATACTCACACACTGGACGTGTCAGCATATGACCCTGCTGGCATTGAAATTCGGGATACGTAAGGACCTTGCAATCGATGACATGGTTGCGAAGTACAACTAACAGCTGTTAAGACCAGGGACTTCTCACCTTGCCGCAAGCGATCACTCCGGCCTTGCCATCTCTGTGATCAGCACGATCAACACGTACTTTGGCAGCCAAGTAATGGTTCCGGAGACGGGCATAATCATGAACAATGAGATGAACGGTAAGTCATTCGAGAACATATCCCCAAAAGCACGCCTTCTCATAGCCACGACCAGATTTCTCAATTCCCGGATCATCCAACTCATTCGGATATGTTCCCTCTGAGGCAAACTATATTCGCCCTGGCAAGCGACCTATGTCTTCCATCACACCGGCCATCGTCACTGGGCCCGACGGGAAGCTATTTCTAATCAGCGGGTCAGCTGGAGGTAGTCGTATTATCACCGCCACCGCCCAGATCATCATCAACGCAATTGACCACGGTCTGAATGCAGCTGAAGCCTTGGCCAAGCCTCGCTTGCATGACCAACTACTTCCTAATCAGGTCTGGTTTGAGTATACATTTGATAACTCTACTGTGGCCTTTATGGAAAGTAGAGGGCACAATATTACTTGGATGGCCCCTGGTTCAAGTACTGCACAACTCATTCACGTCCTGCCCAATGGAACATTTGATGCTGCTGGTGAACCACGTCAATTGAATTCAGCAGGCTATGCGATATAGAGTATATCTCAATGTAATTACGTTCACAGATAGTTTTGTTTCAAAATAAGGAATTAGATCGCGTGTCACTGTGTCAGCACGGATTATAGTTATTGATCGTCTAGTCCAGTTCGCGATAAGAGACCGATATAGAGATGGCCCGTGCGTTAATCGGAACGCGGAGTCCTTTTTTTCTTGTCAACGCCAGATTATGACCAAGAGTCTTGGGAATGGTTTGACTTGTTCTTTTTTCGCATACTGCATATCAGCGAGCTCGCATCATTCTTTAGAGCAAATTTCAGGTCTGTTTTCCTGTATTGCTTTTGTTATCCGTACATTTCTTTGTTGCACGCGCATTGAGGACCCGCGTTCGCGTGTTGAACAAAGAAGTTGATTGTGCTTGACGCTCTCAATACCCTGCAACAGAGCACTGGAACTCTGCAATCCCAGTAAGTAGTTGCGCATGCATCTATTCCAATACACCTAGACTGACATTCTCTTGGTGAACAGGACGATCTTGAACCTCCCTACACTCCACCAACCCATGCATCTCATGCACCCCCATATCGACCTTTCAACGACGGAGATCCAAGCTCTTGCGTGACGATTAAAATGGCATTGACTGATAACATCCAAGTCGTCCTTCCTCCACCCAGCGAAGAGTTCTCCAAATTCAAGCCCTTCCCTCCACTATTCGACGCCATCGTCGATGAGATCCTGTCTGAGGAGGCGAGCTTTGATGCCCTCGGAGATGAGGACTGGCCTATGAACAATGCCTGCCAGAGTGAGAAGTGTTCTACTTCAGTACCTGAGCACGTGGCCACTTCCGCCTCTGAGACGAAGAAGCATGCCTTGAAGTCACCCTACTTCCTCACCTCCCCGGCCACCTCCAACAACGCAGAAAAGTCCCCGACAACACGGCCTCGAACACGGGCAGCAACTCGAAGAAGCATCACAGTTGTTGATATGGCCAGCGAGGACGAAGAAGAATCTGTACCGACGATGGACAACCACCCGAATGCGAACGGTGATAAGGGTAGCGTGGTGGACGAGAACAGTACTGCTTCGAAGTCTGTTGAAGCCGAGAACGAAGCCGTTGAAGCTGAGAACGAAGCTGTTGAAACCGACAATGAAGTGCCTGTAAAACCCCTCAAGAATGACAATGGAGATATTGAACCAGACGATCTTGAAGATGAAGCTGAGGAGGATGTCATCTTTGCATCCGTGGGTCCAGTGAAGGGAGAGGAAATCATTCAATATGTCGTGACCCATGAGTTCTTTGAGACACCAGTCCAGCCTGTGTCACGCTCTGCGAGAGTCCAGTTTACTACTGACCTGCGAGAGACGGCTATCTCCGCAGGGATGCCCGACGCAGCGATCAGTGGTTTGCTCGAATACGTGCGCCGGATCTACTTGGATACTGTTGGCGCTCCAGCTGGGAGTCCGGGTAATCAGCACGAGACCACATTCGGTGAAGAAATCGACGACACGCTGAAAGAAGTTCCCTTGCTGAAAAAGACTCGCAAGAGGAGCCTAGACCAGACAGACGAATCCAGCTCCAAAAAACGCAAGACTGGCAAGAGACGCTCTTCCAAAGATTCAAGTGCCTCTGTCCAACCTGTAGTACAGGTCGAGGACAGCCAGGGTATCAACGGCGCCGATCCTCGAATTCATACTTCTTTGCAAGAGCTGCGCCAGGAAAGGATTGGTTTCACAGATGCTATGGACGGCCCTGATGAAATACCAGAATCGCCCACCCTCGCTGCAGAATTCCCCACAAAGACTAAAGAACAGATTCGCGCCGATCAAGAAATCATCGATCTCACCTGTGAGTCCGATCAAGAACAAACCAAATCAAATGGGGACAAATCCCAAGACAACGAGCCCCTACGGAGGATGAGTGTTGCGCTTGAGGAGAGTTTGATTATGAGTCCACCAGTTATTGCCGATAACGGCAATGCGCTTGATGAGTCTTCGCTGGATCTAAATGATCTAAATCCTCTTGATCAAATGAAAATTGAGCCGGAGACCGAGTCCGCACAAGGGGACAAGACGGAAAGACTACGGCAGGGCTCCGAAAAGAACAACACAAGGCTCTCCATTGTTAATCCTCAAACTAACCAGGACTCGGAAGCTCAGACGGATTTGCAGTCTGGAGATGTGCATTCCGAGACATCGAAACAAAATAAAAGGAAAACGATGAAGAACAAGCGCAAGAGAGAAAAGAAACGGAACAATAAAAAAGACAAAACATCAGATCTGGGTATCAATCCGGATGAACGAGTAGTCGCTCCTTCACGAGAGATTACATCGTCTCAAGCTCCAGTACCTTCGACACCGGCATCGCAACCAGCAGTATCCACTCCACAAAAGATCGACTCGGTTCAATTTCCTCTACCCTCAACACCGGCGTCAGACAGGCCAAGCAGCAGCAAGCCAGGATCCCACTATGGCCAATTATCGCCAGATCCGAAACAGTGGGAGTTGGATTTTTGATAACCCGTGATTCACCAGGGGTGACCCCCAGTGATGAGGTGACGTCCAGATATTTCCACACTGCCACTATCGACATTCCTTCACCTAGACCGGCAAGACGCGGCTTGTACAATACGACTATTCCCCCAGAAGCATACAAATGCCTTGAAGACTTTGATCTATCCCCTGACTGTTTGTTATCAGACTCATCCTTAAGTGATGTTCCCAGCGATCTCGACCTTGAAGATGGGATTTCTGTGTGCCCTCCAACCCCCGTGAAGAGTCCTCGGGGTGTATCCGCAGAATCCGCTGTCGCCCCTCAGACTCCTGTCAAGCAAATATCTTTTCTGCTCCCCAACGATCCGAAGCAATTACGATCAAAAGCACCCAAGATCTCTCCTTATTTCCCGAAGTTGCCAAGTGATCCACAATCTTGTCTTCCGTTTCCCCCTATGAATGCTACATCTTTCGGCCTTGTGCAGGAACAGCTAGCGCACGAGCCGTTCAAGTTACTTATTGCAACAATATTTCTCAACCGCACTCGAGGTGGTGTGGCTTTACCAGTTCTCTTCAAAGTCTTCGACCGCTACCCTACTATCGACTCCATGGCTGCTGCCCATGAATCGGAGCTTGTGTCTATGATTCGCTGCCTTGGGTTCCAAAACCAGCGTGCTAGGAAGTGCATCTCAATCGCGCAAACTTGGCAGATCAACCCTCCGGTTAAAAACAAACGCTATCGGAAGATGCACTATCCTAACAGACTGGATGGTCGGGACATTGGCCCCGATGAATGTGTTGACGATGAAGACCCACGTTCAGCATGGGAAGTTGCCCACTTATCCGGTGTTGGTGCTTACTCCCTGGACAGTTGGCGCATTTTCTGTCGTGACGAACTCCGAGGGATGGCTACAGACTGGGTCGGGACTGGAGCAACTACATCTGGATTTGTCCCTGAATGGAAATCGGTACTTCCCCAGGATAAAGAGTTACGTGCATATCTAACTTGGCTCTGGCTGAAGGAGGGTTGGGTGTGGGATCATCACACAGGTGATCTCACTGCAGCAAGTGACAAGACGCTACGAGCTGCACGAGCGGGTGGAGTGGCCCACGAAGAGGACGGAAATTGGGTACTGGAGACTTCGCCTGTGAAAGCAGCAAATGGATTGCACGAGTATTGACTGTGTTTGTTTGCTTTTAGTGTTGCTGTTTGAATGATACCCTGCACCATGTCCTTTCCCTAGTATCCGTCTATGTCCCATTTCTAGTAGCCATTGCCATTGATATTCGACTATTTTGAGTTACAAGGTTTTCGTTTCAGCCTTGATTTTAGGCTTCCATGCAGCACTAGACCTCCACGTCAATAAAGCGGGGCCTCATTTGTCGGTCTGCTCACCGCATTGGAATCTGGAACCTTCTCATTCCCCGATCATCGCCATGTTTGACTCCAACTTCATGCATTGTACCTGATGCTCAGGCTCTCTTTAATCCCAGCTTGTCATATTTCACTTTAATTGTATCTGTATCATCTTTTACCCCGTAACGGAATGCCGGGGTCCTTCCCGCAGGGCGATCGACGCAAGCGCTGAGCCACCCTTGACAACTCACTGCCCAACCTAGGCGCCAGGCGGAACATAACACAAACGCTACACCGTTGGAGAACCCGAATAGGAAGACTTTCCCCTCAGTGGCAGTATACTCCATTCTGACTCGACGGGTTGCGAAAGCACAGACGAGATAAACGGAGTCCGATGAACCTGCGGGCCCAAGGGTTCTGAAGGGATCCACATAGTGCGGCTGCGATTTCGCTGGAGTCATGTTTTTTCCAGTGAGACCCAACAGCACCGCCGATAGGACCGCAAAGTCCAAAGCCAAGCACTGGAAACAACGTCCCAAGCGTTCATCGCAGCTCTCCCAGGTACGGTCCTCCCGCACCTCAACCAAGGATCCCGAACCAGAACCAGTGGTTCAATCCACCATCTCCGCCTCGACTTCCCACAGTGAGCCCCCACGTCGCTCCTCGATGCCCGGCGTTGACACCGAGAGCCGGTCGGGCACGGCCTCTTTCCTCGAATCGAGATCCAGTCTACCGTATCCGAATTTCTCCAAGGCGCACAGCAAGGAAGATGTTCGCACAGCAAATATCCCTACGCCGGACCCGACCGACCTCACCGAACAGGAGGATGGGAAAGAGAATCGACCGAGTCACCACACAGAGAACCACCAAGCCCCTCCAAGTCCACCGCTAACAGGACTGGACCAACCTTCTTCTCGAAGAGGTACACCCGTCGAAGAGGAGGAAAAAGACAATAGCCCAGAGAAGCCCAAGAAGAAAGCAAGCATCAAGATCCGGACGGAGGTGAATCGCTCGTCGTCCAGCCTGAAGTCTAAAAAGGATGATGGAAGCAAGTCTAGCAGAACAGTGCGCGCTGAAACACCCAAGTCCAGGTCATCTAGGACTGAGAAAGAGAAGGAGAAGGAATCATCACCCCGCGCCACCCACAAGCCTTCCAAGACCAAGATCTCCTCCGAAGAGAAGAAGCTCCCAAAACGATCTAGCCGCTCTACGATGTCGCCTTCGCAATCAAATTTAACGGCTCGTGATGTAGGAGCCGAATCTCTGAATGGATCTGATGCCACCTCTATCGCCCCGAACCAGCAGTATATCCCTACACGAAAACCCTCCCCGCCAATCGTCAAGCCTCCGTCGCGCACCCAAAACCGGTCGGCATTTTCTCATCGTCATACTCCTAGCGATGATTCTCTCGAATACGGTCGAAATGTCCCACCCGGCCCATCATTTGGGGCACCGCCGCCTCCACCTCCCCCGCCTGCCGTTCCGTTGACTATCCCGAGGGTTGACTACTTGCTGCAACATGGTGGTCTTAAGAACAGAGTATCGCGTACACTGCTCCCCGTGCCCAGCTCATCCGATCCTTTCGCCCAGTCCAATACCCATCCTCATCAAGCTGCCGCCAAGTTCTTTGATCCATTCAACAGCCTTCTTGATGATTACCAAAAAGTGATGAGCAAAAACGGATCTATCGCTGTGGCGACTGGGTATCGCTCTGTTGCGCGACGGCTATTAGACCGTCTAGAGGCAGTGTTCGCGCGTGATATCTCCTCGGAGCCTTGTAGTTGTCTCATGTGTGAACGAAGTGAAGAGGAGGAACGCCCATCTGGAGTAAGCTGGGGAGAAGTTTTGGAGCTAGTTTCTGGTCGTCGCGAACTTCCTATGTGGCCACCATTTGTTATGGCTCCAACCGTTGACACTGGCTTAGCTGGGGAGGAGCATATTCCCATGCAAAAGCTAGATGTTGATGTACCAGAGGAGTACCGCGAACATTTCATTCGGCAATCCCGCAAAACAAAGGTTGCCGTGGACAAATGGCTTTCCGAACAAAATGATACACCTAGTAGTGCTCCTGGAGAGGTGGATGATGAGACTCTTACTTTCGCCATGTTGACTTATCTCGAACCACACCAACGCTCCTTGTTTTGCGCTCTTCTTGGCATCAACTCTTCGACCCCGGTCCCTCGATCCGATGATGAAAAGGTCCGACCCAAGCCCTCTGCACTTGTTTCCTCGTCTCTAGCAATTCAGCGACTCTATCGCCTACCGACACTTCCTCGCGACCCAGAAGCAGCCATGTTCATGCTCAACAACCCTGGCTTGCACCACGTCCTAGCCACCCTATCCGCCATTAGCGATGACGAGTGGGAGATTCTTATCTCTGGTCGCTTCGACGGCTTCCTTCGCAGTGGTGCCGAGGACACATCACAGTCTAATCCTCGCTATAGCGGCAGCCGTTCCAACACTCCCTTCAGCGCCGGAGGAATTTCCCGCGGTCCAACCCCCAACTATATGGACGGTAGCTTCCGCCCCGGCAGCCAACCCAATGGAGCTCCAACATCCCCCGCGCACGGAGGGCCTATCGCACTAGACGAAGAGACCGAAATCGCCGCTTTGGCAGAAATTGAACGCGACATCTTCCTCGGCATGGAAGCACTCGAAGACGCTTTCGAAACCCTGCACCTCAAAGCCGAAGTCGTCCGTCGTGCACTCCGAGAACGTGGAGCAGGCCTCTCCGTCGCCAGCCAGGGCCGACGCGGCTCATTCGTGGAAGCCCGTCTAGGCACACCAGCTTCCGCTATCGGCGGCTGGGACAGCGGCGAGGAAGACTTCCTCAACGACGATGACCGCTCTCTAGCCCCAGATGACTCGGCTAGTAACATCAGCTCTAACCGGCGTCGTCGACCCAAGCGACGGACTGAGCGCCGTACCCCCGCTCCCGTCGAAGAAGAAGACGAGGAAGATTCTCAGGTCGGTCGTCGTGAGCGAAACACTAGACGCCGGTAATTCTGCTCTTTACTCCGAGCTTGAGCGGTTCAAATTAGCGGGAGGACTTTATGGATTTCATACGAGATCGTTATATTATTGCATCGGGTGCGCTTGATTGATGAACTGATGATACCCAACTCCATCTCCCTCACTTTCCATTTCTTCCTACGTTCCAATGCTATTTTTCCAACTATTGATGGAATTTGTCAGCCATTTGGTTCATGTTGTCTGTTTTTGCTCTTTATGATTGATGATTGCCATGAGCCGTACTTTGTATTTGACTGTTTACACTTAGCTATTAAAATCCACAACATGTTGACACCCTTGACTCTTGACTGAACCTAGAAGGCACAATACAATGGCCTCGATGCCATCGAGGTGGTCTTTGGCCTGTCCCACATCAGAGAAGTGACGCTGGAACCTTCCAAGCATCCGCGGCCTGAAGTCTGGAGAACCATACAGGATACCCCTATTCCACAAAATCATTTATATCAACCCCTATACTGCGACCTCGGGACCTTGGAAGCCAGCATCTGCCGAAATGATATCTGAAAGTATATCCCGAGATAAAGAATGCACCGCATCTAAACTATTGACAAACCAAAATCATGCTCAGGTGGCGTAATAATGACCAGCCGGCCGAGAACTACCTTTTTTGGGTTCTTCAAATTCTATATTGCCAATCGTAATGACCGCAATATACCGACAGCAGGTCCATGCGCCATGTGCCGAAAGCGCGTTGCCAGACAAGCCGCTTATGCCAACGCTTATGCATTAAAACCTAAATTGGAGAACCTTGCTCAATATTGGCAGATGTGCAGAAAGTAGATCTTGATCGGCAAACCGAAATCTTGGAAATAGGGGAGCTTGGACCTGTGCCGAAAAATGGTCTTGTCTATCAATGAGAATATGGCGTGATTATCTAGAACTTTGATGATGAGAAGATCTGCATCTATAGATGTGGAGTGGTCATCAAGGATAGGAGGTGGACAAGATCCCCAGGTTGAGATGTCAGAGGTGAATTGGAGGTTGCATGTTATGTATTCGCTACACAATGTACACCCTTAGAATGGCCTCATAGATGAAAACCGACTAAGCGACCGCGAAGCTAAGTCTACGGAGTACTGTGGCTTCGATTATAAATTACCATCGCGGGCCGTGGACGAAAATTTTGAATAAATTATTCGCCGACATTGGCATTACTTATCTGATCCCCAGGGGTTTTGCAGATCAATTAGGCGTATTAGAAATTATTCAATGTCATGCAGGACCTTCGAGACACCCCGAATTTTGGGAGATGTTCTCCCCTCGAATAGCCATGCTGCCCGCCATGAGGCTGCACTAATAGACAATAGTGTCATTTAAGCTGATTGGCAAATTAAAGTTCTCTGGCTCCATGAGGGCCTCACATGCAGTAACCTTGGAACCGAAAAATTCGGGTCGTGCCAGGAATGACCAGTCTCCGGATTCAGTTAATGGTTGTTCCTGACACGCATGGTGGCTATTGCTTGTCTTGTACTCCATATGCCAGTATTAATCAAATTCCAGTACCAGGGTTAAGGAACTTCCCAATCCAGAATATAGGCAGATGCCCTCTTCAAACACTAAAATTATGCGTCCTTGCTTAGGGAAGGCTACCGAGGTAGTTTGAGTACCTTATCAATCAATGGCATTCAGCATTATTGAGCCATGCTGAATACCACGCACAGTTTACAGAACAGGCTCAAAAAGGGCTAGGTTAAGATTTTAATAGCGCGCCTAGACTACACTTAGGCTATATCAGTGAAAAATCGGACATGAATGCGACATCCGCCAATAGGAATTGCAAATTACATCCCAACGCTAAAAACAAGCTAATGTTACTGATGTCGTTTTTCAGTAAAAGGGCCGACGAGATGGACGATCAGCGGGGCTAGCGGGGGTAACTAACGGGATCAGGCAGGTGAAGGAGATCAAGGGTTTGCCCTGTGAGTTTGGATAATATGAAGCTGAAGAATGAACCATGGAATTGCAGAATTGTATTCATGGGTGTCAACATGCAAACCATGGGCCTTGTTTGTTGTGAAGACAAACTCGTGTTTTGACTTTTTACTCTGAGAATCGATTGACGTCTGTCATGTTGAAAAATATCGCATTTCACCGCCTTCCACAATGTGTCGCAGGTAAAATGACGGCGTACGCAATGCTCGGGATTCAGCTCCCTCAAGATATATGAATGCTTTGAAGGCAATTGCAATCTCCACGATCGCTGCTAGCGGGACGGTCCCAGCGTATAACCATCCTTTGATCACCTTGTTGATCCAATCCACGTTGTGATCCACTAAGCGCGCTAGTAGCTCTTCAATGCTACCGCGCATCATCACCTATTTGGGAGGACTATTTGCCCTTCTAGATCCTCGGCACATGGTTACCAGAATCCCCGAATTATCTTTTGCGGATCAGATCTGCACTGGCACATGGGGAGGAGTCCTGCAATAATCCCCGAGGAGATTTCCCGCGAGCCGTGCTGGTATGTATTGTTAATCGACGCCACATTGGCTGACACACGAGCATTTTAACCTTTGATGAAAACTCTGTACCAGATTAACTCCGTTCCGAAAAGAGAATACAGGGTAAAAGCCGGTATGGTGATGCAGCTCAAGCGCTTCAATATGTTCTGTGGGCTTGTTAGGCTCAGCAAAATTCACTTGGACCGGCTCTCATTGCCGGGCCCCATCGCATGGGGCAGCCGGTGTGATTAGCGTGGAGCTAAGCTTGTTCCGCGCCCCAATCAAACCATTGCCCAGATCAATATTACATACACGCTGCGAACTCTCCAACTGTGCGATCGACCAATTTTTGTCTGGATCTTTTCTTGGCAGACATGTGTCTCATTGTAAAGACTGTCTAGCGGGTCAAAACTGCGGGGTTTAATAAGCATCTACCAAACCCTGCTTCACTTGTTGGTCACTGATCTCAATTTCCTTGAGAACAATCTCATTATCCAATGTGGTCTTTCGGAACCTGCCCGAAACCTGCTTGAGTACGCGTTTCCCATTGACTCTAGCACCGCGTACACCGCTATTGATAAGGTCGATCTGCGACAACACCAATCAACCACAACCATGACTAGTCAGTCCACTTAGAGTCTTGAACTAGAAATATCAAGTGGGACCGGGTACTCCGTCCAGGGGGTTGGTATTATGTATTTGCGTGGCAAAACTCACCCGTGTCTTCCGCTAGCGTTCCAGAAGCCCGCCCCTGCATTAACATGACGGGGTTTAAACGTCAGCACGGCCCGTGAGTGGTCAGAGTACTAGAGCATTGTGGACGTTGTCCGCGCCGGTGCGGAGTCTAAGTTTGTGGCGTTCGGAGTAACATGCTTACCATGCCATGTTCATGTCAAAGACTTTCCCAAAAATGAGTAGATTCGCAGTTGTTCTTGCCTGTGCCCCTATTCGGTACTGATAATGGGGGATGACGCTCGGATGGTCTTAGTGGGTTCAGCCGCCTGGACCAAACTTTGACTTCATTCGATTCCTGGGACAAAATTCCCACTTCTCTCCACTTCGACCCCTGTTCAAAGAGGAGGCCTGAAGTGGATACCGCTTGGCAGTCCTGGACCATGCACCACTTTCGATGGAGTCTTTTGTCTCAATTCCTGGGTTAAACTCTTCTCTTCTGGGTCCTGCGGAAATGATGGGCAGGCCAAAGGTTGTTGTGGATTAGCATGACGGCAACAAACCCTTTTTGCAGTTGGGTCGCCCCGTCTTCACTTATTGAGTTTAGAGTTCGTTGTGCCCGGCATAGTGCATGTGTGGGTTTTTTCCATGTCGTTGGATCTGGGTCCTCCCGCGTTTAATTATTCCACTCTACGCTGCGATTTGCATCCTTTCTGGTCTTTCCTTTCGTCCGTCTGTCAGTTATTCGCCAGCCTGACATAACCGATCTGATAGAGGAGCACACGTTCTCGAACGGACCGGACCGTGCTTTTGATTGACAGGCCCTGATTTGCAGCCTTACAACTGAAACGAGACTCGACGTCACGCCCTGGACGCTGAAACCAGCGAGCCATTCATTATTTTCCACACTTCTCCGGGGGTGTCACACGAGATCTCTAATTTTGATATCTTTTGTTGACATAAACAACAATGTCGGCAATCACAATTCTTAAAATGCTGGCGGACAACAGCCGCTCAGGGCATTCCCATTCCCTGGCAGCTCGGCTTCACGAGGATGTGACGCTAGATATCGACCCGCTGCCAGTGGTGCAACGACGAGGCCTCATCGCTATTACTATCATGGCTTTCTTGTCGTTTTTCGCGACAGGAGGTTTACTATCATTCATTACCTATCGCCTTATCTTCTGGAAAGGCTCATACACCCGATACATCGGTTACAACCAGTACATTATTCTCATCTACAACCTCGTCCTGGCTGACTTTCAACAATCGCTTGCCTTCCTGATTTGCCTGAAATGGATCGTCACCGACAAAATCAAATCAGGCACCGCCGGCTGCTTTCTTCAAGGGTTATGGCTTCAGATCGGCGATCCGGGCAGTGGTCTATTCGTCCTGGCCATTGCGATTCACACATTCCTTCTTGTTGTTTGGGGTCGCAAAATGTCCTACAGAACATTCATCTGCTTCGTTTGTGGTGTTTGGGCTTTCATCGCTATCATTGTGATCATTCCAATTGGCATGTACGGAGCCGATGTGTTTGTTCCATCCGGCGCCTGGTGCTGGATTAGCGAAGAGTATGAAACCGTTCGTCTCTGGACTCATTACATTTGGATTTTCTTCGCTGAGTTCGGCACTGTCTGTCTCTACGCTGTTATGTACTTCCAGCTCCGCAGACAGATTGCTCAATCGTCTATCTTGGGTAACAGCCAGTTGGAAAGTCTGAAGCGCCTGCGACGCGTGGTTGGATACATGACCATCTACCCCATTGTCTACATTGTTCTTTCACTTCCACTCGCCGCTGGACGTATGGCCACGGCAAATGGCAGCACTCCATCTCTCACCTTCTTCTGTTGCGCTGGTATGTACTCCCTCCACACCCTCATCTCACGATCGAGCAACCCCGCTAACTTTTACTCAGGTGCCTTCATGACAAGTTCCGGCCTAGTCGACGTCGTGCTATACACTCTTACCCGTCGTAACCTCATCATCGATTCCGAGCCCAGCGAGGACCGTTCTTACAACAAATTCGCCAGCAGCAAGGGACGTCGCGGAGATCACTTGACTACCATCACTGCCGAGCCTAAGTCCAGGAAAAACGCCATCTCGGACGGCACAGACCTCGATGGCTCGACCGATAATATCGTTCAGCCTAGTGTCGAGATGGGTCCCATGGGCAAGGTATACCAGGAGACCACCATTGAAATCACGCATGAGCCTGCATCTGCATACCCATCAGAGGGTGCGAGTGAACGGTCCAGCAAAGAAGATTTTGCTGAACCTTCATCGCGCACGTGGAGGCGATGATATGATTTTATTTGACTTGCTGTTCTTGTTTCTTTTATCTCATGCTCGTGCAGATATGTTTTGCTGATGCACTTTAATTTCCTGGTTACTTAACCGCCCCTTTTATGACTTCCGACGTGATCCGGTGTCTTCTTCACATCCTCTCTCTATGTTTACCTTCTCTCATATCCCCTTTTCTACCATTTCATCCTCCTGTGGAACTTTGTACATATTTTCGAAAGGGTCGTGTCTTTTTCTTCTGTCATTGGGATTATGAGGACTCCCATGTACACCTATCTATTCAAAAAAATTCAAAATTTCCCAAGACATAGTTATACCATCTATAGCTGGGTATCTGAGCGTAAAAATTTGGTGAAATGAAAGGAGCTCGAACAATCACTTTTTTGGCTTTATGGTGTTCATTGTAGATACAGGCGGAGGTGCTGCGCTTACATAGCCATCAGCAACCAAATATACACTGAGAACTTCTCTATTTGCTCGGACCAACTTTGGAAGCAAGTTGAAGAGAAACCCAGTGGGAATGCGGGGAATGATTGGTATTTCGTGGAAAGCTTCCTCCCCCACAAATCCGACGAGTGGGGCCGACCTGCCGGACTATAAGCCTTGGAACCGCACCAAGTAATCCCGGGAAGCAGCTTACAGCTCGTATAGGCGAATTTATCAGAGCCCCCTTCGTCGTCTTTATAAAGCCTTCTCAACCTGCGTAAACTTAACCTCCTCCATTACCCTCAGTCTCTCTTATTGATATTCACCATTTCTATTATATTGCAGTCGAGGCAAAATGGAATACCGACTCGGCATGGCGCTGTACATCATTCTATTCTTCCTAGCTTGGTTTGTACATGTAATACGCACTCTCAAACCATGATCCTTGAAACTTATCATTAACAAACCTCTTTCGTTATTGCAGTTGTTATACAAAGGATTCACCTCGCCCCTTCGTCGCATCCCAGGACCACGCCTTTCAATATTAACCCGTCTCCCTCTCAAGCTCGCCACTATAAGTGGAAATCAACTCTATCATATCCATGCTCTACACCAAAAGTACGGACCAATTGTCCGCATTTCGCCAACCGAAGTAGCAATCGCCTCCTTGCCTGACGTGAAAGAAATTCATCGCGTCGGATCGGGATTTCTGAAGACGGAGTGGTATGAACAGTTCACACAAGGGAGGGAAGGAGTATTCAATATGCGCGACGTAAAGAAGCATGCGCAAAGGCGGAAGCTGTTTGCTCGACCTTTCTCGAAGACAGTGCTCCGAGGCACATGGGAACCTGTTGTGAGGGACAAGGTTCAGCTAATGATCTCGCAAATGCAGAAAGATCTGACGACTTTGGGAGTGTGTGATGTATTCAAGTGGTCAACATTCCTGGCTACGGATGTAAGCGCGCATCTGATGTTTGGAGAGTCGTTTGAGATGTTGCAGCGGGGAGAGGTAAGATAAATCAATATTGGGGGTACGTTCCCGGGTGTTTACTGATTATGACAGAAAAATGAGTATGTTCGGATTCTGGAATCTGTTATTCAAGGATCAGGTATCCTATCCGAGCTTCCATTTCTTGGATACATCATTCCATACATACCTCTCCAGTCCGTTCGGGAAATGTTTGGAAATGGGGAGGCTCTTCTAAGGTATGGCCAAAGCTTGCTAAATAACAGTCGGAGCAACAGCGAGTCTTCCCGGAATATCTTTTCGGGTCTAGTTCACGCATCTGAGAAAGATGGAGCATCATTCAATGATATGGATGTAGCTATCGAAGCCGGGAATTTCATCGTCGCAGGCTCGGACACAACCGCTGTTACGTTGACATATGTTATCTGGGCTATCCTGTCTCATCCAAAACTACACACCCAGCTCAACACCCAGCTTGCGACTTTGCGGGAAAACTGGGAAGAAGGCGATCTCGAATCCCTCTCTCTGCTAAACGCTACAATCACCGAGACACTAAGATTATATGGCGCTGCACCTGGTGCCCTCCCTCGCTCTGTCCCAGAAGGAGGCGTGACATTCTCCGGGTACTATATCCCAGGAGGAATCACTGTTAGTACCCAAAGCTGGACTATACATCGTGATCCAGTACTCTTTCCTAATCCTGAGAAATTTGATCCTTCGAGGTGGTTACCAGGCGATAACCAAGCGTCTGAACAAGCCCGACTGGCGATGTCTCCCTTTGGCTCTGGATCACGAACTTGCTTGGGGATTCACCTGTCATGGATGGAATTACGTCTGGCAACAGCTGAGTTCTTTCTTCAATGTGGGAATGTGAAACTGGCTCCAAGCGTGACGGAAGAGAGTATGAAGCCAAAGCATTTCTTCTTGATTGCGCCTTCAGCGCATAAATGTGAGATAACGCTAGCAACTTGAGAATGTCTATCATATCTTGTTTTTTGGAAGGCTTCCTCGGCAAGAAGCGTCAACAGCCAGGGGACTCAATCTAAATCCTTCCGAAAATAAACTCGCTCAAATCCATCCTCAGTTTTCCTCCCAGTCTCCACAAATCCCATCTTCACATACATTCCCAGATTCTCGTACATTTTCACATTCGTGTAGAGTGTCAACGCCGAGCAGCTCTCCGACCGTGCAACATCCTCTGCACAGTTCAGCAATACGCGACCGTAACCACGACCTTGGGCCGCAGGGCCGACGACTAAGTTGTTGATTTCGACTGAATGAGTATCCCGTTCAACACTAAGAACGATGGATCCGACTGGTTTATTGGTATCGTCGTGCAGCACGAATATGTCATGCGTTTCCAGCATCTCATCATAGTTCGCTGACATTGGTGCTGGTGGTTTGCCTATACGCTCAATATATTTTGAATAAGCCGAGTCCACCATTGACTTGATGAGTGGGATATGTTGGAGTGACGCTCTTTGTATGGCGAGGCCTGCTCTGGAAGGCTGCGGCGGTTCTATCATGTTTGATTTGGACAGGCTTTTCATGATCTTGTGTGTTGATCATGACTCTTGTACAACAGCGATCGCTATCGCCTTCCATGCCGGCGCTTCACCGCCCACGGTCCAGCACCATCACTATTTTGCAACTAGCTCTGTTAGTCAGCATCAACCCCGATGTTTGGCGCTCGGTCAACCTCGTTTAACAGTCAGTCCTAAGATTTCACCTGCGATCTAAAAAACGCCAAAAGTGGCTCTCCTTTGCAGTCACATCCACACACCTTTCCTTTTAAACAAATGATGGTCTAAATTGAGAATCCCTTCGCATCTGCCCATGAGTCGGTCGGTATATTGAAGGACAGAAAGGACTATATGATCCGTCATTCTGTATGAGAGATGAACATGCCGGTAGCTTGTTAGGGCTCTCTTGCTTCTCCTTTCATTCATGATAGCAACGTATGCTTTACTTGACTGAATGCTAAGAAAGTTGGCTTCTCTTGATGCTTACTGAGCGTCTCCGGTCCTCACAATCGGCCCAAATAAGAGTCGTACATCGTAGAAAGGTGACCTCAACGAAGGCTTCAAAATATTTAATTACTCTCACTCGATGCGTGACTGGTTCTGTCCCAGTTTGATAATATATTATCGAATAAATTTCATTTGAAGCGGAGAAAGATATCTTAGCTCACCAATCCTTCCATACCGGTGATTCCAATCTGTCTCCTACCCGGCTGTCATGAGAATCTTATAGTGTTTCATTCGAGATAAATTTGAGGATATTAAGTGATGCATAACTATCAGCACCTATTCGAAAGCTGCACTATCTCAAGCTCGGTCATGAATTACTTTAGCGCAATCGAGACGCATTCCAATAGAACGAGTCAGAGGTCATTCATCAGTGTTGGATAAGCCCGATGCTGAAATTTCAACACTTCCCGGCAACTCTGGAGAGAAAAATCTCTTAGCCATTAAGAGAAGTAGTTCCAAGGAAGGACTCTTCACCATCCGAGGGAATGTGATCGTTTTGTTCAAGCAACTCTATAATTTCCGCTTTGATAGAACTGAAGTCCTCTTCATCATCAATATCTTCAATACGCGTCAGTTCAAGAGCAAAATCCATTGCTGTATAGCCATTGGCATTTTTCACATGCGGATCGGCTCCATACTTCAGAAGAAGCTCGACATTCTTCACCAATCCTCCTCTTGCTGCGAGGTGTAATGGAGTGGCCCCTATCATGTAAACGTAATTTTGTGGCGAGTCGCTCGACTCAGAAGAGTCAGATTGATGGGTATCATTATTGAACCCGGACCCAGAATCATCGTCGGAATCCTGATTGTCGGGTATGGAGGTGTTGTCATCAATGTCACCACCTCCTTTTGAATCTTCGGCTCCTCTGGACCCATCGATATCTCTTCCACTGGCGGAAGAAGGGCCAGCCTGCAGTGACTTGATCTTATCAGATGAACATTCCGGCTCATCGATGATCGACTGGTACTCGGTAGTATCTAGATCTTCCATTCGAACGTGGCTCGGTGATTCACGAAGCTGGAAGTTGACATCTGCGGTTTTGGATCCAAGAAGAACTTGCAATACCGACAGGTCATTGTTCATAGCAGCAAAGTGGAGGACGGTCATCTCTATCGGCCAATCTTCATTTATCATCTCAAAACAAACATCCGCCCCGGAGCGAAGCAGCAGGTGGAGAATCTCTTTTGCTTTAGGTTTCTCATCCCAAGGGTACTGCAGGCATGCTATGAAGAGCGGTGTAAGGGAACTATGCGGAGGAAAATTTATCACAGCTCCATGTTCGATCAGATATTTGACCATTTCGGCATCGTCGCTAAATACAGCCATGACCAGAGGGGTACCTGAAAACGGCTTGACTTCAATGTCGCTGCCCGTATTGTCGACATCTTCGTACCAGGGTTCCTCCCATCCGTAGGCATTGATGTCTGCGTTGGCATTTAAAAGAAGGTCCACAGCTACTGTGGATTTCTGCACAGAACGCGCAAGAGGCGTCGCCCCGTGGCCATCAGGCTCGTTTGGGTCTTCTCCACTTTCTAGAAGAGAGGCAAGAACATATGGAAAACCGAACTCAGCAGCAATATTCAGGCTTGTCATCTTCCAAGGGAGATGATTCTTGCCCGAGATCTGGTAAATTGCGTACCATGTCCTGAATGCCGGTCTCTCCACGCTGCAAAGGAACAACATCGACGAGACCCATTCTGGATCTTCCCCAAGCATGGCTTCTTGGCAGTGTTCCACCCAATTCATTGCTGCATATTCTAGAAACGGGTTATCCTTGGTATATTCAGAAACTTTCTTATGGGGTTCATCATCAGAATCATCGATTGTGAGTGGGGCTTTGAGAAAATGAGTGAAAGAAAGCAGACTGATGCAGATTTTTGCGAGTAATGTTTCCGAATCCAGCGGACTGAAACTGTGTTTCCAAGTGTCACTCCTGTGGCTCGTGTAGTCATCCGTGATAAGAAATTCCTTGGCCGTTTGGTGGATGAGAAACACAGAGCCGTTGTCAATGGTCACTAAAAGACCACAAACATTTTTGATTCTCATCTCGAAGGCGTCTAACCGTTCAGTCCCAATTTCTTCATATGAGCGATATTTAAAATCACTGGCAAGAGCTGTGGCTATTTTCATGTCATCGACTGCCAAAGGCTCTCGGGCCGCCAGGATGATATGCAGGAGCTGTCTTGCAAGGTCTGGGTGGCGGCACCTCCTCAGGATAGCATCGTAAGCATCAATCAGACTGCGCGGCAAGCTTGAGATAATCTTTTGGAGTTCTCGCTTGTTGGCTGGTCGTTCACTAAGGCGAATTTCTTCCATTATCAGGCTCAGCCATAGATACGTTCTGTTGTCGACTGTGTGCAACTCCTTAAGCAGGTACTTTGTTGCCTCTTCGTCGAACCCCCTTTCAGCAGCAAGCTTTGGGACCTTGACATCAATGACTAAATCAATCTCGTCTTTGATATTTTCCGATTCATGATCTCCGGATAAGTGAATCGTAGGGGCCTCAGTTATGAGATCATCAAATTGAGAATGAATGTGCGAATACGGACGGCTGGTTAAGAGGAACTTCAACTTAGGCCGATCGTCAAATCTTGAATCATTCTTGGATGTATGGTAGAAATTAATGATTGATTCAATCAGAACTAATTGATCATCGTCATTGCATTCGTCGAGGGCGTCTAGGATGCACACAATTTGTCCGACGGAGGGGTCAGTAGCCGCTTGGCAGAGAATATCAAACATCTCGTCAAATAAGTTGAGTAGCTCCCTACCATTCAAATCATAAGGTGAAAGGGCATGTTTCACCAGAGATGGGAACGCCGAGAAAAGCTGGTGTAAGATGGCAGACATGGCGCTGAGTGCACTTCTCTGGTATGGGGAGATGTCTTTGAAGAAGAAATAACAGACAGCGGACAGCTTCTGATGGCTCAATGTAACCAGACCCTCGTCAATCATTGTCTTTACTAGGACGGATTTGCCCGAACCGGGCTTAGCAGACATCCAAAGGAGATCGGGTCCTTCCTTCTCTCGCCAATCAAGAAATTTGTCATTCTCCAGGAACCATTTTCCTGTTTCGAAAACTCTTTTTGGCGTTCTGTTTTTCTGATTCTCATACGGATTGGATTGTCGAAACATTTGTACACATTTGCGCTCCTTATCGGTCTGTCGCCAAGCAAATTGCATCATAGCCTGCTGTTCAATACCATGCTTTGTCCTTCTCAACTCTTTCTGGACTTCCTGCAGACCGCATTGCATGTTGTGCTCACTAACTTGCAAAGCTCTCTCAATCCGCTCGCGACTCAAGTCTTGAGCAATCTCGGTGCATTTTGCCTCAAGTGTCTTGACCTGACTGGTCAAACTCGTCCAGTCATCAGCCTTGAAGATATCTCGTCCGTACTGTTTCGCCCAGTTATTGGAATGCTGTCTCACTAATCGGATCTGGAATTCGAGGATTGTCTTATACAAGTCCACCACCGTACGCTCGAAGTCTTTGACAAGCTCCAGGCTATCAGACAGATAGCTACTCTGAGTTAATCCAGATTTCCCTGGTCTGATAAGCCTCTCCATGACCCTTAGTCTGTGCACACAAAAGGGAACAGCCTCAAGGCCATCATGGGCAGCAGACTTCTGCTCTGATGGGCTTAGAAGAAGCTAAGATACAGAATAAGACATTATCGGAGATCTTTCATCAGTCTTTGGGACATACCGGCAAGAAAAGGCACACCCCAGCCCACGCTAGTGCAGCATGTGGCTCAGCACTGACAGCTGAAGATACGAAATCTTTGGCTGCAACCACAATCTTGACAACTTTGTTAAACTGACCACTGACGTCCACGGAGTGGTTACCAATCTTGACTTGCCACTGTGCTAGATCAATTTCTTCGACCTTGCTCTTCGCTATTTGTCGTAGCTGCTCTTCGCGTTTATACGATCCAACGGGCGCTAAATACCGGTCGCGTCAGACAGCCAACTTCGTGGTAGGATGTTTCTAAACTCACCTAGATGATTCTGGCTTGAATCACCTTTTCCTTTCATCTGAGTCAACAGGATGTTTTCGTACTTTCCTATCAGTTCTGGGTCTTCTACGCTGAGAATGGCGTAGGCTTCATCCCATAAGTCCCGTGGCAAGCTGTCATCAGACGTAATATTGAGATCGGAGTTACAAGAACCCGGCTGTAGAGTATGACTGCTGGTCGCAGCTGCTACGCTATTGTTCTTGTCAGTGCCCACTTTCGATGGGGATGGTGATGATGATGGCAACGGTGACAGTGAGGTAGGCGTTTCTTTTCCATCCGAGGGACGTAAGGCCTTGAGGAGGGTTCTTAAGCCCATCGCAGAACAGTGTTGGCCTCAGTTGGACCTATTATAGATCCCCGAGTCTCAACTTCGGATTCGCAAACGCTTGAGGGCAATCTGGCGGAGTGTCTGCCTGTCCCTCCGTCTGACACTGCTGATTTAGCGGCCTTGGCGTACGCTAGCCGATAGTGGCCAGTAAGCTAGCCTTATATAATGCATATGTCAGAACCTCATGCTGACCCTTTGCCGAATTAATGATCACTGACACCCTCGATTATCTTAATTTCTGTTCCAGGTTCCGCCGCTTATGAGCCTGGGGCTCTGTTATATATCAAATTTTTAACGCAGTATTAGGAAATAATAACCCGCAAGACAAGTAACTAAACTTTCAATATTTCAATTTGGACCTAAACTCTGCTAATAAGTTCTCGTATTCTCACAAATTCGCACAGATTTGTGCGGATCAAGCAGGAGGAAGCACTCTCTTTCCAACTTCCCACTTATCCTGCCTGAACACCCACTCAGAAATACCACTGACATGTTCTCCCTTCTGAAAATAGACCCTCAACTGTACGTCTTTGCCAGTTCCCCAAGAAGTCGCAGTGACCTCGCTCCCGAGGATACATTCAACGTCCAGTTTTCCCTCGCGCCACTTACCATCGAAGACCATCTCCTGCAAGCCCTTGGCGGTGACGAAAAAGACATGGATACCGATTTTTTCCGAGGCAATATTATAGCTGGTGCATGCCAAAGAAGCTCTCAAGGGCACAAAGGTCGAGTTCAAGACTCTGAAAGATCCGTCATACCAACTTCTTCCCTCATCGAAACATTTCTCCTTCAGGGTTTGATTGACGTCTTGAAAATACACACTAAAATCGGTCAGGAAAGATACTTTTGATGGTTTGAATAAACTGACCGCATGCTCAGGCGAGATCCCTTGAAGCTGGTGCACGTAATAGCTGTACCAGGCAGTGCAGGGCCAAGGTTTGCCATTTTCCTCCAACCAGAGCTTTCGTCTGTCGAACACGTTAGTCAAGCCCTTTCGATATATTAGAAACTTTAACCAACCACTAAATCCAAACTCTTGAATTGTGTTGTCTGGCAGTTGGACGTACAACCTCCCAACGTTCAGGCTGCTACAATGGTCCGCTGTGATCATGGAATATGGTGCAGTGTGGATTTCCATCTTTCCCATATCACCTTCACGCCAGCCCTTATTGTGGTCATAGACAGTCTCCTTGACCATGTTGTTCGATGTCAGATAAAAAAGACGGATCTGTGGATATTGTCAGTCAATTTCCTCCAAGCTCAGACAGTTGGATGCTTGCTTGTTCCATTTTCATCGAGGCGACCGCAAGGGGCGAGTCAATCTTCGCTGCAGCGACGACATTCTTCTCGGTGCCGTTGCTCCAATCCTTTTCATACATAGCCTCACGGAACTTTCCTATGACATCTTGCATGTAAACTCGGATATGTCCGTCATGATTGCACGCTCCGATGGAGGTCCCTGTTCGACAATCAGAATCTTGGATAGTGTCGGGGAGAAATATAGATTGACACTCAAACTTACTGAAATAGATATCGTGAGCTGGGCTTTGAGCTGGCATGTTGATGCTTCAATGGTTCAATTCAGACAGGCGTTGATTCGTTATGATATGAATCGGGTTGCCTTTCTCTTGAGAGAGTTGAGACGCAGCATTTATAGTTGATTATCCCAACCCAAGCCTTCCATGGCAACTTTTGCAAAAGTTCCAAGGTGATGCTGTGTAATATATTAAAGTGAGGAAACAGAGATCGTCACCAGTGAAAAGCCTTCCAGAAATCTTTGTAAACCCCGACTGGGCCGATCAAGAGAGAAGGATGTCAGTCGACCTCTCGGATAGCCAGTTGGCCTTGCCACAAGAGCTTTGGTATAAGTTTGTGGGATCCGAATATTCCGGAAATCCAAAGATGTACACACCTACACACCTCAAGATATGCTTCAATTGACCATCTTCAATATCAAATGCGTTCGGAGCTCTACGTTTGAGAGCTTCCCATATAGGCCAGTAGCGAATAGATTTGTGGAATCGGACATATAAACTTTAGGCGATTGACGTGGTAACAGCGAACGACTTATATCAGAAAAATTGAAGACACTTCAAGCTTGGGATGTAGCAAAGATACTAAGCAAATGTGCTGCAAATCCAAAGTAGAGTCTCGGTTTTATATACGAAGAATTTCTTGATTGTCTGTGCTAGTCTGTGCTAGTCTGGACGCAGACGGCCGGTCGGATCAATTTTTTGTCCCATGAACTTGATGCATACCCTGGTCTCCTCCAGAGGGGATTGAGCGGTATGAGATGATGGGTGATCCACTAGAGCCGATTTGTAGATAATCATAGTAATAAACAAAAATACCTCACGCTTTAGAATAACCATCTATCTATCTTTCTTTTCCACTACTCTAACGGCCCAACAGCTGCATGGAAACCCTTCAGCTGCCAACTACATATTCATCTTGATACTGTTCAGCTTTAATGTCATTTCTGGGCATGATTCATGATTACATGACTTCAGCCATGTCGAAACTATCCTTAAACTAAAGAATAAAATTAGAATTATTTAATGCTGCCAAATGATGGGCAATGACAATGAGTTGAGTTCCGAGCCTTGCAAAACGAGTGATTTTCCTCTAAATATCTACACTCAATCCTGCGATGCAAATGGTAAGGGATGAAGTTTATGGGAGTCGTCATTCACTGGCAAAGTCAAATAATTCAAATCTGTTTACTCAAGATACTGGAAGCACTAATCTGACCCGAAGACGTATAGTGATGCTACTGGATCGCTGCTAAATTGGGATCAATTGATAGTGAGATATAGTCAACAGCAATTTTGCCAAAGGAGACATCATGAAGGGGTTTCTGTCGTTGAATCAACGCTGGTCTCATTTAGTATGAATTCGCCAAATCACGGAGCATAAAATAGACCCGACATAGACAAATCCATTCCGAGTTTCCTGTCTTAAAAAAGTGGGTACAGAACCGATAGATAGTCACGCTATTAGTCCATGTTTAAGGACATCGTGGCCATAATGCAGCTTGATGCATGGCATGAGACATTTAGCGCCCGGAAAAAGGACTGCAACAAGCTGACGTCAGTCCCGCCCAGAGTGCATTGACATGAATGGGACGCTGCAGTTGGGAAACAATGTATGTCTCATGTGGACCACCATGCTTTTGGTACCTAAGCTGGATGCAGCAACTAAATCCGCGCATGTTGAGCTTGAGCTCTGAGTTGTACTTGCAGTGGTATTCACAGACTTTGGTTCAGAGCTTAATTAGTCAACAGGGGTAAAAGACGGTCAACGAATCAGGCCTCGTTTAGTCCCACTTTATTTCCTGTTATTACTTGGTGTTTGAAAAACAAATCATAGAATCGACACATCAAAGATTTATTGCGACCGAAACACTTCGGCATATGAGTACGAATGGGGACACAGCTAATTACTGGATGATCAGTGCTACAAGATGAAGATTAAAGCGGGGCCTCGGCCTTGCAAGGGGCCAGTTGCTCTGGACGAGAGCACACGATGCTAATCATCCCTTGAAATATCACGCTAATTTACAAGCTAACTGAGGTCAATGCGACACATGCGACCGATAGTTCTGATTCACTGCTCAGGACATCCTGGGCAAGGGAGCTCAATCTCGGGAACCTCCCACGCTGCACTCTACACTTGGCATAGGCCGATCATGCAAATCAGGTTGTTTCGCGAGGCGCATCAGTGGGTCTGTAGGCTTTTGATTTGACGATCTCTGCCAATCAAGGGACCCACAACTATGCATATCTGTTGATCAAGTATGTCCAGGAACCAAATTGACGATCAGGGATGTGATACTTAAACAGCGCACAATCGCTGTTTGGTTGGATGGGTAGGTCTCTCTCTTGTTGGAACGCCTCGATCATGTTGTTCTCTGCCCGTCGTCTCCTTGTACCCGCGCTCACAGTGTCCCTTCTATCAGGGTCTACTGTCGCCGATGATGCCACATCCAGGGCTGTAACAGCTTTGGAAGCTCTCCAGGAGTGGTACAACAATTCAACTGGGCTTTGGAATACGGTTGGCTGGTGGAACGGCGCCAATTGCTTAACTGTCATTGCCGATTTGGCTGCCCTGGATCCAACAGTGATGGATACGGCGGACTACGTCTTCAACACCACATACAACGTGGCCCCTGTGTCAAACCCGGACCCTGGCCCGGAGGTAAAGACAACCAAGCGCGAATTTCTTGCTCCACGAGCTAGCAGTGCTGGCAATGCTTCTGATTGGCTCGATTCCGCCTATGACGATGATGGGTGGTGGGTCCTTGCATGGATTGCTGCATACGATGTTACGGAAGAGACAAGATACCTGCAGCTAGCAGAGGGAATTTTTGAGGCCCTAGTAAGAACCTACCTCCCCTTAGCTCAACCTTCTATCTTTGCCCTTGCTGATCGATTGCTAGACAAAAGCGTGGGGTACTCGTTGCGGCGGTGGAGGTCTTCCATGGAATCCCACTAGCACTTACGTGAACTCCATTACAAATGAGCTATTCCTATCCGCGGCAGCCCATTTAGCCAATCGCGTTCCGTCTCGCAAAAGCTACTACGTGGACTGGGCCCAGAAAGAGTGGAACTGGTTCGCAGCCCAAGGGTTTATCGGGGAGAATGGTACAATCAACGATGGACTGCTGGACAATTGTGAAAATAATGGGGCCACAGTGTAAGTCTGACTACATTGGGTAGAGGTGGTAATGTGTATTCTGACATAAGTTTTAGTTGGTCTTACAACCAGGGTGTCGTTCTTGGCGGCCTCGTCGAACTGAACAAAGCTGCACCAAACAGCAGCTATCTCGAATCCGCGAACAAAATCGCAAAAGCAGCGATTGAAACGTTGGTTGGTTCAGATGGGGTCTTACATGAATTCTGCGAGCCAGATGATTGCGAACCGGATGCCACTCAATTCAAGGGTATTTTTATCCGCAATCTCCTGATGCTTCAGAGCGTGTCACCCCATGACAGTTACAAGAAGGTTATCACCAACAGTGCGAACAGCATTTGGGAAAATGATCGCAGTGACCAAAACAGACTTGGTGTTGTATGGTCTGGACCGGTTGTGAGCACGGTGGATCCCTCTACTCACTGCTCCGCCATGGATGCATTGGTGGCAGCTATTGCTGTCAAATAATGATTCTACGCTTTATGATGACCTGGATTTTAATAACGGCATATTGGCGCACATAGAGTCTATATTTGCATATAATTTTCTTTTCCTTTGAGATTGACTCCCATGTCCAGGTCGTTAAACGAGTCGCGTCTCCCACGTGTCTAATATGCTCCCGGTCGACGTGTCCACGAGGGCTGCGGCGCGAGTCCGGGCTTACTGTAGCCAGAGCGGATAACTGCCGTCGGCACTAGAGATATTCCACCCAGTTGAGCACCCTCTACATCTTGAGCCCAGAGAGTAATGGCCACGTAGTTGGTTCCACTGTAGTTCAAAATACCCTCAGGGACAGGGTATGACGTCTGAGGGCCGAGATTGTTGACTGCATTCGAAGATTAGACTGTGCCACGTATGCAAATTTTGTGTGCAATACTTACTGTACTTTCCAAATTGGTAACCATTGACAAAGAGTTGACAGCGATAGTTCAGTCCACCCTGAAAATTGCGCGTGTTTGCTGATGAATTGAAAACAAAGCTCATCGGGACATCCCATCCATCCGGAATCTCAAGCTGGAAGGACGTCGTGTAAAAGCCAACACCTGGTGCAGCGAGCCCAGTCTTCACCGGATTTGAAACTTTCCAATCGGCATTAGGTGGCTTGGGATAGTGGTAGCCTTGTCGCTCGGCATACATTGATCCCTCGTTCAATGGACCACGGACCAAATCTTGATACTGTTCTCCACCAAGGTTACCAGTTACCTTCCACGAAATATCAGACTGGTTGTGTCCTGATAGCTCGTAGTTCAAAATGCCTTTCGGGAACTTGATCACATCTGTTCCTGGTGCTTCTTCATCCTGGCCCATGTTATCAATCAGGATAGTCAAAATATAGGATCTTCCGATAGCTAGGTCTTCCGTGATTGGTATGTCTTGAATGGCTGTGGAGTTTGCGCTGCTTCCAGCCCATGATCCAAGAAACACGTCGTTCAGCCAGACCGAATGACTGAAACCTGTACCACCGGAGACATTCAACCACAAGTCTGACTCTTGTCCGGTTGCGGTAAAATGACCGCGGTAAATTAATGAGCCCGTGTGAAATCCATAGTCCATGGCATATAGGTTTGTTAGTGTACTCAAATCCCGAGGGTTGTTCGTCGAAGTCTTGGAACAATTGATCCACCTCGAATCGTCGTACGAGGTCGCGATTTCGGGCAACGTATCTAAGTATTTCCACGCAAGGTCTTCGAGCACAGGGATGTCTAGTCGTGGCGGGCTGTATTCGATCGTAGCAGACAGCTTTTTCGTTCCTGTAGTTGAAGTCTTCAACTTCTCCCCATTAAAGAGGATTCCCCTGACGTTCTTCGCCGGTGAGGAAATCAGCTCGATCTCTGTCGTCGCATTGACGTCGCCTGTTAAACAAACATTCTCACCGCACAGACTCGCACTGCGCATCAAGTAGCCCGCCTTGACAAGAATCAACTCCTTAGACGGCGAAGAGAAATTCCCGATCGGTTCTGCAGCAGTGACCTCCAACGGCCAATAATTATACGCGTCGTTCCGCCAAAGCAGATAAACCTCCAAATCTCCAATGCGAACAATTCGACGATCCGGTTTAACTTCCCACTGTATTACCGAGGTAGAGCCTTTCTGTTTGATAGTTATTCCACTCCCTTCGGTCACAGTTGGATTTCCAATATGACGAGCAAGGGCAAATTCGTGCCTTTCACCAGCTCCACCATACAGGATCAGCACACGTGTTGATCCGGCACCCCGAGCCCAAGTCAAGATTTCCGCTGAAGAGTAGATCAAATTTATGCCGCCGAGATCGTAATCTGTGACGTGGAATTTAGAATCGCGACCGTACAGTGTCAGACTGCCACCAAGCTGAGGGACGGTGACATTTCCAATACTTGTGGGTAGGTTGATGGTGTACTGGGTAGTGTCGGTGGAGCTGAAGTCAGCCTGTCGAACGACGTAGAAGTTGGTGTGTGTGTCATTTCCGAGCAGAGGAGTTACTGCGATTGAAGCTGGTGCTCCGTAGGATCCGTTGACTCCTATTCCGGGGGTTGCGGTCAGGTATGCGGGTGATACTTTGAGGAAGTTTGCTTCGAGCTTTTCTTCGCTAAATTTTTCGCGCCAGATTCCACGTTCTTCAGTTATTGCTGCACCGTAGTCGTATGATGTGTATCCGTTCATATAGCCCAGATTTCCCCAATTTGTGCCACCGTAGGTCTAGATGGTCAGCTTGAAAAATTACGTAACCGGTGATGTTACTGGTCAATCAGTTGAGCAGAAGGACTTACCATGTAAATGTTGAAGATTTTCACGCCGAAGCTGTAGTTGTTCTTATACACTACCCGGACGGCTTCTTCGTTCAAGAGCTCGCCGCACATTTCCTCAAGCACGCCTCCCCTGTTAGTCTGTTAGTAAGCTGATTTATGAAATAGAAATTGGAAGAAGCCCACCAGCCTTCACCAGACCCTCCTTGAAACTCAGCAATGGCGAAAGGCGTAGTCGGGCTTTGTTGCTCATGAAGAGTTTGCCAGTTATGTGGGAATTTATATGTTGGCCATACACTAGCATTGGCACCTGTAACGGCATAATTAGCACCTCGAAAATTCTTCATCGATAGCAAGATCAAATTTGATGAACTCACAGTCATAGCGCATTGGATAGGCGTCAATCCCATAGATATCGACGGCTCCCAGTCCTGATCCTGGTGCCCAGTAGCCTTCGACCTCGTTATCATTAACGATCAACGGCACAGTAATACCAGCATCTAAGAGCTGGTTCTCCACATCGGCCATATATTCTTTGTTCATCTGAGAAGGAAAGTCGGTGACTCCCGGCCACGTCGTAAACTCATTCTCAGGCTGCACCAGAATAACCGGTCCGCCATGAGTGATTTGTGCCTTCTCAATGATACCACCCAAGGTAGACATATATTGAGTAGTCGCATTGAGATACTCAGGGTCATCAGAGCGAATAGTTGCATTCATGCGTAAGACCCAGCCCGGGATCCCACCGGCGGTCGTCTCTGCGTTGATGTACGGACCTGGACGAGCGATGAGATATATCCCTGCTTCGGTCGCAGCTTGGAAGAATTTCTCCAGGCTCCATATGCCATCTGTCACGACATGTCCTGGGTTACCCTCCACAAGGCCCCAGTCCACGTAGAAAGAGACACCGGTAAAGCCCATAGCTTTAATCTTCTGGAAAACATCGAGCCACAGATCCGGAACCGGGAGACGAAATGGATGGAATTCTCCGGAGAAAATCATTAAACGCTCTCCTCGGACTATAATTGAATGCTGGTCCCACGTAACCTGTAATGACCTTGTTAGCTTTCTGTCAAAACCCCGGATCGATTCTAGAATGGAATGCTGACTATGTCTTGAAGTCCATTCCCTGTTCCAATTGATGTCTCAGAATATCCCAGACGCGGAAAGGAAAATATGGCTAAAAGCCATAATGCAAGAGAGAAGCATGATCTTGCCAGAAACATCTTGTCAAGACCATATCAATGTGCCTAATGAAAATAGTGATCTAACATGATGCCCTATCAAGGGGCTTTTGAAGCTTTTAAACCCCGCACCCCCACGTTTTACTCCAGGATGATCTCCGGCTAAATCCCCGACCCCGCAAAATAACTAATACCAAAGTAAGATCAAATGGAGAAATTTCGGCATAGATTGATTTTACTAGCTTCAATTCTAAGGTCTAATCACTGAAAACAATCAGGCTAAATGTGACGTGTGGCTCTGCTGTACTTGTTTAGTAGATTTAGCCAAGCCCCTTAACCAGAAAAGCTCCACGGAACTGCTCTCCCGGAACCACCAAGTCACGAGAAGCTAATACGGATTTGAGGCCACTAAACACGGGAAGTAAACCTTGGTACTCGAGGAATAAGTCCTTCATCAGAACAATCATTGGTTGTTGAGCTATTAGCATCATAGAGTGGCCAAGTACATGACATCATGGTTCAATCACTCCCCCTACCTCTCTCTCCCCGCACTCAGTATTCTTCAACTCTCAACAGTTAACGAAACATTCTACATGCAAAGATGAATCCTCATATCAAACCAGTCCTTCTGCACGTGCACGCCTCCGGCCCGAATCCCGTAAAGATTGCAATCGCATTGGAAGCATTGAAGGTCCCATACGTCGTCAAGCACTGGGACTTCAGTGACAACCCAGAAACCGGGGTAAAGGGTAGTAAATTTCTTCAAATCAACGAGAATGGTCGAGTCCCGGCAATCGAGGACCCCAACACTGGTGTTACCGCCTGGGAATCAGGTGCTTGCATGAACTACATTCGCCGCGTCTACGACCTTAACAACACAATCGGACCTGCCGGTGGCTCGGGACAAGATCTAGTTGATTTCGAGAAATGGGAGTATTTCCTCTTGTCGACTCTTGGTCCGATGACGGGACAGGTCAACTGGTTCAGGTAAGTAAATACGATGAAAGGCGAAATGAGATGTCTGATTCCACTAGGCACTTCCATCCCTCGAAGAATGAGGACGCACTGCAAAGATATGTTGCTCAGGTCTATCGGTGCTACGATGTTCTTGAGGGCCAGTTACAGAAATCGGTAGGCATGAGTATCTTGCCTAGCAGAACTACTGCTGTTGATTTTCATTTCCTGCCTTGGGTGAAATGCTATTCCTTTGCGGGTCTCTCGCTTGACAATTATCCTCTGATTAGAAAGTGGTTTGGGCTAATGGAAGCTCGCGAGGACGTTCAGGAAGCTTATGCTAAGATTCACAATACTGTACCGAAATAGTTGGCTTCCATTCGTGCTTTCTGTTACCGTGGGTACTTAAAGAAAACATGAATGCATTACCAAAGTAGTCATGAAGGTCAATCAGAACATGACTATATGCAGTCTTTACACAACTTTTAGCCTGTCTAGTTTATTCAGCCTGTCAGCAACACTTTTGGAACAGAGACAAGACACAGTAACAAAGCTTTTCCATCATGAGAACGTCCAGGCATCTTCCCCCCACGAACATTAACCTGTAAAGCTTGATGGAGCATTATCGGCTCGGAAAGAACATGATCCTTCCCACCCTTCCACGCCACAAAGTCTTCCTCAGTAGACCCACCCTTCAAATGCTTATTCGTCTCCCTCTGTTCTTTTACCGTAACAAACGAGATGGGATCTCTCGCAGATGCCTCATTGTTGGGCGGATAATCATGTCCAGTATACAATCGTGTCGTATCAGGGAATTCCAAAAGTCGCTGCATAGACTTCCATAAAGTCTTCGCATCTCCACCTGGAAAGTCGCACCGAGCACTCCCGACATCTGGCAGGAAGAGACTATCTCCGGTGAACACATTAGATCCGATATGGTAAGCTCCGTGGTCTGGTGAGTGACCTGGCAGATCCATGGCCACCGCAGTCATCTCGCCAATGCTGAATGTCTCATCAGGCTTGAAGAGGTGGTCGAATGAGTTCTTGAATTCTTCTTTCGGTATGTTGTATCTGTGTGCACAAAAGCTTTGCACGATGGTAACGTTTTCCCCGATGCAAATTGAGGCATGCGGATGGCCTTTCGCCCATAGCGTTGCCTGAAGATAGTATGCTGCTGTGAGGTGATCGGTATGTGCGTGCGTTTCGAGGAGGTGCGTGACCTGAAGGTGTTCTTTGCGGACTATCTTGAGAAGAGCATCGGCGGATTGTGTACTGACTGTGAAGTTTGCTAGGTCATAGTCGAGGACGGGGTCGATGATTGCGCAGTCTTTTGTCTTGGGGCATACGACGATATACTGCCAAGAGCATGTTTTGGGTTCAAAGTGCGTGTGGACAATTGGGTTCATTTTGAAGGCAAGCACAGAAGAGAGGTCGAGAAGAATTGCTGTGGTTTGAAGATACTGCAATTAAAAATCTACCCCTGCCAATATTTGTAAGGTGTGGCTCATTACGTATTTACAGGTCATTGTTAGACGCATGAACCGTACCCTAACTTCCCAAGAGGTGGCGAACCCTGGACTTTGTGAGTATCATTCTATATGCCAACCGTTAGAACTTCAAAGTTGTCTCATCAAACTCCAGTGGATGCGAACATATGTCATTCTGGTAGTAATCAGTAATTCTAAGATCGATTTTATCCCACACGAAGCAAGCCTGGTTGCAATTTGAGATCTTAAAGACCGTCGAAACAAATTCTGCACGTATTAGACTCTTTGCCATAACCATTACCGTAACACTTTTAGTGTGTGGGTAAAGGCACTGCCGACGAATAAAGCAAAAAGCAACCAGGACGTAATCAATCCAGTTCAATGGAAGCACTGGAATCGCCGATTTTAAGGGCACAAGCCAAGTGCCCCGAGTGACAAATTCAGATTCACCCCAGCTAACCCGAAATCCCCGGCATTATCGCCTCGCAATTCTTCAAGCATACAGTGAGCACATTTGAGGTACCTCATCAGTAAGCGTCGGTCGGTCTTTCAAAATCTACTGGCGAGGTGAGATTTTGGAGCATATTACATCACGTAGACCAAGTTGCTCGGGGATTGGCTTTGAAAAGACTCGCCACTGATGGTTGACCGGTCGTCGCAGTCGTCATCAGCTTCGGTTTGTTCAACAGGCGCAACCCACTGAGAAACTTGGAGGTCAAGCGTATGCGTGCGGTGGTTAAAGCGGCATTGCCAGCTTTTGACAGCTTTGCAGTTAGGCTTTTGGCAAATGTGACCCAGGTAGCACTTAATGGATCGACATGCCCCAGCTCGGGAGCAAGGGTGTTGGAGTAGGATGTATCTGAGCACCTCAATAATGGTATTGGAGACGTCGCTGTGGTCATATTGACAGCCCATATCACCGCACTCGCCGGAGAGGTGGTAGCTATTGCACACTCTGTGTTCCTTGGCTCGGCGATGATATTCGTCAAAGGCCTCGGGAGATGGATGAGGGCAATAAGTGTCGAGCCGGTCACCATCTTTATTGATGGGGATAAATTCCTCGGATTTCAGACTCTGCGTTGGCAACGTGGCGGTTAGAAATTCCTGCGAGCGACCCACGACTGTAGGAGAAGACCACAGTTGCTTAGGCGATGGCGAGTCAGAGTCTGCCGATTTAGCCAATTGTTGATTTGACGGCACATGTTGCTTGTTGCAACCGACGCCAAATTTGCAAATTCCCTGATGATGTGTGAGCATGGTTTCGTGAGAATCGAATATACCATGGACGGAATTACCTTTTGGAAATGCTTGCAGACAGGCTTAGTGCCATTGGTGGTATTAGTGATCTTGGTATTAATCGTCTGGACTGGTGCAGTCTGCTTTGTGATAGCTAGGGGAGTAGACATGAATACAGAGGGTAGTTCTCTGATTGGTAGCTTTAGGTCCTCGAACTCCCGGTGGAACGAGGCGGCTTTGATAAGGGTAATTCGGTCACTGCCCCTGTAAGGAGTGAGCAAAGAGGTGAAGCCAGTGTCATGGCAACCTGCAAAGTAGATATGACGGCATTGGTTGAGATCCACAAACAAGCGGAACATTTCTGCGACGGCCATTAGCGTGAGATAAACATCAGGTCCACTAAGTGTAGATGCATACCTCTAATTTTGAAATCGCTGCCCTCTTTTTTCTCGGCAGCATCGATGAAATCAAAAAGGTCCTGGGCCCTAGTGAATGAAGAGGTAAATGGTGAAAGGGAGCGAGCTTCATGCCCAACCATTCCCGCGCGAGCGAGGGCTTTAGACAGTCCCAGAATATTGGCGTAAACACGGACCATAATTCGACACGAATCAGCTTGCATTCCCATTGTCGAATGCATCAGCTCTCTGACGGAGTCGCTCAGTTCGCGGGCGGCCTTAACACCGCCCTCACTCCCCGCTTTAAGAAAATGCTCCTTGAACTGGAGGACGGTTGATTAGCTGATTTAGAGCAAAAATATGGAAAAATCTATTCGGAAAAGCAAGATGGCTGAAACGTACAAGGTATCCATCGCCATCGACAAGCACCAGAACGAATGGGTTGCGCTCCTTGTAAATATAGTTAGTGACCTTTCCCGGAATGTTTAGGCGCCCGCTAGCTTACTTGACCCCGGGCCTGTCTTTTGTACTTCTCTCGACCTTCCTTGACTTCCTCATAATCACTTTTCAAGGAGCTGTAGTCATCGAGGAGATTTTTAAACTGGTTCAGCAGACCCTGCAAATTTTCATGGTTGCGTTGATTTTCCTGAGACAAGGATGCTAAGTGATTGTTCAGGGAATCTATATCGGATTCCCTCAGCATATTGAAGGTAACGGGAAGGCGTACGCCTATCCCATGCAATACAGAATCTCAGGAAAAGATCGTGAACATTCAAACTGGTCCCAGAACAAGATTTGTAACGATCGGCAAAATCGGTGCGTTGTTGATACGTGGGGAAGGGAGAGGAACAAATTTGTAGCTGCGTTGGCAGAAGCGGTCAAACAGTGGGGTACCATCACCTGATCTCTGCATGTACTCTTTCGCGTGGATTATCGCAACCTATTACAACTCTTTACTCTTCGCTTCTTACTCATGTCTAATCACAAACAACCACGCGTTTCAGTCCATGCCAGCTCCCGTGGAAGACTTGGCACTGCAACCTTACAAAGCCGTCCAACGGACATGATCAGTGGAATCAACAAACCAAAGTACCCGGATTCTACGGTCTCGACCATGCTCTTCATGCAGTCTCTTTGTCATCTTTGCTTACGCAGTAACTCTGGAATATGCTGGAAATCATTTTAGGTTTCTTTTTTCTAGGGTGTCCTTCCTCAATTCAATGGATTGGGTCATTTCCACGGCCATATCCTTGATGCCACAGACCCGATCAGCATTCCTCGGCTCCTTCCCAACCTGTGCTTCCTGCGATTTCCAAGCCTTTGAACTTCAAGTCTCTTGCCCACTCTGCAAGATCGGGACCATCAAACCTACCACTACATTTATACGCGTGGAGAAGGCAATTAGGAAGTGCCATGGCATTACAAAGCGCCCGGTCGCCGATGTCACGGCGCAAGTACTACTCTGGCATATTTCAATCAGCAGAGCCCGCGAGAGCCCCGTCAAGCTCCTTTTTCCCGGCATCACATTCACACCCACAGTGACAATAAGCGCCTGCAATTCTCCCACCAGTTCATCATCATTATATTGGCGTCAAAGCTCACAAGAAAGTTGCTGCCTAAGGCTCTGGTGGCTCAACCCAAGTTTTTGGTCGCGAACTAATTAAACCACACACGTTCATACAGAATCCTCCTGAAAAATTCGCATTACGCCTTTACTCCTTGCCTCAAAACAAAATCGCGATTGGTTCGTATGAAGCAGGAAATCTTCTGCATAGCGCTTCCCCAAGACGTTTGGTGAGCTCATGCATTATTGCGATTGCAGTCCAGTGCATGACCCTTGTTTTCGAGAGGTAGCTTGGTTTGAGTAGAGGAGCTAATCTCCTACCGCTCTTTCGTTACATATGGCCTTAGCTGTTGACTCTGGGCGTCAATGCCATTTGACCCGCCCTTCAATTGGGATACGCCAGAGGTCCACATTTAGCTCCAGCATTGCTCGAGTCACTAATATCGCAATTCCTAGTGCGAAAGCAGCCACATGATTAAAAGAACATTCAAACTGGTATATCATGATATAAACAAGAATGTTTTGGTTGATGGAGGGAGATCCTTCAGCAAATCCTTCCCAATATTTGGGAGGCTTAAGTCAGCTTCGGGCATCTTCGATATAGATATTTATTTACGTCATGTTTAATGCTCAAAGGAGAATAGTTCGTTTCTAAACGATAGGAAAAAGCTCATTTTATACTATTTAAATTAGCCATGAAAGCACTTAAACAGCACGGGTACCCCGGCTTTCCCCAGCTATTCCAATTTCGGTATGCAGGATGCTCAATACAGCCCATGTGAAATCCGAAATTGTGCATGATCGGCAGCCGACGAAATCATGTTGCACATCATCAGGAAACTAGTGAAATTCGGTTCGTGCAAACCGACCTCGGCATCCCACATATGATACGAGGTTGGTGGGATTGTCATTGCTCTTCCGTGGAATATAAACAGTGACACCCCGCACTAGTTCCCGATCAAAGCCAACGTCCCTTGTAACCGCCATCATGAGAGTCATTTTGTTCTCACTGAGTGCCTTTGTGTTCTATGCGATCTTCTATTTTTCACAGGTCAACGGACTCCATGAGCTGAGCATTAAATCTGTGGCTTCCGGGAAGCTCCCGGGTCTCAATGAGCCCCTGCGCACAGTGTATACTGGGATTGAGCCTGTTGATCGTCTCCTGACCGTGCTTACTACGTTCTTTTATCCCGTTCTCGATGGACAGAGCTCCACACTGTTGCTTCACAGTATTGGGTTCTCTGGCACCTTTGGCGCGGCATGGACTCTGGTGGTCTTGGAATCGTGGCGAAAGGGTAATGCTGGTACCATTGCGGCATAGTAAGTCACGACTACAAGAGATACGATTTTCAAGATGCAACATATTAACCCCAAACTTAGTCCTGCAATTTTCGGTCTTGCAGCTCAAGTTTTGACCTTCGCTTTCGCAACTCCTTTGATCTGTGCCTTGCAGCTAGGATGCTCAGTTACCGCGCGCCGCCCCCACGCTGATAACATTCGTGTTCCTCGTGTTGTGCTGGCCGTCATTCCAGCTGTCTTCGTCATCGGTTTCCTGGTCCCGACTAACTTGATGATTCTTCCCGCACCAGAAGTGATCTCTGTGGACTGGAAGCAGATTGCCATCGCGGCCTGGCACCCTTGGCCTGCATATGTGTCCATTCTGACAACAGCGGCGTACTATGTCCTAGGCCCGTTCTTCACAAACAACCATCGGGCGTCCATGTCAGGCTTGCGATGGGTCTACGCATCGGCATTTATCCATTCGGCAATCAGCCACCTCGTCACACTGGTCATCTCTGTTGCGACTGTTCTGGCTCCTACTCTGTTTGACACCCGCTTCGTGGATGCGCTTCACCCATCTAAGGTATATTCTTTCCCCGTTCCGTGGTCTGGGTTGAAGGTTGATACGGTGGCCGATGGCGTGCATGTGTTCTTGCGTTGGGACTATATGATCGGATCGGCGGGCATTCTGCTGTGGGCCTTGAAATTGCATACCGTTGCTCACAAGCAGATTTTGAGCTCGGTCTCGTGGACAAGTCTTATCTTCAAAGTCAGCTTGTTGACGGCTCTTGCAGGGCCCGCTGGTGCAGCAGCGGAATTGATGTGGGAGCGCGATGAACTGGTCTTCAGTGAGACTGGCTCGCGGCAGCAGGTTACAAAGGTCAAGAAGTCTTCCTAGCGCACTTTTCCTTGGGAATAAGTGGGCTCTCTCATCGGATGGAAGTATTTCGACTTCCAAGGTTGTCCGACATAACCTTTAGGGGTTTGACAACATTACTTGTATATTTTATACTGTAATGCAAATTCTAAACATATTTATGGCTATCATGCAGACATGGTATTCACAACATCATAAATCGCTTTGACGTATGCCTCAGTATTGGCGTTTCCAATAGTGCTAATCCCACTCATGCGATTCATTGCATACGAAATGGTCATCCGTCGTTCACGATCCATGATCATTATCGAGCCACCCCATCCTCCCCAAAAGCAAACATCGCCTTCCGGGATCCAAGGACGAGTCCGATAATCAGGGAGACCCACACCGAGACCGAATCTAACAAATTCGGGAGTGACAAGATCCTGTCCTTGAATTTGCTCTTCAAGGAGCTTATCAATGGTAGTTGGATCCACGATGCGCTTGCCATCAACAGTCCCACCGAGAGAAACAATAGAACCGATACGGGCCAGCGCACGCGCATTACTGAATCCATTGGTCGCACCTATTACAGCCTTTCTGAATGTCGGCGTCACTGCGACTTGAGCGGGGAAGGGAGATCCCATAATAGCTCTGGCCACAATGCTATTGGGATCCAAATCTCCAATGGACAGAGCTGCAGGTGGGACAAGCTCCGCCGTACGATGCCACTGATCTTCCGGTACTCCGTACTGGAAATCCGCATCCAAAGGACGGGTAATTTCATCTGCAACAAACTGCTCCAATGGCTTCCCGGTAATTCGGCGGATGACCTCGCCAACCATGTGGCCTTGGTTGGAAAGTTGATAGCCGCTTTTCTCTCCGGGAGTCCACCAAGGAGCTTGCTGGGCAAGTTTCTCGGTAGCCACCTTGTTGTCACAGAGCTCTTCAAAGGTGACAGGCAATTCCCACGCGGGGATACCAGATGCATGGCTGAGAACATGAGCTACCGTGATGTTCTCTTTGCCGTTCGCTGCGAACTCGGGCCAGTATGTCGCAACCTTTTCGTTCACGTCTAGTTGGCCGCGATCGACAAGTAGCATGGCGGCTAGATTGGTGACTACCTTCGAGCAGGACCAGACCAGTGTAATGGTGTCCTTGGTCCAGGGTTGAGTCTTAGGCACGTCGGCATGACCACCCCACAAATCGAGGACATCTTTGCCATCAATGTTCACGGCGAGCGATAGACCTAGTTCTTCTCCTGAGGAGAGTTGTTTCTGCATAAGCTCCCGTACGGAGTCAAATGCGGGATCGTTGGTTCCGTGGATCTCGGACATTGCGGGGAGTAATTGTATGGTGCTGAGGAGTAGACGACACGATAATATACTTTAGAGGTTGGACTCGTGATTGACTTGATAGAATTGACGTCCAAGATCTCCAAGTTCTCCAATGGATGAAGATTCAAAATCAAGGTTCAAACCAGGCAGCGCTGTTTATGCAGGCAGCTCTGCTTATGAATTATAAGATCGCTGACTCAGTAGATCTGCACTGCCTTCGATTTACCAGATTGGGTAAAGCCGTAACCTTGGCATCGACCCGTCTCTACGTGACTTCAGCGCCCTTCGTCCTGTATTCAGGCCATGGTCGCGAAAGGTGTCCCCACCGGGGTGGTGTCGCGTTAGTTCTCCACTTTGCAGCACAGGATTCGACCTGCTTTATGGTGTACAAAAAATTCCAAGGTTGATGAGTGAGCGCTCGGGCTTTTGTCAGACTATGCTCGGCGACACTGAGTAGACTTTCAGTAAGCACAAACATGGTCCGACCAGTGCGCCACGTGCTATATCACTTGTCGACCTTTCGAAACTCTACTTGTAATGAATCATCAGCAAGGTTGCTTTTCTTTTTCTTTTTCTTCCATTTTCAACGTTTAAGGCTAGCTGAAAAGGCATCGTGGGGGCTACGTAACTTACGCCTTACAATTCCAAAGGTAAGATTGAGTTGGTGCGATATATTTTACCTTTGTTGGAGGTTTCCATCCCTTGGTCAAACGATAAAGCAAATATAAATAGTTATATACTGAGTTGGCGCCATAGCTGGCCGGGTCGGCGTGAAGAATCATTGACTAAGGCCAAGCCTGGAACAGAAAAACAAAGATAGAAAGAAACACATACTGGAAGCTAAAATCCTGCTAGGTATGACAGATACTTGTCCATAAGCCCTCGGTCGAGGACGGGGAAATCAAGACCGCCTGAAATATTCAACATACGATCTGTGTTTGTGGTGTCATACGCAGGCATGTTTTCATATAGCTCCCATCGAGTCAGCCCTTCATGCACCTTTTCAGCGAGCATGGGTTGAAGGGGCTGCAGTCTGTATGGAGATTTGTCATCCAGAAGTTTTATCCATTCTTGATAAGGAAGCCCTCTAATGGTGGCTCCAGATGCAGATCCAACGAGATCCATTGTCTCATTCATGTCGATGGACGACTTGCGATTCGGTGGAACAATGTGGTAGGCATGGCCCAGCGAAGAAGATGCTGTAGACGAGGCGATGCGCAGAATTGCTGCGTTGACATAGTCAACCGGGACAAATTCTTTCCTTTGATTTGGGAGCAGAGGGTAAGAGCCCATCTCAGCACAGGAGTGAATCAGGCGACTGAAAAAGTCATCCGGGTTGCAAGCTCCTGTTTGACTGTGTCCTGTGATAAAACCAGGGCGGTATATGGCAATGGGAAAATTGCGGTCCATCACGCGTCTTAACAATGTTTCGGCGACCCATTGAGATTGGGCATACCCGTGGTCATAGGGAAGTGCCTCAACATGCTTGAGAAGGGGCTCATCCTCAGTGATCAACTTGGTCCCTGTCACGAAACCAGTTGGACCAAAGCAGGAGATACTGGAGACATAGTGAATTGCCTTAGTGCGACCACCGGCACATGCGAATCGCAGAATGTTTCTCGTGCCGATGACGTTGGCAGGCCGGTGAAGAGAGTATGGCTGAGTGTAGTTGACTCTGGCGCCGAGGTGGAAAACAACGCTTGACCAGCCGGCAATTTCTTGGAAACGCTCATACCCGAGACCTAGGTAAACATCTTCTAACGTTCCACAGAGGATCAGCAACTTATCGGTAAAGCGCTCCTCCCACTGGCCGTATTTTCCCATCGCCTGCTTGATACGCTCGAGGCCTATTGAGGGATTCGCAGCACGTACTAAGCATCCCACTTGATGAACTTCCCAAGTGCGAAGGAGGTCGGCCAGAAGAAACGCGCCCACAAAGCCAGTGCCTCCTGTGAAAAAAACACGTCCCTCTGTATCTCGGCGCCAGTCAATGACCGGTCCTAATGGAGGAGCGAGGTCGTCCGCGATATAGGTGTCTTGAATCCAGGTATTCTGCTCGTGACGAACAGTTTCGGCAATGCTATTTCGCGACCTGTCAATGGTTGATGCTAGACCGGTGAGGTTGGAGTTGTCGTAGAGTGTGAGAAGCGAAACATCTGCTCCTAGGTCCTTTCGGATGTGGCTGATGAGAAGCGATGCTTGGAGGGATGTCGCCCCAAGTTCGAAAAAGTCGGCATTGGGATCTTCCGGCAGAGATGAAAGCCCAAGGACATCTACCCAGAGGTTTGCCAGTTGCTCCTGGGTACTTCCGGTGTTGACTCTTTTGATCAAAATAGTGTTGGAATCTGACCATCGCTCCCGGTACATGCTGGTCAGACTTTTGCGGTCAATCTTCGCGTGACTGTTGAGGGGCATCTTCGGTATCAACTCGATTTGTGGGACCATATAGTCAGGAAGCATTGTTTTCAATGAATCAATGGCACTGGCCATTACGAAAGGCTTATCTGGACCTGCCACAGCAAATGCAACAAGAATGGATCCTGCATCGCTACCTGCTTCGACCTTCAATGCCACAGCCTCGGAGAACTGCCCAGTCTGGAGCATTGCGGTTTCAACAGCCTCGAGCTCAATACGATACCCGCGTACCTTGACTTGATGATCCAGTCGTCCTATATAATCGATTTGCCCATCGGGGCGCCTTTTGACTCTGTCTCCAGTGCGATAGAACTTTTGGGTTTTCTTCTCGTGCGGCAAGTAGACGAAAGCAGAATCATTCTTTTCGGGCTGATTAACGTATCCAGGAGATACGCCAGGTCCACCAATCCACAGCTCCCCTTCTTCTCCATCCAAAACAGGTGTTCCAATCGCATCAACAATGTGAGCAACGGTTCTGCCAATTGGCTTACCAATGCTCACAGTGCCGATTTGTACATCCTCTGGCGTCACTTTATGAACGAGACAAAAGATGCAACATTCTGTTGGCCCGTACGCATTAATCAGATTTTGCGGCGGACCTTGTTTTAACACCGTCTCAATAGCAGCTACATTCGCGGCTTCTCCTCCGATGACACATATCTTCAGTTGCGAAAATGCACGCGGATATGTCGAAGCCGCGAGATTCAAGAGGGCGGTTGTCGTGGCCATGATTGTGATATCCTTCTCCTTGATTGTTGCCGCCATTGCCGGAAGATCTAGCAAGACTAGCTTGCTCAAGACAGCAATCCGAGCTCCACGCAAGAGAGGAACCCATATGTCAAATAATGACACATCAAAACTCGTGTTATTAACATGGGCAACGGTATCCGTGGAATCGACGGGCTCAAAGGGTGCATGATAAACAACCTGTAAAATTGAGCGAGCAGCAATTTGAACCGCCTTTGGCTCGCTTGTCGTACCTGATGTGTGAATCAGGTGTGTTCGGTGCTCCAGTGTCGTGATGACCGGGACGTCTTTAACTACCATCGAGGCATCTTCGGGTGTCAAAATTGAACCATCCTCCAAGTTGATTTGTTCGAAATGAATTTCTCGGCTCATGTTCGCCCGGTCAACCAATGTGTATCGGGTGCCAAGATTCTCTAGACGACCCTGGATCTGTGCGTCTGGTAATGTTGGGTCCATCGGTGCACAGCTTCCTCCAGCGTAAATGATGGCCATTTGGGCCACAATATCTGCCCAGCCATGCTGCACAATTATACCAACAGGTTCCTCGAGTCCTAGGTTGTTTTTGAACAGTTGGTGGGAGATTTGTAGCGCATGAAGGTGCAGCTCTTCGTAGGTGATTGTAATTTTATCGTCGAGCACCGCCACGGCATTTGGAAATTCCTTTGCTTTGGCTTCGAAGAGTTGACCGAGGCCATGGCCCTGGTCTACGATCAGATCGTATTCTTTCGAGTAAGATAATTCAGAATGCATTCTTTTAAAGGGTAGGACGATGGCGTCAATTCTGTGGTAGATGACTTTATGTGCCAGTCGTGAAATTTATAAGTTCTGGTCCTCGATACCCTGTATCAGAAACGAGCGAGTACTGCATAAAACCCAAATTTTGGAAGCTAGCTCGGGTTCGTCAATTGATCGACAGCTGTACCACATTGGCAGATCAAACTGCAATGTGATTTCATTCAGCTGTGGGCTTTCAAGCCCCACTAGGGTATCTAAATGTCACGTTCAATAGGCATATTATGGGTGTGAAAGTTTGTACAGTGAATACCAGAAGACTTTACACTCCCTATGGGTCCACTTGCAGCGTAACCCTCCTCCCCTATGCAGTGTTACTTGAGAGATGCAGCTCCACAATGCCCTTACTTTATAAGGCATCATACCCCGACCTGAACGGAGAAGCGGAGGGATACATCGTGAAACATGACGAAGGATCTTCCATGTGGGCCATCTTGCCTTCACACTGGCCATATCCTTCCGTGCCCTCATATATTAGACATTCTGTAGATGCACAAGCTACGCTAGCCACTTCAATGGCGTTGTTCGGAGCTTGCATCACCTACCTGTCCTCGCTATTTGTAGTGGATCTATATGCAGATGCCTACCAATGTTTATTTGTCAGGATGTGACCAGGAACCCCCGTATCTGTATGTTTCTCGCAGCTAGACCTTCTTTCACCCTTTTCACACCGTATCAAAACTCCATACGCTCCAGATTTCCGTGGTCTGCGTCCGTAATCTATGTATTATCCCGCCCCGTGGGACTGTAGCCGAACCTTTACGCCCTGCATTATCACTTCGCATTGCTATGATTATTGCGCGTGAAGTCTCTATGCAACCATGCAGGGAGGTTTACACTTTCCTCGAAGGTCGAATACTACTTCCTTCAAATGGCTCCTTTTCGCGGTGTACTTTGTCTGAATGAAGATATATGCCAGAAACAAAAAGTTTTTTTTTGGATAATGGATGTAAGCTATTGAAGAGGGAAAAGCAACCTCACTCCGGTAGAGTCCTGCGTATCAAACAGAGGGCTTCGGAGTAGTTCCGTCTTCCTTGCACAAAGTTGCGTCACCAAATCGAGCTGCAAACCATTCCTTTACGGTCACCAGCCTGTGCTTTTCGGCGGGATACTCCAATGCCACAGCTGTCGCCCTTTTCAGTTTAGTAGCGGTGTCAATCTCCGTAGTCTCACCGAAGTATTTCCCGCCAGTTACTTGGGTCAAGCCAAACATTAGCTTCACATCCTCCAATTCGTGAATCCCGTGTGTCTCAAATCGTTCCCAAGAAGGCAGGATAGGGGTCCAAGTCGCCTCCCGCTCGGTAGCTTCCTGGAAGTCCTCAATAAGCTCTTTGAAGCTGCGGACATTACTGAGTGCATGTATGAAATGACCATTCCATGCCTCTGGGTTCAGCAGAGCACCTTGCACAATATCTCCGAAATCGTCAGAGATACTCAGCCAGGGCACATCTTCCTTGCCACCCCAGTAGGGCGTCCGGAAAACCAGGCGTCCTTCGTCATTTGGGAAATGAGGAAAACCTCCAAAAATGGGTGCCGCCTCCTTACTGAGGAAGTTCTCTAAGAACCACCCTGGACTAAGTGGAAGCACCGACTTGAAAACTCCGAGACTGCGGATGTATTGCTCGGTTTTGTATTTCACTAGAAAATATTAGCAATACTCTATATCCGCAGAAAAAGGGCACTCACTGTCCATTGCTTTCATTGCCACTTTGCCATTTGTCAGCTCTGAGCATGGTGCACCAGAGCTAAACACGAAATGTTGCACTCCTTCGGATGCCGCAGCGTCCACGATAATTTTGCCCATATCAAATTCAGTTGGGCTTTCTGGGTTCGTGAATATCTTAATTTGATAGTATAAGTCTCGTGTATTTTCACCACAGCATGCAAATTGAAGACCAACCTTGTCATCTGAATTGATGTTCAGGAAGACGCCCCAGGATCCCCGAAAGGCCGCTCTCATCTCTTCCGGATCAAGGCCATTCGCCTTTACCATTTCAGCGCCTTGGGAACTCAGAGCTTTGCTTGCATCTGACGTAGGGTTGCGGGTGACTCCCCTGACACGGAATGCTGGATTCTTCAGCAATGACCTTGCCACAGATCCGCCCTGGTTCCCAGTGGCGCCGAAAATGGTGATAATCTTCACTTCCATTTTTGATGTTCAAATTTATTAGATATGAATATCTTTCGTTCTCTGCCTGAATTTCTCGGATGATAGGGTGAAAATCAGAGCTCGCGGGCTTGATTGCCATATTTTACTTTTGAATGGCATGAGCTACATTTGCCTCTGTGAACCTGACAAATATGACTATGTCCACAGATTTGCATCATGTAGGTATGTGGATTCTGGTTATTGATTCACAAAAAGAAAAAACCAATGGCTCCACAAAGAGACGTGTGACTACACATATCATTTATTTCATATCGTCAGTATTCTTTTTTTATTTTTATTTTTTTTTCCAGTTCCAGATGTGATGAAAAGCTCACAAATTGGAAATCGTCTGGTCAGATACTGGGCGATCTTCATAGATCAACCTGCACCCTGCACGGTACCTGCTCCACGGGGACATTCATGCATAAAACAGCCATGGCTGAAGCTGACTCGGTCCAAATTTCTGATACATCTTTATTTTGCATAGCTGAAACTCCCAGTCTCCGAATCAACTCGCCCCCATTGTTGCTTATTTACACTAGACCCACCTACGCCCTTACATCGCGGATCTTCAGGTTCAGCGGAACCTGGCCCTGCCATACCCCATATTCCTTCATCTCATGTGGGTCAATGTTATCGGGCTGGGCCTCAAAGTCAAAGTTCCACAGTAGTCGTGCCACGATCAGTCGCATATTCAGATACGTCAAGCTGTAATAGGCAATTGATCAACAAAGATTTTCCACCATCTGACGATGTCAGGGACTTACTTGATTCCAATGCATTTCCTTGGGCCAATGGAGAATGGCGCCCAGATCTGTCGATTGTCCGAGGCAAACTCTGGGTCACCCAGCCATCGCTCCGGAAGGAATTCCTCCGGGCGCTTCCAGTACTTTGGTGATCTGTACGCTGCGAGGAGGGCGACTGACACCCAAGTCTATGCTTGATCAGTAATGTCCTTGTCCAAGGGGTTGTGGCGGAGTGATATATGCTTACCCCACCAGGTACCCATTGTCCATCAATATAGCTGCCAGACTTAGGGGTAATACGGTGTAGCCCGACTGGAACTGAAGGGTGGATTCGAAAGGTTTCCTGGATCACAGCCTTGAGGTATTTCAGGCTACCCACAGCATTGAAGGTGATTTCCTCCTCGGTCGAAAAAGTTGATCTAACTTCGTGGACCAGCTTCCGGTAGCTGCCAGGGTTGTGTGTCAGATAATAGAAAAGTGAAGAAAGTGTGGTGGCTGTCGTTTCGCTGCCCGCAGTGGCCAGAATGTTCACATTATCGACCAATTCCTCTTCAGTCATTCCTTTGGGGATGCAAGAGGCAAAGTCAGCCCGCGCAAGGTTTTCCATTGTCTCGCGCTCGCGTAGGTTCTTTCGAACGTTTTCCATGTGCGCTTTGTAGGGGCCACTGATATCTCCGGGAATTAATTTCTCAAGGAGCGGGTGGTAGGGCTTGAGTCGATGGGCGCACTGTAGGAAATGGGAATGCTTCATGGCACCAAATATCACATTGGCCCACTCGTGGTAGTCGGCCATCTCAAGGCAGCCGATGGATTTTCCGAAGGAGAGGCAGCTTAGAATGTCGAAAATGAGAAAATTGCACCAAGCTCCGACGTTCGCAATTCCATTGGCATCGGGATAGCATGCTTTTCCGGATCGATTGTTCCTGAGTGCATCAATAGTCATGCTAGTATATTGTTGAATGGTCGGCTCCTGCTCTTTGATTGCCTGCTCAGAGAATGCCGGCGCCATGAGCTTCTTGAATCGTGGATGTTCCCCAGTGCTGGCAAACAGGATATTTTGCGCCGTGCCTTCACCCTGAATGTACACTGCTGGATTTTTCTCAAAGGAATTGTCCTCGGTGTTCCTATTCCCGAAAATCGTCTGATTGGCTGACACGGTCATGTATGAAATCTCGTTGGGACCAGCCCGAACAACTTCTCCATATTTCTCATGGAGACCGGCAAGGTATTTGCAACTGTCTCCTCTCACCATGTGGTAAACATAGACAAGTCCAGTGGCAGCGTCCAACTTGGGTCCGGGGTAGTTTCGTAGGGGATGGAATAACAGATTGTATGTGGCGAGGCAGAGGTGAATAATTGCCCACTGGATAGTGATAAAGATTAGTGACTGCTCGGGTAGAGAAGTGAAGTTGCTCTGCCGAGTGTCATACCGCGCCGGTGAGAGCTATCGCCCATTCCAGAAGTTCCATTGCCGCTATATCAGTCTGGGTATTGTGAAAGAAATAATTTGTGAGAACTAACGGGGCCGAATAAACACGGTGTGGTTATAAATGCGAGGGCGAATCTGTCGACTGCCTGATCTCTCAGGTATGCAGCTTAAACCATAGTGAGGGAGGAGTATATTTGTACTACGTATCTGTAATCCTACCTACAACTCGACCCACTGATCGTCGAAGGTACTGTACAGCTCAGCTCGGGGCCCCGATCCTGCAGACTATCGCGAAATAATCTTCAATCAATTGGTCGCTGTATCCGCCAAGTGGGTCTTCCAGGATGATATCACTGTACAGGGGATTATTGATACCCTTGGGTGATATCCTCTTATAATTGCTCTTTCGTCGACTGTACATTGATCTCAAGCTCCTTTGCGATTTTAGACAAAAGTTCTCCCACATTCCTCTTCGTCAGATTTCGTCACCGTGATGGGCCGTTTGATTGATAAGGAGCTACCATATAAGCCCGAAACCCCTCTACGGCTGGTGGTTGTGGGACTTTCCCGCACTGGCACGGCTTGTAAGTGTACCTTGTATGATTTCGCCGCTGAAACTGTTACTGAAGTTTCTAGCTCTATATCTGGCATTGCAGGAACTAGGCTATACTCCATGGCACATGTGCGAGCCCGTCGACAACCCCAGTCGTATGTACAACCAATGGACAGAGGCTATGAATTGCCACTTCTTTGGAGGAACTCGTCCCTACGATCGGAACGACTTCGACAAACTGCGAGGCCGGTATGATGCGCTGTTGGATATTCCAGCCTGCCTATTTTGGGGTGACTTGCATAAGCTGTATCCGGACGCGAAGATAATCCTCACAACACGGTCCGGGGAATCTTGGTTCAAATCGGTTCATGCAACCATCATTCCCTGGTTGGAGAAGCCCATGTTGAAATTTCTCCAGCATTTTGATAGCAAGCGACTAGGGCCCGAGATGCGCATGGTCAGAACGGCATACAAAGTCATCTGCGACAATAATTATCACAGCTCCAATATGATTGATTCCTATCTCCAACACAATCAGCGGGTCAGGAATGGAGTCAATCCAGAGCAATTCCTGGAGCTCCAGCTCGGTGATGGGTGGGAACCACTATGCGCATTCCTCGGTGTGCCAGTGCCGGATAAGCCATATCCCAGGGTTAATAATACCAATGAGTTCAATCAGGGCGCAGAAGACGCCGATGCGGCAATGCTGACTGGCATGTTCAAGATGTGGCTAGCTGTATTGGTACCCGTGACAGTAGCTGGGCTGTGCTTCTATTTTCAAAGGGCATAAACAGGAGGTCTTACTGTATGTAATACGTGACTCAAGTTGTGTATGAATAGCTTCCGTATGAATAAAAATAGAGCATTGTGGACCACCAGTTTGGATTGTGAGTTACAAAAGTATGTAACTTGAAACTTTCCTGTTCCAGAATTATTGCGGTGATGTATACCCCCGCCGAGTGTATTGAGGCGATCAATTACGAGAAAAGCTCTAATATAGGCATCCCTCTTGAAGCGGATTTTCGATAATTCTTCCTGTCTTCACCTCCTCACCGTGGCGAGCCAGGGTAGCAGTGTTCATGATACAAGCTTGATACGTCGTCCAATAGTACTCAGCACGAATGAAAAACTACTCCGTGTTGAATCATAATTATTCTTAAGTAGCGCTCCATTGGCTTGGACCATTGATGCATCTGATCTTTTGCTAGCGCTGTGTCACGCACCGCTAATTCAGTTGAAATACGTGCATGCAGGAAAGTCGATAGTGCTCTGTTACATGCATTGCCATCCAAAAGATCTCATTTCACCTATGTATCAGAGCTGTCAGCTCAACGTGCACCCGTGAAGTCATGGCTAGCTGAACTTTCATATCGCATGTGACGCAACTACTCCTCTTCCGCCTTCCTTCCAGTGGATCTTCCTTTTCCCATTCAGCTTCCTCTCTATGCACCATACATAAGCCACGCCAAGCCACAAAAAATAGCAATTATATTGTGTAACAGAGCGATGATGATCAGCAAGAAAGTAATGCAAAGCGATCCGAATTTTCTGTGAGGGTTGGGAAGCGTCGTGGAGCTTCCGTATCACAGGGCGGGATGTGTTCTGCTTCTTAGACTCCGATTGTGTTGCTATTTTGAATGTATTATTTGCAGTGCATATCTCGAAATCTATCGTTAACCTGTACAATCCAACTCTGCCAAGCTCCTGCTTCTCAAAGTACATCCTCTCAGCTTCAGTCCTCTCAAACATGACTGTCTCTACCCAACCTCAACCAAAAGATCTCTATAGTTCGTCCTATTTGGCCGATTACTATGACCTTGTTTCGACCTCACAGTCCGTTGATGATGCCTCGTTCTACTGGAAAGTCTACCAAGATTTGAAGCCTTTGCGATCATGTACCCCTGATGATCCTTTTGTCCTCATGGATCTCGGAACAGGCACGGGACGCGTTCTCCATGATCTTGGACGGAGCGCTACCGAGAAAAACGTCGAGATCTTCAACACCGAGGTCTTGGGTGTTGACAATGCGGCCCACATGCTGGAAAAGGCTAGGAAGATCACGACTGCGCCTTTGAAGGAGTATGTCAACTGGATCAATGGCTCTGCACTCGATCTGGAGGCCGTGGTGCGAGACAGAGCTCATCCTCATATCGACCTTCTGATATTTTCTTTCGGATCCATCAGTCACCTTTCTGAGTCTGGTCAGGTAGAAACATTTCTCAAGCAGGTCTCCAGGGTTTTACGCCCGGGCACCGGACGAGCTTATGTTTCAATATTTGATGGCTCTCTCCTCCACAAGAGAAAGCACATCGCATTACATCATTCTAAGGAGATCAATGAGATTCAAAGTGAAATCTTCCCTCATGTTCTGTACCGAGGATCAAACCACCGGGTTGATCTGGAAGGCAACATCAAATACGTCAAGTTTGATCTTGAGGCTGTGAACATCGAGGATCAGAGCATTTTAGAAAAGAATGACATTTCCATGAAGATGCGCCAGTGGGAGGAGGATGAATTAGTGTCTCTTTCATCTAAGACGGGAGTGAATTTTGTTGAAAGTATCAGGGGTGCACATGAGACATTCTATGTTTTCAAAACACTGGCTTAGAAAACAGGGACATTCTACTTGGGCTACTCCACAAATCAAGGCAGCTATCCTTCGTCGATCACGTACATATTGACTTGACTCCCTCCATCCTTGCTCGAGCGGCGATCGCCATTATGCATGAGCTGAAAAGTAGTGGAGACAAATGTTACGTATTAGATTCTGTACTACGTACCCACCCGGACCAACCCCTGCTTCTCTACCATCGTCACCGTATATCGTTCATATTGCATGCAGTATTTGCAAGCTTCCTTGCCATTTACCATCACTCCTTTATGTTAAGAGACTTTGCGTAGCACACGGAGCATCTTTCTCAGCTGCCGCTTAATTTTGGCCCAACCCATCTCCTCTCATCCGGCGATCTTCCTTGGTATCAGCATGGAGAAATTTCGCGATTTACGGGCTTCGAGCACCTTTATACTAGTGGCCATGTGCCTCTCGTCATTTACCGATACTTTCATTTATGGCATGGTACGTATCCTGGGCCAAGGCCTGTATAATAATTAACTAAAGGGTTATTTTCTAGGTCATACCAATCTTGCCTTACCTACTAATCAGCAACCATTTAACCTCAAGCAACGATGGTATGAGAATATATGCACGCCGCCGTGAAACCTCTCAGACTTACTTATCAATCTCATAGTTCAGAAATGGACATCAATCTTGCTCACAGCATATGGAGCGGCCCTCCTCGTCGCATCCCGTAAGTATTCAGGAAGGTCCCTGATATGATCGTTCTCAGCTCACTGTTTGCAGCACTTGTCGGCCTCATAAGCGACCGTATTCAATCTCGCAAATCACCATTGATACTCGGATACATCGCTGTCGCAGTATCAACCTTAGTATTTCTCTTCGGACATTCATCAGCACTCCTAGTCGTTGCTCGAGTGTGTCAGGGCTTTGCGGGGGCTGTGGTGGGTGTTTTGAGTTTTGCTATCGTTGCAGATACTGCTCCGCCTGAAAAAAGAGGTGAATATATGGCATATGTATCCCTTTCATACACCTGGGGGATGGTTTCCGGACCTGTATTGGGAGGCCTTCTGTATGTGACTCTTTCTGACTAGTGATTCAAGGAGAGTTTTGCTTACAATGATACAGGTTCGATCACTTTGGCGTACGCGGAGCTTTCGCGTTTCCGGCTGTCATGTTGATATGCGACATCATACTGCGCATGATGATACTCGAGAAGAAAAGTGATAATGCTTCCTCGCTATAACATTGTAAAAGTCATTTGCTCACCATCCGAGGGTCTAGTGGACGAAGACGACGCCGGATCACCCCAGGCTACAGAAGAAGCGCCGTTAATACTCCCAAGAGATCATACCGAGGCTTCCCTGCGGCTTCGCGACTTTATTGATGTACGCTTCATGACTGCGGTGCTAAATGAAATCACCATTTCAGCCATGCTTTCCGCATTCGAGACAGTATGTTACGCATTATGCTAGTGTCGCAACAAACTTCGGTGTCTAACTTTGTCCCAGACTCTACCACTATTCACTATGGAGACATACAAGTGGTCCTCGACAAATGCCGGTCTCGTCTTCTTGGGTATTTCTCTACCAAGTTTCCTCAGCATCCCAATGAGCAAGTACGGTCGTAACTCGAAGCGTCGTCGAGTGGTCGCTATCGAGCTGATCCTGGCCCTTTTTCCACTCATTGCACTTCGAACAACGGATGGTGCGTCTTCTAAACACCAAATTGTATTTGTTGTACTGGTGGTTGTAGTCGGCTTTTTCATGACCACCTCCCAGGCACAGGTCATGGCCGAGGTATCTGATGCTGTGCGGGGGATTGAGGTGAAACATGGTATCAATTCCAACCAAAAGAGTGGTATGGGCACTGGTTATGCATTTTGTAGCATGGCCATCGCAATCGGGCAGTTTGTGGGACCTCTTATCGCTGGTTATGCGAGGATGGCCCTTGGATGGGGAGGTATGACTCTCGTATTGGGTGGGACATCGGGAGTTGTTGGATTCTTCTCCTTGATTGTCAATCGGTAGAATTGATATGTAGTCATATTCCGCTCATAATTAGAGATCAAAAGTCACGGTTAGAGTTAAAGGGTGAGTAGATACGGGTTGAACAATGAATCTATTGAGTGCATATAGCCTTTGGAAAGCGGATGAACCGGGTATATTCATCTGTTCCGTAGCCGTTGAACCCCAGCGGGAACCCAAAACACCACGGACTTACCCCGCTCCTTATCGAACCATGTCAGACGACTGGAAAATATTAATTAAACACCCCTTAGTATCGTTTGAGCATTACGCTCATGGTGTTCAGTGAAATAAAGGCCTCGGAGTTCAGTGTATTATTAACCCACTCACGTACTCACACTATATAAGCTACTTGCTGTACTGAACGCGAAGGTAATAAAGAATTGAAATCCACTAGGTCAGCGCTTTCCTTACCGAGTATTGAAGTGACAGTGTGTACTCTGGCTGGAATGAGAGATTAGTACTTGACAAATCAAGTAACATCTTAATTGCCGCGTAACACCGGATGGGGTTAGTGGGTGTCCAATTAACACCTTGCGTGGTTAATTAATAAGATCCCAGACTGCCATTTTCGAGCCTCAATGAGAGGGTACAATTTCGACGAATAATCTGGGGCTCGTTCCTCTACATGCGTAAGCGATGAGTTGTCCCCATTTACCTCATTGATCGATTTGCTTGTTGCCTCAAAAGTCCTCCCGAGTGGTGGAGATAACAAGACTCTTCTTTCTTCTAATCTATCTCGTCTATTAAGCGTAGGCATTTACTTTGTTGCCTAACAGTCATCTTTAGAGTACCTCCATATATTGATCGGCTATATCTTTGTCTTTGAGGTCACTTGGCTATCGTCCAGCTTGGTTTCACAAACTATTTTGGATTATTGCTTCGCTTTGTTGGCATTATGTCCGGACCTGTGGTGGCCGATGGCATATGGAATGATTCCTCTTTGCTAGTCGGTCGGTCCAGCATCACATCATTTGGCCCTGCTACTTCCACAGGTTTCGACTTCACGCCGCTTTTCGAAGATGCGATCTTCTCTTTATTACCATCGGCACTCCTCTTGCTCATTCTACCATATCGCATCATCACCCTCTATGGTCAACGACAAAAAGTATCCTCGGGAGGGTTTTTACGCGAGAGCAAATCCATCTTTTTGGCCACATTCGCGACAATCCACTTAGCGCTTTTGATTCTGCATATATTGAATTCATCATTACGCACGGTTGCTACTATTGCCGCGTCGGCGCTGGCTTTCATTGCCAGTCTAGGTCTCTGTTTGCTCTCGCGGCTTGAGCATTCTCGCTCCATTCGTCCATCACCCATCATCAACAGCTATATACTCCTCACTTTGGTCTTTGACATTGCTCGCGTGCGAACTTTGTTCCTTAACTCTGACAGTGGGTCTATCGCTGGGCTGTTCTCCAGCATGATCGGCGTGAAAGTGATGGTTCTGCTTGCTGAAGCAGTTGAAAAGCGAAAGATGCTCTTGGCGCCATATCGTGACTTGTCGCCCGAGGAAACGAGCGGAATATACAGTAAATCCTTCTTCTTCTGGCTGAACCAACTCATGACTTCTGGATTTCAACGCGTCCTTCAAAATGATGATTTGTACCCAATCGTTGGTGAAATGTCCTCATCGGCTCTTCAGCAGCGAATGAAGAATGCGTGGAATGCGGCGGCACAAGATAAGCGAAGAGCTTTTTTCTGGGCAGTATTGCGTGCGAATCTGAAGCCATTTCTGTACTGCGTCATTCCACGTTTGATGCAGATTGGCTTCAAATATACCCAGCCTTTGCTGCTCACGCGGACGGTTGACTTTGCTAATGATGCGTCCCAGCCAGACAGTATTGGTTGGGGTCTCACGGGCGCTTTCTTCATAGTTCTTCTTGGTATCGCGCTTTCAAACGGCTTCTTCTACCACATGACCTTTCGCTTCGTGACGAGTGTTCGTGGCAGCTTGATCAGCATCATCTACTCCAAAACGGTCGACCTCAGCGTCACAGCCCTCGATGAATCAGTTGCGGTGACCCTAATGTCCAGTGATGTTCAATCCATTTGCGATGGATTTCAATTGATCAATGACCTCTGGGGAGTACCCCTTGAGCTAGTCATCGTGATTTATCTCTTGAGTCGCCAAATTGGCGTTGCAGCAGTTGTGCCAGTATTTTTCTCAGTCATATCCACTGTGGCTATCATGTCTATGGCAAAGTTCATGGGGCATGCCCAAAAAATATGGATGGAGAGCATACAAACGCGAGTTGATGTGACGGCAACCATGTTAGGGTCAATGAAGTCCGTCAAGATGCTTGGATTTTCTGATTGGCTCGCCGGTATTGTCCAAGGGCTCAGGGTAAGCGAGCTGCAGGAGGCAAACCTCTTCCGCAAGTTGCTTGTTTTGCGTGTTTTTCTTGGAAACAGCCTCAGATTCCTTGCTCCACCTGTGACATTTGCCATCTATACGGCGGTCGCGGACAAAGAAGGCTCCTTGGATTGGACTTCGGCTTACACGACCTTGTCACTTATTTCGCTACTAGCCTCGCCTGTCAACACATTGATCAGAGCAATACCCTCTATGAACACTGCTTTAGCGTCACTCGGTCGTATCCAGGAGTTTCTTCAATCAGAGGGCAGACGTGATCATCGCATACTCTTGGAAGATTTTCCAGTCCCAGCACGACAGATCAAGTCAAGCACGGAAGGACTAGAGCTCACCGACCTCAGCCCCTTGAGGCACAGGCTAGCGTCAGACGTGATTACTGCCCGAGATGTGAGCTTCGCGTGGAGCCGTCACGCAACCTTCGCGGTCCACAACGTCAATTTAAGCGTTCAAAAAGGACAATTTTGTTTCATTATCGGATCGACTGGTTGTGGCAAGAGTACTATGATGAAAGGGATTCTAGGCGAGACGCCATCGACCAAAGGCTTCCTATACACAACATACCGAGACACGGCGTTCGTAGATCAGACACCGTGGATTCGCAACACTTCATTCAAGGATAATATTTTGGGCGCCTCGAACTATAACGAGATATGGTATCATGAAGTCGTCAGCGCCTGTGGTTTGGATCAAGATGTTGCGAATCTCCCAAATGGTCACTGTGAGTTTCTATTTTCTGAGATAGATTCCAATTGCTAACCTTTGCTCCACAATGTTAGCGACAAAGGTTGGTTCCTCCGGAATTTCTCTGTCTGGGGGACAAAAGCAGCGACTGGCCCTAGCTCGTGCCATTTATGCATGCAAAGATGTTATTCTACTAGATGACATATTCTCGGGCCTTGACGCTGACACTGAAGAGCACGTCTTCAAAGCGCTTTTTGCAAGGAACGGACTGTTCCGCCGACTGGACACGACTGTCATACTAGCTACGCACGCTGTACGCCGACTCTCCTACGCAGATCATATCGTGGCTTTGGACAGCGATGGCTCTGTTGCAGAGCAGGGTACTCTAGAGGAACTCAAGGCCAATGGCGGCTACGTTGCCCTCTTGAAAGCACAGTACAAAGACCAAGCAAATGATGGAAATAATCCTCAGCAGAAGGATGCAACAGCTGTCCTTGCTGGTCCTGATCAAGGAAGTCACATTGATACTACGGCAGAAGAGTTGGCTAGAGGCAACGGGGATTTCTCTCTTTACTTCTATTATTTTGGGTCCGTACATTGGGCATCCAGTCTTCTTTGGATGACTTTGCTTGCGCTTGAAGGGTTATTACCGAAATTTAGCGAATTGTTGGTCAAATTCTGGGTGAGCGCGTTGGACAAGAATGGCAGTTCTGTCAACTCTTTCTACCTAGGCCTCTATGCCTCGGTGTCAATCATAGCGGTCATTGCCCTTGTGGGTGGGGCTTACCACTTAATCATCTTCTTTAGCCCCCGAAGTGCTAAGACCTTACACGAACGTGTTCTCAAAGCAGTCATGCATGCACCCTTGTCATTCTTCACTTCAGTTGATACTGGCACCACCATGAACAGGTACGTTTACTTGATCAAGAAAGAAAAGCAAAAAGAAAGAAATTCCGAACATCTTGAATCCTAACGACCATTATCAGGTTCAGCCAAGATATGACCTTGATCGATCATGACCTACCATACTCTGTCTTCGATCTTATCTTTTCTCTTGCGAGCGGATTAATGTCCGCTATCATGATGTGTATATCGGCTCCGTACTTCGCTGCAGTGATACCGCCGGTTTTCATGTTTATGTGGATGTTGCAAAAGTTTTATCTCCGGACGTCACGCCAAATGCGACTCCTCGACCTCGAGGCGAAATCACCACTTTTCTCTCAATTTATTGAGAGCCTATCGGGTCTGGTGACAATCCGTGCCTTCGGCTGGGCATCTGTGTTCGAAGACCAGAATCTCACTCTACTTGACGCGTCGCAGAAACCATTCTATTTGCTTTTCTGCATTCAACGATGGTTGGAACTAGTCTTGGACTTGACTGTGGCGGTGCTTGGTACGATCCTGATGGTTCTCGTCGTCAAGTTGAGAAGTGAAGTTGGTACTGGATACGTCGGTCTCGCCATCCTCAACGTCATCACCTTCAGCCAGTCACTTTCCGAGATTCTGCGGAACTGGGCCGATCTTGAGACGTCTATTGGGGCCATCGCTCGAATCAAAGACTTCGTCACCCATACCGCCTCTGAAGATAAGCCAGGCGAGAACGAGGGGCTTCAAGCTGAAGAGCTTCACCTATCCTCTTGGCCATCTAAGGGTGCAATTGAGTTTAAGAATGTCTATGCATCATATAAGACAGGCGACGACCAACCCTATGTACTTCGCGATCTGAACCTGTCAATCAAGCCCGGCCAAAAAATCGGGATATGTGGTCGCAGTGGCAGTGGGAAAAGCTCTCTTCTGGCGACCTTGTTCCGACTGCTGGAAATCGACCCACAGGGCCGGGTTCTGATTGATGGTGTGGATATCGCAAAGATCCCACGGCAGGTTACACGGACGGCTCTTAATGCTATCCCACAAGAGCCATTCTTCACCCACGGAACTGTTCGTGCCAATATGGATCCGTCTAATGCGAACAATCATGAAGAAATAGAGCGAGCTCTTCGTCGTGTTGAACTGTGGAATATCATTGAGGCGAAAGGCGGACTCGACGCTGCTCTTGATGCTAATTTCTTCTCTCATGGTCAAAGACAACTCTTTTGTCTGGCGCGAGCCTTGTTGCGCAAGAGTAAGATTGTCGTTCTGGACGAAGTGACTAGTAATGTGGATGTTGTTTCCGACGCATTGATGCAACGGGTGATTCGTGAAGAGTTTGCTGATTGCACTATCTTGGCTGTTGCTCATCGGCTCGAGACAATCATTGACTTCGACCGCATAGCCGTGATGCATAATGGCGAGCTGATTGAATTTGATACGCCGCAGACACTTCTCAAGACAGATAGTGCGTTCAGGGAGCTTTATGAGTCATGAAGTGGAAGTAGGGCAATCGGTGGAGGGAGAAGCGTGGCTATATTAGGACGAATTCAATTATATATCTTACTTTTATAATGCTTTCTCTACACATTCATAGCCAGGAATACATGACGTCAAATTCAATTTCATCTCAAGCCTCGTATCTCTCAGACCTTCAGCCTACGCAGCTAAGGCTGGGCGTAAACGGTTCAAAAAGACGAGTATCTTCGCAACCAATTTTCCCTACTCCCTGACCTGAAAGCGATACTGGTCCTTGCGATTTAGAAATACTACCTTATCCTTTAGACCCGCGGCCTCGACAACGCGACGAAAGTCATCCAGCGAACTGGCAAACACATCATAGTCATCGTAGTGGATCGGAATCGTCAGGTCGGGTTGTATAAGCTGGATTAACTGCAGACCTTGTTCCGCATCCATAGTGACCATCAATGCTAGTGGCTTGATAAGTTTCCCCACTAATGGTGAGGGAATGGTTGTGCCACCAAGGTGGGCGAGCATCAAGTCAATCTTCTGTCCTGCGTATCGTTTAGGGATCTCTTTGAGTTCATCTACCATCAGTGTATCCCCTGAAATGTAGATACGATAACCGCAAGTAAAGTCTAGCATATTCGGCTCGCCGTAACCTAGTTCGAGCATCCAACCATTGGTTGGAGGGATCTGTTGTGTTAGGACTTCCTCGATATAGCCTGAAGAAATATGGAGATCGGGATATTACGTACGATATGAGCTATTTCGTTCAATCTCTCGATATTTCCATTGGGAGGCACATGTTTGCCCGGCATCCCAGTCACACGTAGTTGAGGTTGTTTTGAGCCTTCCCCACCCTCAATACTGACTCCAATCTGCTCAAAGTGGTCGATCGCTGACACAGATGTAAAAGCATCCTCATTCTTCGATTCGAGGTGCGTTTTCGCATGTGGCGTGGTGATAATGGGGAGATCTCGCCTCAATGAGGCCTCAACCTTTTTATCAAAGTGGTCCCTAACACAATCAATCTAAGAACTCTGCTATATATATATGTAGTGGCTCACTCATGGTAGTGGGAGAGAAGTATCAGATCAATTGGAGGAAGATCGTGAAGATCAACGGCTGGATCTGTTAGGCGACTACTCGTCACACCCGGTCCGAGATGCACATGCTCGCCCGCATGGAGAAAATTGGGCTAAAATTGTCAGCCGGTGAGCGTTGGAATTCTCATGCAGAGCTCACATCAGTCATCAACCGGATACCGGCCCATTCGCTGTATTTTTTAGATTCTGCCATCAGATTGGGATAATATGTACTTACATAATTGTTGTAGCGGTTCCCACAAAGAAAATTGATGCATTCTCCTCGCCTGCGTTGAATGGATGAACCTTGATTTCTTCGGCTGGAGGAAGTTGGGTTGGAACAGTCGGCTCTACCTTGTCACGGGTTGGAGCCTCCTTCTTTCGCGAGTCAATAGAAATGTACTCCATACCTTTGACAGTTGACGGGATGTGGATAGATACACAACGACCGACGAGCTTGGCTGCGATGTAGTTATATGGATAAGTCTGACGTCATGATAGTGAAGTTAAAATTGAACATGATTTGTTCATACTGTCCCGTGCAATGTTTCAGAGGTCAGTAGGTCTGCTTCGCTGAATAACCAGTAAGACCTTTCTGCGGAGTTGGTCTCGTCATTGGAGCCGTGATATTGGGCAGGCATTAAAGCTATAGACCGGCTGAGGAACAGCCGTGGTCGGGATCGATTTGGAGGAGTTCCCTAGTAAAGCGATACCTAAGTTGTCTCAAAATATGTCTAAGGAAGATCGTACTAACCCTTCCAAGGTTTGAGTTGGCATTGGGGATGAGCTTGAAGAGTGACTTCCACCTGGGCTGGGTTGCTTGGAAAGAGAGCGGACGAATTCCAATGTCTGCAAATACGATTAGTCCACGAACCTAGATTTATATGCAGGTCAACCAAATATTTAGGCTAGGTCGCATGCTCCATCAAGTTCACAGGTAGACTTTTAAGTGATCGAATAATCACGCAGAACAGACCAACGTGGTTTTGCCCGCGAAAAAAGGGTTTCCTAGCAATTGCGTTGGTTCCGAGGTTGTAGAGGGCGTAAGGAGTTCCTACCATACCAAGCCCATACGCCGACCCTGATGGGTTCCAGCTGGCTGTAGCTACAAATTTACGTATCTCAAAAATATTCTATGAGATTTATTCTCGTTCGTATGAACTGAACCTTGGCGTACTTTTTAGAACCAGTATCTATGATAGTCTTGTGCACGGATTGGGCCATAGCCTGACTCGAGGTAGATGGTTGAGTGAATACTCCAAACATTGTCAATCCCGATCGCTGCAGGTAGACAGATGGAAGCAGGACTAAATAGCAAAATCTCACACGTGGCGACTACCTTCAGTATACTCAATTGTTCACAAAAAACATTATGCGTATGGAAAGGTAGGAAATTGATTCTCCTGTTATAAAGTAAAGACCAAGTTTACTTCGAGTGGATTTGGTGGCAATGCCACTTTGTTACATCAGTGGGTACATGGTCTCGAGGGAATCAAGAAAAAAGTGATAACTCAGAAGACATAGTGTAAGCTCTGGTGGAACCCAGTACCAGCTCCACGGACCTTCGGGTCGGTCAATCCCATTGGACGCATTCTGGTGACGTCCAATTCCAACTGCTGGACCACCGGAGAATCAACTGCGCTTCATGAATGGCTTTAGCTCCCACGAGGGCGGTACCTTTGTATATTTTATTTCTTTATTTTTGCGCTTCGCACCTGGTCTTATCAGAGGCCCAAGAAGGTATCCCGGAAGCCTGACGCGTCAGCCCCGTCTCTAATTATACAGGCATCCTTAACTGGTTTTGCACACATTGTCCGAAGAAATCTGGCGCATGTACATGCTACGTCTGAAATCCTTCTTGTGGAGATGAGATTGAACGCTGAAAGCTGCCGATTGACGAGATGTACCATGCGGCAGAGGAACCGCGTATGACGTCACATATTCCCCCCCCTATACGTACAGTATAAGAGTCACAAATTAATTCAGTGTCGCCAATATGTAGTTGTTTGGACCTTGAATGGATACGCACACGCTTATTCATGATTTATACGACTCTGTGGGTTCTACAATAGTGCCCAAAAAGTGGATAGAAATGTAGTACTTACGTATTTCCTCCATTTAGGACGAGTAGCTTGAGTCTAGTTTAGAGAATTGATTCATGTGGTCTGATCAGATACTGCTAATCACATTGATGTCATAGAGCAAGTAGGCGCACCCTCAATAGAGACTAGTATCGTCATATCACAAATAATAACGCCCCTCATTCGGCCACGTATCAGAGATTGTTTTTAAATAAGAAGGGCCAGTACAGTAGGCTGATATCATCTCGCCGCTCACCCGCTCTGCGTGAAGCCAAGCTCACACTATCAAAAACTACAAAGCTTGGCCTCATTGATACTTTGAGGATTTTTGTGATCTCCACTACCACAACAGCGGTTGATTATTCTACGAGAATGTCCGTGTCCTCTTCGCCGAAGGATACTTCAGTTCTCCACCTCCCTCTCTCTGCGATCGCATACCTACGTCCTAAGCATCGTCAAGACCAAGACTGGACATATCGGCAAGCGTTAGGAAACACAGCTCTGAAAGTATCTTTGAAAACATTCGCAGCGCTTCACATGCGACCATCTCTCTCCCTCAAGCCACATCTTGAAGGCAAACGATTTATTCTGGTGGAGCCTGCAAAGTCCGAGCTTTATACAGGCGTCGCAATTGACAAAGATATCAAGCCAGAGACGATAGGAGGCACTTGGTTTCCAGAGCGCTTCACGCCAGAAACTGTCATCCCGAAAGGCCGGTATATCGTACTTCACTTCCATGGTGGATCATACATACTGGGCAACGGTCGAACAGCCTCCTGCGGCTTTCTAGCCAAGAACTTTTTATCCTATACACCATCTGCTTATGTGTTCTCTGTCCAATATCGATTAGCTGGTGACCCGAAAGGGCGTTTTCCAGCTCAACTTCAAGATGCCATTTCCGCCTACTGCTACCTGATCCACACCCTACACATTCCAGCATCTTGCATTGTGCTCAGTGGCGACAGTTGCGGAGGGGACCTCGTTTTAGGGTTGCTACGATATATTTTGCACTATGAGAGACCGTCTCTTCTTCCGGCGCCGAAGTGCGGCTGGGTCTTCTCGCCTTGGTGCAATGTTCCAAATGCCAGTAACAGCAAGGCGTGGATTGACAGCGCGAACTACAAAACCGAGTATATTCCGCCGTCATTCCCCGCCTGGGGTGCGAAGCATTTCCTGGGTGACTTACAGATGACCGAGCTACTCGAGCAATACGTGACGCCTATACGGCATCCCTTTGAGTTACCTTCGCCTGTCTTAATCGTCACTGGGGGTCAAGAAGTGCTATGTCAGGAGCATCGGGACCTCGTATTTGCGTTCCAGCAGCTACCCCAGAACACTTCAGCTATTAAGCTTTACGTGGAGGAGAATGTACCTCATGATGTTTTGATGATTGGCTGGCTTTTCAATTTCCGAAAAGAGGCTCGTCGATGCTCGGAAAAAGCCGGAGAATTCTTGAGGGAGATAGAATAAGTGAGAATTCTCATATTGTGACAGAGCATCCATTTTAACTCTACGTATAACTTGTATCCATCCACTCGAGTTTCAAGACGTGATACCAATAGGAAGGAGAAGGTGACGTAGTCGCCGTTAGCCGAGTGGGCGTATGGTGCGATGAAACATTCGCTGCTTGCTACGAATATTCAGCGAAAATCGGAGCACAATGGGCCCCTCATCGAATTGATATCGCACAATCGGTCAAGATCCCCATGGTCCCTTTGATTTGTGATGGCTAGTAAAGTATTTGCTTCTGCTCGACTGAATACCTTGACTTTCGCTTGTTTTCAACTTGATGGTAAGCGGGAGTGGGGTTTGTTTATATTTTGCTTCTTCCTGCTCCGTTCGGTGATCCCGACAGACGCTTGTGATGATATATGCAAATTTGAGCGGGTCAGAAACGAGGGTTGTTGCTTACCACCCATGCGTTGGTCAACTCTACTACCCCTTTTGACAAAGATGGAAGGTACTATTAGTATCCTTGCTGTAGAGCTTGATCAGCTCCTAAAAGGGATCGGAGGTACCTCTCAATGACATTATCTGGGTTTCACTGCTTAAAGACCAACGCCAATCCTGATCATTTCTGGGTTACAAGTTTAATGTTCAATACTAAGATGTATCAAGATTGCAAATTAATATAATTACAAACTTGTTCTGCCTTATTATATGTTCCTACTTGGGGCCTCTAGAACCATTGACGAAAGGGCTCTGATTTTCAGTAAACCTTGATCTACCGACTTTGGAGGTAGCCATCCGTGGTAATAACCGAGTGGATGATGCTGCCCGACATAATAGGTTCAATCTTACTACTAACACCGACCTATCATCTTCCAACTGCACTACTCTTACAATGACTCTATTACTACAACGATATACAGTGCAGGCAACATGACGGGTATTAGTACCCATGTGCGCTGGCAGAGGCCTCGGATGCGAGCTCAAAGCGCGTTACCAGCAAAGTCGAATGAACATCGTCAAACCACTCGGTCTTTTTATAAACGATTGAAACGAACATTCCGATTTGACAGCCAGCCGTACATCCTGCATATCCCACAGGAGATCTTAGATGAAATCGTTAGATACTTGCCCTTGTTATACAAGGCCTGTCTAGCGACCACCTGCAGGTCTCTATACAACCGCATCGGCATTGTTCTCCAAGACCCAGGCCTCCAAGATTCGTATTCACTCCACAAATACCATCCATTCATCAAGAAACGGGAAGTAGAAGCCAAAGTTCGCACGCAACTCATTCGTTCCGTTGGCGAGAATTCCTCCTGGAAATTTTGCCTTCATTGTGAAAAGCTTCATACTCGATCTACATGGAAGGAACCATCTAAGAAAGAATGCTACAAGCAACTCAACGCAGGATTACGTTCCAGCACGAATTGCAGAATAAAAGTTCAGCGTGAATTTGAGCAGGTCGGAAACGATCGCTACTACAGAGCAAATCACGTCTTCGCTACAATGACACGCCCACTTAGAGAAGGAGAGTGTCTTCCCTGGGCTGGGGTTGTGGAAATATGCCCTTGTCTCAGAATGACATACCAAAACCGGGACCAAATGAAAGACTTGCTCAAATCTATGGGGAAAGGTGACCCTGGCGGCGGTACAATCAACGTCGAGAATATATTCTGTCCTCTCAGTAGGGAAGACAAAGATTCCATTCTCTATCACGAGTGCACGGTGAGAGATCACCCCTTCGTCATGGTTGAAGTAAGAACGAATTTCTACTTGAGGGATGATTCTCTGTGGGTGCAAAGTAATTATCACGTCTACGTGCCGTGGGGAAAGCTACCGATTGAGGTGCAACCACCAATAACTTATTCCCAGCGGCAATTGAGGAGGTGGACGTTCCGATTCAGCCGGTTCTTGGATGATCCCAACTCGCAGAATTACGGTTCGTTCCGGGATTGGCGGCCGAGGTTTCAGAATGGGAGAAGATTGGATGAATTTCATCTTCAACTGGATAGAAACCTGGGGAAAGGAAGACTGCCTGACAAGAATTGGAAAGAATGTCGGGTTCCGAGGTCGGGAGGTGAGAGATGGTAGATAGCTTTTGGTGGTTAAGCATGGCGAAGATGGGTTGAATCTCAAATTTGCTTGGAAATGAATGATATACCAATTGATAAAGACCCTGAATGACGTTCCCTTTACTTTTCGAGCCACCAGTCTTATCACCAAGCCTCCAAGCCCTCTCCGTATATGAGATATCGCTTCTGTGACTGCTGTGCTGCATGTCTTCTTAAGGTGCAACACCATGAAGACATCTTCAACATCGAATTTACGCTTTCGAAATACTCGGCGAGGTACTGGGGCCCGTTTTTCTATGCACAAAGTCTAGCATCCTTTGGCGGCTTCCTGATCCTCCACCTGGAACATGTCTTCCGCCCAAATAATAACCGTAGTGATACCTGAGTGGATCTGCTATTATATTATACTTCTAAGTGCTGTCCTTTGATTATCGCCTTATATGACCGCTTACTCATCCAAGGCCCTCAAGGCAATGTGAAGATTGATATTACACGAAACTTGAGAATAATTGAACCCTGGATGAAACCAGGTCAAATGATTTAGTCCTTCTTATTCATTCTCACTCCATAGAACAATATGCAAACCGAAGGACACGGCAAGTAGACACGAAACCAATCCTCCCACAAATGCGCCATAAGAATGACCACAGGAACCGGAAGAACCGTACTCCGCCCAAGCCAGTAGAAAAGAAAAGCCAATCCGTATTTGAAAACCCATGCAAGAAAACACCTGGCAAATGCTGTTTGAATCGAATGGAGACAGAAGGAAAATGCATCCAACCCCCTCGGATAGTTGGGAACTCGTGTAAATAACACAGAGCCCAATGAGAAAAGAATATGAATCATGCGCCGATGATCACTGATGAAGAGAAAAGAGAGACAAAAAATTGACAGAGAAGAGGAGCTGGTCGTTGTCGACCTCGGGATATCTAGGCGTCGCGGGTGTAATGCATCACTCGTTTCAGGTCTAGTGGTCGAGGTCTACCGTTGCCCGGCCTTTTCAGCCACGGCCACGGCTACTGCTACTGCTGCACCTAAGATGGCACTCTCGGGAGCGGGGTCAAGGCTAATAGCACACTGAGAACCGGGGTGGGATCGCTCGGACAATGCATCCAGATAATCCTGGCATGTGTCCCGAAAGCCGGGGTATTTGTTGATGACGGTACCATCGCATGCAATGGAAACCTTCTTTGCGGACTCTGCACTCTCGATGACGGTGATTTCGGGAGCTTCTTTCAGAGAGTCGGTTACGGACGAAGTTGCGGGGGATTCGGCTTCGTTGCCTAGACACCACATGCTGTGGATACCGGTGGCCAGATATCCAGCGGCGCGGCGGGAGACCACTTGACAGACACGGCGGAGGAAGCGCAGGTCTTCAACGGAGGGATAACTGGGAAAAGTGTGCTCCTTTTGGAGGAGAGCGGCAGAGGGCGCCAGAGAAACGGAGGAATCTTCCTCAATGAATGCAACAATGCTAGTGTCCAGAGAATACGGCTCGCGCATGGAGTGCGGCAGCTCACCCTTGAATAGAGCTGCGGTTTCCACCGCCTCCACGATGATCAAACGAACAACCTCGCCGAGATAACGACCAGTAATCATGTATTCCAACGGCTGATAGTCGGGACGTAGGTGGGTGCGGTTCAGAACATCATCCCAGCGAGTCATCGGCAAAACGCCTCCACCAAACATGCTCAGCTCCGTGTTGACAATAACATGCTTGGCATAATCGAACCATCCATCGGGGCGAACTCCAAACTTTGTACGTCCAATTTCGTGCACGGGGAAGTGAATGGCCATGTTGGTGCCGGTTCCCAAAATCAAGGACATGCGTGTCTTGGGATCAACGTACGCACGCGACAGCAGAGCAGCAGAGCTATCGTTGACAATGGCGGCCATTTCCACATTCAGGCTGCGCCTCCGACACGAATCGATCAAGAGCTGGCCCAATTCCTGTCCAACGGTGCCGTTTGAGCAGTGGAAACCCTTGCCCATGTGAATCACCAACCCACTGCTGGTCGAGGTCTGATCGATCGGGAATGACCAGGAGAGTCCGATTGGTAGGGCGATTTCGCCGCGTCCGTAATCCGTTCCCACGTCCTTTAGCATATTTTCGATCTGTCCAGCCATCCAGTCGAAGAACTGGGTCCCCTCCAACAACTTCACGCTATTATCGATATACGATGATGCGACCCGCACGATACGCATTTCCTCCTCCCGTCCATACAATTCAATCAGAGCAACTCGGAATGTTGATCCCCCCACATCCAGGGCCAGGTAGGTGCCTTTTTCGTTGCCGCTCGGGAGAGAGTGGGTATAGGAGGAGGAGCATATTGCAGGGACTATCTTGTAGACAATGGCGAAACTGCGCGCGAATCTTCTCGGACATATCGATCATCTTTGCGGTTGACAGGGGTGTGGTAAACAGGGTCTCGACCTCGCCGGCGAAATCATCGAGGGTGCGACGACGCCAGTGGGCGCCCAGGAAGGGCTTGCGGTGCTTGTGGCCGAAGCCTCGGAAGAGTGAAGGGAAGAGGATCATGGTCTCGAGGGCGGCAACCACGTTCTGGAAGAGCTCTTGCAGACGGTGCAAGACTTTGACCAGCGGTGCCGGCATGGTCGGTGTGTGACAGACGAAACGATTGGAGGGGGATTTTGTAAGGGAGGTCAGGGCGACATGGGCGAAGATAAGGCTAGAAAGGTAATTCTGGGGGGTGTGGTTTATAGGTTGTGTCTTAGGTGACACTCCCACAGTAGTGTTCAAGGTGGATCGGAGGAGAGTGTAGCAGAAGAGAGAATCCCCACCCGTGAACACAGAGAGAGCCGCGTTTTGGAGGGGGGGTGGGAAAGAGAAACGAGGAAAGGGTCAACAAGCCGAAGCATGGATCAACATTGGTCCATTCTTGGTGTTGAGTGTCACTCGGAGTGCAACTTGAAGCCCTTGCGGTGTCGCAATGCGCGAAGTGGGTATTGGTATGGTACGGTAATTTGGAGAGTGCGGTGTTAGGGTGTGGCGATGGTGGTATTGTCAATGTTAAATTACGGTGAGGGTTAAAGTTTGAAATAGCAACTAGTATTCGATGATAAGTTCATGATAGATGTCAATACAATTAATATTTGCCTTGCAAAACCATATACTTCATAAATGTAGTCATAGACGAAGAGATCCCACCAAAATCTGCATTCCAAGCGTGGTATGTTCGTAAATGCTCGATGACCCCCTTGAGTGCAACGGTGGTAGCCGGCCCAACTGGCCGGGACCGTTACACTCATGTGGAACCGCCCTTATAACCTCGTGGAAACCTGTTGCAGCTTCACCCTTTCTTACTTTGTTTCAATAGGTAGCATGTTTAATCTTTTGTAATCTACCCCGTTCTCAATATTGGTCACGGGGGTGGTGGTTGCATCGCTGCTACCATGCGGCCATGTTTCGGACATGGATCCAGTAGTCAATCTTCTTTAGCTTCCTTTCCAATCATGATTCTGTATTACTGAACTCCCTTCGAAAATTAACACCTTGGCATGTTCGTGCTTTACCGTGACATCATCCCTGTGCATGAATGGCATCACGGTGGCCAACGTAGTCTGCATCCAGTAGAGCACCGCAACATTGAAACCTTACCATGACATTGTTCTGCCCAGGTGAACCATGTCTGCCAATCATCTACTAGACAAGAAAGGAGAGACCATCACGCAAGGGGACTACGTTTCCATCAAGTCCCGTGGGGGACATCGGGAGGGTGAGGTACGAATCCTTGTGGCCCGATATCACTCTAGGTGTTTGGAACTCATCTACAGTCTAGGTTGACAAGATCGTTACTGACGAGGCAGGGGCTCAGGCAGAAAGGGTCGTGGGCCCGCCCAAGGCAAGTTACCCCCGATTACCACTCTTCCAGTTGCATTCATGATCTGATGCTCTCTCGACATAGGTCATCTTCACCGATCAACACGGGCACAGGGTTGCCCATAATCCGCAATCGGTGGATAAGCGGTCGGGTCGGGGGTAAATGGGGATGTAGAACACAATCCCGGGGAATTATTGGGCCAAAGTCCACATAGGTGATCTGATCTCGAGGATTCTGCAAGACCTCTGTTATCTTTGCCCCACAGATCCCGTTCTGATCTGCGGGGACAAGGTTGCAATGGAGGGTTTGGCTCTGTCCAATGAAAATTTTCTTTATCAAGATAAACTTTGGCTTTCTTGATCCTTGTATTCCTTCAGTCGACGCCAGCGGCCTTCAAATCAGACCCCAAATGTTGACGACCCCCCAAAATTGGTCAAGAAGCACAAGTGCTGCACATGAGCCCGAGGCATGTTCAGCAGCTTTTAGGGATTGTTGAGGCATAGAAATTGTTCTCGGGTTTCCCAAAGTCGGCGCTTGCTGCTTTAAGCGGTGAATGGTTTTTTGATACTTCATGTGAGAATCATTCGGGTTATTCATGTAGGACTCCTCAGGCCACGGAGATGAGCCTCATTGAGCTATCCAATGCGGCAATTGATCACGAGGACATGATATCTCAGTGATCTCGTCCAATTTATCACTGCTTCGCATTGCCTCAACCGTCCAAACTCCCGTCAGGCCTTCAGCACTCAAACACGGTCTGTGGAATAGAATCACACGCATTGCTGTAGCTGAACCTCAGCAACTATTCGGAATTTGGTATAGAATTATCGAGTGTGCTCCAGGGACTTATTTACTTGCCTTATCTCTTAGGATGTACAGTTCTATTATGTGGAGATTTCGAAAGTCAGCTGGGCTCGCCACAGAACCATAAATGGGCTGTCCAGATCACCCAGCGCGGCAAAGACCAAGGATGCTTCGATGTCGCCGAATAACCCAATCAATCAGCAGCAACCTCGACCCATAGACACTACCAGGAACTGACATTCCAGTCGCAGCCCCCTGATCCTTCAGCCTTAGCAAGTGGGGGATTTGCAGGGCAGTATGTGGTATGGGGAAACCCCCCGCTCTTTGGTCACGTTCAGATAAGCACGGAATGCATCGTCGCACTGTGTCTTGAACAAGAGTAGCAGTCATCACGGTCGCGACCGACCTGAACACGTTGTGCAAGCATCCATCACTGACAGCCAAACATCCAGGGCAGGCTGGGGGCACTGGACTGTGTTGCGCTGACCATCATCGATACCCACGTTCAGCTAAACTGAGAAGCTGAGGGCAGAATGCACCTTCGGAGGCGATTCGCTTTACCGCAACATCCCCACTACAACCTATTCAATTTCAAAACCCCGTCTAGCCCTTTTCGAGGCCCCACGCGTCTTCACAGCCATGACGTGTGCGTCGTAGTCGCAATAAAGATGTCCAGACTCGTCTATGCGCGTCAACCGGGGGGCTCTCCTACGTGAAGCGTATAACCGCCCCTGACATGGGCCAGGTTACAGCAACGGACCCGCCCGCGTCAGCCAGCTGGGTCTTTGACTGGAGTCTGGAGGCGCTGGCGCCGGCCTGGTCGCTTCCAGACCTCTTTTGGACTGAAGGTTTGGTGTGCGTAGCCTTGTGGCACGAACCATTACGGGCTACGCGTCGTTTCAGGCCCGGGCGGTGTTCCAGCGGAGACGCAGACGTCACCCGGGGCGTTTAACGATTTCTACTATTAACGGGTCTGGATTCAAGGGGTTTCTTCATAATGCACGTGGGTCAAATGGTTCGCGATCAAATGTTATACGATTTAAGCGGTTTAAGTATGAGCTTGGCCTTCACTTAATGTTGGATAGAGTCGGATAATGCCAAGAGCTTTCGTGGCCTTTTTGGCCGGGACTCATTCGGCCCTAAGGAACCAATTGCCGTAGGCTGACTATGTGGAGCGTTTTCTTTTTTTTTTTCTGACAGATCGACATTGGAGGGGACAGATGAAAGATCAGGAACCACTTTTCCGATTTTTTCTTTTTTCTGTTTTACCATTGTTCCGAGTAGACTATCTTATACTGTACCAATTTTTCTGGGATAGAATTATGCACGATAAGGCATAAATCAGGGGCTATTAAAAGTGGCATATTCCCAGAACTTCTTGATCATCGTTATCTCCTCTCTGCCGCAGTGGAGGCACGAGTCAGAGACGGTTAAAATTCCTTAAATTCTGATCCATCTGGAATAGAAATCTTCCACGCCTAACCAGACTAGGCAATAGTGCCAAGACTGCAATCCCCTGAAACTCTCCATGGACTGCGGCTCAGCCAGTCATAGGGCTTGTTGTGGTGGCGCCCAGACTTCAAATTCCGGTAACCCGGCAAGCCCCGTCGAATAGAAAACATACGCACCCATGGAAATCACTTTGGAAAACGCAAGCTGAAAAGATGGACACATGGGGTAAATAAGACCGAATTATGCGATAGACCATCATCATCTCACACAGTACAGAGGATGTAATAACCGTAAAGTTACAGGAAAGTGGAAGCGAAATCTAAACAAACAAGTCAAGAAAACCCCCCGATTCGGTTAACTATACGCGATACGGGGCGCAATCAAAATACGAATTTCCGCTAAACAACCACTTTCTCTTGGTTCCACCGAAACAATGCCAAGCCTGGATCGTCAGATTCCATCTCCTGAAGTCGGGGTCTCGTCTAACCCTTTCACTCCATAGCTCAGGCCCTCTCCACTTAGTCCAAAAACGCCCGCTTCCCAGGACTGACGACGCCTCGCTCCGTGTCTGGCGTCGTCGCTCTCTTCTTCCCTCCCCCCCTTTCTTTCGCAACTCTTCCCCTGCGACATCAAGGGAAGATTTTCTTCCTAGCCACTCTTTCACCATGTTGTTCCTCGGCGCATTGTTATTATCGTGCTTACAGAATGTGGTGGCGCAACGGCATGATGCTGATCTCATGTCCTTCGTGACGGTACGTTGAGCCTCTTTGCTTATTGTCAAACTTGAACCTGCCACTAACAATTCATGATTGATTAGCTCCCCGAAGTACGAGCCCTCAAATGGGAAGTCACCCATCATGATCGTGAACGCGAGGCCCCAGGATATTGGTTCGTTGCGCCGTACGGACAGATCTCCCCCGAGAATCCCACCCAGAAATACCAGCAGTATCAAGTCGGTCCGTACATTTATGATAACGATGGTGTATGTGGAGTTTTTCCTTTTCCCGAAGCATTGTGCAATCGCTAACGTGTTGGGATAGATGCTGGTCTGGGCCGGTCCAAGTCTCTACGACAATCGCAACGCCTTCGATTTCCGCGCCAACCTCAATATGGACGGCGAGCCACACCTATCATTCATCGTGGCATGGGATAATGAAAATGGAAATGACAGGGGACACGGTGTGATTGTCGATAAGCACTACCAGGTTGAGAAGGAGGTTCTTCCGTTGGTGGATGTGCACGACTTCAACATGCACGAGTTTAACATTTTGGACGGTGGAAAGACCGTTTTGGCCTGTGTGTATCGTCAAGTCGAGGTTGATCTGGCGGACTTTGGCCGCCCGAACGAGAAGAGCTGGGTTGTCTCCGGCGGATTCGCTGAATTCGACATTGAGACCAATCAGCTTCTGGCGCAGTGGAACAGTCTCGATCACATTGCCCTGCATGAATCGAACATGTTCCATGCTTGGGATGGCGTTCTGGGCGCACCTGGCTGGGATTATGTTCATGCCAACGCGGTGGATAAGAATGCGGCTGGCGACTACATTATCTCGATGCGATTCACCAACACCATCTATGGTGTTTCTGGTGTGGATGGAAACGTTATGTGGCGCCTCGGTGGACTTGAGAGCGATTTCACCCAAGACTTCACTTTCTCTAAGCAGCACGATGTGAAATTCGTCTCGTCCAACGGTACCCACCATGTTATCTCGTTCTTGAACAACGCCTCTGATGAACGCGGTAATGATGAGAACATGTCTTCGGTTCTGCACGTCGAGCTGGACACCGTCGCAATGACCGCCCACGTTGTCAAGCGTATCAACCGCCCCGATGCTGGTTTGACCCGTCTCCGTGGAAGTGCTGAGGTTCTCCCCAACGGTAATATCTTCATCGGCTGGAGTGAGCGAGGCTACCAGAGTGAGCACGCCTCCAACGGCGATGTGTTGATGACCGCCCGATTCGCTTCCACTCGCTATTCGACCTACCGCGCATACAAGTCCGAATTCACCGGTCGCCCTCTTACCCCTCCTGACGTGGTGGCCTCCGTCTACGGAACCAGCAGCACCGATATCACCACCATCATGTACGTTAGTTGGAACGGTGCTACCGACGTTGCCGGCTGGAACTTCTATGCCAAGGCTTACGACCGTGGTGACTCCGTCTTCATTGGTCATGCCAACAAGACTGATTTCGAGACTATGTACATTGTGGATGGCTACATGGACTGGATCACCGCTGAGGCCGTTGACCGTGATGGTAACTCGATGATGAAGTCACGCATTATTCGCAGTGATATTCCCAGCAACTGGCAGGCCGTTGGTTTCCTTGGAGCGACCAGCCCCTCTCCCGATGACCCGTCTCTCATTTCGGCTGCCTACGAGCAGTCCAAGTCCCACTCTACCGAGTCCACCGAGTCTTCTGACACCACTGATACCACCGACTCGACTGACTCGACTGATTCTACCGACGATACCGCCGAAACTGTCATCGAGGACAACACTGACACCACCGAGGACACTAGCAGCGGTAGCATGGACGACATGGATATGGGCGACAGCTCCGATTCCACCAGCTCATCTTACTCCGACGCAAAGGAGGTCGCCAAAGCCGTGAACAAGGCCTACGAAGTCATCCGCGGCGTTGGAGCTCTCCTGATCTTCATCCTAGTGTCCTGCACAGTCGGAGGTGTCGGATTCGCCTGTTACCGCATGTTCACAAGCCGCAAGAGTCGTGCCTATCAGCACATCTCTTCGGAAGAAGATCTCCCCACAGAAGAGATCCACCTGCGTTCTCAAGCCCAGGAGTGATGACTTGATTTCAAGATCTACAGATCTACGGATCCTCGAAGTTCACATTTCGGGATCTTCTTTTATTCTCTTTGTTTTTTTTTTGAACATCCGTTTTGCATAATTAGCAGCGTCGTCGCATCTGCCGCTTTCGCATTTGCATCGCATCACTCCCCGGAACCTGTCTCTTCCCGGTGAAGAGACGGAGGAATTGTACGATCCCGAGGAATATAAAAATGGAGAGTCGAATATACTCCACTCCATACGGAACCTGAACGAAAGAGATGGGAAGGGAAAGCCGGGAAGCTGAGAGGGTATGGGTACATACTGTACAATCAGGTCATGATCGTTCCACGCATATCATACCCCATTTGGCGTTTATTATTTTTTGATCTTTTCTTACGGGTTCTTTTCTTTTCCGGGACTGAGATGCTGGATCTGTTGAAGCTGAATCTGAAACTGAATGGTTTCTTCTAGGTCCACACTCCTGTTTCCCTTTTTGACCCTATACCTTTTTGTTTCCATTATTCTTGTGTAATATTACCTTTATACTTTATATTTCTTGTCTTACTGCTATTCGTTGTGAACGACCTGACAGAATCAATTGTACATACTGCAATGAAGATCATAGACAATTTCGACTAAACTAAAATTATCCCACCAATTACAGTATATTCCAAGGTTTGCTTCGCCCTTTTCGCCACTGAAAAGATAGATATTTTATCCACGTTGATCCACCCAAGAGGACGGAGTACAAGGTGTACGTATACATCAACCTTAAGAAAGGAATTGATCTGACAAGTCCCACATAGAGGATACGCGCCTCCCCCTTGACCCGCCTTCCGCACTAGGAATACCCGTTTCTCCACTTCAGGGCCTTGAATGGTCACAGAAAAATCAACGTGGCGTTGCACTATTAGTGATGCATGGATTCACACCTATCAGAACTGAGACTGACGGTGACGTGTATACTTGCATGGTCACTGGGTTACCCAGTGTATACAGAGGGCGGGGATTGGTCTAATGTATGTGTTTTTTATTGCGTACAGTACATCCCCACGTAGGTGGACGCAGGGGATAGCCTAGGTTTCTATACCCACTTGACAAGATAATGCTCAGGCTCCCGGGGCTATGAGTCGGTGCAATTCGCCGTTTTTGCAAATGATCGTCATGTGGATCTTACGCTGGGTCGGTTCGGCTACTTTGAAGCACGTCCTGATCATCTGGACATGGTAAAGGGTAAACCTCGGTGGATACGGCTGACAATAAGCAGAAAAATAAACTTATGGGAGTAAATAATTCAAAAAAAGGCGAAGTGTAATAGGTATTCTATAGATCTCATAAACATGCAAGCATAAAACATTAAACAAATTAGCAGAGCAAATAAACACTGAAGCCACTAAGCCTGCGACTTGGCCAAAATAATCTCTGCCAAAGCCATCAACGAACCACTAGACAACAACTCCAAAACCTGGACATTGGCATTCGCCTCCCTAGCAATCCAGTTGCGAATCTCAATAGCGACCAAGGAATCTAATCCAAGCGACGAAACAGTGACAGAAGGATCCATATCCTCCAGCGAAATCTGCAGCACCTGAGCCAACTTAGCCGCCAGAGCAAGATAACAGATGTGCAACGCGGTCTCCTTGTTCTCAGCGCTAGCCAGCTGCACATTCAGCGGCACAGAAGGTCCAGATGGACCGCCTCCACTGCCCAACTTCTCTTTAGCAGATTCGTAGAGTCCACTGAACTTGGCGTCCTGCGCCCAGAAGTGGTCTAGTGTTTTACCCAAGCTGAGACCCGTGATGCTTTGACCTGAGCATGAGTTGCCGAGATCACCGGTAATGGCTGCACCAAATAGCGCGAGAACCTCGCCTTCGTCCATTGTGTCGCTGCCGATGTTCTTGAGGACTTCGGCGAGACGCTTGGAATCTACGTCGGCTAGGTAGCCGGCGTCGCTAACTGCTGTTAGGTCGATCGTAGTTCCGGGGAGGTTGAGGGAGCGTCTGTAGGACATGAACTCGTCTAGGAAGACGTTGGCTGCTGCGTAGGCTGCTTGGCCTCTGTTGCCGATCACACCGGCGACAGAGGAGAGCGCGATGAAGAAATCGAGCTTTGTGTCTGAGAGGACGTTGTGGAAGTTCCAGGCTCCTTCGACCTTGCTTGCTGCGACCGAGTTAAAGTCGTCTAGCGTCATGTTCTCGAAGAGCATGTCCTGGGATTTGTTAGTGATTGCTCGATTCAAAGGAAAGTGGTATGGGTGGGTAGTTGCTTACGCGAAGGACCATTGCTCCGTGGACGACACCGCGGACTGGGGGTAAGTCTTTCATGTCCTCATTGATGAGGGTCGAGACGGATTGCTTGTCGATCACGTCGCAAGCCTTCACTGTGACATGGGTTCCGTCGACAGCTAGCTCGTCGATTAGAGCTTGGACTTTGTCGTTGACTGATGCTCGGCGGGATACGAGGACGATGTTTCGTGCTCCCTTCGATGACATCCATTTCGCCATGCTTCGGCCAAGACCACCTGTTCCACCGATCAGGATGTAGGAGGCATCAGCCTTGAGTAGGGAGGAGCTAGTCTTTGGTGCAACGGCCTATTGAAAGTTAGATATATATCTCAATTGTAGATCCTGCGAACAACTTACCTTGACTTGGTCCTCGACATGGGGAACAACAACGATCTTACCCATCGCCTTTCCGGTCTGCAACGTCCGGAAAGCAGCCTCCAACTCGGAGATCCTGTAGCTGGTCAGAGGCATAATAGGGTTGAGCGAGCCCTTGCTCATCATGTGAGAAACTTCGTCCAACAAAGTCTTCATCAGAACCGGCTTGTAAGATGCGACCTTAGTAAGATCGACCGACGAGAAAGTCACATTGTACTCGAAGGGCAGCATGTCCAGTCGAGTGTTCTTCGTGATATCAGCCTTGCCAATCTCAACGAAGCGACCGAATGGGGCAAGAGTCTCCCAGGTCTCGCGAAGGAGATCACCCGCCAGCGAGTTGATCACCACATCCACACCCTTGTTGTTCGTGGCTCTGCGGATACCCTGACCGAAAGACACATCACGGCTGTAGAAGATGTGGTCTTCGGGGATATTGTACTGCGTGATGAGGAACTGCTTCTTATCAACACTGCCGACTGTCACAAAGATCTCGGCTCCGATGATCTGCGCGAGCTGGATAGCTGCTTGTCCGACACCACCTGCACCGGCGTGAATGAGAACTTTTTCACCGGCTTGGAGTTGACTAAGGTTGAACAGAGCGTAGTAAGCTGTGCAGAAGACGACTGGAACGGTAGCAGCGACCTCGAACGACATGAAGTTCGGAACGGGTGCGGCACTGGTGGCTTTGCATCGTGCGTATGTAGAGTAGGCACCCAGGGGCAGGGCCATGACTCTTTGGCCGACCTGTAGGTGCTGGACATCTTTTCCGACCGCTGTCACAATACCACTGCATTCGATTCCAATGTATGGTTGCGCAAGCTGTCCCATAGTGACCACAATATCCTTGAAGTTCAGGCCAGTAGCTTTGACTTCGATTTCGATATCGTCATCGGCCAGTGGCTCAGGGGTGTCTTCTTTGAAATACAAGGTGTCCAGAGATCCGGGGCTTGCAATCTGGAGATTGAAGCGACGGCCGGGTTGGATGAATGGCTGAGTCGTGATAGTTTGCTCATGGGTCTCATTGTGAACAAATGCATTAGCGACATCATCATCGACAACGCGGGGGACAAGCAACTCGTCACCCTTGGCCTTGAATTCGAAATCCTTGCTCGGCTTCGCACCATCAGTGGGCCACAGAGCCTCGATAGCAGCCAGGACAGGCTTTGCGTTGTCGAGCTCTGCCGTGTTGATGCCGAGAGTAGCAACCTTGGACAGCGCCTCAGACCGCAGACTGCGAGTCAAACCGACGATCATGTGTGCATCAGGAGTATCTTCGCGGTAGACCCAAATCACATGGGACGCAGTAAGTAGAGTCTTCTTGATGCTTTCAAAGACCTCCGGGGTGAGATCGCGCAGAGTCTCGTCTCCGGTCTGGAGCACGATGACATGCTTGTTCGCGCAGTCGACTCCGTCAAAAGCCGCAATTGATGGCAGCCAGCTGCTGGTCGCGGCTGAAATTGCGCTGCTCAGTTTCTCAGCAGTGCCATTCAGCTTGCCAAATTGCGTGATCAAGACATCGCTCTGATGAAGGTTACCGTTGCCGTTAACATGAGGTTTGTCGTCTGAGGTGACATGTCCGTTCACAGCTGAGTCTCCATTGGTTTGGGCATGGCCATTTGGCTCCTTGGCTTCACCATTGGCAGCTCCCTCGAGCTGAGAGAGTGGGGTCCATTCTAGCTTGAAGCAAAGATCGCGGGCATCAGAGCCACGCAGGGAACCAGCATCCTTGAGTGGAGTCATGACCAGACCCTCCATGGAGATCAAAACTTCCGTCGAGTTCTCCGGAGTAACCCAAAGATCAAACTTGGTCGGCTCGGGAGTCTGCTGAATCGGTCCTCCATTGCACCAAGCTTTCACAAATTCACCAGGGTTCGAAGGAATGTTGTTGGCAATAGACAAGTTCTTGATCATAGTAGGCATGTAAAGTGTCTCCAGCTCCATTTTACCATTACCCAGAATCGGCCAAACCAGGTGCAATAGACCATCCAAGAAGGTCGGGTGAATAACCAGGGGAGCCTCGAACTTCTTGGGCATCATAGACTTTGTGTCTCGAACATAAAGATCGGCACGTGAGTGACTGGGACTAGAGAAACAATTTTCCAAACCTTGGAAAGCCGGCCCATAGCCGGCTCCTACCTCGGCCAGAACCTGATACATGTTGCTGGTGTCAATGCTGTACGTTGTTGCGGTGCGCACGGATGCGATCTGGTTCTGGAAGTGGTTTACCTCTGTCTCAGCGACGTTGGAAACGGCAGTCTGTTGCATCTTATTCACGCGTGTTCGAACCAGTCCTGTGCAGTGCTCTGTCCAGCCTCGCTTGGTAGACCAAGAGCAGATGCGGAACTCATCCCATACATCGGAGTTACCGCGTGTGCCTTCGGTGTATGGTCGAAGCGTGATGGTGGTTTCGGCGTCGGAATCGTCGCTTAAGACCAAAGCTGAACCAACCTTAACCTCTCGGAAGTCGAACTGGGAGAATTGTGCATCTCTGCTCTCAGCACGTCGCTTGGCACCCTCAACTGCCATGGACAACTGTTTGGTGTCAGTGTGTATCGTTGAGAAGGGGGTTCAAATACTTACATAGCCTGCCATCGGGTACACAGCCATGCCCTGCATCTTGTGTTCCCGGAGCCATGGGATATCGTCGAGGCGAACAATGTTTCTCCATGTGGGCTCCAAGTCATTCGAGTAGAAAGCCTGTGCTCCCAAAAGATCATTTCGCATTCCATCTCTGAGGACGTGCTTTTGCGCGATACGAGACTCGTGCCAATATTTGGTGCCGTGCTGCCATGGGTATCGAGGAAGGTCCCGCAAGAAAGCTCGGGATTTTCCACCACTAACAGGGAAGTTCACCTTCTTGATATCAAGAGTAACTCCACGAACAAATGCAGCACCGGCAGCATCCAAAACAGACTGTGCGGGGTCTGCATTACGAACGACAGTAGGGGTATATCCGATCTTCGCAGTGATTGAGCCGATAGTCTTCATCGTGTCAAGAATGGGACCCTTCAAAGCAGAATGGGGGCCAACCTCAACAAGCAAGTTGGGACGAGACTCTTCCTCGGCACACATCTTGGTAAGAGCATTGGCGAACAGGACTGGAGATGTCAGGTTCTGTACCCAGTAGGCCGCACCCAGCTCGGATGGGTCTGCAATTTGGCCAGTGACCGAAGAGAAGAATGTGGCTGTCGCCGTGCTGGAAGGCTTGATAGACTCGATCGAAGTAAGGTATGCCTCTGCGACGTTCTTCATGTGGTCAGAGTGGTAGGCAACATCAATCTTTAGCTTCCGGTTGAAGAGTTGCTTGGCCTGCAAGACAGTCTCCAACTCGTCAATTGCCTGTGTGTCTCCAGAGACAGTCACACTGGAAGGACTATTGACACAAGCAATAGTTGCATATCCCTTTAGGGTCTTCAGCATCGGTCTGATAGTATCGGGGCTTGCTCCAACAGCAATCATCGTGCCCTGCAGCAAGGGGAACGAGCCCTTCAGTAGCTGGGTCATCTGACCGCGGCGGTAGGACAGTGCCATAGCTGCTTCCAAGTCATAGATACCGGCAGCATAAGCAGCACCAATCTCACCAGAGCTGTGACCCACAACGGAAGTTGGCTTGACACCCCAAGATCGAAGAAGATCCACCAAGGCAACCTGAAGTGCCGTACAAGCGGGCTGACTGAGATGCGGCGAGTTGATCTGGGAGTGGGTAGTATCCTTCTCAAGTTCTTCGATGAGAGAGAAGTCCGCTCCGAGATGTCGCAGGTGCTCATCAGCTCGCTCCATTGCCTCCGCAAAGACAGCATATTCTTTCATCAAAGGCATACCCATTTGGGCCCACTGAGCACCCTGTCCAGTAAAGACAAATGACACGGTTGGCGTTCCTAAGACTCGAGTGGGGTTCGCTTTCAACTGGGCCAGACGAATACTCAGATCATCCAGTGATGTGGCGGAAAGGGCAACTCGGTATGCGAGGTGAGACAGCTTGCTGCCCACAGTGTGGGCGAAATTTCCAAACAGTGATTTTTCAAACACCTCTGGTCGCTGTTCAAAGTAGACCCCAAAGTCTTTGATTCTTGTCTTCAGTGACTCCTTGTCGTTGGCCGAGATCAAGAAGAGCTTGTGCGCAGGGTCGAGATCATCATCCGCGCTTTCCACAGCCTCGACTGGTGGCGGAGGCTTCTCGAGAACCGCGTGAGCATTGGTTCCACCAAATCCATAGTTCGAAACACTAATATATTTCTTGCCACGAGGCCAGGGCCGGGTTGATGTGACGACCTTCATATTCCAGTCGGCCAGCGGGATATTGGGGTTAGGCTTCCTGAAGTCGGCATTTGGCAGCATCAACCCTCTGTCCAGCATCATGGCAGCCTTAATGATCGAGACCATACCACTGGCACCTTCCAAGTGACCAACATTGGACTTGGCGGAGCCAATGTAAAGCGGATTCCTGGCGTTGCGGTTCTGGCCTAGGGCTCCATGGACGGCCTCCGCCTCAATAGGATCTCCGGCCTTGGTTCCTGTGCCGTGCATTTCTGCAAAACCACACTCATCTGGGTTCAAGTGGCCATCCCGGTACACCTGGCGGATGAGGTCCTCTTGAGCCTGTCCATTGGGCAAGGTGATACCCTTGGTCCGTCCATCTTGGTTGACACCAGTATTAGCAATTATGGCCCGAATGGGATCTTTATCACGAAGGGCAGCGTCGAGCGGCTTAAGAAGCACGACACCTGCACCCTCGCCTCGCGCAAAACCAGATTTGGCGCGTTCATCAAACGAGTAAGTCTTTCCGTCATCATTGAACAACCTGAAAATTAAGGTTAGAAAGCGGCCCGAAGTGGTCCCGACGAACGGGTGCTTATTACTTACTGAGACATTGACATTGAAACAAAATAATCTGGAAGAAGGTTCAACCTGCATCCAGCGACCAGCGCTTCTTTGGACTCACCACTGCGCAGACTCTGGACTGCATAGTGCAATGCGACCAGAGACGAAGAACACGCAGTATCGATAGTGAGACTAGGTCCTTGCAGATCAAAGAAGTAGGAAATTCGGTTGGATTGAATCGAAGGTGCGTTACCGGTGGCCTGGAAAGGAGGAACTGTCTCGATATCACGCAGATTGCGAAGTTCATAGTCGGCAAAGTTACCACCGACAAAAACACCAACGTTGCGTCCCGCGAGTGACTCTTTGGGAATGCCAGCACTCTCCAAAGCCTCGTAGGAGCACTCCAAAAGGAGCCGCTGCTGTGGGTCCATAGCCACGGCTTCTTGGACGGTAACATTGAAAAATGGTGCGTCAAATCGAGACAGGGTCTCATCGTCTAAGAAGTAACCTCCTGCCGGGTTGAATGTTCCCGCCTTGGAGGGTTCGGGGTGATGATAGGCCCCGGGGGAGAATCGGTCTTTGGGAATGGGGGCCCAGCCGCTCCGACCTCGAGTACATAGCTCCCATAAGTCGCCGGGGGACGAGACCTGTCCAGCCAGTCGACAGGCATATCCAATGAGTGCAATGGGTTGGGGTGACTGGGATTCCGGCAATGTCCCGTTGGGGTTGGCGGAGCTAGTAGAGGAGGACATTGTGAAATGATGAAAAGAGTATGAAGGCTGGTATCGCAATAGACCATGAGGTGCTGGCCATTGACAGTTAAATAGATGTTCCTTGAGTATAGAAAAATGATCGCCGCGTGACTTTCCTAGATGGCTCAATTTTTGGGAAATTCGAGTTTTGAAATTTGGTTTTTCAATTTTTTGAATTTTTGTATTTCCATGTAATTGTTTTTCACGCCGATGGATAAGGAACCAATGCTTGACATTGGATGGAATTATTTGGCGTAACTTTGAGCCTTCTGGTTGTGCCACTCAACTTAGACACAAATTCAGGGACAAGATTCACGGTTCCATGCAACCCACAGGAGCTTCAAACTTGCGCATTGAGCGTCGATCACATGTGTTCTATGTTTCGGAGGGATTGGTCTCATTTACGGGCTTTGCAATGTGTTCCTTGGCTCTGGAACGATTGCTAGCAAAGTCAAAAAGGGAGGCAACTCCTCGGTCTATCTTCTGTCGCCTCCGTTCATCTATTTAGTTCCCATCTTTGTCCCCCGGAAGATAAGGAGCTGTACAACCTATACTTTGCGAAATTCAATCAGAGCTTGGTCTAGACACATTCAAGATGAAGTTCCTTTGTCTTCATGGCGCCATTGGCAATGTCGATGTAGGTCAGTCCGCGAATAAACCCTTGGAATTGATGCTAACCACCTCTAGAATATTGGTATCCAGCTAGGTAGGCTTTACACTAAGGTCAGACTACCTCGTACTAACTAGGCATTCAGCACCTTTGCAAAAAGAATTGCAATCAGACGATACTGCTTCGTTCCATTACATCAATGCACCCGTGCAGATTACTCCTCCGCAAGGTAAGATTGGGCTGAAAAATAGGAGATGAAAGGGTCTAATGGGTGATTTCCAGGCTTTGAAGAATACTTTGGCGTTGGTCCTCATTTCCGCTGGGCTGATGATGGTGGTGCGGCTGAGGACTCCATGATCAGTCGGGTGCGCAAGATCCCTGACGGTCAGAATCCCGAAGATGTGATGCGCGACCTGATTGGAGAGCGCAATGTGGTCTGGCTCAACTACAATGATGTGATGGCGTATCTGTATGATACGATGGAGAAGGATCCGGAGATTCAAGGGATCATTGGATATAGTGAGGGGGCCTCCATTGCAGCCACTCTCATCGTCGATGAAGAAAGGCGTGCACGGACAACGGGTCGTCTGCGACAGATCAAGTGCGCCATGTTTGTCACTGGTTGGCCTCCGATGCATCCCGTCGATGGCGTTCTTCTCGCAGATGAGAGTGACGTGATGATCGATGTTCCCAGTCTGCATGTTATTGGGGCAAACGGTATGTTTCTTCACAGCTCATGGTTTTCGTTTCTAATGGTTTGGTTCTATAGATCCCTTTCGACACGGCGCCTACGCCCTATACAATGTTTGCGATCCCGATACAGCCCAATTTTTCGATACGGGCAAAGGTCACACAATTCCACGTTCTGGACTTGTCATTCAGGAGCTTGGGGATGCTATGCGGGGCCTGATTGAGCAGGCATTCAGTCCAGAGGAATACTAGGATTTAGATTTTGGTCATAGCAACCCAATGATAGCAGTCTCACCTCTTCCCAAGAGCTAATTCGCACATGTATCATGAATTCGGTGTAACATTTACCTAATTTTAACCGTATTAGAACATTTCATGCGGATTGACTTGCTCAATTTTCTGTAAACCACTTCACATGTTCCCTTTTTTCCGTATTCTCCAACAAGGTAATGATCGTCCACGTCTGGATCAATCGAGACTGAACTCTCGATAAGCCAAAGCCGTCAAGAGTCCATCTCCAGTGGATCCTGATTATCCTGATCCTAGATCTACTGGATACCCGTCCTGTCGTACCGGGTCATAATATTCTCCCGTCCATACCCTCCATGGTTAGTATTGGTGTTATCTTTTAACGCCGTATTCATCTCATTTACGGCAACCCGGTAGAACTATGAAACCATGGATGCGACCCCGAGTCTACCATATAATGAGACTATCTGCAGTGGCGAACACAATCTCGTAGAAAAATCCAGAAACTACCGTCGACCAATACTAGCTACCACATTGATTGCGAATTGACAGCCAATCGTACTGCACGTCATGTTCTTCCAGAAACTTGCCTTGCTCTTCACCTGCATCATCGTACCCTCCAATGCACAGAAGACCCCACCCGAACTCTGCGCCACGGGAGTCCATGCTATTCTCATTCGGGGCCAGGGGCCGGGCGATCACTTGAATGTCATGGTTTCCATGCAGAACCTCGTTTTACAGCTCATCCCCGGCTCCAGTAGTGTAGCTCTGCCGTATCATCATGGTGGACCTGATCATCGAGTTGTCGCCGCCGATGGTGCTCTCCTGATGCAGCAGTATATCCGAGACTATGTCGCCTCATGCCCTCAATCGAAGATCTTTCTCATGGGGTACTCCCTGGTAAGTTTATGATCGTCTCCACTTCCACGTTTCTTACGTACCGGTACTTTTCCTTTCCCCGTGTATCAATGGTAATCTCCAATAGGGCGGGATTGTCATGATGGATGGTCTCTGCGGAACTAGTTCCCTATGGCTGGACCCCGTCTCTGCGATTGAACCTCAGTATAACCGCAGTGGTACGCATCCAAGTTCTGATCCGTAGACCCGAATTCTAATTTTAGTAGTGATTGCGGCCGCTGCATACGGCGAGGAGACCTTCATTCCAGGAATGAAATGGAATGCCGGCACTTGTCTTGATGGAATTGGCGTGAGTAAAAAAACCCGATGCATCATCTCTCGAATCCTTGTCGGGCTGAAACATCAATCTAACATTTGCCCAACCACAGGTATACCCGCGTCTCCATCCGGAGTGGTGTGATGCTTATGCCGCGTCAATTCGAGACTACTGTGACGAAGGCGACAGTTCCTGCTGCATGAAGTACCCACCCTTTGACGATGGAGCTCATTTTACCTATATTTTCCGATACAATATCGACCTTTTGCACTTTGTTCAGCGTCGACTGGTAGAAACGCCACTACCTTAACCTTGGCCCTCTACAGCCAATCAAAAGCTTCAGACTAAAAATCGGGGAAAACGGTTGGCAACAAGATCGCCATGTTCCAGGGCAACTTTTTGGGCCACGACGTCCAATGCGGGTGAGCGGTCTTAAGTGGAGAAAAGTGGAGAAACCCACCGTTAGAACGAAGTTTAAACGCGGGACCTAAAAGACGATATTTGGGGAGATTAGGGGTCTTCAAGGAAGCTTAATTCATTATCCTTTGAACGGCTTTAAACTTGTACAGATCGACGGGTCGGTTTTTGTGGTCGGGGTTTGATACGGCATGTCAGTCACTGCAAGTGTTCTCTACCTTGCGCACATATCGTAGCCGAATGACAGATGAACGATATCCGCAAAACGTACCTAAAATTTAGACTCGATAACCTTACGACCTCTAATTACAATACACATCTTACACATCCAATATTAGAGATCAATTAACAGGTCATAGCTCCTTCCAAGCTACCCCATCTAAACAGCCAAATCCAACCTTGGGGGGCTATCGCACCGACCCGACTGTTTCGGGTAGGGTGCAAAAATGGGGCATTCCCATCCGCCACCGGAGCAACGCCCCGGCCTACTGAACCGAATGCCGGGCGCCGGTCCTCCGGCATCTCAAATTTCGAGATTTCGAATAAGCTTATCATTTTCGGCGCATATAGCCTATTCGGATTAGACTTTGATCCTTTTCCATGTCAGCCCGCGAATCAGAATTAGGATCGCGGTATCTACCTCAAACGAGACTACTGCATCGCACCGATCATCGCATGACATTTACGTGTAGAGATTCGGACTTGTAGTTAGTGCCCTGATCTACAACGTGCTTGGCGGCTCTCGCAGGGCTGGAGCTCAAATTTGGGCTCAAATTTGAGCATCCTTTGAAACGGGCTAATGGCGCTACTGCAGGTAGTTGGGCAATCTTTCAATCTCCCCAATACAGTATTTTATCCAGTGTATTTGCAACTTGCCAGTAGATCTACTTTTTGCAATAGTTGAAACCGGTTTTGAGGCTTCTGTGATCTTGGATGCCAAGGGAGTTGGTAAGATGATATGTCCGAATAAAGGGATTATCGGAGATCGTTCGGCCTGTCTTACTCTAGTAAGTCTGGCCCCGGCTTTAGTGGATATCCATTGTACCTAGACTAATGCAATGTTTGGAATCAACCTTGAGGGCTGGAGTTAGTTCGGCACGATTTTCACATCACCCGGGAAAATTCGAATCCTTCGAACTGACCCAAGATCCTGAATATGTGTCTATCTATCTGCATTCTTTCGCAACTTTTGGAATTTCCTTCCAGGGTAGGTCTCGACCGCAAACTTTGATATCAGCGTAACTTTATTGAAACAGACTACTGCACGTTGCGCCTTGTATACATCCCAATCGGGATAGGTTTCCTTCCCGTATAGGCTATGGGGCCCCGGGGCCTTAATGGCCCTGAAAATACATTGAAAGGCTGATTACAAGCCGTAAGATTTCAAGCATTTACAACACGAAAGTTATTTGAGATATTTCAACTGTTTCATAGAATCTAGTTAACATACGGATGGTAAGTATGACAACATGCTAGTGCACTGCTCATATTTGATTTAACCTCATCGGCGAATTAGAGAGAAAATTCAAAATGCCAGGCACTATGCATTGAAATCGATTCAAATATTGAAACAAAAGTTGGTCCATAATTTCAAGCATACCGATAGGGTACTGCTGCTATTGCCTTCTGTGACCTACCGTAAAAGTCAAAAACTGGCTAGTTCGATCTGTATTACGGCTACGCGGAAAAAAGGGAATTTCAACAAAGAACAGTATGATTGGAGAACATCATTAGCAGCACTGTACCGGAACCAGTAGAACTAAACGCAACAAATCTGTGCACGGTGTGGAAATAATAGGAGGGGAGTGAATGTGGGGGAGACGGTTCCAGAGTGCGCGACAGAGCCAGCCTGTCCACGAGTGATTATAATCTTCGTTTTTATAATTTTCCAGAGAGTTAGGAGGAAGGACTCGTAGATGGAGAAGAAGCCAGGAACAATAAAATACTCGGTTTGACAAGATATTACATCAGAGAGAAAGAAGAAGAAGGACTATAGAAAATGATTATAGGAAGTTACTTCATAAGGCACTTGGCCTTTACCCAATATACTAGTTATAACTACAGCTTCTTATACACCTTTGATACTTGATCACAGAAAGTGATAGGCAAACATCCATTTATTCATAGATGGACTACACTCTCCAGATATAGGCCATCTAATTGAAGGTATAGATCTCAATTATCAACGAAAAGTTATTTTCTTTAGCTTCTCTTTTTCCTGTATCACCTCCATACCAGACTTCCACTTTGTATCCTTGGCCTTCCCTTCTACATTATTTCTCGCCCCTCGCCCCCTTTTTCCGCTAACCATCACCTGTGTCCTATGATCCATCGAATTGCTCGCGAAAGAAGCTACTTGAGCCCCAGTATAGCAGGCTTCCTACCACTCACTGGATGTTGGTAGGGCACCAGTGTGAAAGACTTGAAAATCCCCAACTACTCCAAACTATTCTCATTCCGTGTGCTTGCTGTGTGCTGATCGAGGAAAGGGCCCTGAATACCCTTTCCTATACAATGCGATCTCAACCTTACATCCCTTGTTGATACCCCAGAAGGTGAGGGATCACAGGTGCCACAACCATTTTCAAGGAACATCCTGGACGCTCTTAGCTCACCATGGGGGGAACGGCTAACAGCCTGGCTTGCATGAATTTTCAGAGATGAAGTGTCAGTGCCGAGAACAAGACTCAAGGTAAGTAAAGTCCAATTTTACATTCTTCTGCAGGATCATGTATCTTGAACGTCTTTTTTCCCATAAGTAGATTAAATATTCTATTTTGACATACATTATAAAGTGGGTGGTAAGCTATATACAAGATGCGCTTTGAGCGTCATACATATTCCCACGGGTCACCTCGATCATAAAAGAGACGGGGATAAATCATCCATCAAGGCGAAAACGTAGCAGCGAATCAAAATTCACCTGGACTGCTTGGTGCCAGATCCTTTGTGCTCTCTGAAGCCTCTTCAATTCTGCTGAAATTTCTTTCTCTATCCATATTTGATAGAGCAATCCTTTGAGAAATGGGCCTGTGTGTGAAAAGTGATGCCCATAGTTTTCGGCAAGCACCTAGAGATGTGGTGATGTAGATGATGCAGTTCCAGAATCCTTGGAGAGGAAGTACGAGTGCCTCGAAATAGCAAAGAGCGAAGTTGTCCTTTCCCTCAGCTATCAGGGTGTATACACGGTTGATGGTTGACGGCACCTATTCCAACACATCAGCGCTATACTTGAACCCAGAATTGGATGATTGCTTACCCAAGTAATAAGAAGTGCAGCGAAGAAGAGCATTGCACATTTTGTATAAGCCCAAGCAGCAGCATCGGAGCTAGACATCTTTGGAGTTGATTTGAGCGCGTTGGATGTATTGGCGTTCGTGTGCTCTGCGGATGAGACAAAAGCTGCGTATTGAGAGAATTTTCCATCTTGTCCCACTTCGCAACTTTCACCAGCAATTTCGGTGGTGATTTGTACTTCGACTCTCTTCATACTTTGAACGGTATCCAGGCTTCGAGAGGCCATACTGCGGAGGTGCTTTCGCTTCTTATAAATTTCCGTCCCGACGGAGAGGTAGATAAAGCTGGTGACAAGGAATATCATCCTAGAACACGCGTTAAATTTTGGTCTTCCCCCAAAGTTGAAGTGTACTCACCAGACAGGGGCGTAGAAAGTGGCGATTCGAAGTGGATCCCATTGTAGATCAACCCAACACCAAAGCTGTCAAACCAAAGAACCAATTAGCTCGACTCGACGAGGGTAGTGCATGTTGAGAACTGACTGTTGCAGGCCCATAGATCCTCCCTTTTTCTTCTGTTCGCAGGAATGCGTATGTAATCGCTGGAATAAACGGGATTCCGTAACATGCCAGCAGCCATTTCCATTCTAGGCCCCGAAGCTGACTCGACGAGTATCTATGACGGAATGTAAGGTATACGTTGCAGGCCATGGCCAGCGTCCAGAGAGCATCTGCGGGCATGAACCTTTGTCATATGTCAGCATCGGGCTTGTTTGAGCAGAAGAGGAAAGCAAGGGAAAAGGATCAATCGTGAGCAATTGGTAGGATCGGCTAGGTTGGTGGCTAAGGGAAGAAAAACCAGGTCCGATGTGACAAGCCTAAATGCTCTGGGAAAATATTTAGGCTCACATTTGAATCAAAAAGCCCTGTGATTGACACATGACTGAATTTCTGCCTGCTGATATGCCTGACAAAGATATCATAGTCGAGACATTGGCAAGAATATTTCCCCATGATGCATAGAAGACCATGCGATTCACGGGCTTGTGGAATGAAGAAGATGCACTATAGGTAAGAATAACAAATAGAGCACCGCATATTGAGAGCCCCGAAGTGATTCGCTCAGTGATTTCAATGGCCTGATTCTGCTTAGGTGTGAGGGACATGGTCGCAAAAGCACCCCACAAACCGAACGATTTTTCAAAGTGAGCGTCTGATTCGAATAGATCAAGTCGAATAGATCGATTCAAGTAGATCAAGACCCCAAATAGCAAGGATAGATCAGAGGATTGCAAGAGAGAAAAGCCAGCTTTTTCCTGCAGGAAGAAAATATCTGCTTCATCCAAATCTCCGTGGCGAATCCAAAGCCCCTTAAGCCACGCAACCCCGCGCCCACAGAGCTTAAGTCTTAAACTAGAAAAGCTTAAAGATTATTAGTAAACCCGTGTTCTCCGTTTTCGGCTGCGAAAGCGCACGTTCCGTTGGAATAGCGGGTTTCGACTCCACCTTTGCCGAGGCGGCAGCCTAAACGAGTCAATAGTCCTGGTTAAAACCCGTCAGGAAGGTTTCAGTCCCCATCTTTGGTTCACTAGCGACCCAACATCGCCTTTTCATAATGAGGCTAAAGGCTTGTTCTCCCGACAAATTCCCATGGTCATTATCATTGGCTATTCGATGTCGAACCTCGCTCTCATATGGGTTCACCCTGGGCCTAATTTCCCTAAGCGACCGAGGGACAAAAAGTCTCCACGGGCCGTGTCAATCGTGACTAAATTCAGTCGTAGAAAATGACTTCAGAACCCCTGAATTTACATTAGTATTCCAGAAAAGAAATTCAACTGAATTTTTCTATAGCTTGTTGTCTGTGGGCTTTGCCCTATTCTCGGGGGGGTTCAATCGAGACCGGGATTTCGAAACAATTGTGACTTTGCACAGTCGTGCCTAAATATATTAACCCCTGCTCTTTCTATAATGGCTATGGAGTATAGAATTGTCTCTTTTTAGACTCAGTATTACTCTATTCTTAGTGTGGAATACTGTAACCTATTACAGGGATACATTCAATATATATTTAACGCTCTTCAGATTTTTAGCCGGTGCTATGGCATGAAATATAACTTTATATTCATAACGTGAACCTATCTGAATCTACGAGTTTAAAATGCCTCGTGATAGAAGGGTCTGTGTACCCAGGAGTTAAGGAGGTATAACAAAGAGAGAACAATATGCGAGAGCCTAAGGACGTGCAAGATTTGTAATTTTCATGATATAGACTAGTCGAATTGGGAATAGACTCATTGAACATCATGTAGCAAAAAGAGCAATTCATGCTTATCAATTTTCTCATCTGCAGAGTTCTTTCCAAATATCTGCTGCCACCAAGACCTTGAATTTGAAGTCGTTTGACGCGTTGGAAGTTCTGGGGACTTTGCAGCATTTCGCGGCTTTGGAAGCTCTTCGAGCTTGGGTGGATAAAAAAAAGATTTTGTTAATCTCAAAAGATAAGACTTATTCTCAATTCTGAGCTTGGTAATTAAGCCATGCCTCCTGTTTCTTTTCTCTACCTCCGAAAGCTCAAAGCCTCGCCAATTAGTACAGCACCAGCACTCTGTTGTACAAGGACCCCTGCCCTTTTCCCTTTCAGATAGCTGTCTTTGTGAGCAGCACCCACAGCTTCGGCTGCAGCAGCCACCTTGACCCGAGCAGTCCTCAGCCATGTCTTTCCTCATATACCACATGGCCTTCTGCCTCGTGTGATCAAGGTCACATTTTAAATTCCGATCAAGCATGATTTCCGCTTCATGAAGGGCATGTTCTTTCTGAGGATATTGTCTTTGAACCTCCTCTAGCTCTTGGCTCACCTCTTCAATTTGAGTCCTATCAGACTTCAAGGTTATGGCCTTCTGTGAGGCTGTGACTTTGTACTGTAGCTTCTCCTCGAGTTGTATCACTTCCCGAAGGCCGTGTTCAGCGATAATTACATCGATAATCATAACAGATCTATACTCTATTCTCCGTATGGAAACACAGTAATGGGGACTTGATTCAGATGGATACCCCATGGTCCTGTTGAAATCAGCGAGGTAATGTAAGGGACTGAGACGTGAGACCTAATTTGATGGATAAGTGAGTGCCTAGATGGGGGAAAGATCAAGCATAGAAAACCGAAATTTGATTAAAGAAAAGTTTTGTTCAAATAAGACCTGAATGGTAGTAGAGAATTGATAAAGACAGCTATGACCAATATATAACTCTAGTATTGTTTGACTTGCACCTGTGTGGTCGACCGCGACCCGAAGTTAACTAGTCGTTGCCGCATGCTGAAGACAAGAATTAGACTTAACTTATTTGATCGAATTGCCAAACTCTGTATTTCGGAATTTCAAGACGCAACCCTCCTTCCATATGCTCTGGTGCCAATTCGAGCCATCAAAGACTAGCTAAGCTACTGAGCAGAAGTTTGCAAGTCAGGGGCTGTGTTAACTATATAATGTGGAATTGGTCTTATGGAAAGACAAAAAAAATCAATAGGCCATTTAACCTCCCTTAGAGATCAGGCGGACCAGATGATTACAGTTCAAGCTCCGATCTTCGGCTTCAATTCATCTTGGAGTGTCACCGAATCCATATAGAAGGGGTGGCCATTAAGGCATCAAGGATCACGACCACTACTTTGAAGTCGATGGGTCCTTAGAAGTTTGGGGGGCTTTGGGGCATAAGTATAGGTATATGAGTAAGCAGCTCCAATCAAGCAATACTGGGTGTGGGGTGAGTGGAAAGGAGCCCGCTGAAAATGAAAGCAACTCCGCCATGTGTTTGTCTCCAGGTCATCCTTATCTCGATTTATATAAGCCCACTTGAGCATCTATAGCTGACTTTTACCTTAATATATCTCCAAAAAGAGGAAAAGACATCAACCTTCTCGAAAATAATATATTATGATGGATTGCAAGTGATAGAGCGCAAGCCTACGTGAAGGATGAAGTTATATACCCAAACTGCAGCAAGTGGCAACTAATCCCGTTCCGGCCAGTTCCAACAACTTTTTCTCTCCTTCTCTCCCTCAACAACCAAGAACCAACTCAATGTCGCTATTCACTGCCTCTCGTACAGCAACCGGGGTCTTCTCCAAGCCTCAATTCCTGTCAATTGCACGATCCTCGGGACCCCACCGCCTCTACTCAACGCGCCCACCAACCCCCAACACCCCTCAAACCAGCCGCTCCAACTTCCCCGTCCTACCTATCATCGCAATCCTCGCTATCGGCTCTGGCTCCTTCGTCCTCCTCGCGAAGTCACGTACAGGCCAGAAACCCCCTTCCAACTAGACGTCGAACCCCACCGGAAACCCGACGGCCCCTGAATTCAGAATCATACAAATCCGACTACCTAATCCGGATCGACACTTAGCCTAAACCCCTCCTGCAACTTCAAAACCTAAATAAACCTACCATCCACAACCCACTCTCAATCAACCACAAACCCATAAACAATTCGCCATGGCTTCTACTCCTCGTTTCTCCCCTGAAGATGTCACCGTCGTCTTCTTCCTCGGCGGCCCGGGCAGCGGGAAGGGTACCCAGTCCGCAAACCTGGTAAAGGACTACGGTTTCGTCCACCTTTCCGCCGGTGACCTCCTCCGCGCCGAACAAGTCCGCGAGGGAAGCCAGTACGGCGATATGATCAAGACCTACATCCGTGAAGGAAAGATCGTTCCTATGGAGGTTACTGTTGCGTTGCTTTCCAACGCTATGGCCGATTCCCTTGCTACTTCACCGCCACCTGCCGGTACCAAGGCGCGATTCTTGATTGATGGATTCCCCCGCAAATTGGACCAGGCTGTTTTCTTCGAGGCAACTGTTTGTCCCTCTGAGCTGGTTCTTTTCCTTGATTGTCCTGAGGCTGTTATGGAGACCAGACTGTTGAAGCGGGGTGAGACCAGTGGGCGGGATGATGATAATGCGGAGTCGATTCGCAAGCGGTTCCGTACTTTCGTCGAGACTTCTATGCCTGTTGTTGATGATTTCGAGAAGAAGGGCAAGGTCGTGCGGGTTTCTGCTACGGGTTCTGTTGAGGAGGTTTATGAGCATGTGAAGGCTGGTATTGAGGAGAGGGGCTTGCAGGCCCGTTAAGTGGGTTTGTTTTTGTATATAGTGGTATTGGTGGAGGTTACTTATTTGCAATGGTTGGTTCGTGCTAGCCTTTTTGTTTCATCTAGCCTGAATATTAGATCATAGAGGATACATTCTGCTCCCCTACTGGTTGTGTGTTCTTGACCTCTCGAGGTCTAGGTGTAGGGCGTATTTTGGAATTGTTTGTATTCTTGATAAGAAGTTGTTTCTCCAGAAAACATAAAAAAAAAGACATGACATGACTCGTGGGGATCCCAAATCAGCGGGGCCAGTAGATCCATTCCTACAAACTGGCCAGGACAAAAGAGATATAAAATGCATAAAAGAAAAAAAACAAGGATGGCTCCCCTCTATTAGCGGAAAGGAAGAAATTTTTTGTGTTCTGTGAGTTCCACTCCACATAAAACACCGGAATCCATGCACTCCCAAGCAACCCAGCTATCAATCGAGAATTTACTCGGCAGTAGCCTCAATAGAGGCCTGCGCGGGCTGCTCGCGCCGCCGGTCACCGAAGCGGGCCTTGTCACCGTTCTTGGCCTCCTCGGAAGCGGCCTGGATACCCTCACGGACGAAGCGCTCACGCTCAGAGCGGATAACGCTCAGGACACCCTCCAGGGAACGGCGCCAGACCATCAAACGGCCCTGAACCTCAGACCACTGCTTCTCACCGAACACACGGTAGGTGGCACGGTGAACAAGGAACTCCTGGCGAAGCTGCGAGAGCTTACCCTCAACGAGACCAGCACGGATAGTGTCAATGACCCACATCTCAACCTCGGAGGCGGAGACACGCAGAGCGGAGGCAATGGTGGTGTAGGGGAGCGAGCGGGAGGGGGTGGAGGAGGCAAGCGAAGTCAGGGTGAGCAGGCGCATCTTGTTCTGCAGGGCATCGGCAGACTCAGCAAGGACACCACCGGAGATGGAAGCGAGCGGGGTGGCGGCAATGAACTCCTCGTAGGCGTCGAGGGTGTCGGAGGTGAAGATCTCCAGCAGCTCGAACAGAGTGCTGTCGCTGGACCGGAGACCCTGGACGGCATCGGAGGCAGTCAGGGGAGTGAAGTCGAAAACGGTGGGACGACGCAGGGCCATGGCGAGAGCGCGGACAGCCAGGTCGCGAGCGGCGGGCTTGCTGGCATCAGCCGCGGGGATGGTCTCAAGAGCCTGCACGACGTGGGACTGGGCCATATCCTCATCACCAGCCGCGGTAGCCGCATCAGCAATAGCCAAGTGCAATTTCTGGGCCTCCTCCTGGTCCAATTCCCACGAAGAGAGCCATGTGGGGAGCTGGTTGGCCAACTGAGGCTTCAAGGCCTCGAAGGCATATCCGGATCCAGACTGGCGAATCACGGCCACAATGGCCAGGAGAACGTGGTACCGGCTGGAGTCGTTTCCGGAAAGAGTGTTAAAGATGGTGGTGAGGATGGAGATGGCCAGTGTCGGGCCAAACTGAGGGGAGGTGGTGATGGGCTTAGCGAGGTAGGCGCAGATGCGAGAAAGGAACATATCCGGGTCGGAGGCCAGGTGGACGAGGTGCACAAGCAGGTTGTAAGAGGGGATGATTTCTGCCATTATCATCTCAAGTCAGTTTCTTCCATCCTACAGAGAGAGAAAAAGTTGCATCGCCGCTCCCTCGAATATCATTTTTCATCTCGTCGGTCGCAACTTTGTATCTTCGCAATTCGCTCACTCACCTTTCTCAGGGGCACCGTTCAGGACGGCGGCGGCGGCCACAATCTTCTTAAGGACCTCATCGCGCTGCTTCAGGTCGGGCTCGCCCTCAGACTGTTCCTGCTCGCGGATCGGCTGGAGGAGCGGGGCGATCTCGGACTGGAGGGTGTCCTCTTTGCGGAGAGCGTCGACATACTGGGCGAACTCCTCGGCGAGCTCGGCGAAAGAACCCTCAATGAGGAGGGTGTTGGTCGGAGCGGGCATGATGGGGGGTTGGTGTGGTGGGAGAGAGGGAGAGAGGAGGTTCTTTGATGGTGGAGTCTATCGATAAGTTGAGAAATTTCAGTGTGTGCCAAAAAAGTCTTGGCGAAAGGAACACTGATTTGCCCGTACAAGTCTAACGTCAAACCGCCATTGATCTACACTTCACACCACCACGAGGATACAGGATTTTGGAGTGATGTTTTCATTTATCGAATTTATTAATCAAATCAGTTGCTTATACGCCACTGGTATTAAGGCACGATGTGCCAATGCAAACAACTAATACATCGCTGCTAACGACAGACGAACACCATCTTCATAGATAAGGGGATAGCATCAATGCAAGGAGACATCCAGAAACGGGGAATGAGAGAATTTTTGACAAAAACCAGGACACGATTGGCGTGGCGCTAAAATATGGGATAGACAAGGGAACACAGTCTGACACCGAACGACTTTCAATGAAAGTGGTGTACCTCACAGCACCAGACGCATAGCCAGGAACATGAGGCCAGCCATCATACCGGTGGAGTAAGTCTCGAGGAGGCCTCCCAGGGGAGCGGCAGCGTTGGTGGTTGTAGCGCTGGCGGCAACCGACGACGAGCTGACGGCCTTGTTATTGTAGGAGTCGGAGCTAGTGCCGGTGCTTGTGGTCATGGCCAGAGTGCTGGTTGCAGTCATCGACGATGAGGTGCTTTCAATAGCAGTGGCATTCTTGCTTCCACACTTGGCAGCCTTTTTGCAGGCCTCTTGGCCCATGGAATCATTGGGATGGGCGTCAACACACTGGCCATAGTTGGCCTCGCAGACATAGAAGGGAACAGTCTGGATATAAGGCGCGACATCGGCAGCCTTGCCATCAGAACAAATACAGCTGAACTTGAGGGTGGCCTGTTGGAAGAAATTAGGTCAGAATGCTGTCGGCATCAGGTCTTGTACAGGGTATCATACCGGATCACAGGTGTTTTCCTTGGTGTCACCCTTGCAAATCGCCGGGCACTGGTTGCGCTGTCCCTGGCACCATGAGTCTGTTGTGATCTGGTCAGCTATGGTCACCTGAAATCTTCTCAGGATAACGTACTCAGCTCATCCGGCTTGACCAGGCCGAGGTTGAAGCCTCCAGGCAAGATGTAGGAGGTGGAGTTCTGGGCCAAAGCCGAGACCACAAGGGTCGAGAAGAGCACGGCGGAGGAAAGCATTATGAATGGGATAATTTGGGAATGGTGAGGTGATACACTTGTAGAGTAATGTAGCGAGGAAGAGGGGAGTTACGGAAGAGGAGGATGGAAGATGGAAAATGGAGAGTGGGATAATGGTAGCAAACAACAGGCAGGAACAATGGAGATTAAATGCAAAGTAATAAATAAGGTATTGATTCAAATTCCGGGGAACTGGGTAACTGCGAACAGGATGCACCGCCTGACTTTCACATAACTTTCCTGTTTTTCGTTTCTCCCTTTCTCCCTATCAGGCTTTTCTGTATCTTTTGTACGACTATCGCAAATATGAGAGACCCTGATTTCTAAGATCACATTCTCCCCTGCAGCGTGATCTAGAAATCATCACGAGCAAGATTCATATAGGCGTAACCTTAAAACACGTCCATATTTCCCTCTTCCCTTGCTCAGGGTATGGCTGTTTGGAGACCCATACAGTACTCGTGCGGGAATTATTGATACCAACATTGGTTCCTGCATTCCAAGTCAGATTCTTCATCGCAAAGACCCAGCCTCCTTGCAGCTGTCACGCCGATTGCATACCCAAGTAAGACTGCTAGGAGTCTGGCCAACAACCAGGCTGATCATGTTGATCTGAGACACATGGGATGAGTCAATCAACTCAAAGTCCCTTGAATGGCAACCTGTTTGCAGCGACAAACCCATGTTGATCTCTATATAGTTCTCAAGGTGAGGGACTTTACCCGATTAGGTACCGAGGCACCGAGCTCCGGGATAAACGGTAAAACGGGGCCACGATTAAAGTTGCCCGCTAACAGTACTCCTCCTTGCAGCACTTCATCTCCTGTGCAACTACTGTTGTTTTGAAATCCATTAGAGGGCTTAAAATCAACAATGGTGGACACGGCTGCCGAGGTCGCCCATTTCCGCTCCTTTCAGTGGGCCAACTCCCTCATCTCCTCCGAGGACTACATTCCAATTGACACGGACTCGAGGCGCATCAAGCCCACATCCGGGGAAGATGGATACTTCGCCGATACCTTAGGCAGTTCGTCTACAATTCCTCATCTGCTCACCCTCCAACGGCGCAATATCTCCCCCGCGCCCGCGGAGGTCCCAACGTGGCTCCCGGCAACCAAGAAGAATGCCGGCGCAAAACCCACTCCGGGCGTAAACCCGCCTGATGTGCTGATGCTTGTTGATCTGTCAAGCCCCGGGTTATCGGGACACCCGTCTCGAGCGCATGGTGGTGTTACGGCCACGCTGATCGACGAGGCGATGTCCTTGGCCGTTGCCGTACATGCCAACGGTCCCGCATCCCCACCCGCCTCGGCAGACGATAATCCTCGTGGAAAGATCTTCACTGTCCAGCTGGATGTGCGCTATCGCGGGAAAGTGGACGTCCCGGCTTTGGCTGTTATCCGGGCTAAGGTTGTCGCCCGCGTTGGTCGGAAGTTCTGGGTGCGGGCGCAGGTTGTGCAGGAGGATGAGGAGGGCGCTGGTGGTCATTTAGAATGGGCGAAACGGAAGATCGTGAAGGCGGATGCTATGGCTTTCTGGATGACTACTCCGGAGACGCGTCTGTGAATATATTACTTATATAGAGTGATCACTGATTGTACATATTATGCGCATCCATTGATGCCAAATGTTGACATGTAAATATTTCAACATTGAACATTCCAGGTTTCTGTTACATTCCTATACTGTATCCGTCGTATCTAGATGGGCATGGACATAGAATAAGTACAATCCTTGTCTATTGCTATATCTGAATTGTCTCTTGTATCTGCAATTCTATACCGTAGTCAAAGTATTAATCTACAACTTCTCCATCTTCCTCGTCCCCACATTCCGACTAGCACTAACCACCAATCCAACCTGCGTACCTAACGCAACAACCTCCCCATCCTGATCTAGAACAGTAACATCCAAATCAGTCCGTCCATCTCTAACAACCTTAGTCACAATCCGACTATAAAGCCACTCAACTCCACCAGCAGGCAAATGCTTCTTCATATCAATATTCAACGTCACAGTCGGATACCAAAATTTAGCCTTTACATCATCAACACTCTCACCCTTTTCTTTTGCAACCGCATTGGCAGAAACACTATCAAACCCATCAAGCGCCATAGGAAACATATCAAGCAAATAAACAACAGCCGCATCTGTCCACTTCCCGTTCTGGTCGCCGCAAGGCCTGAACCGCGCCCACTGGTCAATAGCCATAGACCCAGTCCGCTGCTGCTGTGTCTCGCCCTTCCCGGGCCCGTACAGCTCAAGCTGGGTCGCTGCGCGCCGGAATTCAGGGAATGGAGGTGCGGACTTCACCCATGCGCCATCTTTGCCTGTTTCAGCAAGCTGGGTAAAGTTTATCCGCCCATCAGGGAGTGAGCCTGGGACTGGTTCTGGGTGTGCTTTCCAGCCTGTTGGGACGGTGATTCCGACCTCCGCGTCTGGGGGACTGACGGTTATGTAGCCGACGACTTTGGTCTCAAGTTTGGAGGGTTGTTTCTCGGAGGGTTGGAGGAGTTTTATGTGAATTGTGCTTGTGCGGGCGCCGAGCTTTACGTCTTCAACTTCTAGGGTTGCGGGGCCGGCTGCTGTGCGGCGGATGAAGGAGAATTGGAGGGAAATTGGTGAGGCGGGGCTGGAGTATTGCTTTGGGTGGGCGTGCTCGAAGTGTGTTAAGGCTAGTTTGTATAGGACTGCTGATGTGTAGCCGCCGTGGGGTACTGGAGGATTGTCAGTACTGAGTACGGCTTTTTTAACTGCGTTGGGTCAATCATTGGTGAATTGAAGGTGGGTAGGCTTTACCAGTTCCAATGCACCATTCTGGGCGGAGGTTGGCGCTATACTTATTGGCGTCTTCTGGGGTGACGCGGATTGCATCTTCGAAGGCGGCGTTGAGAGGCATGGCTGGCTGTTTATCTCTTGTGACTCTGCGACCTTGGAGTATGCGGGTGCATTGGGGATCCCTGTAGATGTGGGACCGAGGTTTTATACACTAGTTAGCTTGGGATGATCTCCGCTCCGCATTATTCAGGGTTGCGACGAACCTCGGCTCGGCGATTTTACAGGCACTACCGACGCTGAGTCACCATTTCGCGGTACTTTCTGGCAGAGCTTCAAGTAGTGAAAAGAGTGGCTCGACTGGTCAAATATGTGTAGCTTCGAATGTTTTAGGAAATTCAGAAGGGCCCTTGGATTTTAGACAAAGGTTCCAAGCTAATCCATAAAGGAGATTTTCTACGTTTGCTCCGCTATATATTCAAAGATTAACCATCACCCGGAAATAATTATCTTCAAGTTTAAACCTCAAAACTATGTAGTCATCCGAAAAACAAAGAATTTAATAAAAAAATGATATGAAATAACTCCAGCTACCTCTTGACATCGTAGACTCATTCTTGCACGCTGAATATTGGAAAGTTGTTTTATGTCGGGGTTTACCAAGCCCTACTGGGCTTCGGGCTTGACCGGAGAACTCAGTTGTTGCAAGCAAGACAACACACCTAGGGGAGATTAGTCAACCGAATAAACCCAAGATGAATGATTATAAATGAAGAGACACCTACCTGTCACTCCCTGCGTCAATGTCGCTTGGGCCTCAGTGCTTCGCGATCCTAACGTGACCGTCATGGCGTAATCGACGCCATTAGCCTTTTGCAATTTGTTGGCCCAGCGGAACACGGGCTCATCTTCACGGTTGTCACCAATGACCAATAGGAAATCGGGTTTCGGAACCTCCTCTGACTTATCAGAGGACTCCAAGCACCACCGCCAGACCTGCTCTGCAGCTGACGCTTTACTTGTGCTTGCGAGTTCCACGATGAGAGCGCCCTCAACAGGAACGGCATGTACGCCGTAACTAGCGCATGCATCATTGATATGGTCTGCACATTCGGCAGCAAGACGTCCGGCGCCAGGACGGTCCTCGGCAGACCCATAGTGGAACACAAGCGAACAATGACGTTCCTCGATCCAGCTACCCTCAGTCCGGTCCTTGAAATATTTCAAAATATTTGACACTGACTTCTTCCAGCTTTGAATGTGTGTCTGCTTTGCGAGACGAGTCCACTCATCGGACTGAGGATCACGGACGAAGCATCCATTTTCGGCAATGAGTCCTAAATTATTGACTTGGCGGAACAGCCGCTCCATCTCCTCGGGCATACGTGAGCTCATGACGTATACCACATTGGCAGGATCATCAGCAAGTTCAGTCAGTGTTGTAATGGCACGCTGAGGGGTGGTAAGAATGATGCTCTGTGGGGATCCCCATGAGGCAAGAGTACCCTCGTAGTCGATAATCATGAGCCGGCGCTTGGTCTGTCGGTATCGCTCGATAAGTCGGGGCACAGAGAGTCGAGGAACGGCCATGATCTCTCGCGACGATTGCTCATTCCAGACGTGTTTCAGAGACTCATTGAAAGACTTGACCCAGTTTGCAGTAGAGTTGTGCAGGACTGCGCGGTGGAGCTCGTCCCACACCTCTTTGCGTTTTTCCTCGCTTCGTGTGAGCGCTGTGTGAATGGCTTCTGAACATTGCCGGTAGTCCCAAGGGTTCACGAGGAGCGCGTGATTTCCGAACACAGACGCACTGCCAGTGAACTCGCTGAGAATGAGAGACCCATATTTCTTGTCACTGTAGCTACCATCCTGGCAGTACACGAATTCATGACTGGTTAGGTTCATGCCCTCGCGGAGACTTGTGATCATCAAAGCATCCGCCACTGTAATAAGGGCGAGGTACTGCGAGAATGCAAGGTCTTGTTTCAGGAAAACAAGGGGCTGGTGAGCCAGTGTCGAGTGAGTTGAGTTTATTCGCATGGCAATATCAGATACGGTAGCCTCCAGCTCGGGCTGCTCCGTAGTACTTGTCGCGACCTGAATCAAGACCACCTTATCTGCCCATTCTGGGTAGGTGTTGAGAAACAATTCGTAACTCAGCAGCTTTTGACGAATACCCCGCACAGAGTCAATTTTATCGCGGGCCACAATCAGTCGTTGGCCTTGGTATCGTTCAGAAATGATATCGACCCATTGTTCCACATCTGCTGTATGACGTCGCTTATCCCAAGAAGTAGGATCAATACCAATTGGGAATGTACCCACGTTGATGAAGCGGTCCTCCATCTGAATTCCTTCATTAGTTGCCTCCACGCAGAGAATGCGACTGCATGTCTGCAAGAAGTGCCGACAGTACTCTGTGGTTTGGAAACCGATCAGGTTGGCACCAAGAATACCTTCCAGCAGCTCCTTACGCGGGGCCAAGCACTTGAACACCTCAGAAGACGGGAATGCAATGTGCAAAAAGAACCCAATTTGAGCGTCAGGAAGCAACTTGCGCAACATAGCTGGGACAAGTAACAGGTGGTAGTCCTGGACCCAAATCGAATCACCCCGTTTCCAGTGCTTGGCGATACGGTTGGCGAATTCTTGGTTGAGTTTCACATAATAAATCCAGGAATGATCTTCGTAGGCTTTGCTCTTCGGGTTATCAGGGATCTGATAATGAAAAACAGGCCAGAGGATGGTCTTGCAGAAGTGGGTATAATGACCATCAAAGTCGCCGTCATGTACAAACACAGTCAACGAGTTATATTCGTCTTCCAACTTCTCTGCAATATCATTGCGAGTATGCTTTGCCAGGGAATCAGTGGGCATCCCCAATGTGCCTACCCACATCATCTCACCCAGGTATCCTGAATCTTTGGCAGAACGGACGGCATTGCGCAAGCCACCATTGCCTTGCTCCGCGGTCTGAATAGTCCATTCTGCTTTAGAAAAGGACATCTTTCGACTAATAGATCCATTCTTCCGGACCCCAGGGTATGGAGCTACCGTCGCGGTTTCCGGGATATTTGGGAGGGGAGGTTTGGCTTTGGATTCCTTGACCGGCACAGGGTCCTGGTGTTTCAAGATGGACGGAGAGGGGGATACAATGGTCTTCCGCTTTGGCTGAGTGAGAGAGGTAGTCGATCCCCAGGCCGGAGAATGCGCTTCACTCTCCGTGAAGATCTGGTTACCCGTTGGTGGAGTGGATGCTGGTGGAAATGGGTATCCTGAGTGTTGCTCCTCAGCCTTTGCTAAATCATTGGCAAAGATGCGCTCATGGTCTGTCGTCGCACCTGGGGTGAGACCAGGTTGTATGGTGGGGGTTTTCTTCTCGAATAGGCTGGTCGTGACGGGTGGTGTTACTGGATCGTTGACAGGAATCACAGGATTGGCGGCCGAAGGAGGGTCTGCAGCAGCAACACTGTCGCGGGACTTCGCATCATGGAAGTTTACCGTGTAGGGCAAAAAGCTAAAGTATCATCAAATTAGCCATGTTGTGTTTTGGTGTCACCGCTTCTTCCCTAGCCAAGGTACTTACAGTGACGCGATAAAGACGGTCATGATGGAGGGGTCAGTCCAGCCGTGGAGGGGCAGAAGGGCAAGGACACGAATGGGTTAGACAAATAAAGCTCCCGTTGAGGGATTTGGCAGTCCACCAAGGTGATATTTTTGTAGCGAAAGAAATAGCTGGAATGATCTAGGAGTCAAGATGTTTGGCAGCTCGAAACGAATTAGGTGAGGATCTGCTTTTCTCTCATGTCTACGTCATGTACGTTGATGGACACGGTGTGTGTTTGCACACAACTGTTGGTCGCTGTCTTACCACAAATCAGATTCAAGACAGTTTACGCATTACCTTCCCTCATGACAACATGACAGGGGAAATCCGAGAGTCCAGACCCAGGACTGCTTGTACTTGCTGGACTGTATGACTTTAACGACTTCATACCAGATCCCGATGGCTCCGTATCCACTGATGCGATTCAAAACAGTCAGATACGGTATCGTACGTACCAGAGTATAGAGGACTTGTTGTGATTGGCGGAAAGTTACGGATCACATGACAGCGCATGAGGTAATCAGCTTTCCCCTCCATGCTTTCTCCTCTTCGCAATCAAGTTCGGTGTTAGGTATGACATTGCGTCTCACTTCAGCCCCAGTGTCCGGCATTCAAAAACGAAAATCAGTCAAACCTCCGCCCAAAGCCCGCGCCTCGCCATTTTCCGCCAATGCGCGTCGCAAGCCTAATGTCGCCACAACCGGCCTGAAAGCCGTAGACTTCGGTCTCGACGAACCTCTCCCAGACGAAGGGATATCTCAATATATATCAGAAACTGCCGCGGTTACGAATGTGGAACAAGCGATCAGACATGTACGAACCAAAATGTTCGACGAAATGCCCGAGCGGGCGGGGATGAACAGCACCCGGATTGCGGAGGTTCTGAATCTGCGTCGGTCGTTACCACCACTTGCCTCCGTGGCCCATATACACACCTTGTTGAACGCACCAACACAGGTCGAGCGAGAGATTGTCGAGTTACTGAAATCAGGACGGGTGCGCCGTCTGATAATTCCAGGACGCGGCAATGATGCAGCGGGACTGGGCGATTGCCTAGTCCTCGCGGAAGATTGGGAGCAGCTGGTACGTGACAGTCCAGCTTTGGATGTCGAGGTCAAGGGTGAGTAGTCTTAATTATCAGGGTCGTACGTCGGTAGCTGATTAGTCGCAGAGAAATTCTTAGACATACTCAATCGCATCGGAACCCATTCTGCACTCTCGCAGGGCATCTTCAAACCTGACGAGTATCGAGCTTTAATGCGCGCCGGCTTCCTCGTCTCTTCCTCAACGCTCACGCAGGGCTCATTGAGTCTCACATCTCTCCCCAACCTGCCCGGCGCAGCAGTTTCGTCAGCCAGTCGGAGTAGGTCTGCACATTCTGAACCCGACCGACCCGTGCAAAGCGACGCCCAGGCTCGCTCTGCGACGTTATTCCTGTCTCTGCCTAATACCGGAACATACCTACGATTACTTGGCGCAGGTCGCGCACACCTCCTAGCCCTCCTCCGCCGGTCTCGGTGTGGTGAGGCCCCGCTGAGCTTGCTTAGAGAACGGTGGGATGGGGCAGTCGAAACGGACAAGAGCTTCCACTTGGCGAAACGGGCCCGAGGCGAGTTTGCAGGTATCTTGCCAGGTAAAACCAAAAAGTGGAAGGATATGTACGGCATGCAATTTCGTTGGGTGCTGGAAGAGGCACTGGGTGCCGGACTGGTAGAAATATTTGAAACAGGCAGTGTAGGACCAGGGATCCGCTGTCTATAGTATAGATTTGCCTCTGAAACAGGGTTATAAATATGATTAATGAATTAAATGATCTTACGATCCCAGAAGAACTGCTCCTGTTGATAACATTTGTTTACATTTCGATCGGATCGAGACACCAGCTCCGTCGATCTGTTTCCCCCCTCAAACCAGCTCCCCCTTCTACCAACCCCTCAACAATTTCACAATGCCCCTTTTACAGTTACAACCGCATTTGTTTGTCTCTCTTCCGGCACATTCATCCCTCCAAAACAATGATACCCGCCCGGAGCTCCAATCATACATCCGTACCGCCCTGCAGGAAGCTCTCAAGCTTCTCCACTCCGTCCCCTCATCATTCACAGCAGATCCCAAGCTGCGTTCCTCGTCGCCATCTGAAGCAAAAGTGAAGCTCCTGCGCAACTGGCGCAAGCTTCCAGAAGATGTCAACAAGAAAAGTAACAAACCTGAGTTCTGGGTATGTCGGCAAAGCGAACATGTCGATGCCGAAGCTAAGGGAACTGCATCATGGAGTGAGTTTGAGACCGGGTTAAGATCTAATCATGCAGAACACGAGATGGATTATACACCAAGTGTCACTGGAGTCGAAAGGCTGCTTCAATGGTCGAGAAACGAGACAGGAGAGGTCGAAGTTGATGGGCTTGTTTTCAAGGACGTGGATGTTGAAAGTATGTCGCCAGGATTGGCGGCCTGTTCTACGCGCAATATGTTGACTGACATTTCCAGTTAATCTGATAACTCACACTTTCCATCCGGGTGCCCTCATCGCTCCCCGCAGCTTCATTTCTTTGACGATCTCTGCTGCATACGATAATCCACAACTGGCTCAAGGAGCTCCGTCCAAAGGCTTCGTTACAGTCCAGATTCCCCTGCAGTCAAATCCATCATCTACGCCAGATGACCTGCACCAAAAGATTGTCTCTGCTGTCCCGAAACGGACCATCTTCGCCAACTACGCGAGTGTAGAGCAAGTTAACCTTCTGCCCCCGGGAGACAATGGCCCCAGTCGCATTGAGTGGACGATGGCAACGACTTCCGATGCAGGGGGGTCGATTCCGCAATGGGTTCAGCGAAACTGGACAATGGGCGGAGTGCCGCGCGCTGTGGTAGCTGATGTGGGATTGTTCATCGGATGGACTATGCGTCGCCGGACTGCTGGATCTGTGTAGTCTACCCTTCTGGGCGTTAAATTTGACTATCCTACTGTATGAACAATTTATGTACACGGCTCGCAATCATAAAACAAGCTCAGAGCATGACCTTAAATCCACTAGACAGGCATTTCTGGCCTCACATTTACAATATGAAGACTGCGTATGCCTGCAATGCAGCAGACAAGCCTACTACAACGGCATTGTCTTTGATGCCATTCTTAGCATACCAGGCCGAGCTGGCCCAGAGCAGGATGTTGACGATACCGGCTATGCCCTTGTTCACAGGGTCGTTGAGCGCAGTTGGGTTGCAGGACCATTGGTAATGAAGAAGGCCTGGAATAAATTAGCTAAGGTCCCAGTGCATGAAGTGGGTCATGGATAAAACCCATAGACAGTGTATTGTATGAAGAGGCAAGACCTACTAGTAACCAAGAAAAACGCGCTACCCTAATAGCTCGGCAAGAATGGATTAGTACTCTGTGGCTCAAGGCCCCAGGCTGGATGCTAAATTAAGCATAGCTATCGGCAGACTCATACCTGATACCAGCCCACGGTTCCGCAGGCCCACGGCTTGGAGTTGGCAATCGCCTTGAAGGCTTTCTCAGAAGTCCACTGCCTTCCACTAATCTGTAATAATTATTCGTCATTTCAAGCTCTCCAGTACATCCGATTATCCCGCAGCATGAGAACGCACCGTGTGTCCAATGGACAGAAACAGAAATGATAAGGCGGATGCCTGAAGAGATCGAGATGGTGCCACGGACATCTTTTCTGTAGCTGTATGCCTTTGAATCGTAGGATTGTACGTTGAAAATGACGTTATAGGTGATGACAAGGGGTTGAGGCTGGCCTATAAAGCGCGCTGCGCGCCTCGGTACAATAATTGCGCCGTTGTGGAGAATCCGAGGTTGGATCCACTCCGTGCATGAGATACCTCCGCTTTTTACTTCTACCACGTCAGCCCATACAAACTGAGGTTTAAAGTTTTCATGTGTCTATTAGGGATCAATGATTTTGGAATTCTTTTAGTCAGGTATCGGGGTTTGATTCTACGTAGGTTTCATTGCAATTAGAAGTAATTGATCGTCTTAAGATGGCTCTAACCCCGCATTCTGGTGCCCTGGTGGCATGAGGCTCGGATCCCAGTGAACCAGTGGAGCCATTGGTGACAAGAACTCAACAAGTAAGTTTTTCAGCTGTGTCAAGCATGAGTCGGCGTTCTTAACGGGTGGGTTAATAATGGATATTGAATCACCCGGTTCGTAGGTGATGAGTTGTACATACATCCCATTTTTCATGTATATGGCCAAAACGCACTCGACTGCCTGTTATCTCATGAACCTTTGTAAACAGAGCTGAGTAAAGCCTGAAGTGTATCTCTGTAGATTCTTTATTCACATAGTGGGAGCAAGGATGACCTAGGTGAACCTGGATTAGCTAGGTATTACCAGTAGTAGCAATGATCACTAACCTTGGCCAAGAGTGTCCTCTTTGGTAGCAAACACAACCTCGTAGCCCCTTCCCTATGACCCGTTCAAAGGCCATGTTCATGTGGAAAGACTCACACCCAGTCCAGTAGGCAGCCTGCTGAGCTATGAAACGAACGATGCGCACGTTGATCCCGTCATTGCACACAGGGTCAAGCACCTCCGTCATCTCAACCCCCTTTTGGCAGGTCAGATCCATTAAAGAGGGAATGACAACCTTGGAATGCATATTCATCACCATCAAGACCACGCGCCCCCTAAATCAGGACAAATCCGTAAAACATGCTCCCATATAATCCTCGCTACCTCCTCCGGCTCCAAGTGTGTCACATCGATCTCCAAATATTTCCTGTCAGCGAACTTGAAGATCGGCGCTCCTCTGCGAAACATCCTTAGCAGCTCCGTATCCATGAGCTTTGCATGCTTCTCACGCTCTGATCTCGTCATGCGCTTGATGTTTTCATCTTCATCGCAGGTCAGAACAATGGGAATCAGTGGACAGCCTCTTTTCAGCGCAGCCCGCACGTATTCTAGGCATACACTGGTACCTTGTTCATTGTCTGTTTGAAAATCTGTGAACAGGTAGGTTGTATCATGTGTGGCGGGCTCGGTAAGGGCCGTAAATATAGCGCCACGAATAGAACGCCGGAGAGCTTGATACCCTGGTTGGGTACGGTGGAGAACGGCATCAGCGGGGTTGATGAGAAGGTGGTTGTGGATTAGCTTTAGATTCACTAGGGTGACATGCGCAACCAGATATTGGGCGACTGTCAGCTTTCCAGTGCCGGGGAAGCCATTGATATGGATGATGGGATGGGGGGCTGTCCCGGGCATGTTGAGGAAAAGTAACGTTCGAATTTATCAAGATCTTAAGGATCCAGGAGTGTGTTACCAATATAACAGTATTAAAGGAGATATGGAGGAGGGGTTTGTTGGGAGATGAGATAAGCTTGTATAACTAGATCCCTCGTCTGAAGAGGGGAACTAGTTATATAAGCGCCTTTGTGCAGAGCCGTTGTGCAGAGATGACTGATGAGTAATGCCCAGGTGGAGACTATCTCTCCTCTACAATCCCCTCCTAGGCCTCCTTTCATGTCTTTCACTATTCTCACCTGGCAGTGGACGAACCTGGTTCATAAAAAGCATTGCCCACGCTAATTTATATCGATTTAACATTTCATAGGGCAGTGGTTCTAACTTCAAAACCCGCATTATGCATCTATGTCTAAGCAATAGGAGAAAGCTCTAAGTGTGATAAGCTTTTGAGAGAGCCACTGAATAGTGGCTAGAACCGGAGAATTACAGAGCTTATAGTTAGTGGCCCGTGAAAACTTTTCCAAGGTTGGTTGACCAATAAAAGTTCATTCATGAGTGAAATCTGAGATCGAAAACTTTATGCATCATTTCCAAGCTGCAACGAATAGCTCTCCGCTTCCCAATTTAGTCCAATTTCAGAGAATCAATACTTTCCCGGTGCGGCTAGGATATTGCGCAGGCTTCCAAGCGATGGTTCTCGAGAGGTGCAATCAAAACATCCTCCTGATCAAAAGCAGAAAACCATCCATCGCCTGAGTCGGGGTAAAATTGCAAAACATGATCCTAAATAATCTCCGCCGCTGCCTCTGGTTCAAGGATGCCACATTAAACTCCAAAGACTCCTTCTTGCCTTGAACTTGAAAAGACTGAGAACACAGTGAGGGTCAATCAATTTCATGTTTTCGGATATTGAAGGATGCACGATCAGAGCCAGGGCGAGTTTTGACTTTACAGATACAGGGAAGCCATTTATGATGATCAGCGGATGTGGAGGCATGTCGATGAGTATTGGATCGGCATCTTGTTGGCTGTCTGCGTGATCAACCGCATCGCTGTTTGGATGTCTGGCTGTAGTTGCGCCTGTATAGTTGTATCGAGCTTCCGCGGTCGCTGTGCGCGGTTCCGACGGTGTTGTTGAGACCCTTATGCAGTGAACCAGAGAGAATTCAAGGCGCGAAGAAGACATAGGTGAAGGAGATAGAGAGAGATGAAGGAGGGAATGACTGAGAGAAGATATGAGCTTGATATAAATCTATATATTGGTTTATATCTATGAATATTTGGGGGTTTGGCTATTCGAGTGAATGCCTAGTGAATAAATAGTTGAGTGAATACACCAATTTACCAGCCTAGAACTTCATACATATCAATCAATGATTGTATCATCATCTTGTTTGCTGAGAGGGCGAGTGTCTTTTGATTTGTAAGACCTGTCTAACCCCGCTATTTAAATACAACCCCGACAATGCCTACCACTTCTGATAAAATAGCTGAAAATCAGTAAATACCCAAACAATCTACAACCCAAAATGACCATCCATGAGTGCTGCATCCAAGGTTTTGCGTGGTCAGGCACACCAGCTGGCCAAACCTCCAAACTCGCAAACAACAATGTCTACGTAACAGGTACCAACCCTCAAACCGCTATCCTCTTCATTTCCGACCTCTTCGGCTGGACTTTTCCCAACATCCGGCTGCTAGCCGACCACTTCGCCCGCGAAATCGACGCAACAGTCTACGTCCCCGATTTCTTTGGCGGCGAAGTCCTAGACTTCGATCTCATCGCGGCGGAGAAATTTGCCGAGCTAGACCTTGGCCCTTTCCTTGCCCGGCATAGTCGGGAGAATCGCGAGCCGGAGATTTTTGAGTGTGCGAGGGCTTTGAAGCGGGATCTTGGGTTTGAGAAGGTTGGGGCTGTGGGGTATTGTTATGGTGGGTGGGCTTCATTTCGGTTAGGAGCGAAGGAGAATCGGTTGGTGGATTGTATTTCTGTAGGACATCCGTCGCTTTTGGAACGGAAGGATGTTGATGAGGTGGATGTTCCTGTGCAGCTTTTGGCGCCGGAGATTGATATGGCGTTTCCGATGGATTTCAAGATGTATACGGTTGGGACGTTGTTGAAGTTGAATGTGCCGTTTGATTATCAGCATCTTCCGGGGGTTGTGCATGGCTGTCTTGTGCGTGGGGATGAGACGAAGGCTGGAGAGCGAGCGGCGATGAAGAGGGGGAAGGATGCTGCTGTTGCGTGGTTTAGACAGTGGTTGAAGAATGAGTGATTAGATTAGAGTGGAAAGATCGTTTGAGTCGAGATATTTTCATTATTATATAGCATTAACAAGTCCGTCATATCGGGGCTATCCAAATTATTTCCTCTATGCCTTATCTTCCCCAGTCTCCTGTTTCTTTTGCTTATTGTGATCCTTCTTCACACTCTTCCACTCCATCGCCAATGCGGGGAACAACGAAAGAACGGCCATGACAATACCAAGAATGAACGTCTTGGTAATCGCATCACTGTACCCACTCAGCACCTCACTCAACTTCGACGCAGGAACATAATTCCGAATCTCCGTGGCACCAGCCCCAATAACCCCCACCGCATTGATCCCAGGAATCTTCTCTAGATTCTCTTTCAGGAAATTAGAGAATAATGTCTCTGCAATGCTCACGAAAAGAGCACCATTTAACTGCTGCGAGAACATGAGCAGTGATGCTCCAACCGGAACATCTACAGGAGCGAGACAAGTCTGCACAGCAATATTGGCCTGCTGAAGTCCCAATCCCAGCCCAAGACCAAAGATAACCTGGTAGCCAATCCACTTGGGATGAGCTGTGTCAGCCTGGAAGGTATGCAACAGACCTGCTCCAATCGAGAGAAACACCACAGCGGCAAACATGAACGGGTTGTAGTATCCGACCTTTGAGGTGGCGATTCCCGAAAAGATCACTGCAAGAACCATTGCAAGCACGAGAGGCAGGTTCATAATACCCGATTTCTCGGCATCGACGTTCTTGATGGCCTGGAACCAGATGGGGATGTAGAAAAGCATAACCATCATACAAGCACTGGTACTCATAGTCCAGAACACACCGGCAAGAACAGACCGCTGAGTGAAGATTCGGGGCGGCACAAGCGCCCTCTCACCGAGCTTGATCTCAACGGCGACAAACACAGCAGCCAGCACACCGAACATAACAAACAGGAAAATAATGCGCCAGTTAGCCCACGCATAAGTCGATCCACCCCACTCCAACGCAAGAAGCAGACAAATCACACAAGGAACGAGGAAAAGATTGCCCAGCGGATCGAGCTGCGCAATCTTCTGCTTAAGAGTCCAATTCCCATTCCTCGGCGGTGGAACATCCAACAAAAAGAAGATAGCAGCAATCGCCACACCACCGAATGGTAGGTTAATGTAGAAACACCAACGCCATGAAACGTTTGTTGTGAACACACCGCCCAAAATCGGCCCTAGGACTGAAGCGATACCGAAAACTGCACCCATGAAGCCTTGATACATGGGTCGCTTTTCGAGTGGGACCGTGAAAACAATGATGATCACCGCTCCTGCTGAGATTCCGCCTGTGCCTAGACCTGCGACTGCTCGGCCGATAATTAGGGCTATGGACGAGGGCGCGGCACCACAGATTGCAGAGCCGATTTCGAAGACCAGGATTGAGACTAGAAAGACCCATTTGGCGGGGTAGAAGGTGTAGATTCGGCCGTAGACTAGTTGGGAAGCTGATGCTGTTAACATGTATGCGCTACCGTACCAGCCTATGTCGGTTAGACTGTGGAAATCGTCTGTAATTTTGGGAGTTGCTGTTGCAACGATCAAGCGGTCCTAATCCTATGTTAGATATTTGTATATACGGAACGGTTAGATATCACTCACCAAAGCGACAAGGAACATGGAGATGTATAACGCAGCCATAATCGGAATGATCTTTTTCTTTGAAGGGTATTTGGCTGATTCTGTCGTGACGCTGCGTTCAAGCGCAGCATCGGCGGCTTGTGGTGTGCCATCTTGTGGTAAGGATTTCTCGTCGAGAGCAAGCGACTTCTCGTCAAGAGAAACCGACTTCGCATCGTGTTCTGACAAACTCGAAGTCTCTCCCATCCTGAAAATAGACCTTGAATTTTCAAGCTGTCTAGAAAATCCACGTGGGTGTTAATTAGACTGCGGATATTTTAAGAAAAAAAAAACTCCGCTCTGCAGGACCCTCCGTGCTATTTGTATGCCGAAATGGTAAATTGGCGGATTCAACCGACAACAAGTCACGGAGATAAAAGGAGTCAGTCATGAACTCCGGTTTAAGGCTTGTAATGATCGAGCACCGGGAACGGTTCGTTCCGTGTTATATCCCTTGTGCCCGGACGGTCATTATGACCCTCCGTGAACATGCAGAAACTTGGAACAGGTTTGATCTAAGTCGACTAGGTAGGCTTGTTCATGAATACATTCCCCTCAAAAAGACCAAGACCTTATACCATTGCTAGGCAATGGTCCAAGGCTAGTAAATATGGAGACACAGTGAACCAGGGTCCTGGATCCAGCGCATTAAGCAAATTCCAAGCGAAGCATATCCCCGCTTGGACCCTTGGAATGCTCCGCTCGGTGAAGACTAGAAAAACAAACCCCCTAAACTCGGAGAATACAAATACCCGGCTTTATGTATGACTGTTTGAACATCGCTTATTTTGATAGAAGTATTCTCATATGATCTATAATGCGCTAACAGTATCTATGTAGCCCCTCATAGACCAGCATGACCTGATTTTTTGATGTGTATAGAGTGATGTGTGACGGATATTATCGGGGACGGAGCTCCGACCCTCCGCTCTATTGTTCCCCCTTAAACGGGTCCGCAACCTATAACTTCTCTCTCGGCTTTAGGACTTAACCGTTCGATCGATCAGATCGGGGACTTTCATGTTCTAGAATTCCATGTCTCTCGATGTCTCTCGATCCTTCTTTTTGGACCCACGTTCATACTTTAAATACCCCACCTAGAACCCAGCTGTTGCCTATGACCCTAACTACGACATTTCACTGTAGTGTTTACTTCAATACTGTCAACTTCGAGGCTGCAATGCTTGATCGCTTCTGAGTTGGGACTAACTGCCTCCTGATGATTATAGTTCTGACAATGAGGCGCCTGGAAATGTCAGGGAGCTGTTCATATCACGGACAACCTTGAACTATACGCATATTGGTACTAATCTAGATTTTAAGATATCATGCTGATTCAAATAGGGTATATTATCACTATCTAGCACCCAAGTTGGTAACACTCAGTTACAGAAGATAAACAAAGATAAGAAACTCCAATCCAGGTCATTCCATGCATCGATCAAATGCAATCAATAAGTTGTCGGGCAGAAGAGAAAAAGAAACCAACTCAGGACTCCATCTTCCGGTCACAGCCATTCAACATCGTCCTGGGATATTATCAAAGACAATCTCGGATGGCATAAGATAGATCCAGACCGACCAGCCGCTTCCAATGCAGCGCTGGCCAAGTTTTGGTACGCCGAACGCCTTTAGCCGATCCAGAAGAAGGAAACATCCCTGCCACTCGGGTACAGGGGAATAAGGAGAGAAGATGGTATGGTAATAATAGAACAAAGGAGATGTAAGACTGTGCCAAGGCCGCGCTTTTGCGTTCACGCCAGCCAATATAATAATGGTATAAAGAAATTAGTGCCGCCAACGCCCGTGATGTCGAGCGGCGATCGTGAAGGGCATCAAGATTCGACCAGCCACCCTGACGGTGGAGGAATCGAAACGTATCAACAAGGGAAGTGAGAGAAGCAACACCAGCCCAGAGAAGGCAGACGGAGCCAATATCGTACACGTCAAAAAGTTCAAACAGCAAAGGGACATTGAATCTACCTGGAGATGGAGCTGGTGTGATTCGCATCTCCTGGGGCTGCTGTCGACGAGTTGGTGGAGGCAATATGTGCGCGCAAAGAGGCGACTTCATTTCGTAATCCCGTCAACTCGTCATGCATGGAACGAACGTACGCCCAGAGTTTGTCGATCTGATTGGCCTCAGCCCCGTCGGAACCGTCGGGCCCACCCTTGGATGCAGTTAAGCTATGGTTGCCAGAGAGAGTCGATGGCGCGTGCTTATTAGATTGTAACCCAAATCGAGCGTCTGGCGAGCTGACAACGGGGGAGGGAGCTGAGCTCCTGGTTGTGGCAATGTCAATCCCATTGCATGATTAGGTGCTGACAAGCTTCCCCGTCCAAAAGGTGCCTGTGGGTGAGGCAAGGACTGGCCCATGCTGGGTGAATGTCCGCGGTGCGAGGATGCAGCAGAGTCGTGATGTGATAGAGCATTCGGAGATAATGGTTTGGAGCTCTCGGTCAGAGTGCCCGGGGTAAAGAGAGACGAGCCGGAGGCATGACCTGCAGGGGGGAATGTCATATTCCCCGCTTGGGAGGTTGCCGCTGAGCCAGATCCACTATGCGTACCGGGCGGGGGAAAGAGGCTTCCACGGCTTGCTGCAATCGGCGGGTAAGTGCTGGGTTGACGCGCAGAATTGAGAGAATCAGATCGTGGGAGGGTATCGTCATGCTTGCGCATTCCCTGCGTGCTGAGTCGTCGCTCTTCTTCTCCATCCATAGCCTCGGGCTCCGCGTAGACCAGGCCATCCATGCCGTCGTGGTGGTGGCCATCTCCATATTCATCATCGGCCGCAAAGCTTCCCATGCTAGATCGTCGACCTGCGCATCCGCCTTGACCTTTGTTGTGTCGCGCAAGCGCGTCGCCTCGAGCAAAGCGCCGTCCGCACTTGGGGCAGAGATGAGGTCGTTCGCCGGTATGCAGCTTAGTGTGTCGTTTCAAGTCGTGCAGTCTGCGGAACCGGGACTGGCAGGTTTGACAGACAAATGGCTTTTCTTGACTATGGGTGAGGAGGTGGCTTTTAAGGTTGTGTTGGCGAGTGAATTCAGTCGCGCAATAGGGGCATCGATGCTTCTTTGCCGATGGCGAACGTGGGCTGCCTCTGTTGTAGCCCGCGTTGGGTAAGCTCAGGCCGCGACGAGGGTCGTTGAGTCCGCCGGTGGGCATCGGGTACGAAAAGGCCTTGTTGCTATCCTGATCGATTTCCGAGTCTTCCCGTTGGCGATGACGGTCGCCATCTTGCGAAGCTGACTCTTCAATCGGACCCGGACTCGCGACCGTCGAGGAGTGCATAAGCGAGTTTTGGTGATCGGCCGAGCCGTAAGGATCTGATGTGTCGTGGGCGTGGGCGTCTACGTGCATTTGTTCTGGCGATGCATGAATCTGGGGATCTTGGATTGAAGGGACCGGGGACTTTTCGCTGGCTCCTAAAGCTTCTCGTGCCACTTGGGAACTATTTCGCTCGGAATCCCTCTCATGTTCGACCGGTCGATCCGGCGCTGATGAAGGGCTCGTCATCTGGGGAGGTTGTGATCGGGAGACGTGAAGGCCGGCGCTGGCGATAGAGCTCAGATTGGATTCCGGTTTGGATGGTGGTTTAAGAAAGGATATGGGATCGGAACTCGTAATAGAATGGGAAGGCCCGGTGATTGGGTTGGACACGGCAACAGGCTCGTTGGTGGACTGCATCAATGCCGCCATGGAGGCAGAAGGGTTTGCGCCAGCCTCGTAAGGTGATAGACGAACCAAGGCAACAGCTACTTGTGACATGTTAGACGAAAAATGCGAGCAAAACTGAAAGACAGGTAAATCATCGGACTAACTTCACCCAGAGACTTCGGAGGGAAATCGTGTGTATATGCTGGGGTTGATGGGGGGGATTGTTACGGAGGAAGTCCAGGGCGTGTGGGGCGGGTACTGTTCTCAAGGAAACCGAGTGTGGCGCAAGCTGACGAGGTTCTGTTTCAGCTATGGACTTTGCCCGGAGACGATCCACCACCCAAAGAGGGGCTTAGGCCTGCGTTAAAATAGCAATCGGCCGTGGGAATTAACAAGATTGGTTGAGAATCAATGGAGCCCGGGAAGTTTTGGAGACCGTGGCGGGTGCAAAAGAGGCGCAGGAACGGGAATGGACTCCAACAATGGAATCCAACAATGGACTGGGACTGAGAAGGATGGATTTGCCTCTCAGGAACCCGAAATTTCGATGGCAAAGTACAGGAGAAAAGGAGGAAATAATACCCCGTAGAAAGGAAAACCGGGCACAACCTTTGGGGGGCATTAACGGGGCAAAAAAGGTATGCGTGTATGGTAATCCAGTCAATCACGGTCGAGGCTCTTGATGAACCCTGAACCGGGGGGGGATGGATGTACTCAGTACTTGGTAATATACGACAGCCTACGTACTTCAAGAAGTACCGACTACCTAGATAAGATTGAGGCTGTGTAAGCCCACTAACGCGTGTGGCTGGTCGTGGGTCCAGTTAACACGTTGTTTTTTTCTCTCCTTGCGGCTGATCATGGCCAACTTGGTTATTATACTGGAATCATGTCCGACATGAAAGAGCCTCTTTGCCACTGCGAATGATCATGAAGCTATAGGTAAATGGCAATGATGTCAGAGGGTGAAATCTGGTCCAACACGAAGATCCGGCAGATCTACTGAACACCACGGTTCGGTCTGCTCGGGCTAGTCTAATTCTGCATAAATAATCACCAGCCACACATGAAACGAGGCTACGCCGTAGGTATATATAGATCTCGATTTCTACCGTGACTACAGAAAGAGAAGATTTGGTTAAGTCAGAAGCTGGTCTGTAGTTCTTCAAAACTCAGCCTCGCTTCACCTCGGCCCCTTCGTGGCCTCAGGCTCAGACCCTGTCGATCTGCATTGGCAACGAACCAAGGCCATCCTGGCGGTGCTAGCCTACAGTAGGGCCATGCGCGAAGGCTTGCCCGTATTGAAATGGGACTGAATGTGCCGGACCAACCTGCGATTGGCCCAGGGGTAATGGCCACAGACGTCGCAGCGGGGCTACTCGGCCCACAAAGCCAGCAAATGTGGTTTCACTATGCAGGTCATCGTGGCTTGAAATTGACCGGGCTTGTTCGGCACAGTTTCTCATCTAAGGCTGAGCTGAATCTGTAACAGCTGATTTCCCCGCGGATTCGCCTTGTCATGTTTGTAAGTAGATCCTGTGGATTTGTGGGTTTGCCCCCTTAGGACCCTTGCTGCATCTGCCGAGATAAGCAAATTGGATTCTTGGCTGTTGTCATTGAATCGTATGACTTATATGAAACCAGGCCTCCAACTGCGGTCGACCATTATTCCCTTTTGGTTCGATCGGGGAGGGTTTCCAATACAGCGAAGATAGGTATACATCACCTGCTTTCCATATCTCGCAATGCCTCCTCGTAGAGACTTCAATGTGAAATAATCCATCATCGGATGTGAAAAGATGAGAAGAAGATGCGATGGACGAAGGAGCAGAGCCACACGACTGTTGCTCAGGGGTATATCCGGTGGGCAAGGAGAAATGGCTCTGCCACCGGTATACATCACTAAATTGCGCAGCACAGTCATCGAGAGCAAGACATTGAGTGGCCTTGGATCTCTTGGACATGTTTTGAAGGGTGTTGAATTGGTCTACAGGGCAACGCACGTCAACTGTTTAGTTGATTGGCAGCCTTAGTGCCTTGATGCCTGGAGAAATGGGTATTGATTCCACACGTCGCAAGGTTGGTCATCCAGTCACACAATTGCCCCTGGCAAGACTGATTGGATCAGAATTACTCCCATCGCAGATCATGTGCTGTAAAAAGTACCATACATCGCCAAACTGGATTTGTTCCTAGTCAAAGTCGCTCATACATTAGACCCGCGGGTAGGCGCGATGTGATAGCAACATCACCTCGCTTGCCACTAGTTTATGCGGTCTACAAGTCCACTGGTTATTCCTTTATCCAGGCGCTCGCAGCGATAGTCGAGTCTATGTCAAGGGGGCATGACGTTGGATCAAAGTGCAGAAGTCTATCGAATACGGAGTATTCGGTGAGTGTAGAGCTGACTGCAGAGTTTTAACCTTTAATCTTCCGGAATTCACGATGATTATATACCAAAATAAATTCAATTGCAACTGGCTCACATAATTAGTATCGGGGCACAGACCCTTGGAAGTCAAATCAACTGTGTGACGGGAGCTGTGTACAGGGGTGTTGATAGCGACTGAGAAGTGACTGGATCCCCCGCTTTGACGGAGCACAATCCCCCAAATTCGAGCGGTTCTGCAGATTGTGTGGTTGGCCAGACGATCGGCAGGTTAGCGCCGGTTGAGGTGATGGGCGTGCATGCTGAAGGGCCACTGGGGCCATGGCCCCACCTTATTGGCTGCTCCACTGTGACAAGCTCGACCGATCACTTCTCTCAGCCAGTCACACCTCGTCTCGTGCAGTGTGAATATGCACCCGAGGATGGCGTTGAAGTGTGTCGAGGTGACATTCCTCCAATCATTTCCCCGATTCCTCCTGCACCTTTTGCTCGGCGCTTACTCTAGTCATGGCATGAAGTGATGGGATACCATGGCCTGCAGCGCCCCCGCCCAGCCCAGCGGCCATGGGTGCTCGTCCATGATTGATATTCAACACAGCTGCCGGATCTGCCGCTTTTCTGTCTTTCTTTTCAGATATCCATCGTTGCCAATTTTGGTTTTTCCGTTGTTATTCCCCGTGGACGCAGGTTTCGCACACGGTTTCAAGGTGTTTTTGCATAGGTTGATACAGCTTCAGCTACTGTCACACAGCTGGGACCTTACCAGCAGACATTTGACTCCGGCTTTTCGAGTTTGATTTTTTTTTTGGTTCTATTGCTGGGACTCATTTGTCAAGAGCTGGCTCTTTTGACTGCTTCAATTTGTTCGTTGTCTATATCCCTCCACCGTCACTATGTCGACCTCCGGCGACAGCAACCATTCCCCCCAGACCTACGAGCCCGTCGTCCCGCATGATCTCACCCGTGCCTCGTATCACAGCGCAATGGGTGCCCCTACAGGCTTCACAACGACGGAGACACAGGAGACCCGAAGCTCGGAGAGCAGCGGTGCCTCGCTAAAGAGCCCCCGCACGGCTCGATTCGCCGAAGCAACGACAATCTACTCGCCAGTCGAGAGCTCCAGCAAGTCTCCCTTCGCCGACACCGTTGAGCAAGCTCCTCTCGGCGTCGCCGATACTGGGTTTGGATACGTATCAAACAATAATCCTACCCAACATGCGGACGACTCCATGCCACCAATGTCACCCTGGCGAGCTGATCTCAAAGTCCCCAAGTCCGCCAAGACCTTGAATCCGCTCAGCCCGACCTTCCGTGAGGAATACTTCCTTGAGAAGGGTGAAGCAACTGCAGAGAAGGAGAATGCCCGTGATGTCAGAATCAAACTCCGTGTCCGCCTTGCCAAGATCTTCCTTCGGTTTATCAACTTCGGCTGCAGTCTGATTGTCCTGGCTATGTTAGCGGTGACTCTCCGAACTTTCATGGCAACCAGAAATCTCCCAGAGCGCAACTCAGCCTTTGCATGGAACGTAGGTACCAACCCATGGGCACAGTGGTTGATGTTGGGTCTGGCCTGCTTCTCTCTTTTCGCTTGCATGATTGTGTTCTGGGGCTACTTCAAGGGCGGCCACAAGCGTGCTGAGAAGCTTGCTATCTACTACAGCACGATTTCGGTCATTTACTTCACCTTCAGTTTCGTCATGTGGATCGTCAGTGCTGCTATCTACGAACACTCGAAAGCAACTGGAGACTCGAAGGATCTCTGGGGATGGGCCTGCGCACAGAACACTCGTGAACAGATCTACTCGGATGTCATCGACTACGCTCTGCTTTGCCGTCTACAGGTGAGTTCCAAGCAACCAATTAGCATTCCCGTCCAATATACTAACATGATTAAAGGACTGGGGTCTCGTCTGCGCCATCATTGAAGTCGTCATTGAACTCCTCGTGATCCTCATCTACGTCGTCGTCTTCTACCGCATCTGGTCTAAGCGCCGTCTTATGAAGTCCATGAACCACCGTGATCAGGCCCGTTCAGATCTGTACCTCGCGCAACTGCACCGCCAGACAGCCCCGAACACTCCCGGCTTCCCAGGCTTCTCTTCCTACCCACCAAAGTCTCCCTTCTACGCTGCCCAGGCCATAGATCCCTACTCCACAGCCGAGAAGGGTGAAGCCGGCTCACCACCCCAGTTCGCGACAGCTCCCCCCACCCAGTACGCGTCCCCACGCTCTCCGACTCGCCCAACTCCATCATTCCAGCTCCAAGCCCCTCCCATCCGTGTCCAACAGCCAACCCCCCGCACTGGCCAGGAGGAATTCGGCGCCCAGCCTATTCCCGCTGCTCACGCCCGGTCACCATCTCCCCCACCTCAGACTCAGGAGCATATGAATGCCGCACCTGGTGAACAGAGCTACGGCTCAGTGCCCATCCCGGGAGCGTACTAGTCGACTACGTACTGGCCAATGACTTAACGAGGCGGTCCTGGAATTCTCTGGAGTTCTGGGCTCGATGTTAAAATGAAACCCACGATGGAAAAGAAAAAGAAAAAAAAAATTGGAAAATCATTAAACAAAAACTACTGAGTTGGAGAAAATTTGGACATACAATGGCTTTCCTTATCCTTAATCTTTTGGGCTCTAGGGCTTGCTGAAGCGGAGTTGGGCGTTTGGGTACAGATACCTATTTCGACTTTTGGAGGAGTCATTCGACTACTTTGTGTTTTTACACCTTTCTCTCCTTATTGATCATAGTCAATGATGAATCTTATATCATATATATCACCTGAGTCTGTTTGGTGTCGGGCTTGTTATCGTAAAGTACAAATGTAGGCCACTGGTTTCGAGTTGCAACTATATGAGAACAACATATCAAATCATGTTTTATTCGGTCTTTCTCGGCCCTTTTATGAGAGTGCTCAGGATCAGGTTCACTGAGTGGTGTGTATCATGCTCGTCAATACCCTGGAGTGGCTTGTTTGGGCTACGTGAATTTTCCTATTCCTGGAAAAATAAACATCAACGAACTGATGACACTGTATAGTCAAGAAATTTTAGGAAATTTGCTATCAAATTCGAAAGAAAAGTGGAAATAAAAATTGTCAACACAGGCATGACTCAACAAGAAAGATCTGCGCCAGTGAATACTCTGCGATTTGACATCGTCTGCCAGAGACCTGACGTGTGGAATTCGAACGTGGAATTTCAATTTGTGACAATTTTCCACACATGAAAACAAGAATCATGTTTCAAAGTGCATTCAACTGTCGAGTCTATTAATTCACGACTCTGACTATTCAGATATGTTGTAACGCCCCGCAATAATCTTGTTCACTTGATCATCCTCGGCCAATATCAAGTCAAGTGCACGGCGCAACTCATCCTCGCTGATCGATGGCCGCGAAGAACGCGATAATGCCGAGAAAGGTCCCCGGCGGTTTCTTTCCTCGCGTTCAGCCAACATGAACATTTCATGATTTTGTCTGGCAGTGAACGCCGCGGCCTCCATTCTCCACTGGCACCACCAAGCATCAAGTCCACGTTCGTTGATCTCCTTTTTGAATGCATAGCTCAATTTCAAATCATGCTCCCATTCACTGATACACATCTCGATGAAACTGTCGATGAGCGTATGATCGGCCGTAAGTTTGTGGATAACATCGTGAAGGTCTTGCAGAATTGCATCGATTTCACCGAGAATATTCTTATGAATCTTCATATGCTCAACGATGCATAAACGTTCGCCGAGGGTTCCAGGGTGAAGTGATTCCGCGTTAGCCTTTACATCCTGCATGATGATCCTGCGGGATTCAAGTCGGTTGATCGCAGACATGAACGCACGCGGGCGATGTTCCGTTGTCTGACACAGTAACTTTCGGTTTCGCCAGAATGCGAGAGAGGACAGACATGCGACTTCAGTAAGCGAGACTTGATTTTATGCCTCCTCTTTGGAAGATTGTAGAAGGGCTTCGACAGCAAGGCGCTCTTGGAGAGGGAGAATTCGAAGGTAAGCTGTTGTCTCCTGGTTTAGAGTCTCTTGGTCTAGAATCTCTTGGTTTGGAAGCTCAGTATTTGGGTGTTCGGAGATGAGCTGTGTTGTCGCGCGCAAATTCATGATGCCTTGTCAGCAAAGCTCGCGGAAGGTCGATGGGTTGGGTATGGTAAAGATGGATGAGGGTGTTCAGAGCCTGGAGAATTGGCCATTCTTGGACTGCAAAGAGAGAGAGACAAACTAGAAAAAGTCAATAGAGGGTTCTGAACAACATTCCAGATGTATGTGCACATCTAGGTGAAGATGGGTCTACGTCAACGCCTATGGATACGGTCACCTGCACATTAATGTTGAAGTCATCGAGGCCGGAACTTCACGACACTGTCAAAACATATGTAGGAATAGATCATCGAATACGGAAATGTGGATTGAATGTAAAATGGATGTCATGTTGCATTAAATAAGAAAACGAAAACACCTGATCAGAGCGCCACTGTGCAAACAAAGAAACCCGATCAACTCCGAAAGAATCTACCAAGCCCATCCGTGCCCATCATGACTACAAACATTCCGATTCTATGAAGATCGTGAACTGTACAAGAAAAACACCTCACAGCATGACACCCCCTTCGTCGCGGACAGCGTTGGCGTCGCGACTGACAAAGATCTCTTCCAGGCTGCAAGCCCCATCGCTTATTTTCTGCATGTCACTCTCCAAGACTAGACCTTCCTCGTTGGCCAGATGGAGAAGACAAATGAAACCATAGGATGTACTGATGTCACGCAATGTCTCGTTGGGGTAGACAGTCTTCAGAGAGTTCATGATCTGTGTAAACCGTAGCCTATCGTCTCTGCGATCAGGGCTACTTGTCTGTGGTGTTGGCGGTTCGGATGCCCCGGCTTCACTCTCGGGCTCGGCTGGTGGTTCACTAGACATGACATCGGGCTGCGATGCAGAGCCAAAGTCGGTGGTAGCAATCAGACGCTCGCCCATTCCCTTCCACATCTCGGTCTTGAGTCGTCGCACATCCACCTTCTTAGCGACACGGGCATAGTTGACGTAATCAGGGCGTGCACGACGTCCGCCCTGAGTTACCAGCTGTGAGCCGTACCCACCACCAGGTTTTCCAGGAGTGGCTCCAACCATATTCAGCAAGGCAGTGAGACCAGTTTGTGAGCTACCGTCTCCAGCTGATGTGCCAGGAAGCCCGTCAGTCGGCGGAGACAACATCTCTCGAGCATCGGCAAATGGCATGTTCTCGTCCTCATCGTCCAAGTCCATGCCATTGGGGAAAGCAAGGCCATCGTCATCAGCAAAGAAGTTAGCATCGTAGGCACCAGCGACACCTTCCTGATCGGCAGTATCCTCCACCTTGTGATTCGCCCAGAAAGCCTCGTCCATATCACCGTTCCCAGAGGTTTGCTCGGATCGAGGAGCCGCTCGTCTGCCCAAAAATTTCTTCGAGCCCATACGCGCCTTGGGCTTGAGGAAAAGGCGAAGCAGATTTCGTGAGTTGAAGTGCTTGTCATCAGGGAGCAGGTTTCGCCCCTTCGTCTTCCATTGTGTCTTTGGTAGGGAGACAGCTGAGTTTGAGCTGGCGGGAGTATAGATCAATTCGGCAATGGCATGATCTAAAGGAGCTCCGAAGTCAATCTCGAAAGGCTCCTTCTCTTTTCGTGGCTTGGGGGCGGATGTGCTGGCTGCCGTATGCTCCTTGATTCTCTTGATCTTCCAGTGTTCTGGGCCAGCCCAATTCTTCTGGAGCGCGTTATCGAAGTAGCTCAAAATATTCTCATGGTCCTGTTTGCTTGGCTGATGAGACATGGTAACGGCATATGCATCTTCACGGTCCATGTCTTCATCGCCATCGCCATCTTCCAATCGATGGACTTTGAGCATCGGTTCTAAAGCGGCCTCTCTTGCCCACGCCTCTCCTCCGTCACCGAAGCCAGCGTCACCAGTCAGGTCGAAACCAGCTAGCGATGCGTCATCGTCATCAAAGCCAACAGCATTGTCATCATCAAGCATAATTCCTGAAGGATCATCGCCTTCGCCTTCGTTAATCTTATCATGCCGCCAATCCTCGGGTGCCTTGAGAAGAGGGATATCAAGTGTTCCAGCGGGATCTCCCAGGTCAAGATTCTTGAGGGAAGGACAGATATCCTGCTCTCCGAGACGATCCAGGTCTGGGAAAAATTGGCTTGCCAGTGTACCAAGATCAATATCGGGGTCGTCCTCGAATGTGTCGCTTGCGGTCTGGTGGGCAGGCTTTTTTTGATCATCGGCTTGTGATTCTGGATCGGCAGAGTCCTGTCCATCCTCCTCTCCCTCCGCTGTTTTGGAAGATTCATCCACAGCATCATCGCTGCTGTCAAAAACAATACGTCCAAGGCTATCGATGGCCAAGTGGTTGAGCAACAGGCCCTTTGCGCCTCCTTCATCGAAATCGGCAGACGCCTTCTTGAAGAGCGGATCCACCGCGAATTCTAGCTCAAACTTCTTCAGTTGTAATGAAGAAAATGACGGAGCCAGTGTAGCCTCGTGAGACCGTGTCTTTTATCGTCCAATCTGGTTAGCACGCGTCATGTATTTAAGAGCGCTGATGATCACCGTACCTTCTTGCGCGATTTGCGCGGTGCTCCATCCTCACCCTCCTCATCCTCGTCGCCCTCTTCGCCTTCGGCATCATTATCGCGCCCTCTCTTGTCGCGGCTATCGGCCAAGCCACTTAACAGTCGTCCAGTTTCCGTCGCGACACTGTCGACTCGGCTCGTGTAAATCTTGACACACCCATCAAGGGTGCAACTGGCCTTTTGGAAATTCACACCATCTCCCTCCTTCAAAAGAGACATGTCGTGGAAGTAATCAATAAGAGCGAAGTTCCAGGAGTTGTTCGCATTGATCTTGTTATCGGTCGCCATCTTCATCCACTCCTCGAAATTGGCCAAGATGGGCACACGCTTCATAGGGGTAACACCGCGGCCATTTACATCGCTTCCGCGACCGCGGTGGCTCGATCCGCGCGGGGTTCCTGGACTCTCGCTTCCATCACGGTCATGTGCTGTGTATCGTCGCGGAGGCATCGGAGTTTTGACAGCAGCCTTAATTTGGCTCATCTGACGATCATATTGCGCCTGGCGAGCCCCGATGCGGGCCGCTTTTTCGACCATATCATCGTTGAGGGGAATCCTGCTGGTCGCGTTAGTGATAATCCCACTCTCGCAACTTGAGGAAGGCGCATACTTGACGGGGGAGTTCTTATGGGGGGTGGTGTTGCCGTTGGAACGGCGATGCACCTTGTTTGCTACACGAGGCATGGTTGCGGTTGCCCCCAGTTGGGGATAGCAGGCGTGATATTCGAGATAAAGTCTGGTTGTCACAGCGCAAGAGGGGCGACAAACAAATGGGGAAGTCAACAAACATACGGCACTCGAGTATAGCCAATAGTGCATAATATCACATGATGTCAACCCGCTGATTTATGCCTGAAATATCGGGCACAAATAAAGTCATAGATTGTCCCATCCAAACGCTGACCTTCCAAGGTTCCGTTCCAGTCCCAGCTTCTCCAGGTTTCGACCTACAGACAGATCAATTTACCTCTCTTTTACATCCCGTGTAAACTATTTACTGCCAACGCATACACTACACAAAATGCACCCCAGCTAAGGCTTTGACCCACTTCTGCAGCTCGCTCCGCTCTGGGCTGACATCACCGCCTTCACCGCATTGGCAGGTCAAGCCAACTCCAACTTTATGGAGGGGACTCGGGTTCTGTGATCAGCCCAAAGCGCTTTCTTGTGACGGACCGTCGCGAGAGGATTTTTTTTACCTCTTCAGCTCACGATGCGTCTAGTGTTGATGCCATAATGAACCAACTTCCAATGATCCTGCGGCCTGCCGTTCGCAAAGGGCCTCGGTATTCCGTTCGCCCGTTCTACACTACACTCTTGGTGTTCGCGGCCCTTGTGGCACTGAGCTGGGCTGTACGCAGCAATATAATTGGACAATCCCCACGACGTACCACTACGAATGTGCTCCTGGCCAGGAGAGAAAATGAACCAGAGGTACAGTGCATTCCCATGCATCCCCTCTACCGATAACCTTTTGCTCGTGAGACAGTAAAGTAAAGCTAAACGATGTGCGACTCCATTTAGTGCCGTCAAGTTCGTGATGTCAAGGACCAATGCGCTTATATCCATGCCAACTGCCCCGACCATGAAGATGGCCTACTATCCTACTTGCAGCTATATTACTGTACTCTGGCAGATGCGAAACCGCTGGCTTTCACAATCCTCATACTTTGGCTATCGCTCCTATTTAGTACAATTGGTATAGCGGCCAGTGACTTCTTGTGTATTGACCTGAGCACACTGGCAAGCATTCTAGGGCTAAGTGAAAGTCTTACCGGCGTCACCTTCCTCGCGTTTGGCAATGGCAGCCCCGATGTCTTTTCCACATTCGCCGCAATGCGCTCAAATAGCGGCAGCTTGGCCATTGGCGAGCTGATTGGGGCTGCCAGTTTTATCACCTCAGTTGTGGCCGGTTCCATGGCTTTGGTCCGACCTTTTAAAGTGGCACGCCGGAGCTTTGTCCGCGATATAGGGTACTTTGTGGTTGCTGTTACTTTCAGCATGTTCCTGTTGGCTGATGGCCGACTTCATGTGTGGGAATCCGCGGCAATGGTGGGACTGTACGTTTTTTACGTCTTTATGGTCGTGACCTGGCACTGGTATTTGGTCCGGCGCCGCCGGAAGTACGAAAGAGACCTTGCGGCACGAACCCACTTCCACATCCCAGATAATCAAGAATTGGATGTTGAAGAACCTATAGAAGACGATGATCCGGGAGTTGCCTCGGAATCACGAAGCCTTCTTCGTGGTGCATCGACTGATGACTTTGACCTGTTGGAACGGACTGAAGGAATTCCTCTTTGGAAAGAACAAGAGGATGAAGATGACGAGACCCGGAACCGCTATCTTGCTGAAATCAGCGACAATATGCATGTATATCGTCCGCCCAATCGGTCTCGACGAAACACGATGAATCCCATTCGGCCCAGTCTCGTTGGTGCACTGGAATTCCAGTCGGTGCTCCATTCGCTCCAGAAATCAAGGAACACGAATATCAACCCAACTATCAGCTTGAGTAGCTACTCGGACGACGGTGAAAATTCTCAAGCTTTCGACACTCGGTCTATTGCATCACATCCTCGTGCCACCAGGCCATCTACTACCAATGACCGCCTTTCGCCGCAAAGTGCATCCGGCTCTTCACGAGTTCGTGCGGTGTCGGCCAATGACGCTGATGGATTACAAATTGACACCAGTGTTTTAGGTCGCCACACAGACAAGACGCCACGCCTGACTGTGAGGCGGCCCTCCAATGAAGCCGGTGACTCGGCTCCCTTCGTGGCCCCTGAACTGCCCCGTATAGACACTAGTGCTGAACTAACGGCATCGCCATCATCTTCCGCCGTGTCATCCACATGTGGAAGTCCAGTAGATGCAGCAGCTCCACAGACTCCAGACCTACTGGCTCCCCCAGGAGCATTCCAGTCTCCGAACTATCTCACTGGCGCGACGCACGACCGATCCCCCGCTCCTGTATCCCCGCGGGGTGGTTCCAGTCTTCGAACCGGACTTGCACTGGAGAGTCCCTCCGCACCGTTTCCCGCGTTTATTGATATGCCATCCCGTCCATCTTCTCGTCCACCTAGCATTCGACTCCCCTATCCAGCCAGTCCATCGGAGCCTTTTCTAGTTCATGACAGCATTAATGACATCGACAATGATAACAATGCCTCATTGCGGAATCCCTTCAAGCGTTTCTGGCCTTACTCGGTTCTCCCCGCTCCCTCGCATATTTGTTGCACACTTTTTCCAACCTTGGCGGGATGGAAGTCAAAGAACTTCATGGAGCGATGTCTGGGCATCGTTGCTGCGCCCAGTGTATTCCTTCTCACCATCACCGTCCCGGTCATTGAGCCTCATGCTCCCGAGTCCTTGGAGCCAGACATGATACCCGCTGTGGTCGTAGACGAATTTAATGACAATGCCAACCCTGCTCCGAGAGTCATGCTGCCGGCCGATAGTCCATTGCAGTCGCCTATTCTGCTTGGTCGCCACGACTCTGTGCCTCACGTATCAGTATCGAATTCCCATCGCAAGTCAACCATTCAGGATCCAACTAGTCGTCCGCGCTGGGACTCGGAGCTTCCGGCCGCACCACCGGTCATGTGTGAGCCATCAACGCCAGCCAGGGATTGGAATCGTTGGCTTGTTATAATGCAGCTTTTCACCGGTCCATTCTTCTTTGTCCTCATTGCATGGTCAACTTTGGACGAAGACCTCAATCCCCGAAATCTTCTTTTCCCCACTCTGGTTTCCCTTCTATTCTCCTTCATCTTTCTCTCGCTTCTCTTAACCACCACCCGGCGTCGTCCTTGGCACCGACAGGCCTTTACAGACCCAGCCAGTCAACAGCGCCAAGGATCGCTTGATGTGATTCCACCCCCATCCCTTCCATCCTCGTGGAGACCTTTCCTCTCTCTGCTTGGATTTTTGGTTGCTATTTCCTGGATCGCAACAATCGCCACAGAGGTGGTCTCTTTACTGAAAACCATCGGTGTCATTCTCGATATCTCAGACTCACTGCTAGGCTTGACTGTCTTTGCCGTGGGTAATTCTCTCGGCGATCTTGTCGCAGATATCACCGTTGCCCGCCTTGGTTACCCTGTCATGGCCCTCAGTGCGTGCTTTGGCGGCCCGATGCTCAACATCTTGCTTGGAATTGGCCTTGGAGGCTTATATATGACACTGAATGGAGGCAAAACACGTCGACATGACGAAATTCTTGGTAGAGCTGTCTCTTCGAAGCCAGTTTCTTATGAGATCGCCATATCCAAGGTGCTAGTTATCAGTGGCGCTACCCTTTTGATGGTCCTGGTCGGTCTTTTGATTGTGGTCCCTTTGAATGGTTGGCGCATGGACCGCAAGATCGGATGGGGTCTCATCGCTGTGTGGTGTGTGAGTACCTTAGGAAATGTGATTGCGGAGATTGTAATTTAAGTTGGGGTTTTTTGGCGTTGCATCTGTGAAGCTAAGGAGTTTGGTACATTACGAGATCTCAATTGATGCATTCAAATCTATGTCAGATGTTTAGGACTCTTAGACAATACGTACATGAAGTTTATTGTCGGTGATTGTGACTCTTTTGAAAAAGCAGAGCCTTCGGCCACTATTACCCATTTGGGCAGCTCATGAGGCTCATGTGGACTGCCAACACAAACCAACCTATCAGCTCTCGGCTATCCTTACACAGCGAAAGCGCCCTGGCTCGTGGGCGATTAAACCCGGGGGCCAAAACTCGTATTTGCAGCCCCTAGTGTCGCACCTAACGATCGCAAAAACTATAAACAGAAGTATTCTGTAGGTACCGATACTCGGGATATTGACTAGTTTCGTTCTTTATCTGACTGTCAGCCGGTGATATACCTTGATATTGTCTGCAATCCGTCAGATCAGAGCTTATCTACTATATTGACACATTCCTGAAACAATCAACGCAGTTCCTATGGCTTTCACTGGTCCAGTTCATATGTCACTGTTTACCCTTAACCTTTCGTGGCGCCGGCCACATGAAACGCACCCTACGAACCAACCCGGGTGAATAGGCAGTGGATTTATAAGAGGAGTTTATAAGAGAGATGAGTACTCTATGTCCTTGGTTCTTGACTTTAGGCTGCTTATCTGCTTTATTCCCTGTACAAAAGCCTGACGTAAGACGACAAAATGAAGGCCACCCTCTACTATACTTTCGCTTACCTCAGTTTCGCAACCCTCGCATCAGCCGCAGTCAACGAAACTACATCAACATCCTCCTACTGTACTCCCAACATAATCTGTGACTCAATCTCTTCCCGCGTCGGCTGGGTATCCTCATCCCCCCTCCGAAACTCGTTCAGCATCCTTTTCAGCTGTCTAGCAACCTTCTTCGCCTGCGCCTGGTCCATCCTTCAACTAAACCTCCCGGGCCTCCAAGAAACAACGGTGCAGAAATTCAGACGCAAAGTGAAATGGATGTTCATTACTATCATCTTCCCAGAGCTCCTAGCCGCCATCGCACTCGTCGAATTCGGTCTCGCCCGAAAATCTCGAAAAGAGATGCGAATACTTCCGGGTGGTCACAATTGGACTACGACACACGCCTTCTTTGCCAATATGGGTGGCTTTGTCTTGCGGACGCCTGATCTGCATGACTTTCCGCTGAACGCCGAGTCGCTGAGACTCGTCGTCACCGAAGGACCGGTGACCATTCCTGAGACTAAGAAGGAGGATATCACGGATCGAAGCAAGACGGATATATTTGCGCGCTCCTTTGCTGTGTTACAGGGTCTCTGGACTGTTGTACAGTGTATTGCGCGGTATCGGGAGGATCTTCCCATCATGGCGCTTGAAGTCAACGCGGCGCTGTTCACTATCATCAGTCTGTGGACGTATATATTTGAGTGGTCGAAGCCGAAAGATGTCTCTGTGCCAATTGTTATCGAATCCAAAGAGAAGCTCGGTGCTGAGCAGGTCGAGAAGATTGAGACTATATACAAGGACTGGTACAAGAAGGATGTTGGGGAGACGCTTGACATCCAGCGGATCCCGTTTGGTCCTTTGATGATGGCTTTCTTGGGTGAGAAGCTCAAGATGAAGTCGTGGGTGACGGGATTATGGTTTGTTTTGAGTCTTCTGGCTGGGTTTTATAATGGTGCGCATATGTGGGTGCATGAGGATTTATTCAATGCGGGTATGTGGATTGCTTGGAGGGTTTGCGCATGGGGTGGAGTCGGAATCCCATTGATTGCTAACTTCCTGATATGGTTTGAGAAATGTCTTCCTATCTCCCTTGTCAGTGTGACCTGGGTGGTTTTGGTGGTTTGTTATATGTTTATTCGAATTGGTCTGCTTGTTGTGGGGATTGTTTCGTTCTACTCACTGCCTGTGGAAGCTTACTACAACGTTACTTGGACGACGTTTATCCCTCATTTCTAGGTCTTTGTTTATTTCTGGGGACAGGATGTTTGGTTTTGGCGAACATGAGAACTATGGGGGGTTTGATATAATCGGGAAGGGTGAGAAACCACTTGGGAAATTGAACATGTCAAAATATGGAAGCGTTTATGCAATTATGGTATTAATGAGCTAAAAAGCAAAACATTGGTTTATTCAAGTTCCGGTGGAGGTAATCAGCTACTCCTTCTTTGTCTTAGTGCAATAGTTGACCCCATAGACATGGTCCCTGAAGGGAAATGTGGAACCCGGAGAAAGTATGAAAAACCTCGGTTGATGTGACAGATCCAACTCCGACATGTAAGCGAGAATCAAAGCCGTATCGGCTGATTATCTCCTCATTCGGGCACAAACCACGCCACACGCCATTCCTATAAGAAAGTTCCGGCTTTACGTGCCGGGATCGAGAGGCTTGGCTTGGCCTGCCCAAACCACAACGCCCAAGCACTATTAAGCAAACGGCACCAAAGTATACCGGGAAGCCCCCATTTAGACTCTGATAACGCCAAAATCCGAACCGACGGTCTTTCAAAGGGCCCAAGTGCGATGAGCATACGCAATCGTCAGCCCTGGAAACATCACGCGAGGTCATCCTTCCAATAACCAACGTTATCATCAAGCTAGGGCCCTGCATCCATACTGTCTGATTATGGGGAAATCCGGAGAAGTGAATATTCTAAACAGTAACCGGAAAAATTCCTGCGGGGGATGAGTATACCCTAGTCCTCCCCGGCCATATTTCCTCCAATAGGAAGACGGCATCTACGGGACGCGGCACCCGGACCCTAATGCCTAGGCTTGTCGATTCCAATGTGAAAGACGCGCAAAGATGTAACTTGAATACATATAGAAGGTGGAATCCATTCTGCTGCATCTCTGTAGTCAGAGATACTGCGCTCACCACCCAACATGTCGCTTCCTCCTAAGTGGTACCAGGTATGTCATTGGCTTTTCTCTCTAATCTCATGTATAGATCACTAAACATATGCTAGTTTCTGGTCTGTGTCTTTGCTTCATTGGGATCTGTGCTTTACGGATACGATCTTGGTGTTATTGCCGAGGCTATCGCCAGCCCTTCGCTAATTAGCGAGTTTAATATCGATTCCACCCAGAGTGGAGCTATCACGGCCGTCTTCACAGGAGGTGCTTTCTTTGGTGCCATTTTTGCCGGTCCTCTGGGTGATTACACAGGCCGTAAATATACAATTCTTATTGGTTCTATTATTTTCTTGCTAGGAGGGTGCGTAATCTAAACTCTTACCTATGTCACATCTCACTAACAGAAGCAGTGGTCTTCAAACTGGCGCACAGAAAATCGCCTATCTATATGCCGGACGAGCAGTTGCAGGTCTGGGGTGAGTTGAAACTTCTTTGAATTCATATCCATCCAAGGCTAACCACTTCTATGACTCTAGAGTTGGCATTCTGGTCATGATTGTGCCCATCTACCAAGCAGAACTCGCACACCCAGACATTCGTGGCCGAGTCACTTCCCTCCAGCAACTTATGCTTGGAGTGGGCTCCCTAGTCGCCTCCTGGATCTCCTGGGGTACATACATCAACTTCGGTCCAACAGACTCACGCCAATGGCGTATCTCCCTGGGTATCCAAATGGTGCCGGCCGTCTTCCTCGCCGCCTTGATTCTGCTGTTCCCCGAGTCCCCGCGTTGGCTGATCGACCACGGCCGACTGGACGAGGGCCTGCAGACACTAGCTCGACTGCACTCTCGTGGCGATGTCAATGATGCCTGGGTCCAGACGGAGTACGACCAGATTTGCAACTCCATTGCTCATGAGCATGAAGCGGAGGCCAAGTCCTATTCGGAACTGTTCACAGATCGCTCGTGCTTCCGACGTCTCTTTTTGGCCTGTTCTATCCAGGCTGCTGCGCAGATGACTGGTGTCAGCGCTATTCAGTACTTCAGTCCTACGATTTTCAAGCAGATGGGTATTGCTACCAATGATACGCTGAAGTACCAGGGTATCAGTTCTATTATTGCTATCATTGCGCAGTTCCTTTGCATGCTGTTCATTGATAAGACTGGCCGACGTTGGCCGCAGATTATTGGAAATCTGGGCAACTGTCTCTTCTTTGTATGTGCTTCTTCTTCCGTTTTGCTCTTCCATACTAACTTTTTCAGATCATCCCCACGATCTTGATTGCTAAGTTTCCCCCGGGCACAACACACAACAACTCCGCTGGCTGGGCGTTCATTATCATGACCTGGTGCTACAACTTCAGCTACAGTGCGACAGTTGGCCCCTTGACCTGGATCATCTGCGCTGAGATCTTCGACACAAAGACTCGATCTAAGGGTGTCTCCATCGCGACTATGGTCTCCTTTGCCTTCAACACGATGATCGGCCAGATTACCGCTCCCGCCATTGCTAACATCGGTGGCTGGGGCTTTTATATCATTTTCTGCGTTTTTAACTTTACGAACGCTATATTCTTCTGGCTTATTCTCCCTGAGACTACGAAGTTGCCTCTGGAGGATATGAACGCTTTGTTTAGAAACGAGCCGTGGTTGGTACCGGGTACGCAGACGCATAAGTTTATTGAGCGGAGGCAGATGCCGTTGCCCATCAGTCCGGAGAAGATTGAGCATTTTACTACTCATGAGGAGACTGCTGCTTAGTTGAGACCTTTGGTGGAATGGCTTTTGGATTACTTAGCGGTTTTATACCCATGAAGGAGTGAGTTGTTTATGTTAGCTTTGAAGGTTGGGGGTGGGAATATGAGCTTTAGATTGGGCTTGGATAATGTGATCAACTGATCTAGATTCGCATGTAAAATAAGGCCTGAGTCAGTGACCTTTGAATCCTTATAGCGGTTCTAACGATATTATGTTGTACAAGGCGGTGTTAAGCCTGTCAAATGGATACATAGTACCCACCCGAGTACGTAGCGAGGGATGTCCCAGGTTGATCAACATGAGATACCTAGAACGTTGCGGTTTAAGTTTATGGAACATGTTTTTCAGTTCATCAACTGTCACAAACCGGGAAATATCTTCGGGGATGATTACCGAGCTTTCTTGGGGACGTGCTCTTCATATATCTGCCTTGCTCACACATCAAACTGATTCGAAATTTCCCACTTCACACATAATTATACAAGGAAAGCATACCCGTCAATACATTATGGAGATGGTGGTTTTTGTTACAATTATTTTGTTTAATGATGGATCAAGTAATACATACAATTATAGAGAGCGGCCGAGTCTGGTTTCACTGAGGATGGGAGATACAATGTTTCTTTCTATTGGTGCTCAAGAAGGGAAACTTTTCCGCGAGTTGTTGTTTGATCCCACCGGTTGGAAATGGAAGGTCGCTAGGTTGGACATGATAAGAGCAAATACCACTGAATATTTATAAATAACATAAACTAACTAACATCACCATCACCGCTCATGTGCTAGTGTCCATAATTCCTTCCCAGAAACAATCACTGGACGGCCTCCCAGCTAATGAGGAATCCCCTGACCCAATCTGTACAGTATGTACATCTAAAACATTACTTCCTCAAAGCACGCGGCCCGCTGAGGAACTCGTGCTGCGGTCGTTGGTCTGCACCTTGCGGAGACCCGCACCAGCTTGGATGGATGCAAGGAGAGCAGAACGGTCTCCACCACCACCACCAGAAGCGGGGGGAGCAGGTGGTGGGGGAATACCAGCAGGAGGAGGCGGGGGTGGGGCACCAGGAGCTCCCGAGGGAGGAGGAGGGGGTGGTGGTGCAGCCATAGGGGCGCCAGGGGGAGGTGGCGGCGGTGGCGGCGGAGGGGGAGCACCAGCTGGCGGGGCAGGAGAATCAGGGGATTCCACGGGATCCATAGCTGCAGGTGGAGGAGGCGGGGGAGGAGCGACCGGGCTGTCCTGGGCGGGAGTGGCAGCCTTATCTTCATCCATAGCGCTCAAAGGACGCGGGGGTGCCATGGTGCCGAACAAAATGCTAGCAAGCTGCTTAGCACTGCCACCGCCTGGTCGGTCATCCTCATCGTCAGACGATTCGGGGTCAGAGCCAGCATTGGACCAGTCATCATCATCTTCGGGACGCGCGCGGCTCTTGCGTTCAAGAGGGGCGGCACCTGTGAAGGTCGGCTTTGAGCTCTCTTGCGGCTGTTGCTGCTGCTGCGTGAAACGGTGGAAGGGGTTGGTTGACTGTGCAGCGGGCGAAGGGACTGCCTCGGGCTCAGCAGCTTGGCCAAGCGACTTGAAGTAAGGGTTCTTCGACTCAGCATCAGGCGAAGCAGCAGAGAATGTTGCTTCATGTGAGCTGGCTACCGGGCTAGGGACCCTCTCTGGCTCTAGTGACAAAGGCTCGGGTTCGGGAACAGAGACAGTGGGGATAGGCGGAGGAGTGCTGAACTGGGGAGTGATGCTCTGAGGGCCCTCATCGTCCGAGGAGCTATCGTCATTTTCCTCAAGTTGACGTTGCAATTCACGCTCACGCTCTCTAGCCATCTCGAGCTCAGCGCGCTGGGCTGCGAGTCTGGCTTCCTGGTCCTTGGCCTGTCGAGCGGCCTCTTCTTTGCGACGTTTCTCCTCTTGCTTCTTGACCTTGCCCTGTCGAACTTGTTCCTCAAGAGCACGCAGTCGAGCTTCTTGTGCCTCCTTCTCTTTCAGGAATTCGGCTTCACGCTGCTTCGACTCATCTTCAAGACGCTGGGTCTCAAGCTCCTGGGCCTCTTGTTCCTCCTTAATCGCTTGCTCACGGGCAGCGTGCTCGGCCTTGCCAGCTTCCTCGGCCTTCTTGGCATCAGCCTGACCAGCGCTGTCAGTTCGTGCTCTGCGAGTGGGAGGCGCAGGTGGAGGCTTCTTGCCAGCGGCCTTGGGAGCAGCGGCACTGCTTGGAGCAGGGCCACCACGTTCCTCAGCCAGACGGCGCTGTCTCTCTTGCTCACGCTGAGCATCTTCCTCTTCGGCACGCCTAACACGCTCCTCGCGCTCCTTCTTCTCTCTCTCCTGGCGTTGCTGAAGAGTCTCAGTAGCAGTGGCTGGCTTCAGACCAGCAGCGGCCATGCGCTCAGCAATGCGCTTCTGGGCCCGCTCTCTGGCAGATGCTACACGGTCTTCATGCGTATTACCAGGGATAGAGCCCGACGAGGCGGTGGATGCTGGCATAGAAGGACGGGATGCAGTCGAATCAGCCGCGGGCGAAGAATACTTTGAACGCTGCTCCTGGGAAGATCTCTCTCGACTGTAACGAAATGTAAGCTTAATCCTTCACTTAGGAAATAGGGGGGGGTCATACTCTTCCTTGCGAACGTGCGCAGTCCGGCTGTTACGGCCAAGATCATAGATAAAGTCACGGATAATATCCTCAACACCCAAGGCATCCTCCCAACGACGTCTCTCGTGCGAGCGGGTAGAGTTTTCTCCTTCGTCACGGAGGCTGTCTTCCAGGCTCCGAGCGAAATCGCGCACACTTTCTTCAACATCACGTGTCATGGTGCTGTTGCGCTCTCTTTCAGCGTTCGCGTCAGCCCTCTCGGACTCCATCCGGCGAGCAGACTCGCCATCATCCTCCTCGGTTGCGGGAGCAGGACGTCCCGCCAGTTCGGCAGCGCGGGCTTGCATGCGTGCACGAGCACGAGCCTTGATGCGATCTGACTCAGTCACGGCACCACCGGGACCAGTACCCACAATGTTGGAAGCACCGTTAGGGTTAGCCTTCGCTTCCTTGAGACGGAAAAGCTCTAACTTCGCCTCGGCGATCTCTCGCTCAATACGACGAACATCAGAGGCGGCCTGTGGAACCTGGTCTTCGGCTGCTTGCAGTTGGCGGCGGAGGACTCTGCGCTCCGCTCCACTGTCCAAATTACGGAATGAGGCATTAGGATGAGTATCAATGTCATCCTGCACACGCCGAATCCGATCCATGAGAGACTCCGCCTCACGACGGTCCCGGCGGTCGAGAGCCTCGTCATCCTCGGCCTTGTTCTCATCCTGGAAATCGACTGCCTCCAGCATCACATTGGTCTCTCGGATCTTCTTTCGCAGCTGGTCCACGGAAAGCTCCTCTCCTTCAGAAGTCTGAGATGAAGGAGCAGGCGAAGGTGTGCGAGCATCGTTGCCAACACGGCGGCGCGCGCTTGAACGGTAACCACCCGCGGAGTCGTTGTTCTTGAACATTGTCGCATCCTTGCGGGTTGCGCCAGGCTGTGCTCCACCGCCGCCACGGAAAGAGTGGTCCTTGAGGTAGCTGACTCCAGTCTTCTGCGGCTGCAAGAAAGCTCCAGTGGTCTTCCGATTCTCCGCATCTTGGGACAAGAGTGACTTCATAGTACCAATGGAATCATTCAAATGTCTTGTAGAAGGAGGAACAAGCTCCGGTGGCAGACGGCTAGGAACAGGATAACCATTCAGAGCACGATAAATCAAATGCATTCCGACGGCGAATTCATCCATATTCAGACGACCACGGTTGTGAGGATCTGCGAGTGTCCAAATACGCTCCAGGTCCTTACGGTTCAATCCACTTTGGCCCATGATCTCAATAGCTGTCTCACCGCCAATAAAGCCCTTGTGCATTCCATCCCAGGCACGGAACAGGTCGTCATAGATCTTCTTCTCTTCCTTGGTGATAGCCCAGGCCACAGTAGCATTGCCGGAGAGGTTGGACATATTGAAACCACCCTCACGACCAGGTTGGGGCATAAGTTGCTGCTTCATAGCCTCAATGTTGGGCAATCCTTGTGCTGGGGTGTTGATAAAGCCCCACTGTCCGGGGATACCAGTAGGCTGCGCAGTCAAGCCACCAGTCTGCGCGGGGCTTAAGTTGGACGCAAAGCCAGTGGGCATGGGTGGCATTGGAGGCCGAGGGCCGGAGTATCCGGTGGCCTGAGGGTTTGCCATGAAACCAGTCTGTTGTGGCTGAAGGAACTGCGATTGGTTCTGGAAGCCGGTCTGTTGGGGCTGCTGCATGCCGGTCTGTTGAGGGAAGAACCCAGTGGGTTGCGCCGTGAGCTGTGTAAGGAGGGCGGCATTGCTCGGCTGTTGAGGCTGAGGTTGCTGTACGATCGGTGGAGTCGACTTGTTCTCTAGCAAAGGGGCATCGAAATTGGGTGCGTTTGTTCGCGGGGCGGCCGCAGGGTGGGTGTCAGGAACATCAAAAGAGATAATGTCCACCATACTGGACACCTCGTTTTTCACAGTCTCAGGCAGAACGGAGGGAACCTCTCGGCCAGTCAATCGCAAATTACACAGGTACATAGCCAATGCGAATTCCGGGAAGAACAGTTGGCCTGACTTGGTGGAATCACACAAGATCCAGATCTTCGACAGATCACTGCCCGGAAGCTTGGATCGCAGCAAAAGATCTCTCACTTTCTCGCCGTCCATTGTCTTGCTATCGCCGACCGCCGACTTGAACAACTGCTCGAACTTGGCTTGGTCCTGAACGGTAATGAACGAGAGTCGGATACTCGGGATTTTTGACGCATTCTTGGGCGGGACTTGTGGAGGCGGAGCACCGGTGTCTTGGAAGGAGTTCGCCATCTCGCTCGAGGTCTTGTATCGCGCAGGGAGTCCGGTGGGCTGAGAGACCTGCAATTGCGGCGCTTGCTGTTGCGCCTGGGGCTGCTGCTGGTTCTGAACAGGGAATGCGGTATATTGGGGCTGTAGACTCTGTTGCTGAGTCTGCTGTGGCTGCAGGTGCTGCTGTTGCTGTATTTGCTGGCCAGGGAAGCCAGTGAATTGTGGCTGGAGCTGCTGTCCCGCGGGGAATCCGGTAGCTTGAGGTTGAAGTTGCGAGCTACCAAACGGCGACGGCTGGCCAGCAAAGCCAGTTGGCTGAGGAGCAACGAAGCCCGTTGGCTGGGGCTGCTGCATTGGTGGCTGCTGTTGACCTTGAGGGAATTGCGAGTATTGGGGCTGCTGCTGCTGTTGCATGAATGGTGCCTGGCCTGGACGGCCACTGGCACCACCGCCGAGGAAGGTATTCGACGATGAGTACATTATAAACACAGCGCTCGCATGGACAAAAGCAGATGCAGAAGAGCCACAGAGATTGATGAGAAAAAGAAAACAAATGTAGAGAGGGGGCGGATCAGGAGCAAGGTAAATGACGCTGTCGCAGGGACGCGGAGGCACGCTAGCCTGCTTGGGTGCTTAGTCACGGCTTCCCCGTGCGTGAGTTATTATTATCTTTTTTATATCCGAGGAATTTATCCGCTTTATTTGGTTACTCTTGGTCAGAATCTGAAATAGGCAACGCAATTAGCTATTGCACTTGAGGTATCATTTTGGATACATAAGACGATTTTAAAAATGTAAGTCGTAACGAGTTCTCGCCAGAACTATGGGCTCGCAAAAAAGCAAATGTGGAACACCAAACCATCAGACCAACGAATCAGTAGATCACGGTCAACATATCAGAAAGGCGAGCATCAGAGAAAAAGAGATCCCAGTATCGCTCCATACGCCGGAAAAAAGCAAATAGAGAAAAGAGAAGACGGTTGGATGTACACTCCAGCGCAAAGGGTGGCCAGATATAGTTACTTTCCAACAAGTAACAGCTCCTTACTCGTGAGCTTGCTGCTGGTTGGCAGCATTCGCCATCTTGCGAAGTTCATACTCCTTGGTGAACTCGCGAGACAGCTGACCCAGCTCCTTAATAAGCACGTTGCAGGTGGCAATTACCGCAGCACGGGGAGTAATCTCGCCATCGGTCTGTACGCGCAACTCAAAGTTGGGAGTCAAAGGGTGAGGAACCTAGATACAGTAAGCTCCACTGGTCATATCAAGGGGATAGAATCTACATACCCGGTAGGCGGAGAAAACCACGTTGGGGTGGCGGAGCAGACGAACACGGAGCAAATTGCCAAGGGTGTGGTCCTCCTTGTGAAAGGTAAAGATGGCCGCAGAAGGCAGGCCTAAAATCACGCTGTCAGAAAATCGACATTCTTTCTCTCAGCAGATGATCAGGTCAATAACTTACGGGTGTCGACGTCAACGTCGATCTTCTTCTCGCCTGGGCCAAGCAGAATCGCCTCGTAACTGCATTCAAGTCAGTATGGTTTTACAGCCATCGATGCCTTGAACGCCTGCAAAATGAATATGAAATGCCATGATACAGTGGGATGCTCTTTTCCGTCATACTGACACATCGGGGCGGTCATCGACAGCGCGAAGGGTCTCATTGCGTGATACAGGCAGACGGCCACCACCTGCCTTCGCGATGGCATTGGTTGTCGTGTCGAAGGGAATGGCCCGATAGCCCGAGGGCGAGGGGGAACGATCACTCATGACAATATCTTCCCAGTAGAGAAAACAGGAAAACACGATGAAGCAAAACAGGTTGGGGAAACAAAACAAGCTGAGGGAATGGAAACAGATGAGGGGGAGAGAATGAGCAGACGAGAGGGATTTCTGATCTTCTGGATTTGAGCCTCACGGAACCAAGCATCCTGAGAGACCCGAATCCAGAGAATCAAACGAAACAAATGAGCAAAGTTCGAAGGCTTCTCTTCAAGCTGGCGGGCTTCATCCCGCCTCGCCTCAACATGATCAAGGCTTTGATCAGACGAATTCGCACGAGCAAACATGGTGATATTGAAGCCAACGGAAATAAAAAAAAATAAAAAAAAGGTCTGTAAGAGACACTCACCGATCTGGTGCGTTCATGTTGATGTGATTGATTAAAAGATGATCGAAAGAATAATCGAGACTTATAAGGAATGGTCAAGTCTTGGGCAGGCTGTCGAAGTATTAATATACTGTGTTCCAAGGCCTTCACTGAGGCTATTTGCGTGAATGTCCAGAACTTGAAGCCAAGTAAACAATAAGGAAAACCAGAAGCAGACAAGACATCTGCAAAGCCATTCCAACAGGGGCCCACGGTTGATAGTTGCGGTAATTTCCAAAACTCAATATCTCCAAGACGAATGAGTGGATGAAGGTGGGGGAGTTCAATGCCAAATTACCTTCAGAGCTATTGCCAAAGATGTGTTCGATAGAATACGGATTAGGATATGTTGATGGTGAAGATCGGAAAACGATCTGATTCGATGAAAAGGTGAGGACGTGAAGATCGAGATGTCGCGATCACATGATATTGAACGGTCCCGTGACATTATGCACGTGACGCTGCTTAACCTGCAACTGTGGAACACAGAACCTGGAATCGAAGAAAGATAACCTCACGTATTATGAAAAGCATATTGTTTCTAGCCATATTTACATGGAGCATATCAATCAAAACCCCGCCATATGTCAGAATCGATATCTACCGTTCCGAGGATTCCACCCTCAGCTCTCCGCTGTGCCGATCTGCGGGTTCCAAGGTTAACATTTTACCACCAAATGACCCGCAAGATTTGATAATATGATGCATAGGTATTAGAAATGAATGCAGATGCTGGATCATCAAGCTGAAGATTTCCCTTCCAGCCGAACCAACGATATAACATTATTATCTATCATTTGACAGACAATATATATTATCGCATCTACCTCTATTTGAAGCAGTACCCAATTGAGTATATATCTACCTCTGTCACCACAGCCTTGGAAGGCAACGAGATATTTGAATTAATGCTGCTTAAAATCCCGAGCTCTCCAGCCATAGCAAGCAACAAGCAGCACTGCTATATATCTATCCAGCAAGCCCAACTCTAATAAATGCCTTAATGCTCAACATCAGATACGCAACGGCAGGCCCGCTCGCGTAGACGGAATCGACATCATAGGCGGTGGCTACAATACACCTGTACTATAAGAACGACTGTGCGATGCAGTGAGCCTCATCGGATTTTGATTGCACTGGGCTCATATACCATCTAACAGTGCACACGGATCTTACACAGGGACAGGAATCCTCCCTCTTAGTGCAGGTCCACATATTAAGGCGCAAAGACGAATGGGGCTTGAAATAAACAAAAAATTTTACTTCGACGTGTTTATCCGATAACAGAGAAATGCCTGGGGTTTGAATCACATGGGTCGTGGGTTTCAGACTCTTGATGCAACTGAAAATGGAGAGGTGTATATATACACAGAAACGATGGGGAAAGGGCCCACGTCGAATGCAGATTTGCACTCAGGTTGATTCTGTCCATGAAGCAGAATCCTTTGACGAAATTTCAACCCGCCTGACATCTTCCCAGCCCAATGTTCCGATGCAATGGCCATGGACTTATGCGTTCAGCATGCTCATGATAGATCATGAGGCGTTCGAGAAAATCGAACGAAGTAAAGGCTTTGAGGATTTGGAGCGTGATAAGTCTCGGGATGAAAATAGTGTTATTGTTATATGCCTTCTCTTATACACCAAATATATCGTAAGTAGTTACGCTCAATTTTGGTTCCCAGGGCCTCATATGGAACAGAAGCCCGGCTTGGCGAACTACTTCTCATGAGTATTCATAAAAATCATGCAGATTATTCCGAGGGTAATCTAGGTAGATCAAACAAGTAAAACTGATTGTTCCTGGGAGCAAAGGGCTAGATAGGAGGTAATAGGCTACTGTTGTTGGTTGGTACAGTAGATGGGGCCTTCTACAGGTTACAAAGCAATGAATACCTGGAGAATGCAATGATAGAGGTATTTTTTAGAGATGAAATTAAGTCGAGTAGACAATTTTTCTGCCCGGAGGAAATAAAATGAGACAACATATGCAGCGAATCTGACAAAAAAATCAAGAGAATGATTAAACAAAACGCCAAGTCCGCCATGCGCCGATGCCAAAGGAAACAAAAGACCATATGTATTCATACTTCAGGATACCACTTCCTCGGGATATGACGGTGATACAGGGGTGAAAACAGAGAGAGAAAGACCCAGATAGCGGAGACATAGTTCCAAGAGACACATGAAGGAGAGAGAAAAAAGGGAGAACAGAGCGGCTGAGAAACAGCCTTTATCGATGTATGTGCGTGATCTTCGTATCATGGGGATGCAGCATAGAAAATTAAGAGGAAAAGGAAGGAGAAAAAAGAGAAAAAAAAAGACAGGAAGGAAGAGAAAGTTCTATACGTTGCGCGACAAGGTATCCGCAGAGATGCATGCTTTTTCGAATGGAAAGGGAATGTGTCTGGACTCTTAATGCACGACACTTAGCAGATCCCCGAAAGAAGAAGTTCCTCGCTTCATTTTCCAGCTGCTCTTCTTCTTGTCTCGTTTCTTCATCATATCGGCCCAGGCCTCATCATCGTCTTCATCGTCCGATGCATTCTGCACCTTTCGAATGCCAGGGCCGGCTTGACTAGACTGCGAGTCGGGTCTGATGGTCACAGTAGCAATGGAAGTAGTTTTAGGGAGGCTTCCTGTTGACTTGGACATAGGCAAGTGAGAATTGGGGCGGTTTTCATCGTTCCAGGACTTTTGCAGCGGTGAAGCATGGTGGTTGAGGTCGCCCGGAAGGGCGGAGACGGGGCGGTATCGAGATGATAGCCCTGCGTTGCTACGCTCGGATGGAGCAATCGATGGAGCGTATCCTGGGGAGGTTTGATGATAAGGCCCGCCAGATAGGTTGGGCATTGGTGAACCAGTCCGACGCATGGCAATATTTGGATCGATCATGCTTAAAGTACGTTGATCAAAATTGGGAGCATTGGGTGCAAGTCCCGGCATGGAGACTGGTCTCATGTTAGAATGACCAGAGATCGAAGGAGAGCCTGCCATCATTGGACCGGTCAACATAGGAACAGCCATGGAGGGCGGGCCCATAGGAGCTCCTGGCATAGGTCCACCGCCCATCATAGGGGGTGTTGCCATACCGCCTTGCATCATGGGGGGTGGGGGGCCGTGCATGCCCTGCATGGCCATCATCTTCTGCATCCACTCCATCTGCATGTTCATCATGTCGGACATCTGGGCAGACAATTGAGCCTGAGCCTGCTCTGCTGGACTCATTGCTTGCTGGGGTGGTGGCATCATGGAGAATGGTCGGGGTACAGCCCCCATATCGTACATCGCTTGAGTATTTGGGCTGCCTCGTCTCATAGCCCGTGCTTGTTCCTCCTGCGCAATCACTCCAATGAGACCTCCAGGAGGCCCCGGCGAAGAGGCAGGACTGCCATATACTGAGCCACCGCCCATAGCTAAAGACTCTCTGTTTGTCGAATTGACCAGACTAGCCCCAAAGTAGGGATCCCGCGGGAGGTTCCTAGCAAAAACGGGCAAGCTGCCCCGTTGGTCCTGCTCGGCACCCACGAGTGAGCTGGAAGATGACGCATACGGATTAATAGAGGCACGAAGGTTCGGGTTAGAGCTTGCGTTTGCTAGGCGGGCGGGCGGGCGGTTGCGATTGGGAAAACCATGAGCAGCAAGAATACCCAACGGAACATCTTCATCATCACCCTCATGGCTTTTACCGCTTGAGGACCTGTCACCTACGCTAGTCAGGTGGATGGGAAGGTTAGGAGTGCTGCTGCTGGCACCACTCATCACCGGACGGAGCGATGGTGAAGGAGCTTGCTGGCCCGTCACTTTCATCATCTGCTGGCGATATACGGACAAATGAGCCTCTTGCTTCCGTCGCTGCAGTGCCGCCTCACGCTGCTTTTCGGCCTCATCTTGTTCATCAAATTCATCATGATCCGAGTCATCCTCACTATCAGACGCATCGCTGTTTGAACGACGGAGTTCTTGTTGCTGGCGATAACGCTCAAATTGGGACGGAGTCATCACCTTATTGCCAGGAGACGCCGTCTTGGGTAGATTCTCTGCGAGTTGAACCGCAAGGCGTGCATTTTCCAAGTGCTCATTTGTAGCAGGCGAGAATGTATGTGAGAACATTGATTCCGGCTCGGGGCTAACGTGTGCAGGGCTAGTCGCATGGCCCTTGAGCAGTGGGGTGCTGCCGGACGGAGAAATGCCTCCATTGTGTGTCGGGGGAGAGCTGCTCTCTTTGCTCCACATAAGGGAGCTTTTGACCATCGCAGCGTCCTCATCGTCAATAGCAGTGGAGTCTCGGTCCCCATAGTAAATTATACTTCGTCGCAATCCCATGTCCGATTGTCTTTTCGGTCGATCTAAAGCCCGGTGAGAGGTGGTAGCACCAAGCATTTGGTTTGGAGCTGGGGATTGTCGACGGAATCCAGTCACCGTTTCAGGAGTAGACTGAGCGGGCGAATATCTGTCGTTCTCTCTGGGGCTATTAAGCAAGCCCTCTTCTGAGTGACGGCTAGTCCACGAGTGAGGGGGAGGCTCGACAGGCGCTGATCGATCTATATCAATTGGTGGAGGTCGTGCAGCACGGCTGGTGTTGTAGAAGTCTGGCAGGGCTTGTGTTGGCGGAGTGGAAGATAGCTGCATGAGCGTTAGCTGGACCCCTTGCATGTCATACCGATCATAGCCGCATACCTTATTGGCCGGCTGAGGGGAAGGGTCTCGCATCAAAACACTCTCACGCTTTCCTACATTATCGAACATCTTTCCAAAATCATCACCTCCCAAGCTGAAATCCTCGTCGGTGAGCTTTGGCGGGGTGGCTGTTTCATCCGTAGTGCCGCTCACAGCTCGTTGTCTTGTGGATTGTTCCGGAGTAGCGTGCCGTGGTGGAGCCGGAGCAGATGACTTGGAGAATCGTGCGCCGAACGAAAAGGTCCTGCCTGCAGCAGCACGTAGTCCTCCCGCAGAGATCGGAGGTGGAACGGGGATGTCATGCATTCGGGAATGTGGAGAAGCATCTTCGGGCGAGGCAATCTCCGTGGAGGAAGGTTGGGTGGATGAGGAGCTAAGTCGGGTAGAAGTCGAGCTCTCATAGTTTGTCGCACCACTGGTACGGTGTTTAGTCATTCGCATCCTAAGGGAACCCATGGACCAGGGACGTTCATACCGGTTCTTGCCCAGGGTTTGCTCTGTCCCCGCAAAGATGTTGTCTGAATCCTCCAGAGCCGATGGCACCACATTACCTTCACTGAAACGTTTGCTCAGTGGAGCACCGTCCGACATCGATCGCTCGGCGCTTGGGCGCTCAAAGACCCGAAAGGAGGATTGCGGTTGGGTTTCTACATCCTCCAGAATATTGCCTGATGACTTTCGCCGAGCGAAGCTCTTCGGTAACTTAATAGGCATCGGGGGTGGTGTAGTGAAGAGACCGGACTGTGAATATTGAACACCTCCTTTAATCGCGAATCAGTCCCATCAAGGTACCGTGGTTTCTGAGTGAGATTGCCGTTTGAGATTGACGTGTCAAGTGTGGCAGCGTGAGGGGGAACGACTAGTCACAAGGAAATATAGGGAGCGCTCTTTCACGATCGACGGGTTGCAAGGGGAAAAATCGATCCACGGATCAATGGGTCGATCAGGGGACTGCGAAAGAATGGGGGTACGAGTCAGTCGATAAAGAAGCTTCTGGTTCGGAGATAACAAGCGACGAGCAACACGCTTCTTTAGCGGCTAATCAAGACCCGGAATCCACCATGTGGGTTGACACTCTCGATCCTTTGTGAAATCCACAGCCCAAAGAGAAGGTGTTGATCTTGTCACGGAACGCGGAGCTCATGGAACTTGCAGCCTTCAGGGACGGCAGAATTCTCAAACACAGGAAAAGAGAAAGAAGAAAAAGGCAACCCACCGGACTAAAACCTCAGGTGGACAGTTTCACTGCGCCGAGATTGACACTTGGAACCACCCGCAGCGAGACAGATCTGGAGAGTAAAGTGGGGAGTGGAGTAGAGCAGTCAAAGGGTCGGGTAAGACCCTGGAAGATCACCGAATCCCGAAAGAATGAAAGACACAGAGCAACGAGGGAATCTCGAGCAATTAGGGATGAGAATATGTCAGAAGGGGAATACAAGTGAAGAGGAGAAAAAGATGACAATAGACCAGTTGAACGGTTAACCGGAGTCTAGTCCCTGCATTATTGCCTTCCCGTGGCTGGGCCGGGATGAGACTGGAGACGCAACGCTAATACGTGGTATAAATGGCCTGAACGAATCAGGACGGACCATGAGGCGAATCAGGCCAGATCCGAGAATTATGTATTCTTTTAGCAACTAGTAATTCTGAATTTTGGATTTTCGCTTTCTGTTCTGCGCCAAAGTGAAACCTCCTTACTATGTATAGTAAGCGGGACACACTAAGTGACCAAAGAACCGCTAAAAATAAACGGATCCCCATTACCAATCCTGTACCGTACCTTTACACGTTCCATGGTTATAGGTTCCACGGCTATTCTACTCCAAACAAATAAACATGAGGAATGCGACCCATAATAAATTAATATACTGAGAATGTGGTGGCTGAGAACTGCATCCGTTGTAATTTTTTACGTTTAATATATGATTCATCACCTCTCTGGAACATTCATTCCAACCCTCAGTTGATCATGGTGACTCAAATCCGATTCTGCTCCAGCTCCACTTGGTGTCTGTACTATTGTAACCAAATTACCCAAATCGAGTTCGTCCACTCAGACCCACTGTATCACGTGAGATCGACAAGCCTTTTCATATGTTTTTTTTTTGGTGTTTTGGTATGGTATTCAGGCTTTGGTCGGCTGATGGTGCCTGTCCCACACCTTCGTCACACTGGACTCGACTTAAACAGCCTACGGAATTCATGGAAAAGTCAATCGGAGCAAAAGGAAATCAAAACAGGAGTTGGATATACACAGCATATCAAACGTCCGCCGTCTTCACCGAAAACTGCCTAACAAACACCTCCCCAAGATTCTAACACACCCTAGATAATACATATCCTACAGATCATGCAGAAGATTCAAATTCCCAACACATTTCGTATCCTGATAGGGGTGGGAGAAATTATTTGGCAAAGTGGAGATCGTAGTTCAGCCACTTGCGGGCGTTAACGCCTGCGACATCCAGGCCAGGAGTGCCATAGGTCAGAGGCGCATAAAAGATGAAGCCACCGATGGTGGCTGCGAGAATGACAATGGTCGCGGCCCATGCGGCAAGCACCGAGTTAAGGCCCATGCGCTCCTTGGCTGTCACGAAGCGGCGGACATTGCGGCTGACCCGGCCCTTAGCCTTACCGGAGGGATCATCCGCAGGGGGTGCGGCAGTGGCTGGGTCGAGTGGCGACACGTTGAAGATGAACTCGACAAGCGCACCGGTCACCATGGTCGAGGCGAGGTGGGACGGCAGGTAGTGGTGCAGGAAACGCTGACGACCCATCAACCAGAAGGGGAAGTAGTGGGCAGCCCAGCACAGGAACAGGAATCCGGTGCTGTTGTACAGGCGGGAACGAGTGCCAGGACCCCAAACTATTAAGAGAAGAAAGAGAAAAAATTAGTCATCTAAAGTGTTTGAAAGCACCAGGGCTGGAGAAACTGTAACTTACTTTCCTCCAATGCGTCAATACCACGGCGAAGCGAAAGCTGATCCGCTCCGACAATGCCGGCAAATACAGCCAGCAAACTGCTGGCAATCCACCATCCGATGGGGTTACCCAAGAAGTAGATCTGTCCCCGGGTTTCATTTTTAGTCCAGAAGCTCACACCGCGCAGCAGGAAAGGCCACTGGAAGGGCTCGGTGGCATAGGGGTGACTGCTAGTCAGTGCATTGTTGTGGTGGAACATAGCACCCTGCAACTCAAAGTACTTTCGCAAGAAGGAAAGCGACTTAACCTGGCGCTCCTCTTTATTCAAACGAGGGCTACCCTCCTCGATGCCTTCAATGGTCTCCGCATACCAGATGTTGCTGGACTGGAGGATGTTCTTGTTTCCGTTGATCTCAGCCTGCTTGAATCCCCACTCAGGAAGAGGAGTGGTGTGGGTCCACATGGCCACGCGAGTGGGTACGTGAATGAGCTTGATCAAGCTTGAATAAGTGCGAAATTCCTGGAAGGGCTTGCCATTCTCGATCTTGAGCTCAAACAGTGTATCGTTGTGACGCTCGCCAGTGGCCAGCTCCTGCGAAATGGTGGTGAACTCCTGGTTGGTAGGGAAGTATGGAGATGCAACATCGTGTGTCAGAAGGTACGAGTCAGTGCCAACATGGCGGAGCTGGATCACGTCTCCATTTCGCACACTCTTGGACTTGCCTTCGGCCAGGGGAACGGTTGGCAGAACCTCCCACAGGTTGTTGGTATCGTTGTGAGGGTATCCAGTCACCTGCTGACCTTGACTGGAGATGCGGCCATCGTCATAGCGAAGAGGATACTTCTCCCAGTGGCTGTGAAGCAGAACCTTGGTGTCCTTGTGGCGCATACTGATTTGGTCAAAGTATTCAATGCCAACCGACTGGGCAGTCATCGCATTGTCACTGAGGGTCTCTTGGAACTCAGGGGACATGAACTCATCGCCAGGGCCGGAGCGGTTGAGGATGGTAAAGTGGACCTGGAACCAGAATAGGTAGAAGAAGAAGGGGATGATAACCAGGCCCACTCCACGAGCAACAAGGTGCTTGATCCATGTGACCATATCAAGAGCACCATCGCGTCGGTTGATATCCAATAGATTCCAAAGGTCGATTGCGACTGCCGCACCAATAGTGACGAAAGTGAAGACACCCACGTATTTGGTCGAGATGACACAGCTCATACAGAAACCGGTCAAAAGCAACCACTTCCACCACTTGCGACCAAATGGCTGGTGTCGTAGCTTGTAGAACCGGACATAGCACAAGATACTAAGCGCCATGGTGATGACCAAAGTAGAATCCAGGAGGATCAGGCGGTCCTCACCAACGTGGGCATTGTCGAACACCATCAGACCGGCAGCCAGCACGCAGGCCGGCAAAGAGTATCCGGATTCCCACATAATCAAGAACACCACGGGAATTGTCAAGGCACCGAGGGTTGCTGGCATGGCACGAAGGGACAGGTAAGGCACATTGTTTTCAATGTACGAGTCACCGATGTTCTCGAACAAAAAGCTACCATCGAATCCAATCAACCATCCCACAAAGGCAAACAAGAGTTTTCCGAAGGGCGGGTGAACGTCGAAGAAATAGGTGCGTTGGAGGTAGTATGAGGCAAACTACAGGACATGACAGGTCAGATGCAGGTTCCCCCTTTTTTCCAATGGCGATTGAAACTGGCATGCTCCGGAATTCATACCTTTCCAAAGTGAACCTCGTCGAAGACGACCTCATTGGGATAATCGATCCGCCAGAAGCGGGTTATGAAAGCCAACAGGGTCAGAATGGAAATGGCCAGCCAATAGTCCCATTCTGACTTAGGCTTGGCCGGAGCGGCCACAGGCCTCAAGGAGCCATCATTGGATGGCAAAGCAGTGTAAGCCTCCTTCTTTCCACCTCTCTTGCGCAGAGAGGGTGAAGGGGACGACATGGTGAAAGGAAAAGAAAAAGAGAGCGACCGTGAAACCACCTATAGTAAATAGACTTCCGAAAGCGTGAAGCGTCAGCAGTAGCTCATCAGGGTACGGATTTTTGTTCCAGAATATCCCAGGACAATCAAGTGCTTACCAGAACCACCAAAGGGCATGACACCCGAATAAAAGACCAAGGAAAGCTGAAGAGAAAATGAGGGAGGGGCCGGATTGGGATTGCGTGTCTTCTTGGTTTCGGATGCAGCGTAAAGGCGGTGGGCCCCGGAACTTTCAAGGGTCCAATCTCGTGTTCAGTTCGCCCCTTTGAATAACAAATTTGGATTCAATGCTGAATCGCTACTTATTTGGAGGCATTTTGCTTGCAATATAATGCCATTCGTGAAGAAAATAGATATAATCCTTTATCTTAGTAATCAATTTACCTCCCACTTTTTTCTCTTAGGAATGTTCTCACCGCAGCTGAGATCTACAGTGCCACATGGCTAAGCGACCAGTACTGATTTCCGGAAGATTTGACCCCGGTCAATGTTGATTAAGCGGTAAGGCGGCTCAAATGTTCAGTGATGGGAATAGTGAACGTGTCAGAGTCGACGAAGCCGTTGATCACTGTCTGGACTTGAATGACTCCATTCAACATAATGTCTCCGTTGCAAAGGTCGAAGAAAACATGTTCATCATGGTTTCAATACGCGAAATACATTTTAGTCCATCAAGGCTGTTATCATCGTTGGAGGTCATGAGTACTTCCATCGAAGTGTCTCCGCCATTTGAACATCAGTTTATATAGAGGAACTATGTGCCGCCGTCTAGGTGGGGTACTGGAGTCGAGCCGAGTACCTCGAGACCAATGAAATCGATCAACGTAAGCCAACACTGAACTCCTAGAATAGACCCTGGAACAGAGGGGCGGTATCCAGGACTACAGTATATTGGCCTGGATGTTTACACTGCCTGATCGTCATAAGCGGACCCACCTAGCGGTTCATGACACCAAATCGGGTTTGGCGTACAACCATAGATGTCTAATCTACATTGGAAACTTTATTTCCCCGTGGGATCTGTTGTCCATGAACCTATCTGCAGTTAGATGTACCGCTATGACAAGGCGCAGCCTTGTTGTTCCTGTCAGTGGCTTCGACGTCATCATAGCGGCCCATGTAGTATAAGTAACCGTAATATTCAGATGATGATTGTGTTATCCATTCCATCAATTCCAGTTCCTCTTTCACTATGAAATATCCTTCGAAATATATAGCACTGCTGTTCACATACGGCACAGTTGGCTTTGCTGACTACCTGGGTCCAACATACCCACCTCCGGTCGATCTCTCTAGCCAGCAGAGTCTAGTCACAGCTGCATGGAAAAACCTCACTACCACCCTTGACTCTTATCTCAAACGCAATCCCAGTGGCTCTGCAACTACTGCTGTTTCTCGTATACAAAACACCACATTCTCGACAAATATTTTTTCAATTCACGACTCGAATGCCGCAAAGCTTCAATACCACTGGACCAGCCCCGAAATAGCCAGCTCCAAAAATGGCACGAACAAGGTTAATGGTGACAGCATTTATCGTATGGCTAGCGCAACAAAGCTATACACCACCTATGCTGGTATGATCGCTCTGACTGAAGAAGAATGGAACCTTCCACTCACTCAGATTAACCCACTATTCGCCGAAGCGATTGCCAAAAGCGAAGACCCAATCTGGAATGTTGAATGGGACAAGGTCACGCCATGGGCATTGGCATCGCAAATTTCCGGTATCCCACGCCAGGGGTGGCCAGCTCTAGACACACTCTACAACTTTACGATCTACGATTACCTCGGTCTGCCGACAGAAGACCCTGTCACAGCTTGGGGTCTACCACCAACAGACATCGCGACATTGGGTCCCTGCTGGAACCCTAAAGAGCTATGCGATGGCCCAGACCTTATCAAATCAGTCCGCGTTCAACCACCAGCCTTTTTACCCTGGCAGACCCCAATGTACGCCAATGACAATTTCATGATGCTCGGACTCATGATCTCCAATATAACTGGCCGGAGTATGTCAGATATCTACCAGAAGGTGATCTTCGATCAGCTGAATCTTACATCTTCATTCTCATCACCACCGACCTCGAGGGCGGATCTTGCTCGCTCTGTTATTGCCGGTCCACCGGAGTCAGGCTTCCTAATCGATGTTCCTGTCACCACGCCATCCGGTGGTCTGTTCACCTCAAGCAATGATCTCGCCAAATTTGGTATTGCTATTTTGAACAGCACTCTTCTTCCTTCTAATACCACCCGCAAATGGATGAAGCCTCATTCACATACGGCTAGTTTGACTTACTCCCTCGGTGCCCCTTGGGAAATCATTCGTTATTTGAATCCCAGTACCGGCAAGGTTACGGATCTGTATACCAAACTAGGTGACTCGGGTTACTACGGTGCGAACATTGTTTTGATACCGGATTACAACGCTGGTTTCAGTATTCTGACCGCATCGACCGGTGCTGAGCGCGATGTAGCTACAAATATTATCCTGGACTCCATCACTAATACAATAGTCCCTGCGCTGGAAGCCCAGGCTGCGTTGGAGGCGACAAGGAACTATGTCGGGACGTACGAATCCACGGACTCTACTCTCAATTCGTCTATCACTGTCGCTTTCAATCAGTCTTCTGTCATTACGTCCATGTCGGGCTTGAGTATTACACGCTGGATCTCAAACGGTACAGATGTGTTGGCTTCGGATCTTTTCTTAGGTGGTCGGCCGAGGCTTTTGCTCAGTATACCTAAGCAGACGGGGGATGGGGAGGAGGGTCAGGTTGCTTTTCAGGTTACGCCTCAGCCGCAGCTTTGGAGTTATTTTGCTTCTGGTGCGAAGAGGCTCGATGCTGTTGGTCCATTTACTGGACAGTACAATACTAATTATGATTGGTTGGTGGCTGATGCGACTCATTATGCTGGGCTTGGGATGAATTTGTTTGTTTTTGATGTGGATCAGGGTGGCAATGCTACTTCTTTGAGACCTGCTGCTCAGAGGGTTACTTTGCAGAAGAAGTAGGTTTCTGACCAACTACATATGATCAACCCATCTTAGTGTTGGAGATAGAGTTCTTTTGGTTTCTGAATTTTTGGATTTGATTTGACAATTTTCTTCATATTATGGACCTCTTAACATCGTTCAAGTTAAACAAGTATGAAATCGAAAACAAAACAACCTTGAAAACAATATGCAACTGAAATGCTCCGCAACCAAAATGCATCTATATGAAAGGTTCTTTGCAAACCGCGACGCCTCAAAAACGACTCGTGGGTATCAGTCAAAATCGATATAGAAAACTTATTTATCAAGATCAGTCAGATCCAGCAACTCCAATTCCGTCTGGACCATTGACTGGAAATCAGCACGGCTCACGCCTGTCGCCTGAGCCAAACGGAACAAACTCTTAATGCTGGTGCCAATGTGCTGCTTCACACCGACTTCATAGTTGCACTGGCTTTCAGCTTCCAGCTCCAGCTTAGCGACAGTATCCGAGTGGCTCGAAGAGATAGACCCAGATGCAGGTCTGGGGTGGCTGAGCGATCTGGCAGCGCGGTCAACGGGCATATCATCCACCGCATAACCATTTGTGCGGGCTCCCTCGTCCATATCCAGCCCATTCTGTCGCCGCAAAAGGTTTGAGAGAAGGTCCCCAGTCAAAGATGTGGGGCCAAGCTCTGGCTGTTCTTCTTCTGGGTCGTGGCTGTCCATGGCTGGCTGGACATCGCCGTACTGGGAGAAATAGTTTGCCTCCGACAGACCAGAAGGCGGGAGATTGGATGAGCTAGCACCTGGGGCAGGAGTCTTGGGTCCCGGGGTACGGTTCGGAGTGGCATCATACTGAGCCCAGTAATCGGCATCATCGTCTTCCTCCTGCTGGTCCTGCTCATTGGATCCTTGGTTCTCAATTGGGGAGTCCAACATATCAGAGTACAGTCTCTCCTTGGCCTGGACATTGGCCTCACCAATCGAGGAGGCCCAGGTATGCTCATCCGCGGCAGGGCCTTCGTGAGGGAGAAGTTCTGTCATTCGCCAGCCACGACCACCACCCTCCACATCTGTGGGGCACCAAAGGTAGATCACAGCCAAGTTGAAATCGGGCAGCAAGCATTGTGCACGTAGTGTCTCGTCGTCGATACGCTTATAGGTCAGGGGCATCTCATCGGGAAGTTCAATCTCGCCGGAGACAGGGTGTGGTTCGAAACTGGCGCCGTCCACGAGCGTCTGCAGGCGCTCTGCTTTGTTGGCGTCCCAGCATAGTAGGCGGAGCCATGACTCATTGGGGGAGCTGGACACTTCGCTCAGGATCTTGACGCGCTGTCGAAGGATTGGGGAGAGGAGGGGGAGCAGAGCTGGTGGTGGACGTGGAGAAACGAAGGCTGTGGGCAGACAGGCGAGCAGAGGAGGGAGCAGGTCACGAGGCTCAGGAGGACTAATGAGTTCGACCATGATGTTTAGATATTAAAGGTAGTTTGTAAAGGTAAAAAAATGCGTGAAAGAGAAGAAGAAAAAAGGAGTTTGGAGCGAAGGAGAAGAACCATGTATCCGAAGCTGCAAGTGGAGGTGGGCTCCATTCACCCGAACAAAATGAACGTGGGGCAAACAAAGCGCAGACGGGGCCGAAAGCTTACTGGCTTACTCTCCCCAGGGGCCACAATCGGACCCTGACTAAAGAGGTAAAAAGAGGTCATGGGGCGACTGTTATCGTGAGATTTGCTATTTTAGTGAGATCGCCCCCACAATGTTTGGTTTTGCATTCCTTGTATAGGCATCGGGGATGCCGTACACCTTTACAAGTAGGTCCATGTCTCCACATCCAATCGTTTCCTCTCCTATTCCTCTTTATTATCACGAGGGTTCCCAAACAAGAAACTTTATAGGTATATCACCGGCTATTATCTACTCCGGAAATAAGCATAATCTTTACCTTTCCAGGGGCCACAACCAAGACAAGTAATGTTTTCGCTACTCGCATAGACTCCAATACTCGGTTATTTATCAAGTCATGCTATCGCCCCCAAGGTCCTGGTATATCTGGATTTAATCCAGCTGGCATTTTGTATACTGTTCCTCTATACCTGTTCTTGGACCGAAGACTTAAGTCAACTGCCCAGGTCCTTTCACCCTCTTGGTGGAACAATACAATAATGTGGATTCAAAAGGGATAGCTGATCAGAGGTCAGATGATCCATTCGAAAAGACAAGAGTCTAGTGCGACCGAAGTGGAGAGCCTCACGGTCTATATAGAGCTCAGACAGATTCTGCAGATATTTGGCACTATTGCTACCGCTATTTAATTAGTCCAGTGATCACACAGAACGTGCAACGTTAATTGGTGGTGTAGTTATCACGCAATCTGCAATCGCTTATCGCAGTCACTGCTGCAACATCATTCGGCTAGATTCCTGCGACTTCGGCCCTAATCCCTGGCATGCAGGACTGCAGTTACATCGTCAAGCTGACAATTGGTGTTAGCTTGGTCCACCCTTGCCCACCACAAAAAAGCAAAATATTAAATCAAGAAATGAAGTCGCCACGATCGTGAATCCTGAATGCATATGTTGAGGGCCGATTCAAGATGACCAACACAAACAAACATACATTCTTAACCTCGGCCGCAGAGGATCCTCCGATACCAGAACACATGGCAGGCAAGACAAACCACACACTCTCCGATCGAGAACCCCTCGAAGAAACTGGAGATGAAGGGCAAGGACTCGAAGTATTGGCTCTGGAGAAAAGAGTCCGATGGAAAGTAGACGTGCGTCTATGTAGCATCGCAGGCCTGCTGTGCAGCCTTAATCTCCTAGACTCCGGCATCCTATCCTCGGCAGCAGTAACAAGCATGTTGAGCGACCTCCAACTAGACCAGGGGTCCCGGTACTCGGTGTCGATCTTCATCTTCACCATCGCCAGCGTCGTCTTCCAGCTACCATGCACGATAGCCGTGCGCTTCGTCGGCCCTCGAGTCTGGTTCGCGACAATCACATTTGTTTTCGGACTACTGACGATGTGTACCGCTTTCATTCACACCTGGCGTGAGATGATCGCTCTACGTATCCTGCTGGGTATCGCTATGTCCGGTATCTACCCCGGACTGACATATCTCATTAGCGCCTGGTACCCGCGACGCGAGCAGCAGCTCCGATTTGCCTTCTTGCAATCTGGGGAAGTTCTGGGGCTGGCGACGGGAAATATTGTTAATTTTGGTCTCAACCATTTGGATGGGAGGGCTGATTTGGCTGGTTGGCGTTGGATGTACCTTGTTCAGGGATTGATTGCCTGTGCACTGGGTATAAGCACTTACTGGTGGATGGTGGATTTCCCAGAGAACTCGGCTCGGAGCTTTTGCTTTTTGTCCGAGGTTGAAGCCAGGGTTGCGTCGCAGAGAATTCAAAATGATCGGGCAGATTTGGTTCCTGAGCGGTTCTCGTGGGGTACGCTACTTGGCAGTTTCAGGGATCCTAAGATCTATGGGTTTGCTTGCATGTTCTTTCTGCTGAATTTGGTATCGACTTCCTTGTCGTACTTTCTCCCCATTATTTTGGAATCGGGTATGGGCTTTAACTCGAATGAATCGATTTTACTTTCGACTCCGGTAAGTTTGTCCACGGAAACATTCTGACTAGCGCTGATCATGCTATTCTTAGCCGTACTATTATGCCGTTATACCGGTTCTTCTTACGTCTTTAGCCGGAGACTTCTATCGGAAGCGCGGGCCCTTCATCGTGTTCAATGCCCTTTGCTTGATAGCCGGTTTTCTGATGTTTGGGCTCCCAGCGTCGAAGCAGGTGACCGTGCGCTACATTGGGACCTTCCTAGCTACTGGGGCTTATGTCTCAAATTGGGCTGCGCTCAATGCCTTCCAAGCTAATAATGTTGCTGGTCAGTGGAAACGTGCGGCTACGTCAGCGGCTGTCACTGCTTTCAATGGCTTGGGTGGTGTGGCAGGTAGCTATATTGTGCGATCGCAAGAGGCTCCCAAGTACCAGACAGCGGTTTGGGTATCTATCGGGTGAGTTCCTAGCTCTACTGAAGGGCCTTGATCTGTGTACTCATTGCTTTATAAGGTCCCATATTCTCATGATTCTTCTGGTCGCTGCTTTTACGATCTACTTCTACATTATGAATCGGCAGCAGGCTAGGGGTTTGAAGACCATCGAGGGAGTGGTAAGTTCCAAGAAGGGCTATGAGATAAGCTATATCTCTGGCTGACCAATCTTAATAGCCAGGTTTCAGATACACTTACTAAAAGTCGACAGACTTTACGATCACATTATGAATATCACGACGCGATAATGTATATGACTGAGTCTAGCCATGGTGGCCTCGGATATACTCTGGTCACGGCGGGAATTATGTTCAATCGAATAGATCAGAGAAAATCCGAACGAAAAATGCATCTAGCGGGCCTCAAGCTGAAATTAAATCCAGGTCATATCAAACTCGTTACCCATGCTATCTAGAGTACATACGAAGGAAGGTACACTGTGAGGAGCCTAGAGATAAGCCTTTACTATTCTCCCATTTACTACGCTATATTATAATGGGCAAGAGCTGAGCCCAACAGAGTTTCAGATCTGATGCGCCAATACTAAGCCACTTACTACACATAACACAGAATGTCAAGAGCAAGAGCGGCCCCCCCTTGGGTACCTTGCTGGTAAAAAAATTCTATTATTTAAACATTTTTATTCAAATACTTTTGTTCTAAATATTTTGGTCGTAAACACTTTTGGTTCTAGATACTTTTGTCGTAAACACTTTTGGTACTTGAACTTTTAGATCCCGGCTGTAATATGCACCTCATAAGAGACCCAAGGATGGTGTCGTGGACTCTCATCTTCGTCCTCGAGAATCCACGATCGCTGATCTTCCAGTTCCGCCAGAGAAGAAGGTCGACTGCTCCAGCTAACTTCGCGCTGGATGAAATTTTCCTCGTATGGAAGGGGGTCGGCACTTTTTGGTTCTATCTGAATGGAATGTGTGTACCATTGCTCATGATGGTGGTGATGGTGACGATTACGCCGTGACCGGCAGCAGGATAGTTTTGCAAAGAGAGGTTTGCGCATGATGTGGGTGACCAGAGGCCAGATACTGACTAGACAAGTGGCGATGATGATAACGGCGCTTTCGACTATTGAGACCATGGCTATTTTGACTGAGAACCCTGTATCAAAAGTTTATTAGTATAATACTGCATGGCGTTTTCAGCAGGATTCGTAACTGACATGTCACATCGCTTGCTTGGGCAAATGATATTCTGTAATACATTACCATCCGGAGAATGCTGGCTACAGTCCCACTTTTTGAGCTGTCAGTAATTGATCTCTTGAGTAGGTCAGGGAGTGCTCACAGTCCAGAGAGCAGGAATACGCCTGTCAGAGCTACTTTCTGCCCTCTCCGTGCATGCAACCTCCAAACGAGAGGGATGGGTAGCGCAACGATCATCAACCCTGTGAGTACGTTGATGGGGGAGATGACACGGTAAAATGTTATTTGATTCACGCATGCTCCGTAGACACTGAAATCCCATGCAGATTCGATGGGATTACACTGGAATATGCTTTGGAAGAACACGGTGATTCCCAGTCCTAGCACTAAAGCTCCGATTGTGTACGGGATGATTTGGAAATTGCGCGTATGGAAGATTCGCACATAGAAGATCCGCACGTAGAAGAGCAGGAGAGCTAACTTTGCTGGGGTAACTGTGAGAGGGAGGTCAAGCAATTCTAGAGCGAAAAATCCCTTGGAGCGTATTAGCAATGCTCTTGATTCGGTTCGAGATGTTTGTACTCGACCATATGAAAACAATTACCTTTCTCGTCAAAGTTATATTCTGTTGCGGATAGGCAAGATCGTCGACGTGATGCCCGAGTCCTGCTACTTCAACCACTGCACAACGTAAGCCTATTTCCTTGGAAAATTATGTTGCCCGACACTTACAAACAACGTAGATCACCGCTTTAGCGATGCTTCCAATCTGTAGGTCTCGAGCGTTAGCGATGGCACGAATCAACATGAAGCACACATACCAAGGCAACAAGCATCACATAGTCATCAGCGCCACACTTTGTGTGTTGTAAAGAATGAGTGTAGAACCGTGCAATGACAAAAAGGATCTGGATCACAGATAAAGTCAAGCTTACACCAATCAAGGCAGAGCCACCGGTAGATAGTGCCTCGCCTTGTTGCCAGTTAATGCCACCCATAATGAGTTAGGGTGGCTGGTGTCCGTAATATAATGCAACAGCCTCCGTCATTCGTCACTATTGATGCACAAAGAAAATATCAGAGGCAAGAGCGATGCAGCCGGCCAGTCCTATTTCAAAGAACGCGGAGATCCAAAATTGTGGGAATGGACTCCAAATCCCTTGGCAAGGTCTTGACTCCAAAAGTTTATTGATTGTTCGGAAATCTACGACCGAGATATATCGGGGGCTGTCCCTGCCGAAAGGGGAAATGATTTCAGCGAGCGATGGGAAAGCCTCCTACAACACCATTTGATTATTATCTATCCATGGCCTCGGGTCCAGCGTGGCTCGAGAAACAGGCGCTCAATATCAGGTTGAGGGTTGTGGATGAGTCCAAGGCGCTGGGATCGATGACCCGCGGGGAAGCCATGGAAGTAGACTCCTGGGTGGATATGATTGGTTCATAAGGTTTAAGGTTAAGCGGGTTTCCGTGGATCCGCGCTTCATGACAACAGCAGACGGTTGTTCCAGAACAAATCTGATTGACATCATGGCCGAAACCGTTTGTTCTAGAAATTCTATCCTCGATTAAGTGGGTCATATGCTTCTTGGACCGATCCCTCTTCCGCACTTCGCTTTCTTTCGTCCATCTCGGAAGATTCCCGGCGCCCCCCAATTATACTTTACTGAATTCTGGAAGTATCCTGAAGTGGTGGCTTTTGGCGCATTAATGGGTCAAGTCTCTTTCCGCATTCAGATAGCCCCGCCTATGATAAGCTGAGGGGATGCACTTAAGCTCCCGGGTTTTCGCGATGTCTCGGAGGGGGTTCCCGGGACCACACTGACGATGAGATAGATCGTGAGTCGAAGATCTCTCTTTCCGCTCTCTTTCCGCTCTTGGAATACTTTGGTTCCGATCGGTGTCCTTCCACTTAGGTTAGGTGTAGCCTCTTAGGTTAGATGATAGCGTGTAGATTCCTAGAACAGCATGTACCCGCAAGATAGGGTCGAGATTTCGATCGGGGTTCTCGGTGACCGACGTCGGTGGGTATCCAAGAAATCCAACAATACATGGGCGGGTACATCTCTAAAAATGGAAATATCCCATGTGCTTGCTCCGGTTCTTTTTTGTGAACTCGAAGTGGGTATGTAGGGGGCCAAGGGGGCCAAACCTTCAGCTCTGTACAAACGCATGCGGCTTAGTCAATTCCCCCATCGGTCGAGACCTTTCTACCTTGGACTGCACTAGGTAAGAAGCGCGGCGTTTACGAAGATTAATCTCACCAATGTCCATGAAGTGGAGTTCTCAATGTAAGACAAGCTTTGAAGCCTGTTAGATCGCGTTGTCATAATGAGGATAGTGTAATTTCCCCAATGGTCCGTGACGCCCACCCAAGCTCATCCGGCATATATGTTCCCCATTCAGAAGCTTCCCGTAGCCCGAGGTAATGCAATTTCGCCAAGACCTCAATACAAACTACAGAGTTCAAATTTCTCCGAGTACATCCATGGATGATCTAGGCCATCTCTATACCCCCTTCCATCGCTATGTGGGCAAGGTTTGCTCCGTTGGCTCATGTCTCGTGGCGCTGTTGCAGACGTGGACTGCTTTATACTTTCGATATGAACAGCCATAAAGCATCCCAAGGACCATGGATTTCTACATTGATGAATCTCATGGGGCGAATATCCGATAATTACAGTTGAAATGCTCAGTAAATACAGACATCCTTGAGGTATGTGATTGCTGAAAGGGGTATATGGCAAGCAAGACTGGACATGGCAGAAATAATGAAGAGATGATAATAAGGCTCAAGCCACCCGATCCTTCTGTTCTAATTTCCCCATTAACCGCTTCATACCCATCCACTCATCAGAGGGCACCTCTTCCGCCGGTCCACCAAGGCCCTTGCCCACTTCGAATACGGTAACTACTCCGTTGACCCCACCAGTGGCTAGGCGTCGGCCTTCTCGCTCCTCCCATGCAACCTTATTGAGACTGCGAGACATGACCGCACCAGGGCCACGCGAGGGGGTGGTTTTAACCACTGGAACCTCGGTATCCGTGTAAAGATCCCAAACTTCGAGGTTGCCCGCACCGTCGACGAGGGAGAAAACACCCGGTCGGTGTGGGGACCAGCGTGCATCGTAGACCACGTCTTCCCGGGTAATGTCCAGGATAGGAGACACAACCTGAGCGGAAGCCACGGTAGAGGTGGCGGACGCGGTGGTGGCTGGCGGCCGCACGCGCCAGAGTTTGACGCTCCAGTCCAGACTGGAGCTGAGCATCAGATCACCCAGGTCAACAGGACCCCGCGCAGGATGGAATGCAGTAGACATGATTGGTGCTGCGTGGCCGCGGTAGGCCAGACGGTGATCGGTACCAGCCTTGGCTCCAGCTCGGTCATATCGATGGCAAGGGTAGATACCACCTTCCTCGGTGCCCACAATGAAGAAAGTGGGATCGGACTGTGGGAAGGACATGGTGGTTGGTGCGAGATCTTCCGTCTTGGATGGGGGAGGTGTCGTCAGCTCGAGGTATTCTTGTGGCTGAGAGAGCATGTCCACGGTCCAGCCACAGACCACTCCATCGGTGGACGCCGTCAAAATGTTGTGTGCGTTTTGAGTGCCGACGATTGAGATGCTGTAAACGGGATGTGTATGTCCAGATCCAGTCAATGGTGTCTTCTGCACGGGCGCTCCTCCACCCATGCGGGAGGAACGAGTGTCCCACAAGAGAACTTGGCCTGAATATGAGCCACCAACAATGAGGTTCGGGTGGAATGGAGAAAATTTGGCTGTGAGAATGTCGGAGGTTGAGTGGAAGACATATTCAGGGCGGGACTGTAGGTGTTGGTTCCAGACTTGAACGAGTCCATCTGGTTCATGAGGAGCTGATGGGTTCTTGGTGTATGATGCAAGTACCAATTCAGGAAACTGGTCATCGATCAGTATGCGTTATTCGCCAAAGTGCGGAGATATCAAGTGATGCCTACCTTCTGCGAGAAGCTTATATCGGTGACCATACGCTTCTTGCTCCAACGTTCGTCGTAGAACTGGCAGACCTCCCGGATGCCTCTCCGTTTCTTGCCAGTCTCCTCGTCTTCCTCCAAGTCCCCATCCACGCCGCCCAGCTCGTAGTCTGCAAGAACATCGTAATCTTCGTCTAGAGCTCTCTCGATAACCTTTGACGATCGCTCTACGAAGTCTAGGAATTCGTCCGAAGAAGTAACAGCCTTCAACTCGTCGTCATCGAGAGAACGTAACGGATACCGTAGTTGGGCAGGCTGCGCAGCTGAACCTGCATTTGCGTCCTGTTCGGCTGCTTGAAGCTCCTCCTCAATTTCCTTGCGGATCTTTTGTCTGATTTCATCATCCCGCTCTCTGTCTCGTCGGCTCAGGCGCTTGCTCGATACGGTCGTATCAGCGGGGTCTTCATTATCCGAAGCATCAGAGTCATCGTGGGCCTCTGTTTGTGTACCCAAATCATCTGTCTGAACGGCTTTGCTGTATGTGACAACCTCTGGTCTGGGTTCAGGGGGGTGCGGGGCTTCGGATGAGTAGGAGCTGTAGGTCTCTGTTCCAACTGATTGCACGGTCTGTACGGCGATAGATTGCAACTGCGGTCGCAACGACGAAGGGGTATTGGTCTCGGCATTCTCTCCACTCAATTGGCTGGCACTCAGGACTGAAGTCGGGCGGCTGCCCTTCCCAGACTGACCCTCAAATGCGTGACTGATGGTAGCGGACCCAGGGCGATCCACCAGGCGTGTAATTAGCTCGTCAAGCTCAGCTCTACTGCCAGAGTGGCTGGGTACTGGTGAAGCAATCTACTCCAAAATCATTAGACATTCCGTTGTTTGTAGCTTCACTGGGCGCGGTATTGTACCTCTGAAGCATCCCCGACGCTGTTCCGATTGCTGGTGAATTCCCTCTGGCGAAGCTCGCGTTGCTTTTTCAGCTCAGCCAGCTTAGCCTTCTTGGCCAAGATCTCATTCTTGCGCTGCTGCATAGACGACATCTTGAAAATCGACCAGCTAGGTGTGATGTAGCTGTAGTTCTCGTGTTGCTCTTTATTTACGGGGGATGACATAAGCGCCTCCGAGCGGCGCCGGAAAAACTCGCGCAGGGACAGAGAACCTCGCCTTGCCTTATATCCCCGAGGATTCAACTGCCATTGACGGTCTCCTGTTGAACGGTCTTTCGGTTTTCCCGCTTTTTAATTTTTTGTCCACTCATTGTCTCCCGGAGACCTCGCAATAATGGCTTCACAGGGTGTCAACGTGAGTTCTACCCCGGCAATGAGCCAACCTCGACCCTGCCCCCTCAAATGCGACATCGGATGTTGACTCCCATTCGCAAATTTATAGGTCCTCCGCTACTCCGCTCTTGTGGCCGGTCTCGTCTACGGAGTCTACCACCAGTCGTCCCTCAACTCGGTCGCCAAGCGCGCTGAGGTCGAGCACGAGTACGCCCGCAAGGAGCGCCTGATCGAGCAGGCTAAGGCCGAGTGGAAGAAGCGCACCCAGCCCCAGGAGACTCAGACACAAGCCACTGGCCGTAAGTGATCATATTTGTTTACATTGCTTTGGATAGCGATATCCGAGATTACCGAGCACATTCCGAAAGCGCAGTGTTGACCTTGCTTTCTCTCCAGTCATCACCGACCCCGAGAACCCCAAATTCGACCTCGAGGCATTCTTGCAGGCCAAGGCTTAGTCGTCTTGAATAATGGAAATGGTATAGAGGAGGAATGATACGCAACTCCTTGCGGAACTCGCACCTCCCCCCAGGGTATTAGAAGGGATTTGCTCGGATCCATTTACTTGTACGATTGTTTGGGGCCAATTCCCCTTGAGTTGCAACATTGCGAGCGAAAGACGGAATGGTCTCTTTTTGATTCGTTTTCTTTTTTTTTTCTCATCGGTTTAGACGTTATCATTTGGGTCCTGTACATACCCTGGGCTGTCGTGCGTCTGTACACTACAGTTTGGACCACAAGAAAGAGCAAAAGATCGTTATGCATTCCGGCGTTACTTCGGCCTCCTCTATGGGGCCAGTCTAGTCTTTGGTGGACGTTCCGCCTAATTCCCTCGAACCCTCAATCATGGGCTCCTCGTAGACGCGTCATCCAACATCTTAGATCATCCTGTCTAGCAATTATTTAACTCGCCAATCACTATGCAAGTTCAATTACGACGGTTACCAAGCAATTTCATTGCATCCTGGATCCCGTTTAATGGTCGCTCATCGACAGATTGTAGAACAATCGGGGTTGGATATAGCAGCTTAGCTTCTGCATCCCATTTCCATCCACAATCCGTGAATTTCTTTATAACGGCCGGGTCTCCTTGTTCTGCGGCCGTGGAGTCTAGACCCAAGTAGGTTGCTGCTGTTGGAAGTCGCATTGCCTCGTAGGAAGTGCTGACGGCGATCAAGGATTGGTCCTGGAAGAAGCCTGACATATGAATGTCAGCATACAGAGCCTTGCGAAGTAGGAAGACAGCCAAAAACGCACTTTCATATCTCTGGACTAAAGGTTGTAGCCCTTCTGACCAAGGAAGATTCCGCAGGATCTGGTAAATCTGATCATGTCGTTTTTGCCAGATGGCTCGTAGAAGAGTCAAACAGCTCTGCAAGTAAGGATCTTGGTGGCGTAGAGCCTCAGGAAATCGCTGGCTTAGAGCACGGGCTTCGGGTCTATTTGTGTTGAGGTTAGAGAATGGATCTTTCAATGCTGTTGTGGACGAGGTATAGGCTACGGACACTTGCTCCGTGAGGAGGTGAGCGAAGAAGAATGTAGAATAGAACAAGCTTAACAACTGTGGATCATCATTGCCTGCTAAAAGCAGACGAGCGTCTGTTTCATATCGCGATAAGATCTCAAATAGTTGGGACGGAGGCAAGTTTGACGCAGCCAGCTTCGAGAGCTGTTCGGTGGAGGGAGGAGGGATCTCCATTTGGGTTCGAATGGAGGTTCGGATAATTTCAGATTATAAAGAGGCCTTCAAACACTCAAACAGGATTCAAAGCCCAGGAAGATAAGGAGAAAACGAGGATATGTAGAAGTGGTGGATGCGGGGAGATCAATCGGAGGTGGCACCTTTCTCCGATGCCAAGACCCTCAAGAAGTGAACACCTTGCGCAGCTCTCTCCCTCTTCCAACTCCCCCGAGCACCAACTCAATTGGCAATTCAAGCCTTTCGTTCCTTTCTTTTCATGTTTCACTATTGATTTTCGGTTCTTGGACTTAGCTCCTTCTTCCTGGCCATCATGGCCAAGTTTTCTTCTCTTGATGTTCTGCTGAAAGGCAGCTCCGGCCAGAGCACACGCGGTCTCCTGCGGATCGTCATCCTGTTAACTATTGCAGCTGCCGCCGTCGCCAGTCGACTTTTCAGTGTTATCCGTATGTCTTTGAAGCAATTCCTTCCCTTTTGTTCCCCCAAGTACTAATAATTGACTCAATTCTAGGTTTCGAAAGTATTATTCACGAATGTACGATTTCCCCTTGGCGCTTCATGCAGTATATACAACGTGGCCACCCACCAGCATGCCGAATGAGATATTGACATATACCGATTACAGTCGATCCCTGGTTCAACTTCCGAGCCACAAAATACTTGGTCGAGAATGGCTTCTACAGTTTCTGGGACTGGTTTGACGACCGTATGTTTTTCCACACTACTTCCGCTTGCGCGTCCTTTCAAGTCCCAATGGTATCACAGGGTCGTGCTGATGAAATCTGTCCTGCTATTTAGGGACATGGCATCCCCTGGGTCGTGTCACTGGTGGCACCTTGTACCCCGGTCTTATGGTGACCAGCGGCGTGATTTACCACATCCTGCGCTTCTTGACAATCCCCGTTGATATCCGAAATGTCTGTGTTCTGCTCGCCCCCGCTTTCTCTGGCCTGACAGCACTGGCCATGTATCTCTTGACTTGTGAGATGTCGACCTCGCCATCAGCTGGTCTTCTGGCTGCGGCGTTCATGGGTATTACCCCAGGTTATATCTCTCGGTCCGTGGCTGGTAGCTACGATAACGAGGCCATTGCCATTTTCCTGTTGGTCTTCACGTTTTACCTGTGGATCAAGGCCGTCAAGAATGGTTCAATTATGTGGGGAGCTCTGACTGCCTTGTTCTACGGATACATGGTGTCTGCTTGGGGTGGCTATGTCTTTATCACCAACCTTATCCCCCTCCACGTTTTCGTTCTTATTTGCATGGGTCGATACAGCTCTCGCACCTACATTGCCTACACCACGTGGTATGCACTGGGAACGCTGGGCAGCATGCAGATTCCCTTCGTGGGATTCTTGCCCATCCGTAACAGTGACCACATGTCCGCGCTCGGAGTCTTTGGCCTTATTCAGCTCGTGGCATTTGCGGACTTCATTCGGGGATTCCTTCCCGGTAAGCAGTTCCAGAAGCTGCTTACTTCGATGATTCTGCTTATCGTCGGTCTTGGCTTCGGTGGTCTGATTCTGCTCAGTGTTTCGGGTGTTATCGCCCCATGGAGTGGTCGTTTCTACTCTCTGTGGGATACTGGTTACGCCAAGATTCACATTCCAATCATTGCATCAGTCTCCGAACATCAGCCTACCGCTTGGCCTGCTTTCTTCTTCGATTTGAACTTCCTAATCTGGCTTTTCCCCGCTGGTGTGTTCTTGTGCTTCCAGAAGCTCAAGGACGAACACGTGTTCGTGATCATCTACGCGGTGCTCTCAAGCTACTTCGCTGGTGTTATGGTCCGTCTGATGCTGACTCTCACTCCGATTGTCTGTGTCGCCGCTGGCCTTGCCCTGTCAGGTGTGCTTGATCAGTTCCTGGTGATGTCGAAGCCTACTGCTGAGACCAAGGCCAAGGCCAATGCAAAGGACTCCAAAGCCTACGGCAAGATGAGCTCCCCCGTTGTTGGTATTTACTCGTACTTCTCCAAGGCCTTCGTTTCAGGCTCGATGACTCTGTACTTGCTCATGTTCGTTGCGCACTGCACCTGGGTTACCTCGAACGCATACTCGTCTCCCTCGGTTGTTTTGGCCAGTCGCTTGCCTGATGGAAGCCAGCACATCATCGATGATTACCGCGAGGCCTACTACTGGCTCCGTCAGAACACCCCTGATAATGCCAAGATCATGTCCTGGTGGGACTATGGCTACCAGATTGGTGGTATGGCTGACCGCCCCACCCTGGTCGACAACAACACTTGGAACAACACCCACATTGCCACCGTTGGTAAGGCCATGAGCTCTCGCGAGGAGGTCAGCTACCCGATCCTCCGTCAACACGATGTTGACTACGTTCTGGTTGTGTTCGGTGGTTTGCTGGGTTACTCCGGCGACGACCTGAACAAGTTCTTGTGGATGGTCCGTATCGCCGAGGGTATCTGGCCCGATGAGGTCAAGGAGCGTGATTACTTCACTGCTCGTGGCGAGTACCGTGTCGACGATGAGGCTACTCCCACCATGAAGAACAGCCTGATGTAGGTTGCCCCTTCCGAACCTCACTCGAAGTCTCAACGCTAACAAACCAATAGGTACAAAATGTCTTACTACAACTACCAGTCTCTGTTCCCTCCCGGTCAAGCCGTTGACCGTGTCCGTGGGACGAAGGTGCCAACCGAAAGCCCTACCCTCGATACTATGGAGGAGGCTTTCACCAGTGAGAACTGGATTATCCGTATCTTCAAGGTCAAGGATCTCGACAACCTCGGCCGTGACCACAGTAACGCCGTTGCCTTCGACAAGGGTCTGAAGCGCAAGCGTGCTGCCAAAAGAAAGGGCCCTCGCGTTCTGAGAACCGAGTAGACTTGTCTTTGCTTTCTTGTTTTGTTTTTGAATTGTTTTAAACTTGATTATCCTGCGACTGCGGTTCTTTCTGGCATAGCAGGTCATTTCATGTATTCTCCCCCGTTTGGATATATTCTTGGGTATAGTACTTGAGATAGTATACAATGAATGCCTTAAGAAAGATTTTTGTCTTGTATTATTTAACCTTCCACTTATATCTGCTTGTTTTGGTTATCATGTAATGGTGTTGATTGGAAACACCAGGCGTTACACTCCATGTGTCTACAGCATGTACATCCTATCTAGATCCCCGTACCCTAGAAAATAGGTTGAAAGGTCGATCCCAAAGAGAAGAGTGTGACAATTGCAGCTAGGCTATGCACAAGAAAGGTATCCCAGCAGCTTCATTCTGTACAGTACACAGACACGTCAACAAGTGCACTGTGCTTGCAGATCCAAGAGGAAGCATGATCTGCCCGAAAGACTCCGTAACCCCAAATTTGCTCCATTATTTGTTTCTCGCCGAGGAAGGGGGGTTGACCACACGGCCACTTCATTTGACCTCCCACATGTCGCGAGGATATGGTACACGCAAAATACCGGACCAAAAACTATTCCAGGTCCTAGACCGTAAACTCGAGGGTATCAGTTGGACTGGACTGGGATTTGTGATGTCCGGATCACTCCATTGAGTGGATCTATTTCTTCGCGGGGGCGTCGGGGACTTTCACGTCGGAAAACTCTTCTTGTCCAACGGCGCTGATGGTGTAGGCATCTGTGGAAGAAAAGGTATTAGCATGGGTTCCTGCCGATTTCTCTGTTGGGGAGTATGCTGGCCGCAAGGTGGCGGGTGGGATGATTCGATGGCTCTCAGCGCACCGGACGGATCTTGGCGCCGCAGCGGTTATGGTGGATGCAGGATTGGGAGAGAAGGTTTGTACTTACAGACGCCAATTGAGAAGGCGACTAGACCGAAGCCGGTGAAGGCGTTCTTGAACAGATATGGGCGGCGGGCACGCAGGAGGGCAGCGCCTGCCTGGTAGTCCTTGCCGTAGTATGTGGAGTTGAAGCTGTGAGAATGATATGTTAGTCAAGGTGGACAGCTTTGTAGCCCTAGGAGAGCCCAATTATTAGCAACGTACATTCCATTCGCCATGGTGAGTGGTTGTGAGATCTTTGAAGGTCTGGAGATGGCGAATCCAAATGCGCGCAAAGGCCCGGATCGCCGAGTCTTGGCGCTGATACTCGAGAATCTCGGTTTCTATAGGAAACCTAAATTCATCTGCCTCTATGCAAATTCATAAAAACCCATACAAATTATGGACTAAGGCTGAAGGATAGACTACTAGTCCATGTCATCTAATGGGAGAATAAGGTCATCCACACGTGATGTCTTTTACTTCATGTCTAGCATCCTTCACTATGTATTAGACCATTACCAATCGACTGATTTTTAGCGATAGACAAACCGATATTGATCCCTAAGTAAAACTGAATTGACTTGATTGAGCACATTAAATCGCAGTTGTCATCTCTTTCTTGCATGATTTTTGTAGTTGAACCGCATGTCGCGGATCACCCCGTGGCATACAACTCCAACTTTTCTCGGCCCCTGCGCTTTACCTTCATTCCTTCATATTCCCTGGAGATTTCACCGAGCTCTTCAACCCTTCTCCCACCATAACTCTCTGTCACCAAGTATCGCGCGCCTTGACACCGATCACTCCCATAATCTCATGCGCGTAAACTTTGCCAAGAACGCAGCTCCATTCGCGCTCCGGTCCGAGTAGGAAACACCTCAACACCCACCCATTGTACACCCGCCACGTCGACCTCTCCCGATCTGCCGGTCGCGAACCATTCTCCTCTATTGACCGAGAGCCACGATGGCTCAACCGACAGGCGATGTTGCCCACCAAATCGCCCAACTAAACGCCGCCCGGAACCTGGTCCTCGGTGACGCCGCTTTCTACCCGCAGATCATTAACGGCATCCTTCCTATCGTTGGACCCAACGCGAAACTCGAAGTACGTCGATGGGGCGCGGACTTTCTGGCAGAGACTTTTGCCAGTCCGCAGCTGGCGACTGCGCAGAAGGAGCAGCTGGCACAAAATGTCCTGCAGAGCATTCAAGAGACCATGCTGCTGCCAGAGACGGACGCGGCCGTCCTGCAGAGCTTGGTGCAGACTGCAGCGAGCTTGTACCCACTTATTTTTCGCCATATGTAGGTTACTTCCAGTACAAGATCGTAGTTTTGGGGGACAGGATTGTCCAGATGTCGGGCTAATGTATGGATGCTAACGCGCTACGATAATAGTGTGAACCACCCCGAAGATAGTCAGTCATGGGAAAAGATGAATACAATCAAGCAGGATATTCTCCGGCGGATGGACTCTTTTCCGTGTCCTGTGAAGATCTGCTGTGTCAAGTTCCTCCAGCGCGTGGTGCAGGTTCAGACGCCTGGTTTGATCGCCGATCCCAGGGTAAGTGCTGCAATCCCAACTCCTCCAACCCAGCTCTTGCTCACTGTTCCTTAGCGACCAGATCAGAATGAAACCTCGTTGGCCATCGTTCCCCGAAATCACGCCGTTCTTACCATTCCACACTTGGAGGCCGAGGCATCAGGACTACTAGATAGACTTTTGGGCGTGTTCCAAGAGGAGACAAGGTAGGATGAAAGGCCTCAACGTGTGGGGTGTTACCTTTGCTAATTCAATTCTAGTGATGTCCTTCTTATAAATGCCACTTTGAACTGCCTCGCACCTCTGATCCGAACTCGCCAGTCAATCGCAAACAAGATCATTAATACCGTTCTGGATTTTTACCCAGCAAAGCATGTCCGCCCACCATTTACACCCGCTGTTCGCGTTGGCGTTAAGTCGATGGAGCGCACAGCTCGCGCATTACTGATCCATATCTTGAAGAAGTATAATCCCCTGCCCAGTTGCGTTCTAGAAATAATGCTGACAAACCCCTACAGGAACCCAAGTCACCCTCTGCTAGGAAAGATACAAGTGTATATTGAGCGACTCATGCAGTCTCGACTAGAGGTGGTGGATGACGCTTCTCGAAAACGGACATTACCCGTTGAACCCACAGATGGCCTTGATAACGCCAAGCGAGCTCGTCTTGACGCTTTAACACCTCCCGTACTCCAGATTCCTCCTATGCTTCCAGGTCCCGCGGCCTATGATAAGCTTTTTACGTTGACTCAAGATCATGGCCTGTCCTCCTTCGATGTGAAACAGTTGCCTCCTGATCTTGTCGTCAAGATCGCCGTGCCCCTTCTTGCCCAAGTCAACCCATTAATGTTAACGCAAGCCGTTGATGTATGAAATCCCCATGCAAATTCCATTGGTAGCAGCACTAACAAATTCCCAAGGCTATTCGAAACCGATACCAAGCAGTAACAAAGGAGCAAAATTTGGCACGTCAACAAATGCAACAGACTGCGGCAGCCGCAGATGATGACGACGATTATGAACCGGAATATCAACCTATGGACGTAACAGAGAATACCGCGGAAGAGGCTGGTGCCGTTGTGCCGGAAGTGCCTGAATTCCAACCCGAGCTGGTATCTCTAGGTCCATTCGTTTTGCCCCAGCCACCACCACTGAGTGAAGAAGAGGCCGGAGAGGTCGGCCGTAGTGCTGTCGCGCGTGTGTTTTCCATGATCAATGTTGCTGAAACAGATTCGCCTGCCAAGAACAAAAACCAGCAACAGCTCGGCTTTGCACGGTTGGCTGGAAGTAACTTTGACCGAGACGCATGGGTCTTACTCCTCACCCGACTGGCCACTCGTGCCCCAGCTGGCCTGGAAGGTGGTGATAAGTTGGGTAAACAGGGTTCTGAACGAAGACAACCTACCATCTCTGACTCCATTCGCGAGACTCTATTCCAGTATATCCTGGAAGATTTCCGAGGCCGGTTGAACATCGGCATCACCTGGCTCAATGAGGAGTGGTACAATGATCGTATCCAGATGAAAGTCGCTGCTTCTAAGCGCTCCGAGGAGGAGGATTCTGAGTCAACGGTGGTTTGCCATTATGATACCTGGGTCATGCGTCTTCTAGAGGGAATCCTCCTCTACCTTGATTCGCGCGATATCAAAGTGATCGTTCGTTTCCTCAGTGAAATTCCGGAGGTAACTGTCAACATTACCCAGAAAGTAGCCACTCTCGCCAAGGATCCTGAACGTGTCAATCTCTGCGTGCAGGCTTTAATGTGAGTTACTTTTGCTTCCAGTTTTCGATGTTTACTCATCACTAACTCTCTTGCTTTAGGTACTTAATTATGTTCCGGCCCCCAGCACGAGAGATGTGCTTGAACACCCTCGAAGATATCTATCAGACTTGTAAGACCCTCTTTGATCTCATACCCTTAAAATATCTAACACCGTATTTTTAGATGAGGACTCGCGTCCAGCGGCAGGCAAGATCTTGGCCAAGTGGCGTCCACAGCAAACACAGCCCACAGAAGCGGTCACCAATGGTGCATCAGATGCGGCACAGCCAGCTGCACAGCCAGCTGCACAGCCAGCTGCACAGTAAAATTCTCTTCATATAATCTACGGCCAATGTGTAAACAAGGATCAGAGATTCATGCCGGTATTGGGCTTTGGCGTTTAGTTTACTTATTTTGCCTTCTTATGAATACCAGCTTGCGGCTATCACGGTTATGGGTATCGAGATAGTTTATCCATTGGGAAATACACATGATGAACAAGCCCTAGATTTGATGTTTACAAGACCAGTAAAATCCTTCCATACCTGTAATCCCGCGGTAAACATTATCTCGGGCTGTGTCCAAGGCTGTGAAGCTGGTTAAGCAGCCATCATCACCCGTGGACTGAATATAAGACTTGCATTTGCCGATCCATAGCCGTAATCTAATTCAAACAATTCAACCCTTGAAGGCAATTGAAGGCAAGGGACTTGTCATAGTGTAGCTACAGAGTTAGTACTGTCTGCATATTAAATCCATGCCTAGGGTGAGGACCTATCTCTTACACGACGTTATTCCATATGCATATGCATGCCTAATATCTACTGTACTCTATTCGGATAGTGATGCCCAGTGCTCTTTCTTGACGTAAGTAAACTTCATGTATCGCTGCAACTTACCACAAGTAGTGACAATGTCGGTATCAGCCTGAACATAGGAAGGTCTAAGAAGTAGAAGAAATGTAGGTATATATCCAATGGATGGGTGGTATGTACATACAGTACTATGAACCAAAAGGAGGAAGAATCCAGTTCTTCCAATTCAAAACATCAAAATATTTGAATGAGAAAAACACCAAGTCAAGATCAACTCCGCATGCAAGAGATTTTCCCCTACCTAGGTATCGTAGTAGAAAGAACGTAAAAGTAAAGACAAAAAGACCACATTCCCATGACCCGGACACCGCCCCATATGATAATAAACAAAAACAGTCCATTTCCCCTTCATGCAGCTGTGGTGACGACACATCATTCCCATATGTAAAAAGTTTGATGGTCGAGATCAGATTGATATCTCACTGCTCCCATAAACAACACACAGAACATGCCTTCTCACCATTTCTAGCTCGGAACGCTTATCAAAACACACGTGCTATTGTCTTAACAGCATATGAAAACAAAACAAAACAAAAAAAACAAAACGGGAGGGGAATCTTCATTAGAGAAAGAGGAGGGAGGAAGAGAGTAATCGGACAACACGTTGACTTTTTTAGTGCAAACGGCTGTTTGAACGTAGTGTGCGGAGATAAGAATGAAAAGTGGGAGTGATTATCGGGTAGGCATATGGCTTGGACCAGATCCTGTTGATAGCTCAGACTGAGGACGATAATGTAGCGCGTCGATTGTCTTGGAGGTCATGGTCGGAGAGATATCTGGCCTGGCAGAGGGTTGGAACAAGCCTTGGCGAGCAGGAGGTGGAGAGAAAATAGGATTGCGGGAGGAAGAATCAGGTACGGGAGAGCGACGCTCTAAAGCATGGCCTGGGTGGGGGTGAGATTTTCGCACATCCAGTGGCGACGAACTTTGAGATCGGAAGCCAGATTTACGCTCGAGGTCATAATCCGGATTGCGGAAAGGACCGTGCTGCTGGTGTCGTGATTCCTGCTCAGTGCCGTAAGGCGTGTTATTGGCCGAGGAGTTAGCAGCCGAGACATTCTCCGGGATTGTAGATGCTGATCCGTTCGGCGCATTAATATCCACTACCCGTTTTTGAGCCGCCGGGGTCGCATATGATGATGCTTGTGGATGCTCAAAGGCGCGGCCTTGAGGACGATGATGTTGAGAGTACTGATGCTGTGCCTGTTGCTGATGGATCGGATGTTGTGGATTGGCCCATGGCGTTTGCTCCAAGAAGGCTTCTTCGGCTGCTGTTGGGAAAACGTTGGATGACATCGCCGACATGGCAGGCCGAGGAGGCAATGTCGATGAATGCCGTGGGGCCGAGGCCCGGGTTTCAACGGTTATCTAGGTATACATGTCAGCAACGGATATACCATACGTGGTAAAGATGTTGGCCAACTTACCCCCATCTTTTCAAGATCGTCATCCAATTCCGATGGGCGCGCGCCTAATAATGTGGGAGCAGCTGGGAATCCAACATATTTTGCGACACCAGCCATAACAGAAACCTCTTGATTGTAGGCGGTCTGATTCGCGATCTGCTGGGAGCGACGGGTGGGGAATGAGATGATGTGATGCGGGCTTAATTCATCCGTCTTGAAGCGATCATGTTGGATAGCGTAGAACTGCTTGCTGACAGCACTTGAGTGTTTCTCCCGGGCATCTCTAATGCGCTGGAAGAAGGTACTGTTCGCCTGCGCTCTCTCCGCCAAGCTCTTGTTTACCAGGGCCTGCTGGCGGAAACGGAACAGCGTGCGTTCGTAGTTGATCTTGGAATCGCGGTAACGTTCCACACATTCGATCTGGCGCAGATACTCGGGGTGTGTTGGGTTTGGACCAGTGAGCATTTCTTGCTCACGGTTGAGGGTCGTGATTTTTTCGTCAAAAATCCTATGTCAGGTAAGTCATTGATCAATAAGTATGAATTGGATAATACTTACTTGTCACGCAATGCTGCAAATTCTTTTTCCAGTGTCGCTAAAGATTCCAGAGCAGCCATTTTCTTGGCGGCTAGAATGTAGCGTTAGTCAACCAATTCCAAAGGTCGCACTGCAATTGGAGACTTACATTCTTCTTCGAGTTTCGCCGCTGTTTCGGCGTTGTTGACTTCCTCGCGTTCTGTGGGCTCTTCTTCTTCCCCAAGATTCTCATCAGCGACGTCCTCAGTCACAGCATCGCCACCTTCGGTCTCCTCATCCGCATCTAGGGCTCGTCTTCCTCTGCGCTTACCCCTTTTGCCTCTTTTGCCTTTAACTGGTGGAGCGGGAAGATCGGATTCGGGGACGTCGTCGACCGGCAACTCGTCGTCATTGGTAGCGATGGGGTCTTCAATGGGCTCCGGGGAGAGGGGCATATCGTCGTCAATTGGATCGCTCAAGTCGCTTTTGATTGAGCTTCGGCGTTTCTTGATAGGCTCTTCGTCACCGAGTTCGGTCCCAGTATCATCGCCAGCTTCGAGGCGTTTTCGCTTTTTGCCAGTGCTATCGGGGAGGTCCATATCATCCAGGTCCGGAATGTCATCAGTTAATCCGTTGTTATGGGAGGATCGCGGTTTGCTTGGTGAGTCGTCCACCAGCTGCTCTTCATCGTCGACGTCAGCTAGGGTAGTGGACTGATGAAGCTTGCTTGGACTTGGGCCGGCGCTACCAGCACTGAGAACAATGTCACCGCGCTTGCGAATATTGTGGGGAGAGTCCTCGATGCGCTCGGTTTCCGCCTCCGAGTCGTTCTCGAGCTGTCTTTCTGGTTTGATCGAATCTTCAAAGTCGGAGGGCTCATTGTCGGATAGTTCATCAATCTCACTTAAGCTACTGGATCGACCATCATCCATGAGCGGGTCATCCAAGAAGGGATTTCGCTCTCCGTTGGTCATGGTAGACTCTGGCCCCGCAGGACCAACGGAGCTATGCTCTCTGCTCTCGGCCACCTCCATCGGCAAGTTTGAAGAGAGTTCAAGGACTGAGGTAGCGCTCAATATGAGGGGATATTGTGGTTGGGATGTGTGTGTCGTGCCGAAAGTTGCTTCCGGCAAAGTGGAGAGGCTGTGGGGGAAGAGAGGGCGGCAAAGTCACCGATCGGCCAGGCAAGGTTTTTGTTTAGGGTTCTGTGTCAACCATATGATGGATTAGCTCAATTGCCATGCTAGCTGGGTAGAGACACCCCGAAAAGGCTGAGTAGAGAAGAACTGGGCGGGTGGGTTGCAAAAAGGTGGTCAGCGCCTCCAGAAGGCGGTGCGGAGAGTGATCACCGCCGAAACGCCCCCAAAGTCGGCACCCGTCTCTTGGAGGGCGAGTGAACGCGCAACACCAAAGAGTGGACTTAATAACTCCCCAGGGAAAGGGAAGCCATTAAATGAACAATTTGTCGTCCGGGAAGATATGCCCAAGGAGGGAAAGGTGCAGGCGACGTACCGTCTCAACAATGCGCCGGGAGCAACGCTGGTGAGCAAAGCTGCTCGCGATCGAACAGTAATCTGACAGCCACCGTGTTGCAAGAGCACTAGTGAAAAACTAGAGCCAAAATCACGCGTCTTGCTCTTGTAAAAATCCTCCAGAAGCTATCGAACCACTGATGCGCCAGCACTAGGATGGCGAGGGGAGGGCGGCTAGGAAAGGAAGTAGGACCACAGGCGAAGGTGAGGACGCGGAACAGAGGTCGGCATGAAGATGTGCCAGATAATTCTGGGGAGGGCGAAAACGATCGTCAGGCTCGTGGAAAAACAGCTCCAGCGGGGAACAGGAAAGGAGGAAGCCCAAGATCGCTATGATGGGGTGCAGAGCAACAGAAGCGAGTGGGTTCTGCCATATCCGAGGTCACCGCCTGCAAAAAACCACTAGTCACGTGATACTGACGTCGCCGAAGACGGTATAAAGGTCCATGGGAAGACTTGGCGAATGATGGTCATTCTTCGCAACATGTGCCGGACAGCATGTTCAAAGGTTATGGGAGGTTAAAGACCGAAAGATATGATCTGATCAAAGGTCACCGGCGGCAAGGTTCTCTCCAGACCCTGAACATTTTAATCTTATGGGGGTTTGTCTGAACTTGGGATTAATTTGGGAGTAGGCTTTCATGATTGAGCAGAAACTTCTGGATTCCTTTTTGAATAGTTTCTTGTTCACAGAAATGCCATTTACTTCTATGTTATAACTTATCAGTGAATCCTTCACATATACCAAGGTTGATGCAGTACATACCCCAAATCATGTGATGTGTAGTCTAGCCGCGCCAAGACTGATAAGCCCCAAGAAAAAAAAAAAGTTCGGAGCTGTATGTGCAGTCTCGTCTCGACTCCACCCATTATACAAGTCTTAGAAAGGAATAAGGATATTTCATATCTCCAAATTCCTTCACAATGGGCAAGAAATCCAAATCTCAGTCTACGGACAAGAGCCAGGTCGTCTCTGACGGTCCTTCTTTGCTTGGCGGTAGCACTTTGGACCCGACTTTGGCCTCCCTGTTCGATAAAAGTGTATGTTCTCATATCTCAATAGTGACGAGAACTCAAGACTAATAATTGGATTTATAGGCCGGACCTGTGAAAGCCCCCGCGGTTCAATATGTCAATGTGCCCCCCAGGTCGACAAGACAAGAAAAGGCCGACAAAGAGGACATCGCATCGGACGAAGGCTCGGAAGATGAAGTGATGGAAGACGCTGCCGATGACAGTGATGCTGAGTCAACTGAGAACTCGGCACCTGAACCCCAAAACCGCAAGCGCAAGCGGGCAGCCGCTGGAGAGGACGTGGAGGAGACATACATGCGTCGTATCGCCAAGGAAGAGGAGAAGGAAGAAGAAAAGAGAAAGGCCGAATATGCGAAGCGTCAAAAGCCTACCGAGGAAGATGGTAGCGAGGTATCTGAAGGCGAGGAGTCTGAGGCCGAGGACAGTGATGAGGAGGACAAGGCCCCGGCCCCGGTCCACGAGAGTGTGTCAGGTACTCAAAAGGCAAGCGAGGTCGAGAAGTCGAATCGTACTGTCTTCCTGGGAAATGTCTCGACCCAGGCCATCAAATCCAAGACCGCCAAGAAGACCCTTCTTCGGCACCTGGCCTCCTTCTGCTCCACTCTGCAGGAATCGACTGGCCCGCACAAGGTTGAATCACTCCGTTTCCGCTCTATTCCATTTGCTAGCGGTGGTGGACTCCCGAAGCGTGCTTCTTTCGCCCGCCAGGAGATTCTTGATGACACCACTCACAGCACCAATGCTTACGCCGTCTACTCTACCGTCCAAGCCGCTCGCAAAGCGTCCACTGCATTGAACGGAACCATCGTCCTGGATCGCCACCTCCGTGTTGACAGCATTGCTCACCCGGCCGAGATTGACCACAAGCGATGTGTCTTCGTGGGCAACCTGGACTTTGTTGATAACGAAGGCCCTGTGGAGGATGCGTCTGGCAAGAAGAAGAAGCCCAGAGCCCCTGCTGATGTTGAGGAGGGTCTTTGGCGCACCTTCAACGAGCACACTGGAGGCAAGGACAAGAAGGCAGGCAAGAAGAGTGTCGAATTTGTTCGAGTGATCCGTGATCGCTCAACTCGTGTTGGAAAGGGCTTTGCCTACGTTCAATTCTATGATGGTAACGGCGTTGAGGAGGCTTTGCTTCTCAACGAGAAGAAGTTCCCCCCAATGCTTCCCCGAAAATTGCGTGTCACTCGTGCCAGAAAGGTCGCCAAAAAGCGCGAGGACAGCGGTTCAAAGGATTCGAAGATGGCAGAGGCCCAAAAGACCCTCCAGGGTCGTGCAGGCAGACTGCTTGGTCGGGCGGGTGCTGCCAAGGTCAAGGCCGAGGGAAAGAGCACTATCGCTGGAAACTCGTTCATCTTTGAGGGTCACCGTGCCACTGAGAAGGGTGCTTCATCTCAAATGAAGGTCCGGGGCAAGAGCCGTGGCTCTAAGGCCAAGAAGAATGCCCGTAGCAGCAAGCGGGCGGCAGCCTACAAGGCTGCGGGTGGCCAGAAGCCTTGAAAGTGAAAAGCAGCATTACTTTGTATCTATTAATGGCGTTGGAAAGGGCATTTAAAGTATTATGCAGAATCAACCATGATCTCTACGTTTCAAGATTCCCCATTGACTGTATTTCCGGTTATTCTGGTGATCTCGTTGATTATGTAGAATGCTGTACGGAGTGTGTATGATGTGATAGGGTCGATGGAAATGTGGCGTTGAATTGCGGGGTGATAAGATAAACAAGGATGGAGCACAGACTTATGTCATAGCTGGTGGCCACAAAACTGCACAAAGAACTGGTCAGATACTCAATATTTACTATTATCATACAGGATTTTTGATATAATCCTGGTGGTAGCTATCCCTGGTGGAGAGGCAAATAGATCTTTGGTTCATAGCTATAGCTTTGGTGGGGTCAAATTCAGGCTCCACTCATTGCATCTTTATTTTCTATTCTGCGCATCTACCACTCTTTTCAATACATGATTGACCTTCACTATCTATCGTATAACAGACCCAGATCTCTGCGCACTAGCTCATTTATACATACAATATGTCCTCTCCATGGACTAACTCAATGGCTGGGTATTTCCCAAGTGTATGGGACGTGCTCAAGGTGCGATACCTGTTGCAATGGAAACTCAGTGAAGGGTTTCCAGCGGAGTTGGTAGACGAGATTATCGATGCGGCCGAGTATTGGCCTTCCACTGAACACCACATGGTCGAAGAAACGGAACGCCGGGTTATTCTAAATGACCAGGATCAGGTTTTGTTGAAGACCGTGCCGCTTTGTTATTCGCAAAAGGTCGATATCTCCTCAAGCTCACGTTGGTAACTGCTCCGCTAACTTGACATTGTCGGTATCTTTAGAGTCTAGAGGGATCGTCCGCACCCAAGCCACTTCCCCATCGAGGCCTTCATCCATGCCGCAAGATCAGTTTTCAACTCTCTTCGCACGACCAGGGTGCCAAAGGCTTCGGGTTGCGAGCGGACAGGTATACAGCCAGCTGGACTTGGTTCGATACTGAATTGATTCGTGGTGCACATACCCGCAATATGTATGTCAATGGAGAGGAACAAGAACTGTTGCATAATGAGCAGGGACAAGTCCGGCAACATTACGGACCTAAGGATGAACTTCTTCTACCACGGGATAATAAAGTGCAGGTCAACGGCAAACATATGGGGGATCTGCAGAACACCATCGTCGTGTGGCACTATCAGGATAATATCCATTCTGATTCCCCTGAGGCCCATGAGATTGAGGGAACCAAGGGCCGCGGGCGGTCCACGTTAGATGGACGATATGTGCGTGAGTTGGAGGTTGGTGACTCGATTGCACTCTGGGCACGAGCGCGATTCCCCGGCTGGAGAAACTATGTCTACAGTGCGACTGTTCGGGTGTTCTGGGCTGTTTGATCTCAAGGCGGTACAATCTCGTTTAGTTTGATCAGACGTATATCCATAGTATACATAAAATACTACTGCTTTGCTCAATTTAATAAGGGACCACAGTATCCTTCATACCACATGATGCACACGATAGTATCAAATATACTGAGATCATATGAGCTGCAGCCACGTTATACCTATACTGGGTTAAAGCAAGGGTATTTGGGGCCTTGTAGTTCAGGCCAGATGTTGCGGCCCGAGAATCCAGGCTGAACTCGAGCACGCAATTTCGCCAAGACCTCTGGATCGACCAGAACAGCAGAGTATAAGACCAAACGACTGCCACGACCAGCTCTCTCTTCTTCTTCCCCCCAAATTCACCCTACCGACTACATTGAAGCTACTAACCATGCTCACTAACCCCTCCAAGTTCCCCCCTTGACCACGCCGTTGTCCCTCCCCTTGGAGAATTTCTCAACACCCTCACAGTCCGCCTGACTCACCCGACCCAGCCGATAAGCCGATGGAAAGCGTTCCAGGCAGTGGGGCACCTGCATCAGTCGCCTTTTCCGCCCTCTCTCTCGGCCGGTTTGTGCCCACCAAGCGAAGCGACCAATTCCATGTCGCAGATATCAGCCGAGGGGCCAATCTATTCCAGCCTAGCCAAGATCGACAGGTCTTCTCGACCGAAAAGCCGCTGCTTTTTCCACGATGTGTCACGGATACTGGAGAGTAGTAGGGAGGGTCTGGGGACCTGGACTGATGTTCACCCCCAAGGTGCGGTCCTGATACCGGCTGGCGACGTCCCGACTGGATGTTGGTTGCGTTATCTGCACCGCCAATGGTGATCAGTGACTTACGCATTCCTATATACGTCCCACGGTCTTGGCTTACAACAGAACCCCCCTTTTTGGATTTCCTGCCGTTCTGGCGGTCTGCGGGCTCCTGTTATTTAGATACCCGAATGAATCCCCATTTTTACGTTACACTTTCGCTTTCAACTTAAATCCCGCTTTCCCCTCCTTCTCTGCTTTTGACTCATCCTTTGAGCTCTACCTTGCTTTTTTCTTTCACAGGCTTCATATTCACAACTTCTCAATATGGCTACCAGGAAATGTGCTGCTGTTGTTGTAGGCGCTGGCCCGGCTGGTGTGGCTGTCATGGGCAATTTGCTGGAGCGCCAGCTGGGCACGATCGCCTGGATTGATCCCAGCTTTGAATCTGGCCGTGTTCACCGCAAGTATCGCGAGGTTCCTAGGTTTGTCTCTACACGCTCAAGAGCGTTCGCAGCAACTGACCACCAATTTACAGCAACACCAAGGTCTCACTCTTCCAGGCCTACGCTACAGCCGTGCAACCCTTTAGAACCGTCATTGAGAACACACGCCAACCCAATGCTTTCACCACCATGGCCAAGCTGGATCAAGAGAAACCCTGCCATCTCCACTACGCAGCCGACATGATCCGCGGCCTAACAGACGGCCTTATGAAGAGGGAGGACGTCTACGCCTGCCGCGGCTTCGTCACAGCAGCCAACCTAGGCGACAGGGTTAGTCCGCACTTACATGCGCACCTTGAAGCCATACTAAATAACACCATCAGACTTCAAATACATCAAAGTGGATCGTTCGCATCAAACGCGATGACTCCGCAGACGAGGTAGAGATTGAGACATCTCGTCTGATCCTCTGCACAGGCTCCCATCCAACCAACATGCCGGTCCCAGTCCCCGGTCTGGATATCGAGTGCTTAGACCTCGACACAGTCCTCAAGCCCTCTGAACTCACACAGATACTACCCACATCAACACCTACTACCGTCGCCGTCGTAGGCGCCTCCCACAGCGCCATCCTTGCCCTTCTCAATCTCCTCCAGCTAGCTAGCTCTTCACACCCGAATCTGCGTATCAAGTGGTTCACCCGTCACCCGCTCCGCTACGCTGAGTACAAAGATGGCTGGATCCTGCGCGATAACACTGGTCTAAAGGGTATGGCTGCGGACTTTGCTCGCGCACAGCTTGAAGATGATAAGCTCCCTACCTCGTCGGCTGGTGAGGTTATTACTAAGATTGATTGTGCGGGCGGCGAGGCCCGCGAATCTGCGCAGTATCGCTCTCATCTACCTGGCTGTGACTATATTGTTCAGGCTGTCGGGTTTACTCGGGATCCATTGCCGCAGCTTGCTAAGGATGGCGCCTTACTAGCTATGGAATTTGATCATGAGACGGGTCAGTTCCATGAGCGTGGGAATGGTGCTGTGATCCCCGGACTATTTGGTTCTGGTATTGCGTTCCCGCAGCGGGTTGTTGATCCCTATGGGAATGTGGAGTATGCGGTTGGTTTTTTTAAGTTTATGAAGTTTTTGAAGAAGGTTGTTCCTTCGTGGGGATCTGCTTAGATGGTCTTAGCGTTTATTGCTTACAGAGGCTGGCCCTTGCTAATTTTTCAGTCTTTGTAATTGGGTTTTTGGCATGGAGTCTATCAATATTGGGGTTTGGTCATTAGCTTAGCTTTGATTGGGCTTTTATACGTTACCACGTTAGGTAGCTGTGTCATGTCTACTAAACGAATTCAACATCAAACAAATCTCAATTGTGTACCGGTAGTCCGCCGTTATGATATGTCCATGAAAGTCTCAAGTTCCCAATGTCATAGATCAATTATCAGTCATCTGAATTTCCCCATCTCGGACATTTTCATCATCAAATCATAAACATAGGAAAGAGTCCATCTCCTCGACTCTCTTCTAAGCAATAAAACCATATTACTCACAAGAAAACAAACCAGTGACCCGGGGTCTCATCACATCACCAAAATCCCCACAATTCCAACAACCCAAAGAATCCCTGGCCTAATCACAGCCCCCGCACTAGTGCTGTCAGAAGTGGAAGTCGAAGTCGACGTCTCCGTTGCAAACGCTCCAGTCCCCGTAGCCGTAGCCCGATACTCACTCTGACTAGCAACAGCCTTATCATCATATCCAGTAGCAGTAACAGTCCACGTATTAGTAGACTGCGACCAAGTAATCACCGTCCCACTAGGCGGCGCCGAAACCGTTCCACCAACATTACTGAGCGTCGAAGTACCATTCGAAGGGAAATCGCCCGGTCTATAGAATTTATCCGAAGGATCCGTGAACCCGATATTCTGGCAATCCGTTGAGCTAAGCGAGCTGTCGCAGGAGTCCCAGGCAAAGTTTGGAATCGAGTCGTAAAGATTTGGGTAGTCGGATGGGAAGAATATGCCCCAGAGATCTGCGCCTGCGAGGCGGGGGACTGTGTTTGGGCAGACTTGCCAGGAACTGGGTTTATGTATTAGTGGGAATCTTCTTATCTGGAGTGGATGGCGTACGCTGAGAGACTGGCGCTGCTTCCGCAGCATGCACACTCCGTAGCTGTGTAAGCATTGTTGGCGATGTTGGCTAGGTTGCCTAGATTTGTTACGGCGCTTGTGGCGGTGTTTACTATTTGGTCGGTCACGTTCATGATACAGGAGACTTGTTCCTTCCGTGCGGTCAATGTGCTTTGGAGGACCTTGCCTAGATCACAGGAGCAGCGGTTCGGCGCATCATCTGGGGCTGGCCAGAAGGGGATTGGCTCGATGGCGCTGGGGCAGATGGCGAAATACTGCTGGACGAAGAGTTGGTATTCGCATGAGTAGACCTGGGATGGATGTTAGTTGACTACTGACGTGCTAGTTGGGATCCATTTGACTGGGTCTGATCATGTTCATACCTGGTTCCAGCATGAGTGGGCCATGCAGTTGATATACTCTTGGTGCGCGACACAGCCACAGTCTACGCTGCAATTGGCGTCGCCATTACATTTGCTTAGGCAGGAGCTCCACTTGTCTGCGACGTCGCGATTGCAGGTCGAGTAAACGGATGAGGCTGCACAAGCACTGGCTGTGATATTGGTCTGGCTGTGGGCTAAGTGCACGAAGCCGAGGATTGCGGCAACGATGATGGGGGTGATCGACGGCATAGTGGGGAATTTCTTTTTTTTTTGTGCGTAGGTGATGCACTTGAGTATGAGTTTGATTTTGCTTCTTCTTGTACACCAAGCTTCAGATTGCTGAAGAGCCCTGATGCAATTGAGGAACTTGATCTGCACTGTTCGATCTAAAAGAAAGTTGGGGATGCACAGCAGGTTATATAGATCTTTCGACCCAGTTAATACGTAAGAAGTGGCATAAAAATAGAGCAGGAAGTGAGGGAAAAGTCCGTCGAATATCGGCTTATGTATTGCATGTTGCAGCGCTCACTACACTCTTTCGAGCGGGACTGCTATTGCAGAGTGGACTGGCTTGTCATTGCTCATCTCTTCCTGGATACCGTCGCACAAGTAGAAAAACATAAAGACGCGGTCAGCCATTCAAATGCGTTGCTGAGATCCATGCCCCCAGGTGTGAATGCTGCATTATGCATATCTCACATGTAGGCAGTCATGATTTTCTTCAGTTTGCAGTTGAGCGGTCGACTCGTCAGAAGGGACTTTGGTTTTAAAGGGGGTTTCATTGTTCCTGTGACTCGGGTTCCTGGTCCCGAACGACGAGATGCTAAGTCCCTTGCTGTCAACACGAGGCGGCGCCCTTTCTATAATGAATATGACGATCCTTGCATGTGCATATGTCGATCCCTCGTAAGCTGGTATTTTTCTCTGAGGCAGTTGATTGCTAAGAGTAAGCTATACTTGGGCATTGGCTCTCCCTTGTTTGAGTCCGGGTGTCTTCCGTGTATGCCCAAAGGCTTAGAAGGTCTGAGGCCTGAGTCTTGCTTCAAGTCGCTTGACAACAAGCTATGTTCTAATGTTGATTTCCAATACCGAATGTAGTCAGATGAACCTGTCGCCGAATCCGTCCAAACTAGAATGATATGGCCTGAAACACATGGGAACAGGGTTCAATTAGCATTCGATCGTGGCGGGGTTTAGGCAGAGAAATAGTCGATTGACCGCTATTGTTCGATATGTCCAAGTGACATTATGCAGTTCGGATGAAAGATTAGATCCGATCCGTGTTTGCATCTGCATTGACGTGTTTGTTTATGACAAATTGAACCTCACGTGAACTGTCGAGCCCCAATGACTCTCGCAAGTACAGTATAATTCAGTCCAAGAGTTATGCAACGAGCCTGGACGTCATCGCTAGATAAGAAAACAAATTGGTAGAGATACCGTAATCTGATAGGATGAGACGGAAAGAGCAAGTGGAACCCCTGGTCGCTCAATGGAGCAACATCCCCTGAGACTACTCGACGCTAAATGGTGCCGGTCTCCACTGTGCCAACAACAAACACAGACTAAAGTTGATCCTCATTTTCCCCTACAAGAATCCCATTTTATCTCCGCTAATGGGTTCGCCTTTCGCCTTTGACCGTTTGTTCCTGCGTATATCCTTTCCCCTTACTTGTCAAAGGCTGGTTGCTTTTATTTGTTGATTTTGCAAGGGGTTGACTGTCAGGTTGTACAAAACATTGTCCGCTCAACTTCGTACTCGTTTATCTCTTTATCTCTTCATAAATGACCATCGGCAACAGTTATCACCTGCCACCAAGGATGACCCACCGTGCCGATCGAGGCGGAGCGCACGAGTCATACCCAATACGTATGTGGCACCGCTACGTTTGACGGAGTGCAAGATTTGATGTCAGGATCGAAAAAACAAAATTCTTAGAAATGGATTGGTGGAACTTTTTGTACATTAGTTTCCGTAAGTAAGATTAATACATGCAATACATTTGTAACATAAAACGCTCAGTTGCATCCAAGCACCCAAGATGTGATGTAGTTGAAAAAAGATGGTATAAAATAACCAAAATGACATCCTCCAAAAAGGAAGCAGCAATGTTGATACAGTGAATGTAGATCAATGCCAAATCGGACAAGACGGGAGACCAAAGTCGTTCCTCGTCTTCAAGAAAAGAAATCACACATGGCTATACAGAACCCGGGAAGAGAAATCCTCCACAGATTTACAGGAGAGCAGCAGCACCGGCAACAACGGCCAGCATACCAGCGGAGACACGGGTCATGCCAGCGGCGTTGGTGGGAACGGAGGTCTGGGAAGCAGTGGAGCTGGCAGAGCCCGAGCTGGAGGAGCTGGAGCTGGAGGTGGAGCTGGCAGTGGAAGCAGTGGACTTGGTGGAGGCCGAGGTGCTGGTCACGGTGGACATGGTGGTGGCAGCGCTCTTGGTGCTGGTCGAAGAGGTGGAAGTGGACGACGAGCTGCTGCTGGTGCTGCTGGTGGTGGAAGACGAAGCAGAGGAAGTCGAGGTAGCTTCGCTGGTGGTGGAAGCCGAGCTCGAGGTCGAGGTAGCGGTGGCAGAGGCAGTCGCGGTAGCGCCAGCAACGGTGAAGTAAGGCAGGAAGTTGTAGTCAGATGAGTCACTGTCATCCAGAATCTCGATGGTGTACTCCCGGCCCTTGACCAGGTCAGTGGGAACATCCCAGGTGTAGGAACCGCTGTTGTCAATGTCGGCTGGGATTGGTCAGCATTGGATCTATGATAGCATTGATAGGGTACATACAGGCAATGGCATCACCAGACTCAGCAGTGGTGACGGAGCCCCACTGGAGACGCAGGGAAACAGTGCCGCTGGTGGTGGGATCCCAGGTCAGGGTGGTGGCATCACCGGCCGTGAAGACATAGCCACCGCTGGGGTTGCTGAAAGGGTTGGCAGTGCTTGAGGCGGAAACCAGAGCCGAGAAGGCAGCAGCAGCGATGATAGAGTAACGCATTGTGTATGTGATTAATTAAACCTTGGTTGGATATAAAAAGTGGGATGCTGAATGATTTATACTGCGGGATATCAAAAGAGTGTAAGCGCAGAAGAAAGAGCGGATAGGAGAGAAAGAGAAGCCCAACGAGGCACGGGAATTATCCCCGGGTTTTATAAAAACGAGCAGCCGCAGTAATTGCCCATTTTCGCAGGAAGACACCGGCTGCGCTAACAGTGGGACTAGCGCAAAGTCCCTGTGGTGAGCGGAGTCACAAGATCGGATTGGCTGGGGCTGGAGTAAATTGGTGGAATCGGTCCACGCTCGTGGCGCTGATCCACGAGTGAACGCCGTTCTTTCCCACCACTGAACGCCCTCGCTTGCAGTACCTTAAATGACATCTCCACTTGTCTGCCTCTCTCGGCTAAGGGTACAGACTAGGCACTACTTCGGGGATAATCGTGACCCCAAATGCTCTTTGACTTTTTAATTTCTGGGAGGGTTTTTCCCCTTTTTTGGTCCAGTGGATCCCTCGTTTTTTTTTTTTCTTTTCTTTGAGCACAGTATTACGGTTCATATTGTGGATTGACTTCTTAGATCGGTCCCAATTCCCTACATTTAGCCTGTAAATCAAAATAAATACTGCGATCCAAACAAAACACGTCTTAAAGCGCGGTCATGTTTATCACATTTTCCGCCACGCGACTGAGCCTCGGCTTTAAACCCCGACTAGGAGACCCTATCACTCGCTAACTGATCGAAAATGCCTTAAATCCCCGACAATGACTTTCGAGGTTCTCCCAAAAATAGTCGGTATTTCCTGTGGTCCAATCCACCGCTAAGCATCGTTAGTGATAAACTTCGATAAATTACCAAAATAACGCCTAAAAGGCTCCCACGGTTCGTGCACAGCCTCGCCTAGAAAAAAAAAAAAACACTAAAAGTCTCGTATCTTTATTATTTCTGCTTTTATTTTATTATATTTCTGGTGTCAGCCTGGATCCCTTAGCCCGCCTCTTCCTAACCCTTTGTTCAATAAAAAGCCACCGGAGTTTGTTCCAATACTCTCCCTCCCGTTAGGCAAGGTGATCATACTGCCTTGGACCCCAATATTGATATTATGTACATCAATGGGTATCTTCATCCCCAGATCGATTAATTAACGCGATGCATACGGGTACATGCAGGGCTAAGCTATGACCCTTTAGTCACATGCTGCGTGCTATAAAGCCATGTACACCCCGCAAGCTCGCCATGACCTCCTGAGGCTGACCCCAAGGTAACATTTCTTTTGCATTGCGCGTTCACATCAAATGTCCGGGGTTGGATGGGGGCAATGTAATTGCTACTTAGTTCTACCAAACCCTGGATTACTACTCCGTATACTGAGACCTTTTAAGGGTCTTGTGGCTAATCTGGTGGATACTGCATACGTACGCAATCCCTTATCAGCATATACACGAGGGATATGATACATATGGACGAACTGTGATCATCGGAGTTGTAGATTGGTCAATGGCTCGGGTCGTGCCGGCCTCTGAGACACTTTCTCGGATTTGACATGTTCGTGGTGAACGCTGGTAGGCTCGGGGCCCATAGCCTATTTCCAAGGTTCGTCAGCTTATATTAATCTTCTTTATTGGCCAACCCGTGGACATCTGCTTAGAGGAGAGGATTTAATTATATTCGCGATAGATCGAGATCTGGCTAGTGTAAAGGGTATGAAATTACTAGCATGATGTTTTGGTATTTTTCCATCAATTCCTTCATATCCGACCATGTCTTCTGGAAAAGTGCCACGGAGACAAAAATAGACCTGAACTCGGGAACTGAGGCTCCGCGGTATCCGACCGAAAGTACTGGTCAGATGTCGGAGCAATTTCAGGGCGCAATTGACAGGGAATTTTCCACTCTTTTACAGGAAATGCCGGTGTGCGTTGGTGGAGTTCACGCTAAGCACCCATTTGCGGGGCGTTCGCGGTCGCTTCCAGTAAACCATTCTGGCCGAGCCAGAGAATCATCTCCATTGCCCGCTTGTCTTCCTCGGTCTTTTGCTGATCAACCAGCTATGTGGGCCATTAGTAAAGAGACACCTATATTTAGAAGGAAAATACTCACAGCTTGAAAAAGTCCCTTACGTCCCTTCTTTTCAACGGGCTTGCTCTTGGGTCCTTGTTTGGGAGCATCATGGGAGAATTTACATTTGTCGCCCCGATTGCACTGCCCAGTGCGAGCAAAATGACGGCAGCTTTGCTTCTTGCCTTCACGAGGAGGTGGGGCCACCCGCTCGGGTCCCTCGCGCCGTGAACTAATAGCCTCTGGCGCAGAATCATCGCTGCCGGAGTCCGAGTCACTGTCAGACTCGGAGCCGCTAGAGGAAGTCCAGTCGCTGTTGTCCGAGCCATCGGACATTAGATCCATAGCATCCACACCATCAGGCGCCACCGTAGTATTTTGAGTATTAGTGACGGATAAAGACGTTTGTTCCTTCGCTGTGTCCGTGGTAGCCATCATGGGGTCCACTCCATCCGATGAGGCTGAAAGACCCAGAGATTCGGCGGGTGCGCCATTTGGCTGATCTTGTTTCAAGCCCAACACCTTTTTTTGTAGCGCCGCAACTTTGAGGCGTGCCGCTTCTGCTTCAGCTTCGGCTTTGGCAAAGCGTTTCTGCTCTCGGTCCAGGGTGCGCCGGATTTTGTCTGCCTTGCGCTGTGCCCGTTTGGCCTCTTCTAGAGCTGGGTCCGCTTGGGCGTCGCTGAGCTTTCGCCCAGTGTTTGATGGGGGACTTTGTTTTTCTATTTCTTTGGCCTTCGCTTGCTCCTTCTCCCGGCGCGCCGCTTCTCGGGCTGCTTCTCGGGCGGCGTTCGCCTCTTCAGCGGCCTTCTTCTTTTCTTCGATCCGAGCTTGTGTGGGGAATTTCTTCTTTCGTTCTGCAATCCACGCGGCGATATCGGTAGGGGACTGCAGGGTGGCCGTTCTGCCTTTGTAGGTAAATTGTAATGGTCCAGCATCGGATGCAGCTTTGGCTTCCTCGTCCACATGCTCCTCTTCCTCGCTAGACTCATGTTCGTCCGTTTTAGGCGTTAATCCAAGCAGGTTGTGCTTCCTCTTCCTCTTCTTCGGCTGGCGAGTGGCATCTACCGCGGGGGGTGGTTTGCATGGCAAAGGATTCCCAAAACTTGGAACAGGCGGCGGGGCAGGGACCTTAGGCACCGTGGACTGTGGTTTATTAAATGCAGATGCATGGTCTCGTTTGCCTGGGTATCGCGACTTGGGTCCATGATTTCCATGGTTTCCATGGTGGGAACCTCGGTGTCCACCGCGGCCATGTCCATTTCCATTGCCATTCCCATGTCCATGTCCTCCGGGTGGACCGGCGTATGATGGCGGCGCTTCGGCGCCCCAGTGGAGTGAGCCCATAATCACCGGAGTATTTTGCGGTGAGGCGTGCTGGGGAGTCGGAACCGGGGAGTATGCTGGCGCAGGTGGTGCAGAGTAAGAACCAGGGTGTGCATGATTGGCGCTATTATAGCCAGGTAGTGGTTGGTAGGGTGCCGATCCAGCGGGCTGTGGGAAATGTTGAGGTGGGTAGGAGGGAGGGTTCGAAGGGTGTTGGTAGTTTGTTTGCGCATGAGAGTAGGGTGTGGGAGGCATGTACGACGTTGCGGACATAGGATGAGGCGGGTATCCATAATTTCCTGGTGTAGAGTTGTGACTCGGAGGATTGTACGAAGGCCGACCAGCGTCGGGAGAGTAATGGCCAGCGCGGCCTCGGTTCATATGGCCTCGCCCGCGACCCCGTCCACCTGCTCCTCGCCCATTCCAGTGGCCATTCCCATACTGTGCAGAGGGGTATGCTGGATGTTGCTGGGAGACAGTCGGAGGAGGAGGTGGAGGTGGTGGGAAAGAAAAGCCCTGGGAGCTCATGGTTGCCACCCTGATACAGGTCCCAGGCAGGGCTTCAGGACCATAACGGTGGTCATAAACAAACACAGAAAAAAATCCGAAAACGACATCTTCTGCATGAAGTTTTCAAGCTCGATAACTGACAGCGCAGATCACGTGGTCGAGGTACCAGATACTCGATGCTGATTGGCGCGATTCCCGCTGCCTCTTTTTTTTCAGTGAATTGTGTCTGGTGACCAGAGGAGCATAAGGGCTCTAGGGCAAAGAAATCTGTGCAACCCGGTAACTCAGCTTGGGTTTCATTTTCTTCCCGTCCATATACGCCAGTCGCCATGTTCATTCTTGTATGCCCTTGTGTGATACTGCCTGAAAGAGCCGTTCACTGACTGCGGGCAGACTACCATCTCCGATCTGATCCAGATTGCGCCCCAAGACTTCTCCAAGTTCAGTGCAGTGGCCATTGAAGATAATATTAACGAGAAATATGCCAACAAAGTTTGTGGTTATGTGAATGACGTTTGGATCAAGCGAACTAACATCATCCAGGTCATCCAAAAAATCGGCCTGTGTATCAGCTTTTATGATCTACTTGAGTCCTCAGATGGCTTGATTGGCCACGGAACAGGCCTTGTCAACGTTAATGGTCAGTCTACACCCATATACTATATCTTGACATCAAGCTCATTACTGATTCGATCTTAGTCAAATTTCGGATGATTGTCTTCCGCCCTTTCAAGGGCGAGATCATGCTGGGAAAGATTGCCAGCGGTACCGAATTGGGAATCAAAAGTACCTATACCTTTGAAGCTTCGTCTTTGCATCAATTTCTAACACAAAGCAGTTGGTGTTGAGTTTTTCAACGACATCTTAATCCCGCCTGAGCTGCTTCTTCCTGGGGCCAAATTGTAAGTTCTCTTTTGATTCCTCTGAAACCACACGCTAACGAATCACAGTGACTATGCGGACCAAGTATGGACCTGGGACAATGACGACGGCACCACACTATATTTCGACGTGGGAGAAGTTGTCCGATTCCGCATTGAGACGGAAGAATGGCACGATCAGATTCCCACTGGGCCAGACAGCGATCAAACCGTCACAGAAAGAAAGGCCCCGTACTCGATCATCGTATGTTCCACTCCTTGCTAATTGGTTCATCCCCGCTAATCAAACATCCAGGGCTCAATGCAAATGGGAGGTCTGGGACCCGTGACTTGGTGGTAGTCGAAGATTGTTGATGTGTGATGTCCAGAGCGCAAGTCTCTTTCCTTTTATTTAAGTCAGATCAGATACCCATACCAGCCGGTACATAGACCGTTCAAATTGAAACCATTTAGAGGATTAATTTTCATTGTAGAGTACAGGAAAGTTGATTTGTACGTTATTCTCGAGGCATTCACTCACTCATGAATGCCAATTATATGGCGTAGACTATATTCAGTCCGCAAACGGCTTATCGGCATCTTTCAATCATTTACCGTCTTTTGTTTCACGCTAGATAAATCCTAAATCTTAAATTATGAGTTTATTAATCTGAATCCGGGGTTCCGTGCTTTGTCCGGGCTGCTTGATAATGATGTGATGATCGGTGTAGTAGATGGCGGAATCTCGCAATTATGTTGCACCATCACTCCGATCACTCCGGCGCTTCGGAGCGTTCAGAGTTTTCGCCGAGTCAATGGCGCGGCTACATCCGGCAAGTGATCCAATAGTGGATCTGTCAGCGTCTCTGGACCAGTCGTAACACGACGATCGATCATCTGCTTCAACGTAAAAGAAACTAGGTTCGATTTTTTTCTGCCAGTTCCATAGATCTAACAAAGTATTTCTTTGAAATCGCCCCCCAATTCTGCAAGGCTGTTCCTGGAAAGTTCTGCTTGCTAATCGAGGTTTTGATTTGGAATTTTTCGGTGATCTCATTGATAAAACACAACATCGCTCCTTCTTTTCCTTCTTCTTACTCACTCTCAATATCATACTCTTCTTGCACAATGGGATCATTCGAGAACGGACAGGCTACTGAGCGCCGCTTTGGAACCCTGGCGGTTCACGCCGGTTCCCCTCACGACCCCTCGACTGGTGCTGTTATTGCTCCGGTAAGTTAACATTCTTCAATTGAAATAATTCACCAGCTAATGAATCGCAGATCTCTCTTTCCACTACCTTTGCTCAGACCAGTGTCGGTAGCCCCGTCGGTCTGTACGAGTACACCCGCAGCTCTAACCCCAACCGGTCAGTCTCAAGTCCGCCCCGCATTTGTCATCCAGTACTAACATACAGCGCAGGGATAACTTCGAGGCTGCCATTGCCGCTGTTGAGCACGGTAAATATGCCCTTGCTTTCTCTTCCGGCTCCGCAACCACTGCCGTCATTCTGCAGTCCTTGGCTGCCGGGTCCCACATCGTCTCGGTCTCCGACGTGTACGGTGGTACCCACCGCTATTTCACCAAGGTCGCCAACCACCACGGTGTTGATGTGACCTTCTCACCGGCCATTGAGGAGGAGATGGAGAAACTGATCCGCCCCAACGAGACCAAGCTCATCTGGATTGAGACTCCTTCCAACCCCACTCTGAGCCTGGTGAACATCCGCGCTGTCTCCGAGATCGCTCACCGCCATGGTATCCTGGTTGTTGTTGATAACACCTTCATGAGCCCTTATGTTCAGAACCCCCTCACCCACGGTGCTGATATCGTCGTGCACTCCGTCACCAAATACATCAACGGACACTCCGATGTGTTGATGGGTGTTGCCGCTTTCAACTCTGAGGCCTTGAAGGAGCGCCTCACTTTCCTCCAGAACGCCATTGGTGCTGTTCCCTCTCCCTTCGACTGCTGGCTCGCTCACCGTGGTTTGAAGACTCTTCACCTGCGTGCTCGTGAGGCCACTAAGAACGCCACCATCGTGGCCCAGGCCCTCGAGTCTTCTCCCCACGTTATCTCCGTCAACTACCCCGGTCTTGACTCTCACGCTCAGCGTGCTATTGCCCTCAAGCAGCACCGCGACGGCATGGGTGGTGGTATGCTCAGCTTCCGCATCAAGGGTGGCAAGGAGGCTGCCCACAGCTTCTGCCAGCACACCAAGATCTTCACCTTGGCCGAGAGTCTGGGTGGTGTCGAGAGTCTCTGCGAGGTTCCCGCCAGCATGACCCACGCTGGTATTCCTCGGGAGGAGCGTGAGGCCGCTGGTGTTTACGATGACCTTGTCCGCATCAGCTGTGGTGTTGAGGACGCCGAGGACCTTCACGCTGATGTGCTTAAGGCACTTGAACTGGCCGTTGCTGGTTCCAAGGCTTAAATGACATTGGCATGCATGGAGATATTGAGCCCTTGATTTGCATTTTTCATGACGAAATTAGATAATAGACGATTCCCTTTTGATCCTCTGCTCCAATTTGGAGCTTTGGCTGAGCAATTTCCACATTTACCTTTACATTTTTGCTTTTAGCTACCGATCGCATACAAAATAAAACAGTTTTCATCTAGCAAACCAAATTCCTTATATCACCATAGAGACTTGAGCAAGGGGCCCTTGTATGACCCTCACGACAACGCCTTGAATCAGGGTAAACACTGGTCAATCCCGGCAAGTTTACAAAGGTCTTGGCGCACTGCGCTAATCTCGGCTTCGAGCTGGGAACTTGATTCACTGTCCTCTTCCCATCCATCTTCTTCGCTATCAGAAACCAACTTCAATTGTGAATGGCCATCACTGCCTTCCCAAGAGTTGTCCGATGTCATTCTCGAGTCTATTTCATCCCAAATAGTGTTTTTTACCATCATATCGAGAGCTGTCACTCGTTCTTCAAGTGAATCCATCTTGATCTCAAGTAAATCATTGTGCTGTATGGTCTTGCTTGCATTCATCTTGAGAGTAGACACTTGCTCTTGAATTGATTCCATCTTGCTCTCAAGCAGCTCATTTCGCTTTAAGGTGGCGTTCAGTTCGGATTGTAATTGGCGGCATGTTTCTGAAAGTGTCTCCGTCTCCTCGACTACCTCTTCGTCGACTACCTTGGGTATCTCTTTGGCAGCTTTCATTTGGGCGATTTGGTCTGGCTTCATATTGAAATCATCGAATATCTTTTCCAATGCTTCAAGGCCCTCCACGATAGCGCGTCCGTCTATCTCTCCTGCCCTTGTCGTCGGGGGAAAGGTTATCTCAAGATTCTCCCTTCCCCTTCTTTCCATCCTCGCTATTCCTTCCCTCTTAGCTTCTTCCCTCATCCCCATGTATGTTAGGGCTGGCGGATAAGATGGATATGGGTCCATTTTGTGCAATCTTGTAAAAGTAGGTGTAGTTGTATTTAGTATGGTATTTTTTACCCGCTTAGGCGCGACGTGAGATGTACGACAAACGATCCTCTCTACTGCGTGGAAGTTTTACGGATTCATACCTAGATGCTTAGATACTATGACGTCTAGTTTTATCGTCGAGCCGTATAATCCCATGGAACTTCATCTTGATCAACTCTATACTTCCTGACCTTAAGAAAGGTGGCGGGGTATTAGTCATCAACGGCCCACCTTAGGATTGCAATTTTTGGATGAAATCACTAGCGAATTAAAGAGAAGTTCAGGAATTGCCAGCGCTGCCAGTGCATTGCCTGTCTTCAAGATCAAAAGCTATCTGTCTCGAATACTGAGCAGGTGACGGTTGAGAGCAGCGTTTCACAAACATCAGAGTTTTGGACTCATCAAGTACACGGCCATCAAAACTCGATCATGGCATTCAGCTTTGGTTTCGCGGGAGATGACATCGATATGGATGATACTGATGTCAATGATACCCAAGATGTGTTTGTTCCTACTGGTATCAACAACTCGCTGCCTGAGTTGGTGAAGCCCTGTAAACATAATTTGGAGGAATGGGTGAGTCTCTACAATATCTACTTCTCTTCAAGCAAACTCCAATCTAATCAATTACAGCTCTCAATTCTTCCATCGCAAATATTCTACAACCAGCTTGCAATTAATGGCACACCCATTGTCATTGCGCGTCGAGAAATCATCGACATTCGCACACAGCTGATGGCGGAAGATACCGCAGATCATGAGAATGAAGAGCTGATCGCCGGCCTAGAAAAGGGTGATCTCAAGCCTAATTTCTATGAAGGTGGTTTCAAGACCTGGGAATGTTCTTTAGATCTTGCGAAGCTGATTGCCAATGAGACATCAATCATTGAGTCATTGGATGATTCACAGACAAACGTTCATATCATCGAGGTTCGTATCAAGAAAGCCTAGGGTCGATGCACACGTACCATACGTACTAACATATACAACAGCTTGGTTCGGGTACAGCGGTACCCTCATTGACTCTATTCGCTCATGTCCTGAGCAAAACAGAGTCTTCGGAGGGAGCTGCTCCACAACGAAAGATCCTGTTCACCTGTGCGGACTACAATGATGCCGTCCTGCGCCTGGTCACGCTACCAAATCTTCTGTTGACGTGGCACCATATCCGCCAACAGTCTTCTGCGGTGGTGCCAGACCAAGAACCCACCCCGGTGCAACCGGAAGAGGAACTTGACATTACGCCTGAACTGATCAATGAATTCAAGGATGACCTCACTCGGCGCGGAATTGTCCTCAACTTCATCTCGGGCGCTTGGTCCCCTGAGTTTGTTGGTATGGTTTTCGAAGCATGTGAGTCCCAAGAGTTCAAGACGGTGCTGCTTGCCAGTGAGACTATCTACTCGCCAGCGTCGTTGAAGGCTTTCTCCGAGACACTTCTTGAATTATTGCGCCGCTCGAGCACGTCTTCTGCGAAGAGCCGTGCGATGATTGCAGCTAAGAAGGTTTATTTCGGTGTCGGAGGTGGTGTAGATGAGTTCCTTGCGGTGCTCAAGGATGTCTCTGCAAGCGGACTAGCAGTTGAACAGAGGCTGGATGTGCAGTCGGAAGGTGTCGGCAGAGTGGTCTTAGAGGTCACACCTGCCAATTGACACTCAAAAAACAGAACATAGATGTCAGACAAAATATACCAATACAGTGTTTAGTTTTTTACTTCCTACAAAACTTGTGATTTCGAACAAATGGAATTCAAATGATCAGGTGCCGGATGAAACTTCCCAGTCCCGACGTATATGTACATGTTTTGCCTCTTCTCCAATTGCGCAGGTCTATTGCAGACCGCTAACTAACATAATAAGAAAATCGAATATTGTCGCTTAGATAGCCTCATCGTGGATGGAGGTCTCGCAACCCTGCATCCGTGCAATCCGAGACGCATCAATATCCTTGTTGCGCTGCTCGTAGTGAGCCACAACCTTGCTCAGATCCGCCTGCGAGCCGGGAGAAACGTTGAAGCGCGATCCGGAGTTCATCAGACTAAAAGAAACACAAAAATCAGTATCGATCCCGATCAACAAGAATATCCGTCACATACTCAGGCTGCATCAACTCATAGGCCTCGCGGGGTCCTTGACTCTGGAGCAGGTGGCGGTCCTCGGCGGCCTTCTCCAGCATAGCAGTGTGAATGGCATTGCGCTGCTCGAACGCCTCTTGCGAAGGAGTGTACTTGCTGATCAGGCCGGAAACCCAGGAGTCGGAGCCGGATTCCTTGGTCGACTTGGTGATGCGGTAGATAATGAACGCGGACGCGAAGCTGCCGACGGTCACGTAGAAGCTGGGCTATTCGGTGCATAATGCATGTTAGCGAGGTTACCCGTGCAATTGAGGTGCCAGTATCTCATCGGATCCCAGCATTGGCTGGCGGGGGTTGGAGGAGCTTACGCCGAAGCTTTCGTTCACGGGCTCAGCGTGGGCGTGGGATGAGCCGAAGCGGCGGGGAGGCTGCGAGCGCAGCAGCTGCCGCGACGAGGCAGCACAGCGTCTGGCGGCGAACATGGCTGGAGAGTAATTGACAAGAGTCGGTTGGTGATGACCCTTTCGGGAACCGTGATAGGATGAAGTTGCGCAGAAGACGAGGTCATGTGACAGTTACTATATTTGGACTAGTGTGCTGGCCTCACTAAGAAGTGAGATCACCACAACATCCAACCCAACCAAACCAACCTCCCTTTCAAGGCTGGCAATTGGACTCCCTGTTGTTTTGGTCCGGTTCTATTTTCATCATACCGCTGGTATTGTGGAGGCCGTGCAGCTGATGCAAGAACATGAGAACCGGGGAGCGTCTACATCCTGCCGGGGTTGTGTGGCTGTTGTCCGACTGGATGCCTCATTTATTTTCTCTTTCAAATCCCCCCTAACATACATGAAGTGGATCCCTAGATGCTAATACTCCCATAGTTCATACTGATACAGTTTAGTATTATCGGACTATACCTAATGAAAAAGCAGTGTCTGGCTATCGATTGAACATGTCAGCTTTGGGGGGCCATAGGGTCTCCACTATGCCCTGTTCCATCCACGCCCGAACTGGTTGATGCCCAATTGCCATGGCACACTACAATTGGGTCTCGCTTCGGTTCAAAATCGAATCCACGCTGTGCGTTCCCCATTGTAGGTGTGCCGATCATCGTTACGCTACCTTGTCAACCCGGTCGGCCTTGGGATGGGTACCAATATACCCACTAAGGTTCGGTCCGTGATGCGGCCTGACCACTGAGCGCTTCGTATTTCTGGTTGAATTTCTTTTTCTCTTTATTGTTTTTTTTCTTGTGTTATAATACTTTCTCATTAATTCAATTGCCTTTTTGTGGGAAACTCCCGAGGTCCATCCTAGCAGGTTATTTTACTCTATAATCGCCATATTCTGATCTGGACTTGCCCGAATTGTCTAAGTGCTGGAACGGGCAGCCTTGACTTCGTGGATCGCAATCATTTGTGCCCACTTGTTGTGTTGTGTGCTATTGATTCTCTGCCCGATTCTCATCCACGCCTTGACCCATTACACACCGCACTCCGGGACCCAGTTTACTCCTTTCTGTGTGCGGTCTTTTTGAGCTATATCTTGGAGCACACAGCACCTGCAAATGTACAGTCCAGACAGCCCCATGAATCGCCCGACTTGGATATCTACTTATCATCTGCAATCATTTCGTTTTTGAAACAGCCTTCCTATTGGAAACACGTCTAATCTGCCCATCACTAAAAAAGAACCTTGGGCGCCCATCACTCCATCACAATGGGAGCCGGTGGCAAGAAGGCGAAAGCCAAAGACAAGAGCAGCAAGGCTGCTACCAAACAGAAGAATAAGAAGACCAAGAGCCCAGAAGCTACAGATGATCAGACGACAACGGAAACCCCTACGCCTGGCAGCCCAGTCTTAGTCGTGCAAGATCAAGAACCTGTCGGCCAAGTACCGCAACCAGTACTTGAGCCAGCTTTACAGCTTGAACAGGCGGAGCAACCTGAGCAACTTGAACCACCCCAGCAACCTGAACACCTTGAGAGACCTTCAGTATTGGATTATTTAGAAGAGCCCTCTCCGGCAGAAACGCCACTCCCCCCTTCACCACCACCACAGGAAGAAGCAGTTGGCCATGCGGAACTTGAGCACATTGCCACACAGCCACTTGAAATTGACACAGATAAACAAGACGCCGTGAAAGACGAGTCATATGAAACTGAAACAACCCTGCCCAACAACGAAGAATCTCACGAGGCTGTCATTGAGGCCTCTATCGCTGAGGACCCTTTTGTCGAGACCTCTGTTGTCGAGACCCCTGTTACCGAGGCCCCTGGTATTCAGGCCCCTGTTATTGAGGTCCCTGTTATTGAGGCCGATGAGGGGTCTCTACCCAAAGAAGAGGGCATTCCTGTAATCGACGCCCCTCTTATCGAGGCTCCCGTCATAGAAGCCGCAGAGGAGTCTCTACCCAAGGAAGAGAGAATTCCTTCCGAGCCCGAGGAGCCACAGGAGCCCGAGGAGAGAACACCAATTACATCGACTCCATCTCCATCTGCTGCTTCATTTGTTCCATTCTCGCCCGTGCCAACCCAGATACCCTTGCCATCGCCTTCTCTGACCGAAGCACGGTATATGTCAAGTGCTTCGCCGGATAACAGCTATTATTACTCTGGATATTCTGCATCACCGGCGCTTGTTCCTTACGCTTCACAATACGCATCTGCATCCCCCTACGCCTCACCATACGCTTCTCCCTACGGTTCACCTTACGCCTCACCTTACGCCTCACCAGTGCCCAAAGTCAGCAGCCCTCTTGCTCGCTCTCATTACCCATATATGCCTCCCGTCATGTCGCCAACTGCAACTCCTCCACCACCTCTCGCCCCGGCAGCCCCAGTAGCTTCAGCAGCCCCTTCAATGGCATCAAGAGCACCATCAACCACTCACAGCTACGCAACGGCTACTCAGAACTACGGGACGGCTGCTCAAAACTACGGAGCGGCTGCTCAAAACTACGGAGCGGCTGTTCACTCCCCAGTCATGAGTTCGGCGAGCGTCGTTTCTCCATACACTCATCCAGCCTACCCTCACTACCCCTCGGAGGGCCACTCTATGCAGCGAAGCTATAGCATTAACGACCCATCACCATACGCTGCATCATTCCAGGCTATCCGCGATCTCGGCTTGGGTGGTACCAAACCAACAGAAAATGGTGCCCCATCTCCTCCAGACAGTGAGGCCGAGCATACAGAGCTTCTTCACCGAATTCAATCTGCCCTTCCTGACATCAACCGCCTTCTTCATGGCTTCAAAAACACCCATAGCAAACTCTCGAGCCGGGAGGCGGAGATGAAGCAGATTGGAGACCAACACGAGCAAGCTTTGCTGCACAAGGATTTCTATATTGAGGCACTGCAGGCTCAAATGAAAAAGACAGCCACCGAAAGTGCCGAGGAGTCTGCCAAGCTGAAGAACACCATCAACGAACTGCGCCTGGAACTGGGCAATCTGCAAGAAAAGAAGAAGGACCTTGAAGATGGCCTGGCTATACACCAGAAATCGAATGAGGAGCTCTCGCAGTCTAAGGTTGAACTTGAGGAGGAGATTGCCAAACTCAACACCACCATCCAGGAGAACCAAGATTCACATGCGAAAGAGATCGAGGCGCGCAAGGAGGAGCATCAGAATGCGCTTACGACTCAAAAGCAGGAGTTGACCGAGCTCTTTGAGGAGATCAAAAGCGAGGATGAGAAGGCGGCCAACGAGACTTTGGAGGCACGCGAAAAGGAACTCCTTGATCAACACGAGACTCAAAAGGGAAAGTGGGAGGCCGAGAAGGGACAGTTGCACGAGTCGCTCGAGGCGCACCGCACTGAACTCGAAGCCACCAATGGCGACTTGGCTTCTAAGGTCACTGAGCTTGAGTCTAAGAAGACTGAGCTCGAGTCTAAGGAGAACGAACTACAGGCCTGCCTAGGTGAACTTACATCGGTGCGCGATGAGGTGACATCCAAGTTGGCTGAGTTGGAGGCAAAGGAGAACGAGTTGGAGGAGGTCCGGACCAAGAATGCCCAAGAACTAGAGACACTCCAGCAAGGACATGCTGATGAACTGGGCTCTTTGCGAAGCACTCACGAAGAACAACTGGCCACTGCCGCAAAGGAATTGGATGACAAGATTGCTGCCATCCAGGCGCACCTCGATGCTAAGGAAAAGTCCTGGTCTGAGGAGCGTGTTGAGTTGGAGAAGCTGCTCTCCGAGAAAGAAAGCGAGCTGGCGAGCTCGGAGCGAGAGAAGGAGAAGTTGGAAGAGAATGGTCTAGTCAAGGAACAGCAACTTCAGCGTGCCGTTGATGGAATGCGAACCACCATTGATCATCTGGGTGACGACTGCGACCGGCTGAGAAAGACACTGCACAGCCTAGGTGAAGCGACCGATCTCAAGACCACCAAGGGCGATGAGTTCTTGTAAGTGAGCCTAGTCTCCGACTTCTCCTGTCTTTTTTTCATGATGATTACGATTACGATCATTTTATGTTCATGTTCATGTCTCTCATTTTCTCTCCTTTGTTCATACGCCGAGACCGACCTGATCCTCTCATTTCTTTCAATTCTCATTCTATAGAATCTCATGTTGATAACGTCATAAAATGTACTGGGTTCTAATAAGCTTCTTTGATCTCTAGTCAAGACTGTTTTACCCAGCTATCGCAGCTGATCCACGAGCTATCCAAAGAACACTTTTCTTACCTTCCCATTGATCCGCCCAAGGATATTCTCTCCAAGATCCCGTCTGAGCTGCCATCCTTCCTCGACAATACCCCAGCATCTCGCGAACTTCGTTGTGCCTATGTCGAGCATGTGGTATCCAAGACCATCACCTACCGCGTCTTCCAACCGTTCCTTTTCACCCTGGGTCGCCGATACGATAAGGCAGACACTTTCTTCCAAATGTTATCTATGGACATCCGTCGGAAGTCCGTCCGCCGCGAAGCCTTCTGGCGTCAGCAGACTCTCAAAGCAGCCTACACCACCTCCGATGCTAAGCAATCAATCAACGTGGCGGCGGCCGTGATCGTGGACGAAATCATCGACCACATCAAGCACTTCGCTGACCCCAAGCATCTGGATACACTCCTGACAGGCGTTCGCAAGATCGTGAAGCTGGCTGCTGAGACCTGGCGCCACGCTCGCGTCGAACGGGAGCTCGTTCTCGCCTCATTTCCCGCTCCGGATGCTGAGAGTGTCTCTAACGATGGATGGGACGAGTACGGTGTCCCGAACGTATCCAGCTCGGGACCAAAGGGAGATCCTGCCCGTCACGTTGTCCTCCGCACATTCCCGAGTGTAATGCGTGAGGCTGCTCATGAGGACTTTGCTAGTGGTGAACGAGCTAGTCCTTGCATCTACTCCCACGGTGCCCTGCTTTACTCGGACTCTCCGATCGTCTTGGCGCGTCTGCAAGAATTGGCGAAGAAGTCGACTGACACCTTGGTTGCTGATGAGCAAGTGCCGCTTCCTAAGACTCCCAAGGGTTCTCGAGAGAATCTGGCGGCTAGGATGGCTACTCTGACGGTTCAGTCGGCGCCGACTAGTCCGACTCTCAAGGGACAATTTTTGAAGACTTAGTTCCAGGATTTTGATTTTTCTTTGTCTTTCACCTTTTCGAGACTGCTTCGCTCTTTCTTCCTTTATTATGTGTCTTTTTATCTGTTTTAGCCATGTGATGTATTATTTGAGGTGTTTATTCTAGCGATTTGGCTCGATAGCATGTACTGGTGCGAGGATATATATAGCGTTTGATGAGATTTAGGAATTTTGTTTCTACCAGAAGTTGTATAGGACATGAGATATGATTGATCAACTTGGCATTTGCTTGTCGCTCTGGAACGTTATAGATATGTAGACCTCGGGATGGAATTATACTTTGACCACGCATGTGCGCCGTACCCTTGGGGGCGCTCAGCCCTGGAGAGTCAGGTCAAGCCTTAGCCGCCGTAAACATTTAAAGGCCAGCCCAAGCTCACACCCTGTAATGATTGTAGCCAATAAATGATCCATAGATGGTTTATGCGGTGAATGGAAGACCTAGAGCACGAGAATAGAACCCTCTCTGCAGGGCTGGTCGCTTCACTTTTATCCTCCTAGGTTGTCTGCTATTCTCCCGAAACATGATATCAAGGATCAAAGGCCCACATTCGATTTCGGGTCTAAACGTTCTTTTTTCTTTTCTATTCAGAAGTTTTAATAGTGGTAGTCATCGCGGTAGCCTAACATCTTAGGTGAGAACGTGAAAGTTAATCAAAGGGTGTCATTGTGGCTGCCTTTAGCGCTATCTCTTACGGATTATGATCCGCCTGCAAACCAAGAACGAAGAAAGACGGAGAATTTCCCCATGCTCCATGACTCGAAGTTGCCATAAGGCCTTTAATTTACTCCATTACGAGCTCAAACTCCTGAAGTTTTGTTCTGCTCCATATATTCTCTTTACTATAGTTTGACACCCCCTCTCTCTTCGGTGTTCGGGGTTCGGTGTTCGCGGGTTGGGCCATAAATCAGACATAGAGCCCTCTCAAACACACCAAGCAGAAAACCACGACTCACCACCCAGATCCGCATAACTTCTGAGAGTAGCGCAATCGAATCTGAACCTGATCCTCCCAACATGGACATATCATGCGTGGACGATGCTTCCTTCGGACCTATTGTGAAAGGGTGCCGGGGGGATTTTGATTTTACGCTTAAATTTGAGAAGATCGTTCTCTCCATACTGCCTTCCGTCATATTCATTGCTCTATCAATCCCCAGAGCCATCCATCTTGCTCGGAAAAGACGGACGGTCGATGGCACAGCCTTCCAGTGTGTTAAGCTTGTGAGATTTCCCTTGTCTACTGAGCAGTGATGCGCCTAGGCTAATATACTTGAATAACCTTGAAGGCAGCAGCAGGGATTTATACAGCCTTTCAGCTTTCTCTGCTCATTATTGGCAGCGTCCACCCTTTTGGATTGACTAAGCTATCTACCGCAGCTGGGGCGTTAAGTTTTGTTGCGGCGTTAGTTATCCCCATGTTGAGCTTTTTGGAGCATTCTCGTTCACCTAGGCCCTCAATCTTACTCAGTATCTTTCTTTCCTTGACTGTACTCTGTGATATTGTGCAGGTGCGCTCCCTGTGGCTACTGGTCCATAACACTGACGGGCTCAACTATGTGAAACTTTTCACTGTAGCCGTTGTCTGGAAGGCTGTTCTGGTCTGCCTCGAGTCAGTACACTGTCAAAGTTGGCTTGGATGGGACTGGAAATTACATAGCCCCGAAGAAGTCAATGGGCTTTATGGGCTCGGAACCTTCCTCTGGCTGACACCCCTTTTCATGTCGGGGTACAAAAAGGTTCTGAACTTATCGGACCTTTTCCCTCTAGACAAGAGTGTTTCGGTGGAGGCTCTGAAAACGTCATTTGCCCACAATATTAAGCACACTGGTTTCCAGGGAGACAAGAATGGCTTGACGAAAGCGCTCGCTCGCACTTTGGCAGTTCCCATTCTAATGCCAGTTGTTCCTCGCATCGCTATGCTAGGATTTACGATCTGCCAGCCCTTTCTCATTCAAGCAATCTTGGACTATCTCGAAGAACCCAGCAACAGCTTGACTGTCAATAAGGGCTACGGCTTGATTGGTGCCACAGTATTGGTTTACACAGGAATCCCATTCTCCACTGCTCTCTATTGGTATCTACACGAGCGAGCCTTATTCAAGACAAGAGCATGTTTGGCTTCTGCGATATATCGCCAGACAGTCCGGGCACATGCTTCCAATGCAGATGACGCAGCAGCTGTCACGCTTATGAGCACAGACGTTGAAAGGGTTAGAATGGGGTTGATGCAACTTCACGAGTTTTGGGCAACCCCAGTTCAGGTAGGTATCGCCTGTTGGCTACTCCAGCGGCAGCTTGGGACAGCATTTGTGGCCCCATTGGTCATCGTCTTCATTTGTGTCATTTCATCCAGCATCATTATACGTTTTGTTGGACCTAGCCAAACGACTTGGATGAAAAGTATTCAGAAGCGGGTCGGTCATACCGCAAACGTCATCGCTAACATGAAACATTTGAGAATCTCTGGGTTTACAAAGCCCGTGGAAGATACCATTCAGATGCTGCGTGTTGAGGAGTTAAAGACCGGGAGCAGATTTCGATCCTTTCTGGTGGGCTCCGTGGGTATTGGATTCTTACCCTTGCTCCTAGGTCCTGTTTTTACATTGGCCCTCACGTCACGCGAATTAAATGTCACGACAATCTACACCTCGGTCTCTTGGCTCCAGCTTCTCTCAACCCCATTGTCCGTGCTGTTTCAAACCGCCCCTCAGTTGATTGCAGCAATCTCGTGTATATCGAGAATACAGCTGTTTCTCGAGGAAGAGCCAAGAAAAGACTTCCGCCGACTGGCCGGGACATATGGATCGTCTGAGAAAGGGGATTCGGTTGGAAATTTGCCGTCAGTTGTTGAGGTCAAAGACGCAGGTTTTGGCTGGGACAAGAGTGCATTGACTCTGAAGAACATCGATTTTTCCTTGTCACAGGGGTTGACAATGGTTATTGGTCCCGTTGCCTGCGGAAAGTCAACATTGTGCAAAGCATTGCTGGGAGAAACACCTGTTGCATTCGGGGACACGTTTATACGAACCAAGTACCCCAATATTGGATTCTGCGATCAAATTCCCTTTCTACCCAACGAGCGGATCAAGGATACTATCATAGGTTTCTCGGACTTCGATGAGAAAAGATATGCCGCTGTCATTGAAGCAACCATGCTCTCTCGGGACCTTCTTCTTCTTCCTACAGGAGATCAAACAAAGATCGGTAGCGGTGGAATCTCTCTCAGTGGTGGACAGAAACAGCGTGTTGCACTTGCAAGAGCATTGTATCTCCAATGCGACATGCTTATTCTCGACGACCCTCTTGGTGGTCTCGACGCCACTACAGGAGAACGCATTTTTCATAATCTCTTTGGCCCTACAGGCATCCTCAGGGAAAGACAGGCAATTGTGGTACTTTCCACAAACGCCACTAGATATTTGCCATCAGCTGACTATATCATTGCGCTGGCAAATGATGGCACTATTGTGGAAAAAGGTCGATTCTGCGACCTCGTCACAAATGAACAATATGTCCACAGTCTCGGATTCCAGGTCGACGCGAAGGGTATTCGTGATCCAGCAGCAACCAAATTCCGACCTGAAATCAATGCTGAAGAGGAGTCACCTGAATCGCCTATTGTTGGCATCAATGAATGCACCGATAACACCGATAACAGCGAACTCAACAGGGCCATGGGTGACTGGTCTGTTTTTTCATACTACTGCAAAAGTATTCGCCCTTTTTGGGTGATCAGCTTCGTGGTATTTGGTATCCTTACCGGATTTCTGTTCAACTTCCCTACGATCTGGTTAGGTTATTGGAGTGCGGATTCTTTCAACCAGTCAAAATCTTTCTACGCCGGGATCTATGGTCTTTTCCAATGCCTCGCTTTGGTCTCAATTCTCAGTGAGGCATCCATTGGCCTGCTCATCATCATTCGCGATTCTGGGTCGCGTCTACACGAAGCAGCTTTGCGAACAGTGATTTCTGCCCCGCTGCGATTCTTCTCTCAGACGGACACAGGCATCATCACCAACTTATTTTCCCAGGACATGACACTTCTCGATGGGGAGCTTCCATTAGCTTTAATCAACACTTCGCTGGAGATCTGGATAGTGATAGGAAGTGCGGCAGTAGTCGCATCATCATCTGCCTATATCGCCATTGCGTATCCTTTCCTTCTATTGATCCTTTACGGGGTTCAAAGGTTTTACCTTCGAACATCTCGTCAGCTTCGGCTCTTAGATTTGGAGGCAAAGAGTCCGCTCTAGTATGAATATTGTTGCTGCAATATTATCAACGCTCGCTAATTCTTCTTCTGTAGCACGCATTTCCTGGATACAGTCAAGGGCTCAATGACCCTGCGTGCTTTCGGTTGGACAGAGGATTCCATCCTCTTCAACAATGTTCTTTTAGACACTTCACAGCGCCCAGCTTACCAGCTGGGCATGATACAGCGATGCTTGTCCTTCGTGCTCGACATAGTCGTGGCAGTTATTGCACTGCTAGTGGTCATTCTTGCTACTCAGCTTCGCCCCAGTACTGGCTTGACTGGTGCCAGTTTGGTGTCAATTATGAGCTTTGGTTCAACTCTGGCTTACCTGATACAGATGTATACGTCGTTGGAGACCTCAATTGGAGCTGTCTCCCGTATAAAGTCCTTAAGTGATAAAACCGCCCCAGAGGATTTACCCGGCGAGGATACCCAACCCTCTATCACATGGCCAGAGAGGGGCATCATCACAGTGAAGAACATCTCTGCATCCTATAGGTAAGTGTTCTCTATACGAATCGCAAGCACTAAGGCTGTGAGAGAAGATGTACTGAACCTGATTATACAGCGGTCCGGAATCAGCCGAGAACTCAGAACCGAGCAACCTTGCTCTCCGGGACCTCTCATTTACCATACCAGCGGGACAGAAAGTAGCAATCTGTGGAAGAACTGGAAGGTGAGTTTTTTTCTTTCCTGAGAAGCCCTCTTGGGGTCCACCCGCAGAAACTGGGTAGTGCGGATTGCTCACCCAACTACTTCATAGTGGAAAATCCTCCACCGTTCTCCTGCTGCTGCGTCTTTTAGACCCACTTTCTTCATGTACTGGGGAGCTCTCTATCGATGGCATCTCACTCTTGAAAATTGACCGCTCCACTTTACGCCAATGTATCATCGCGGTACCTCAAGATCCAACATTCTTCCCGGACCGCACTACCTTCAGAAAAAATCTCGACCCCTTCGACGCGGCAACAAACGACGAGTGCCACTCGGTCTTGAAGACAGTAGGGCTATGGCCCTTGGTGTCTGACCGCGGGGGACTCGAGGCCGGGCTCACCGCCGACATGCTTAGCCACGGTCAAAAGCAGCTATTCAATCTGGCAAGGGCAGTCTTACGCCGGCGAGTTCGTGCTCACCAAATCGATGCCGAAGTAGGGGATGCGTATATGGATGCATCTACCTCTGCACTTTCGGCATTGGGTGGCGGTGTTCTTATTCTCGATGAGGTCAATAGCAGTGTGGATGCTGAGACACAGAAGACCATGCGGGATATCATATGGAGCGAGTTTGAAGGATACACAGTGATCATGGTCAGCCACCGACTTGATATTGTTATGGAGTTTGACAAGGTTCTGGTCATGGATGGTGGCAGGCTCGTGGAAGAGGGTTCGCCGAGGGAGTTGATCAAGGAAGAAAGGAGCTGGTTCAAAGACCTATGGATGGCTGGGAAAGAGTGAAAAGTTGTTGCTGGAAGATCGTAAATAGGAAGTTTTGCTTACGGACCTAGGATACCAGACTCCAATCTAGTTCATGGCCTTGGCTACTTTGACGTTTACATTGTCATCACTTTCACTCCCTTCTGCAAGCCCTGCAATGTTTGCATCGGTTTGCTCTTTTGGACCGGTGCCACCTTGACCTTCTCATCATCACCTCCCCCCTTTCTCACCATTTTCGCCAACTTCGCGCTCGCGCCTTTCTCGCATCTTTCAGATTTGTCCCATTATGGGTGAACAGGTAAGTTTACTTCTCTGTTATACACAATGATGCCCCCTCCCATTTCTCTCTTGTCTGTCTTTGTTGTCTGGGCCTACTTTATGAGTTCATAATTCTTTTTAAAAATTTACTAATGAGTTTCTCAGAAGAGCAACAACACCCCTGAGAAAGATGACGCCCCCGCCCCCACTGATGATAAAAGCGCTGTTCGCAAGGGTTCCCGTCAATCTCTTACTTCCTGCGCCTGTGGCCGTCCAGGCCATAAAAGGACTGACCTTCACTGTCATTTACAACAGATGAGATCAAACTAAGAGTACCGCATTGCCGACCTTGAGGGGTATATTGCCTTGTTAAAGTCCCACGTGACTTTCACCTTGCAGATAGATATTTATCAACACGAAACCGATGAAAGTATAGAAGTTAATTTATACCCATGTAGACAGACGCCGTCATCTTGCATTCAACTCCCGGAGGCCGGCGTCGCCATTCCCCCAGCCTTCCCCCCCCTGCCGCCCCTCGCCGGACCGGTACCACTCATACAGGAGTGGTTGGGCCCGTGGAGATTACAATGCTCCCCGCAATAGCGCTGTGGCAGGCCTTTATCGTCCGGTGTTCTCTTCTTGTTTTGTATACTTCGATACTGTAAAGTTAATATGACCGACCCATGATCTTCATTCTCCACAGTGAACCCTCCACCTTTTGAAATGCCCAGAGATAACCAGGCAGCTTCGTCGTCTGCAATCAATTATTCACTTTAATTTTATTCTAGGGAGAAAGACAGCTCGGTTCATGTTACTCCTTCAATCATCTATACATTCTAGGGTAGCCTGTAAGCGAGTACGTGAGGATTCGGTGATAACAATGATTATATAGGTAACTTGGTTAACTCATTGTTCAGAGAAGATCAGAATTATATAATCCGTGCTCAGTTCTACAACTAAGAGAAACCTTGATTCATTCTGACTGTACTCAGCACTATAGCTCAATTAACATTTAGACACAATGTGAAACATCGCCTATGACGTCTTGAGACCCTAACTCCCCACGGCACCGCACGTGATTTCTTTTCCACAAGAACCATGGATTAGAATAAACCTTGTAAAACTATAGGAAATTTATTCTTAACAAGACACCATTCTGCAAGCTGAAGAATCTTCAAGAAACAAAGAACAAACAGGGGGGGGGGGCCAAAAGGACAAGAATAGCGCATGTCAGGTGTGGCTCGGGCGCCATGTGCGTACAGCCTCACCAGACTGCGTTAGGAATGCAAAGAATGCCTTGTATGAATCATAGAATATACTTGTTGAACTTTTATGCCCTAGGAAGAATATTTATAAAAGCCTCTCTATCTCATATATCAAGTTGATACAACTTGAATATCGCCAGCTGAGTCCTCGAATGTTACAAGCGGCAAGCAGCAGCGCTAAATGAGGCTCACAGTGGAGCATACAAGGCTGACCTCCCCTCAATCCTATCGCTTTCCTTTCCCCTCGCATGGGCGCTAATGCCATTTTGCTTTCCCTCTTCCTTGAATCTTTTGAACTTTTCATTTAAATTCTTCACCCTTTTAGAGTCTTCATCCTCTTCAAAGTCTTGACACATTCCATCTTTCCGCTCTCACCTTTCCGCCCCCAATCCTCTCTTCTGTTCTTTACCCTCCGCTCCAGTTACACTCGGACCTGTCAGCGTGCATACCATTCTATCCTTGGTCTCAGCTCTGTTACTTGGGGAGGGAGAAAAAGAGAAACGACTGAAATATTCTCGCATATTGATCATCGATGCCCGCCAATATATATAACAGTTCTAAACTTGCGTCTAACAACTTGCACCCATTCAATGCTTTCCCCGCTTCTCGTCCAATCTCGCCTCTATCTGAAGGCGCCTCCCCTGACTCGTTTCTCTCTGCATGGGCCAAAAGGTCCGCCCGCCATTCCTTGAAAATGGAGCGCACCCCGCACAACAGACCCATGGCCGTCTTGCCGGAATTGAATACCCAGGATCCATATCTGTCGGTGTCGTCTGACCAAGAGGAACTTGATTTTCAAGCATTTGCTCTCCGCTTGACACCTGTGGGGGGCAGTCCAAACCATGCCAGTCCCTCTCCGATCGGAGAAAATGATGCTCTGAGCGCGGGCCCCACTATCCAAACGAACTACTGGCCCGCGGGCAATGACAACCCCAGTTCCTGTGCGTCTCCTGATTCAGGTGGTTTTCTGGACCCATCCAATATTGAGTTGAATGGGCCCAACTGGCAGGATCAAAGGTCATACCATGTGGAGACAACTGCGCCGGTTGCCCAGGAACAGTGGCCATCGGCTGTAGCCGATGTGCCTCCTCAACAATGGCTCAACGCAGAGCCAACTATCCCGAGCCCTCTTTCCATTCAAGATCACGCGACAGCACATAACCATGCGCCGAACCAGGGCTCGCTGGCTAATGCCGATCAACGTTACGGGCCAGCCGAACTGACTGTCACGACCGAGTATGTCCCAGGAAACGGCTTGGTGTCAGCTTCGACCATTCGGGGGAGAAGTCCGCTAAGGAGCCCTATTGGCATCACTGTGGAGAGCGTGTCGCGTGGAGATTCACCTGTTGCGGGGAACCTTGGGCACAGTAGACGCCCGAGCCGATCGTCGATGCATCTCTCACCAGGTGGTATGTCCAGCGATTCAGAAGATGATGGCCACGTCGATGATGACCATCGATCCGTCTCGTCCCTTTCTGTCGCACGAACCAATGATGGAAAATGGATCCGGAGCCCCACGACTGGTTATGGCGGCCTAGCGCCTTCCTCTCGAGGGGATGAATACATACAGAGCCCCAACGATCTCAAGGGACAGCGCGAACGCGACCAGAAAAACCAGCATATCACCCTCTGGTTAAGTGCCGCCAGCACAGGATCAGACGGCGATCAACCTCCTACCCCTCCTCCCCAAAGAAGGCATACGAGTAATAGACTGCGGGCAAGGAGTACTGGAGACAAGCCTCTTCAGCAAGAAGACTATTTCAGTCTGAAATCTCATGGTGGCAACATGACCCCTGGACCTGGGGTCTTGGTCCATGAAAGCGAGGGCAGCGATGATGACGGTGATGATATTTCTAGCGTCAAGTCCGGTGCCTCTGCTTCTGGTTCGCCTCCAGCTGATGTCAACGAGCCCGGTCGATATGACAGCTCCACACCTGAATGCTATGCTTCACTCGGGTCGACCGGCCCCACTGAGAGCTTTTGTCTCCATCCTTGGCAAGATTGTTCACGCGATGCAACGCAGAGAAAGGAGGCCATGCAACCGGGCAGCTCTACTGCGGCGATGATTGCGTTTGAAAAGCGGGCGAAGGATATCGAAACCGCGTCGTTGGCGGCGACTGTGGATAATAACAGTATATTTCATGTCAGATCAGCGTTTACGGAGATGAGCATTACTGCCGAGCCGAAGCCTAAAGAGAGCGTGGGCACTCTCTTCCAGCGTTCCTTCTTGACAGCAACCTCGAAACTGAAGCGTCAAGCGTCGGATTTCTCGATTGCCAATGCCAATACCAGTGCCCAGTCTAATAGCTCTGATGTACCGCAGCGAAAAGAGAGTCACTCACACCGTCATCGGCTAAGTTTATCAGGAAGGCAACATGGCCGCGCCCCAAGCGTGACAAATGCTTTCTTCTCGATGAGCGGACAGATGGCAGCGATTGGAGGAAACAATGCAGTCCATGCCGTCTCGCCAAGTACCGACGTGACCTTGAAGGGTAATCCAATGAAGGGTCGTGGTCGAAGTCGAAGTGAGGTCCCGCGACCTGTTAATGGGTTGATGGCTCTGATGACCACCCATGGTGGGCCCCCTGTTGCCAATTTCTTGTCTTCGCCAAGGACCTCGACCGAGACTGAACATGTGCGAGGCAATGATGTCGCCGACTTTAACAACATGGTCGCTAAGGATGAAGATGATGATGAGGACCACATGGATGTAGCGGATGATAAAGGACTTGTTATGGAATTCCCGCTGGTGTCACGCTTGCCAGTGCCAACGCTTGAAGGGTTTAAGCAACAGATCATGGATCTGAACCCACGACTCAAGCCTGCTCTGATCGAACGATTTGCACGTGAACAAGTGAATCGGTATGAGAGACTGGTGAAATTACAACGGGATCACGCAGCTGCCGTTACCAATCGTAAATGCAAATCAGATAACTTTTGCTTTGCTTTGGGAGGCAAGGCAGAGTTGCTGGAACAGCGCAAAGCGTCCACCTCTGTGGAAGCTGGGCAAACCCAATTTCTCATCACGGAATCAATCAATGGCGGGTCATATGTGGTAACAGAAGGCTCCCCCACTCCGGCTCAATTCCCGGCGGGTGTGCCCATCCCACCCGTTAGCCGCCTGCCTGCCAAATTCGAGTGCTCTATCTGTTATGATGTGAAGAAGGTCCATAAGCCGTCAGACTGGTCCAAGCACGTTCAAGAGGATCTGCAGCCGTTCACGTGCAGCTTTCCCGATTGCACCGAGCCCAAGTCATTCAAGCGTAAAGCAGACTGGGTCCGACATGAAAACGAGAAGCACCGACAATTAGAGTGGTGGGACTGTTCGAGATGTGACCATACCTGCTATCGGAAAGACAACTTTGTCCAACACTTGGTTCGGGAGCACAAGATGCCTGATCCCAAGGTGAAGAAGGGCACAGGGGGTGCTGAGGAGCAGTTCAGCCGTGACCGGCTAGCGAAGCTGCTCGACGAGTGCAGGCACGAGACAACAAAAACGTCGCAATCGGAGCCCTGTCAATTCTGCGGGAACATCCTTGGCAACTGGAAAAAGCTAACGGTGCACCTGGGGAAACACATGGAGCAGTTGGCAATGCCTGTTCTAGAACTTGCCAAACAGAGCGCCGCCACCCCTAGCCCAGCCGCCCCTGCAGGAGTGTCTAGTGGGTCTGCCGAAACATACCCCCCTCTTTCTGCACCGTTTCACAGACATCAGAATACTGCAGGGGCGACGCTTCCCACTCCGCAATATCTCACTAGCAAGACTAGCCCTCCTGTCAACGCAAGCATTCCTTACGATATGTCACTTCTTGGCTATCCTTCTACTATCTCGGGCACCATCCTTTCGACAGAACCCGAACCGATTGCCGACACTTTCCCGGGTGATCAGTGTTCCTACATCAGCCCGCTTGACCAAGCCACGCTCCACCCGCCGTCGGCCCAGACCCACCTCCCGCATCATCAAAACTCAGTGACGTACCCACCACCATACAATGCGATCCACCAGCCAAGAACACCCGACGTGAACGCTTCTGTAATGCCGTCTTACCAGCTTCCTCAGAGCTCACTATACCCCGCACAGGCAAGCTACCCGCCATACCAGCATATGGCCCCAACTTCACCCTACCATGGTTCCTATACGAACAGCTATTCCTCACAAATGTGAATGATGATGTGTGCCCAATGTCTTGATTTCTTTTATTGTTTTGTTTTTGCTTTTTGACTTGAACCTCGCATTTCTGACAGTATACGTGTATACCCCTTCTGTCGATTTTTACTGTCGGTTAATTGCAGTATGTACGTCACGCCAATGGATGTGCATGAAAGGGATGGGAATTTGCTTTTCTTTTTTCTTTCCCAGTGATCTTTTTCCTCTCCATGGTCTTTTCTATAGTTCCCTTTTTTCTCGTTCCTTTTTATTTTTTATTTTTTTCTCGGCCTCGTTCTTATCTCTTACCGTGCCTTTCAGCCCCCCCCCCCCACTTAGAACAATGGTGGCCATGCGAGTGTTGAACTATTGCATGAATGGAATGACCCGATAATCGGATTTTATGTACATATTTTGAGCTGGGGAATTCTGTCTCAGACGCGTTGAGCCATGTGCATCGCATATGAGAGATCATATCCGGCTTTACCGGCGTTTTCCCCCGATGCATCCCCCCTTCTAAAAAGGGGGATTGCTCATCCTTATCAAGGGATAAACACTCCCTAGCAACGCGTGGTCATGTCAAGGTGTTTCAAGTCGAAACCTTCGCTACCTTTTGCCATGCGCTCTTTTCCGTATCCCTTGACGGCATGGCAATCATGGCGAACAAGTGACAAGTGGATGAGATCGGCCCTGTCACCACCCGATCCGGTACCCTTGCATTTCCAAATCCATTAGCGACTAGTATTTCGATCCAAAGCAGATCGCTTAACCAGGGAGGGAAAGCTGAGAGCACCAAAAACAAAAAACAAAAAACAAAAAAAACAAGTATGTACAGGTAACGGGCGAGGACTAAAAAGCATGGAACCATGTCGGGAACGTGTGTAGATCGGCAAAAGTAGTCTATAGCCTTGTCAGGCATGATCTGCCCGGGTGAACCCCCCCACACTCACCCCGGGGCTGTGCAAATCCGCAAATCAAGGGATGTGCATTCCACGGTTTGTCTTACTTAGGCCTTCCCTCATTCCTATCCCTTCGAGTCCGCGTGGTTGATGGTTTACACCGGCTCGGGGCGAGTGGATCTCTCGTGGTTGCGTGTTGTTTTTTCTGATTCTTTTTCGCGTGCATGAATGTGCTGCACCTCGTTTTTTTTGATTTTTGATTTTCCCATTTCGAAAGAGGGGTGTGCGCTTGCGTTTCCCATTTAACCCTGCCATCCCGGCCTGTTTTCTCTTTTGGATCTTGTATTCTCGTTGGATTGGTTGATAGTTGGCTTATATATTGGGGTTTCGATATTCTTCACCCGGGTGTTCGATCTATAACCCCGAACCCACTCACCCGCTCATCAGCTGGTCTACACTATGGAGGTTAGTCCTTCCCGCTTGCGGCTTACTCTTTGTTTTTACCTATGTTTCTTTTTATCTGGAAGTTTCTCCCAACTAACTTCTGTAACTTTTTTTTCTTTCTGTAGGATATTCGTTGGAGTGATTCTAGTGACGTCCTTCAGGACATTATGGTCAACTCTGTCGGCAACCGACAAGATCTATCGGACTTTCGGTCAAATTTAGCTCTGGGAGACTCAGCCCCAAATCCTCTGCTAGATTTACACTTGACTCCCGATCTGGCCTCGCTCGATTCAACCAGTCATCCTGCCTTTCTGAACCAGTGGCCCTCCGCTGGATCCCAGGACTTTTACTACCAAAACTACCCCGCCTCTAGGTTCGGTGCGGACCAGGATGCGTGGAACCCGTTGCTAGCTGCTGGTGTTCCTCCTTCCTCGACTGGCTCCCATATGCACATGCCCGATGCTGACTGTGCTTTCCCGAAACCCCACTATAGAACCCCATCTGAGGCTGGTAGTCAGTACATGGGGAGTTTGCACTCGGCGGACTCGGGGTATGGGAGTAATAACGGGGCTCACTCAGCTATTCCAACATCTTATGTGGATTCGTTGTCGAGTCCACAGATTGGTGCCAAGGAGCATGCTTTTGCCGAGCCCACGCCATTCTTTGACCAGTCTCGAATGGCTGGTCCCGGGTTTGCGCAGCACTTTAACGAGTCATTATTCGATGCTTCAGTCAAGTGCGATCACCCAGCTTGCTCCTGGGTTGGCAAGTGTCCATCTGATAAGAGGTATGCACACCATCGTGGGCTTGGTTTGGATGTGTGCTCATGCTATATGTTCTAGGAAACACGAGGCTCGTCATCGAAAACTATTTAGATGTGATGAACCTAACTGCCCTCGCAAAGAGGGGTTCGGCACTATCAATGATCTGGCCCGCCACAAGAAATGTGTTCACAACAAGGAGCCTGAACGAGGGCCGAAGATGATGTACCTCTGCTATGGAAAGAACTGTCCTCGTCCCAACAAGAGATGGCCGAGACTAGACAACTTCAAGCAGCACCTTAGTCGGATGCATGCCGAGGAAGATGGAGAGAAACTCCTGAGGAGGTAAGTCCTACATTCTCTTCCCTTTCTTATATGCTCAGCCCAGCTAAATTTCCCTTAGGTCCATGGAGTGGCATGAGAGTGTCACTTGTCGTCGACCGGACCCCAAACTCGAGGATACCAGCTCAGTAGATTCAATGATCGACACACAAGATCATATGTCTACTCACTCTGGCGATATGGATATGGAATCCGATGAGACCTTGAACCACGCACAAAATAATATCGACTATCTCTACTCCCGGATGGCAACCCCCAGACCAGTCTCCAGCAATCCACCCTCCGAGATCAGTTTTTCAGATTCCCAATCACAATTTCAATCTTTGGGATCCATAAGCCTTGACGCATCACCTGTACAGGATGGAACCGATCCTGCGACAGAACACAGACAAATCAAGTCGGAGCCATTTGTTACCGACGCAGCTGATAATCTTATCAACGCAATGACCAGGATGATGAACAGCCGTGTACGCAAAGCCCAAAATAATGACGAGGGAATTGAAGTCGAATGCGATGCTACTCTCTCCCTACCTCAGCGACAGATGCTACAGAAGGTGCTTTCAGTAGCCCTAGAACGGCTCTCAGATGAAGCTCCAGCAGTCCCAGAGTCCACAGATGAAAAGCAGGGCTGGTTTCAATGTGATATCTGCTCAAAGCGTACCCGACTACGTTGCGAAATGAAGTGAGTTCACAGCCCCCACATTCGTTGCAGTCTAGTCCTGACAATTCCAGAAAACACCAGAAACGTCACGAGCGACCTTACGGTTGCACATTTCCCCACTGTGCCAAGTCCTTCGGCAGCAAGGCTGACTGGAAGCGCCATGAGACATCACAACACCTCCACCTCCCAAGCTGGCTCTGCGCCTTCCACGACCACTCCAAGGGTGAATCGTGTGGACGCATCTTTTACCGCCAGGAAACATATTCCCAGCACCTGACTCAGCAACACCGGATCCCTAAAACCAGGTTAAAGACCTCTCTTGCCGCAACTCGTCTTGATCTGGCCGAACAATCTCACTTCTGGTGTGGTCTCTGCAGCCGCACTATCCCGCTACAGAGCACCGGATCCACAGCCCTTGATGAGCGGTTCAATCATATTGATATTGAGCATTTCAAGAAGGGTGAGCGAGGCCATAATTGGATCTTCCCGGAGTACAGAGAGTCGGCCGTCCTGCCTGGTGCTGGATCTAGTGTTGCTAGTGCGAAGGCTGCTGGGTCACCCTTGGAATCGGAGGTATATAATCGCAAGCGCAAGCACACTGGTGCGCATTCGCTGTCGGACAGAGTAGATTGATTCTATTTCGTTTATATTGAATCTTTGTATTATGTGATGTCTCATCGTCATTTATGTATCAGCAAGCCCCAGGTTGGGTATCGGATATCAAAATAGAATTGAATATCAAAACAGATTTTTATCCGTTTTTAGCTCGGTAGACTTTATAGAACAATATAGTACACGTCATTCATGACTCCTGCGAAGTTTTTATTTCTGCGCAGCCGCCAGCTCCCGGGCCTTTTTCTCTAGGCCGGACAGTTGTTCTGTAAATTATTAGAATGGAATTTCACAACAAAGACCAACGTATGGCGGTCAAATCACTGAGAATAGACAGCGAACCAGACGAAGAAGACCTTACCGTTCTTTTGAAGCTTAATATCATCGGTCTCCAGCTTCATCCATGACCAATAGATAATCTGGTAAGTGAGGACAGCACCCAAGAAGACCTTGCCAAAGGGGCGGACAAAAGCGCCATACGCCAAAAGCTAGACTATATCAGCATCATACTGCTCATGAGCTCTTTGCATGCCATTGAGCATGCATCGAAGATAAAACCAGAGACAAAACATACCCCTTCCCGGTAGGCACTCTTCTTCTCTGCATTAAGTTTTGAGGCGGTGGAGCTCCATGTCCGAATGCTGGATGCGTTCTGGATAGGGCCTGCCAGCCGTGTGGAGAGACGAGTAGCTTGTTGTAGCAACATGGTGATTCGTGAATAACGAAGTGAATTAAATGTATGGAATTGCGGATTGCTGTCGGGAGTTTTGCCGCGGTCTGGAGTTGGTGAATGGGGGTTAGCGTAATTGCCTGTTTTGGGATAGCGCGCTTGGCATGAAGTGCTGTCATCTGTACTTTGAACACCTGATCGCGATTATCATTCACGATGAGGGAATTTGAGTAAACTGGAGTGGCTACATATGAGATCCTGGAATATTGACTGTTTGATTCATTGATTTTTCAGATCTGGGATTCATGTTTGGTGTAGGTATAGAGGTGGCGGTGGTGCTAGAATTCGCAGACTCAACCCGATACACTAACACCACTATTGCGTAGAACAGATCTCATCGATTGCTTTCTGGTAATACAGTCTATTTTATAAATCTTACATGAATATTGTATCAAGACTGACAAATTTTGTTCTGTTAGGCTGTATGTTGTATATATAGGTTTGATTTAGCACTAGTTAGTCAGCGATCACATGATATCAGGTCTTGAATTCTGGCGGGCAGCAATGGAAGGGAGCCACAACCCAAAATAATGAAACGGTTCCGGCTTGCGCTACTCCACGTCCCTGACTGCTCTCTGACATCTCCTTCTGCCACCATGTCCTGTCCGGTTTTCCTCCCTCATGGGGGCCCGAATCCAGCCAAAAGAAGGCGAAGGCAAACTAAAAACAACCCGTACAGATGATTAAAGGCATCTAAATGACTTGATCTCTCCGATTTCATGAAGGAATCATGGCATTGGGGTGGTGCGCAATGACAGGGCGACTATTCACTTGGGGTGGTACGTGCACGGGTGACTAATCGGGCGCCACAGTTTGTGGCTGTAGTGAATGTGTTCAGCGCGAGTCCCTTCCGCCCTGGGGCATTCACTCATTATCGGTCGCGATACATAGAGAAAGAAAGGGCCACGATATCTAGACCTTTGCAGCCTTACCATTTGTTACTCTTGGTTGTTGTCTTGATCGCCTTTTCTTTGTTTTATTTCCACGCGTCGGTGCCGAGTCCGTGAGGCCCTGCCCTGGCCCCGACTTGCGCTCCACCATCGACTCGTTCCGAACCAACCCAACCTTATTGATCACCAATTGCCATCAGATATTGTTGGTATTTCCCTGCTGATTGCCCCGCTCAAGGGCTGCGCGTCACAATAGTTCTTGTCATCGCTGGACGAAGACTCGTTTGCCATTGGTAAGCTCCCACCCGACGTCCTTGTTCTCGCGATCTTGATATCGAAGACTCTTGGCTTTCGTCCGACCTGCATCGACTCGACCTACCATGCTCACTACGGTCTTGACTATGTGTTTTGACGCATTGTCGCTGACGGATTCACTTTTTAGTAATTTAAACATCTCCCCCGCCATCCCGACGCCATGCGCCGTGGTTCAAAGCGCTCCCTCGAGGAGCTTGCCAACAAGTCTGACTCGAATGATGAGGACTGGAGCGAAGCCTCCCAACATGCCGATTCGCGACGAGCCTCTCGCAAGACCAAGTCGAGCCCCAAGAAGCGATCCAGACCCGCCAAAAAACGGCGCCGCAACTCAGGCGACATCATTTCGGACGATGAGGTCCTCACTACCGACGACGAAGACTTGTCTATTCAAGAATCGGAAGATTCCGACGACCCTACCGTCCCTCGCAATGCACGTGGAACAGCACGCCGTCGAACAACACAGAACGCCCCGCTTTACGAGGAGCCGGATTCAGATGAAGCATCCCCAGCGGATGATGAAGACAATGAACTTATCACCAACTCACCACCAAAAAGAAAGAGGACTGTTGTGAAACTGAAGCTTCGACCAGAGATTCTGTCTCAGCCTGATCTCTTAGCCAACCGACGCACCACTCGCCGTAACCGGGGTGCTTCGGAAGATATTTACGCTTTGACTAATTCAGGCCGACACATGGAAACAGTTGAGCGCGGTACCATGAGCCCTGAAGTTGAAGTGAAACGACAAGGTTCTCGAGCTCCTCGTGAATCAGCCATTCCTGAGGAGTCTATGGGAACATCGGCAGAAAATCAGGCTTCATTTGAGGTTCTGGAAAGCGATGCCCCGGCTGAAGGCGACACTGTCTTTGGCTTGGATGGAGGACAAGACCAGATCGACACTGAGATGTCAATGGACGGCGTTGTTCCTGAATCTGAGAACGGAGATGCGAAGAACGAGGATAACGATGAGGATGAAGACGACGAAGATGCAGGCCCCATCACCCGTCGACGAACTAGACCGAATCTTCTCGAAATACCAGACGAAGATGAAGGTGAGGGTGAAGAAGCAGTCGTGGCTCCGGATGCTGAGGATGAGCCCCAGCTCCGCCGATCTGGTCGCAAGCAGCCATCTCGAAGTTCCCAGCGCAAAAATGGAGATGACGAGAGCGACTTTGAACCCGAAGATGAAGATTCTCCCGACGATGACGAGGCTTCAGAATCCGGAAAGTCTGCTGCGTCTCCGCAAAAGAGTCAGGGTCGCGACGAAGAGGAGGACAGCGCAGGTGGTCGTCGTCTGCGCAGTAGAGCATCTCGTTCTCGAGGCCAGTCGGAAGTTCAAGAAGAACTTGACGAGGAAATTCAAGAACTGCGGAGTAGTAACCGTCGACGACGTGGACGTGTCCCGGAAATCATCTATGAGAACAAGCCGCGACGTAACCGCAAGGATGTTGACTACCGTATCATTCGCCCTGATCTGATGATCCCCACGGACGATGTTGAAAATGAGATCACGGAGTCTCCTTCTCGTCGTGGACGCGGTGGTGGGGGTGGTGGCTGGCAGCGAACCCTCTTCCCGACTTCAGGTCCCTTTGGCGGCGGTGCTAATCCGTCTGTTCTCGGTCCCCCCGGTGCTGCCGGCGCAGCTGGAGGTGTCGATAGCGACAGTAGTGATGATGAGTTTATTCAGCAGCCTAAGGGCGCCGGTCTTCCTGGTGGTCTTGTACCCCAAACCCACAATTCTGAGGGCCAACATCTCGCGGGTACGCCAGCAAACTTTGGCAAGCTCCAAGACAAGCAAACCTTGGCGGACGCGGATCCCTTGGGAGTGGACCTGAATGTCAACTTCGACAGCGTAGGAGGTCTTCAAGGACACATCGACCAACTGAAGGAGATGGTCTCTCTTCCGCTGCTGTACCCAGAAATCTTCCAGCGCTTCCACATTGTTCCTCCTCGAGGCGTTCTATTCCATGGACCTCCAGGAACCGGAAAGACGCTCTTGGCCCGAGCTCTAGCGAACAGTGTCAGTTCCGAGGGCCGCAAGGTCAGCTTTTACATGAGAAAAGGCGCTGATACATTGAGCAAATGGGTCGGTGAGGCTGAGCGACAATTGCGACTTCTCTTTGAAGAAGCCCGTAAAAACCAACCAAGTATCATTTTCTTCGATGAGATTGATGGACTGGCTCCCGTGCGATCGAGTAAACAGGAACAGATCCATGCCTCGATTGTATCGACCCTGCTGGCGTTGATGGATGGTATGGATGGCCGAGGTCAAGTTATCGTCATTGGTGCCACCAACCGGCCTGACTCAGTTGATCCTGCCCTCCGACGTCCTGGTCGTTTTGATCGCGAGTTCTATTTCCCGCTTCCCAACATCGAAGGCCGGCGCGCCATCCTCGACATTCACACCAAAGGCTGGGACCCAGCGCTTCCAGGCGACATCAAAGATGAGCTTGCGAAGATTACCAAGGGCTATGGAGGTGCCGATTTGCGAGCTCTTTGCACGGAGGCCGCTCTCAATGCTGTGCAGCGGAGATATCCCCAGATCTACAAGTCTGACCAGAAGCTTATCATCGAGCCGAAGAACATCGACGTCCTTCCCAAGGACTTTATGATTGCAGCCAAGAAGATGGTTCCTTCGTCAGAAAGGTCTACCTCATCAGGAGCATCGGCTCTGCCGCCCAATGTTGAGCCTCTGCTCCGCCAGTCCTTGGCTAATATTCAAAAGGCCCTGTCAGAGGTTCTCCCTCAGCGGAAGAGACTGACTGCCTTGGAAGAAGCCCAGTATGAGGAACCAGCAGACAACAATGGGTTCCGCCGTGAGCAGATGATACAGGAATTCGATCGGTCGCGTGTGTTCCGTCCGCGCATGCTTCTTCGTGGTCCCCCAGGAATGGGCCAGCAGTATCTTGCCGGCGCCCTCTTGCACCACTTCGAAGGTCTGCATGTCCAGGCTTTCGATCTCCCCACCTTGCTCAGCGACTCAACTCGATCTCCCGAAGCTACTGTCATCCAGCTTTTCGCTGAAGTTAAGCGACATAGACCGAGTGTGATTTACATCCCTAACATTCAGACATGGTTCGAGACAGTCGGACCCACTGTTATTTCTACCTTCTTGGGTCTCTTGCGATCATTGCCACCATCTGATCCAGTTCTGTTACTTGGTGTTCTTGAGTCCAGTGGACAAGATGTGGATGAAGGTTTGGTCAAGCAATTATTCGGATTCTCGAAGAGGAATTCATTTGATCTTCCTTTCCCTGATACGACTGCACGTTCTGAGTACTTCGGTAAACTCATTGAATACATCAAAACTGCTCCTTCCGATTTCCCTGATCCTGAGAACCGCAAGAAACGCCAGCTGGAAGAGCTCGAGGTCGCGCCTCCACCCCCTCCCCAAAGCGAGCAACCTCTCAGCAAAGAACAGCGCAAGGCCCAGAAAAAGAAGGATCGTCAGACCCTGAACCTTCTCAAAATTCGAATTCAGCCTATCATGGATCAAATCAAGAAGTACAAGCGCTTCCGCAGTGGTGTGGTTGATGAAAATCAGATCAGATACCTATGGGATGAAGCAGACCCGAATATGGTCACCAGCGACCTACCTCCCGACCAGCAAAACATTTACCGACCATATGAGAAGGCTGTTGATAAAAATGGTGTTCCCGGTCTTCGAGAGGTAGCTACCGAGAAGTTTTACTACAACATGGAGATTGTGACCATGGAGAAGCGTCTCTCGAACGGATACTACAAGCGATCTAGTGATTTCCTGGCGGACATCAAACGAATTGCCAAGGATGCTCGCCAGCTGGGAGACCAGGACCGACTGTTGCGTGCGAATGAGCTGTTGTCCAACGTTGAAGTCGACATTACCACCATCGAGCAAGCTGATCCGGCTCTCGTGGCAGAATGTGAGGCTGTATACCTGCGAGAGACAGCCCGTGAGAAAGAAGCCGCCGAGCGTGCCCAGCTCGCACAGGAGGCAGAGGAGCAGCGTCTACGAGAGATAGAAGAGGCTGAAGACGCGGCCGCAGCAGCCGAGGATGCTGCCGCTAATGCTGCTCGCGGTAACATCGAGCCCAACCTATCCAATGGCCCGTCTCGTCTGGGCGAGTGGGTTCCAGAAACAGATGCTCGCCCAGTAACACCCACCAACCAGTCACATGTGAGCTTTGCAAATGGATACCACAACGGCGGTGGCTCAGACCTGAATGAGCCTGGCCCTAACGGCCTGAGCAACGGGTCCCACCATGGCGATGGCGACGGTGACGTCTTCATGTCCAACTCTGAGGATCACTCGGGAAGCAAAGATACCCTGAACAGCTCGTTCGGACCCTCTGCGCAGCCTAAGCCTGCATACTCCCACACAGCGCCATCTCAACAAATTCGCCGTGAGTCTGGCATGTCTAGCTTGTCTCAAAAGGGTCCCATGACGCCAATGGCTCCTGGATCTCAGCCCGGAGACTACACCAACGAAGCGTCTACGACCCAGACCACATCATACAAGAAGTCCTCCGAGCACTCCTCGAATCAACAGGACAACACCCAAACCCAAAGTCCCAACGTTTCTCGGCATGAATATCCCGATCTCACCCAGTACCCCGATCGTGTTTCGCAAGATGACCACCTGCCTGATACCCAGCAAGGTGGCAGCAGCCAACTCTCCCCTCGCCCCCGGGATTCGCTGGCTTCCAACCAAACGGAGATTGACCACAGCCTACTGAATGGAAGTCAATCACAATCCAAGCCTCAGCCTCCGCTGTTTGACGATGCTTCTAAGCCTACCAACCACGCCTCTCTCAACTTGCAGTCACTGCTCATCGATGAGCCAGTCCCCGAGCTAGTACTTGACCTTGAACACGTTGGGCGCCTTCACGCCCAGTTGACCAAGCGAACCAAGGGACTCTCTGTTGAGCAGCTGGAGCAGATCAACACATTTCTTATGGACTATGTATGGCACATGCGCGGTGAGTGGAACCGCACCAAGGTGTGCAAAGGCACCGAGGACACCTTTGAAGAGGTCCTAGAAGATCTGCTGGCCATGCAGGACATCGGGCCGATCAGCCAGAGCAGCGGGGCATTGAATTCAAGCTTCTAAGCTGATGTTGATGCCATGGCTATATCTTTTCTTTTATTTCTACTTTCCTGTCCATACGTTAATCTTTTTTATCTTTATGTTTTCTGAGGTCATCTGTCTTGCAGACAGCCCTGTTCATTTCTTTCTGTTTTCCCGTGTTTGGTGGGCAGGTGTTCATTAGCCAAGTGTTTCTTTGTTTCGAATTCGAAGGATAGGATTTCCAGCAGTATGGGGGTTATCATGTTATGAGAATGTATCAAGTACATCTAGCGAAATGGAAATGGAAATGTCATTCAATCCTGCATGACCCTGTAGATCCTTCGTCATAGTAGCCATCTGGGCGGTATCGAATGAACACGACTTTTCCTGGAAAAGAAGCATCATAATTTATTTTAACTCGATCAATGTGCCCAGTAATTCTTATACTCATCACAATTGCTAAAAATTGGGTATTTCTCATGCGTAATGATGTTGCTGGCCCTACATACGGACCATGTGATCTCGACCCACTAAACACCTGGCCTTTGCCTTTGCATGTCTTTGATACCTCCAACCTTCCTCACCCTTGCACCTTCCTTTGACAACTTGGAACTCGCTGTTAAACTATGATTGCAGCTTAATCAACATTCTTTTACAATCTAGACCTACCTTCACCCCTTTCTATTTCCATCGCCACCGATCGCGCATATACGCCGCACCACATTTCCGCAATCATGGTGGACTGGCTCAGTCTCGCCGTTCCCCTCGCCTACCTAGGCATCCTGATAGGCTCTCTAGCTACATTCTCATCTCTCTACCGCAAGCGCAAGTACCGTACGTATCATCGCCAATTCCTAGCAGAGCGTTTTAAGCTCCGCCATTACTCCCACCTGGCTCCGCCCTGCGCGCCGCACATAATACCTTATGTTTTTCTAATTCAATACCTTGCAATATAGAAAAGGCAGCTACTCTTGAACCATGGTTCCCTGCACACCTCCAACGCGATATCTACTTCTCGCTCCTCCACCTTGACCCCTCCGCACAAAAAGAAAAGACCCCCGCTGTCCCCGAGTCTGTCGTTAAGGCTGCTCTCCTCCGTCGCGCGAAGGAGGATATTCGTCGTGTCCTCGCCCTCCGTAGCCAGAAGCAGGCTCTGTCTGTGCTGCTCCAACGCGGAAGTGTCGGTGATGACCTTTGGCAGCGCTTCTTGCGCGCCGAGAAGGAGATGGAGGAGGAGGTAAAGGATGTTGTTGCTGAAGTCAGTATCTCTGCGCCCAGATTTGGCTCCACGTTTTGTGGGAATTCCATGGAACTTTCGCTTACTTTGTGGTTTTAGGCAAATGCTTACGTGCCGAATTGGGGCCAAACTATCTTCCAGTCTGCCAACGAGATGATGAATAATGACATTTACCGTCAGCGTGTGAGTGAGCAGCAGGAGAAGCTTGCTGAGGAGAAGGAGTGGTGGAGTAAGAAGAAGGCTACTACTCAGGAGCAATTTATGAAGGAGTTGAACGAGGGCTCGGAGGCGGCTTCGCCCTCTGTGCAATCGCCTGCCCCTAAGTCTCCGGAGCCTGCTTCGGAGCCAATTTCGGAGTCTGTTCCTGCTGCTCCTGCGGCTGCTGTGCAGCCAAGTGATGATGAAGCGGTGCTGGTTGAGGCAGAGCCGTCGATTAGTGGCACTCCGTCTGGTGGAAAAAAGAAGAAGGGGAAGGGTAAGAAATAGATTATGGGCTTGTAAAATTAGGGTTTTTTTTTTCTGGATTGCTACTATTTAAACCATTGAGCATTATTTCATGAACATCTTGGACTTTTGAGCGTAGAGGGCTGTTGACTAGGTAAATTCTTGAACGCGCAATATAGATTCAGCAAAAGGCACGAAGTCTTGCCGGTGGAGAACAACATCACTTCCCGCTGACCCTGTGGGCTGTCGTATAAACAAAGGGTATATTGATATGGTGAGTGATGCCCTGTAAATGCCACTTGACCATCAATCCTTGCAATGGTCACTTGCTGGATTCATTCGATATGTATACCAACCTTGGTGCCCAATTTCCTGCATCAAGTGTATGGTGACGAGCACGCCGATTCACTTAAACCGTCATAGTTAAAGAGTGCCTATATACCTCACTTTTCGTGTGGGACAGCGAGAACAAGTGAACTTTAGATCTTAGAAGACAATCAATGTGATGAGTCAGATAATGGTCATGATCATTAAATTCAGTGCTCACTGATCTATCAAAGCATAAAAGTGGCGTCAACCCAAATAGCATTCATCGGGGAAAACCAGTATGTAGCTCGGTAGCGAGGTGAGCAGGAAACGGAGAGTAGACAGGGTCCGAAGAGGAGAATAGTATATATTCCCAATCAAGATCTAGAAGAATCAATATAGTATACACGGCTTAATTACTATAGCCGGACAATAAAAGTACATATGCGCTGATCCATGCGATGGAATCCCAGCAGGTTACAGCAATTGGCTGTCTTCCACCCCCAAAGGCGAACCAAGATCGATATCCAGCAGTTCCATCTCCCCTGCTGCTTGTGCTAATTTCCTCTCAATCTGCACAGGGTCCAAACGGTTCGTCCGACTCAACACAATACGCAGAAGCTGGGCCATGATCTCGAGCTGATACTGCTGTGTCTCGTGCGGATCAAGCTGCTCAACGCTCAAGCCCTGAGCCTGGAGAGCCATGGACTTGCGTTCGCCAAGCAATTTTAATAGCCGGTTGACCTGTCCAATGTTCTCTTTGCTTCGTGGAGTAGATGATAACCGACGAAGGCGATGCTTCGGTGTGTCGGCGGGTACACCGGCTAGACGTGCTACCTGAAGAACAATCAAACGGGCAGTGACGTCGTCCGGTGCAAACCCGAATGTTGTTCGCATCGAATGGATGGCGACAAGCGTGCCTGGGATGTCCTTAGATAGACAGAAACAACGCACAATCTGATCATAAAGGTCCTTGGAGAACTCGGTGTTTGTAATTTTGCGGGCTCGTGGGGTGAGCTGCGAATACCACCGCATCATACTGGCGAATAATTGACGAGCTGATGGGAACCCTGCATCGTACGAGGTGCGACCGCGATCGAATTGCAGTTTTGCGCAGTCCCAGAGACAGGCGTAAGTCTCCAGGTCGGGCCGAACAGAGGCGGACATCTTTTGGAATTTCGTCCAGAGAGAGCGGATGTCTTGTTTGCGAAGTTCGGCGTAAAGGAGGTGGTTCATGAAGTATGAGTTTGGTTGGATGTGGGCGTCACCAAGGCACTTGACTAGATACTTGACCATATCGTCATCACCCCGGCGTGTGTAGTGGAGGAGAAGGATAGAGAATGTCTCGATGCTAGCAGGTGGGACCTCACGCTTCATAAAGTGAGGAATTCGGCTAGATTCCACATCTTGATGCTTGACTTCAAGCCGCGGTGTCGTTTCAACTGGTTGAAATCGCTTCCATACGGCATCGATGCGATGTTGGATCATCGACCATGCTAGCCGTTCTGCTTTGTCTCGCGCTTGGGGATTGCCCTCATGGAGCCACCCTGCGACTAAGCCATTGAGATGCTTAGTGTCCGGTCGTACATTTCGCTCATACATCAGTTCAATCACCAGTGCAGCTGAGTCAACCTGTCCCATTCCGATGAGCTTCTTCATCCAGCTGGCGTAGAAGAAGCGATTCTGAAATTGACGAGGCAGCATGGTAAGTGCCGACAGAGAAACCTTGTTCACGGCCTGCTCATTGATGCTCGATGCATGGAGATTGCCAGCGAGACCAAGGGCTGCTTGATACACGGCCGTAGAATCCTTGGCAGGGTCTTGTCCGGTCACCATCATATCCTTGAAAATAGCAACGGCAGTATCCAATCGACCGGCCGTAAGGAGTCCGATACTGATCTGGTCATAGTCGTCCATGGTCATGTCGGGACCCAAGAACGTTTTTAGCTGAAGATATAATGCCCATGCCCTGACCTCCGCTTCCTTCCCAGGGACGAGGCCCCATGCTGTGATCACCGGAATGAGAACTCTCGGCTGTCGAGATTGGTCGTTAGAGAGGAACGCCAAAGCAATATCTTGGGCTCGTTGGGGGTCTTTGGCAGCCGCAAAGAGTCGGACACCGAGCATCCAGTATTCCTCAAGATCGTCCTTATCCTGTGAAAGCTCTGATTGATATGCCTCCCACTGTTCCAATGCCTGGCTGGTCGCGCCACCAGTATGCAGGGCTTGGATATATGACAGAATCTGTGGCTTGGCGAGTGATTTCCCGGCGGACGTAGAATCTTGGACCAGGGTTTGCAGATGCGTTGAGCGGACAGTGTTGGATAATTTGGAAGTGGTTTGTGATTCCCAGACTGCCTGCATGGCTTTTGACGGCAGTGCATCCAAAAAACCTGGGATGGCTTGTTTGCATCGGCGATACGCTTTCCATAGCTCTTGACAAGCGCGCTCATCGGACGTGTTCACCATATACGAACGAAGCGCTTTTCGGAAACGTTCAGCGTAGGGATGAGAGTCAGAGCCCGCTAATTTCCTGGCCTCCGAGGCCTTTCGCGCAGCTACCTTGCGTTGTTCTCGGGCGCTGTCCTGCCAGTTCTCTTGCTCGGTTGCCATGCCCTCAAATTCCTCCTTCAGCATCTCATCCAGCTCCTCGTCAAATACATCATCCAAGGACGGCAGCGGCTCTGTTGGGCCCTTTTCCTCCTCATATTTTCGAAGGGCCTCGAGCGCGATCTTTCGGTCTTCTTCTGGTAAGCTCTGGATGAACGGGCTGTCGGGGTGGAATGGTCCTTTTTCTAGAATTTTAAGCTCTTCCTGGACCTTCGTGAGTTCATTCTGTATGTCCTCTCGCTCCTCGAGTTCTTCAGCCTCGGGGTCGACCGGCCGTCGCTTCTGGCCGGGGGCGTCTTGTTCAAAGAAGTTGACCTTATCGTTTGGCCCGCCGAAGTCGAGCCGACGCGCGGTTACAGCGCTGAAGGCGCGCAGGGAAACCGACGGATTGCGCGCCGCATACCATCGAGCTCCTCGAATAGCCTGGCGGAGCATATGGGGAGTGATTCGGTCATTTGGGGGAGTTGAAAAAGGTGGGAGACACAAGAGATTCTGCAAATCGGAACACCATTAATCCTGCCTTTTCCGGTTTAGCGCGCCCCGGAAGTCATTATCTCTCCTTCTCCGACGCGACACTCAATTGCGACCAGCAATGGACCCCGATGGATTAGAGGATGCGCTGGACCTGTCTAAGGACAGGTCTCAGAACCAGGTATGCTTTTGGTCTTTCTATTCCGAGGTTGAAGCTCAAGAGTGAACCGCTAATGTGAAAATCAAGGGCGTGTACATTTACCAACCCGCAAAAGCTGGGAAAGCTTCCGGCGAACGACCCTCGAAACGCCGCAAGGTCTCGATGAACAAGGATCCGATTGAGAAGCTTGATGGCCCGGGCTTTGTGCCCTTGTTGAACGGAGACGAAAGCGCCGAATGTGTGCAATTGCGATACGACACCTACAAACAACTATGGTCCGAGCAGGAACACAAGATTCAGGTAGGGCATGAATTAATACAGGCCGGGAGATTCCTTGCTGATGCGGAACCTATGAAAGTCAATTCTTGAAGATGTTGATGCTGGTGTCTTGACGGACGTGCTATCTTTCGTGAGAGAGACATCGCCGCAGACGTAAGACGACCTTCCCCGCGGATATATACTTATTGATTCTAAACTAGCAGATAGGTCCAACGGATGTATTCCGACAGCTCTCGTCACTGTGGGATCCAATGTCTCTTCGCTCAGCAGATTGCTCTCTCGCCTTAATGGCCAACTCAAATCGACCAATGAAGGAGGTGTGATAGTTCTCGAGTCCGGTGATGCGCCCAACCTGAAAACAACCTTGAAAAACATCATCCGAACGGCAGTAACCAACACTGAGGGTAATGATGGATACCAGCGGTTCCTCACAGATCGTTCTGTACGTTTCTACCGCTGCATGGGCCACTAATTCTTACTAACAGAGGTCAGGGACCCCGAGTGCTCGGTTACGATTTGGATCTACTCCACGACTACGTCCAAAGAAGAGGCACTAAGAAGCTAGTCCTTGCTTTGCGGGACAGTGAAGCCTTTGATCCTGGACTATTGACCGATCTTTTTTCACTATTCACGTAGGAGACCGGCAAGGCAAGCTACCGCTAAGATCGTTACTAACACATGCTTAGATCCTGGCTTGATCGGATACCGTTCACAGTATTGCTGGGCATTTCCACGTCGGTAGAGCTCTTTGAAGGTCGACTACCCAGATCATGTGTCTCGTTGCTCCAGGGAAAGCATTTTGAAGTACAAGAGGCGGGCAACTGCGTGGATCGTATCTACGAGGCCCTTCAGACAAGCTCAGATGGAAGGATTTGGGTTGGTCGCAATATAACAAGCACATTGTTTGAAAAAGCCACCGACTATTTCCAAACACCTGAGGCCTTCAGTCGTATGGTCAAGGTAATGGATCCTCTCTAGTGTGACAAACACTTGTCTAACTTTATCACAGTACGCCTGTATGTCACATTTCTTTGCCAATCCTCTGGCGGTGCTTCTGGGAAACCCAGATAAATCTCTCCTATCTCAAGGTCAGTTCTGTGAAGCCATCAGAAATCTGCCGTCTTTCAGAATGTACGTATATGTGCCCTTGATACATACTGAGCCCTTGACTAACTAGTTTTCAGGTTCTGTGAAGATCTAGTAGAAACAGGTTCTACTAATGAAGCGCGGAGTATGATAGAAGACGATGAGTATCTACTACGCGCGGCTTCAGATCACGTCGACGCAGGCCAGCAAGCAATGCGTCACATCTTCCGTGCAGTGCTTCTCATCCACACATGTCTTCAGCACACCCATGCCACCAAAAAGACAACCATTTCAGATCTCTCTGTTCGCGCCCTTTCTGGGGAGCTCATTGACTCACCGCTCGTGGAGGACATGTTGGCCACGGTAAGGACTCTCGACTCCGAGAAGCTGGGCGAAGTCCTGGACACCCTTCCCAAGAAACTTTCCGACGATTCACCTCTCACTGGAATTCAAGCCGATTTGAAAGCCTTACTGGAGGCGAATCCTGACTCCATACCACTGCGCAGCGAATACAACATCAACAGCTCTGTAATGAAAACGACTGTTGTCCAGCAACGGGTTCTGCTCACCAAGGGCACGGCCAACCTACCTGAGCAAGATCTTCAGTACACCGAGATCATCGATCGCCTGGTGGGTGCGTTGCATGAGTATTTTACTGAGACATTGGTTCGGCCACAGGAGCTCTTCATGAACGAAGCATTTGTCTTTGACCTGCGTAATCCTTTGAAAGAAACATTCACGCCTCGGCCACGTTTTGCTATTGAACGGGCCCTGGCTAGTCCATTTGATTACTTGATCTCCACTACTGCTGCTACTGCCGGGGCTAGAATCTCTGCAAAACAGCCAGCTGCTGCCATCTTATATCAGCTTTATCTCGAGTCTGGCGCTTTGGTCAATGTCCATGATCTATGGCAGGCTTTCTACGGAGTCTATGAAAGTGATCAAGGCAAGAAGGTTGATGACCGAGTGGTCATGTCGTTGTTCTATAGCGCGTTGTCTGATATGAAGATGTTTGGCATGGTCAAGACTAGCCGAAAGAAGACCGATCACTTGGCTAAGTCGGCATGGATGGGGTTGTAATTTGCGAGCATTTGATTTTACGTTGATATCAATGAATCAGAATCCAGCTCAACTGATGGAATCCAGCATGATTCCGGTTATCTTACTTAGGGTTTACTACTCGAGACTACTACTTCCTTTTCCCTTTCATGTCCCAGTCATGTCCCCGTCGTATTTGGCGCAATTTTGAGAATATTTCAAAAAGGCATAGTAGGATGCACCGACTAAGCTGCATACGATCTTGGATAGTAATCAATCCCCCTCCCCCTGGCTCCTGTCCCGTTGGCACAAGATGGTGCATTCTGTGATTATATCAGTCTGATTGTGCGTGACAACACATCCTTTCTCCCTTCGATATACTGGTCAATCAGACGGAGTATGCCTTGTACATTCTCCCTTTGTACTTATAATGGAACTTGCATTTATCGTATTCATTCACAATGTTTTGCCAATCCTGGCGGGGTATCATACATGTTATCGAGTTACCACAAGCTTTGCCTTCCCAGACGCTTTCAATGGTAGGACTGAATCCCAATCAACGATCTTGAAGCGGTCGCTGGATAATATCTTCTCTTCCAAGTGGCCGTCCTCCTTCACTTAAAACCATAGCTTCTCTTCGCCTTCGACGAAGAGCTTGTTCCTCCGCATTGCCGTCTTGGGGCCTACGCGAGGAAGATCCTCGATAAGAGCCGGCTGTATCTTCTCCATCAACCATCCATACATCACTGTCCCCGTCGTCGTCCTCATCATCGTCATCTTGTTCGTTCTCTTCCTCGAGCATGCTGCCCATCAACCCATGCTTGCGTAATTGCTTGATGCCCTCCGCGTGTGAGGTCAAGTTGCTGAATATGGAACTCATGACGGTGTCATCAGACCACCACGTTTTCAAAAGAATCACCACATCCTGTCGCCGTGATGGCTCGTCCAATGCACACGGGAATGGGTATTTGCTAAGCCACCGGGTCACGATTCCGGCCTCTAATGCTGCCGGGATGTTTTCTGGAAGCAGGATATTAAGGATTTGCAATGCCTTTTTCTCTCCAAGTGGCCGAGTCCTGGCAAGGACGGGTGATGTTGTCGGGTACGTTACTTCGGTATGCTCATCTAGGAAGTTGCAGAGACAGTTGATGATGGCTGTATATGCAGGAAGATCGCGAAGCCGAGTGCAGACCGAGGTTCGAGATACTGCAAATGATAAGCTTTGCATCCGTAAATAATGGTTTCATAGTATGCATACAGGCTCGGTTCGAGACAAGGAAGTTAAGCGCAGTTAGTGCTCGACCTTGTCGGACTTTGTTCTTGCTTGATAAATCATCGAGTAGAATATCACGAGTCTCGCCTTTCGTTGATCGTTCGGCAATGATGCGGAGGGCTCTATTAGTGTGTTAATAGTTGATGCGGCATCGGATGTGGGGCCTTCATACGCAGCTCGTAGGTCATGGCTTGTACTCGAGGAGAGCTTCAAGAGGGTATCTAGCTTGAGAGCTTAAGCATTGTTAGTAGTGTCTTAATCCAGAAAGGCCGAGACGTGCTCACCTTCCTCAGTCCCCTCACTGATGATCTTCTCTTCTCGGTCAACATGTTTAACTTCCGTCAGATCGACCACTTGACGGAGATCTGTAGCGATTCCGCGTACAGCGAAGAAAAGAGATATGCCTGAGAATGTTAGTTCTTGGTCCCGTCATCGTATCACCATTACCAACCTAGGCATAGCCATAGTACACCATCCCCAGAGAAAGGCGCCATCGTGGGTGGATGTACTCCGTATGGTTAGCTCCATTGCGGAGAGATGCGCGGCAGAATATCGGCGGCCGAGGGCGGTGTCTTTTTTTTCTTCAACCGCTGCTTTACAGCAACAGAAGAAAACTATACATCCCCACGCATTCGCACACCACAATGCCGCCCTCTCAGCTCAAGCAGCTGAAAGCGTCGCTTCGGGACAGCGGAGTCGTTGGTCCCCAGCAGTCCAAGAAGCAAAAGCGCCAGAACGCAAAAACCGGTGCTGCGGCGCAAAACCGGAATCAGCGCAATGCCGCTTTACAGGCTATTCGAGATCGATTCAACCCCTTTGAGATCAAGGTCCCCGCTGCTAGAAGCAAGTTTGAAGCGACCACTCGAGATGGAAACTCAACTAATGCTACGCGCAATAACCGCCCGGGTGTCACCAAGTCACTTGGTGAGGAAAGGGTATGTGAATGTCGAATACTTTTCACGATAATAGGCTTACAATTCCTTGGTTTTAGCGCCGAGCTACACTTTTGCAAGAAATGAACAGCCGGAACAGAGTCGGCGGACTTGTTGATCGCCGCTTCGGTGAGAACGATCCGACCATGACCCCCGAAGAACGTGCTGCCGAACGATTTGCGAGAGAAAGTCAAAAGAAGATGCGCAAGGAATCGATGTTCAATCTTGAGGATGAGGAGGAAGAATTCACGCTTACTCACATGGGTCAAAACTTGTCATTTGATGAGGCCAATCGTGACGATTTTGAGATGGGCGAGATGGGCAATGACATGAAGGGCGACGAATCCGACGACGAGGAAACACGAAAGCGCAAACGTTTTATCGATGAGGACGCAGATGAGGGAGATTATGTTTACGACCCGGATGCTGAAGATCAGCCCGATCGGAAGAAGTCCAAAGCCGAGGTTATGAAGGAGGTCATTGCCAAGTCTAAGTTCTACAAGCAGGAACGTCAAAAGGCCAAGGATGATGATGATGATTTACGGGATGAACTGGACCAGGAGCTTCCGGATCTCTTTGAGGCCTTGCGAGGCATGAAGGTCCCGGCCAAGCCAGAACCTGTCCAGCAAGACCTGGATACCATGAACCCAGAGCGTGCGGCTATGCTTCAAGGACCGGAGAAGACAGACACCGAGAAGCAGTACGACCAACGGATTAAGCAGTTGACCTTCGATGCGCGATCTGCACCTACGGACCGCACTAAGACAGAGGAAGAGAAGGTTGAGGAGGAAGCTGAAAGGCTAAAGAAGTTGGAGGAAAACCGACTTAAGCGAATGCGTGGCGAGCAAGTGAGCGATGATGAAGATAACGAGGACGACAATGATTCATTCATGCAGGATGATGACGAGTCAGAGATTGATGATGCGACAGCCTTTGGCCTTCCAACATATGAGCCACGGAAAGACCTGGCTGTGGAAGACGAGGATGATTTCGTTATTGACGATGATCTGGTCGAGACACGGTCCAACGCCAGCCTCGACATGGACGGAAGTGATATGGAGGAAGAGGATCTCTCAGATGACGACGAATCGGAACAGTCAGAGCAGGAAGACGAGCTTATCAATGGAATGTCTCTACCGGCTGCCAGTGCAGCATCAACAGCTGTCGCAGCCAACCAAACTTCGGATGGCAAGTTGGCCTTCACCTATCCTTGTCCAGATGACCATGAGGCTTTCCTTGATTTGATCAAGGGTGTGCCTAGCCAGGATGTCGCAATTGTGGTTCAGCGCATTCGTGCCTTGCATCACCCCCGTCTTCACCCCGACAACAAGGCCAAGCTGGGTCGTTTTGCTGAGATTCTTATTGAGCATGTGTCGTATATGGCGAATGAGGACGAAGAGCTGTCCTTTGATCTGATGGAAAACATTCTGCGTCATGTTCACTCATTGGCCAAGACACACCCCATGAACGTAGTAATGGCCTTCCGTGCTCGCCTTCGTGAGATCTCCAACGACCGTCCGTTGAACTTGCTTCCTGGCGATCTTGCCATCCTGACCGGTATCTCGACTGTTTTCCCTACATCGGATCACTTCCATGCCGTCTCGACACCCGCTCATCTTTGCATTGCTCGGTTCTTGGGACAATGCTCAGCCAACACTCTGTCTGATTTTGCCACCGGTGCCTTTGCCACGAGTCTTTTCCTCCAGTACCAGGCCGTCGCTAAGAGATATATGCCTGAGTTTATCAACTACGTCCTCAATGCTCTTTGCAACCTTGCTCCCACTGAGCCCACAGCTAAGCTTGGCTATTTCCCATCCCGGAAATGCCAGGAATCCGTTCGGCTCTCACCAAGCAAGAAGGTTACCCCACGCAAACTGCAATTCCGCGATATCACCGCTTCTCCTTCGGACTCCCAGGCGGAGGAAGAATTGAAGATCTCTCTCGTGACTACTTTCGTCTCCCTCCTCGATACCGCTTCGGATCTGTGGGCTGAGAAGTCCGCCTTCACTGAAATCTTCACCCCTGTCCAGGCCATTCTAAATGACCTCAAGCAATCATGTAAGAGCAAGACCCTCTCCGCAGCTCGAGACCCGATCCAATCCACACTGGACAAGATCGCCTCCCACCTGGATAACGCTCGTCTCGCCCGCCGCCCTCTCCTCCTTCATGACCACCGTCCCCTGGCTATCAAATCTGCCATTCCCAAGTTCGAGGAGAACTTCAACCCAGACAAGCACTACGATCCAGACCGCGAACGTGCCGAGGCCAACCGCCTCAGGGCCGATATCAAGCGCGAGAAGAAGGGTGCCATGCGCGAACTCCGCAAGGACGCCAGCTTCGTTGCTCGCGAGAAGCTGCGCGAGAAGAAAGAGCGCGATTCCGAATACGAGAAGAAGTACAAGCGTCTTGTTGCCGAGATTCAGAACGAGGAGGGTCGTGCTGCCAACGACTACGAACGCGAGAAGCGGGGACGTCAAGGCAAGCGTTAATAGATTTACTTGTCTTATATTTCGATCATTTCGATACCATTTGGCATCTGTTCTTGTTATGTTTTGTTTTTTCCTTGCATATAGTCTCTACTTCTTTGCCCTTTTTTTTCTGGGCTGGTGCATGGGTGGGAAATCAAAAGTTGATGTCCATTATCATATGTTTATCGAATTAATTGCCATGCGTAATCGTAGATTATGAAGTGAGAAATTCATACATGACTATGCGTCAATATATCAACGGCCCCTAAATCTGAGTATGCACGGGCTATGATATGTACATTGTTAAACGAGACACTACTGCCTCAACTCAACCCCGATGCTGATTAGATAATTACAACGCTCCTGCTGCTCGTCTGACACCTTCTCCATCCGCGTATGATTTGTTCGCAAAAAGATACGGTTATAAGCATCATCTCCGTCTCCCCAGGTCCGCCATCTAGGACTAGAAGCGACCCGGTGGGTATTCGGATTCAAAGATCGAATGAAACTTGTCCAGTAGCCCTGAACCACAGGAACGATGGCCGCATTGCTGGTATAATACGAATCAGGAGGATTCGTGCTAACATAGTCCGGGCCCCAGATGGCATTCACTTCAACAGTGTGGGTTGTCCCGAAACCCTTAGTGTCATCATCGGGGTCCAGGACGGCGTAGTGGTAGTTCCAACTTGGAACACCTGCTGCAGCGTAGATGGAGGACATGTGAATACCCGGGCAAATGTATCGTAGTTCGCCATATGCGTTGCTGGCAGGTCGCCAGTAGAGCCCGGCGTTGGGGAACTCCTTAGTCTGGTTTTTGTTGAGATATATCTTATGAATTTTGGTCATTTGATCTTTTGACATGCTAGGAAATTGGTCTTTGATGAATTCTTCTGCTTGGCCGACACTTGACGTGCCCACAGGAACGAAGATCGTGCCTTCGTTTGTATCATCGCCAAATATCACTGGGACTTTGATAAATTTCCCTTGTTGGAAGAGTGTGTATGTGTGGTCTTGGACCAGATCACCATCGATTGTCGGGCTGTATAGGTATAAAGGGTTTCCCGGGGCTCCTGGTAAAGGTGTGACAATGTTCTCGCTCTGCAGGTCGCTGACATCAAGGCCACGGAGACATTCCAGGGTATTTTCAGTCTCGTTACACCCCGTACGCGTAACCAGTCTGTTGTATGAGAATTGGCTTTCGGTAACATTGAGTACTGTTCCGAAACTTTGTGATTCAGCAGCTGCTCCGATGAATAGTCCCTCGTCTCGTCCTCCGTAGGCAGAGAGTAGTAATGTGACTGATGCTCCGCCGGCACTGTCACCACCGATTACAATGTGGTCCGGATTTCCCCCAAACTTAAAAAGCAAAAACGGTCAGCTTTATTGATTCAGGGTTTGATCATGGGCTCTTACCTTGCTGATGTGCTTCTTCACCCATTTGAGCGCCTTGAGTTGATCCTTCAATCCATTGTTCAGACTCGCACCCTGCTCCATTTCTTCGGAGGCAAGAAATCCATATGGTCCGACGCGGTAGTTGAAGGTGACCACAACAATGTTGTTTCCTGATGCTTGAACCAAGCCAGAGCCATTGTAGTTGGGATTTGACAGGGCAGCAAAGCCACCTCCCTGAATGAAAAAGTAGACGGGCAGAGAGGCATTTGAAAGATAGGCCTCCGTAGGGGCATAGACATCTATAAAAAGACAATCTTCGGCATGGTTAGATGGTACCGCTGCATTTCGCTTCCCAGCTACTGGAATACATAATGCGCCATGCTGCGAGTACTATGTCAGTGAAAGGTATAAGAGACATTTTTTTTGTGTTTTCCGAACATACCTGGGTAGCCTGTTGTAGCCCCGTGACCACGGGAGGGTCTTGAGGTGCCTCGAATCGCAAGTCTCCCACCGGCGCCGCAGCATAGCGCATCCCAACCCACTGAGAGATTCCCGAGGTTGAGCGTCCATGATAGCTAGCATAGTTCAAATGCGCCACTGGAGAACGGCCCAACGCCAGTGAAAATAATGATAACCAGAGTAGAGCCAACATAGTGAAGTGGCTCAGGTGCACGAAAGGAGGGGAAGTGCGACCTGCTACATAAGAAATAAACAAAGCCGGACTTCAGAAAAAAGAAGCGGACTCGAGTCAAGGGACTTCCAAAGGGGGAAAAAACAAAGGGAGATCGGGCTCATTTGAGCAAGTCATGGGTCCCTGGATACCAAGAAAATAAAGGCGAGTCTCCCTTGCATATTCAGGTACCGTGCCTGTGTACGCCTACCGGAAAGTTTATCTGCGCCATTAACCTTGGACCTTAAACTCCTTTTGAGCATCGATTATAGACGCCAAAACCTAGTTGGATATTAGATTAGCGGTATTAGGCAAGGCGCATCGCATTTTAAAAGTAGTTTTATCTAGTACATACTCGGTTACCTATTCGCCTACACTCCGCCGTAGACTACTACCGTGGCATGTAAAAATCAAGGAGTGACGATGAGTACCTTTCATTCTAGGAACTATATGTTAGTGTGTAATCCAGCTCGAATGGAGCATTATCTTGTATTTTAAACTTAATTAGGCAGGCCATGTGCTCTTGAATGTAGGCGCAGTAGCATTTTGTGTAAACTACAGTTACTTCATGACACTATATGTACCTAGTGAGGTGTCCAACTATTATTCAACGTATTTAATTATATATGCCCTTTTCTATATGTCAATCAATCAATGGTTTAGCTTTGAAATGGAAGCACGCAATACGGCAGGTTTCTCCAATGGATTTCTCGCGTCCATATACCCCCTACTCTCCCTTGATCACTTGCTTCTAGGCCTTGAGCTCATCATTCTGCGGGCCATGCAGTTCCCAGCCCTAAATGGGGACCTAATGACTGGTGATATTCTCGACAAGTGTTGGCACAATGATTTTTGGTACTATCGCAGAAGTAGCCGAAGAGACAGCTTCGAATTAGAATTTAACATAAAAGTCAAAATAGCCAAGGATGGAGAGGAATCCAATATTGTCGATCTAAATGTTGCCTCAACAAAAACATACTGTCAGAAATGGGAGAAGCGTGGGCTTTATGACAGCCTTTGCCCACATCCCCAGATAGTTCTTGCTGTTCCAATATTCTCGATCATTGTTGATAACCGTTGATAACTGTCTCTGACTGCTTAAATTTCCCTTTTCATCACTACTGTAGCTCACTATATCATTTCTACAAAACGGATGCTTAGTGGCTGGCGCAAGCTCCACTACGGCTTTTCCCCGCAACTTAATCTGCAGAAAATCTGTCCGCTCACAACACCTTTCTTTCCGCTCATTTCCACCATGGCACCCAGCGAAGATGAAGAGGACGACTACATGTCCATGGTGATTGAGGAGCCTACACAAAAGGAGTCCTTTACCCAACGGAAACGCAGGGAACAACGCGAGGTACCAAGCCACATTCGCATTCCTGCATTGCGCCCTTGGCAGTCGCGGATCACTAATCTTTCCCGTGAATCTAGGCCGAAGCTCGAGGCCGAGTCCCCTCCAAAGCTGAACGAGTAGCCCAGGAAGCTGCGCGTCGTGATGAAGCTCTAGCGAAGAGCACATTGGACCCCTCAAACAAGGGCTTCAAGATGATGGCGAAGCTAGGCTTCAAGCCGGGAGACTCCCTGGGAAAGCGAGACGCGGATACACCATCGGACGGAAAAATTGACCCGGCACAGGCGCGCGCGGAGCCGCTGAATCTCACTTTGAAGGATGGTCGGGGTGGTATTGGGTTGGATAGTGAGAAGAAAAGGAAGCTTCGCGAGGAGGCTGAGGAAGCGACTAAGAAGATTAAGCGGGAAGAAGGGGATTATCGTGATCGCGTCCGGGAAGAGCGCGAATTACGACGGACTGAGGCGCAGGTTCGTGCTGCGCAGAAGGTTGCTGAACGATTGGATCTGGATGCGGAGACGGAGACTACCGATACCAAGGACGGAGAGTCACATACGGACCAGGGCGCGGATGAGGATGAGGATCATAAGCCCAGGCCGAAACGGGTGAAACCGACTTCACAGGTCAATGTCCTCTACCGTGGACTCGTCCGGGAGTACGAGGAGCGCGAGCGCGAGAAACAGGCGCGGCATGCCCTGGAGACTTCGCTTCCATCGTCCTTCTTTCGAAATCCTAAATTACCGGGCTACGATGACGAGGACTTGGAGCGCGAGGACAAACAGGCGATTGGGAACCAGCTGGGGCCATATACCGCTGCGTTAGAACAGGAGGTCGAAGAAGAGGATCCAGAATTGGATGCCTTCAATGCTCTAGAGCCTTCTGAACGCCTCGAGAAGCTGGTGCGACATTTACGCGACACATATCGATATTGTTTCTGGTGCAAATATCGGTACGAAACTGATGTGGAGCTCGAAGGTTGCCCTGGGCTTACGGAGGAGGATCACGATTGAACGATGAGTTATGGATCTCTCTTTTTTATACTTTTCTTTTTGATTTCTCTTTAGCGAAAAGCTCAGATATCTCATGTGCATTGATGTGCTCAAAACAGAACTCATTATAAATATAGATTCAACCGTCCCGGGTAATCCTAGTATACACAGCCCTTGGTATCATAACAAATAACAAAAAAAAGAACCCAGATATAACAGACCGCTGCTCCATATACTTCGGGTCTATCCTCCCCATCGGCTCAAACTCCGGCGCACTGCGCCGATCATGCAGAATTAAAACAAAAAGCAAATACAGGTCGAGCAAATAAGCGACATCAAAGCTTCTGCATCAACTCGTCCAACGAACGATTCTTGCACTTCAGCAATGCCTGGTAACACCCTTCACACACGCGCAAGCAGCAGAACACACAACGATGACGGATCTCTCGGTTGAACTTGTGGCATGTCTGGCAGGGAAGTGGGCACCACACGTTCTGCGCCACAGGCATGTTCCGGTGCTCCTGGAAGCATGCAAAGTGAACCTTGTTCAAGGGTGCCGCGACGGGCTCGATATCCAGCATGGGAGGCATTGAAAGCTCTTCGGTGGACAGATTGTCTAGAGGAGTTCCGGGGCCCTCGGGGGTTGGGATGAAGTCTTCGAGGGGGGTTAATGCCTCGTTCTCGTCGCTCGGTGGAGGAGATAGGGTAACCGGGGGTACTGTTGGGTATGAGTGGTTCTGTGACCTGTCCACAACCACTGACTGTTCTGTCGGTCTGATCGTTTGCGTAGCAACTGGCAGTGGCGCCGGAGCGTGGACCTGTGTTTGGGGGGAAGCCGCTTGCGGTGATGGCTGCAATGGCGGAGATTGTGGTGCTTGCGCCTGAACAGGTACTGGTACGGGTGCAGGAGCAGGAGCTGTCACGGGTGTCTGCGCAACTGGGGAAGGAATTCCATTCGGCGCATTGGCAACTTTGCGCCGTGGGGGAACTTTGGTCAACATCCGCGGGGGAGGAGGGACCTGGTCTTTCGGCGGGGGCGGTAACTCCTTTGTCGGCGGGGGCGGTAACTCCTTTGTCGGCGGGGCTTGTTGCGGTGGCAGGGCAGGAACGACCACAGGAATCACCACTGGCTCCTCGGGAGTTTTCACCTCATTTGACTTCTTGAAGGAGAATTGTGATCTGGCGGCGGCACTGCCGTTCTTCATCGCCGTTAGAGACGGGACGCGTAGCCCGCGAGGGCGTTTTTCGGAATCGAAAATTGCCATGCTAGATAGACTTTGCCAAATTTTAATGGCGTTGAATTGGCAATATAGGAGCCGTTCGAGTTGGTGGGTATATGGTTATCAGCGCCACAAGGGTTATCTCTAGGGCCCGATGGGTCTCCGTGCGCAATCTCGGGCTTCAGCTCAGGGTCCAGGAAATTGGACGAAAAGGAGAAGAACTGGATATATAAGAGAAGTAAAATGATGGGCCAGAGAGGAAAAGAGAGAAAAAATCGCGAGATCAAAATAGCCCCCGTAATCTTAATCCGAGGGGAAAACAGCAGCAGGTTTTCTTGTTCTTTAGAAGCTTATATCCACTTTTTTTTTTTCCTTGGAACCTCTTCCCATGGAACTTCCAATCGTTCTTTATTGAATATATTATACCTGAAATCGTCATCCCCATGCCCAATGATTCATTGTAAGTCGATCGCATCCAGCGGAATGCAGGACTTCACGATCGCCGGAGCCAGCGATTGGACATGAGGAATGAGAGGAGCTGATACCGGGTTGTGGGTCTCTAATTTCACCGTTAAAGAGACTTGAATTTGTTTCATCTTGAACGAATCCCGGGACCCCTAGTGGAGTCGATTGGAGCCATCACAAAGGTCCATCGGTCAATCTATCGAAAGATCCTGCGCTAAGAACCAATAGATCCGAACCGGTGTCCAAGAAGTGCCAGACGTGGTTTATGCACTCAACCCCCCTGAACTCGCACTTGCCTCGTTTATCCGGCATTCCATGCGCCAATGCGGTCCTTTCATTGGTGAGCTTCTCGGCCAAGTCCGCCATTTTACATTGGAATTTCCGTTGTCGTCATCTTTGCTTTTTTCGCCTACGCTATACAATCGCATGTGGAATAGATGAATAAATCATAAAACTCCCGCTTGTGTACATTAGCTATCGTTTTCCGAAACGGGCATATACGATCGGCGTTCTCGTGCGGCCTACAGATCAGATTCATGTTAGTCGCCTTCGATTATGAATTCAGATGCTTTGCTTACTTCGAGATATCGCTCGATCCAGGGCTTGGCGAGCGCCCATGCTAGCAGTCCGCCCGTAGCGAAGATGAAAAGGAAAACCACCGCTTCGTCCTTACGCGAATCTCGCTCTATACAGCTAGTCAGCCTCATTTCATGTGTTGTTTTTGTTTTTGTTTTTCTGTTTTTGTTCACGGATGTCCAAAAGTCTCGATCGCATTCGATCCCAGCCACTATTCTTCCCGCATGGGCCGCACTTACGGAAGCAGGTTGTAAACACATCCTCCTCCTTGGCCCCTTTGCATGTCGGTAGCTCGTAGTTGAGGCAGAACTTGCGATTGCAGTCATTGCAGCTAAGTGCGCGATACTTCTGTGCTCGTGGGCTGATGTCGTGGTCGCCTTCCGCTGGATCCGCCACGCTATCGAAGGCACGCTCGTAGAGGTTTAGGACATTGTCGATGGAGGCCGACCCAGAGCTGGACTTGGATGGATCAAGAGGGATGATGGTGCTATTGGAGAAGCAGGTGCATTTGCAAAAGGAGGTCGGTGCTGCAGGTTAACGGTTAGCATCAGCTTGTAGGTTGGTCTGGGTGTGCGCTCTTACTGGAGGCTAGGGTCAAGGAGGTGAGAGATAGAAACGTCAGAAGCAGCAGCAGGAAGTGCGCCTTGCCGCGATACATTGTGAGAACAGGTATGTCGTTTAAAAGCCAGTTCGAGATTCTGTATGTTTCATGGAGATGACGCGGTTATCAGTTATCGTCACGTGAGGGCCCACGGGAACTATACGTTTGTCTACGAACTTGACATCTCAAGAGGTCAAGTTGGTTATTTCAACTTTTGTCTTTGCTTGAAAATCAGGGTTTACGCTAATATCCCCTGGTTAATATACAATGAGATGTTTGCCGCAATGTGATATTTCGTGCATTAATATCCGATGTGGCGGCATTTACGAGCATCTGACACTGCCAAGCTCGATAAATTCAGCACTAATTAAACGATCCACTGTTCAATGAGCTATAACGATTTTCATCTCAGACTTTTTCCTGTATCAAAAGAATGCTGTAAATCAAGAAGAGTTTTTCCGGGGGTCGATTCGATTCTACCTCTCGGGAGTGTGCGAATAGTATCACTAACATCGCCGAGAAACTGCCAAACCTCTGCCAAAGCTTCTTTTCCCTATAACACACCACACCCCTGGAAAATAAGAAAAAAGTGATGGCCTCTTTGAATTCAAAATGCCAGATCCTAGGTCCTAGTTATACAAGAATCCAAAAGCCTTGAAGCTTCAAGGCTTCTCGTTGGTAGTAAGTACGCCCTGTTATCAGGTGCTCTTCAGTGCCTGGCGTTTACCCGGACCCTTGACATCGACCAGCTCAGGTCCCTCTAAATGGTCTGAGCTATCCCCTTGACACTGGTACTACTTCGTAGTTTAGGGCAATAGATCTATACATGACGTGCAAATATATTCCGCTCTCAGAACATTCGATGGAGCCCTCACTCAGGTTTGCCCGGCCTTCCTGAGGGGTGTCCCCTTCCATCGAATGGATTACACAACTGTATCAAGCAACAACGGCCGTTCAGGACATAGCACCCCAGTAGGTACCTATGGAGGCCATGCAATTATTCTGACGGGTTCATCATCGAGCGAAGAAGTAAATATCCCCCAGAGCCACCATCACTGTCCGAACACGCTTTCACTGACCCCCCATTCATCCGTTCCTTGAGGGTACACCGAGGCTTGAGCAGGCATATACCGACTTTATCGCGAAGCCCGCTGCCACGTGTTCATCCTCCCGTGATGCCCTCTACAGACTCGCACCTGGCAGGGATCCTCCGCAGATTGTCTCCTCGTCGCCGGCGAATCAGGATGTCGATTTCCTTCGCAAGAGCACAGTAGTCAAAATGGATGAAATTGTTCCGTCACCGGAAAGCTTGGCTGTTGAATTGATTTTTGGGGGCCTTGTACGGGCACGTTGTTGGTGTGAGTGGTAAATGGTGGTGTAAGGAGGATGCGTCTTGATGGCATGGGAAAGAAGGGACGAGAAGAAGGAGAAAAGAGAATGGGGCATCACAAGAGCAGCAATTTTGCTTATTTACTGGGTATACCCATGGGTTGAAATCAGTCTCCGCTGAAGTCGGGTTGCCCTTTCTATAACCTGGGCAGCAGCCTTTGTTAATTTCCTGCCATATTCGCCATCTCTCTTCCACCATTAAATCTCGGTCTTAAGCTCCTTCACTCTATGGTTATTTACATAGGGGACAATTACTCGGTCACTTACCGTTATTACACAAAGCTGCTTCTATATTTTTTTTATCAAACATGCTCGCTCTCCGATCCTTACCTCGTCGGCTCTCTTGGGTTGCCCCTAGTACGACTTGACCCTGAGAAAGATCTTTTGGAAACACAATTGCTAACAGTAGAACAGAAAAACTCTGTCAACGTCAATATGCAAGCGTTCCTCAACTCTGCGCGGCCGATATAGGCGCTCCAAAGAACACAGAACATGTTCGACAAGTCGATCAGCACCTCAGAGATAGTGGAATTCTCAAAATCGACCTCCAGTTTGCAGACGACAACTGCAGCTATCTCAGACAGTTGCTTCTTCAACTCCACAAATACCACGATCACGGACTTCCAACGACCCACAGTGCCAGTCGTGGCTGGTTCTGGGATGTGCGCCCGCAACTAGATCCTCGGACCGATGCTTATATCGCACGCTCCGAGACGATGAACCAATTTCCCTGGCACACAGACTGCAGCTATGAGAAAGCACCGGCCCGCTACTTTGCTCTACAGGTGATTCAGCCAGACAAGTGTGGTGGTGGCACTCTCTCGGTCCTGGACACTGCCCGCCTGGTGTCTCTTTTGTCACCTTCGGTCCTCGAGGCGCTCGGTCAGCCTGAATTCCGCATCAACGTCCCGCCTGAGTTTCTCAAGGAGAAAAGTGTGACACACGTGGTCGGAAACCTGCTTCAGGTGAATGGGAAGCCGAGGACGACTCAGCTACGATTTCGGGAAGACATCATCACACCATTGACTGAATCGGCAAAAGTTGCGTTTGAGGAACTACAGCGGGCTCTGGCGAGTGACGATATTCAGTCACGGGTGGTGCGCTTGACATCTAGTATGCTTCCGCGTGGGTCGATCATCGCGATGGACAATCGCCGCTGGTTGCATGGTCGGGACGAGGTTCTTGATCCTAATCGATATCTTCGTCGAGTTCGATGGGATGCACGTCCTTTCAATAACCTGTAACTACAATTCTGTATGATTTTGCAATGAGCAGACATCCCTACCCGCAAAGTATATGGTATTTACCACAGTTTAATAAAATATCAAATATCAAATCAATAAAAATGACTGCTGCCATTAGTCTTACTAGTGACTAGAACTCCCGGCGCCCTAACTTCATGCTCCCGTTCCTTCTTATGAGATGACTTGAGCAATCGCTCCTTCCTGTCATGTTTCTTCATAGTATTATTGTGTTTCGAGATTCTCTTTTAACATTGAACATCTGAAGCTTCTTATTTCCACTGCAAGGAAACATATCTCAGCCTGCAAGGGCAATGTGGAGGTGGAACGGCCAATATCCCAGCTTTCTAAGCTTCGCCACATCGAAAGGAGGCTCGCACTACTTCCTTATCTTCTTGTTGTGATTATTCTTTTCCTTGTTTTGCATCTCGTTTATCTTATTTCGAAGATGCAGAGCGCTGACAGGTTCACAATGCTGGATCTGATCCAATTACTTTTGTCTGTCCCCTCTATGCAGTTCATCCGCGAGTCGAGCGCCTTTTACACATCAAAGCCACATTTTTCTGGGCAAGGTCTTGATCAAGCGCAGTGGACGCAGGGAAAATGGAAAGACTACGGCATTTCGGACTCTCGACTTTTCTCTTACAATGTGCAACTACCAGCTCCAACTGAGCACCAGCGATTGGCCCTGCTCCGAGGCTCGAAAATCCTCTATGAGGCGCCATTGAATGACAGCGAGAATGGATTCTATCCTGCGTTCTACAGCTTTGTCACCAATGCGAGCATTTCTGCACCCTACATTTTTGCGAACTTCGGTGCAGAAGACGATGACGAGGATCTTTCAAAGAACAATGTTAATCTCGCGGGGAATTAGGAATGCCCAGAACAGAGGCCTTCTCGGTGTTGTCATGTATCCCGATCCTCAAAATGACGAGCCCATCAATGAAAAAATGGGTACCGACCGTATCCTGATGGCCCGGCACGACCACCAGAGATGATCGAGAGAGGAGGTATAGGACCATGGGGTATGTTGATATCTCAATTTCCTTGACCAATGGGCGTTGCCTAATGAGTTCCAGATTCGTACCAAGCCGGCCTGGTCCCCACTATCCCCTGTATGCCAATATCCCATGCCGATGCCATTCCCATTCTCACCGCATTAAATGGTCACGGTCCATCAGCTTCTGACCTAAATAACCGATGGAAGGGCGGAGGACTCGCAATCCGTGGCGTCCACTATAATGTGGGGCCATCACCTCCCGCAATTTCGCTCCAGCTTCGCACCGAGGCATTCCTGCACACTGGCCGAGTGCACAACGTGATCGGTAGGATACCTGGTGACTCTGATGAAACTGTTATCCTCGGTAATCATCGGGATGCTTGGGGCCCCGGTGCCGGTGACCCCAATAGTGGATCGGCAGCTTTAAACGAGGTCGTTCGGAGCTTTGGAGTACCACTCCGCCATGGCTGGCGACCTCGCCGCACTATCATTGTAGCCAGTTGGGAGGGCGAAGAGATCGGGCAACTTGGATCCATACCTTGGATTAACGAGCATTTTGAGTGGCTGAATGCTACTACTGTCGCTTATTTAAATGTTGTCGTGGCCGGTGCGGGACGAAAGTTCCATGTCAAAGCGAGCCCCCTGCTGTACAGAACGGCGCTGAATGCGATGCAGCAGGTGCAGTCACCAAACCAGACAATGAGTGGTCAATCAGTTTTCGAAATTTGGAACGAGATAGGGGCAGGAATCATAGGCACCCCGGGCGGGGGTGATGCCATCCGATTTCAAGGTCTGGTGTGTGCTCCGACTGTCGATTTTGGATTCTCTCAAGGCTTGGGAGATAATGTCTTCCCTTATCACTCAGGATTCGATAACTTCCAGTGTTTGAACCAATTTGGGGACCCCGGTTGGGCATATCATCTAACTAGCACTAAACTCTGGTCGCTAATGGTGGCACATCTATCGGAATCGCCTATTCTGGACATGAAGGCTACTGATTACGCCATAGCCTTGGAAATATGGGTTAAAGATCTTTTCATGGAACAGTCATGGTCCGAGCAATGTGATCCAGAACCACTTTACAGTGCAGTAGCCCGCCTCGGCCAAGCCGCGAAAAGATTTGACCACGAGGTGGCGTCGCTGGTTTCGCAGCCACATCCTTGGTGGAACTCTTGGTTCGACCGCAAGTTGAGAGCAGCGATCGACGCAGCCAATCAGCGATACATTCGACTTGAAAGAACATTCTATCATGATTCCGGAGTTGATGATCGTTCCTCGTTTCATCATGTCTTGTATGCGGCAGCCCCGTGGCATACGGAGAAGCCACCCTTGCCCGGGCTACATGAGAGCCTAGAAGCGGGTCTATGGACTAATGCAGTGGTAAGATCTATCTTCGAACCTCATTCGATACGATTATAAATTTATTTACTGACTGCAGCAGATGTGGCGAGATGTTGTGACTGACAAAATCATCGATGCTGCAATTTTGCTGGAGAATTACGATAACTCGGGGCTGTAGGTGCCACACTCGCTGATTGCCAGTGAGATTCGAATGTAACCTCAAGGGTTATAGGGCGCAAATATTATTTGCATGGGCGAATGACTTGGTATCCCAATAATATCCCTGTCACGTCCGTGCGACCTTTCTCTGACCAAATCAGAACTCCCTTTTAGAAACGATCTCGTAATGGATAAGATACTTTGGCCTGGGAATAGTCTTGGGCTCGGCATGACCAGCTCTATCGTCAATAGCAATATAGCGACCAGGGTGTCTAGGCGTGATCCTGAGACTCAAGACATAAGCGGGGATTTCACGATCCAAGTCGGCCTCCGTCGGGGCGAGCTTCAGGGCTGGCGGCTACATGTACGGAGTAAGTACCTTGCGAAAGTATACAATCTACCACACAATCAAAGTCGAAAGAGCTTTCCTCGTTCTGGAATTCTTGCTTGCTATCTTTTTTTTTTTTTATCTAGAAATGTTCAGAATACCCCAACCCTCCAATTGGTCCAACATCCCTGCTGACGCGGCCCACTGAGTAATCATATATCGCATGGCCTTACCAACAGGATATTGTCAAAGCCCATTATGGAGACCAGCTTTCGGCAATTAGTCCTTGGCAGATGTTGCCACTGATAGGTGTGCATGTACGCCAGCCTTATGAAGATGGCGTGAGAAAGCTACCAATCAGCGTGGATCGCTTATAGATAAGTAAAGATTATCATACGTACTATGTTCCCGGTCGCTAGGCAAGGCCAATGACAAGCCTTGAGCCCCTCCCCCGCCAACCAATCTTAGCAAAGTGGGACAAGTCTTAGCTGTACTAGTCTCACTGCAATCTGTTGTTATCGTGCCCAGTCTTGATGGTCTGAATGAACTGCAATTGTTTACCCACTCTCAAATATCCTATATCTGGAAACGATATGATTATGAGTGCCAAGATCATAATCTTGGATCATGAAAATAGGTGTAACTTGGCAAAAGGGTACTAAAGTCTGACTGGAGAACAACAAGCTAAAACTTAGTCTATTTGGTTTTCTGTTACAGTTCACGTTAGCGCCATTCCCGGGATGGAGGTGTGGCGACCAATCAACACAAGGGGTATTATCGAGGGGAATTCATGAATGTAGTGGCTGTCGGAGCTCCGCGGTGGCACCGGAACACTGTCCTCGTGAGGTTCAATGGCACCTTCCAGGGTTAGCTCCTGCCCTAAAGAAGGGAGGAATGGCCATATATATATGGGGACATCCCCGCTGGGGAAAGAGCCGTGGTGTCTCCAGAACAGTGAACCCCCTTCTTCCATTTCTTGTGCTCTGCAACTGCAGAAGCACTGTTCCCTTGCGACATGGAGACCGAATCCCCCGTCTTCCGCTATGACGAGAAGAAGTCCGACATTGAGGAACATGTCTACCCCTCTGAGGGGGAGATTACGGACGTTGAGCTGGAGGAGTTGACGGCCTTGGTCAAAGAAACTATCTCCGAGCACGAGATGGACGGCAATTTTCCCCAGGAGATGTTGGACGAGGCACGAGAGTTCCTGACTAAGGACCCCAAGCAGATCACGGCGTTGGAGGCCCAGTCCCTGCTCCATGATATTCGCAAGCAGCGTGACCTCTTGTTGAATGACTCGCCCTATCCCGAAGTCCGTGCTGTCGTCGACCCTATCGATGATCCTGAAATGTCGGCCAGCACCTTCCGTTCTTGGTTTATCGGCTTGGTTCTCACCGTCGTCTTTACCGGTGTCAACCAGCTGTTTACCCTGCGATACCCGACGATTATCCTTTACTCCTACGTCTCGCAGGTCGTATCTTACCCCATTGGTACTTTCATGGCCAAGGTTTTGCCTACTCGCCAGTTCTCTCTGTTTGGCTACCGTTTCTCCTTCAACCCTGGGCCCTTCAATCAGAAAGAGCATATGCTGATCACCGTCATGGCCAATGTTGGATACGGAGGTTACATGGGTACCGCGTATACGACCAACATCTTCACTGTGCTGAAAATCAAGAAGTGGTATGATGATACCGCTCTGTACAACAAGGCTGGCTTCCAGATCCTGTTGACGCTCTCGACTCAGTTTCTGGGATACGGATGCGCGGGTCTGGTGCGCCGCTTCTTGGTCTTGCCGCCGTCTATGATCTATCCCAAGGCCTTGGCGACAATTGCCCTGAACAAGGCTTTGCACAGTGATGACAGAGGCGAGATTGTGCACGGATGGACCATGTCTCGCTATCGATTCTTCCTGTACTCTTTCGGTGCCATGTTCATTTGGTATTGGTTCCCGGGATACATCTTCCAGGCTCTCTCCTATTTCAACTGGATGACCTGGATTGCCCCGGAGAATACCACCCTCGCGGCAGTCACTGGTAGTATTACTGGGCTGGGAATTAACCCGTGGCCCACATTCGACTGGAACTTGGCTTCCGTTGTCTACGATCCCATCATTACCCCCTATTATGCTCTGTGCACGATCGCCCTAGGAACGGTCTTCTTTTGTGTCTGCGTGATCATCCCCATTTGGTGGACCAATGTCTGGCAGACGGCATACTTCCCCATCATGAGCAACTCTCTATTCGACAACACCGGCGCTACCTATGATGTTTCGAAAATCATGGTCGATGGTGTTTTCAATGCTGAGGCCTATGAAGCCTATAGCCCTCCTTACATGACTGCCTCCTATGCTGTCATGTTCTTCTGCTTCTTTGGAGCCTACATGGCTGGTGTTGTTCACATCCTTCTTTACAACCGTTCTGAGCTGGGCAAGGGGTTCAAGTCTTTGTGGCAATGGAAAAACGCTCGCGAGGAGCATGAAGATGTCCACAATCGTCTGATGAAAAAGTACAAAGATGCTCCAGACTGGTGGTACCTGATCATTCTGGCCCTTTGCTTCATCGTTGGTTGTGTTGTCGCCCATGTGTATACTCCCGGGTTCCCCATCTGGGGCATGGTCGTCAGCTTGTTACTGTGTCTCATCTTGCAAGTCCCCTACGGCATGGTGTACGCCATTACCAACGCCGAAGTGACGAATAACGTTCTCGCCGAGCTGATTGCTGGTTACGCACTGCCCAACCAGCCTGTCGCCAATATGATTTTCAAGACTTACGGTGTCGTGTCCTGCGCCCAGGCTATCCAATTCGTCTGTGATTTGAAGATGGGGCACTACATGAAGATTGCCCCTCGCGTCATGTTCAGTGCCCAGTGTATTGCCACTGTGGTCGCTGCCTTCGTTAGTATCGGTGTGAACGCTTGGGCGTTGGCTAACATCCCAAACGTCTGTGAGACGGGACAAGCATCCGGTTTCAACTGCGAGGGTTATACCACTTTCTTCACCTCCTCCGTCATCTGGGGTGCTATTGGACCCGAGAGACTATTTGCCAGTGGAAAGATGTACAACGCCACGCTGTACGGATTCCTGTGCGGTGCCCTCCTACCCGTGCCGTTCTACCTCCTGTCGAAGGCCTTCCCCAAGTCCGGTTTCCGTTACATCTACTCACCGCTATTGCTCTACGGAATGATGAACTTTGCTCCTTACAACCTGACATATGTCATCGCCCCTTTGATCGTTGGTACCGTGTTCAATTACTACATCAAGCGTCATTATCTTGCTTGGTGGGAAAAGTACGCTTATGTGCTCACTTCTTCGTTCGGAGCTGCTCTCGCTATTTCCGCTGTGATTATCTTCTTTGCCGTCGAGTACCACACAGTTGATATCAACTGGTGGGGAAACTCGGTTTCATTCGCTGGATGCGATGATAGTGGATGTACTTTGCGCGCTGTTCCGGCTGGTGGAGTTCCCGCCTGAGATATGGATGAATGATAATGAATGGAGATGAGAAATAGCTGTAATATCTAAGCATTTTATATACGAATTTCGATATGATTGTATTGTTTTTTGGAACTCTTGGATCACATTATGTTAATCTTCTATGAAGTACCAAGAAGGGTAATTGCCCAGAGTATTTGTTCATGATCTTCCCTTCATTCCCTTCTTCCGGTTCTCTCTCTGTCTCTGCTCCTTGGCTGCATCACGCCGTCTCTTTTTCCATGCCCGGTTGTTGTCTCCCCGATTTTCCCAGAACCATTTCGCAAATTCAGTCTCGTCTTTGTCGCCAGATCCTTCCGTTCGCGATTTCGAGACTGGGGTATCAATCGTAATGTCTTCGTCCTCCATGTCCTCATCGTTCCACTGCATGTGCCGACTAGCGGCCGCTGTGTCCGGGGTGGGAGCTGCACTCCGCATACCACGATCCTGTAGATCCCTCTTGCCAAAAGGTGTAAAGGGAGTCTGGGGCTCGGGGCCTCTGGACTCATCCTCAGACTCAATATCGTCGTTGTTGCCAAAGAAGCTAAATCCGGCCTCAGTGGGTGCTGGAACCTGTTGTTCTGACTTTGTGGGGGCGGATCGCTTGAAAAGAGCCTCCAAAGGGTGAACTTCTTTGGGTTCTTGGGGCAATGCCTCGGTCTCTTGAGCGGGCTCCCTGGCTGATTCGGGATTCGTTTCATTGGTGGTCATGGTAATATCGTTTTGTTTTGTGCTCTCTGGTGAGGATTCTTTTTCAGCGGGAATGGCTTCGTCCGCGTCGGACTCTAAAACAGAGTCATCAGAGCTGCTGGCCTCACTCTCGCTCTCACTTTCGCTCTCCGAATCCGAACCTTCATCTGAAGAACCGCTTGATGATGTCCAGTCTTCAGACTCGGCAGAAGATTCGGGATCTTGTGCTTTGGCTTTGGGGCTTTCAACTGGGGCCTTGCGGATAGGTTTCTTCTCTTTCACTCCAGGAACCTTGCCAGGCCGATAATCCTTCTTCCGAGCCTTCTCACTGACAGGTTCCTTCACACTGCCCATAGTGTCCACCCAGCCCTTCTCCTCGTCGAAAGTAGCTGTCTTTGGGGTGTCATCTCCTGAGGAACGGAGGAAGCTAGGGTAGGTGGTAGCTTTGGCAAACTCGTGTACCACAGACTCTGAACCTTTCTGCTTCTTCTTGGCCTTCTTGTCGTCGGCAGCAGCCTCGGAGGCGCGATTAGGCGGAAGTTTTGTGCGGAATAAGCATTCAGCTTTCTCAGTGTACTTGGATTTGGGTTGAAGTTTTTCCTTCTTATCGTCCTTGCTCTTTTTCTTTTCGTACTTCCGCTTGTCTTTGGCGGATTTGGGTTCGGTCCAACCTCTCTTCACTTTCCGGTCGGAGGGGAGCTCAAAGCCATCTAGTGTCTCGTCTTTTGACTTGCTCTTCTTCGACTTCTTCTTTTCCTTGGGAGCTTCAGGTTCGGCATCTTCTTTCTCAAGTGGCCGCTTGGATGGGCGAGCTGTGTCCACCTTGAACTTCTTTCCCTTCAGGATCGACCCATTGAGCTTCTTCTTGATCTTCTCGGCGTCCATCTTTGGCAGAGTAACGAATCCGTAACTGTTCTCGGGGAAGGTGGAAATGGTATGGTATGAGATATCGGTGGCCGTTGCGCGAACGGATGCCGGTAGGACCGCTGGGAGAATGTCGGGAGTCAAAGGGCTGATATGAAGTCTGATTGGATCTGTCTGTTCCGTCATTGCATCGTGGTCCAAAGGTTTCTCGCAGTTGAAGATCATCCTTTTCTCTACAACTTTTTTTTTTTTTTTTGGTTCGCCCATCCAGAGTGGTCACCGCCTTCCTTATCCAGGCTCGACCCACTGTACACAAAGAACCCACTTGGGCATCATCATTGGGGATTGATGGGATGTGACTGGACATGAGAGATGCAGGGTTGGGTTTCAAGGTTTGTACCGACAATTATCCTGTCAGCTGCCATACTGTAGTGTCGACGATAACAGCCCTAAATGGAAAAAGGTGGAGCTTTGATGGATTTGGTGTAGATAGTCTGACCATGAATCTCTCTAGTCTGAACACTATTGACTAGAAGTAGTGAATCAATAAATTACATATAATAAAATCGGAAGTTTTTAACATCAAAAGGGAGAAAACATAGGAGTGTTATCCGGTATATACATGATCGACGTTGGAAAGCTTGGAGTCCCCAGGGCTGATGTAATCCCCATGATGACGACGGTCGTGTGCCATGGAAGGTCTGGCCCATGAGTCTCATGTGGATGGGGTCATTTCCATTCTCTCTTTCAACTCTTCAAATAACGGAGTTTCATTCCTACTTTGACTGTGGTGTTCAACTTAAATGAGCATCCGCCACATCCGGTAGCTCGGAGCCCTTACGTATCCTTAGTTCTCGATCGGCACCGATCCGTTCCCCAGTCATCTCCTCCGCCCTGTCCCCGCTTCCATCTTTCCCACTTCCCCTGCATCTCTCTTCCCCAAATGTGTCACTGGCTTTAGGCCTTTTTGCTTTTCACTCCCCCCTTTATCCCTATTCCCCCTCCCCCTTGGGGGGCCACCTCGGAGGTGTTCCGTCGTGTGTCGTTGATCTAACGTCCAACCCCTCCCATTCATCCCTTCACGATGGGAAACTCCCAAACCAAGGAATCGCGGACCACCACGCCTCGCAACCGAAGCCAACAATGGTCATCGGATGCTTCGGGTCGCGCGTTATATCAAAGCTCTCGGTCGGGCAGAAGCAGTCGGCCGGACCTATCGCTTCTGGGAATCGGCAGTAGTCATCATGATCGCGATATGGCCGCCCTCGAGCACCGGCGTGAAACCAAGCAGGAACGGGAGGCACGTCGGCTGGAGAAGGAGCGCGCCGCTCGAGTCAAGGAGCGTGAGCGCAGTATGAAAGAAGAACATGTCGATGGAGGTTACCTAGTGACACAGGGCGTGTACGTGGGGACGGAGGACTTCAATAAGGCGGTTGTTCGGCAACTGATGGTAGGGCTACTTTTGAAAAAAGTCCATACCGGACAAGGCTATTGTTTACTAATACTAGTGTAGATTGAGCGTCGACTCGCTCCCTTCTGGAGAGGGTTGAATGACTACTCCGACTCATGGGCAGAGCATCAGCTTATGGCCGCGGCCCGGGGTATGGAGATCCCCCCACCGGACGAGATTCCACCCGAGTTAGAATACACCTTCCCCAAAGCCACACCAACAAAGGCACCGGTGGATATGAATAACATTCAACACCTCACCGTTCCGATCACTTCCCGCTCTCAGTCTTACAACTCGGATGTATCCCAAAGCTCGAATCCCGGTCAATCATTACCCTCGGCAACATCTCCGATCGCATCTGGTACATCGACCTCACCACTCTTCCGAGCCCGCGCAAAGACCATGGCTGCGTTGTCGACATCCTCGAAGCATGGCTCACAGACTGATCTCACCCCACGGGAGCTGCAGCTACCCAAGGACCCGTTTGTCAACGGCCAACCGATCGAAGTCTATCTATATAAGGATGCGAGCGAATGCCCCATTTGCTTCCTGTACTATCCTCCTTATCTCAATCGCACTAGATGCTGCGACCAGCCTATCTGCTCTGAATGCTTCGTGCAGATCAAACGCCCCGAACCACACCCACCAGAGCACGGCGAGCCCGATGCGAATGCTCCAGCCTCAACAGAGGGAGCCCGGACCGAAGAAACAGAGTCGCAGCTAGTATCTGAGCCATCTGCATGTCCTTTCTGTGTTCAGCCAGAGTTTGGAGTCACCTACGCTATGCCCCCCTTCCGCCGAGGTCTGACCTACGGCGCCGATCCCAGCGCCCGCCCTTCCCCCCACATTACTTCCCCAGTGTCCTCCACCTCCTCTTTGGCCTCCGCGAACCTTGCCCCTATCCCCGGCCGTCGCCGTGCGACGTCCCTTTCAACGACCGACCCTTCCGTGGTCACTACTGATAAGGTTCGACCGGACTGGGCCCAGAAGCTGGCCAACGCCCGAGCTCATGCGGCACGCCGTTCTGCTGCTGCGACCGCTCTACACACTGCAGCTTACTTGATGAATTCTGGCTCCAATGATTCCCGTGGTCTAGGTTTGAGCCGGCGAGGGTTGCGGAGAGCCACCCACGGGGATGCCGGCCGGTCCGGTTCCCCTGCGCTTAATGCCCTTGCCTTTCTAACTGAGCGACCAGATCGAACCCCACCTCGTGCACCCGACACTGATTCCGCCGAGGAAAGCTCGGGTAATATTGCCCCACCACGGGAAAGTTCGAGACGCACTCGAGTCGACGACCTCGAGGAAATGATGATGATGGAGGCAATTCGCTTGAGTTTGGCCACTGAGGAGGAGCGTCTGCGGAGAGAAGAGAAGGACGCCCGGAAGGACGCCAAGAAGAGAGAGAAGGAAGCGAAGAAGGCCGAAAAGGTCAACCGCAAGACCGGTCTGTACAGTAACAATGCCAGCAGTACTGCTTTTGAAGTACCTGGCGAAGCGTCGCTCGCTAAAGCTACCAGCACTTCCTCCTCCTCCATTGGTGAAGAAGCCTCCGCAGCAGACAAAGGCAAGGCGGTTGATCGTGCCGCCTCGTCAAATCCATCTATCTCATTGAACACTGCTAGCCAGGCGGAGCAACCCCCGGTGGCCACTGAGCAGCATGCCGCTACCGAACCATCACGGCCATCGCATCTGCGGAATATGTCGAGTGCTTCCTCATCTTTCTCTTCAATCATGGAAAACACCCCGGATGAACGGCCAGCTGGTCATGTCTCTGCAGATGGCAGCAATACTTCTCTTGAGCCCATGTTCAACTTCCGCAGCCTGGCTGCTGTGATCGGTGATGAAGACAAGAACCATGAAGCTGAACACGTTGAGAATGCCACTCAACCAGATGCAGAGGGCTCGTCAAGTGCTACTCCATCGGTCCATCAGCCCACAGCCGATCCTCCCAGGCCAGAGTCCACCCCTATTCTGAGCACCAAGATAGATTCGGAAGGTAGTGTCTCGCCCAAGGAGCTTGAGACGCGGTCTGTGGAGATCTCAGCTCCTACGGCCAACCCCGAGGCGACATCTTAACTCACGCTCGTTCAAGTGTCCGTCCTCTCTCTTCGATTCTTTTTTTTTTTCTCTCCTTTTTTCTTTTGGTCTGTCGCAGCATGAGATTAGCCGGCGCAGTAGGGGACTTTGTTCGGTTTGTGTACCAGAGCATTTCGCTCCTTTCTTTTTCTTTGTCATCGGTTGACAGTTTTTCTCATGGCTGGCTGTCTCCATTCATTGCATCAGTTCCTACTTTTCATAGAAATCCAATCAAGAGAGTATCTTAAGTCGGACAATGCCCTGTGTATTGGAGGGTGTTGAGTATAAGTATGTGCAAGTGCTTACCAAAGATAGCCAGTAGTCTAGTATGGACAGTCTCAAATGTCTAATCAGTGGGGTGTATGCAGTGTAACGGTACACGGGCGGGGCGGCGATGTAGCCGTGATTGGATATAAGAGCATTAAGGAACAAGCCAACCGCCGCTAATGATCAGAGTGGGCCCTATCTTTCAGGTGGGGGAAATGTTCGAAAATGAACGTATTGCCTGGTTTTAAATAAGCATGAAAATTCATAGGAAAGTCCGAATTGCGTGAACTTGTGACCAGCAAAATTTTGTATAGATATCGGATGCTCGGAACTTTCTAGATGCAGGACAAGTGGCTCGTGCCTTGTTCCGTTGCCACCGCAAACTTTTCTCGACCCAAAGATGAGCCGGCCCCACCACAAGTATACGGAAGTAGATAGCAAATTATTCACTGTAGGGTGTAGGCAGGAATTATCTGTGTAGATTTTTCTGAGGCAATCTGTAAAATAAATGATGAGTTCAATAACAATGCGAATTGGACGTCATTCACCCCTTCATTCCCCGTGCGGAAGCAGATGTTGGTGATTCTTAGTGCGGCCGCTCCCGGGGTTCTAAGTTTTGCCCTGAGAAGATTCTTATCTTGGACCCCCACCTTTTTTCTTTTCGCCTTTCACCTACTCAACCCTCTGAGATCCCAGGCGACAAGAACTTCTCTGAGCCTTCGTCGACTCTTACCAATTCTTTCTTCGAGACTGAATTGAAAGGTCTTGTGCCCTACAGCCAAGACTGGAAAGATTCGACTTGCAGAGACAGATAGCCGTAAGGTCTTAAAAACCTTCACAGAACAATGGTATTAACACACCAGGCAAGATCACACCCTTCGCTCGACGATGGATTCCCTACTGTACAGCTTTTTCTGCTAGGTATGTCTCTCTTCTTTTAACACAACGGATGATCGACTGATCACATTTTCAGCGATATGTCGTGTGGCTGAGCCGATTGCCTTGACGTCCATCTTCCCCTACTCATGGGTGATGGTCAAGGACTTCCACGTGGGCAGTGGGAATGATTCCTCTTTCTACGCCGGAATCCTGATTTCCGCCTTTTCCCTGGCAGAGGCCCTCACAGGCATGTTCTGGGGGAGTCTCGCCGACCGACTGGGCCGAAAGCCCATTCTACTCTCGGGTTGCTGTGGCACAATGCTCTCTCTGTTCATTGTGGGGTTGGCTCCAAACTTCTGGGTCGCTCTAGCGGGCCGCGCGCTTGGTGGAGCGCTCAATGGGAATATTGGAGTCATTCAAACGATGGTGGGGGAGCTGGTCAAACGACCTGAGCATGAACGTGAGTTGCCAGTCTATCTTTTGTATACAACAAGCTCCTAATTGCCACTATCGCAGCCCGTGCCTACGCTATAATGCCCTTCGTCTGGTCTATTGGAACTATTATCGGGCCTGGTAAGCTACAGCTCATGACTAGTCAAAGAAGATTATAAGCAGCTTGCTAATTGTTAATAGCAATCGGAGGTTTGCTTGCAAGACCTGCGGACAACCATCCTTCTCTTTTCCCTCAAGATGGTCTTTTTGGACGCTTTCCCTATTTACTGCCCAATCTCGTCTGCTCCTTTTTACTTCTCCTGAGTATCATTGGCAGCTGGCTGTTCCTACAAGAGACTCATCCGGATATGCAACCTGATCGTGATGAACAATTCGAGCCTACATCTGTCGACCAACCTCTCTTGGCGACGTTGGGAGCAACCGCCAATGGGGAGGTTGACCTTCGAGCCGATTCATACGGAACATTCAACCAGATTAGCTCATACGAAGAAAAGGATTGGGAGGTGCAGGGAGATGAAACTTTCCCTTATGAGGAGAAATCAGCCAGGCCAAAAGCATTCACATGGCGTGTCACTATGCTTATCATCGCTCTCGCTATCTTCACTTATCACTCGATGACCTACGATCATTTATTGCCCATCTTTTTACAAGACGAGAATAAGAGATCCGTTTTACCGTCCTCTCTCTTCGATATTCCCGGGGGTATTGGCCTTTCTACTCAGACTGTCGGTATGATTATGTCTACGGATGGCATCATTGCACTCGTGATTCAAACCGTGATTTTCCCGGCACTGGCCCATTGGCTTGGAATATGGCGGCTCTTCGTTGTAGTGGCCATACTTCATCCCATCTCATACTTCATGGTTCCATTTTTGGCATTCCTGCCTCAGAACTCTGTGTTCTATGGTATTTATGCTTGTATGATTGTCCGCAATATTCTGTCCATCGTTGCTTTTCCTGTGCTCCTGATTCTCATCAAGCAAGCCTGTCCATCGGACTCGGTCATGGGTAAAATCAATGGCCTTGCCGCTTCTGCTGGCGCAGCCTCGCGCACCATTGCATCTCCCATTGCGGGCTTACTGTATGGAGCTGGGACAGAAATCGGTTGCACTGCCGTGGCCTGGTGGGGGAGCAGTCTTGTTGCCCTCTTGGGAGTATTACAGCTTTGGTTCATTCGGCAGAAAAGACAGTCGTTTGATATCGTCGAATCTGCTACAAGTTACATCCCTCCGGCTTTTGAACAGCCACTGCATGAACCTGTTCGTATCATTGTGACCGACACGAATGGTAATGTCACTCCGGAATCTTCACCCACCTTCCCATTGTTGGAAACGAGGCCCTAGGCATCAGATTCAAGAAGGCCCCTTCATTGACGATGTTTTTTCCTTCTCTTCCCCTCGGTCTATATGTACAGTCTCTGTCAGGATATCTCTCTCATTTCCTTTGTATTTTGAAGCAAAATTAGCAACGGGCATTTTGAGCGGCTTGCATTTACGGAGTTTGGTGTTGATTTCTGCATGCATGATTTTATAGCTTTCCTTCTGCCAGTGCAGGACCAAAAATTTACCAATTCATCAAACATTGACTACAATCTTTTGCGAACTGCTGTTAGTAAAAGCATGCACTTTTTGTACAGAAATGGCAGAAAGGTGGCAGAAAGGCAAAGCGGTATATGGGGCGCGTTACGCTAGTCCAATTGAGGCATTTCCGACTATGTTTATGGTAGCGACCCAGGGCGGTGAAAGACTATATACACTTGGGTGGTGCCATGCTAGTCCCAATATGGGTTAGCTCTGTTTACACAGCAACCGCCACGATCAACTCAAAACACTCAAAACACTGACCTTCCACAACTCCACACAACACCCGAGGGCCTTTGCGATTGTCTTTACATCGCCCCTCACCTGCTGCTATCATGGCAAATCCTCTTTTACCCCTCTCATCCTCCTTCCAGAATGCACGAGCTCGGTCTCCCAAGATCGGCTCATCGCCATTCCTCACCAAAACAATCGATGAACAAGCCGAGTCAGAATTTCGCGTTCCATCAAGTCCATTGAAAAAAGCCTGGACAGATCATGTATCACCAGACCCCAGTGTGTACGATTCGAATGAAAATTACATCCCTAACGACGACGACGAGATTGATGCAAACAACGATAATGCCGCTTTTCAAGATGCCGATAGCTCACCATTCCGGGAAAATGCGCGAGAAGACACCGTCGATTACCAAAAATTGCAAGAGTATCAACAACGCACACCCTCGCAATCGCGGCATCGCTTTGGGCTGGGACCAGCAGAAGACCCGATGAGTTCTCCCTTTCGTCCTGAGGGAAAAGACGAAACGGTAGACTTTCAGAGACTGCGTGAGATACAACCAATGTCACCTGGCTTGAGTAAGCGTCTTGCCATCGATAACCCGGAAAGTTCTCCATTCCGACCAGAAGGGAAGGATGAGACAGTGGATTTCGATCGGTTGCGCGAGCTGCGGGCTGAATCGCCTGATTTTGATGAGCAGCCTCTGGAGCCAGAAAGTTCGCCACTTAGATACGATCCCAGAGAAGAAACTGTTGACTTCCATGGTATTCGAGAAGACGAAGTCATACGAGAGTCTATGAGCAATTCTCAGCCAACTCCTCCCAAGGCGCATAGTTCACCTTTCCGACCCGATGCCGGAGATGATACTCTCGATATGCGAAAGTTACGCCCGACACCTCGTCTATCACCGGGCATGGAAAGCAGTCATTCCAATGCTGCTACGCCTCGGAAAAGATCGTTTGACCAGACTCCGCAAGATTATGGCGAAGACGCAGAGATCAATGAGCGGGCAAAAAAGGGCATGCTCAGCCGAGCTCAAGGTCCCGAGATTCACATCGATCTTGAAGATGAGTCCAGCGTCATCCACGACCAAAGTTTGCTTTCAACTGCGAGTGCCTCTCAAGACCGGTCGACAATTGCAAATAGTATGATTGAAGACAAGCACAATGAGGGCATGAGTACTGTTCTTCATGACAATGATGATATGATGGACAAAGAAAACGACGGCCATGATGCTGGAAATTCCAACCTTAGTGAAGACGACCACGATCCCATGGACGATACTGGTTTGAGCAACTTCTCTGTCCTGCCAGACATGACCTCCTTTGCAAACCTTCGTGCCGACTCGCCTCTAAAGTCAATGCGTGGCAGCGTGGGGCCCAGCCTACCTGCTACCGCAAACATGTACCGTCGCAGTGTGGATCCAGCAACTCCAGGCACTGCACGAAGATCGCATAGAGCTAGTGCGCTGCTTGATGTCGATTCATCGATTGGATCGCCTACCCCCAGAAGACGGGTTTCTCGAGACATCGGTAACCCGGAAAGGACCCCCAACTTGCTCGATTTCTCCGATCAAATGAACTTCTACCCTCGTCATTCGACGCAACAAAACTCTCAGTACTCTCCTCGGCGGTCTCCCGTGAGGAATATGCGGCAATCCATGCGGTCGCCATCAAAACTGTCTCTACTGGATTTCGATATTCCGCCTGCACCAACACCCCGCTCCATTCCCACTGTCACACCCCGTGAATTAGAGTCGCTCAAATCCGGCTTCATGTCAGAGATCTCTTCGCTCAAGGCCACTCTCAGTGGCAAAGAGGCGGAGGTCGCCTGCTTGAAGACAGCAATAGGAGACGCAGAGAGGCGAGTTGGAGAAGCCTTGGAAGAAATTCGCAATGAGGTTGCCCGGAGAGAGACCTTGGAGATTGAGCAGGCCGAATGGGACCGCCGAGGTAAAGATATGGAAAGAGTCCTGCAATCCGTCCGCAGTGAGCTGGAAGATGGTGAACGTGAGCGAGACCGCCTCGCTAGAAAAGCTGAAGATGCGGAAAAGAGCAAGGAACAACTTGAAAGCAGAATTGTAGAGCTTGAGACACAGCTGTCCACCGCACGTTCTTCTACTTCAGAATCTGCCAGCCAAGGGTCACGACGACCCTCACAGTCGGCAGAAGACACTGCACGGGAAGTGCAGGATGCCGTTGAGAAGGTTGCTCGTGAGCTTCACACTCTCTACAAGGGCAAACATGAGACCAAGGTTGCAGCATTAAAGAAGAGCTATGAGTCTCGCTGGGAAAAGCGCCTTCGTGAGTCAGACAACAAGCTTACTGCTGCCCGCGAGGAAAATGAACGGCTGAAGGCTGAGCGTAATGCTGCCGACTCCGACTCCATGGCGGCCGCCAACGCCAGCATGATCGCCCGTGAGAATGATGAACACGAAGCCGAAAAGCGTGTCTTTGAGGCTCAGATTCAAGGCCTACAGCATGAGATGGCGGCATTGAAGGAAGACAGTGAAAGACTGCGCTCCGAGCTCAGAACTGAGCGTGCTGAAAAGGGAGAGCTTGTTGCTGCTGTTGATGAGTGGCTGAACATCCAGGCCACCCAGCCTGCGCCAGTTCAGCAACAGGAAAGGGAGCCTTCTGTCTGCTCTGCTGGTATTCCCGAGGAGGATTACCAGTCAACCAGTGAACCTCCCGCCGAAAACCTTCGTCGAAGTGTGAGCCGTTCTGGATCCAGTGGCATTCGCCCTCCTTCTACAACTGAAAAGAAAGGTCCACGTTTCGGAGCCCCGGGTGGCCATTCTCGCGGTAACAGCGGAGGGAAATCCGGCATTGCTGTGTTCACTCCTGGGCGCGGTGGAATCATGAGCTCTATTGAGCGAATGGGACGTGGAGGTGCTTAAACATGGGATGAGGACTTGGGTGTTCTTTGTTACCTTGGTACAAATGAGGTTCGGTTCGGGTTCGGGTTATTATTCTGGGCACTTGGTTTTCTCTGTTTCCTGCTTTCAAGTCTTGATTCCCCTTTAGCATGTGCCTTTATGTTGTTTATGAAATTCTATGCTTGAACGTGCTATGACCTCTCCGTTTGACTACATATGAAAAATGAATCACCATTGTATGAAATGAATAGAGTGATCAATGGCGCCGCAAGGTATTATTGTACATGATTAGGTTTCCAAGATTAAACGTAGCTTTTTCAATTACGTATCTTCCGCGAGTACTTTCTGCACTTCATCTGCGATGTTATACTCAAGCACATCCTTCGCGGGGTTCGCCGGGGAGAAAAGGCCTGTCCAATCTGTCAGTAAATCGAGGTCCAACTATAGGAATGAAAGACCACTTACCAACCATCCACAAAATCAAATACATCACAAATTCGCCCACGATACCCTTCTCCTGCTTTTTCTGCTGGCGTTGCTGGGCCTCATTAAGGAGAGCCTTGACCCGAGGATACCGCAGAGCCATGTGTTTCTTTGCAGCAAGTTGAATGGCATCCTTCTCCGTGAACTCCGCAGTAGAGGCATTCCCATATACTCCCTTCAGATAATGAGCCAACATCATCGGGAATGATTCTGAATCTTCCAGTGCCTGGGCTGAGCCTTGCCCCGACGTTGGTGGCAATGCATGTGCTGCATCACCTAGTAGCACGATGCCATCTCGATCCCAGATCGGCAACTCGGGCGTCGTCCATGTCGGGTACATTGTCTCTACATTCACTGATCGAATGATTTCCTGGATGACAGGATCACTCCAGTTCGCGTGTCGTTTCCGTAGGTCTTCTGTGATCGCATTTCGATCTACAGTTTTAGGATCTGGGGTCTCTTTCATCCCGTAAGTGGACCACCAAGTGAGCGTGTCTCCAGGTGATGAAATGTGGTCTGCTGATGCCCGATGCTCATTTGATTGGGAGCTGGATGAGTAGACATAGCCGAACATGCCTGATCCACCAAAAGTGATTGTCATAATACCATCTGGAATGTTGCGCCGTAGACTCTCTGTAACGGGTGTGAAGCCACCCACTCCGACAAGACCTCTGAAAGTATCTTTTAGATTTGTCCGATTGAACATATTGAGAGACAAAGAGCTTACTCGTATTTTGGAGGGTAGGGATCATCTTCTGGGTTCTCGACATCAAAGAGAGCCCGTTTCACCGTTGACTTGAGTCCGTCGGCGCCTATCACTAAATCGGCTTCGACAGGTTCACTTCCGTCAACGAATGTGATAAGATTTTTGCCAGTAGGACTTCCATTGGGAACTACTCTTGCAATCTTCTTGTTCACAATCACATCATCTGGGATACGGTCCCGCAGACATTGCCAGATTGAGTGACGGCTCATGGCCACCGAGTTCATTGCGTGCCCATTTACCTCCGCTGTTGCTTGCACCTGCATCAATGTCCACCCATAGGCGCTTTTGATGTGGAACTCTGAGTATGGATATCCACTGCGGACGACATCTTGTAACAGGGACTCGTCAAGTCTTCGCAGTACGTTCAACCCATTGGGCCCGATACCTAGTCCGCCGCCCACAACTAAGGTTGCGGATCGGGTAGTTCCTTCACCAGTGACAGAAGCAGGTCTTTCCTGGAACGTTGTGTCCCGGGCTGTATCATAGGCTTCATAGATGGTGTAAGTGTGGTTTTCTGCAGGCGCCGGTGGCTGGGGGAGATGCTTTTTTAGCGAAAGATAGGCTGAGCAGCCACTAATACCGGCCCCGACTATGATGATTTCCATCTTGAGATATTCCCATACTCAAACCAGGATGGATTGATCGAGAGATTTGAGCTATTAATCAGTTATCTTGGCTATATTGTATGCCATGAGGTGTCATCAGGCTGCCATGATTTGACGTGAAGTCAAATTTGTCTTTATACGAGGTCAGCTGATCTGGCCCTTCCTTTGCTAGTATATTTGCATTGGACTTCATTTTGTCGCTATTTGATTTCAATACAATGTAATGCTATGCAGATCAACCTGGATTGCGCTATATTCAAGTTCATGGTCATGTGAATATCTGACATTCCAGGTACTGCATTTTGGCCATCCAATCACCATCCTTGAAATTTACAAGCCACGAAAGTGGCAACCTCAAATCCAAGTCAATGTTCGGGGGCAAAGTTCCAAAGTCAAGCCTCGCGGGGTGCCGATTTGCCTCGACAGGCTTTCCTAATCCGGTCCGATTCCCCTCGTCCGGCCCGTCACATACAGTACCCAACGGTACATCTCTGCAAAACGTCACACGGGTCAAAGAGTGCCGATAATGCATGATAATGCGAGAGAATTATAGCCAATGATTTTCGCGAGTGATTTTTGTGCTTCTCTGGCAGTTTGACGGTTTGGAGGGGTTATGCGCAATGACGCCACTGATCCGCCTTTCCACCCCTCCATACCCGTATTTCCAAGGATGATCCGCCCCCCAGTCTAAACGTCCAGGTCCTTAGTGCGGGGTGCAAGCTCTACAAGTTGAGCCTTTCTTTTTTTGTCGACTTGTCTCCGGTTTGATACGTGGGGCAAGGGTAAAATCCAAGCCACTGCGCCAAAATTCCGTTCACTGATTTGTTCCGCGCCAGACCCTGAGCTTGGACCTTGTCTTTTTCTTGGGCGCCAAGGCCTCTCCAGCGCAGCAAAGTCCGGGGTTGAGACCGGCGTGATGCCCGACGCAATATTCTCCGCAATTCCGGTCCTATCTTTCAAGGCTGCTGCATAACAGACCGAAGGGCTAGGTGGCGGCTATTTGAACCCCGCTGACACAATACTTGTTTATTGCTGAAACGCAGAACGTCCGCCCTAAAGTTGTGCCGAACGCGCACTCTATGCTGGGTCGGAGGGACTATTTCGAAAACACTGCATTGATTTTATTGAAAATAATCTTCGGGCTCGGTTTGCAACACTATTGCTAAGCTACTCCTGAGTATGAGGATCATACCTTGCATATGGATTCGCAACAGAATCTGATCTAGGATGCTGTGGACAGGGACAGGTGGGTATCTCGGAACCAGGAAATCTTACCGGCCCCGGACTTCCATGTCGGCAGGATTGGACCCAAGGATCGTGCGCACGGCAACAGGATTCGGGAACTTGACCTTTGCCAGGATCGTGATTGGAGTCCCGCTTGGATCCGCTTTTGACCTCGTGAGAGCCAGAATTCTCCAGAGAAGGCGTCTTCATACTGTATTGGTAATGCCCCGTGATTCATTACCCCCACATTTGTTGAATTAGGTCTGGTGAGGCCGAGACCTAAGTTTCATATCTCTTAGATATTTTATAGGGCCCTTGGTTCTTTGGTTCTTTACATAGGAACCTTGTAAATGGTAGATCCCACATGCAGAAGATCCCACATGCAACAATAGGTACAAAAAAATGAATGGCACATTGCTCCGATGATCGGTAGTTATTTATGCACAGACACACCCGTTGAGCAATCAGATTGCAGGGTATAAATCCGGTCCCTGCGCTACATAACTTGCAGGACAATGGCCCGGGGGGATGCGGAATATTGTCGTTTCTGTGCTGCGAGACATGGATATATGGATGTATCACGGACATATGCGGCATGTTGATTTAACTTTTTTATTGATTTATCTACATATTTTTTTTTTCTAAATCATATCTGATATAGGTAACAAGTCCGGTTATCGGCAGATATTGACTTTTGTGGGGAGTCAAATGGGCGTTCGTGTTCTGGGGGAAACACCACTTTATTGGTTATCCATTGTTGCTGTGCGTCCCACGGTCGAGACCCGCTGGACTTAGTAATGAGGGTTTCAACTCACGGAACCCGGGGTACTCCAGGATCTACGAAATTCTCATCGAGTTATTTCTGAACTCCCATCGATATGAGTGTTCTAGCACTTCATAAATTATACCTTGCTAATCAAAACCAACCCCACTCAATAATTCAACAAAGAAACGATCAACGAGTCCCTCCAGAACGGCAAGCCTGCGACAAGCCTCCACCACACTAACAGTTGGCCCCACTTATTCTCCGCCATCGGCGACTGGAGACGGCTTCTTTGGAATTTTTGGTCCTTTCCAGTGGATTCCTGGCTGGACCGGTACACATCTCCTGAAAATATGTCCGTCCAGACCCCCCCAGGTTCCGCTCCTTAGACTAGCGGCTGCGATCTACCCCTGGTGACCCGTGGGTTCCAAGGTTGGGGAGAAATTGTTGGCCTTTTGGGTATCTCTCGGCGTAATTCGGAATTTCTGATGCGAGGGTTTTTTTGGCAGTTGCGTCTCAGGCCTATCTGTGTTACATGTTGCACTAATCCAGATGTACAATCTAAATTCTAATCTATAGAATCTGATCGGATTGGCCTTTGAATGTCCAATATGGAGGGCTTGGCAGAGGGGCATGTGAGTGTTATAGAATTCTAAATGGTATTATAATGTACCTGTTACGCTAGGAGACAAGTGTCCTGGAGAAGACTTGTTATGACACACCCCCGACTCCACTTAGTGGATGGGGTATGCAGCGGATTTTTTTTCCCTCAAATTTTTTTTTTTTTCCTTGCTTCTCCCTTCTCATAATGTACTCAATCATGCATGATTCTTATCACCAGCCTCTCTACTCTCTACCCTCTACTTATACTCTACAGTATAATTCACATACTCCATGTATTGTAAACGGAAAAACCGGCACCGCGACGGACCCGTTGTCCCGTGACCGGGCCGAGCGTCTGGTACGCTAAACCGAATGCGTTGGCTGTGACGACACATTCGTCGCTAGGTTTTAGTTGAATTTTGGTGAATATTTGGCTTTCGAGGAGCCACGAGCCAGGCAGAAAGTGGAAATGCCTCTCGTGTGGGGAATTCCTGCCACTCTTGGTCTAGCGAATAGTTGATGCGCGATTTGGGGGTAATTTTACTGGGATCTGCCCCAACCTGGGTTCGTCCATTTATACTATATACTTAAGCAAATCCACCTCCCCCAGAACTCGCGCCCCCAGTTCTAGTAAAAAAATTTTATTAAAAAAAATTACATCTCCACTCCCTGAGGATATTTCATTATATTCCTCGAATGTACCCCATACGCCCCCGATCATTATGAATACCACTATGACAGATTCCGAGTCCGGCAAACGAAAGGCCTCTACCGCCGGCCTCTCCGCTCATAACCGCCCTGTCAAGCGCCGGGCCTCAAAAGCTTGTTGCTGCTGTCGCGCCCGCAAAGTGCGCTGCGATGTGGTAGAGAATGGTTCCCCTTGCACCAATTGTCGACTAGATCAAGTCGAATGTGTCGTCACTGAAAGCAAGCGGAGAAAGTTCGTCAACACTATGAAACAAGCCGGAGAAAAAAAGAGTACTCGTCCAAAGTCCTTTTTAGCTAACGGAATATCGGTGCTACAGGAAGTCTCGTGTTGAGGTCGAACATGCAGCCCATTCCGAGTCCCCCGAGGCCTCGGAGGAGAACCTGCTGCATAGTATTCAGGGATTGTCTGAAATGGCACCCACTTCACCTTCACAGGCGTCCGTTGATCTGGATCACGGACAACATATGCCACATTTGCTTTGTGCGTACCCATTGAAGAAAAAAAAAAAAAACAAGATATATACAACATATCTTGATGAAGATCATGCATCTAACTTGCCACTGCAGATCAAACACAGGCACACCGCATTGGCTCCGATGATCAAAACCGTCGCCGCATGGCCCCCAACCCTGCCGTGCCCGCCACTATGCCCCTGGCAAACGCCACACTGCAAATCCAACAACTACTCGATCCCTCTTTTGGAAACAACCGAACTGCGAACGCCTTTCTCCCCGACTATATTCGAGGTCTACCCGCCCGATTCCAGAAGGAGGATATTGACTACTTGGCCGCGAAGGGGGCGCTGACAATTCCAGACGTAGGCCTACGAAACGAACTTCTCAAGGCCTACATTCACTATGTGCATTCTTATATGCCGCTCTTGGATCTGGAGGAGTTCCTCCAGACCATTGTTCAGAACGACGGAGTTCACCGCATCAGTCTACTTTTATTCCAGGCCGTCATGTTCGCAGGTATGGCCTTTGTCGATATGAAGCATTTGCAGGCCGCTGGTTATCAAACCCGAAAAGCTGCTCGTAAGATTTTCTTTCAGCGAGCCCGCCTCTTGTACGATTTCGACTACGAGGTGGATCGTATTTCTTTGGTCCAGTCTCTGCTGCTCATGACCTACTGGTACGAGACCCCGGATGACCAAAAGGACACTTGGCACTGGATGGGCGTCAGCCTGTCTTTGGCCCACACCATCGGCCTCCACCGGGACCCCGGCAACTCACGGATGGATCTTCGTCGCCAGAGAATGTGGAAACGCATCTGGTGGAGCACATACACCCGTGATCGATTGATTGCGCTGGGCATGCGACGGCCCATGCGTGTGAAAGATGATGACTGTGATGTGCCGATGTTGACCATGGACGACTTTGAATTCCAGGCCTTCTCACCAGAAATTGTGAATATGGTCGGGGATTCGGAGATTTTACAGAATGTCAGCCACCAGCGAGAGCTAGCGTTGATGTTTATTGAAAAGGCTAAGCTTTGTCTTTGCGTGAGCCATGTTCTTTCCGCACAGTACTCGGTGCTCAGTCACAAATTCGGCGGCACCATGGAGACCACCATGATGTTGGTTCCGAAGAAGTCCACGGCAGAGTCCTTTGAAGTGCGACGATGTGATCAAGAGCTGGAAGACTGGCTGGCCAATCTCCCGGTGGAAACACAATATACGCCCTCGGGGGTGTCGAAGCTTCCAGAGGCTCGTGAAGTTCTTCACTCGCACCGAGCCCTGTTGAAGATGGTTTATCTTACTACATCCAGTGCTCTCCATCGCCCACAGGTCCTTCCCGCCGTTCCCTACCCGTCCATGGATTCCGAGTTACAAGAATTGTCTCGCCAGAAAGTTCGATCTGCCGCCGTGGAGATCACCGCCATTGCGCAGGATCTCCATGTTCTGGACTTGACTCGATACTACCCGACCACCGGAGTGACCGTGCTCCTTCCCGCCGTCATTATTCATCTCCTCGATATCAAGTCCAGCGACCCAAGCGTACGGATGACAAGTCTCCAGCGCTTCTACCAGTGCATGCGCATTCTACAGCGTCTGCGGGAGATCTACGCATCGGCCGACTTTGCAACCTCATTCCTAGAAGCAGCCATCCGCAAGGCCGGTATCCAGCTGACGGTCGCACCACAAGAGGTGCATTCCAAGCGATCCCGCAAGACTGCCACCACCAATGATCCCTTCGATGCCCTATCTCGGAACAACACCCTTACCCCTCCTCCGGACTCATTGGCCCAGAAGATCCCGGATCTCACTTACCCCCAGGCCCCCGCAGGCGGGCGTACTGGAAGTCTCTTTGCCTCAACTCCGCCACACTCCGACGGCAGCGAAAATGGCAGTACCAACAACCTCAACCCGACCCACAATCACGATGCGTTTGCCATCCCCGAGCTCAACTCGGAGCTCAGCCTGACCGAGCTAATGGATCTGGCCAATGATGCTGAGGTGACTCAAAACGACTTCGATGCGCTGATCAACTTCGACGACGCCGGGAATGAATTCTTCACCGATGAGTCTGGCCAAGCCGGAGCCGCGGCTGAAGACAAGGGCTACGACTTCGGTGTCGAGAACATGAATGGCATGGGCTTTGACGCTGATCCTAAATCGATTGATTTTGCCAATCTAACGGAGCTACACGGTGATCATGGCTCGGGCGACCTTTCAGCCGAGGCTCATTCCCGGGCCAGTCTGACGGCCGATCTGGACACAGACCTTGGCATTGGTATGGATGAATAAACATGTGCAATGTTTCTTTTTTTTTTCTTATGACTCTTGGTGGATTGTTCTTAGCGGGATTATTTAATTACTGTATTACAAGCTTTGCACATTGGAGAAAGGAAGATCGGGGTTCATATCTGGCGCACCCGGATTGATTTGGTTCTGGATTTTTCTCTATGATGACCACGATGTCCTTTTGTACTTTCGATATAGAGAGGGATTTTTGAAGAAAAAAAAAAGTATGAGCAATATGATGATTATTCCATTGAATCGCTATAGCATAAAAGTCCTAGTAATGTTTCTTTTCTTGATTTGATCCACATGCCGATACCATCGGCATCACATGCCGGACCCCGAGTTCATGTCAAGGCGCAGTGATCGACGTCAGTCTAGTGCAACGGTCCCAGGGTTCAGGGATCGACAGGGGCATTATGCTGGAGTTATGTTTGATATGCAGATGCGGCTACTATTAACACAGATGGGCCGAGGTTAGACGAAGTTGCCACTATGTAGTGGACTCTATACCTCCAACGGGTTTCGGGGTTGAAAAATCCGACAAGGTATAGATTCACCCGTCAAACTGAAGAGTAGCGGTTCTCGTATTTGATAGTCTCTAGAAACCATGGGATGAGCTCCTGAAATAGAAACAGACCTGAATCTATGTTTTAAGGACCTTAGAAGAGCTCCAGGAATGCCCAGTAATTTATCAACTTTGGAAGTCTTTCAACAGTTGCCCAATCGTCTATAGAATGTCCCACTTAGCAGAGTTCCTCGGACCAATTATTCATTTGGACGCTACAAACGTCAATGAAAGCGTGCATGGATTTCATATCCAATACGTGGGTCCTGCACATCTGAGCTCCTCTTAAGTAGCCTTGCAAGTCAAGGAACTACCACCGACACACTCAGAACTTTATATATCCGTGGCGGCAGTTGAAGTCGAAGTTGAGACTGCTATGATGAGTGTAGTCAAAGAGCCAAGACAGGAGGGGGCTGTGATGGTGCCGGCAATAACACTAAAAGACTCAGATGCACAAGCAAAGATACCTCCCCACGAATCGATCAAAGTGTAGGGGTCAGGGTGGGTTTTCTGATCGATGGAAGGGAAATTGTCCGAGAGCCAGAGTGGTATGGAACCATGGATGGACCGCCTTGACGTACCCTCTATGGCATGAACGACGATATCTCCAATGATCCATGAAGGTATACGGGTATGCACATCCTATTAGTCATCACACATCAAGGTCCCTGGTATTGTTGTTAGAATTGTCAATCTCATCCACAATACTGTTGTATATTGAGGCTAACGCTGACCATCTACCACCCGATTGTACTATATAAGTGTTATAGGTTCCCTTTGAATATGCGGAGGGTGCAAGATTTGGTACTAATCCAGAGGGACAGCAGATGTATTGGTCAACTAAGAATCAAACACAAATCGGAAGCCTTTTACAATACTTGTGAAACTCGGCTGAAGTCATGCCACATGCAGTGACAATGTCGCGCGGAAGTTTCATGTCACTGTCACGTACACTGTCACGTACGAGTATTTGGAGCTTCGAGGCTGAAGAGATACACAATAGTTGTTAGTACTGTAGAGATTATTGCCCGAGATAGGCTGCGAGGAGCGCCCGTATAGTATGGTGTTGATTGCTGGGCCAGCATTGACGGCAATGGAAGCTTGACACGGAAGTTCTTGTCAAAATGGAGAAAATAATCGGTGTAAGCTCTTAGAAGTGTGACTTCAGGAAAGCCAATTATTAACTTGGTGATCTGGGAAGCAAAACAAAATCTGGTCAGGCAACCCAGCTGTTTATCTATAAGACTACCTCTGACTTGAAATTTGGCCAATTGTAGTGGAAATTGATCGTTCTCGACGGGGTACAATACATTTGGAAGCTCTTCCTGTTTACGGTAGATGTTCGGATTGTAGAGCCATATAGTATGCATTGGGATATATATATATTCGATACGCGAGCACAGTCAATGAGTTCAATCTGAGCAACAATGTTCATTATGTATCTTTTACGTACCAAAATTCTTCGGAGAAGAGTGGTCAATTAACGGGGTGTGAGTTCCTCAGGGAGATATATATATTTCTGGAGTTTATTTAAGCAACATTCGGTACCCAAACAAGGCACGTTTTTGAAATCAAAAATGAGCAGTCCATGCTAATAAAATCAACTATCAATACCTATCTATCAATTGTGGGGACCTTTCTTTTCATGGAAATCGAAGTAGTGGGGGTAGAGATATAACGCTGCGATTTATCGCATTGCCAAGTGTTTTAGGGATGCTCGCTTACCAATCATGTTATGCGAGAGTTAAGTGATCAATCTACGATATGGAAACAATTTGGGGTTCCATATGTGATCATGAAACCAAAATCAGGGCTTATTTGGCTGCCTGCTGCATACGCCCCAGTAAGCTCCACTGAATGAATGGACTGGCCCACTGCACCTCAATTAGCGGCGCCGATCTTTCCCCTCACCAAGACCCTGGACTTTGCATCCCCTGACCCTGAGTCGCTATTGGAGATGTTTGCCAAGATCTTCTGCAGTGGATCTGTTAGCAATGCTACCTTTCCCCGGAGCTCATGCGGAGATGACTCGGAGGACCCTGCTAACCACCTCTGCACCCGCTTCTTACTGGCTTCGCCTCTAGGCAATGAGTCTTGGCTGGCCCACCTTTTCTCCAGAGGGTAATTGAGAATGGCGATTGAATTGAGCACGGCTTTTGTATCGCCAGCTTCGCGAATAACGTTATCGCGCTGATGCCCGGCTGTTTTTGACAAACCCCGGTGATACATCTCCTCACCCGAAACGTATTTAAGTTACGATGGAGCCACTGTTTACTACTTCTTTTCCTTCATTCAGAAGAGAGGTGGGGTTGCTTGCGAAATATAAGGCAGATTTGATACACAATGCGCATTGATTCTTGGATTCCACTGCTGCTGCCCCTCGCGGCAGCTCATTCAGTGCCCAAGGGCACTGATTTCGCACGTCGCCAGCTGCCCAAGCAGCCTACTGGTGTCAAGACAATCAAGACTGCTAATAATGTCACCATTCGTTACAAGGAGCCTGGCAAGGAGGGTGTTTGTGAAACTACCCCGGGTGTCAACTCATACTCGGGTTATGTGGATCTTGCGCCTAACGTGCACACTTTCTTCTGGTTCTTTGAAGCCCGGCATAACCCAGATACTGCTCCAATTACACTGTGGCTCAATGGTGGCCCTGGAAGTGACTCCTTAATTGGGCTTTTTGAAGGTACGAGCTCCTGACAGTAGAAAACAATATGTGTAGCTGATGAACGATAACAGAATTGGGACCCTGCCATATCAATGAAACCTATGAGACGTATCTGAACCCGCACTCATGGAATGAAGTTTCCAATATGCTGTTTATTTCTCAGCCTCTGGGAACCGGTAGGAATCCTACAATATATCGTCAATGTAGCCATAATTTCTGACACTTTCAAGGTTTCTCATATTCCGAGGAAGAAGCTGGCTCCCTCAACCCGATCACAGGATCGGTTGAACCTGCCAGTGTGGCGGGGGTTCAAGGCCGCTACCCGGTGATCAATGCATCCATGATCGGTAAGTAATATTGCTAGTAACTTCAGGCGACCGAACTGACGACCCAAGATACCACCAATCTCGCTGCCGAGGCCACCTGGGAAGTTTTGCAGGGATTCCTCGGGGCGCTACCCAAGCTAGACTCAAAGATCAAATCCAAGGAGTTTAACCTCTGGACTGAAAGCTATGGCGGGTAAGTGCTTTGATCCCACTATCTAGCCTCATACTAATGCCTTTTAGACACTATGGTCCAGCAGTAAGTTTGATCCCGAAGTTGCTTCTACTTGACCTAACATGAGCAGTTCTTCGATCATTTCTACGAAGAGAACCAGAAGATTGCCAATGGTTCCGTCGAAGGAATTCAACTTGAGTTCAACACCCTTGGAATCATCAATGGAATCATCGACGAAGCCATCCAGGCTCCTCACTACCCCGAGTTCGCGGTTCACAACACCTATGGCATTGAGGCAGTAAGTTCTTTCATTCCTGAATTTCCTTTCGCGTCTCATTTAACTACCATCAAATACTAATGAGGTTCTTAGGTCAACAAAACTGTCTACGACTATATGAAATTCGCCAACGAGATGCCCAACGGTTGCCAGAACCAGGTTGCCACATGCAAGGCCACTAATCGCACTTCTCTATCAGACTATTCATTGTGCACAGAGGCAACGAACATGTGCCGAGACAATGTCGGTACGTAAAACAGGATTTATTTCTGTCTCGACTGCAATAAATCTAATATTTACTACAGAGGGTCCATACTACACATTCAGCGGCCGTGGTACCTACGACATCCGCCATCCAAGTGACGATACTACTCCTCCCAGCTATTACGAAAAATATCTCGCCAAAGACTCCGTCATGAACGCCCTCGGAGTTGACCTCAACTACACCGGATCCAACGACGAAGTCTACTTTGCTTTCCAGCAGACTGGCGATTTCGTATGGCCCAATTTCATCGAGGATCTGGAGGATATCCTTACTCGCCCGGTGCGCGTGGCGCTCATCTATGGTGATGCTGACTACATCTGTAACTGGTTTGGTGGACAGGCTATCTCCCTCGCTACTAAGTATAAGCATAGTAAGGAGTTTCAGGCCGCTGGGTATGCGCCGTTCTTGGTGAATGGCGTTGAGTATGGGGAGACGCGTGAGTATGGTAACTTTTCTTTTACTCGCGTCTATGAGGCGGGTCATGAGGTGCCTTTCTATCAGCCCATTGCGGCCTTGCAGCTCTTTAATCGTACTTTGAATGGTTGGGAGTTGCCAACTGGTGAGAAGAAGTTGACTCCTGGCTTTGGGTCAAGTGGGCCTGCGTCTGCGACGCATACCCAGTCCTCCGTTGCGCTGCCGACTGCTTCGGGGGTTGCTGGTTTGAGGAAGCACTGATGTTAAACTGTGTGTACATAGAGACATTGTGTACAGATTGATGTTCAATCGTCCCTGATAGTAAAGAAATTGTTTATAAGATTTTACACAATCAGTCCCTGGTAGCATTTTAGGGTCTAATCACACTAAAGTACACGATTGGCCAGCTTCATTCAAGATTGCTCAAGACCTTATCACCCACTTGTCATTAGAACCCTGTAGGAAGGGTTTCACGAGTAGACCAATCATACAATCATGTTCAAGTCAAAGGAAAAGAAATACAAGAAGGGGAGGAAGAATTAGGTAGAAAATCTTGAAATTCAGGTCCCGATGGGCAAGGCGTGAAATTCCAGCCGGGAAGGGATATCGATGAGAATCATTGAAAGAACAGCAAAAACACGCCTCGTAAATGCAATTGATGGAACATGGCATCCATTGCGAATGCAAACAAGAGCGACCGTCAAAGAAGTGGTGGTACACGTAAACGGCTCAGAGCCTTGAGCATCTATAGCTTTAAGACTTGTTGGAGGTATCCTCCTCATGAGACTCGGGCTTTTCATAATCGTCGGTCTGCACGGTGGTGTCTCCCAGAACATCGGCAGTGGTCTCGTCGGAAAAGCGCAAGTCATCCTCAATGGCAGTGCTGTCTTTCACCTTGAAGAAGATGATCGGCGAAGCAATGAGCATGCTGCCGACTAGCAGACCCCAGCAGGAGGCAAACTCTGTCATGAAAGGAGTCTTTTGAGCATCCAGTCTAAAATTTTTGTTAGAGACTAGATTCCAGGAAGAATGGAAGTGAGACATACCGCCACATTCCAGCTGCACCAGCAGACTGGATACCCTTGTAGAAGCCAGCAAAGTTGGCTAGTTTGCGGCTGTTATTGGAAAGAGAGCCCATGTACCTGAAAAATCTAGATTAGTAAAAGAGATTTCTGCCTGAAATGTGCCGAAAACTTACCAGTAGGTGCAGGTCTGGAAGGCCGCATCATAGAAGCCGTAGAACATGTACAAGAACATGGGTCCGATGTAGTCGCTGTCCATGAAATCTGTGTCGGCCTTCACGGTAGCCCGAGTGTATGACTTCTGGAACACATAACCACCACCCCAGATCCCCATAGTGATGGCGAGAAGGATTCCGAAATTGACCTTGGCACGGGCCGGACGGGAAAGGCATTTCATATCGAGTAGCTGACCGAAAATGAAGGCACCGACCATCTGCATAAGCCAGTACAGGAGACTGTTCAGAGCACGCGTGCGAACGGTGAAGTAGGCGAGATTGACCGAATTGAAGTGATAGCCATAGAACCAGTTACTGGCCAAGAACATGGGGAACATCAGAACGATATAAGAGTCGGAGCGCAACGTCTCCCAAAGACCCAAGAATTCCGACTTCCAGGTGGGATTTTTGATCACAATGATGCGGGAACCGTCCTTTCGCTTGATATACTTGGAGTCGGCGACCACCCAGCAGAGGGCAAAACCCACCGCCATCAAAACCAGGAAGGCAATGTAGGTACCATTGTCCACCTTGCCAGCTGTGCTGTGCATGTTTTGACCCAGGGGGATCAAGCTGCCAATGACTCCACCCAGGTTGAAAATGACCCAGAAGACAGCAATGTACTTGCCCTTTTCGTGCTCATGGGGGTAGCTCATCATCACGGCACCCTGGGCACACCACAGTAGACCAGCACAGACACCAAGTAAGGCACCGGCAAAGATGAGGAAGCCGGCATTCTGGTTGATATTATAAGAGAGAAGTGCGGCGACATAGAGGAAATATCCGAAACCACCCAGGGACAGGGTCAGGCGTAACCCGATGCGATTGGCAATGGAACCCGCAAAAAAGCCGACCACGGCAAAGGTACTGTACAGGGCGGTGTTGGAATTGTTCACATCGGTCGCATTGACCTGGCCACCTCCTCCCAGGCCACTCACTGCATTGAACATGCCAGGACAAAGGAAGCAGACGCATGAGACAAGAATCAGTTGAGCCTCGGGCGATGCGAACCAGGGCGCCTCCCAATTGCCGATTTTCATCATTGGCTTATACATCCAGGGCTTCCCCACCACCGCATGATCCATTGCCGTCTCTGGATCTTCCATGTTCATTTGTTCAATACGTTTCTCCGCAGGCGGAGTTTCGGGAGCGTGCTGCCGCTCAGGCTCGGGAGAAGCCATTGTGGGAAAGAGCCTAGGAAGCACAATTCACAGAAGTGGGAAGAATTTGGGGGCGGGAAGGCCAGATCAACAAGTGTGAAGAATGAAATCTGGGAAGGAATGCTACGTCCACGTGAGGGAAAATCCGATTTCCACAGGAATGTTCAGGAGAAAAGGTGATTATATGAAGGAATTTTTCTCCAGAAAACTAGAGCTTATCGATGTTTCACAGATAAAGAGCAATGGTACGTTGGGGTAATTAAAGTGGATTTGGATCCATTCATGACCAATATCTGGTAAGGTCTGGTGGACATTGCGGGGTGGAAAAGAACCCAAAGATGGAGACTCTGGAGAAATGGAGTCCATTGGCGAATCCCGTCCAGATGAACTAAGAGGCGCCAGATGTGACTCTGCATGCGGTCGCATCTAGCCTTGGCATGCAACACTAAAGCCTATCCACTTGACTAGTACGGCTTTATACTACGGTGATCCACTTGATAAGACGAGAAAGAATTAGGATCTCTTATCATCAACTCATCATCATGCCAGATGAAGTCATCTAGCACGGCTATTCCCGGATCTATATCTACCTTCCGAGAACATTATATCTCCATTCGGAATATAATAGGATCATCAGGTCACAAGCCATCGAGAACATGAGCATGGCAGATAAGAGTTAGAGCACACGAGAAAAGCAACCTCCAGGGTTCCAAGTTTTGGATATCCGTCGCCGAAAAAGAGAAAATAAAACAAGGCATTTTCTTCTAGATATTCTGACTTGGAAGTATGCAACTAGATACCTAATTTGACTCCAAAGGTAAAAGTTCTGTTAGCAGCTCCTCAATTTGCGCAGATCTCTGGCGCATTCAAACATCTAGGCTCTAGCATGGAAGTTCAAAAAAAGAACTAATCAAAAGGGACTTTACATGTCTACTCCCAAGGACAGTACTTCCTCGATCAACTAAGATAGCCCGAAACTGCTGAGATTGTATTTGCCACATATGTGTTAATGTTCTCACCTTGAACACATTATCGGCCACCCAAAGCGTTAACATTCTGGAAGTTCTGTTTGATACCGGTATTCGCGCGGTACGGTGTATGGCCTGTTTGCATCCATGTAAAAACAGCAGGCGGTGGGTGTATTATGGCCCCAAACAGAAGGCGGTCTACCTTCTGCATTTTACATAAGCCTGCTTGCGGCCCCACGAGCTAGATTACGACGCTGTGAGGTTACAGTTCTTTTTGCCCCGGATTTTGGTGGTTTGGTAACTTGATTATCTATTACCGAATGCAACTTCTAGTCGATGGCACCTTCATGCCAGCTTGACATCAGGCTCCACTACCCAATCACCTCTATACTATTGTTGGCCACCACATGGAAATCCAGAGATACAGGAATGATGGGTACCAGAAGGAGAAGTACCAGCGACTTGCTCCTCGTGTAACCGGATCCATGGTCGAAGTCAGAGAACAATCAGAACGAATAAGATACATTCAGAGGATCTCGTGGGGATGTGGTGGGCAAAATCCGGTCTCGCCCACATGGCGCATGCGACGATACATTCTCGTATGAAGATCCCATGTAGTAGGATTCTGTTGGCGTCGTACACCTCTCCCAACGTAACCAAGACTTTCTATCGCCTTCAATTCTTCTTTTCTTTCCTTCTTCCCTTCCCTTTCCATCTCTTCTTAACCTTCTACTCGCCTACTCCTCCAACTTCCTTCAACCCTAAAAGCCTGCTCTGACGTAACCACCATGCAAGTCTCGACTCTGATTTGATTCCTCTCCTTATCGCTAACCTGAGCCCTTATCTTGATAGGCGTGTGATCATCAGAGAAGACCCTCAGACGGTGTCGGTGTATATCGCTGAGTACATCGTCAGTAAGTGAAAAGTTTTCATGGTTGAGGGGCTCAAACAGCCGAACTGACAGATCCTAGGCCGTATCAAAGCATTCAACCCCACCGAGAACCAGCCCTTCGTCCTGGGTCTGCCAACGGGCAGCAGCCCCGAGATCATTTACAAGATCTTGGTTCAGCGCCACCGTGCTGGGGAGATTTCTTTCAAGAATGTCGTAACTTTCAACATGGTAAGCTGATCATACAAAGTGGTTCCCGAAGCAATATACTAATTCATCATGGCACAGGATGAATATGTGGGCCTGCCTCGCGACCATCCCGAGTCCTACCACAGCTTCATGTACAAGCACTTTTTCTCGCACGTGGATATCCTTCCCCAAAACATCAACATCCTTGATGGCAATGCAGCCGACCCCGTTGCGGAGTGCGCCTCGTTTGATGCGCGCATTGCGCGCTACGGCGGCATCGAGCTCTTCCTCGGTGGCGTTGGACCTGACGGCCACATCGCCTTCAACGAGCCTGGCTCCTCGCTGAGCAGCCGAACCCGTGTCAAGACCCTGGCCTATGATACCATGCTGGCCAATTCACGTTTCTTTGACAATGACGTGAGCAAGGTGCCGCGAATGGCCATGACTGTTGGCATCCAGACCATCATGGATGCACGAGAGGTGGTTATTGTCGCCACAGGTGCCCACAAGGCATTTGCCGTACAGAAGGGTCTGGAGGATGGAGTGAATCACATGTGGACTCTCTCCGCATTGCAGCTGCACCCTCACCCGCTGATTGTCTGTGACCGTGACGCCACTTTGGAGCTCAAGGTCAAGACCGTGCGCTACTTCGAGTCCATTGAGCAGGCTGGAACCGATGCCCGTACACAGGGTCCCTCGCTGGTCTATCGTCCTCGCACCTACGTCCCAGCCCCAGTGCCCATCAAGAAAACCCGCACGCAGGAGTCAACTCCTGATACCACCCCCCAAAAGGTGCCCAAGGATCTGCGCATCAATACTGAGCTTGGCCGGTCTTTAGAAGATGATGAGCTGACTCCGGACAGTATGTCTTCACGCATGGTTGACTCGGCCATTGCCGGTTTGGATGGCACTCTGAAAAATGACCTGATCTTCGATCGCATGGGAGGCAGAATGACTGCGATTTGAATACCATGGCCTGAATATCGTGACATGCTTTTTGAAATGTCTGTCTTTGCTCATCTTTGTTTTGTTGTTCAGGGAACTGGGGTGTCTGGGTCTTCTTACGCAAGCCAATTGCTGCATGGTTTCCGTTTTCGGTCAAGGAGTTATCTTTTTTTTTTTTTTTTTTGTTTTTGATTATTCTGAAACTGATAGATAGGATATGATGAATATCCTCTTGAACATGCCATGCGATAAATCATTCAAGCGCTAGCGAATAAATATTGTACCAAATATTGCCAAAGGAATTTGCTGTTGACTCGAGTGTCTAATAAGCAAGAGACTCCACGTGATGTTGTAGGTGTACATCGACCTATACTTGGATTCTGAAAGGTTGCACAACATACGTGGTGAAATCTCCATCTAGGCACCTAATAATGATTGGATCTTTTTCGCGAGAGAAAATTCATGAGTGATGCTTTCATTAGAAGATAACAATGCTTCCAGAGGTTCTTTTTTCTAAAGACACTTTATATCCGAGTCATGCCTGGCGCATGGAACATCACAGCTTGGCAAACACAGTCGCAACGGCCCCGCTCATATCAACGAGGGTACTCTTATTCTGTAACCAGGCCTCGATGCCCCGACGGCCATTCTCCACGCCCAAGCCACTCTTCTTCCAGCCACCCACGGCCATCTCGGCCGGGCTCTCACCCCAGGTGTTGATCCAGGTAATACCCGCCTGGAGCTGATCAATAACCCGGTGGGCCTGGTTCAGATCCTTGGTGAAGACACCAGCTGCAAGCCCAAGCTCGGTGGCGTTGGCGCGCTTCACCGCCTCCTCAACGGTATCATAGAACAGCAGGGTCATGACAGGTCCGAAAATCTCTTCCTTGACAATGCGCATGGAGTCCGTGCAGTCGGTGAAGATGGTAGGCTTGACCCAGTAGCCGGCCTGCAGGTCTTGAGGCACGGCGGGCTTATCGGGACCACCGCAGAGTAGGGTGGCCCGGTCGGTCTCGATTCCGTGGCGAATGTACGCGACCACCTTCTCGTGGTGCACAGCAGAGCTCAGGGGTCCATAGTTGGTCTGTTCATCAAATAGGGGGCCAGCCCGCACAAAGGGGATCTTCTCCAGCAAGCGCTTCTCAAAGGCTGCCTTCATGGAACGGGGGACGAACACACGGGTACCGTTGGTACAGACCTGGCCTGTGCTGTAGAAGTTGGCCATCATAGCTCCATCAACGGCACTCTCCAGGTCCGCATCGGGACAGACGATTAGAGGGCTCTTGCCACCTAATTCCATAGTCACATACTTCATGTTGCCCGATGCTGAGCCTGCCACCTTCATACCGGTCGCCACCTGACCGGTGAACGACACCTTCGCAATGGTAGGGTGGTTAGACAGGTAAGCACCAACGTCGCCAGCGCCGTTGATCACGTTAAAGACACCAGCAGGCAAGCCCGCCTCAGTATAGATCTCAGCCAGAGTCTGGCCGTGGAGAGGGGTGTATTCACTAGGCTTGTACACCATAGTATTGCCAGCCGCAAGACAAGCCGCTGACTTCCACAGAGCACTAGAATAAGACGAATGTTAGTATTGATAATCTTGATTCAAGCTTTTTCCTGGCTCATGTCCACTTACATCTGAATTGGGTAGTTCCAGGCACCAATGCCGGCACAAACACCCAATGGGGCCTTCTTACTGTACACCCATGCATCCTCTCGCAACTGTGTAGTCTCGCCATTCAGGCCACCGCCACCGATAAAATTCGCATAGTATTCAAGGACATCCGCACCAGTGACCACATCAACGGTGCTGGTCTCGGTGAATGCCTTGCCGGAGTCCAGGGTTTCGACACGAGCGATCTCATCATTGCGCTCCCGGAGAAGGGTGGCGGCCTTTTGGAGGATACGAGCGCGAGCAATGTGAGGGGTTTGCGACCAAGCGGGGAAAGCACGGTCTGCGGAAGCAATGGCGGAGTCAATGTCGGAGGGAGCGGCCACCTGAATGTCGGCCAGTGGGGTTGCTGTGGCGGGATTGAGAGTCTGGAAGGTCTTTCCTGACGAGGCGGCCTGCGCCTGGCCGTTGTAGTAAAGTTGACGGGTAGGGAATGGGAGAGCCATCTTGGGTATATTATGGAGAATAATCAGGAGAAGAGGAGAGAGCAGTTATTCTTTTTTTGACCCAGATTATGGATTCCATACTCACACCGCCCAGACCCAAAAAAGCTAAACGCCCTGTGGATCCACGCTAATCACGTAAAAGTCTGCGGGGATTCATAACTGGGACTTGGACACGCGGATTCGCCCAAGACTCAACAAGTTTCATAAGGCTTCTGTGTGGCTGCGGGAAACTCGGACCTGGAGTGGTAGTTCATAGCGGGCCGATTCAGCCAGTGACGTAGGTACTCGAGAACCTCGGGAGTCTGTACTATGTATGGTACTCTGTTCAATTCACCAGTATAATCAAGCCCGAAGAACTTATCAAGGTATGGCCTGATGTCGAATACCCTTATCTGCGATCATTATCTATAGAAATCAAAGTATGGCCTGATGTCGAATACCCTTATCTGCGATCATTATCTATAGAAATGCATATACTGTCAGCGTGTAAACAATCCTTTCATTTGAAATCTTTTTTCTCAAACCCGTTAGCGGCAAAGTGGAACCCATTCTTATCGTCGATGTACCCACTTTTAATGCAATCAGCAGCCAATCAACAGTGCAGATAAATGCAAAAAGAAAAAAGAATCATCAGCCCCATGCCCGAATTAGGCAAGTAGATTGAGATTTTGAAAATCGGTGTGTGGACTTCCCTTCCTTACTCGACGCTTTTTCAAAGTTTCTATGGCATTATCTTTTCGAGCCCTTATATAAGTCACCAGCGGCACCAAGATCTCCTCTGCCAGCGTTTCTTTTCTCTCCATATCTCTCTACCTTCAACATGGCCACTACCAACGAGTTTCCTGTCCAGGATGTCAACAGCTACGACTACATTGTCGTTGGCGGTGGTACTGCTGGCTGTGTGATTGCTGCTCGCCTGGCCGAGTACTTGCCCAACAAGCGTGTTCTTGTTATCGAGGGTGGCCCCAGTGACTTCACCGATGACCGAGTCCTGAACCTCAAGGAGTGGCTTAACCTCCTTGGTGGCGAGCTGGATTACGACTACCCTACTACTGAACAGCCCAATGGTATGTCCATCTTGAGAACTATATTTCCTTGTGCCATAGTTGTCTTGTAGCGTTCTAGCTCATGGATATCTTGCTGGTCGATCGACTTCTTTCTTTCAATACTAATTCATTTTTTTTTCCGCTTCAAAAGGCAACAGCTTCATCCGCCACTCTCGCGCTAAGGTGCTTGGTGGTTGCTCAAGCCACAATACCCTGATCTCTTTCCGTCCATTCGAGTATGATTGCCGCACCTGGGTGGCCAAGGGCTGCCAGGGTTGGGACTTTGAGACCTTCACCCGCCTCATTGATGGCTTGCGCAACACCTTCCAGCCCGTGCACGGCCGCCACCGTAACCAGCTGTGCAAGGACTGGATCCAGGCTTGCTCCTCTGCCATGAATATCCCTGTTATCTCCAACTTCAACGCAGACATCCGCAAGAACGGTGAACTCACCGAGGGTGCCGGCTTCTTCAACGTCTCTTACAACCCCGATGATGGCCGCCGAAGCAGCGCCAGTGTGGCCTACATTCACCCCATCCTGCGGGGTGATGAGAAGCGCCCTAATCTGACCATTCTCACCAACGCCTGGGTGTCTAAAATCAACGTCGAGGGTGACTCAGTGACCGGTGTCAACGTGACTTTGCAGTCTGGTGAGAAGCACACCCTTCGTGCACGCAAAGAGACCGTTCTCTGCGCTGGTGCCGTGGACACTCCTCGTCTCATGATGCTCTCTGGTCTGGGTCCTCAGGAGCAGTTGTCCGCTCTGGGCATCCCCGTAATCAAGGACATCCCTGGTGTCGGCGAGAACCTTCTCGATCACCCCGAGAGTATCATCATGTGGGAGCTGAACCGCCCCGTCGACCACAACATGACCACCATGGACTCGGATGCCGGTATTTTCCTTCGCCGGGAGCCCGCCGATGCTGCCGGTTTCGACGGCCGTGCCGCCGACATCATGATGCACTGCTACCAGATTCCCTTCACTCTCAACACCATTCGTCTTGGTTACGACGAGCCTATCAACGCCTTCTGCATGACCCCCAACATTCCTCGTCCCCGTTCCCGCGGTCGTCTGTACCTCACCTCCGCTGACCCGTCCGTGAAGCCTGCTCTGGACTTCCGCTACTTCACCGACCCCGAGGGTTACGACGCTGCTACCATCGTTGCCGGCTTCAAGGCTGCCCGCAAGATTGCTGAGGAGTCTCCCTTCAAGGAGTGGATCAAGCGTGAGGTCGCCCCTGGTCCTGACGTCCAGTCCGATGAGGCTCTGTCCGAGTACGGTCGTCGTGTTGCCCACACTGTTTACCACCCTGCTGGTACCACCAAGATGGGTGACCTTGTCCGTGACCCCATGGCTGTCGTTGACCCCAAATTGAAGGTTCGCGGCCTGAAGAACATCCGTATTGCCGATGCCGGTGTCTTCCCGGATATGCCTAGCATCAACCCCATGTTGACCGTGCTGGCCATTGGTGAGCGTGCGGCTGAGTTGATTGCTGAGGAAGCTGGCTGGTCCCACTCCCAGCCCCGCCTGTAAATGATGACAAGAACGAATAATGTTTTTGAGCTAGCCTCGACATGTCGATGAGAAGAGTTCTTCGTCCTTTGGCTTTGGAGTTTTTTGAATATTTAGTTTAGCATATAAGCGAGCGGTGCAGAGTTTCCGTCTGCGCCCTGGATGATACTTGCATATGTTTATATGCATCGGCCACGTCATATTAGACATGGAGGTTGACAACCAATACAAGAAGAATCTTACATATTGGAATTAAGAATAGATTTTGAATAACAATATGGAAGGCTTAAAATCGAAATCTTCTCATTGATCTTCTAGTCTGGTATTTGAAAAAACCGTAGC